CTGTGTCGAGAGAACATAACCACAGACGCGACAGATCAAGAGAGATCGAGAACGACGATCGGCGAGAACACACTCGACGATCTCGAGATGAAGAGATTGAAGACGGGTCTGTCTTTCGACCGCGGAGAGATCTGACCATTTCATCTTCACGAGAAATTTAGTGCTATCGATTTACTGCTAATAAGCTTCATAAATTCTGTACTTGAGATACTCGCACGCGTCGATGGCTAGAAATACTCACGACGCGTCCTATCGATATCGGTAATCGTTCCTCTATCGTGCCTACGACCAATGAAACGCATTCATGTATTCGTGGTCGGGTGGAGAACACTACGCCGCCAGGCGATTGGCGGAGGTACGAAACGGAATGCGTTTCGCACCGACCTAGCGGGGACGGGGGACGGAAACACATTCCGTTCCGCACTCTCCTAATATGTGTAGGCTTTATGCTCTGCTACCTTTTTCTGTGCACCATATTAACGGAGAACAGTGACATAGACTGTAAGAGCAGCGAACAAACATGGGATCCTAGAGAGACGGCTTTAGCGTTTGTTGCCTCAGTAATCAAGAAGAGTAGTATCACGTACACGTAAATCTGTGCCTGTCGCCTTTGGCATGGACCTATCCTCGAATACAAGAAGCGCTACCTCTACTTCTCCACGTACCATGCAAGATCGTTGCCCTTCTTCAGCTCATATGCCAAAAATCCATTCCCCATGAACCTGAAACGATTCGGGCTTTGATATCGGACATCAAAGTCCTCCGGTCTCAGCTCACTGATGAACTTCCTATACAACAATGCGCTCCCTGCAAAAGTTGCTGTAACACGTCCATCGACCCGATTGTTCTTATACCAGCTGCGGCAAGCTCCTGTCCACGTCAGCAATTTATGAATCTGGTCCCCGTAAGCTGTAAACTCGTCCACAACATCCTGCTTCGGTGCCACGGATTTGATGTCCTCCTCGGCCATCTTTTTGATCCACTTGATCATGTACTCAGCCGACCAACCGAGACTCTCCATCAAGGACCCATGTCCAATAGTGGCGTTAGGACCAGTAAAGATGAAGTAGTTTGGCATATCGGGACAGGCCAGCGATACATATGACTGTGGCTCTTGAGCCCACTTCTCGCCGAGGCTGACTTTGTTGCGTCCAATAATGGGATATCGAGGACAGTAGGAGACGTCAAACCCAGTTCCACAAACGACTGCAAGTCTTATTACCATCACAATATAGGATCTTAGGGTTAGGATATTACTCACTGACGTCCACCTCATAGAATTTACCGTCCATAGTATGGAGACCTTTCTCAGTCACCTCTGTGATGGGACTTTGTGTCAATTGGACATTCGGCCGGAGGAATGACTCTAGGTAGCCTTCGCCCGGAGTGATACGTCGGCATCCTAGCTCCCACTTCGGAATAAGCTGTTCACAGAGCAACGGATCGTGCTTCAGCTTCTCGGCCATTTGCTCCTGGGCCAATTTCAGGACTTTAGTGTTTTCAGGCGAATTCTTTACGAACTGCAACACATCAACCATTCGTCCTTGGTGCCTGAAAAGGATTGTTAAACTGGGATAAAGGAAGAACCCACCATCTTGAATCCATCATTAATATTGTGGATCAACGTTTTCCGGTATCGATTGTGCTCTTTCTTGTTCTCCCTGAAATTTCTCTTCTCCTCTTCGGTGTACCGTGGGTTATACGCAGGGTCATCCTTGCCCAGTAAAGACGCTGGATTCATCGTTGATACGACCCATGTTGGACCACGCTGGAAGCTCGTTATGCTGGCACCCGGGAGCTTGGCCAACTGCGGCAAGATCTGGATACCGGAGCTGCCATTCCCAATGATGGCGATGCGCTTGTGGCTATAGTCGTAGTTGTGGTCCCATGACGCCGAATGGACAATCTGTCCGTTAAAGCTGTGCAGGCCGGGGATGGAGGGCCACTTCCATTCACTGTCGTGGTCCAATCATGTTAGTCGACCAGTCGAGCCATGTTGATAGGACGTTGGTTTCAGGGTCCTAAACAGTTCGATGGACCAGGCCAGGTGACTCACTTCAGGAAACCCTGTCCAGAGATGAGAATATCGGCGTACTCTTCAGTCTCTATCTCGCCATGCTTCACTTTGACCAACCATTGTCCCCTATCTTCCTGCCAGAACGCGCCCACAACGTGATGGTTGAGCCGCACGTCACGGTCGAGGTCCCACTTCTTGACGGTCTTGTGCATGTGCTCCCAGATTTCTTGTCCAGATGAATAAAAGTAATTCCAATCGGGATTCGGATCGAACGGGAATGCCTGGAATTTCTCAATCAATTCAGTTGATAGCCACCCCTCATACATGAATATGTTTTCACCATTGAAGGAGGCCTACATAAATATGCGAAGGAACATCACACATCACGCCTGGATACGTGTTCACCAACCAGGTGCCACCGATTTCATGGCGTGCCTCGTAGATGGTATGCTCAAGCAGATCCTGTAACTCCGGGTGTTGATGTTGGAACTTGTGTGCGAGTGTCAAGCCCGAATATCCCGCGCCGACGGTGATGACACGTAATTTGCGCGTCGGCGTGTAGGCCGGGGCGGGATTCAGGGGGATTGTGATGGAGGCCAGGTGTGAGTGGTTGCCTAGGTCTCCATTGGTGGTGGTATGGGCGCCGTTGGGAAGCACCGACGGCGTTGTTGGGTCGTTGATTGCCATTGTTCGTGATGCTATTTGGTCACCAACTCAACACAAGATCTTGGGCTATGGTCGTGCAGGACTCCGGACAGGCTCATGTAGACTTGGCTAGGAAGTCGATATGAAACTATCTTCTTGATGTCCAATTTACTATAGTTGATGGTAATATACCGGTAGGCTCTTTGCATTTATCTAAGAGAAACCGCCATCCGCTCCATAGCTCTAGGGGAGAGTTGGGGAGATCGAAAGACCGGAGAAATGTGTTGTGTGGACTGAAATACAGTATGTTACTTAATCAGACCCCGCCTGCTAGTGCTACGACAGGAATATATCATTGTTACAAGGACTGTGGATGGTGCGCCGCGAAAAGCCTCCAACATAGCCGAGGCGGGCAAGAGGTATGACTAGACCCCAAGACTCGTCAGGTCCATCCAAACCAGAAAGGGTCTCTTTCGGGATCCCCATTCATATTTGCCTGTTGAGAGCAATCCTGCTTGGAGTCTCTGCATGTACATATTCGCCGAATTTCAAGCTTGGCGGTTACCGAGATCGCCCACCCCCCCTCTCCGGGGACAGTTTGCCGCCGCGGGGAAAACTGTCCCACATTTACATGCATAGATAGGACTAATCGGGGTAGCTAGAGGGATTCATTCTCCGAGGCAAGGTTGAACCCCAATCAGATAGCCGAATCGTGTCCTGCTGCTTTCTGTAAATTGTCAACATGTAGCTTTCGTTCCTTGCCTTTGTACCACTTACTTGTTAATCTGAACGTTGAGCCGAGTATATATCTACCAATACATCTCATCGATCTTAGAGAGCTATGACAATGCGTGCGCTCCGGTTCCACGGCAACAAAGACGTCCGAGTGGATGAGATCCCAGAGCCAGCCTTGCGACCCGGCTGGGTAAAGGTCAAGAATGCCTGGGCTGGAATCTGCGGATCAGGTACACTTCTGTATCTCCTGTCGAAGTGCAAGTGCAGATCCAGGGCTGACTTGGACTGATAGATCTGCATGAATATTCTATTGGGCCGATGAACGCGCCCACCAAACCCCACATATTGACTGGCGAGAGCCTTCCGTCTGTGCTCGGTCAGCTTTGAGAGTCCTCGGAGAGCGGTAGACATTGGTAGTACTAACGCCTTCAGGCCACGAATTCGCGGGGACCATTGTGGAATTAGGCGAGGGCGTGACGGATCTCGAAGTTGGGCAGAAAGTAGCGGTTTTCCCTGTCCTCTCGGACCACACATGCTACTGGTGCCAGGAAGAGACGTATGGATTATGCGAGAAATGGGGTTTCCTGGGATACAGCGGCTATGGTGGTGGAATGGCCCAATACATCTGCATCGACAAGGAAGCCATCCACAAACTTCCAGATAACATGCCCCTCGACGTGGGGGCACTGGTCGAGCCGCTTGCTGTTGCATGGCACGCTGTGAAGCTGAGCAAGGTTGGGCCGGAGCATCATTGTCTGGTTGTCGGAGCTGGTAAGCAGACGCACACTCCATCTAATCCTATGCTGAGAACGTGGACACTTCACTTCAGGTCCCATCGGCATTGCAACAGTGCACTGCCTTCTCGCTCACGGCGTCCGGTCAGTGATTGTCTCTGAACCCTCGCCCGCCAGAATGCAGCACGCCAAAGACGCTGGTGCATCGTATGTGCTGGATGCGACGAAAGAAGACGTCCCCGCCTTCTGCAAGAAGATCGCCGACGGCTATGGCGTCCATGCAGCCTTTGAATGTGCTGGGATTCAAGCTGCCTTTGATGTGGCGCTGGCATCCGTCCGCGGCAAAGGGGCCATCATCAATATCAGTATCTTCGAAAATCCGCTTGTGATCAAGACACCAAACTTGATTAATAGGAGGTCGATCAGCTACATTGGATCCAATATTTATACCCGTGTGGAGTTTCAGGAGGTCATTGATGCTATTGCTTCCGGTAGGACATTCTCTCATTCTGGCATTGTCTCCTTTCAGAAGATTTTAATGGTGGGCGAGATACTGACTTCCGTCTTTCAACAAACAGGGAGAATCAAGGCACCGGAGAAGATGATAACGGGAAGAGTGTCGTTGGATGACGCTGTAGATAAGGGATTTCGCGTTCTGCTCGATCAAAAGGATAAGCATGTAAAGGTCCTGGTAGACCCTTGGGCGTAGGTTACTCTTGGCCAGCACGATTTTAGGTATCCCGAGAACCTAGGTACCGAGTGTGGTAAAGATAAGGAAGGATCTACTAGATCGCAGATTTGCAATCTTACTCCGCATTCGCACCAAGTTACCTGTCACCTTGTTAAAGGTTGAAATCTTCTATGTTCGCTATTAAAGGGGTACAGGTGGAGCCTAGACTATATAGGTGTCCCTATACCAGCCTTCTCGTTAAAGGGCAAGGCTGAGGGCGGCGCATTCACTCTTTTTGAATATGCCTGCCAAGCTAGCTGATAGTGTTGTAAGAGCTTGTAGAATCGTAGACAGAGCATAAATGTCTGGTGCTTGAACCAGAGTCACTGCAAAATGAAGGATATGCTTGCTATATCTTGGTCAACCCGCCTTTGGTTAGACAGTTCCTTGCGAGAATGGTGATTTATCCAGATGCGGCACCTTGACTGTCTGGATTCTATCTAGTAAATACCAGTAAAAAAGGTTAGAACAGCTAGCTAGACAGACATCATTTCCGAAGACCTAGGGGGCCCTAGATAGTCTTTATATTCACAGACCTGGATCACGTCTTACTCTGCAGCCCTATTGACGTTTCACTTCAGTGGTTGGTGAGGCCTCAACTCCGTCATTGCATCAGCACCTCCATCCTGGAATCCAACACGTACCCAATCCGGCAAGCACCTTGCTGGGGCGGCAATATAAGAAAAGGCGGGAATCATGACGTTCTGGGCCCTTCCACTCCATACAATCTCGCAAATCCGTTCACCAACATCTGCCGGACTCAATCTTGGCATGATAAAGTTCGAGGGGGCCTTGAGGCCATCGAACATCTTGGTCTTGACGGCCGAAGGGTTGATGACCGAAACACGTACAGCCGGGGCTTTGTACACGTGTTTGAGTTCAGTCTGTAGTCCTTCGAATATAGCAACAGCTGCTGCTTTAGTGGCACCATAGTCGACAACTCCAGAGGTGGTAACATATCCGGCCTGAGAAGCTGTAATCAGGAAGTGACCGTGGTTGTGCTCCGCCATGGAGGGAAGAAAAGCCTTTGCTATCCATAGGATACCAAGGTTGTTGACCGAGAAGGTCCTAAGCGTGTCAGCCAGGTCGAGAATAGACCACCACCAAACAACCTACAGCTCAATGTCTCTGCTTGACGCCTGCAGTATTGGTTTGCCCCGACAGATGCCAGCATTCGCCACGACGCAAGTAGGATCTCCAACTTCTTCTCGTATCTTGCCCGCCAGCGCTTGAACCTTGTCAAAGCTCGTGATATCACACTGGTAATAGAACAGATTGGACGCTATGAACGCAGAGTCTGTCAGAATCCGAATCTGTGCAATGGACTGCTGACAGCATGTTTACTCACGGGCCTTGTAAGTCAGTGGAAGCACATCAAGCACTATGACCTTGCTTCCTCTTTTCGCAAACTTCTGTGCTGCTTCGGCCCCGATACCTCCAGCAGCGCCTGTTACAAGAATGATCTCTTTGTCCCAGTCAAACTTGGCTTCCACCCCATTGTTCATCGCACGACGACTCAGGACGCGATTGATGCGTAAGATGAGACCTGCGCATACGAGCTTTAGGGCTTTTGATTGGAGATTCGGTAGAGGACCCAATCGGTATCCCAGAAAAGATTTTGTATCTGGATGAATCGACAGTTTGCTTGTTGTAAAAAGCTGCAGCGCCACAGGTACAAATATCGAAACCCATGGGTTGAGGAAGGTCTGATCGACGAATTCGAGCACGTGCCCGATAGAGAACTGCATCTTGCACTCCAAGTATCTGATCAACTACATGGCGAGAAAGAATATTGCAGGGCATGATCCATATATCTAACTGAAAAGCCGTTGTCTTAGAATTGCACCTAGCTTCCGATGATCTCCCAAGTCAATTTAATTCCGCAGCATTAGATGTCAGACCTTTCTGACAACCCCCCCTTGGGCCGGAACTCCAAGTACTCCGTAGGTCGCGCCCCGCTTTGATCCATCCAGGGACAAGGGTCTATTATTGTGAAACGCTTGAGGCGGTAGCTAAGTTACTTCATCACAATCAGAACAGCATGGCCTTTACAAATATTCAATCATGTAATACCTGACATTATCTCCATGGCGATCCTGGGAGACTAAAAGGTCTAACTAGAAACCCTTTTAGTGTTTCCGAACATAATTCCAGGGCTACAAGGCCGATGTGGAATTCGGATTTTCCATTTGACATGTACCCAGACATTTTGAGGGCCACCACACCCTTTACTATCAAACCAGGAACCATAGTCACAGTAAAGACCTCCAGGGCTCGAGAAGCGACGGTTCCCATCTCCCCTCTGAAAGTCCGATATAGCAGACATCGGATGTGGTCAACTGAAGCTTCTGATGGCAATTCCTCAACAACTATTACACTGCCCGCGGCTCCTCTCATAAGATGTGACTAGTGGATCGTATTGAGCTCAACTCCTCTGGATCATATCACTAGGCTTCCACCCTAGATGCGGTCGACTCCTTGTTCCGTTTCCGACCAAGCAATGTAGGATTAGCCACAAATGAAGGGCGATTGAGGCGAACTGGAACTTCTGAGGACAGGTAAACGTCAAGGTTTGGAGAACGGAAACTCAGGTACATCATCGGTAGCCCGTAGACAAGGGAGATCAACAGGACAAACCTCCAAGCGTTGGTCCCTGCTTCAGTGACTCCGGCCAAAGCGCCTTCCAGGGCGAAGAAGTTGATACCTGGAACGCTGAAAAGACTCGATGTATCGCCAGTGGCTTGGGCTACACTTAGAGCCTGAAGCAGGGCTGGGAGCGAACTGGGCGGCAGACCAGCCTTGAGAGCATTCTCAGACACGAACTCGATCGTCTTACTTTGGAAGCGCGGGAGATACTGGTACTGAATCAGCGGGGTTTCGGAACATAGACAGATACTTACTATGGCTGCAAATAAGGATTCTGCCCGTGCATGTTAGTATATAGCACCACTTTGACAGTGCGGGACCTGTAGGGCTCACCAAATAAAGCAAAGCCAAGGCCACGAATGCCTGACACCAAGCCTGTGACCAGTCCCAAGTCGCGGGGGTGAGCGGTGAGAGGTCCCGTTACATAGGTGATGACCATGACATATCCTTGCCCAATTCCAGTCAGAGCCCAGCAGGCCAGTGCAGTTCTATGTCTCTTGGGGGCGAAAGAAGGAAACGTCGCCAAAAAGACCATACAAAGGATCGTGCTTGCAACGATGTGCCATTTCACGTGCCGGGGTCTTGCCAGGCTGATGGTTGCTGCGACGATGCCTCCTGTAAGCCCTGCACTCCAACTTGACTACATACAAGGTTAGCATTGTCCAGCCGAAATGCAGAGTGACTTACAATATCCCAAGCGGCGCCCATTCCGGTTCTATTATATATGCTTTGGAATGAAATCGCTGTGCCTTGCTGATAGAACCACAAGAGTAGTGAGGTCATAGAGGCGAGTGTGATCTGGGTCAGAGAGGTCCTATTACGGATTAAATATGCCGGTAGGGCCGCATGGTCATTTCCACGGAAGAATTCTGTGCGTGATTAGTGTGAATCCTCTGCGATTATGAAGCAATCCCGTACGGTATGCCAAATAGAGAACCAGGACGAGGCCGGAAATAGTAATGAGGGTGATGATTTGAGGTGACCGCCAGGCTATGTTCAGTCAGAGTCAGAGTCAGAGACATCACTCAAAGCACCAGGTATTGGTATCAAGGCAAGGCATTACGGTAAACAGTTCTTCCCCAGAGAAGAACATATGTCAGAAATCCAGCTGACAGGGTCAAGGTAACCAGGCCCGGCCAATCCTTCTTATGGAGCTCGTCTTTGGCAGCGAGGTGTTCGTGGATCTGCTGATATGTTGGCGGATGGTAGGAGATGAACAATCCTACCAGAGACACGAAGCTGAAGATGGCGTTGATGGAGTAGCACCAGCGCCAACCATCGCCCGTGTTTTCAACCAAAGCCTCGGCTGGAGATCGTTTATCAGCCGTCTGAAACTATTCTTAGGAGGCGAGGACTTGCCAATTGCAGGAAACATGGCCAGCAGTGGTGCAAAGAGAGCCATGGAGAGTCCCGTCACCACGAAGCGGTGCTTGATCGGGACCAGCTCGGCCAACACCAGCCATGGTGACATGATTTGGACGCCACTTCCAATGCCAATGAGCGCAATCTACCATGAATCAGCCAGCACACAAAGAGCAGAGGTGTCCTGGCAATTACCCCTCCAACCAGTGTTGATCCCGTCGAGGCTCTGCCGGCGACAAGGAAGCCGACGAACGAGATCACACTCCCGGAAAGCAAGACCCAACGACGACCGACCAGGTCCGAGAGTCTGCCACAGAGAAAGCAGCTGAATGACTGACAGAAAAAGATGGTTGGAGTGGTCCACTTCACCGCGGCGCTGGATACTACTTGGATGTAAGCAGTATGTCCCCAAATAGACACATGTGTACACAACTAACCGAATTGTGTCGGAAGATAAAACAAGGAGAGATTCCAGCATGGTGAAGTTCCTAAAAATCCGGCATAGAAGCACAAGGAGGTCGACTATTGAGTGGTCAGCGGAACCACTATTTGCCAGTGAAATACCATTTTGTTGAGAGCGTACCAGAAACAAGACGATGAATTGCCAGTCCCAGTAGGTGAAAGCAGGTTGTACAGGCGCGTCGGCCTCTGGAGATGTAGCTCGGGCTACAACCGTCTCATCCTTGTCTGGATTCTGTTCATGATGAGTGAAGAAGCTCTGCTCTTCTTTGTTTGACGCCATTTCCAAAATATCCACTGCGAAGCGTTTGTTGATGAATGGTCAAGGTACAGCCTGGAATGCTCAGAAGACTTGAAACAGGAGGGACGAGCTTGTTTAACACACCCTACGCTGGCACTCGCCGTCGGGACCAAACAGCCGGCGTCCCGAGTCCAAACTATCAGACTATCTGCTACGAACATCTCAGGGGTCCTCTTTATTGCCCACCTCTAGACTCCGTACCCAAAATGGACGTTGTGAAGCAGGATTTCTGCGGGGACCCCACAAGCGACTGGTCCCCAGGTCACCCCAGATTCCGTGGGTAGTCCGTTGCGTCGATCAGACGGATGCTAAAGGCACTCCCGTCCCGACCGCGGAGCAGTGTGGAACTTACTGTACAGTACCCAAGGAAAATCTTGTTCCCTGAAAGTTCCGGAGCATGACCAGACGTGTTAATATTGTCTGCTATTCCACTATCCGACCGCGGGAAGAAAAGAATGACACAATGATTTATTTGGTTTGGCGGAGTAGGGCAGCCCGGTGAAACACGATCGATGACTTTGTCTTCGGGGAGTCTTCGGATCACCATTGTCGGCTGAACCTCTTTCCCGGATCGACATGGCTCTCAAGGGCCTCAAAGGGGCAATGACGCGGGGAAAGTATCGGTTCCAGCCCAACTTTGACCGTCTAATGCTCAAATCCAATTCAAAAAAAAATACTCATAATATTCTTTCCTTGGAGAAAGTTGGGCAACAGTTACAATAAGGATCCGAATGGAAAGAATTGCGGATATCTCATCCTCGATGGTCGTCTCGCAACTTTCTCGGCCCGTTCCTGGGCAAGGCTTTTGTGGATTTACTGCTTCTCTGTACCTGAATTGGTGTATATTGACTACTGGTAAGGTGTTTAACGAAACATTGGCTATCTTGATACCATAGAATCCCAATCCTTGCTCAGTGGCCAATGTTAAGACCATTCAAGAGCCAAATAGTCATATTCGTTGCTCCTACACTGCCTCTCTTCGTGATACCCACGGCCAGCTTAGAACTGGAAAGCGTCCTGGGGCTTGACAGAGCATGTGGGATCTGACTTCATGCTTGACATGATGGTTGGGAAAGAGACATGTTCATGCACCCATTGCCACTTGCCATCGATCTTTTCTAGAATGCCGGTGATTCGGTAGGTCATCTCAAAGGCCTTGCCGTCCTCCGCGGTGCCGCCAATCAGACGTTGGTACATGGTGGCGTAGCCGGTTGTTTTGGAGGTGGCAAAGACCTCAAGATTCTTGATCTGAAAGGTTGACTTGGAGAAGTAATGGAAAGTCTCGTCGAAATGAGCTTTGAAATCGCCTCGACCGGTGAAGCCAAAGATATCGAATGTCACCACCTCGGGAAAGTTGTAGAACTTCCGACCCGGCTCGATGCTGGCGTTGAACTCCTCGTTCATGCAGTGGGCCCAGCCTTTGTAGAGTTCAAGGATCTCTCGCTCTTCTTCGAGCAGTTCGGGCCTGTGCAACTAGGACGTGGCGGCGCAATGTCAGCTCAGCCATGCCGTGGCGCATCCCAGGAACAGGAACGACGCTCTCCACAACGGTTATGACCAACCTTGCTGGGTGGATAATCTAGGTTCTTCCACGTATCCTCGATTGTGGTCAGAGTTTTCTGGGAAGAGAGCCGAGTCAGTCGACAGCTGCTCTCCTATGGCGGGGGGCAAAGACCAAAGACCACTCACATGGTCGAACCAGCCATCGGAAGCCATTGTGGGAAGCTCGTTGATCTTTGCGACTAGACCTTTCTTCAAGAAGAATCAGACGACTTGGGTATGTCTGAGGGCTAGGACGCAATCTCAATCCCAATCTCAATCTGGGGAAGGCTAGTACTGTAAGTCGAGCTTCAAGAGGGTAGACAGACAAATTATAATCATTCAGTCACCCTTCAAATATTCATTGCTGCTGGTGTCGGCAGATTTCCTTCCACCGCACAGTCGTAACTTGTAACCATGTCACCGATCGGTGTCAACGCTGTCGGTGAATTTGTCGGGGCTCGCAGCATGTTGTTTCGGTGGTTCGCCAACATCGCTCATTATCAGAGTCCCCGCCGAAAATTACACCGGATCTCACTCCTGGATGTTCTGGATGAGTGAGGACGACAGACAACCATGCGCAAATCGAGGCCCGACGACTTGATGGATCAAAGCGTTTTCAGAAATGTCGTGTTCCTCGTTGGGTGTTATATGAAGCCACCCCGGAACCCAGATCGATCATCTGGACCACTTCAAGAGAGACTTCGACCAGGCCGTTCTCGTTCCATTCTCACCACGAATCACAAACATGAGCGCCTTCCTCTCACCAAGCCTGGACCGTGTGCGTGATTTCCAACCTTTGCTCGTTGGTCTGTCATTGATCTTCTGCTATGGACTCTACCGGTTACTCCAAGTCGGAAGACGTGACCCTCGAATGCCGCCTGGGCCGCCGACCTTGCCGATCATTGGGAATCTTCATCAGATGCCACTGACTGGCATGTACAAACAGTATGTGTCTTCTGTCTCCTCTCTTCCCGGTTGCCATGGTACTAAATCTGGATGCCATGTAGATTCAAGACATGGGGCGAGCAGTACAACGGCATCTATTCCCTCAAATTTGGCCCAACCAACTTCATCGTTCTTTACGACCGGAAGGCTATTCACGAACTGGTGGACAAAAAAGGCACCATCTACGCCGACCGGCCCACCAGCTACGTCGCGGACCTGGTGACTAGCAGTCAGAGCTTGGTCTTCTCCAAATACACTCCAGTGATTCGGAGCAAACGAAAGATCGCAACACACAACCTCTCGGTAAGAAGGCGTGTCATCGGAAGACGGTTCACTTCACACTAACGCCTGTCACTGCCAGCCTCGCATCTTGGATGAGCAGGCGGCTCCATATCAAGACGCCGAGTAAGTGGCACAGAATAGCCTCGCAAACAGTTGGTGGTGGCTGACCTGGTGTCTAGGGTCACATGCCTGCTCAACGATTTGGTGCAGGATCCGGAAAACTTCTACAAATATGTCAGGCGCGTCACGTCCTCGATCGCTTGTATCTTGGTCTTCGGTCAGCGCGGCAAGACGTATGAGAACTTCTGGGGACATGTATGGCACTCTTCTTTTCTCTCTCCCTTTCGTGGATCCCTACTGACCTGTGCCAGGCGGTGTATGATGCACTTGACAAGGTGACCAGCACTTGATGCCTGCCGTCCTCGCAGCATAGGCTGACCACTAGACAGTTTGGGGAGGCACTGGAGCCTGGTGCCAATCCGCCAGTAGATGAACTGCCCATTCTGAAGTATTTCCCCGGAAGATGGAAGACGCGGGCTCGACACGCGGCCACGGTGATGCACGATATCTGGACCGAAGCACGGGACCGTGTCAACGAGCGTCGTGCCCGTGGCGACCATCGACAGTCGCTCGCGGACCGTCTGCTCACCGAATACAGCGAGAAGGGTGGATGTCCCATGAGCGATCATGCCTTGACCAAGCTCTTTGGCGAGCTGGTTGAAGGAGGGGCCGAAACCACGTCGTCGTCCATGTTGACCATGATCTTTTCCGTCGCGCGAAATCCCTGGGTGCAGAAAAAGGCCCAAGTTGAGATCGATGCGCTGTGTGGCGCCGACAGGTAAGAGACGCGATCCGATCCTGGGGCTGGGGCGCTGTTGTGTCTCTGTCCCTGTTCCTCTTCCATCACTCAACTAAAACCGTGCCACAGGATGCCCGAGTGGGCGGATTTTGACAAACTACCTTATATCAACTGCATTGTGAAAGAAGGCATGCGCTGGCGTCCGGCTATCGCCACGGGCATCCCGCATTGTGTGACCGAAGATGACTACTACCAGGGCATGCTGATCCCCAAAGACTCGACCATCTTCATTCCCATCTGGGCACTGCATCACTCAGAGCGCTACGGCTATGCCGACCCGCATGCATTTAACCCCGACCGCTACCTCAATCACCCGAAGCTGGCGAATGACTATGCCGGGAGCCCGGACCACAACCAGCGCGATCACTACGGCTATGGCGCAGGCAGGCGGATGTGTCCGGGTATACATCTTGCCGAGCGAAACCAGTGGCGCATCACAGCCAAGATTCTGTGGGCGTTTGAGATCTCGGAGCCGACTGATCCCAAGACGGGAGAGGTCCTTCACCTGGATCCCGAGGCGTTTACCGAGGGCCTTCTGCACGCCCCCAAACCATACAAGGTGGTGTTGAAGCCGAGGAGCGAGGCCCATGTCCAGACCATCAAGAGGCATTATGCCGACGCACTCAAGGTGCTGGCTCCTTATGAGTAATGGTAATGCAGGGGGCATGGTTGGTGGATTGGTTAGGGTCAGGGTCCAGGTCCGGGTTGGGGTCCGGGTTCGGGCCGGCTGTCTATTATTATGTCATTGATGAAACACTCTCTAGGACCATGTTCAGACTCACCAGAGTACTTAGCTGGTATTAGGAATAAGTAGTTGGCCGAGCGTCAGGAAACCCATGCATGAACACCTGGTCGCTGTACTACTACTGTACGTTCAAGACAGACTGTAAACTGTAAATACCCTCGTCAAAGTTCAGTCTGGGATCCTCCATTGAGCCATAAGCGAACATTCCAGATCGGCGGCCATGCCGAAGCCCAAATCAAAGTCGAAGCCTAAATTGTCCAAATCCAGCTCCCGAGCTTGCTCAAAGTCGGGGAAATAATTGTCCTCCACGCTCGGCCCGAGTAAGACGTCTTCCTCCACGGTTGGGACGAGCTTGGTAGAGGCGTGGGAGGCGCTCGAGGCCGTATTCTGGGCAGAGGGGGTCACTGAACGTCGGAAAATGATCGAATGTCCGGTTCCTGTCAAGTTCGGCCCTCTTTCCTGCGGTGTCATCGGTGGCAAGTCCTTGATCACATGACTACCGTTTCCTTGTCCCTTGTCACCTTGGGCGGAGGTGCCGTTGACGTGTCTGGAGGAGATGGTCGATTTGAGGTGTGCATCGAGCGCATCAAGCCCGTGTAGCAGCGTCCTCGGCGTGTCCCAGAATCTCACGTGTTTCTCGTAGGTCAACCGGAGGATTTCGACCTTGGAATCCTGGATCACCTTGTCCTTGCTTGGGGTCCCAATGTTGGCTTCGACGATTTGCACCGCCGCCGCCAGCCAGACGGTGCTCGCCATGAATGGATTCACATATCGGATGTGGTTGGGGGAGCTGCGGTTGATGATCCCCAGCACGTTGTTGGCCGAATCCGTATAATGCCGCAGGGCATGGCGGTCGATCACTTTCTTGGTCCCCCCTGTGGCGTTGGAGTTGTGCGGGGGGTCTGAGGAAGAGTTCCGTCTACCACTGCTCCGAGTTTCATGGTCCGTGTCGCCCGGTTCTGGGGATGATTGCCCAAACAGACTGTGGGAGTGGATCATGAACTTGGCCAGCTGGGCGGTGAGATGGATGCTGTATTTGGCACTGTCCACTTTCCGGCGGTCAACTGTCTCGGCCTGGTTGGGGGATGAAAAGCTCAGATACTCATCTCGGTAGCAGAGTGCATCAGGCAAGGTCATGAGGGTGCATTGTAGTGCATGCGTCGTCACGGTCAGAGCCCGCGCCGTTTCCTCCGTGGACGAGAGCGATTCTTGTGAAGCCCCAGGCTCCATTCTGCCGATCTTTGCTGTGAGGTGATGTACCGCGCCTCCGGGACTCGAGACCTGTGCATCTTGCATCAACGATGCGACGAGGATGAGCCAAGCCACGGGACTCTCGTTGCCGCTTCTTTGGAGCGACTTCCACCGGTCCATAGGCTCCATTTTCAGAGGACAGCTGGCATGGAACTGGCGTCCGATCCAAAACCGGTCCTCGATGGGAAGGTGGGTGTGGTTTTGTGACGCCTTGATGGCCGTCGGCAGGCGTTTGATGGTGCTGGCGAAAGCATCCATCTCCCAGATGGCCCACCAGGCCCGCCTCCGCTCTTCATCGGCACACCACTCCTGTACCTCGGCGGGCGTGGAGGGCGCCCAATCTTCAGATTTGCCAGCATCAATGAGGTGGAGATTCAACTCGTACGCCATTCGGATGGTAATACCTAACCACCTCCAGGATCGTCCACGGACGCCCTTGATCAGCTGGAACCACGTGCTCAAGATGACGGCCTGGAGAAAGTCCAGAGGAGGAGCATCATCTCCGCAGTCGGTCAACGCCTCCTCCTCGCAACGGAGAGCCAGTTGGTGGAAGTGGTCGGGACATGGGATCTTACTGGGGTGCTCGTGGAGAGGATCAGTCCAGTCGCTCCCATGGCTTTCCGCGACAAAGCGTGCCGAGAATGCGGACATGGCAGCCAAAAGGCAGCTGAGGTGCAGTGGGTTGCTGATCGACCTGAGCTTCTCGTCGAACGACGGCCGGTCAAACAGAGAATATGCGGTCATATTTTCAAAATAGAGGTCCACCCTGATAGTGCATTCTCGTTAGCTGCTACCAAGATAGCCCCAAGCGGTCGACCATCAGGGTTCAAGACTTAGACTTACAGCGTATGCATAGTATCGACCGATATGTTCAGCTCATGGCACGCATGACTCATCGAGTCCAGCTCGACCTCGCCCAAGGGGCAACGGTGTGAATTGACCTGCGGAGTCTCTCGACACCCTCCTAGAATGCTTTCCTCGTGTGAAGGATGTAGCAACAGCCACAGGCTAGCGGGTCCAGGTTCATTATTGGCGGTCAAGTCTGTCCTTGTGTTTGTTTCTGTCGAAGAGGCCTCGCCGTCCACATCCATTACGCTTTCGGATGGTCTCCTGGTCTTCCCAGGCAAGCAGCCCAGCGGGCAGAGTTGTGCTGGATGCTCGACATGGGTGACGCTGGATTTGTCTCCCTGAGAAGAGCTGCTTGGAGTTTGCTGCTGTCTGATCTGTCCCAAGGCGTGTGCACAATCCCGACGCGTTCTCTTGTTGAAGGAACCTAGATGTAGACATGTTAGACTCGCCAGATGCAGGCACGACGGGAAACAAGTTGCGCACCCACTCGAGGTCCAGGTCGCTTGCGCTCGCTGGGATACAAACAGACTTGGTTGAGTCTCGCGCAAGTATCGCATCCGGGAAGGGATTTATCACTTTTCTGGGAGTCAGGATCGAGAGCCGGATGATAGATTCAGCGGTGCGATGCCCGGCCAACTATCATGGATAGCTGCCTCACATACCGGCGACTTACCATCTTGTTTTTCGCCTACATCAACCCTAGTCAGCCGACGAACATAGCAGTTGGCAAAAGCCTCGCCTCGACAAGGCTTTGGTGCCCACAAGCCACCCTACCTTTTACAGTTTTCGCATGCCGAGCGAGGGAGATTGGCCACCTTGAGAGGTGCTCCCTGTCCTTGTGAAGAGTTCTCCATGTTTGGCTGGCTTTCGACGTGGAGGATATCAGAGCCTTGAGCCTTGTCCTGGGTTGCGCGCACGCGGGAGGTTGACGACGGCGGGTACGGGATGGATGGATCTTGCTTAAGCACAAGAGTGGCGAGATAGGCGCCTCTTGAAAGGGAAGGCAGGATGCAGGGCCTAAATCTTCGGCCCCAGCTTGGCCTCGTCCGGGGGGGGCCAAGGACATCGTCCTCCGGAGGGGCCTAAGGAGCCCCCGCGTCTCCCCTTGATCAACCCCCTAGCCATCCCCAGAGTGACAGATAGGCCCGGTTGGCCACCAGGCAAGTAGGGTCTGGGGAAATGCTGTGTGTGGCACCCTGCCTGGCCTCTTGACTGGTCGGCGGAACTGGTCGGCGTGACTCTGTGGGGAGATGGCCGAAAATCAGGCCGATCCTAGCAAAAGTGTATGTAGTAAGAATGACATACAGTATGGTTTTGCGCAGCGACCAGCACTCCCCCCGGCCGCACTCGCTGTTGTAATCGTGCCGAAATGATAAATGTCCAGACGCAGGTGTTTGTTGAACGAAGATTGAAAGATGAAAGATGAAAGGATGTGCAAGGGAGTGTGAGCTCGATGAAGGCATCGAGCTGGAGGTGGAGGTGGACGATGGTGCCGTACGTGACCGTCTCTCTCCACGTATGTAGCATTGTGCTTGGCAGGCACAGTTCAACCACAACCACAACCACAACCAACTACTCTCGTAGCTACACACATCGTCACCTCATCCAATCTGATTCCGTGACTGGCTTGGTCGTCGATATACACAGAGCATCTGGTCTAGCCTGGCGTATCTCAAGCTCGTTGAGACTTGGACTCGCCAATCCATCTTGTTCTGCTTCATCCCGCTCCCGGCCTTGTGAGCTGCTAGTGTGCAATATCCCTCTTTCATGACAGTGTCGATCCCTCCACTTCCCCATCCCCAGCCCAGCCCAGTCCCCCCGATCCCCATGGGGCCTTGTTACTCCAGACTTCGGACAATTGCCCCTTCGTCGGACAACCGACGACAGACTACAGACTACAGAGCTAGTCATCGAGACGACCCTGGATCGTCCGGGGTATTTGACTCGGAAGATCAAAAGTAGTGGAGTCAAGACGTTACTGGATGTGAGCTTGACCATCCCGCCCGATTAGTCGGCTTGACTCCCATCTGTGGTTTGGCAATGGAGTGCATGTGTCAGATTTGGTTACGTCGAAGTCTGTCATAAGTCGGACCACCTCGTAACGCACAACCTACGTAATGCACAACTGTTCATCATACCCACTAACACGCGTAACTACAACTTTAAGCAACTCGTTCTCAACCAACTATAGTATATATTATTCTACAACTATCTTAATATACCTATTATGTTCGAGCAAACCCTATAGGACGCGATTCGCGTATACGAACGCGGCGACTACCCCTCTCTTAACGCCGCCGCTATCGCCTTTAATATTAGCCGCTATACCTTAACGCGTCGATTAAGAGGAGGAAATACTCGTTAACAGGCTCGCGAGGTATAACAGCTCCTATCTTATACTTAAGAGCAACTCCTCGTACGATAGATTATAGACCTCGATACCGTCGGAGCCTCTTCTATCTTTATATAGGTACGAGAGTTTATAGGGCTTCTCTTGATAGCCTCTGGAGGACCTTCTTTAGTCGGCTATAACTAGATCGTACGCTTCCTTTAGCGTTAACTAGATATACTATCGAAGGTAGATCGAAAGATTAAATATCTACGTATAGAGAATACCTTCTCGAGTACTCTAAGAACCTTCTTTAATTACTTTTAGCGCGTTCTTAAGACTTATAATATTCGTACGAGCGATATTTAGAATTTTAACGAGTTAGAACTCGAAATAGATATCTATAATAACTAGAGGGTCTTAGGAAGAGCCTTAACGAAGCGTTCCTATTATAAGACCCCTAAAAATCGTAATTAGGTTAACTTATAAACTTCGTATACGCGTAAACGGAGGCTCTTAGTAAGTATTACTAGGAGTATACCTATAAGTAGATAATATCTTCGATTATAGACGTTCGATACTTATCGAGATATACTACTTAATAGAGGGCCTCGTCTATTACTTAATAAGGCGGCGAAGGCGATCGACGTACTTCTATAAAAGACTACCGAGTAATCGCTCTAATTATAATAGTTATTTATTAGCCGATAGGAGAAGAGCACTACGAAGCGTACGAAGGTCCGAATAGACTTAAATAAGGTGTTTACTTCTATTATAGATATTAAGGAGGCTTAGGAGCGAGTTACGCGACGTTAGGAGGAGTAGGATCGTCGAGATAGGGTTAGAGAGGTATAGGCGGCGTCTAAGGTACTCTTAAGGACCACCTTCGAGAGCCTCTGTATAGAGTGGCATGTAAACGACGTAGTATAACGCGTACGTTGAGTATTACGTAGGTTGTGCGTTACGAGGTGGTCCGACTTAATATGAACCTAGCTGATCAACAGAACCAAGCTTATGTGCACTCAAGTGCAGTCACCAACACCTTCGTCAAGACTTCCAACAGATAGCCAGTCACCATTGCAGGCTTGGTGAGTGGAAAGTGCACATTATGCCCATTGGCCGTTTTACAACATGCTGATGTTAGGTAGGACGGGAAAATGACAGCTCCCAGGAGCCCAATCATTCGTGCAACTTACTATATCTTAGTTCATGGCAGAGCATGGTGATGGGAGCAAAGTCTCCAACCATGCGTAAAAGACCCGTGGCTCATCATAAATCTGTATCTCTAGATGTGCACTCCTGGAAGTCGCTCAGGCGATGGCGCTGTGAAGGCTCCGCCGCACCCCTTTGGACTTCGCCACCACTTGAGATCTGAGGTTGATCATAGTGGTGGTGTGGTTTGCAAGACTTGTTCGACCCGACTGCAAAATTGAGCGTCCACAGTGACATGCTTAGGCCTAAGGATGAAATTCATGCCGAGTCAATATACACGAAGCAATCTTCACTGTTATGCCACTCGTCCACATTACTGCGTGGACGAGCAATGAGTAGTCCACACTCTTCCGTCGTCTTGTCAGGGGACCGCACCGCTCCTGTCTTTTCTTGAGTGGCGAAATACCCGCGAGGACGACTTTAGTCTTAGGTATGGATGTCATGGTGATTCCGAGCACAGAGATATTGGTCAAGAGAAATATCCAGAAATGCTGATGAGCAAAATTTTACGGAGTACACTGCTGCATAATTCACATGAAGAGTAAGTAAGGCCTAGCAGAGGGGAATATAGTGCGTCGTCCGGGGTACCATCCCGGGCTCAGGAGGCTTAGGGGATTAGGGGCTTTGGTAGGCTTAGGGCTCAGGGTTTCAGGGCTTAGGGGCTTAGGGGCTAAGAGGGCTTAGGGGCTCAGGCTCCTTAGGCTAAGGGGCTCCTACAGTAAGCCAGGTCGGCATCCCTCGAGCCTAAAGCATCTATGTAGCTATGTACTGTAACTCCGAACCCAATCATACCAAGAGACATCCTTGAGGTAGCAATTGTGGCCAGACTATACTTTACTGTAACCCCATCTAGGTGCCATCCAACATGAGAAACTCCATGGCCGACTCACTTCTACTAGTGTACCAGCATGCGCCTTAAGTCGGGGTTGGTCTACAGTCCTGAATAGTAGGGGCTGCTGACAATGGTCCCATTCCCCTGAAAGCCAGAGCCACGGTACTGAATTCAATCAGAAAAGTCTGACACGGGGTGGTGAATATTCTGACCCCAATTTCCGTGCATAAAGCCGAGGCCCCTTCCTTAGTGTTGTGCACTTCTACCTCATCAGAGTCATGTCGATAATATCTCGGTGCCCATCGCGCATCCCTTTGGACCACCAGCAAGACCGTGTGCCAGCGCAGCGTTGGAACTGAGTCCAACATGGCTCTGACGACAGAGGCAAAGCCGCTTCCAGTGCCTCAATCTGGCCCGATCAGCGAGAACTCTGCATCGCGCTTGTCATCTTCGAGCGAGGATGGCTCGGTGCAGGACGAGGCGGAGAGAATCTTTCGGGATGTGCTGTTGAAAGATGAACGCCTTCAGCTGCCTGCCAACATCGGGCAGTTTGTCAAGGCTACGACTATCGACCGAACCACGACACAGCAGCCAGTGCTGCCAGGCCCCAGTAAGATGACCGAGACTTCAACGGCGCTGTGGGCTCTGGCAGCTACACTGGGAAACCTGATAAGCCATGAGCGATATGGCATCGTGCAGCAAGTGTCAGTAGACTCAGATGCGGCGACCCTGTTTCTTGTCTCTTCAGCGCTGGTCACGGTCGGCGGCAAGACGCTTCAAGAGCCTAGCATTGCCCGCAGATACATACAGTATGATCGGGGCAACAGCCGCGAAACGTACCGCCGTCTGTCAACAAACATTTACCCCACCAAAGATGGCCGGTGGTTCCATCTTCATGGCTCTATGGATGCCACGCAGACTCTCACCATGCTTGGTCTTCCACCTTCGAAGCCAGAGCTCGATGAACAAGCCGCGATAAATCTGTTCTCCTCCGTGACGCGAGAGTGGGAGGCGGCCCGCCTGGACCGGACCGCCAATGAGCAGTATCGACAGGCGGGCATCATCTGCTACACGCCCGAGGAGTTCAGAGAAACAGAACAGGGCCGGGCCATCGCATCACATTCGTTATACGTTCTCAAAACCCTCCCGTCTCCCACGCCGACGCCGACGCCAGTTGCGTGGCCGGCCCCTAGTCCCAGCTCAACCAGACGTCCGCTGGAAGGCATCAAGATCCTGGATCTGTCTCGCGTCATTGCGGGCCCCACCATAACAAAGCTTTGCGCCCTATTTGGTGCCACGGTGGTTCGGATATCCTGTCTCTCCAACCCAGACATGGGCCCGTTGCTGATCGATGGGAACCTGGGCAAGCGCGATGTAGCGCTGGACCTGAAGAGCGAAGACGGCAAGTCAGTCCTCCGCAGACTCATCAAGGACGCCGACGTCTTCGTTGACGGCTACAGGCCTGGTGCGATGGAGCGCCTCGGCTTTGGCCCTGCAGCGGTCCAGGCCCTGGCCGAGAAAGACATTGTCTATGTGCGTGAAAATTGCTATGGCTGGGCGGGACCTCTTTCACAGCGCTCGGGCTGGCAGCAGATCTCTGACTGTGTAACCGGGGTCTCTTATCTCATGGGCCGCTTCCTGAACCTGCCGGACAGCGAGCCGGTGGTGCCGTTGATTCCCAACAGCGACTACCAGACCGGGCTCATTGGCCTGATTGGGATCATGACAGCTCTGGTGGCGAGGAACCAGCAGGGCGGCAGCCATCGGCTCGACGTGTCACTCAACTATTACAACCAGTTCCTGCTGGCCCAGGGCGAATATTCGACCGCGATCCAAGATCGCCTCCGCGCCCAGTACGCCGGCACTCCTGTCCTGGGTCTCCGGCACTACGATGACATGTACAGACTCGTCTCTAAGACCCTCTTGAGCGTGAAGCAAAAATCCCCGCAGATCTTCAAGAAGGAGTACTTCACCAGTTTGCCGGCCAGGCTGGGCGGGGAGCCGGGGGAAACAGTGACCTTTGTCGGGCCGCCAATCGCATACTCGGGCGAGACGCGACTCAAATATGATGTTGGCAGTTGCTTCTTGGGGGCAGATGAACCCGAATGGCCGGTGACCGGCTAGATCTGAAATGGCATGGACGATGATAAAATAGTGCTGTGCCGTAAGTAGCGGTACGGATTAGTTGATTTAATTCCGGGGCACGTACAGTAGAACAAGCAATCCATGCCCGGGGGCAGGTCCGAGTCTTACCGACCCCGGATACTGATGCGGGACTTGGGACACCCCGTACGGAGTAAATACGTACATACAGTAATGCACATACGGATAATTGTACCTTTATCATCGTACATACCAACTTAGAGCCCCTTGCCCCTCCTTCCCCGCCGACATCAAACCCTCTCTGCTCCTCACATGTCCTCGCCCTTGCCGCACATTACACTGCATGAATCTGGGTCTGGGTCTGGGTCTCTACGACATAGCAAAGCTCAACATGTCGACTGCAGGAGCTAGAGGCACCAATAAGAGGAGCAACACCTTTCCCAAAGTGGGCGCCTCCCCAGTAGACGCAGCGCAAAGCCACAAGGCTGCTCGCAAACGATCCCAGAACCGCATCTCCCAGAAATGCTTGCGGGAAAAACAGCTGGCCCAGACGCAGCACCTGGCTGCATTTCTGGACATGATCCAGGCCAGCCGGGGCACTGATGACAACCAAACTGCCTTGATGAAAGCTCACCTGAAGTTGCTGGAGGAGAACCAGCAGATCAAGGCTGCCCTGCTCCGGATGAGGAAGAAACTGCTCAGCATTAGCAACAGCGCAGCGACTACCGCTGGTACGACGGCCGCCGTCCCCTCCTCTCCCTCCTCCTCTCCAATATCTTACAGAGCTGGGATCGATGACTAACCCCTCGGTATTAGACGATGAAATATTCGATGAGATCTTGGGCCGGTCCAAAGATGGCAATGTCGAGCCAGAGACCTCGGCGACGGTACCACAGACTGATCCAACACCATCTGCCAGCATGTCTCCACGAGGTCTCTTAGGAGTTGACCTCGATGGCGCCGAGGCCTCTCGCGAACAAGACAGCACTTCTACGGCCGGCCTGGCCGGCGAATGCTTCAGAGACGAGATGAGTTCTCTTGCTCCTGCGGCGGAGAGCAACGTCAACGAGGATAGCCCATCATTTCCAGGCTTCGACGGCCTTGGAGCCGACTTCGATCACATGACCAATATACTCAACTGTATCGACGAGCCAACGTTCGACCTGGGCTCGAGCTTGGATTTAACCCAGATGGGACTCGCCACCACTGGCATGGAAGATGCCGTTCGTCTGTCGGGGAAGGAGCTGGCCGATTTGGTCGAATGGGGCTGCATCATCTACGTCTTGCAGATGCTGAACATCCCCATCAACGCTGACAACATAGGCGCGCCTGTGGCCCTCCAGCAGCAATATGTCCACCGAGTCACTGATCAGATGGTCGCCAACTTGGCTGCCATTGCCACTAATGTCCTAGGTGTCTTTGCCGGGCTTGATGCTTACGTGTACGGAGTGGTAAGTCTTCTCTTGGGTCCCCGAGTCCGAGTGGCAGACGAGTATCTTACTGTGGTGTCCTTTGTCTTAGGGAGCGGGCGAGCTGATCGAATGTATCATGCGCTGGCGCATCAAGCCCACCACAGCAAACCGACTGGCCATCCCGGAGCCGTACCGCCCGACGCCGCTCCAGTATTCCGAGGGCATGCGGCACCCCCTGGTCATTGACTTGATCAACTGGCCCCGGCTTCGTGACCAGCTGATTCTGCTGAGTCGACGGTCCAAGATCGATGACATTATCGACGACATTGTTCTACACACCGTCATCGAAGTGCGCCAGATACGAGTGTCTCTCGGCGTAGTGGACCTTTTCTACAGTAGGGTCTTCCCGAACATGGACTGTTCCGGCTTCTCGCCTATCCAAAACAAGAGTATGACACACACGACCTTGATAGCCGGCCCCTACGATCGAGCTATACGATCCATCACGAACGAGATCAGTCTCCGTATGGCGCAGGTAGCTGTTGACGGGGGCAGGGAGCCCTCGAAAGCCAGCAGCTGTCCAAGCTTTCCCGACGGTTCACTCACGGCGAAGAAGCACCCGCTGTCAGCCAACTATGGGATCGACAAGCATCCTCAATGGAAGATCAGTCGGGAGTTCGCAGACAAGTATCCTTCGCTAGACTGTTCAGATGGTGGGTGCTTTAATGGATATCCGTATCCGAGCTGCCTTGGATGTGGACTTTACTGACTTGAGAACTGCCAGCGGTCGCATCTTTCCCGGTCAGGCCAGTTAGCAGCATTCTGCGATAGGACCGGCGTCCCATCAAAACCTTCACCTCAATACAAGCAACCGCTGTCTTCGAAAATTCACGGGCTTCCCAGCAACAGTAATAGCAACTCTTCGATTGGTAAGTGGAGGCCGGGACTGCCGCCCAGCGTCAATTCCCAACCTCTCGCGTTGAAAAGCATTAGATGTGCACTTGTGACCAGAACGAATGCTACTGCTACTCGCGTATGCAACTCGCTAGAAGTAAAGACAAAGACGGGAAAGAGAAGATATATATCACCAAAGACTGAAAGAAGAGGAAGGAGGAAGGGGAGAGATCCAGACTGGGTGTGGTTGGGTTTGGCAGCGGTGGCTAGAACCGATCTACATTACCGTCCTTTCCAGTCTTGTTCCATGCACTCCGTAGACATGAATGCATAGAGTTCTTCCTATGCTCAGCAAGGCCTGGGGACAGGGGCCTGTTGCTGTCGGCTCTAATTGCATGATTATTGGCCAACAGCATAAAGTCCATTAGTCCAGGGTTGAGGCTCAGCTGGATGTCAGATATTATATATGTCCACGGATATTGTACATATGTCCAGCATCAACTCCTCCATGGCCAGTACATGCCGGCGGTATTCGACCACGATTGCTATCACCCTGGAGATATTTCCGAGGTCAGCTGTAATTATGCAAAGGTGCTCGATTGGAAGATGGGATGCCCTTGGACTGGAGAGGGGCTCGGATCTATCTACTCCGTAGTCTAGTACAGTGAGTGTACAATCGATCCATATATCGCACAACTAACCTTATTAAAGTAATAGCCGAGGTGGGTGTGGTACGGTGGCCTGAGACAATCCGACGGATTTTTCTGACATTGGCCAAGCAAGCGGTCCGGAATCTCGGCGGCGTTACCGTCTCCTCCGCTGTGTCAAATCAAATCAGTCGACCACAAGGTCTTATCATGGGTCGATACAAGAGGCTACGGGCTCGTCTGTAGCTTCGCGGGCGAGTTGACGGCCATCTGCATCTATTCTAAGGAGAGTCAGATTCATCCATCATGTCGACGTCCAAGGTGGCCATTATCACAGGAGGAGGCAAGTTCGAGACGGTGCATCTCATACAGCACAGCACAGGCTGAGATGCATGATTCCAATCACATATTTGGCCCCATGTCTAACTGTGACCAGCCTCCGGCATGGGGTTGGCGGTGGCCGAGTCGCTGTCTAGATCGGGCTGGCGAGTCTCCATCGTCGACTTGAACGAGAACGACGGCCAGGCCGCGGCACAGAAGGTCGGCGGCATCTTCACCAAGGCCAATGTCACGGTGTACGAAGAGCTGGCGCATGCATTCGGCAAGACGTGGAAGGAGTATGGACGCATTGATTTTGGTGGGTAACCTTACAGGTCCTCCGCCCTCCGCCCTCCGCCCTTCACCCTTCACCCTCCGCCCAGCGCCACGGTGGAACTAGCGTGATATGTACTGTAGGTACTCTAACTAATCATGAATGGTGTTGGGGTTCCCAGTCTTCGCCAATGCCGGCATTGTCGAACGAGCCAGCTTCTACGCCAAACAGGAGGAGACGGCCGACGGACTGCCGCCATCGCCCAACATGCTGGCCAGCCGAGTCATGTTCGACGGCGCGATCGCCACCGTATATCTGGGATTGCACTTTCTTCGCAAGAACAGCCCGGCGGGAGGCTCCATCATCATCCTCGCCTCGTCGGCCGGCATCTACCCGGCGCCCAACGGGCCGCTGTACACGGCTAGCAAGCACGGCATGGTCGGGCTCACGCGCGCTCTGGCATCCAGGCTGTGGGCCGAGAACATCCACATAAGCTGCATCTGTCCCGGGGCGGTGGCGACGGGGCTGATGCCGGCCGAGGCCTTCCAGCAGATGAACCAGGACACCTTTACGCCCCTGGAAAAAATCGCCAGTGTGGTCCAGTCGCTGCTGGAGCGGGAGGAAGTCACCAGCGGGGCGGCCGTCGAGGTGGTGGGCCAGAAGCATTATCTCCGATGGAGGCCTGAGTTTTGTGATGAGACGATGGAGAAGTGTTGGGACAGCTTTGGGGGCACATCGGCCATCCGAGACGGAGGCCTGACCACGAATTGGAAACAATGAATGTTGTTGTAGGGGGTGGATGAATATGGAAAGATGGAAGGATGAATGAATGGGTTGACTTTGACTTGTTCATTCATTCATCTTGTTGCCTACACCAGACAATCTACATTCTACAACTCCTTGGCTTAGGCTTTGGCTCTGTCACACCGTTCCATCTCCATCACTCGTCAGTACTTAGAGAACTAACCGAACAAGGTCCATGCAAGTCGTGATAGGGGTTATCTCACCCAACCCAAGGGGCTCAGTAGGATACACTGTCCAGGCGGTTAATTTCCAACGCTTGGCACAACAAAAACAAACAAGATAGGGGGGCTACTCACTTGATATACACGGTCTTGGTTTCCGTGTAGTCCAGCCAGCCGTACTTGCCGAGCTCTCGCCCAATGCCAGACTGCTTGAAGCCGCCGAATGGCACCTGTGGATCAATCATACCACAGCAATTGACCCCCACAGTGCCTGAGTTAATCTGGGCCGCCACCCGCATGGCACGGTTGATGTCCTGGGTGAAGACGGCGCCGGACAGGCCATAGTCGGTGTCGTTGGCGGTGGCAATGACCTCATCTTCGTCCTGGAATGAATTGACCACCACCACCGGCCCAAAGATCTCTTCCCGGTGCACTCGGGCATCGGCGAGCGAGTCGGCGAAGATGGTGGGCTGGACGAAACAGCCCGACTCCAGCAGCCGGGCTCCGCCCGTGACCAACGTGGCCTGCTGCTTGCCAGATTCCACCAGCCCCAAGACCCTCTCGTGCTGTACGTGGTCGACAATGGGCCCGTTTGTCTTCTTCTCGTCGAACGGATCCCCGTAGGTGTCGTGGATCTTTTCAAAGCTCTCCTTGAACCGGCGTAGGAATTCGTCCTTGATGTCTTGATGCACGTAGACCCGCGAAGACGCGACGCACGCCTGACCGGACGAGTCGGTGATGGATCGCGTGCACCACGCAATGGCCACGTCCAGATTGGCGTCGGGGAAGATGATGCTGGGAGACTTGCCGCCCAGCTCGAACGTGACCTTCTTCAAGTTGCTTCCCGAGGCCAAGGCCGCGATCTTTTTGGCCACCCCAACACTGCCGGTGAAGGAAAGCTTCTGGATATCCAGATGGGCTGCAATGGCCGCCCCCACGCTGCCGGTGCCATTCACCACGTTGAGCACGCCGGGCGGGAATCCCGCCTCCACCGCTAACTGGGCCAGATACAGCGTCGAGAGCGGAGATTTCTCGCTGGGCTTGATGACCAGGCAATTCCCGGCCGCGAGAGCGGGAGCTGCCTTCATGGCGAACATGATGGCCGGCCCGTTGAAGGCGATAATGGCGGCGCAAACACCCAGAGGCTGGTGCCGGACGATTCTGAGATAGCCGTTGTCTGCTGGGAAGGACTCCCCCTCCATTTTGTCACACCAGCCGGCGTAGTAGCGGAAGGTGCGGACACAGAACGGCACGTGGATGGACTTCATGAAGCTGAGCGCCGTGCCGCCACACACACTCTCAAGAGCCGCGACTCTGTCTGCGTTTTGCTCGATGAGGTCGGCAAACTTGAGTAGGATGGCGGTCCTCTCCTGGGGTCGAACGGCCGCCCACGGCTTGAAGGCTTTGCGCGCCGCCGCCACAGCAGCATCGACATCTTTGTCGCTGGCGCTGTGAAGCTTGTCGGTGACGATGGAGTCGTCATACGGGTTACGCACCGTGATATACTCCTTGGACGAGGCATCGACGAACTCATTGTTGATGAAGAGCCGTGTCTCAATGTCCGTCGGTTTGCTGGCCTTGCCCTGGGTCGTGGTGACCGACCGGTTCCCCATGCCAGTTTTGGTTCCATTGGCATTGGCCGTGCCGTTGGTTGCTGTGTCGGAGGCCATCGTGTCAGTGACCTGAATCAAACCAGAATTGCTTGCGAGATCGAGATCGAGATGGAGCTCAGGGTCAGCAAGGGCATGCAGAGAATCCGTGTACCTGCAAGAACGGGGGTATTTGGGCTGTCTACTTGAATCCACTGTCAAACAGTATGTACCTACCTTAACCGTCCAGGTCCAGGGCAGCCCAGCACACCTCGGCAGCTCCACATAAATAAATTCCGGTGGTGAGGCTGCTTGCTAAAAGCAGAGTATCTCCCGCCGCAATGTTGTGGGGAACCCCATGGGCATGGTAACCGCCGTTGACGGTTGGTCGGAATTTGCTTCAGACAATCTCCATGGTTCCGAATGCGGGGTCCATCTATGTGACTGGCTCTGGTGACTCCCTTTTGCTGTTTGCCGTCAGACTTTTCTCGCAACGGGAGAGACTTTGATAGGTCTGGATGGCATAGGTGTACACGGTATAGACGGTTATATGTGTACCAAACCACTGGATATGGAACTCCCGCCGCCAAACCATACCCGCGAAAAGGGGAGAGAACTGACATACACTCGTCGACGGCCCCCAGTGAGGCTGAGGTGAAGCAATGGCGGCCGTGTTGGATCGAGGTTGGCCCTTGTCGACCACCACCAGTACGACATATGGCGCTGTGCTTGTGGTTCTTGTCTGTACCATCCGTGAGTGCCTGTCTGGATGTTGTGCACGCTGACAGACGATCGGTCAGGTCGTCCTATCTTTGGGCGCAAAGCTCGTCTACAATCTATACTTTCACCCGCTGGCTGCTTACCCCGGGCCTCTCCTGGCTCGGTGCAGCCGTCTATGGTACACCAATGCTCTGGTACGCGGCAACCTGCCATTTGTGGTGCACCAGGCGCACGAGAAGTATGGCGAGATTGTTCGCATTGCCCCTGACGAGCTGGCGTACATCGACGCGCGGGCGTGGAAGGACATCTACGGGCCTCGGCCGGGCAGACATGAGATTCCCAAGGATCCCAACTTCTACCTGAACACCTCAGTGGGCGACGTGAGCATCATCGGGGCAGACTCGGTGCGGCACGGCAAGCTGCGGCGTCTGCTGTCGCATGGCTTTTCCGAGCGGGCACTGCAGGACCAGGTGCCCATCATCCAAGACTACGTGGATTTGTTTATCGCCCGGCTGCGAGTTCTCAGCAAAAAGCCGGAGCCAGTCGACATAGTGACATGGTACAATGTAGGGTTTGGGATAGTCTCTGGCTGGGAAGCGGTGACGCTGACATGTGCCGCCAGTTCTTTACCTTTGATGTCATTGGCGATTTGGCATTTGCAGAGTCGTTCGGATGCTTGGAAACGTCCAAATACCACCCGTGGATCGACTTCATGTTCGAGGTCATCGTTGGAGGTACCTACAAGCGCGCCGCGGACCATTACCCGCTGGTGGGCCGGCTGATGAAGCTGTTGACCCCCGAGCGCGTCAAACAAGGGGTTGCTGCTCACCTGGCCTTGATGAAGCACAAAGCCATGCACCGCCTGGAGTTGAAGACCGACCGGCTGGATTTCATGACGCGAATGGCCGCTCCTGACAGCGGCCTCACGCCCGAGGAGTTCATTGCCAGCGCCGACACCATCCTGCTCGGCGGCAGTGAAACCACCGCGACCCTTCTTTCCGGCATCACCTACTATCTGCTGAAGCATCCCGCGGTGCTGGACAAGCTGGTCGAAGAGATCCGCACTAAATTCTCCTCCGAAGAGGAAATCGACCTTGTCAGCGTTAACACGCTCGACTACATGCTCGCCTGTCTCAACGAGACCTTCCGTCTGTATCCTCCCGTCCCCGGTGCTCTTCCCCGGCGGACCGTTGTTGGCGAGGCATTGGCAGGAAGCTATGTGCCGCCCAATGTAAGTCAGGGGCCGCGCAAGTGCGACTTGTTCCTCATTTAAGCACCCTTCTCCGGCAATAGGAGGCCTCTCCCTCTGACCGTATCTCATACTAACATGTACATACTCCAGACGACAGTTGCTATCTACCACTGGGCAATGTATCGAACTGGCAGGCATTTCAAGCGACCCCTAGAATATCTGCCCGAGCGCTGGTTAAAGGAGTCCTGGTTTGAGGAGGACGATCGATCCGTCATGCAGTCGTTCAGCTACGGCCCACGCAATTGTATTGGCCGCAAGTAAGCTTGAGCCTTCCCTCCCACCCCATGCATGGCCTTTGTTTAGACGCAACCATGAGCTGACTGGCATTCCTGCAGCCTGGCTTACGTCGAGATGCGTCTCCTCCTGGCGAGGATGCTTTTTAGTTTTGATATCGAAGCCACGCCCGCGATCGAAGGCTGGCTGGATCAGAAGGTCTATCTTCTCTGGCAGAAACCGCCTCTCTGGATCAAACTGAAACCCAGAGATGTCAAGTTGAGGCCTCAGGTGGTTAAGCTGTTGGAGCAATCAGAGCAACCGTCGGCCACTTGAAGATTGAACCGACTTTGGTATAGGGTGGGGGGCAGTAGTGAGACCAAATAAAGATCCAAGGCTTGGAATGTGAAAATAGTAACCCCTAAGTTGTACTGCGTCATGATATGAATTCAAGCACGAAGGTTCTCACGCGATCAAGGCGGCGCTCTTCAGACAGCGACCATTGATTATAGTGGCTGGATAGTATGTATGTTTATAGTCAGAGACTATAATGGCCCAGTGCCACGATCGGGGAGTGCCTGCCCTTCACTCCCGTGTATTCTTTATACTGTACATACATAGGCGGATCTTCCAGGCCATCATAGCCCCAGCTTCGCAATGAACGGAGTTCGTCTGAAAGAATCCCACAGCCGCTCCCGCTCACCAGTCAAGTAGTTAGCCTTAGCCCCAATACCCCAGCCGATGGCGATGGCCAGGGCGACCACCAGCAGCGTGTTCCACGACACCTTGTGGCGCGGGAGTTTGCGAATCTTCTGATCCTTCAAAGTCTCGCCCTTTTTGAATCCCAGACGGTTCTTGACCTCGAACTTGGACTTGTTCGAGGGCACAAAGGGGGGATATCGGAAGCTCATGAGCTTGTCCACCCACAACGGCAGGTTCACCACCGTCCGCTTGTGCGAGAAGGCCTCCATTCCGTACTTGCCGTGGTAGAATCCGTAGCCGGACTCACCCACGCCTCCGAAGGGCGCACCATGCACGCCGGCATGCATCATCACGTCGTTGACGGTGACGCCCCCAGACTGTGTGTTGTTGAGGACTGTTGCAGCGCGCATAGGTCAGTTACTGGCATGTCACACCTGGTTGCAACCAGCCGAGCCTGGCTGGGAGGGGGAGTGGGGAGTGGGAATGGAATGGAAGAGGGCAGGGGAGGAGAACCTACTATAGTCGACTTCTTTATCATCTTGACTGAAAATGTAGATGGCCAGCGGATGAGGCAGATGGTTGATTTGGTGGACTGCTTCCTCGGTGCTCGCCTTGATCACCGGCAGGATGGGACCAAAGAGCTCTTCGGAGAGGGTCGAGTCGTGAATGTGCACGCCGTCGACCACGGTGGTTTTGAACTGGAGTGCCGCTCGGTCGCCCGAACCTCCATATACAATGTCCCCGTGGGTCTTGTTCAAGATAGACTGCAGCCGGTCGTAATGTCTCTCGTTCACTATCTTTCCCATCTGCGAGGGTTCGCCCTTGCCCTTACTCTTGTCTGCACCATGGAAGCGATCATTCCAGAGTATCAGCTGGGCGACAAACTGGTCATGGACGGCGGGATCCACGAAGACGTGGTTCACCGACAAGCAGATCTGGCCGGCATTCATGAACTTGGCATAGGCGACTCGCTTGGCTGCGATGGAGAGGTCTGCAGTGCGACCGACGATGGCTGGGCCCCGGCCGCCGAGCTCCAGCACGGTCGGCGTCAGGTGTTTGGCGGCCGCGGCGGCGATATGGCGCGCGACGGAGGCGGAACCGGTGAAGAAGATGTGGTCGAATTTGAGGCTGAGGATGTGCTGCATTTCTTGCGGGCCCCCGGTGACGATGGCATAGGCGGTCGGGTCGAAGTACTGGGGCACCAGCGACACCAGCGTCGCCTCGGTCTCCCTCGAGAGCTCCGACGGCTTCAGCAAGACGGTGCAGCCGGCGGCAATGGCGGCAATCATGGGCTGCAACAGCAGAAGAAAGGGGAAGTTCCAGGCGCCGATGATGAGCGCGACGCCCAGCGGCTCTTTGCGCACTCGGGCCTTGCCCAAGGTCCCAAACAGAAACCCGGCGTCGGGGATCTCGTCGGCCGCCCACTCTTCCAGGTGCTCAATGTGGTCCAGAATGTCCTGTTTCAGGCCCAGGATGTCGCTGCCATACGTCTCGAACTCGGTCCGGTTGAGGTCTTTGGCGAGCGCCTGGCAGATCTTGTCCTCGTTCTCCGTCACCAACCACCAGAACTGCTTCAGCTGCCATTTGCGAAACGCGAGGTCTTTGGTCTTGCCCGAGCGGAACGTCTTGCGCAGCGTGGACAGCTTCGACTCAACCTCCTCGCGCGACGAGTATCGTGTCGTTGTCGTCGAAGAGATCGCCATTTCCTTTGCCAGGCTGGTGAATGCGGAGGCTCCGAGTGGAAGGGACAAACACAGAAAGATATCCTGTAACTATCCCAATGCTTCATGCAATGTTGATAACGTTGACATAGGGAAGACAGTGTACTTCAGTAGTACATACAGCAACTCTGTCCGAGGCATTTCGGAAACCCAGGCACTCGCTTTCCCGCTGCCCAGGAACCCTGAACCCCAGACCCTGCAGGGTTCTGTTGTACAGTCCAGTGGTACGCATTATTTGCTGTACGACAGGGGCTCCTGGGGCAACTTATGTACGGTGAGTACTTGGCTAGGGCGCCGGCGTCAGAAATATCTGACCATTGCTGGACTCTTCCCTTTTTCCGGCCATCGGTGGGGAATTCCCTGACCTGAGCCCCTCTGCTTCTTTGGAGCATTGGTACGGAGTACTCCGTACGATACTGTACAGCCACACACAAGATGTCCTGCCATGTCCTGTCTTGTCCTGTCGTATCCTGTCGTATCCTGTCGTATCCTGTCCTGCACGGTCTGTCTCACAAGACAGATATTACTTAACTCGATCAGGAGCTCCTTTCTGCAAATATGCTCCCATAGCCACAGCATGTGCGGTAAAGCCATCTCCATGATGTCGGCCCTACTCAAGACCATCGGTGTTCTTCCATCAGAGACAGCCACCAACGGCAAAGGCGCTATTGGCCTTGACCAGAACAAGGACCTTGGTACATATGGCTCTTCTAGGCCCTATACTCTGTATTCTATAGAATCCTCTAACGAGCATGCAGTCCAGCCAGAACTCATCCCCGATCACACCAGCAATGGGAAAATTCGCCAGGCCGCACAGAGAAGGACGCTGCGCCTGTGGACTGTTTTGGTGGTAACTGGGCTCATCCTGTTTGATAACCATCATGTCATCGACCTCTCCCTCTCCCCCAAGTCGAGGGCTGCCGCCGTGACCTTGCTCTTCCCAGGTGCCGGATACATCGCGGCTGCGAACTGGCAAGCCGCTGCATTGCTTGTTCTCACATACGTGCTGCTCCCGGTCACCCTGTTTGCGTGGTTCGGCGCAGGCGGCATTGCCTTCCCCATTGGCCTCTGGATCCTCTCTGCCGGCGGCGCATATGCGGTGGCCGGGCCGGAGCTGTTCGACCGTGCGGACGTGGTCAGCGCCCTTCTCGTGGCCGGGTTCGTTCTGTACTTCAATCGACTCTCGGCCAGAGCCAGGAAAGCCGGGATCCAGAAGCGAGACAGTCGAAACGCCTTCATCCCCGCCGCCTTGGACACCATTGGTGCGACTGCCGTCGCTCCCGTATCTCGCGAGGATCGGGAACTGGGACAAAGTGAGCTTAGGGACATCCAATGGACCATCGACCAAGCCCTATTGCCCTTGGACGACTGGACCAACTTCACCGTCATCGACCAATTCCAGACATCGGCCCTGCGCTATCAACTGTACGAGATGATGTACTGCCTCGGCGCGTATCAGGGCATCTACACCCCCAACTTCCATGGCTATCTCAACACCGCGCATAAGAACGTGATTGAGAAGTCTCTCACGCCGAAGGTCCTGAACTTCTGGAAATGGGAGACTCTGTGGGGGAAGTTCTCGACCGATTTCGACCCGGTCAAGAAGGAAAATATCATGGTGACGGGCTTCTTGCTGCAAGGGGTGGCGCTCCACGTCGCCAACACCGGGGACCAGCACTACGCCCAGCCAGGGTCGCTGAAGTTCCAGATCACCGAGAAGCAAGCGTACGAATACGACATCCATTCGCTAGCCCAGGCCATAGCTAAACAGTGGGCGGAGGAGGAGTTCTGCCTGTTTGCCTGTGAGCCCAACTGGATCTACACGCCGTGCAACCTCCAGGGCATGACGGGCATGGTCGTCTACGACCGTATCTTCGGCACCTCGTACTCCAAAAACCTGTTGCCGCGGTTCGAAGCGTCGCTAGTCACCAACTTCACCGAGCCCGATGGCAGTATCTTGCCTATCCGGAGTTGCCTGACTGGCTTCACCATCCCGGGGCTCTGTGGGGCTCTGACCGACCTGGTGAACGCCATGTTGTGTAGGGGCCACCTCGACCACATCGCGAGGAGGATGTGGGCTATCTTCCGCACCGAGAATATCGACTATGACGAGGCTACTGGCAAGATGGAGCTGAAGGGCCTAGTGGGCGCCGACAAGATCGACCCGGGCTGCTACCAGAGCAACGAGTATGCTCTCCTACCTATGCTCGCCTACGTGGCCGGTGAGTATGGCGACGAGAAGATCCGGAGAGCCGCGATCGATCAGTGCGTGGCGGGCGTCGGGAAATATACCACCAAGACGGGTGCCACGGCTCTGAAAGGAGTGAGTAATAGTAATAACAGCTGTATGGTGCGAGCATCCCTGCTGCGTCTGGAAGATTGGAAATGGCTTATTTCCGAGGTATGTCGTTGATATGGCTGCGTGTGCTCAGTTTTCGCGGTGCCGGTGTCGGCTGACTTCATTGACCTGCAGGGCCCCTCCAAAACCACTCTTGCAGGCCCGATTCTAGATCATGCGCCCTATCCAGGCGTTCTCGTGGCAAAGGCGCGTTCGCAGACGTCCAAGGACCTCGACCTGGTGTTATATCCATCTGCCGATAGTGGCACCTTCGAGTTGGGCCTGAAGAGGCTCCTACCGGGGGGCGTGTATGGCTTCGCGCAGGAGACTTTCACCGCTGATGATAGAGGAGAGGCGGTCATCAAAGTCCATGTCGATGGGAGGACGGCTTTGAGGATTGAGCCTCGGTGATGACGGGGAGTGCGGTTCGCGGCCCACGCCCAGGATGTCATGGTTTGGGAAAATGGGTACTTGGAAGGCACTGGCAGTCCTCAATGGGGCTTTAAATTGCTACACCATAAACAGAAATCTTGCAGTACCACCGCCAAGACCGGCAGAGAGAAGTCGATGCCTGGGACAGGGAAGGATAATCTAGTTGTTTAACCCATAATGGTAATGCCGTGTAATTGTGTCGATCCTATCATATCACTTTTTCAGGAACTTCACCGGCACATCCACGTACTTGGCTCGAATGTAGTCGGCGAATCCCTTTCCAAGCCCATCCAACAACGGCGAGCTGCTGATGCCACGATGCAACGGGCCGTAGACGACAAAATGCACCGCCTTGATCTTGGGCAGCTCCACTCGCTCGATCGCGTATTCGTCCTTCCAGTCCAGGCCGATCAGCTTCTTCAACTGGTCCGAGGTCAGCAGGCTTCGGAGCCAGTCCCATTCCTCGTCGGTCTGCACAAAGAGTCCGAGGTTGACGTTGGCCCCTTTGTCACCGGAGCGCCCTTGCACGATCGTCCCCAGCGGCAGAGTCTGTGTCTCACTAAAGGAAGCCAAGGGCACGGGGTTGGTGGGCTCATAATTGGCGCGTCTGCCCACCGGCTCCGTCACTGAGTTGTGGCCTGCTGAGTGGTTGACGCCCTGGAGATTATCGGCCGTAGCATCCTTGCTCAGCACAAAGACCCCCTCATCCAGTAGAGATTGCTCCAGTATGGCCGGGTAGTAGCCCAGATACGGCCGAGGCAGTGCAGTACGGAAGTCCATGGAACCATGTGCGCCGGAAAAGTGCTGCATGCCGTGCCACATCAACGCCCGGAGGAGGAGATACAGCGTCGCCTGCTGTTGCGCTTGGGCGAAGACACGAATCTGCGCGGTGCCTGCTAGCTGGCTAGAGGGGTTTTCTTCGGGGACGCCAATATGCTGGAACAGGAGGACGTCAAAGTCATCCAGTTTGCCTTGCTTCGTCAGGCGGTCCCTGATCTGCAGCTCGACCAGCTCGAACTTCTTCCGGATCGAAGCACGTGTCCCGGTGGCGCTTTGGGTGAATTCGCACTGATATCCTCCCTGGTAGAACACCCCTAGCTTGGTGGTCGAAGGAGGGGGCCGGCCTTTGATTCCGGACACGTGCACACGGTCCTTGCCCACCTGCTTGATGGAGACGTCCGTGAGGTCCGCTTTGACATCACTGTTGAGGTAGACACTGCCCTGAATTTCATACAGCAGCTGTGACCGCGCAGTGTCCTCGGTGACGAAGCCATTAAGGGCGTCGTGCTTGGTCAAGACGCACTCGCCATTGTGGAGGACCTCCACCACGGGAAGACCGATGTTGATCAGCTCCTCGTTTGGATAGGCCTCGAAGCCGGAGAAGTTTGCGCCAGTGGCCTGTCTGATCTTAGCATAACTTCCCCAGCAACATCTGACCATTCGGAGCGGAGCATACGTAGGCCGAGCACTCAATCAAGTGGCCGGCAATGAGGGAGCCGGCGAGCTCATCAAAGTCCGTTTCGGACCACCCATGCCACCATCGGGCCAAGCCAATCACTGGCGACGCATCCGAGACTCGTCCACCTGAATCTGGCTCAGCATAACGTCCAGGGATGAGATTTGCAGAGGGAGTACCTACACAAAATGATGTCCGCGCCTTGAGACAGCCCCAGGGCTATGGCGCGGGATCCAAGGTAAGCATTTGCGCTCACAATGGGCTTTGTGGGATCTCCCAGGAAGTTGTCGGTGTCCTTGGCCAGCTTGACGCTGTCATTCTCATGGTCGAGATGGGCCAGTAGTCCTTTTTGGGGGTCGAGAATCTCGTTGACTCTGGGCAGCAAGTCATCGCCGTAGACATACGCTACCTTAAGATCGTATCCCTTTTCTCGGATCTAATCCTTGGTCAGTATCTTGCCAGGGCGAAGCGGCGCAACTTCAGTCACCATCTTCTGTACTTCCAGCGCAAGGCCCTTGGGATTCAGAGCGCCGCCATCGAGCACGACCTTGATCTTCTTCTCGTTGATTACGTCGAGGCTCAGTTTGATGCCTCCCAAGGCGGTTTCTACCCACCCCGGGTGAGTGCCTGCTGCATATTTCTCTGCATTCTCCGCGAGGTTTACCTCTTCGGATGGTCAGCTCAGCTCCGACAGGCGCCAACAATGTTAAATGAGTGTATGTATCTGCAACGCTTCAGTGGACATGGCTCACGCACCCGCAAGATAGTCGCCCGTAATCGCATCCACGGGCCCGTTTTGAGCCTGCCAGAGCATAAACTCGGGGGGATCAACTGGCCGGAGTTAGTCAGGTACAGGTACATCTGCCCGGTCAAAGGAGATACAAACCTGCTGCCCCCGAGCAGTTTGCAATGCGCACCGGCCTTCGTGGACTCGAAGAACCCATCACTAAAGTGTCAGCAACAGTAATCGCAGGTGATTCCAAGATGCTTGATGTGAGGTCAGCACTCTTCGAAGCTATGTCTGAGCTTCGGCTGTTTCAATAGAGTTTCAAGACAAGAGGTAAACCGGAGCAGTCCAACAAGGCCAAGGAAAGGACCCTGTAGCCGCCTTGGCCTCTAGGAGTGGTGTTGGTGTTGCTGGCTAGCACGCGAGCGTTCAATTCCGTTCACGCGACGCGGTCCAGCGCCTACCTCGGCCTCGGGTGCAAGAAATTTGTGTGTAGACATGGCCCTCATCCATCAGGAACCACTCTAGCTATCCGGACTGGACATCAGCTATGGATCTCTCACAGAGGGGGACCGGAAGGCGGGGCACATGGGACGTGGGACATGGGAAAGTCCGACAGGAAAAAGATGACATTCATTCTTCTCCGGCTGTCAGAGTTAGTCAGCTGTCAGGTGACTTTGATGCCAAGCGCCTAGGTGCGTGCACGTGCCTACTGTGCACGTGCTGCTTCCTTTCCTTTCGTCTTCAGCCTTGTGGACAGTTAGTTTTACGCATCCTGCATTAACTTGACTAGCGTGTTATGAGAAAGCCGCGAGAGGCAAGAGGCACCATTGCAACATCATAGACCGGGCAAAGAGGTGCCGACGAGGACGAGATATCCTCTGCTGTCTTGTGGCTTGTCCATTGTTGGCTCAACTATAGAGCAATATAGAAAACCCCTATGCTGGACGTGTTCGCCTCGCTACTCTCCATGGTCGCCAGAGAGCCGTCCCATCCACGCGCTGATACCGCTGCTTCGCCCTCTGGAAGCTGAGATGTTCACAGGTGTTGAGACGCCTCTTTACTTGGTCGCGTGCTCTGGATACGGATGCTGGGTGTAACAAAGCAGGGGGTCGGCTCATCGCATACTGTAGTGACCGCGTCAGCATCGAACCACCCAAGGGAGGCGAAAGCAGTTCGCCTTACCTGATCCAAATCGTCTTGGTTTCGGTGTATTGCGCCAAGCCATATTCTCCCAGCTCACGACCAACACCACTCGATCTGACAGGGTTAGCATTTCAACATTTCAACACAGTCACTCAGATCCAGGGCAGAGCCTGGCTGGACATACCGAAACCCGCCCATCGGGGCCTGGTTGCCGACCATGAGATTGCAGTTGACATTGACAGTACCTGTGCGCACGCTGCTGGCCAGCCTCAGCGCGCGAGCTATGTCACTCGTGAAGATGGCACCTGCGGACATGGTGTCAGTGTTCTTTTCCATGCCATTCTCGTGGTAAGCTCTAGCTCTGACTTACTGCTCAGTCCGTACTGGGTGTCGTTCGCCAATTGGATGGCCTCCTCTTCGGTCTCAAACGTCTTGACACACAAGACCGGGCCAAAAATCTCTTCCCTCCAGATCTTCTCATCTGGTTCAGGGTCCAAAAAGACCGTGGGAGCAATGTAATAGCCTTCTTTCTGATATTCTTGGCCCCCAGTCAGGACTTTCGTTCGCTTCTTCCCTTCGTTGATAAAGTCGGTCACTTTCTGGAACTGCTGTGCATCAACCACCGGGCCGTAGTGGGTGGCTGTATCCTGCGGATCGCCGCCCAAGGCCTGAGACATGGCTCCCAGGCTAGCCTTGACCTTTTCCAAGAAGGCATCGGCAATGGACTTCTGCACGAAGAGGCGGGAGGTCGCGGCACACACCTGACCTGTGTTCACGGTGATGCCCAGGGTGACCCAGAAAAGCGCCTTGTCAAGATCGGCGTCGTCGAACACGAGGGCTGGACTCTTGCCGCCGAGCTCCAAGGTCACTCTCTTCAGATTACTCTTGGTGGCGGCGTCTTGGATCCTCTTGCCCGTCGCGGTGGAGCCGGTGAAGGATATTTTGTCGATATCCATATGGCTGGACAGTAAGGATCCCACTTTCCCGTCACCCACCAGGACTTGGAAGACACCGGGAGGGAACCCAGCGGCCTGGACCAGGCTGGCGATGGCGAGAGTCCCCAGGAATGATTTCTCCGACGGCTTCATGATGACGGTGTTGCCGGTCGCAAGCGCAGGCCCGCTCTTCCATGAGCAAAACATCAGCGAGGCGTTCCATGCCGTGATCCCACAGCACACCCCCAAGGGCTCTTTTCGCACGATTTTGTAGAAACCGTCCTCGGCCGGATATGAGTCCCCCTTGAGCTTGTCTGCCCAGCCGGCATAGTCTACACAGAAGATAATGGCGGGTTAGCGGCAGGACCAGGACTAGAGAGGACTATGTCCAGCAGTTCACTCACATCTGAATGTGCTGCTGACCCTCGGGATTTCTCCTAGGAGCATACTGAGCGGTCTACCTGAGCAGAGGCTCTCCAAGTACGCAATGGCCGGTCCATTCTCGTCCACCAGGTCCGCCAGCTTCGTCAGAGCTTTCATTCTCTGCTCCCCGGTCCATTTCGACCAGGGTCCTGTCTCGAATGCTTCGCGGGCATTACGGACGGCTTTGTCGACGTCCTCTTCTGTGGCGGCACGTACCTCGACAGGTATCTTCTTTCCATCTTTGGGGTTGAACAGGGGCAGCACATCTCCTTGCCCTTGCACAAACTTGGAATAAACTCAATCACTAGGGATTCTCGACTAGGGAAGGAGCTGGATGTTATATCATGCACAACTCACCTCGTTATTCAGGAAAATTGAGCTGGGGGGCTTCTCGATATCGACGAGCGAGTTACTGGGTGTGCCATTTGGTGCTGCCATTGGTCGTGATGGTGGCTTTCTTCTTTGCAGCACTTTCTTTCTTTCGTCTCGATGATCAGGTCACTCTATATCTGCAGACTTCTCTCGTCCGTGATGCTTTCTGCCTACCTGCTATGGAGCCTCGCTTGAAAATGTGGTGCTAGAATCTCAGAACAAGTCTTCTTCTGGGGGTGGGCTCCGCAGTAGACCGAGTTCTGGGACTTCCTCGGAAGTTAGATCGGTTGTCATAGACCGTGCCACCCCCGGCACCCCTCTTGCAAATCAGAAACCGCGGGGTTCAGACATAATCCCGCTTAAATCCGCCATTGGTAATGAAAGCCCAGAGGAGGCGGCGGGGCGTGGCCCCTAAGCCTGGGGTTCTGGGTGACAATGGTCTCTATGGGAAGGAAGCATGTGTACGAATAGTGGTCAGATATTTCTGAGCCCACTTTGATGCGGGGTTGGAGATGCGAGCAAGTCCAAGGCCCATGACCAGATCCATCGTCCATTCCATCTAGTTACTGTATAAACCGGAAAAAGGCTTCGGAGACACCTACGGAATGAAGTGGGCCAACCTCAGTCCGCAGATAGCAATAGTATTGGCGAATTTCAAAGATGACAACCCTAATTCTTAATTCTTAGGGGGCAGGCTGGTACAAAGCTCAGCCGTCAGTTCTTCTCCACGATTATCTCCCCCAAGATCCTAGTGCATACTTCACCAATAGGCACCCCCCGCCCAGTATGCATGGCTAAGGAGCCTGGTGAAGGCTTAGGAGGCTTAGGGGCTAAGGCGCATGCCTGAGCAGTCGCCTAGCATCATCCCTCCAGCCTTTTGGCAATCCAGTCAACCATTGCCTTATAGTAGTCGTTGACCACTTCCATTCTGATGGCCAGTACAAATCCGTGGGGAAGCCCGGGGTAGGTCTTCAACTCTACGGGGACACCGGCCTTTTCCAGGACTCCGGCGTAAGCAATGCCCTCGTCCCGTAATGCGTCCATTCCCGCGACCTGGATCAGCGCTGGAGGCAATTGAGCATGGTCGTTGGCTAGCAGCGGACTCGCCAAAGGGTCGGATCCTCTATCTCTATCAGGGCAGTATTGGTTCCAGAACCATCGCATGGACCGGCCATTGATCGTCGGTGCATCGGCGTTCTGCTCGTAGCTGTTCAGCTCGAACTTGCCCAGTGGGAAGTGGCCTGGGTGGCACACAGCCGGGAGGTTCAACACCTGTCCCAACACGCCATCCAGGAGTTTGTCATCGCGGAGTTTGATGGCCAAGGCGGCTATCAGGTTCGCTCCAGCGCTGGTGCCGGCCAGAATGATCCTCGAGGGGTCGATGCTGTGGGCTGAAGCATTTGCACAGATCCATTTGAAGACGTCGTAGCCGTCATTCAGCGCAGTGGGAAACTGGTGCTCTGGTGCTCGGCGGTAGTCGACGCTGACCACGACCATGCGATTCTTGACGCAGACAGCTCGAGACATGGAGCTCTCCGAGTCATGTCCGCCGACCACCCAGCCGCCACCATGCAGCACAAAGAGCATTGCCAGTTCTTCGCTCTCGGAATTCGTCGGCCGGAGGATGCGGACTTCGACCTCAGCGCCATCTGAGACACGCACTTGGAGATGGCTCGTCGTGAAGCCAGTCAAGGGAATGTAGGGAGCAAAGCTTGCCCTAGTCGTAGTCCAGTTCCCACGAAATTCTGCCATGTCTTTGTATGTCCATATTTTCTTGAAAGCCTCGTTGATCCCAGGGATCAGAGGGCTGAACTCTGGGTTGACCTCGGACATCCACGCATTTGACGTCCGGGGGCTGCTGGGGGAAGCCATCTTCTTCTTCTCGCCCTTGACGGATCTGGGAGGCCGATTCAGCCAAAGTCGACAGCGACACGTGGAGTCAGCGTGCTTTTAGACTTCGAGGGCAATCAATTCACGATGCTAACCAGGGCTGATTCCGATTCCGTCCACGAACATATCGTACGTAAATCGGGCTAGGTTGGGGAGTAAGACCGGGGCTCTTAGTGGCTAGGCTCGGCTGAGATCATTGTATCTGTTGTTAAAGAGGTGACGGCATCTGTGTTTTCGCGAAACACATTTTTAAATGCGCGTCACGGCCTTGTTTAGAACCGAATGAACGACGAGATTTTCAGCCAGTATGAGCGGTAAACCACTACCTTCCACAACAAAAGATGAGATCGCCACACGACCACCCTTCTCCTCACTGCCGTTGCGTCCAGGAGATCCGCCATTCTCAGCCTGGGGTCTCTACGGGCCGGATGATGAACTAGGGACACTCAACCTGCTGACCGACGCACGCACCATCAGCGCGGCTGCGGAGATCAAGACAGGCAAGCGAGTCGGGTTGAATCTGCCTCTGGACATACCGTCGCCACCGTCACACAACCGAATGGGATTCAACCACCAGATCATCCACAAGCACCCGCGCAATGTGCACGACGATATCATTGAGATGAACACGCAGTGCTCGACGCAGTGGGATGGCTTCCGACACTACGGGTACCAGAAGGAAAACATCTGCTACAACGGCGTGACCATCCCGGAGATATCGGGTCCCGATGCGGGCTTGAAGTTGGGCCTGGGCCTCTGGTGTAAGCAGGGAATCGCCGGTCGGGGGGTGCTGTTGGACTACCTCCGGTACGCGACGGCCAACAACATTGAGTATGGCCTTCTCGAGAACCATGAGATCTCGCTGGCCGAGCTCCAGGCGTGCGCCGCATTTCAACACACCACCTTCCGAGAAGGAGACATTCTCATCATCCGGTCGGGCTGGACCAAGGCCTACAGCGCGCTCGACGCAGCCGGACGCAAGGACTGGGCCATGCGCACGCCGCCTCGGCTGGGAGGTGTGGCAACTACCAAGGAGGTGGCGGAATGGCTGTGGAACACTGGCTTCAGTGCCGTGGCCAGCGACGGCGTGGCCTTTGAAAGTCTCCCATTCAAGCCGGAGGGGGAGCCGGGGGGCCTGGAGCGCGTCAGCCTTCACGAAGTCTTGCTGGGAGGCTGGGGAATGCCCATAGGTGAAATGTGGAACCTCGAAGACCTGGGCGATGAGTGTGCTCGACAGGGCCGGTATTCGTTCTTCCTGACTAGTATGCCTTTGAACATCCCCACGGGCATTGCTGGACCTGCAAATGTCCTTGCAATCTTCTAGACATGACTTATCTCTCATGGTCAGGTCCACTCGCAGTCCTACAGGTCTAGATGCCTTGACTACGAGAGTTCAAATCCAAAGCAGCACAGTCAAGGTGTACAAAGTGTGGAAGCTTTCGTAAACTATAAAATATAACAGCAACCACGTCTTGGAGAGTCCGCCACGGGTTCAACTAGAGTTTGCCTGATTGGCTGCCAGCGCCGGGTCGTTCAGACCATACGCCTCGGGTCCAGAGTCATTGATACACGTCCTTCTCATGTCCCTGCGGTATTTGCCCTCGTACGCGCCCGTGGTGGCACGGTGCAGCACGGCGGTATTATCCCAGACGGCGACGTCGCCAGGACTCTCCCAATGATGCTGAAAGACGTACTTCTCCTGCTTGCAGTGGTCCGCCAGCTCTTTCAGCAACTTCTGGCCTTCTTCAAGCGGCATGCCCTCGATGGAATGTGCATACGAGGTCACATAGAGCATGTGGCGGCCACTGGGCTCGTGGTTGGTCACCAGCTTGTGTCGAGACACCGGCATGTCCAAGACCTCGATGTCTTTGAACAGCGGCGAGTCCGGGTTGGCCGTCTTGCGGTTGTGGTAGAAGGAGTGAATCGCCACGAGGTCTTTGATCTTGGCCTTGGTCTCTTCGGGCAGGTCGTCGTAGGCTTGCCGGGCATCAGCGTATTCCGTGTGGCCGCCCGTGGATTTCGGCGGCAGCTCGACGGCCCGGAGGCACGAGATGTACGTGCGGCGTGGGTTGAAGGAGCCGTCGGCGTGCCATAAGGCATTTCCGCGGATGGCCGTCGTTCTTCTTTCGTTGCTGTGGGTGACGACCTCGCCGTTCTCGTCGAGGTTGGAGATGTCGAAGATCTCTGGGTACGGGAGTGGCCTCATGTGGGCGCTGCGATATTTGCTCTTTTCAATGTCGCCAAACCTTTTCGAGAATTCAATATGGGCTAGGTCGTCGGGGAAATTCGCCTTTCGGATGACAACGACGCCATATTCGTGAACGAGATCCCTGACCTGGTTGAACTGGTCGTCTGTAATGCCCTGTGACAGATCGAGGCCTTGAATCTCGCAGGCGAAGGTTGGGTGAACCTGTTTGACTTGAAAGCCCGGTTCTCCTGCGCTGCCCATTGCGGTGAAAGTAGATTGATGGTTTGCTTTTTTCAGTACTGCTGTTTCTCGAGTAATTGTCTGTCTTTGGCATTCTTGATTTGATGGTGTTGTCTTCACAAATATAACTTTACTATACTTCGCCTTACCCAGTCGACCCAATGGTAGGGGTGGCAAACCCGAATTCCGGCCGGTATACAGACGCCGTTCAATTCCGACAGCCAGTCACATGCAACAACGGCCCTAGTTACAGTCCGGAATCACAGACCTGGTGTTGATTCGTCAGTTAGGCCTTTCATAGGTAAGAGTAACAGGTACCACACAAAACGTTGCAGACAAGCGACCTTATATTGCACCACAGCCTTGGTGGCCTTCCAGAGAGGCAGCAGAATGTTGAAGGCCAGTGATATCGCCCAGCACAACACTCGAGAGTCCTGCTGGGTGATCATTCAAGGCCAGGTGTACGATGTGACCGATTTCCTGGAGGAACATCCGGGCGGCTCCAGCATCATTCTACGTTATGGTGGCAAGGTGAAGAAGCCGGCCCCGACCTGCCGCCCCCCGGGACGAGCGAGACTAGGATATCATACTGATGGCTGGTAGGATGCCACGGAGGAATATCTGCCAGTTCATCCGCCAGGGACGATTGAGAAAGAACTTCCACCTGGTGAGAATCATTTTACGTAGACACTCGATGACTTTGGGGTTAATGATCGGTTACTAGACAAGCATTTGGGCGAATTGGATCCCCAGTCGGTCGGAGGCGTTGCTGTCACAAAGTCAAAGCCTGAGGCAGCTACCACGTCGATACCCTTGGATCTTTGTCTCTGTCTCGATGACTTTGAAAAAGCAGCCAAGGCCGTGCTCAGTAAACGGGCCTGGACGTATTATTCATCCGCCTCGGAGAATCTACACTCGTTCAGGCTGAACCGTCAAGACTGGGAACGAATCTTGTTCCGACCTCGCGTGCTCAGGAATGTTCAGCGCGTGAACATGCAGCGCAAGCTTCTCGGACACCACAGCAACCTTCCGTTGTTCATCGCGCCAGCAGCCCTGGCCAGACTTGGGCACCCAGATGGTGAGCTGTGCTTGTCTCGCGGAGCCTCAGCCTATAACATACCCTTTGTCGTCAGCAATGCCGCGTCGGTCTCTATGGAGGATCTCGCCGAGAGCATGCAGGGGGCGAAAGGAAGGGGCTGTCTCTGTCTCCAGCTGTATGTCAAAAAGAAGAAGAGCGAGACATTAGCGTCCATCGTCCGTGCGAAACAGCTGGGCTTCACCGCTCTGCTTGTGACCGTCGACACGCCGGTGGTGGGTAAACGCGAGGACGACGATAGGTACAAGGCCGAACAGGCGCTGGAGACACAAGGCCCGAGGCCTCCTCCTCCCGTGACGGCAGAAGGCATACAGCAGAGCTTACAACGGTCATCTACCGACGAGGTGTTTGTGCTCCGAGGCCCCTACTCCTCTACGCTGGACTGGAATGAGCTCGCGTGGATACGGGAGGCCTGGGGAGACGACGAGTCGTTCGGGCTCAAAGGCATCGCCACAGCCGAAGATGCGCATCTAGCTTGCGAGAGTGGCATCAAGCGCATCTACCTCAGCAACCATGGCGGACGGCAACTTGACTCGGCCCCGAGTGCGCTGAGGACGCTGTTGGAGATCCGGAATCTGTGTCCTCACGTCCTGCAGCAATGCGAGGTGCTGGTGGACGGCGGCGTCAGCCGGGCAACTGATATAATCAAAGCGTTGTGTCTGGGGGCGAGAGGGGTTGGACTAGGGCGACCTTTTCTGTACGCCCTAAGTGCACACGGCACAGCAGGAGTGTGCAAGGCCATTCAGAGTAAGGCATTGAACCCGTCCGGTCCGTGGGTTCGAACAGACTGCTGACATCTAGGTACTTCCTTGCCTTAGTATTGAGCGATGAGTTAGAGACATCGATGCGCCTGTTAGGCGTGGTTGACCTCGACCACCTGGGACCACACCTGGTGAACACGAGAGAGCTGGATCCGTTCATCTTACCACCGGGCCCAGCTCTCCACCCCAGGCAGTCGCGAATATGAATATGACACAAGAGATCGACAGGCGGGGAGACAAACACGTAGAAATCCGAAGAATCTGGCGCCTAACCTAAATTGTATTGGGGTCATCGTATGTACTAATCAACCGAGGTTTACTGGTTGACTGTAGCAGCTCTCGTGGGTCAAATTCCCCAGATCCAAGGACTTTTCCTCCTAAGCCCCATGGCCCCTGACTCTTCCCCGCCTCTCCGCTTGTCCAGCTCGGAATTACATTAAGATTAAGACCGCCAGCCTTTCACCTTGCCCGCCTCCACCTGTGCCATCTCCTCTGAATTCTGAACAAAAGGGAGGCTCGAGTATTCCGGATTCCTCTGGCACTCCTCCCATGCCACGCGAGACTCGCCGACTCTTCGTTTGCTGCAGTGATGACGGACCTGGTCGAGGACGACGACGACGGATTCCGGCCCTCAGCGGCCCCCAGTAGTAGCCGTGGCAAGACTCCCCAGCCCAGCCCGGCTCCCACGCGTAAGAAGCGAAGCGGCTACATCCCCCAGGCCTGGTACGTTGTTTGGCTCGCACTCGCACTGCCGCCGTCGGTCGTTGTGCTTGGGGCTGACGTGGATCTAGCATCAATTGTCGCAAGAGAAAGGTCAAGGTGAGCTCCCCGATGCTGTCTTGTCTTGTGCCTGCAGTCTTCCGCTGACCCTGACCAACACAGTGCAGCGGTGGGGCCACCTGTGCCGAATGCAGCAAAGCCGGGGAAACCTGCCTGTACACGGACAGGCGCCGGAAACGGCGGGCGGATGGGAATCAAAGCCATAGCCCACGGGCTCAACGGTAGGAGATGCAACCCGCTCCATGCCCTTGGTCCAAGGAGTCTGGCCACAAGCGGATGCTGATGTCTGGAGTTGCTGCAGTTGGCAGTCCTTTGAGGACGATGCGACCACCGTCGAGCTCTCCAACCACGTGATCAGCATGACCGCCCGGCTGTCCAGCCTCGAGCGTCACTATTCGCAGCTGAGAACCGCAGTGACAACGTCGAAGAAGTCAGGAGGAGAGACGGTGGCTGACCCCCACTCGGCCGCCCCAAGCCACTCTGCCTCCAGCCAGACAGCTCTCAACGAGCCTGAACAGATCAAGGAGTCGGCCCCTGCGCCTGCCCCTGAGCCTGTGGCCCAAAATGACTTCTCAGGGCTGCCGAGCCATGACATGGTCGAATATGGGCTGGAGAGCTCCATGCCGCTGCAGGACGAATATGGACCCCTGCCAGTCCCCGAGGTGCTGTCGCAGGAGGAAGCATCGAGGCAGGAAGACCCGACACATGACGATCCTGGCGTGCTGGAAGGCTTTCTGCCACCGGGACCCAGTCCTGTCATGATCAAGGACGTCGATCCATTTCAGGCGGAACGCGAGGTGAGAATGAACAACGGCGCATCCTTCAGGCCGGCCTTCGACATATTCTTCCGGCGTCTCAATCCCCTCCACCCGCTCCTCAATGAGAACCAGTTTCGAGCCCAGTTCGACAACTTTGTGTTCGACCAAGGCCGTGGACTGAGCGAACTCGACCACGCGCAGCTGCTGGCGCTCGTCAATCTGATCCAGGCCGAAGTCGAGATCCTGATCGGCGACTGCTCCGACTCGGACGCCATCTTTGGCTGGCGCGAGTTCTGCACCGCGGACAGCATTCTCCAGGACCTGATTTGGAAGGGCAAGGCGAATCTGATGACGATCCAATGCCTGCTGCTGAAGGCCCGATACCTGATGTACCTGGAGCGGTACAACCAGGCCTACGACATGATGGCGACCGCCGTGAGGATCTGCATGCAGCTGGGGCTGCATGACCAGTCCCGATGGGCAGGCCAGGGGGCCGACCCCTTCGAGACAATCATGCGCCAACGCGTCTTCTACTCCCTCTTCACGCTCGAGCGCGCAGTGGCACTCAGCTGTGGGCTGCCGCCGACTCTTCGCCAGTGCGACTTCTGTGTCGACACCCCTCCGGCTCTGGACGACCGAGGCCTGTTCCCGAATCGACCGCTGCCCGAGGAGACGCCAGAGCTTTCGTTCGTGCCCTACTTTGTCGCCATCATCAAATGGGCCGAGCTGTGCGGCGACGTGTGGGATGGGATGCTCCACATGCGCGCCGTCAAACCGGTTTCGGAGGCTCAAATCGCGGCCCTGGACCGTAAGATCCTTGATCAGGTCAACGCCGTGCACCCGCAACTGCAATGGAAGACGGAGCGTAGTAACGCCAACCGAGGCCGGCTGGAGCCGTACGTGTGGCGCCAAAAAGTCATGTACCGCGTCGTATGTTCCTTTCCTTCTCTTTTTTGCAATTCCATTCCGTCAAGCAGGCGAAACACTGACACGAGCCCCCTGATCAGCGCATGAATGCAATGCGACTGCGCATCCGACAAGATACCATGTCGCGATTCAGCTTTGACAACACCATGGCCGACGAGGTGGTCAAGATTGCTCAAAGCTCCATTGCGACCCTGAAAGACTCTCTGCGCACGTCGGCCGATCCCACCGACCGCTACTTCTCCACCATTTACCTGGTGGGAGTGATCACGCCGTTGAGCTGCATCGTCGTCAAGGAGGAAACTCTGCCCCTGCTCCGGGCGGAAGCGGTGGCCTCGTGGAAAGAAGCGGTCCAGCTACTGCAAGAAATCGCGCGTGACTTTGACCTGGCGCGTCGCCTGTTGCAACGCTTCCACGGGGTCATCAAGATGGCCGACTTCATCATTGTGTCCCAGAGCAATGGAACCAACTTCACCAATCAGTCAGCGTTGCCGGACCTTCCAAACGAAGTGCCTAACGGCAACGGCGACGATGGTGCCGCTCAAGGCCTGAATGAACACCCGCATCTACTTTTCCCTCTGAGTCATCTCCCGACGCCGGCAGGGAACGACCAGCCTTTCGGGGGTGGTGGAATGGCATTTGATTCTGACTATTGGATGAGTACAACCTGGTGAAACGCCCTCGAACGGAATCACTGTCTCTGCTCACTGTAAACCATTCTGGACCTCGGTGGACGCTGTGGCTTCAGGCGAGACTACTAGGCTACGCGTCGGTCCTCAATACCCATGCTTACAGTCCTCTTTCCTCCTTGTTGCTTCCTCCTTTTCACACCCTGACACCCTTCTCCTCGTGGCTCTCGCGACCGATGATGTGGCCCTCACCGGTGTCTGTCTGGACCCTGATATGGGCACCCTCGGCGAGCGTTACGTCGACCTTGCGGGTCATCTGATGGTCCACGTCCGCGGCAAATGCCACAGTGAAGGTGCCGATGACGCCAAAGGCAATCGAGACCAGATACACGAGTCGAAAGGCATTAGCATACGCCCCTTTCAACCCCGTGACGGCGTCCAAGAGCGCCTTGGGAGACAGCTGGGCCAGGACGGGACTGGTCGCGTCACCGGACGTGAGGGCGACGATGACATCCGGAATGAGCGAGAGAGCCACTCCGTCCTCGGCCAACGGGGTGGCGACGTATTTCGGGAGATTGGAAACGAGCTTGTTGTTGAGAATGGTCAGGTAGATCGTGGTCGCCACGGCGCCGCCCAGAGTCCGCATGGTCACGGTCAAGCCGGATGCCACGCCGATGTGTTCGTGCTTGACATTGAGCTGGACCATGGCCGTGGCGAAAATGGACACGGCAGATACAAAGGCAAAGGACAAGGCGACCAGAACAGTCGAGCTGACGTGGGAAGCCGGGGTTGAAGTAGCCAGACAGCCGCAGCAGATGGTCATACATCCGGTGTAGACCAGCAGTTGCCACCTGGAGTGAGGGAGCTTTTTCTGCAAGATGCCAAAGATGGGGCAGAAGATGATACTGGACAAGCCACCGGCCGCGGCGTACCAGCCAATATTGAGGTTGGACGTGGCATACAGGGCTTGGACCTGTGCCGGCCACAAGACGGCGATGGAGTAGTAGAGCATGCCGAGCAGAAAGGTGGCGATCTGCAAGACGGTAAAGCCACGGAAGTTGCTGATGACTTCGCGCGGGAAAATGGCATATTTCTGCTTAGCATACGCCTCATAGATGCCACACAGGACCAGGGTGACAAATCCCAAGACAATGGGCACGATGGTGCCAGCGGAGCGCCTGTAGCACATAGTTAGCTACCGTATATCATATCATCATGCCATATAACACGCTCCAGCGTACCAGGGAAACAGTTGGCCGCCAAACGAGATGCCCAGCAGAAAGACCACCACGCCAGACATGTACAGGAACGTGCCGATGAAGTCGGTCTCCCGGAATTGGCCCCAGGTGGTTTTGCCCACTTCATGAATATATTGGTTCATGGGGTGGTAATAGAAGAAGACCAGGATGAACGAGGTGGCATCGAGCGCGAACGGCAGCCAGTACACGGGCCTCCACGAGCCATTGTTGATGAAGCCGTAGGCTGTCGCTGTCGTCAGCTACCTTATTGATCGCAGAGCAGAGGAGAGGAGAGAAACTCAGGATGCGCGGGATGGACTCACCGATGACTGGACCGAATGCGGCGGCTGCTCCCAGACTCTGCTGCAGGAACCCAAACGCCAGGCCACGGTCCCTCTTGGGCACAATCTCTCCCAGGCAAGCCCAGGCCAGCTGGCGCATCGATGTGGCTACCCCAATGAAGCTGCCGCCGACGATTGCAGTGTTGACAGTTTTGGCGGTTGCGGCCACTGCGGTGCCCACCAAGGCCAGAGCATTGCCAGCGAGGAGGAAATTGCGGCGGCCGTAGATGTCACCAAAGCGCCCGACCACGGGGGCCACGGCGGCGCCGACGACAGTGATGGATGTAATGATCCAGGCGTACGACTTGCTGGGCCCGATGTCGCGGTTGATGACCTGCAGCAGTGTGGACACCATGGTGACCACCAAGGTATCGGAGAAGTAGCCGAGTTGGAACGACTGTGTATGCCGCCTCGTCAGCTGTGTCCATCATCCGACACCGCAAAAAAACAGCAGCAAAGCCTTACCAAGATGGCCATCATTTTCCCAAACGTCAGTTTGTACTCTTCGGGCGTTTCGTCCGTGGGAGTGACATGGTCGATTGGCACATTGTGGCCATCGTCAATTTTGTCGTTGGCCGTGTCCTCGACGTAGTTGATGTCGGGGGGAGAATGAGTCTTCTCCATTGCTGCGTGTTCTGCACTATGTGGAAACTGGAGATCAATGGGGTAAAGATGGGGGTGGAGTGATCCGTGGAGAAGTCTGGGGATCTGTAGAGGTATGTCTGGAGTATATGAAGGGGAATCACCCCTATACGAGGGCTACGGGCTGTCTGCCAGCACCATCAACATGAACATCTATTCCGAAACTATGGACCCAGAGGCGGGTCAGGAATGAAGATGGAAGATGGAAGTTGGAAGTCAGAACATGGAAATAGACGAATCCCCCAGCCGGAAAGACCGACAGGTGTGTATCATGCATGGGCCAGGGCCCCTGGGCACGCTCGGAATCAATCATGCATTGGAACTTCTAGCTGACCCCAAGAGTTCAGGGGTCGGTTGACCTGGACTATGACTGATACCCTCCGCTGACGGGAAGAATCTGACCCGTGATGAACGAGGAAAGGCCACTCAGCAGGAACAAGACGGCGTTCGCAATGTCGTCCGGCTTGCCCAGTCTGCCCAGCGGGATACCCTTGGCGATGATGTCCAGGAGCTCATCGTCGGTCTTGTTTCCTCCAAACTTGGGCCCCATGACGGTCTGCAATGGACTACGCGACATGGCGGTATCGGTCGGGCCTAGGTGGATGAGACAGTGCAACAGGTCAGCTGGCGGGTTCCGAGTCACCACTAGCTCGACCGGACTCGCATTGGGACGGGGACTCGAGCGGTCAGAAGGAGACTGTCCGTACCTGGAGCAACCATGTTAACACGCACCCCGTATTTGGCAAAGTCGAGGGCCCAGCTTCGGGTCAGGCCCAGCACGGCGTGCTTGGTGGAGGTGTACAGTGGCAGGCGTGCCACGCCGACGAGGCTGGACGTGCTGCCGATGTTGACCACGCTGCCCGAGCCCTGCTTCTTCATCTGGGCCAGTCCCTCGGTGCCTACGATCCAGGTCCCGCGCACGTTGACGTCGTAGCAGCTCTCGTACAAGTCGTCGCCCGGCAGCTCGCCCTCCAGCGGACAGATGCCGGCCGCGTTGACCACCCCGTCCACCTGGCCGTGCTTCCGAACGATGCCCTCGAAGATCTCGTGGCATCGGTCCCGACTGCGCACGTCAACCTGGTGGTACGTCAATCGACCGCCACGTGCCAGCGCCGTCAAGGCTTCGGGCTCGTCGACGACAACGTCCAGGGCGTGCACATTCGCGCCGTGCTGCACCAACTGCACCACAGTGGCCAGACCGATGCCCGCGGCGCCCCCAGTTACAACATAGACTTTCGACTCGAACAAAGATGCCTCCATGGTTAAGAGCAGCCGATGACCAGATATAGATATCCCCGATCAGATAATGGAGCCTCTATTGAAGATTGTGTACTTTGTTCTAACCTCGTTATGCAAGTCTACGTGCTCATCTATCTATATGTATATCGCTAAGTTTAGAAGCTGTTCACTGTCCAGATGATCATTATACGCCCGGCCAGAACACTTCGGAATGCTCGGAAATTACATACAATCCTGGCAACAGCACCAGCTGCAGCGGCCTCTCCAGCCTTCCGGTGCAACGGTTTGTATTGCGTATGACTAAGGGCTTAGGAAGCCTGTCCTGCCTCGGACCGTGAGACAGGACCAACCAATGTGCTGCCTGGCATTTTCATTTGGTGGAGGGTGTATACTGTTGATTGACTATGACATGTACTCAGGATACTTCGTTCACAGCCACAAGCTTCTTGGCCCCTTTTCCGCCTGTGCCAATGCGGCCACCATCGACGACGATGTTCTGCGCCGTCACGAACGAGCTCTCACCACTCAAGAGCCAGACCACCGCATAAGCTATGTCCCAGCCGCTGCCTTGTCGGGACAGTGGGATCGCACTCGCGTTTCGGCCCTTGATCTGAGTCCCTGCGCTTCGGCCCATAGGGGTATCTATCAGACCCGGAACCACAGTGTTGACCCGCACCTTGGGCGCAAACTGGTAGGCAACATTTTGCACCAAGACCTGGAGAGCGGCCTTGGAAGCGTGATAGGCCGGCTCGGGCGAGGCGGGCAGGTACGCGGCCACCGAGCTCAACGACACCACCGAGCCCCCGGTGGGTAGTTTCTCCATGTGCGGCAATGCTTCTTGGAGGATCAGATAATGTGCTCGAAGGTTGATGTTCATCACGAAGTCCCAATATGCCGCCGAATTCTTGGGCAGGGTCGCCGGTGCCCCGACTGTCCCGACCACGATGACGAGGCCATCAAGCCTGCCCCTGAGCAGTTCGAGGCCTTCTCTGACAATGGCGCGACAGCCTTCCTCGGTGGAAACGTCTCCAACGAGGACCAAGCCGGCCCCAACGCCCTCCCTTTGGATCAGAGCTACCGTTCCATTGGCGGCGTCTTCGGAGCGATCGACGACGACCACGGTTGCCCCCTCCCGTGCCAGTAGGACCGAGGTTGCGCGACCGTTTCCAATGGGCGGGTTGGGGTCGAAGTCATTGTGCGATTGGCCGCCCCCGACAACCAGGATGTTCTTCCCAAGCAACCGGCCACGTCCAGGTGCTTCCCCCTTGGCTTCCGCCGTTATCTCTGGCGGCGGGACGATATCTGTCACTTCCTCCATCGCGGAGCTGATGACAGGGTCGGACGGCGGTTGTGCCATTTTGTGAAGCCCCTGAATAGGGAAGTGATGCCTGATGTGGTTTCGCGAGTCAGCCAGAGAGATAGCCTTGGAGAGTCTTCTGTGTTAAGAAGGGCTCTTCCTGAGACTTTGCAGGTGACCATGTTGCATGTATCGGACCCAGATGCCGAGAAACCGGAATGTGGAATTGACTTCTTCCATAACTTGGGGCGCCAAGGGACCGGGGTACGTACATGGCGGTCTCATTCGTCCGGCTTGAATCAGATAGACTGGCCCCTTTGGATGCCTTTGCCCGCGATGTGTAGTCAACCTAAAAGGTCAGCATGCATTCCGTCCATTGCGCCAAGACTGTAGGGGCCAGCTTGGTCGTCATTGAAGAAGTCCATTTCCCAGTTGCCCTGATGGTCGTGACCGAGGAAATCATTCATTTGTAGCATAAGAGTCTCCGTCTCAAACTCGCTCGGGTCGAGTAGGAATTGCTCGGCACGGCGGAATCTTTGGATTGCTCTCTCGGTCGTCTGGGTGATTCGCAACAGGCGCTGCAGTGTGTGGCGTGCGGCACTGAAGCTCGGGACCAGAGCCTGCAGCGTAGATAAACCCTTATTGTATGCTTGGATGGCATCTTCCCGGATGGCGGGATCGCACTCGCTCTTAACAATGATGCACACCAGAGGCAACAGTGCCGAACTCAAGTATAGGCATGCCGAGTAGCGGTCCGTCAAGGTATGGGTTGGCGAGTAGTGGCTGGCATGGATGGCATTGATCAACGCACCCGAAATCGTAGTGCAGTCTTTGGCCATTTCATCGTCAAATCCCAGGCTCAGCATGCGTTCCTGTCGAAGAAGCAATCGTAGCTGATTCATGCGCTAGGAGTGCGTCAGTCTAGCCTTCGGCGTCGGATTCCCCGATGTCCCTCACTCACCTGGTACAAGATTGCGGCCTGTCGAAGAACGTAGCGTGGCACGGGCGCGTTGCCGTCCAGATGATCCAGGTTTCTAGCCCATTGAAGCTTCGGCGGTATTCGACTCCCGGTGAACTGAATGCGGGCATCCATGGTGGCGATGAACTCGGCGCTGGTGGGCCTCTGGGCGTTGACTGCGTAGATGGTGTCCCAGATCTCCGCGGTCAGGTACCCCCATCGACTCGCGGCGGCGAGATACGAATCGGTCGGGCAGCCTTCTGGGGTTGGCAGGGGCCGGTCAGGAAACAACAGTCGGTCGTCCAAGTTGGGGGGGAGGTCAACCTTGAAGTCGGACTGCCGGATCAGATATGGAGCGCCAGCGTGCAGAGCAATGTTACGCTCCAGATAGAAGACGGTCCAGAAGATCCTCTGGCGCATGACGACTTCAAACGGGCTGAGCCCGCTCCAGGACTGCTGGTCATGCAGACCCAGCTGCCAGCTTAGGCGCACCGCCCTGCCCATGGTGTCGTATGCACCACTCGGCTTTTCGGCATACAGTAGATAGCGGGCCTTGACCAGCAGGCATTGGATGGTCATAATATTGCCGTTCCCAAGCCAGGCGAGACGGCTGAGGATGCTCTCGGCGCGGCAGAATTCTTCCCATGCGGGAGCCCGCGTCGAGGTCGGCCATTCGTCACTCAAGATGCGAATTTCGGCTTGGATCAGGTTGACGAGGGCGACAAACTGCTGCCGGTCTGCGTAGCCCAACTCCTGCAGCTCCTCGTTGTTGAGGAACTTCTCAAACAGCGGCCGGAAAGCATTCTCGCTGATGCACGGGTAGTGAGGATTCAGGTGGGCAAAGAAGGTGTCGACCGTCTTCCGGAGCGAAGCCAAGTCAAAGTGTCTGGTTTCTTCCTCCAAAGTCTCGACGTCCTTCTCGCTGCTCCGAGGCAGCTCAGACCAAGTGACAGGGGCTGTATTGGCGCCTTGACCCTCCAGGTCTAGGCCAGAGTCTGGTTGATTGGCTGTCTCACTGGCGATGGAACGATCCAACACCCCGAACTGCTCGATGAGAGACGTGCGCCCTCGAAACAGCTCCTTTTCGGGGATGTTGGCCATCGCACACTCGCTTTGTGGGCCTGGGTGTGACCCTGAACGGCTATACGGGCTGGCTTGGTCTGATTCCGCCTTGACATCCATCAGAAGACTCGCGTAATTCCGCTCCAACTCTGCTATACGCTCCATCATTTGCATCAGAATGCCACGCTGCGGTGTGTCGTCTCTTGAGATGCCGTCGGTATCTCCCAGATCCAAGCTCGCCTTCCTGGCAACGTTCGTTGCACGCTTCTTGCGGGGTGGTTTGTATTCGCACACCAGATTGAGAGCTTGACAGTGACTGCATTGTGGCTCTTCAGAGCATCTGACCTTTCGCGCTTGGCATTCGATACAGGCATGGGACCCATTTCTGCCTCGTCTCTGAGCCGTCTTGCGTTGGGTAGAAACAGGCGCTGTGGGGGGTGGGTGTAGAGGAAGGTTTTCAAGAGCGCTGACTTCGATGAGGTCGCCGACGGCGGAGTCTTCATAGCATTGGACGGACGGAGGGCCTGTTTGTCAGTGTTAGGAAGATAATACCGAAGGAGATATGATTTAGGACACTGACCTTGTGTGACTGGCGACATTGTGGCACCTGAGTAGTCCGGTAGAAGGCCTTTGCAGATTGCAGATTGAGACTGCAGATTGTTCCTTGTAGGTCACTGTTATAGGCGGCGAGGGTGTAGTAAGACGGTCAAAGCCGCTCGAAAGGAGCTTCAGATTGACGACTCGACCATCATCTTCTGAGGCTGACGAGTAGAACACAAGCTGATACCTCGAGCATGGATGAGGATGAGGACGGGAATGGGAATGGGATGGGGATAGGGAATGAAGGATCAGTCTGGGGGAGCTCAACCCCACCTTTGGGAGAGTCCGGGGCTGTGGAGGCTTAGGCTTACGAGGCCTAACGAGCCGGCAACTTCGGCACCACGGATCCCGAACTATGCCTGCCACTCACTGCACAATCTGCAGCTGGCACCTGGCTGGGCACCTATACAATAGGTTAGGTACCTATAGGAGCTTAGAGTGTCCTCCCTAGGTGCACCCTAGACAGTAGCCAAGAGTCCCTATAGAGTGGCTTGGGCTCATGGTGTGATGCCACAAATCAAGGCACTATTACAGGGCGAGGGTGAGAAGCAGCAGATCCGGCCACCATTATTAGGCAGATGTCAGCACCTTTGTAGCAAGTCCTTGAGCATGGTGCTTGCCATGGTTTATGTACAACGCCCAGTACCTGAGGTTCAGGCCACCGCAACGCCAACTCAACCGCATTCAGGGCTACGGCCTGAGGATTTCTCTTTACCCTAGTTTGGGTTGGGGCCACTCTATCCTGGCAAGAACGAGGTTGCTCGGTATTCAACGGAATGTTCGGACGACTGTTGTATCTGCACGGAGTACGGCTACCTCCCTCGACTTGGTAAGATACCACGTACGGAGTACATTTGCTAATCACACACAGTGCTGCCATCACTACTACGTACGGTACGAAGGCAGTACTTGGACTCCCTCATCCCAGTCACCTCCCCTTCCCACCTCCCACTTCCAACGGTCGTTCTGTTGGCTCCGAGGTTTGGACAGCCAGCCAGGTCTCTCCCTCGACGAGTGTTCCCAGTGCCCTGACGGCGAATATGTCGGCCTCTACGTCTGCTTCTGTTTCTGCCTCTCCATCTCCAGAAGATCTCAAGCGACAATTTCTCCAGGGAAACAACACATGGACGCAAGGCTGGGAGGATCTTCTTCGGCTGGACCCGGTCCTCTTTGAGCGGTACATGAGGATGCACAATGTGCCGCAGTCCCGGCAACACTTGTCGCTCAAGGAGCAGGAATTCATCTGGATTGCAGTTCAAGCTTGCAGCACCACGGCATATTCGCCAGGCGTGCGGGCGCATATCAAGGCAGCGCTGGCCGTGGGAGCGACCCAGGAGGAGATCATGGAGGTCATCGGCATGACCAGCCTGGTCGGCATTCACACGGTGACCCAAGCAGTCCCCATTCTGTTCGAGGTACTCCAAGACCAGGGCAAAGAAGACCTGATTCCTGCGCTGGAGAATGACCCCCGCCGCGAGGCCATCAAGCAAGACTTCATCCAGAGGCGCAAGTTCTGGACCGACACCTGGAATCCCGTGTTACGGCTCGACCCGGATTTCTTCGAGGCCTACATGAGCTTCTCATCCCTGCCCAACAGCCGCAATGTGATCGAGCCCAAGATCCGCGAGCTCATTTACTGCGCGTTCGATGCGTCAACCACGCACCTCTACAATCGGGGCACCAAGATTCACATGCGCAACGCCGTGCAGCTCGGAGCTACCCCCGAACAAATCATGGACATGCTGGAGATTGTCAGCTTTGTCGGTATGAATGGCGTGCTAGATGGGGCCAGTCTTCTGGCACAGGAGGTGCTGGCTACGGAGGCCGAATCCAAGATCTGACCTGAACCGGTGACTAGAGTGGTTGGTGAGCTGCATATGGACAATAGACGGGTACTCCGTAGCACCAAGAATTAGAAGTCGGCACTCCAGTCCGGGCTTGAACAGCATTGGGTGATGGCATTCCAACTGATGGCTTCATGAGCCTCCCTCTGTGTGTCCTGTAAGCCGCAGCTCCTCGGGAGGGCCCCCGCTAGTTGTAGCCATAGGGTGGCCCGTTCAAGGATTGCATCACAACTCGGACTTAGGCGAACGTGAGCGTGTGAAGCGTAAGTTACCGTCCATGGCTCCCAAGTGGACTGACCCTGCCTTGTTTCCGGCCTCCGGTGGAGATTCCGAAGCGCCCAAGGAGGGTGAAGCCGGGCATCCACATGGCATAGACATATGTATATCAGCCCAGGCCTTGACAGCATCAGACGATCCTAATGGCAGAGGATACATGCTCTGTCGAGGTCAACTCCACCATGTCCCCCTTTATAAACGGAAACTCGAGCGAAAGCGATGCTGCTACTGCCCCCACCCAGAATGTCGACCCTGCCTTTGTGCGCGAGGCTGTCGACAAGGCCGGGATCAATGCCTTGCGCATGGCCCTGTATCAGGTCACGGGAGACCCCGACCTGGCCACGATGAAGATCCGCAAGCAGAAGATTCGCGGTGGCGTCCTGTTTGACTACGTTCTCGGTGAAGACGACATCCAGATCGTCAAGGACAAGGCAGTCGACTTCCTGCTGAAAGGCGGCGTCTCCAAGGTTCCACCTCCACCGACCGTCGACGAGGCTCGCAAACTGATGAATCTCTTTGCCGGGTTGATGATCAAGGACTGGGACGTCCTTCCCGGGTATGAGGAGCTGTCCTTTGACGAGTACCCGCGCGGCGTGGAGTGGAGCAAGAAACCGCCGTTGGAGAAGCTTGCTCGGCACAAGGTGGTGGTGATTGGGGCCGGGCTGAGCGGCATCGCGACGGCAATCCAGCTCAAACGGCTCGGGATCCCGTATGTGCTGTACGAGCGGCAGGGCGGCGTCGGAGGGACCTGGCTTCTCAACTCGTATCCGGAATGCCGGGTCGACACGCTGAGCTACCTGTTCCAGTACAAGTTTGAAAAGAACTACCCTTGGTCGGAGTACTTTGCCTCTCGCCAGGAGACGCAGAAATACCTGGAGTTTGTGGCCACCAAGTACGGAGTCAAGGAAGATTTCCGATTCCACCGCGAGGTCACGGCCGCGGTGTGGGACGAGGCCACCAGCACCTGGCAGCTGACGGTGCGAAACAAGGAGACGGGCCAGGACGAGTCGGTGGTGGCCAACTCGGTCATCAGTGCCAGTGGGCTGTTCGCGACGCCCAAGAAGCCCGACATTCCAGGCATCGACAGCTTCCAAAAGCCCATGTTCCACACGACGCAGTGGGACCACAGCGTCGACCTCAAAGACAAACGGGTCGCGGTGATCGGCACGGGGTCGACCGGCACGCAGCTGACCCCGGGGCTCGCCGGGCAGGTCAAGAGCCTGGCGGTGTACCAGCGCACCCCGAACTGGATTGTGGCATACGATGGGTACCGGGCGCAAGTGCAGGACCACATGCAATGGCTCTGCGACACGATGCCGTACTATTGGAACTGGTACTGTTACGCTGCCTACTTCCGCAGCCTGGACCTGGCGGCGCTGCAGGTGGTGGACCATGACTACGAGGCGCAAGGGGGCTCGGTGAATGCGAGGAACGATGACGTGCGCAATACACTGACCAACTTCATCAAGGACAAGTTCCGCGACCGGCCGGAGCTGGTGCCCAAGCTGACGCCGAGCTACGCGCCGCTGGTCCGCCGGCTGGTGGTGGACAACGGATTCTACGACGTGCTGAAGCAGCCGCACGTCGAGCTGGTGACGGAAGGGATCGAGCGCATCACGCACAAGGGCATCGTGACGCGCGATGGCAAGGAGCGCGAGTTTGACCTGATTGTGCTGGGCGCCGGCTTCGAGGTGGGCAAGTACTTCTTCCCCATCGACTACGTGGGCAAGGGCGGCGTGTCGCTGGAGTCGACCTGGAACAAGGACGGCGCCCGCTCCTACCTGGGCATGGTGATGCCGGGCTTCCCCAACCTGTTCAGCCTGTACGGGCCCAACCACCAGCCCCGCGGCGGCAGCCTGTACTCGTGGGCCGAGATCTGGGCGCGGTACGCGGTCAAGGCGGTGGTGTGGATGATCGAGCACGAGGCCAAGAGCATGGACGTCAAGCCCGCCGTCTACGACGACTACCAGGCTCGCCTCGACGCCCGCAACAGGACTCTGATCTGGGAGTCGGCCGGCGCCGGCTACTACGTCAACGAATTCGGCCGCCAGGCCGTCAACATGCCCTGGACCACGTCGGAATACCACGAGATGGTCATCACGCCCAACCCGGATGACTTTGACGTGGAATTTGCCGACCCGGAGCCTGACCCTGCACAGGCCCATGCACATTCAAGGGCCAAGGCAGTGAAAGCTGTGGGAGGTGGCGGCGACAGCAGGGACAGGAACACGGGAGATAAATTAGACAATGAGATGACGGTCGATGAGCATCCCGTCATCTTGTGAGAGCAGTGCCATGCCAGTAGATGGAGGTTACGCCGGCCGCGGGAATGAATGGATTCGAAGATTGATATTCCAGTTTCAGTCATAGTAGTACCATCCGAGTCTAGAGTCTAGAGTCTATGGTCTAGAGTCTACGGTCTACGGTCTGCACTTGTACAGCAACCACCCACCTCCGACTCATGTGCTGTGTGGGCTGATAGAAATGGTTAGAGTCTGAAGCCTTGACCCGAATGTCAATCCTTTTCGTTCAGCCTCGTCGTGCCACTCCTATATGGAGTATTGAGTGGATGATGCCTCTCGACGAGAAAGGGGACGAATAGGAAGGCTGAGGCTAAGAATCGGAATATTCTGTGTCCACAGTAAGCCCCATCGCCGAATTTCCGAGTTCCGGAAGAGAGAGAGGCGCTAATAGTAATCTCTACCTAAGGTGTCTCAGACGACCTGGTAGTATTCGTACGTAGTATCTCGGTTGTACTGTATGTTCCATGACAACAGACGCTGGACGTTGAGTGTCAGTATCAGTATCAGTATCAGTAACTATCAGTATCCATACTGTATTGAAATAACCCTAACCCTAGGTTTGGAGCTTGCCTTGGGCTCTTGACTGGTTTGGCATGCCAGGCTGGATGCTGGATGCTAGATGCTGGTCGCTAGTTATTGATTCTCAAGGCTGATACTGGTATCTCATCGCACATTGCCCATCACCCTCAGACTGAGACTCAGACTCGGACTCCGACTCAGTGGAAAGTGACTGTGACAGTGACATCCACAGTGACAAAATGAGGCGAGGCAAAGTAGCCATCTTCACCAAACCCGGCGCAGCGATCCAGATTGTCGAGGAAGACAGCCCGGCGCCTCAGGCCGACCAAATCCTGGTGCGCACAGTCATGGCCGGGGTGTGTGGCAGCGACGCGCACCGAGTCCGGGGCGACATGGCGGCACCGGCGCAGCCCATCTGCTTCGGACACGAGGCGGTGGGCGTGATCGAGGCGCTGGGCAGCGAGATCCAGACCGACCGCATGGGGGTTCCTCTGGCCGTGGGCGATCTGCTGTACTGGATGCCGTCGACTCCGTGCGGCAGCTGCTGGGACTGCCGCATCGCCAACCCGCTGCGCTGCCAGCATCTCAACTGGCCCGTGGCGGCGGGCGGGCCGAATGCAGCGGGCTTCCGCGAGTACGCGACGCTCAGCAAGCGATGCACCTTCATCAGAGTGCCGGCCGGCACGGCAGCGGAGAGCGTGATTGTGTTTGGGTGCGCAATGCCCACGGCGCTGAGAGGGTTTTCTAGGCTCGGTGGTAGCAGCGACAATGACACCAACACCAACACTACCAACAGCTTCAACTGGAACGACATCGATGTGGTCATCCAAGGCTCCGGCCCCGTCGGGCTCGCTTCGACGCTGTTGGCGAGCTTGGCCGGGGCGCGCACCGTCACCGTGATCGGAGACCCCGCGAGTCGGCTGGAGGTGGCGACACGGCTGGGGGCCACCAAGACGCTGTCGGTGGCGCACACGACGCAGCAGCAGCGGCGGGAGGAGATCCAGCAGCTCACTCGGGGCTGCGGGGCCGGCGTCGTGGTCGAGGCGGCCGGCGCGGCGGCGGCGTTTCCCGAAGGCTTTGACCTGCTGGGCGCCAACGGCCGGTATCTCATCCTCGGCCTGTACTCGGGCCAGGCGGCGACGACGATCGATCCGGTGCGAATCAACAACCTCAATCTCTCCATCATCGGCAGTCTGGGCATCGAGATCGAGGCATACTATCGCACCGTCGAGATTGCCATGCACCACGGCCCCAGGTTAGGCTTGGCCGACCTTGTCACTCATCGCTTCCCGCTCGACAAGCTCGACGAGGCTTTGCGCCTGGTGGCTGAGGGTGTGCCGGTCAAAGCGGTGATTGTGCCTTGACTTGAGAAAGAGGCAGACCTGGCCTGGCCTAGTTACTATGTACAGTACATATACACTATCGAATGGACAATAGCCACACAGTATATATTGTCTCTGACAGCCGCAACTGGAGCATGTCATTCATATATATATAAAGATATATACATATCCGCGGTCAGTGACTACCGTACATATACAGAGAGCTTAGGTGTACTGTAGTTTTTCATTGCATGCCAATCGTGTATTTTCTCCCTCCAGAGGGCACAGTGTGGTCAACTACCAAGGGGTTCTCGCAAGCGCATGGGGTAGGAGTAGGGAAAGAAAAGAGACCTCAACGTCGCCTCGTACAAAGGGCAGGGCAAAAGACATGTATCGTCCTGTACTGAACCCATCCTAATGAAGGGGAAAGGGGCATAGCCTTGCCCTATTGTCGGGAGTGGGAGAAGTACTATATGGCATCAGGCTCAGGCTCAGGCTTACGCTCAGCATCACAAATCCAAAATCTTCTCCTCCGGCTTATCCGTGTCCCACATGCTCACGAGGATCTTGCGCTCACCCTCGAACCACGGGGCTCTGCCATGCGAGACCTGGTAGTTGTCGACCAGGGCCAGGTCGCCGGGCTGGGTTTTGATCAGGACGGCGATCTCCTGGCTGATCTCCCAGGTGCGATGCAGGTATTCCTTGGGGATGGTGGAGCCGTCGCGGTAGGTGGCCGGGGGGAAGGCCATGCCGTCGTCGCCGACGTAGGGCGGGTCGGTGGCGCCGCGGTCGTAGGCGGTGCCGTAGCGGCCGGCCAGGCTGTTGAAGAAGACGGGCTTGCCGGTGGCGGGATGGCGGCGCACGGCAGGGACGTGCTGGTGGACCTCGAGCTCGTCGTTGTCGCGCCACCAGAAATGCGGGGTCAGGCGCGCGGCCTGGATCTCGGCCTTGCGCTTCATGGTAGCCATGTCGTCGCCGGGCTGGATGTCGCGGCCAAAGGCCAGCGGGCCGGCCCAGGTGAAGATGAAGTTCTTGGCCTCCTTGCCGGGCGGGCGGTAGACGTCGGGCGAGATCAGGCCCTTCTCCGTCAGGTCGTGTAGGAAGCCCGGCAGCTCGGCCGCCACGCGGTCGTACATCTCGGCGCTGTGGGCGAACGGGCTCTCGCCGCCCTTGGCCGGCGCGGCGTGGCAGAAGAAGTGGATGTTGCTGGGGAACTTGGTGTAGCGCGAGTACTCGTTGTGCTGGTAGATCCACAGGTTCGGCGGCGCCTCGGACGCGCTGAACACCTCCTTCTCGTGCACCGTGCGGCTGCCCGCCAGCCCGAGCTGGTCGTAAGGGAAGTGCCCGCGCCCTTCCTCCGCCGCGTGCACCAGCACCGACATGGCTCGCGGCGACGCGTCCGGCTGCCCGCGCAGGATCACCGCCCCGTGCTTGTTGAGCAGTTCCGTCGTGATCCCGCGCTCCGACAGGTCGCGCAGCGCCCGCGCCGCCTCGTCCAGGCTGAGTTCCCCCTCGCCCTCAGGCTTGCTCATCTTCAACACCAGCGGGAACGTGTTGCCGTGCACGATGCGCTGGCCCGGCAGCTCGATCGGGTCAAAGTTAACCGTCACGCCATCTACCACCGAGACAACGCCCCTGTGGTTGATCTCAGTATTAGCCTCGCCTCCCCCTCAGCCGCGCTCTGGGCTCACGGTGTCTGCGATGCCATGCCGCATGTGTGTGCACTGGAATGGGGCGAAACTTACTTGTCGACTGGTCCAACTGATCCCATGGTGGTTGTGGCTGTGGTGTTGTGGTTGTGACTGTGACTGTGAGGGTGGTGGTCTGCTCAGCAGGTTTCTTTCTTCCCGATTGCTCTTCAAGTGCCGTCGACAAATCGAGGCGAGGCGAAGAGAGGCGATGTGATATGATGCGATGCGATACAATGGGCTCGGGCTGGATGCTAATCAACGTCTATGGTAAGCTGTGACGCCTCAGATGTTTCCCTTATATGATGGTCAGGTCAAGGTTCGCCCATGATCTCAGAGCTGTATGTCCCAGGGTCCTCAGCCATGACCAGCATGCTCGGCCTTCGGAAATACTTCTCGCGTGGGAGGGTTTCTGGCTACAGGTGGCACTTCAAGTCCTTATTCCCATATTCCGACGTCCGTGGGGACTCTCTAGGCACTACAGAGTCCTGCTCGGCGCATGCCCATGCCATGGAACGACCTTCCGCGAGCCAGGGGTGGCACCTGGGGTAGAGCTAGTGAGTGGTCGGGTCGGCTCGACAGACTCGATCAGCACTGTGACCTACGGAAGACATGGCACTGCTATGTGTCCTATACTACAATGACCGTTGGGGGCTCTGGGGGTGGAATAAACACCTAGTGGGATTGGATTGGATTGAATTTGGCTGGATTAGGAGAGCTCATCCACGGATGAGTTGATATGTGCCCATCTGTGGTCTGTAGACTGTGGACTGTGGACTGAGAACCAAGAACCAAAAACCAGAATCTTTACTCTGACCGACTACTGACGTCTAGGCCAAGTCGGCGAGGCACTCTCACACCGCATGTGCTTTGCTGCTGCTGGACGGTGTACCAGTCCCCGCACTGACATCCTCAATCTCAGCCGCTTCCTCCACCACCAGGTGCTTCTCGTGATCAATGTGAATATCCCGCTGGTAGACGGCCACCAGGTCGTCATCGCCAAACAGCTTGGCCACCTCCTCCAACGGCATATGCAAGGTGTTGGGGAAGGTGAAGAAGATGAAGGCGGCCGAGACGACGGAGACGCAGATGAAGACAAGGTAGTACTTCCACCCGATGGTAGCAAAGGCGGTCGGGGCCAATTCCAACCAGAGGATGTCGACCAGGCAGAAGCCGATCACGCCCAGAGTCATGCCCTTGGAGCGCAGGTGGGTGGGGAAGATCTCGCTGGCGTAGTACCAGCTGATGGCCTCGAGGAAGAGATTGAAGAAGATCAGGAACAGGAACAGGAAGGCGGCAGTGGCGCCGAGACCCGACTTGTTGCCGGTGCCCAGGTAGGTGGCTTGAAGGGCGGTCTCGATGGAGATGATGATGGTCACGGCGACCACGCCCCCGGCCAGCATCTTGTGACGAGGCACGCGGTCGACATAGGTCAGCGATATCAGATTCCCAACGATGGCGCCCACGTAGAGACCGGCCAGGAGCTGCAACGAGGCTCCGGCATCGTAGCCAAGTTGGGCAAAGACCGAGGCGGCATATGCTGCGTCGGCGGTTAGTCACGTCGATGCGTGATACGTGATCTTTATAGAGGAAGAGTACGTACTAGTGACCACCAGGTTCCCCGTCGAGTACAGCATGACGGGCAGGAAAAAGGCGATGGCGGCGCGTCGGAGGTACGAGCGACGCCTCAGAATGGCGATCCAGGACCCGTCGAGAGACGCGTCGAGCTCGTGCTGCTTTCTCATCTGGAAGAACTCGGCCTGCGCATATTCGTGCTGCGAGTCGGCCGCGGTGGCATGCAGGTCCTGGACGATGGCCCAGGCCTGTTCCGTCCTGTCCTTTTGCAGGAGGAAGCGGGGGGACTCGGGCAGCCAGGGGAGAAAGGCCAGCAGCAGCAGAGGCGGGAGGCAGCCGATGGCCAGCGGCGCTCGCCACTGTGCAGCCTGCTTGGAGTCGTAGTAGAAGAATCCCACCCCGACGTAGGCGGCGAGAACATAGCCCACCACCCCGCCGAGGCCGACGATGCCCACGAGAATGCTGCGGCCTCGCGGCGGGACCAGCTCGGTGACCCAGAGCGGTGTGGTCAGGTACAGCATGTAGGCACTATACCGTGTCAGTTAGCACTGCTGGAGGGTGTACAGAGTATGTATCACTATTCGAAGCAAACTCACCCCATGCCCACGAAGAATCGGAAAACAATGAACATGGCGATATTGACGGAGCCGGCGAGGCAGCCGGTCGAGATGACCAGAATGATGCTTCCGATCGCTGTCGTCCATCTACGGCCCAGGCTGTCGGCGAGGTAGGTGTTGAGAAGCGCGCCAAAGACCCCTCCGGCGTAGAACAGGCCGACCACGGTGCCGATAAGCCCTTCGGCGTTGGGGTTGGTGGCCAATCCCATGTATTGGATGAAAGATGGCTGGCCTGATGGTATCACAGAATGTCAGGACCGGACCGCTCACAACCGGCCACCGCGCATGACGCAGGGGGAGATACAGCTAGCAGCTAGCTGACAGAGTCACTCACCCAAGGTGGTGCCCACGATCGACCCAGCATACGAATAGCTGATGGCGCCCATTGAGATGCCGGTGACAGCCAACACCATCTTGGTGCTGTAGTGGCTCTGCTTGTCGTCCATGGTGGTGACGCCTGCGAAGGCCATGTTGACGCGAGGGGGGCTGGAGGATGTGCTGTGCCTGACCAAACAGTCCTGGCAGCCATCTCCCTTATGAAGGCAGAGGCACCGGCACTGGCACCACCAGAAGCAGAGATAACTGCATAGAAACCCCGGACCATGTGCAATCTCCAGGAGAGGCGGAAATCTGGGGTATAACCGGGGGCTCAGGCTGGGAGGGACACGCAGTTTTCGGAATTATGTACGGATACTGTCCTGTATCGCCCATGAACTCTATCAGGTATACTGTAGGTGAGACTCACAAGGGCAGATCCGAACCCTGAGCCTCGGGAATTCCAGGTCGGGCCTAAGCCTGGCCTGGCCTGGCCTGTATGTACTGCCGGGCAGTATGTAATTAACGTACGTATAGACCCTGTTAACAATCAGGCCTCATATTCCGCACGTCGAATCACCTCTTCAGCTTCTGTTGTCGTGTGGTGGCTGACTGTCTGGCACCCTCCATCTCCATCAACCTCATTAGGTGCTACAGTATCAGGCAGCGCGACCGAGCTCTGCACAACCCACCAACAAGTCCTATACACTACACTGTATACTGGACGGTATGGCGCAGAATGGCCAGACCACTCCGCCGGTCTTCTCCAAGGCGGACGCCGTGAATGAAACGTCCAAGCTGGTGCACAGGATCATTCCGTACAAAGACCTGGAGCCGTCCTGGCACGTTCCGGCGGCCAAGGAGCCCGGGTTCATGCGCTGGCTCATCACCTGGGTGGGCGGGCCGGCCGGGCACATCAACACGAACCCGGACACGGCCCAGGTCAGCCAGAACACGGTGACGGGGCTGATGCACATGGGGGTGGGCCAGAAGCAAAAGGGGCTGCACTACCACAGCGTGACGGAGATCTACGTGGTGATCAAGGGCCAGCTGGAGGGCTTCGACGGCAAGGGCGACAAGCATGTGGCCGGCCCGCTGGACTGCGTGTACATCCCCAAGGGCGTGCCGCACGGCGTGCGCAACTGCGGCACCGAGGACTGCGAGTTGATCTGGGTGCACGACGGGATCGAGAAGAAAGGCACGTCGGTCTACTTCATGGACGGCATCTACACCGGCCCGCCGCAGGTCGACGAGATCTCGGTCGTCAACTTCCGCGACCTCGAGCCGTCGTACGACGCCTACCGAGCCAGGGAGGTCGAGTTCGCCCGCTGGATGGTGAACTGGGTGGCCGGCCCTGTGGGCTACGAGAACGTCAACCGCGGCCAGGCCGTCGAGAACGACAAGGTGTCGATCGGCTTGACCGTGGTGCCGCCCGCCCAGAAGATAGTCCCGCACCGCCATGAGACCGCCGAGCACTACGTCGTGCTCCAGGGCAAGGCTCTGATCAATGCCGGCCGCGGGAATGAAGAGCTGGGAAAGCTGGACGGCGTCTATGTCCCGCCGTGTCTGGAACATGGCGTCCGTAACCACGGCGAAGAGCCGCTGTACTTGCTGTGGGTACACGAGAAGCCACAGAAGATTGGAAGTACGACGTACCGGTGAGAGGCTGGCCAGAGGAGACCGGGCAGAGGAGACCGGGGTCGGGGTCGGGGTCGGGGATGACTGGTAACTATGGAGTACATAGTATCCGGTGTAGAATTGATCGATGCATCCAATGTCTCAACTACTGTGTATGCCCAGTATGTACAAGACTCCCTGCCTGGCTAGCCTACCACTCACTCACAGACACTGTCACTCACACTCCCTCTCTCGCACACACATATGCTCACACAAGGTGACTCTCTCTTTCCCCCCTATTTTCCTCTCACGCACCCACCGCGGCCGTCTCGACCACGATATCTGCATTCTTTCCCACCCTGGCCTCGGCCCCGGCCTTGGTCCCAACCCTCGGTGATTTCGTGAATCGAGGGCCGTAGTGGTCAAAGTCGGCCCAGTTCGGCCACCAGGTGCGCCAGGCATAAGTCCAGCCGTGCATGGGGTTCCAGAAGGTGGCCTCGCCCTTGTCATTGGTGTAGTAGTTGTGGCAGCCGGGCGAGAGGATGGCAATGTTGCCCATGGCGCCGTAGATGGCTTTGTTGTAGGCCGTCTGGGCCTTCTCGCTAACGTTCAACGCGTAGGGCGCCGTGCGGCACTCGGCCTTGATCTTCTTGATCAACTGGGCGTTGAAGCGCGCCTGCACCAGACACACCATGGTCAGGTTCGACCAGAAGTTGGCCGAGTTGGGCCCCAGCATCATCAGGAAGTTGGGGAACTTGTTCACCGCCACTGCATAGTACCCGCGCGGCGTGCTGCTCTCCCACAGCTGCTCCAGGTTGGCTCCCCCGATCCCGTTGACCTGGAAGTGGCTCCCCTGGTGGGTCATGTCGAAGCCGGTGCCCCAGATCAGGACGTCGATCTTCTCCTCGACCTCGGACTGGGACTCGGAGTCGGTGGCTGCGGGGTACAACGGCACCGGCACCGGAGGATTGTACCCGTCGACCGGCTCCTTCTTGGCCGCATCGGCCTCGACCAGCTGGGCCGGCTTCGACACAATGCCGTCCTCGGTGATCCGCAGCGGCTTGTCGGTGATGAGTTTGACGTTGGGCTTGTTGAACATCGGGTACCAGTCGTCGAGGAACAGGATGCGTTTACACCCAAACTGCGACGTCGGCTTCAGCTTGGCCCGCGTGATGGGGTCTTTCACCGTGGTCTCCAGGTGATGGAGAGCGTACGCGCTGGCCTGGGCTTGCTCGGGCGTGCCAGAGAGCCACATCTTCATGCTGCCCTCGATCTACAGGACGTGCCGAACGTTAGTATGCCATGCCTCACAGTGTATAGGGTACAGAACCGGGAGATCCGTGAGATCGGGCCGTCCTTACGCTGAAATAGTACCACAGATGGTACGCCCACAACAAAGGCGGGAACCACTTGAACAGAAACTTCTTCCAGCCGGGCTGTTGCTTGTCGTTGCGAGGCATGCAGTAGGTGGCACTCCGTTGGTAGAGGATGAGCTCCTTGACCAGCGGCTGGATGCGAGGCGCGACTTGGGCAGTGCTGGGCCCCGTGCCGATCATGGCCACCCGCTTGCCTCGTAGATCATAGTCGTCTCGCCATTCGGCTGTGTGCCAGACCGCGCCTTTGAACGTCTCGGCCCCGGGGATGGCGGCGTACTTGGGTCGCCAGAACTGCCCGCCGGCGTCGACCACCACGTTCGCGATCCAGGTGCGACGCTTGCCGCTGCGGTTGTCTTGCGCAACGACCGTGTACTTGAGGGTCACCTCGTCCCAGGTGGCCGAAAGCACGGTGGTGTTGAAGACTGAACACTCGCGGAGCCGGTAGTGCTGGGCCACCGAGGCATAGTACTGCTGGATCTCCGGCTGGGTTGCATATGCCCGCGACCAAGCTGTGCCCGTCAGCCGTCAGTATCCGGGCTTGCAGAAGAATAAGAAAAGTAGGAGGACGCCATACTGGGATTCAAGTAAAAGGGCAGGACGTAGGCGTGGCTGGGCACGTCACAGGCGGCCCCGGGATACTTGTTGGCCTCCCATACTCCTCCATAGTCGTCCCAGCGGTCGACAATGACAAACTCTCCTCGCCGGAGGCTCTTCTGGCTCAGCAGCTGGGCGGCCAGGGTGATGCCAGACATGCCACCACCGACGATCAGGGCGAAGACATGGTCTGCGGCCATTTCAAACAGCAGACTCGGGCACGGTGTGGTGCGGTGAGGTGCAGCTCGACTGGGGGCCTGTCTGTTCCTGTTGCTTTTGATGTCGATATCGATGGCGATGTCGATGTCCAGTCCCAGCCTTGCTGGTTTTCTTGTTATTCAGACATTTGGTTGCTGTAGTGTCGGTACAGTATTCCGTACATGTACTGGACCGTCGTCGAATACCCCACCCACAACCCCGTGGGAATTTCCTGATTCCGAAGGCCGAAGAAAGGGGAACTGACAGGACAGTACCAGAGCTAGTACCAGAGCCCTGGCCTTAGCCCCAGCCCTCAGGCCGGTGGTCTGCCCCACCTGTGGATGGAAGAAACCGAAGTCGGGATCTGGGGATAGCATGGCTTTCCATCCCAGGGCTCTTGCGCAATTTAGTATGCATGCATGCATGGCCGAGGAGGAGAGGAAGAGGACGAGGGAGGAGACGGAACACACACCCTCACTCGAGTTTCATCTTCTTCTGACATCCTTCTCCTCCTGTTCTTTCTCCTCTTCCTCCTCCTCCTTCCCCCTGTCGTCTTCTTACCTTCTTCTGCATCACCATCACAGCCACCGCCAAGCCACAGCCACAGCCACAGCTACCAAGATGGATTCTCGCAGCCCCGACCTGGACGTGAAGCGGCGGCACTACCAGAAGCAAACGGTGTTGTACATCATTGGGATGTGCTGGGGGAGTGTCTCGTTTGGATTTGGGTCGGCCATCATTGCCACGACGCTGGGTGAGTTGAGAGTTGGGGGCCCGGCCCGGCCACCCCAGGCACTACTCTACTAACATGGACCAGGCCAGCCGTCCTTCTACGAATACATGGGTCTGCTCAACAACCCGCATGAGGCGTCCATCATTGGCGCCATGAACTCGCTGTTCTACGTGGGCGGCTTCTTCGGCACCGTCTTCAACTCGTGGTTTGCCGACCGGGTTGGTCGACGCAAGACCATCTTGACTGCCTGTCTCATCCAGATCGTATCGGCCGCGCTGGTGGCCGGCTCCGTCAACGTGGCCATGTTCATCGTGTTCCGCTTCTTCACCGGATGGAGGTAAGCAATAGTAGTGGCAGTTGTAGTGGTAGTCGTAGTGGCGGTCACTGTCACTATCCCCCTTAAACACGACAAGGCTGACCCGATGTACATAGTTGCTTGATGTTCCTCACCTCGGTGCCCCTGTGGATTACCGAGATCGCACCACCGCATGGGCGTGGTCTGCTGGCCAGCATCAACGGGCTGATGGCGACGTTCGGCTACGTGCTGGCCAGCTACGTCGGCGTCGGCTTCTACTACTACCAGAACGGGTCGGGACAGCAATGGCGGGCGCCGCTGGCGTTTGTGTGTCTCCCGCCGCTGATCACGCTGGGGAACATCTTCATCTTCCGCATTCCCGAAAGTCCGCGCTGGCTGCTGGCCCAGGGACACGAAGATCAGGCCCGGTCGATCATCGAGCGCCTCCATCGCCGGTCCGACCACGACCACAGCAGCTACGCCGAACTCGAGTTCCTCGAGATGAAGAAGCAGATTGAGATGGACCGGTCGCTGGATTCGTCGTGGAAGATCCTCGTCACCCGTCCCTCGTACCGGAAGCGCGCCTTGATCTCGTGCTCGCTGCTGGTCTTTCTCTACAGCTCCGGCACTCTCACGGTCTCGAGTAAGTTTGCTCTTCGTTTCCCTTTGACCTTCATCCACATCTCCTGATACCGGCGGTGCACCCTAGATTATGGTCCGACCTTGTTTGCCTCGCTCGGCTACTCGCCCGCGCAGACCCTCCAGTTCCAGGGTGGCATTGTCCTCTCTGGATTCGTGTCTCTCCTGGCCTCCATGCTCATTGTCGACCGCATCCCGCGTAACATCATGCTGGCCTGCGGCATGATCGCTGTCAGTATCCCGCTAGCGTGTGAGGCCGCCACCACGGCTCTGTATATCGGTACAACCAACAAGTCGGGCCTCGCTGCCGGGGTTGCCATGCTTTACCTGTATATCTTTGTCTACGGGGTTTTCCTGGACGGACCCGGCTACTTTTATGTGAGTGAGCCTTTGACAAGAACTTGCCCCTTTTTCATTCTCATGTTTGCTCTTTCCTTGCCCATAGCCTCCATCCAACTCCCAACTCCCAACTCCCAACTCCCAATTCCCAATTCCCAATTCCCAATTCCCAATTCCCAATTCCCAATTCCCAATTCCCAATTCCCAATTCCCAATTCCCAATTTCCATCTCTCATCTCTCATCTCTATTTCCATCTCCATCTCCATTTCCATTTCCATCCCCCAACTCTCGTCCACCAGTCCAAGCTGACCAACCACCCTCCAGGCGAACGAGATCTTTCCCACCCATCTCCGCAGCAAAGGCGCGACGCTGTGTATTGCCTGCTACGCCTTGATCAACATCATGTGGACGCAGGTGTCGCCGGTGGCGTTTGAGAACATCGGCTGGAAGTACTACCTCGTCTTCATCTGTTGCTGCGTGGTGGCGTCGGTCGTCATCTTCTTCACCTACCCGGACACGCTCAACAAGCCGTTGGAGGAGGTGGCGCTCATGTTCGGCGACGAGGACCTGGTGGCTCATTACGTGAGGGAACATGCGCATGTGCACGATACCGCAGTTAAGAAGGACGAGCTGGGGTCGGGCCCTGTGCAGGATGAGGACGTGAATGTGAAGGAGCTGAAGGCGTAGTATGGATGTCGTGGTGATGGTAACGGTCACGGTAACTAAACGTCCTTCTCTACTAGGTCCCAGGCCAAGTCACTCTGTCGATTGATGTCGATCATACAGTACATACAGTATTTAAGTATGATACGTAGTGGAAGACACTCACTGCACGTACTACAGTGAGACTGTGAAGCCTTAGGCCGATGCCTCTCGCTCTCTCAATCAGCGATCAGAATAACTATAGACAGTATAGTAGGGAGTCTCTCGTTTCTACTGATACCATCTCAAAAGTGTGTGTTTTGTTCAACTGCTAGGTGACTTGCCTAGTCGTCGTCGTCGCTTCTTGGATCTTTATACAGTACGTGGGAGTGGGAGTAGGATTGGGAGTGGGAATAATGTTTAGAATAACTGGTCATTTCGTATTTCATCCATTCGACTTATATACAGCACAGCACCCACCAGTCCATCCTCTAGTCCCTAGCCCTAGACCTAGCCCCCCGGCCCCAGTTGCCATAGCTAGAGCTACCTGTCTGTAGAAGCCCTGACCCAAGTAGTCGTAACCAGAGCCACGGTCTATAGCCCCGTCGACATGGACATAACCATGACTATCAATCAACCATGGACATTCGATGATGGGAACATCGACCGAGGTTGGTGTGGTGGCGTAATCTGATCTGATCTCATGACAATCACGAAAAGTACATTCCTGACAAGCAGCGGTTAGCGCAACAAACAGCAGCAAGCAAAGAAATGAAATCACAATGCATGCTGGACTCACCTCCGTCGCAGATGATGGTCTGGCCGGTCATGCGGGACGAATCCTTGCTGGCCAGAAAACTGACCAGGCCGGCAATGTCCTCGGGGAACAGCTCTTGATTGAGGGCGTTCTTGCGATGCGACGATGTCTTGTACACCTCGTCTACGGACGGGGTTGCCGCTGGACCGGCGCCGGGGCCGTTTGGGGTGGCTGCCGCCGCCTTTTCCGCCTCCTTTTCTCGATCCCTCTTCAGGCGTTCAGCAAAGACGGTCGACATGCCGGTCTTGACGGAGCCGGGACAGTAGGCGTTGACGGTGATGCCGTACTCGCCCAACTCCAGGGCGGCCGACTGGGTCAGGCCGCGCACCGCCCACTTGCTGGAACAGTAGGCCGGGGCCTTGCCGCTGGGCCGGTAGGCGGAGATGGAGGCGGCGGCGATCAGCTTGCCGCCGCGGGCCTGCTTGATCATCTGCTTGGCCGCGAGGCTGTAGCACAGGAACACGCCGCGCGTGTTGACCGCGTAGCTGCGGTCCCACCGCTCGACCGTCATGTCCAGCAGGCTGGCCGTCTCGAGCAGGCCGGCGTTGGCCACCATGACGTCCAGCCCGCCGAACCGCGCCACCGCCGCGTCCACCAGCCCCTGCACGTCGGCTTCCTGGCTCACGTCGCCCACCACCCCGTGCGCCTGGTGCCCACCGGCCTGGATCTCGCCCACCACCTGGTCGAGTCGCTCCTTTTGCCGCTCAATGTCATTGACCACCACGTCAAATCCGTCCTGTGCCAGCCGCACCGCGATCCCGCGCCCGATGCCTTGGGACGCTCCCGTGACAATGGCAACCGGCATGTTTGTGGTTGCTATCAGAGTAATCAGGACGAAGTGATCGGGAATCACTAAGACGCGTACTGTGTACTGTGTACTGTGAATACTGTAAAACCTTCAGATGACCCGGCCGGCTGTACCCAGACAGTTGCTGCAGCTAGGACTGTTGCTCAGCTAAGACTGTTACTGTACCAAGGCTGTTGCTGCACCCGTTTCCTTTTCCGGTTCCTTTCCTGCTAATCCGAGTGACTGACTTGGTTTGTTCCCACACTCACGAGGCCAGCTTGACTGTCTTTCACTGTGTGGTGTGATGTGGTGGGTGATTCTTCTCCTTTTCGAGCCCTATTCTATTGCGTCTTGTGTCTCACTGGACTGGGCTGACTGGCATATGAGTATGGTATGTACGGTACGGAGCGGATCCAGGTGACAGCCACTCATCATATCCATACTTAGAATGAATGTCATGCCTGGATCGAACGAGCGAGGCAAGTCTCGACGGAATGCTCTGGTATGCCGTGGGCGTCAATGCCGGGTTCCGTAGTTCCGACCGAGGTCTACCAGATTCCATATGTATGTACTTTGACGTGCTTTGTAAGTAAGCTGCAGTCTCCGAGCTGTAAAGTTACTGGACAATACCTACGCATGGCATTAGATTGCATTGGATTGCATTGGATTGTATTGGATTGTATTGACATCTGTTTGCCCGACCTAGGCCCAGCCTTGTATTTTTATACTTGTCAAACTTAGGCGCATTCCCAGCCCTTTTCTTTATCCAGAAGGCTGGTTTAGGCATACTATACTATACTATATAACCTGCGATCTCCGTGCCACCCTTGGATAGATGAACATGGAACATTTCAACCTTTGACAATATCAAGGTGAAAATAAATATAGGCATTTGTGTATATCAAGATGAAAGTAAATCAAGGTAGGGTGTATATCAAGGCCAAAACAAACACAATAGAGATAGATCAATCCAAACTTCAACAAGGGAATCCGGTCATGGGATCTCTTCTATTCTCTGCCCGTTGATGCCAAACTACTATCTTGTACTCGTGTGTCTGTTCTCTGGTGATTCCTTCTCACCTCGACCCCGACCCTTGGTGGTTTCGTCAATCCAGGGCCGAAGTGGTCCCAGTCTGTATGTACAGTACTCACATATCTCTCTCCCCAGACTAAAGACCTCCTATACCAGGCCATGTCTAAAACACAGCTACGGCATTCGGCGGCGACGCGACCCCGCCTGGAACGTTCAGCGGCACACTGGTCAAGAAGAAAGAATAGCGGTTCAATCGAGCGCACGTGGCGGCCAACTGTTCCAGATCCCACAGTTCCCCTATCGGGGTGCCCCAGAGAGCGAGAAGATGCTGGTGAAAGGCTGAGGGATGTAGGTGATCAGCTCGGTTTGGTTTGATTTTTGTTGAGTTCAGCCCAGTCTCCCCCTCTAGCTGAAGCACCCGCTTTCTGGTCCGGCTCTGGTCGAACCATGCAGAAACACAGGCGATGATCTTCCGGGAAAAGGACAAGGAGAAGGACGATCTGCCAGGAAAAGGAAAAGGAAAATCGAAAACAACTGTCATGACAAGGCACCGGTAGGAGAAGGGAAAGGAAAAGAACTCGCAGGTTAAGGCCAGTGAGTCGGTAGGAAAGGGGAAAGGAAAAGAAAAGGAAAACAACTCACATGGTCGGTCTGCAGGATAAGGCACTGGTTCCCAAGCCAGAGCATCGCCCGCTACGGCGGCGAAATGCTGGTTCCAGAGCCATTCCACCGCGTCTTCTGTCGGGCTCACGCCCACCGACTGCTTGTGCGGATCGGCGAAGAAGGCGTCTCGCACCTCCTGGTCGGAGCATTCGTTGTACCATTTGATGAGCCCGCTGCGCACGATCAGCACGTCTCCCTGGCGGAAGGTGGTGCCCTGTTCGCGCGCCGCTTCGGCCAGCTCGTGCTGGCTGATGGCGTGGTACTTCGCGGGCGAGTAGTGGATTTGGTGGCGCTGGGCGTATGCGACGTAGTCGACGAGCACGCCGCGGCCAACGATGCCTCCTCGGTCGTGCCATTCTGCAGTCCTGGGTGTCAGCGGCGAACGGGACGGGGCCGGGCCGGGCCTGTCAGGACCCAAGAGCAAGAGGCAGGAGTCGGGGGCCAGGAGTCTTGTCAGACTCAAGAGTGAGGGGTCAAGAATCAGAGCCTAAGTGCTATCAACGTAGCCAGCACTGTACTGTAACATCTGCAGTGTCTCAGATACTCACTGTCGATGCCTAGGGGAGTCTCCAGACTCGAATCCCGCGCCTCCACATCCTCCTCTCGCACTCCATTGTAGCACGCCCCGGCTTCGCGGTGCACGACGTGGCGAAGTCCGTCCCACTGCGACCCGGACTGGGTGTTGAACCGGACTTCGTCGTCGAAGCTGTTGGCACTTCCCTTGGTCTTGTTGTTGATGATGGTGTGCTCGAGCCGTTGCCGCTGGAATACCGGGAGGTTGGGCTTCGCGAGCGACCAGCTGCAGGACAGGAATTAGACCTCGAGTGTGAGAACGAAGACACCCAAGTCTGCCTCTGCCTCTGCCTTGCCGGGCATGCCGTGCACAATCCAATCAGGGAGTGCCACTCACTTGAGGGAGACTGATATCCCTTCTCGAATCTCCCGGGCCGCGTTCGCCACCACTTCCGGCGTCAAGAGATTGAGTGTGCCGAGCTCATCTCGCTTTCCATCGGTATCCCAGAATCCCCAGGTACAGCCTGATGGTAAGTCAGGCTGCTGGGGCAATTGGCGGTAGGAGGGAAGCTGATCGAGGCATTCATGAAACGAGAGGACTGCCATTGTTGAGACGTAGACGGGTGATCGACCCCTGTCAGAAAAGCCCACTGTCTGATACGGCCCAGTCAAGTCCAGTCAAGTCCAGTCAAGTCCAGTCCAGTCCAGTCTGGGGGCGGCGTTGTGCTCATTTCTCAACTGTCGGAGGCTCTGCCGGAATCCGGAATTTGCTAGTTACTGGTAAGCGATGGTGGAGTGCGTGCTCGCGCAGATCTCCAGGTCCAGCCAGTGTACGGAGTACGCTGTGCCTGAAAGACTTACAACAGTCGTGCACTGAGACCCGAGATCTGGATTTACAAATCCAGTGTCTCTAGACGTCCGAGTGCATTGTACATTGTACCTTGTGCTGTACTGCCGATTCGGCTTCCGCCATGAGCTTTCTCGCCTCAGCCCACGCCACGGAGACGCCCCTCCTGGGCACCACGCTCGGGTTTGGCACGCCGTTCAGCGCACAGCTGCTGTCCCGGGTCGGATACCACTACCTGATGATCGACATGGAGCACAACCCGCTCTCGTCCAGGGAGGCCGGTCTCCTGACCCATGCCATCGGGGCCGCGTCCGGGGGCAAGTGCAAGGCTCTCATTCGGGTTCCGTCTCACGGGGTGGAATGGATCAAATGGGCGCTGGACTGTGGCTCGGCCGGCATCCTAATCCCCATGGTGCAGTCGGCGCACGAGATGGAGCAGATTGTGAAGATGGCCGTCTATCCGCCACGAGGCCAACGCAGCTTTGGGCCGGCCATGGCGCCCTTCGCCAGCGTCGATCCCAGCCAGACGGTGGCGCAGTACCTGAACGAGACCAGTAAAGACATTGCCGTGATTCCCATGATCGAGTCGAGCCAGGGGCTGGACAAGGCTGAGGAGATCTGTGCCGTCGATGGAGTCACCGCGGTCTTCGTTGGCCCCGCGGACCTGAGGCTTTCCATGGGACTGGCGGGCGGAGACGGTTCAGAGAAGGTGTATCTAGACGCGCTGCTGCAGCTGGTCGCCATCTGTAAGCGGCTGGGCAAGCCGATAGGCATCTTCGCCGCGGACGAGGAGACCTGCCGGAAGAGAACGGCGGACGGGTTCGATTTCATTCTGGTAAGCAACGCCTCCGTGGTCCGTACAGCGGCTTGAATCATGTTGACTGTTGACCGGCCTCAGCTCCCTGGAGAGGCAGCCTTGCTTGTGGCAGGCGCAAAGGCGCAACTTGAGGCTTTTAGGAGAGGCGTGGCGAATGCCAGGCTGTGACCTACCTCCCTACCTCTCTACCTTTTTGCTCGCCTACCCGGCAGCCTTGGAGGCCTTTGGGGTCTGGGTTGTCGAACAATGAAAGATGTTGGGTTGGGCTAGAAGCTGCTGAGTACGGCCATTGGAAATGTACCCTCTCCTATCAGAGGCATCAACTGAGGGAATGCCTTGCCTGGATCGTGTTCGAAACCATTCTGTATCTCAATAGTGATGGAGGCCACGGTCACTGTGGTCCTAGGAGCCTCTGCTTGATCCCGAGTCTCCGAGGCTGGGTTGATATCCCTTGGAGACATACTGTATACTGTACTACCGTAGACAGGGATAGGCGTCTAAGACAGCAGCTAATTCGATCAGACTGGCCACCGCGTGTCTTCAGTACGGATCGAGCGGCATCCATCGCCTCGCCACACTGGATTGAGGCCGGAATTCTGCCATGTGACAGTACGTGCCCGGAATGAGGGCCGATTCCGGTACGGCACGACCGGGGCTTGTTAAAGGTGACAAGATGCATAACATACCAAAGGGGGAATCAAGTACAAGTGCTGGTGAACCAATGATTGATTAAGTGTTTCTTTCGTTCATCCTGAGTCCCAAACAAATCAAACAAAAGTCAAAGTCACAGTCACGTCGGGCCAGACCGCGCCTCTACTGAAGTTTTTGTATTACTGAGTACCCAGGATCATACATTATATAGGACTGTCCCTTTCCCGCACAAAGGCAGCCATCATGTCGGCCATTGTCGAGGGCACACAGCCCCATGGCCTGCGTAATGGCGACGTTCTCTCGCACGTCACGGCGAACGGGGATGTCAAGGCCGAGGCGCTGCCTCAAGACCCAAGCTCAGGCCCCAAGGCTGGCACCGCACAACCGACAACGACACCGACACCGACGCCGGGCGCTGCCAACCTGCCGCCGCTCTACGACCACTGTATTGACGACCTGCGACCCATCAAGGTGATTTGCATCGGGGCGGGGATTTCAGGCATGTGTGCGGCGATCCGGTTCAACCAGCGCATCCAGAACCTGGACTTTGTGGCGTACGAGAAGAACGCAGACATCGGCGGCACCTGGTTCGAGAACCGGTATCCCGGCGTGCGGTGCGACATCCCCAGCCACAGCTACCAGTACACGTTCGAGAGCAACACAGCCTGGAGCGAATACTACGCCGCGGGGCCCGAGATCCAGCAGTATCTCCTCCACACGGCGCGCAAGTACGGCGTGTACAGGTACGTCAAGTTCCGGCACGAGCTGAAGGGCGCCACCTGGCACGCCGACGAGGGGAAATGGGAACTGAAGATCCAGAACCTGGCCACCGGCGAGGTGAGTACGTGATTTGTGTCTAACTGAAACGTGTCCTTGTCCTTTTCCTTTTCCTTCTTCTTCTTGTTCTGTTTCCATGTTCATGTCCGGGGGGGACCAGTCGCTGAGGCCGAGCAGACCTTCACCGACACGTGCGACTTCTACATCAGCGCGACCGGCATCTTGAACAAGTGGAAGTGGCCGGAGATCGAGGGCCTGCAGTCGTTCCAAGGCACGCTGGTCCACTCGGCCAACTGGGACAGCAGCATCGACCTCAACGGCAAGGACATTGCTCTCATCGGCGCCGGCTCGTCCGGCATCCAGATCCTGCCCCAGGTGCAACCCATTGCGAAGCGCGTGGACCACTACATGAGTGGCAAGACCTGGATCTCGCCCATTGGGTTCGGAAGCGAGGAACTGGTGGAGCGTGGCGCCATCGGGAATTGTAGGTTTCCTCCCCTCCCCAATCCCCCTTCTCCCTTCTCCCTACTCCCTCTACCCTCTGGGCCAGCCGTACCCAGTGTCCGTCCGGGATGCCGGCATCGGAGATCTAGCTAGGGCTGACCTGACCATACGTGCCGCAGTCAAGCACACGCCCGAAGAGCTGGAGAGCTGGAAGGACCTGAAGAAGTACATGGAGTACCGACACAAGATCGAACGGTCGGTGAACGAGGCGTCGCTGATCACCATCTTCGGCACGGAGACGCAGAAGAACTTCCAGCTGATCAACCGCGAGGCCATGGCCAAGAAGCTGGAGAAGAAGCCGGAGATCATGAAGGCGCTGGAGCCCAACTTCCCGCCGGGCTGTCGGCGGCTTACCCCCGGGCCGGGCTACCTGGAGGCGCTGGTGGAGGACAACGTCAACTTCATCAACACGCGGATCAAGCGCGTCGTGCCCGAGGGCATCGAAACCGTCGACGGCAAGGTGCGCAAGGTGGATGTCCTGATCTGCGCCACGGGCTTCGACACGTCGCTCAAGCAGGCGGTGCCCATCCGCGGCGAGGACGGCGTGCTGCTGGACGACGCCTGGAACCCCGTGCCGGAATGCTATTTTGGCATCTGCCCGGTCAAGATGCCCAACCACTTCCGCTTCCTGGGCCCCAACGGCGGGCCCGGCACGGGCAGCCTGATCCATCTGGTCGAGACGGCGTGCGAGTATATGATCAAGTGCATCCAGAAGCTGCAGCTCGAGTACATCAAGTCCATGGTCATCCAGGACCAGGCCGCCGCGCAGCTGAGCAAGCACATCGACACCTACTTCACCCGCACCATCTACACGCAGCCCTGCAAGTCCTGGATGAAGCGCGGCAAGGAGACCGGTCGCGTGGTCACGCTCTGGCCGGGGTCGGCCATGCACGGCATGGTCGCGTTCCGGAACCCCCGGTTCGAGGACTTCAAATACACCTACCTGCCCGAGACGGAGCATGACCGCTTCAGCTGGCTCGGAAATGGCCTCACCCAGGCCCAGAAGGCCGACCAGGTCACAACCGACTACCTGGACCATGTTGACCCCCCGCCGGTGGTGGAGTTTGACAAGCCGGAGACGAACGGGGCATGATACATAGCTAGACCAGACTAGACCAGACCGATCGGCTGTTATATGTACATATATTGTACGGAGATCCGTTCCCGTTCCCGTTCAGGTGTTACGTAGCCCCCCGTGCACTGCCAGCGTCGTGCCCGTGACGAAGCTGCTTCGGCCGCTGGTCAGGAAGATGATGCATTGCGCCACCTCGTCAGGCCGGCCGATCCGGCCCAGGGCAATCTCCCGTGTGCGTTCCGCCGCTCGTTGCTTGCCTATCTCCCCCTGGGGCAGGTCGCCCAGGATGGGTGTCTCGATCGTGCTGGGGAGCGGGTCAGGGCGTGAACAGACAATGATATGGATAGAGACAAAGGAAGGCTCCTTCCTGACCAAGGAGCAAGTAACTTACCCCGGGCAGACAGCGTTGACTCGGATGCCGTGCTGGGCGAATTTGACCCCGTCCTGTCGTACAACTGATCAACGCCTGGACCGGGCTCCTGTGTGAGATGATGACGGGCCCGATCTTACCGACTTGGACAATCCCACCACCCCATGCTTCGATGCCACGTAGGCCGGTAGATTGCCGTTCCCCATCAGGCCGGCCTGGGATGACACGTTGACGATGGCGCCTCTGGCCTCGAACTCGGAATGGCTGCTCGTCGCCACCGCTGGTCAGGATGCTCCATTCTCCTCCTCCCATGAGATGGGCGAGTGCGTGGGCTCACCTGTTTCGTAGCGGCTCCTGCTGAAGCATGGCATTGATCTCGGCCTTTGCACACAGGAAGGTTCCTCTCAGATTGACCTGGTAGACGTCGTCAAAGTCACTCAACGGCAGCACCGAGGTGTCGCCAAAGCGGATGATGCCAGCCACATTGGCGCAGTAATCGATGCGTGCAAACCTCTCGATGGCCTGGTCCACCATCTTCTGCACCGAGGCCTCGCTTCTCACGTCGACCGAGACGGCCAACACGTCGACGCCGGGGCGTGACTGTTCGATCTCCTTCTTTGTTTCTTGCAGCAGGCTGGTGTTGAAGTCGGCGATGACTATCCGCTTGCAACCTTCAGCCGCATAGAGGAGCGCCGTTGCTCTGCCAATGCCTGTGAACGTCGTGGGCGAGGTCAGCTACTGCAGTATATTATCACCCTGGCATGAAAGATGCCCCATGGTGTGTCTCACCTGAAGCAGCCCCTGTCACCAAAGCCACTCCTTGAAAGTCCATTCTGGCTGGATAGCGGCTCGATCTGCGTCGTCGTGGTCGTCTCCCACTGAGTTACTGTATCAGATGTCCCCAAGGCTGAAACTGCCACCGGTGCCTGGCTTGGGCTTAGGGGCCGGACCTGCTCGGAATTTACATGACTGAATTCCCGATTGCCGGGGGAAGCTTCATCACCCTTTTCCCGTGGGGGTGGAGCCGAGGCAGGCCGCGGGGAAGAGGAGACGGAGAGGGAGACAGGCTCTTTCGATGAAGTACAAAAGTCTCGGCCATCTCGAAGATCAAGATCAGGGCCAATCCCAACACCAACATCAAGAACAAGACCAGCTCGAATTCAGCTGTCCAGGCCCCTTGATCGGGCAGCACCACCACCACCACCACCACCACCACCATCAGCAGCAGTACCACCACCAGTACCATCACCATGAAGCAAACGACGGACAAGGACGCGGAGGAAGGCCTCTTCATCAACGAGGCGGCCCCGATCAAACTGTGGCACGAGGCCGAGAACATCGCGCCCGAGGTGGTGGGCAAGGACAGCTTCAACGACCAAGGGTTTGTGCTCCGGGCGCGGGCCGACACGGGCGAAGACATCCACCTCTGGACGTTCATGTACCAGCAACGCGGCCGGGAGTCGATCATCCCGGCCGACGTGAACCAGATGCTGCTGATCTGCGGCAAGTTCAGCGAGCAGGACAAGGAGTACATGAACCCGTTCGCCAACGCGACGACGGTCAACGTGGGCCAGGACGTGGCCGACTACTTCAAGCCGGGGTCGATCAAGATCGCCGAGGAGGCGGACCGGGTGGTGTGGCGGTGCGAGAACCTCGAGTACATCTGCACGCCGCCCAAGTGGCACGTCCGGGGCGAGCGCGGCGGGGTCAAGGTCGACATCCAGTGGACGCAGGTCAACGACGCCTTCTGGCACCTGGGCACGTTTGAGAACTTGAAGCGGCCCGGCATGGCCGGCTACGTGGTGCACTGCCGGGCCTCGGGCAGCGTCGAGGTCGACGGCAAGGTGATGCGGTTCAGCAACCAGTACGGCACGCACGAGCGTATCACGCAGCAGATCTACGTGCCCGACCGGTCCGGCCACATGGGCGGCAAGGGCCTGCACTGGATGCACGGCTACAGCGAGAGCCTCGACTGGTTCCTGATGCGCAGCGACGTCGGCAAGGGCCTGGGCACCGCCATGATCAACGTCGGCGCCCAGCAGATCCTGCTCGACGACCCCAGCAGCTGCGGCGTCGAGGAGAACGGCAACTGGATCGACCCCCAGAGCCGGGTGGTCACGCCGTTCAAGTGGCGTGTCTGGATCCGCACCCCCCAGGGCACCCTCGAGACCCTGGTGCAGAGCTACGCCCGCCAGTACTACACCTGGGTGCGCCGCGGTGCCACCCTCATCGTCAACCAGCACTGCGCCGACGCCCAGACCGACTTCACCTTCCCGGACGGCCGCAAGATCTCGGAGAAGCAGATTGTCAGCATCGAGCACATGCGCACCTTCTACCGCCAGCTCAGCACCATCCAGAACCGGGGCGGGCCCGAGCATCTGTTTCAGTAGCCTCAGCCTAGAGATCCTAGAGAGATCCGGTCGTTGAATAGAACAGTTCAAATGCATTGGTACTATCTATGTGTATATTCAGTCCAGCTTCAAATACTGTAGACATATCTGCCCACAATCTTGCCCGCCGTCATGTCTGCAATGCCTTGATTGATCGTGTTGATGTCGTGCTTCTAGATGCGTGCATTAGTACTCCGGATAGAACACCTTCGTCGGGCCCAATTCCGCCTCATGCTCTTACCTCATAGATAGGCTTGATGCCGCGAGCGGCGGCCAGCTGCAAGCAAGAGTAAAGCTCGTCTTTGGTGCCCTGGTTGGTGGCTGGCAGCAGGTCACCGGTTAGCGCATCTTATCCGCCACGTCTCGTCCAGCGGGATCAGGAGGTCAGGAGGTCGTACCGATCAATGAAATGTCTCGCAGCACCAGGTCCAAAATGTTGACCGCGGTAGGACTGTGTGGCACCCCGATGGCAATCACCTTGCCGTGATGACTGGTTACCTTGAAGGCAAAGTCATATGCCGCGCTCACCCCGCTGACCACGATGGTGCACACGGCCTTTTCGGCCGCCTCTGCTGCGTCCGGCTGCGAGCTGTCGAGGGCGAACTTGGCGCCGCACTTCTTGGCCAGCTCCAGCTTGTCTTCCGCCACGTCAAAGGCCTGGACATCGAAGCCCATCTTGGTGGCGTACTGAATCACCAGGTGTCCCACGCCACCGCATCCAACCACGTTGAGCAGTGTCCCCGGGGTCTGGTACTGAGCGGCCTTCTTGACCGCCCCGTACGCCGTGACGCCGGCGCAAAGCAGAGGAGCAGCCTCTTCGTCCGTCAGACCGTCTGGGATCTTGACCGCCGACACGGGGTCCACCAGCGAATACTCCGAAAAGCCTCCAAACATGCCGGAGAAGCCAAAGTTGGTGCGCGACTTACAGAATCGATGATTCCCCAGCAAACACGACCGGCAGGACGAGCACACCCGCGAGCCGGGCATGAATCCGACCCGGTCGCCCACTTGAAAGGACGACGGGGTGGCTGGTCCACGCTTGACGATGCGGCCGACAGGCTCATGTCCAGGCACATACGGCGGTGTTGATCCCGTGTAGCCTGCGATGCCTGCAAGGTCGCTGTTGCACAGGCTGTTGGCGCTTATCTTGACCAGAAACTCGCTCCCCTCCGGCTCTGGGACCGGGATGTCGTCTTGCACTTCCAGTTCTCCATGCAGCTGTGGCCGTGACATCTCTGGTCAGTAGACAGCTCCCTGCTGGCCCTTGACGGACGTTGACGGCGCCCTCGTTGACTGGGAAGCTTACCTTGACCACCACCGCCCCTTTCATTGTGCTGGGCACCAGGGGTGACTGACCATTGCTGTCAGTCGTCACTGTGGTGCTCTTTGTCTCTGATCCCATCTTTCCGCGATCTTTGCTTTCGATTAATTCCTCGTTGCTTGTTGCTTGGTGCCCGTTGCTCGTTGCTCGTCTCTGCCAAATGTCTGCAACTGTCCGCACGACTTCACAGCGTCGAACCAAGACATGCAATCGCCCCTATTGCCCCAAGTGCGAAATTGGTTTACCGTCTGGCGGTTGTCGGCCAACGGAGACTGCTGGCGGAATCATCCTGTAGCTCTCATTCCGAACGATACCCGGCTGCTGCTACAATGCCGGCTCTTTCCATCCTCGTCTTCAGTGCCTTCACATTCTCTGTGTTCGCCCCGTGGGGATCACTCACCCCGCCCGCTTCGCCCCCTCACATCGCAACCCCCAGTAAGCCCGTCAACCACTAGCCAGTCGGAATTGAGCATTGGTGTAAAGGGGAGCGTGGCAGAATTTTCTGACTACTTATTCTCTTCAACGTTGCACAACCGTTCCGAGGTACGACTCTTCTCCCGATGTTTTCGTTGTCATCCAAACTGGCCCAGTCATGCAGGGCAAGGAACCTCTCCCTGACCAGGGACGGGCTGCGCAACGGACAAGAGAGTTCCGTGAGCCGTATAATCCTGCCAATCAATACACATGAAATATCATGGTGCTGGCGTGAAACAGAGCTCAGAGATCAGTTGACAAGAGCGTTATATCTCTTAAAGTCCTTCGAGCTGGCCTGCTGCTGCAATACGTCAGCCATCTAACCTTCTGACCCTACCGCAGCCTTTCTCACAATGGTGGCAGATACGCGGGGATTGTGGGAGCTGTATCCGCCAATCTTCGAGCCCAAGAGGAAGTTGAAGGTCATTTGTATCGGAGCTGGAGCTTCGGGTCTCTTGGTGGCGTACAAACTGCAAAAGCACTTCAGTGATTTTGAATTGGCCGTTTACGAGAAGAACTCTGACATCTCTGGAACATGGTTTGAGAACCGCTATCCTGGGTGCGTGCTGGCCAGGGCCACTGGGCCTGAGGACGGGGAGAGATCCCTACTGTGTGCTAACTCGGTGCAGCTGCGCGTGTGATGTCCCATCCCACTGCTACACCTGGTCCTTCGAGCCCAAGACGGACTGGAGCGCCAACTATGCCTCGTCGCGAGAGATTCATCAGTACTTCTCCGACTTCGCGACCAAGTATAACCTGCGGCAATACATCAAGACCAACCATCCCGTCGTCGGTGCCACCTGGAAAGAAGATGTCGCGCAATGGGAAGTCCAGGTGAAGAACGACGAAAGCGGAGAAGTCTTCACCACCTCCTGCCACGTGCTCATCAACGCCGGCGGCATCCTCAACGCCTGGAGATATCCGCCCATTCCCGGCCTCCTGGACCGGTACAAGGGCACGGTGTGCCATTCTGCGGCCTGGCCGGAAAACCTGGAGTACGAAGGCAAGGTCCTTGGTCTCATCGGGAACGGGTCCTCCGGAATCCAAATCTTACCCAACACTGCGCCCAAGGTGCGGAAGCTCAAGACCTTTATTCGCGAGGCCACCTGGGTAGCTCCCCCCATCGGACAAGGGTTGCAGGTGTACAGCGCCGAAGACAAGGCTCGGTTTGCCACGGATGCGGCGTACCACTTGAACACGAGGAAGGAGATTGAGCGCCACATGAATGGCCAATTCTCCGTTTTTCACGCCGGGTCCACCGCCCAGAAATACGCCCGGGACCACATGCTGGGTGAAATGAAACGCAAGTTGAACAACCCGGATCTCGAGAAGCTGCTGATTCCGCCGTGGTCGGTGGGATGTCGACGCATCACCCCCGGGCCCAACTACCTCGAAAGCCTGGCCCGGGACAACGTGGAAGTCGTGTATGGTGAGATCACCCACATCACCGAAAACGGTCCCGTCACGGAAGACGGGACGGAGCACCCAGTCGACATCTTGGTCTGTGCTACTGGCTTCGACACAACATTCAAGCCTCGCTTCCCGCTGATCGGAGCCACGGGCGAAGAGCTGGCTGAAGTGTGGAAGCAGGAACCCAAGGCGTACCTCGGAGTGGCAGCTCCCCACTATCCAAACTACTTCATGACCCTGGGTCCCAACTGCCCGATAGGCAACGGACCGGTGCTGATCGCGATCGAGGCTGAGGTGGACTATATCGTTAAGGTGCTCACCCGGTTCCAGAAGGAAAATTTGAGGTCTTTTGACGTGCGGCCCGAACCAGTGGACGATTTCATCAAGTGGAAGGACGCCTTCATGGAACGAACCATCTGGAACGAAGAGTGTCGCTCGTGGTACAAAGCTGGCACTTCCGAGGGCAAAGTGGCAGCGCTGTGGCCGGGGTCGACGCTGCACTATCTCGAGGCCATTCGTGATGTGAGGTGGGAAGACTTCGACATCGTGCATCAGCCGGGTCACAACCGCTGGGAGTTCTTGGGTAACGGCCACAGCTCAGCGGAGAAGAGGAACGGCGACACGGCATATTACATCCGCAACCACGACGACGCGTTTGTTGATCCGTGTGTGAACAGGACATTGTACCTCGAAAAATCAAGCACCTTTTTGCCAGAGCAGCCCACCGCCGAAGCAAGCCCTGATCTCAGCAATGGTGCTTTGGAGGCAGAGGCGAAGCACATCGTTGCAGGGGCGTCTCTAGCTGCGGCTTGAGGTTGGTGGCAGCATCGTGCAAGGGCTCAGGCCACAAATAGTGTGTTAGTCTTTGACTTCTTTGACTCTGGTATCGGTCATGCAAGTGGACTGTAGGCTATCCTGCAATGTGGTGGCTGTTCCTCCAAGTCGGCATCGTTCCTCAATGTCCCAGTAAAACCCTTGCCGTTTCTTGTATGTTCTCGTGTAGAATTCTTTCTCGAAGTCGTCGATGGCGGAGTCAGGACACGCGGGTTGAGGACGATGCAGACAGGAGACTTGTGGCTTAGCTGGTGGTATGTGGGAGGTGCAGGATGGTAGGAAGGAGAGGCGAATAGTCGAGTGTTTTTCTTTGTTTTAAATTCAAATTTCATGATGCATTTATCCGTTCCTATCAAGGCGCAGGACCTGGGCTTCAGGAGCCCAACACAGCCTAGACCCCCCTCCATGTCACTGTACAATGCCTGCAGAGTATATGTCACTGCTACTTGCCTCTTCTTTTCCACTGCGAGGCAATTGTCCGGTGTCGAGGAGCAGAAGTCCAGACTGACGGGTCTAATAGTGCAGTTTACATAACAGCCAGCGCCTTGGTCCGTTGACCTGATAAGCCGCCCCGGCAGCAACGGAGATGGCCATCAGGAACAGGAACTTGCGCTATATACAGGTATGTGTAGTCAGGGCCTCTGTTGCCCGATTATCTTGACCCCTTCACACAGTACAGCGAGAAGAAAATACTGGATATCGACACCTGTGCTGCCATCCCAATTCAGAGTTCCGAGAGTCGCCCAACATGGTCGCCGCCTTGAATGCTGCCTACGCCCGGCTGAAGACCAATGCGAAACGGCTAAACGACACGCTGCAATACTCCTGTCAATGGGGCTCCACGCCCGACGGCGGCATGAATCGTCTCTCGGGCAATGATGACGATCAAAAGGTCCGGGACTGGTTCGTGGCCGAAGTCACGCGTTACGGTTGCAGCCATCAAGTCGACGCAATGGGAAACATCTTTGCCATCCGCCCTGGCCAGAACAACACCCTTCCCCCGATCGCCTTGGGCTCACACCTCGATACACAGCCCACGGGGGGAAGATATGATGGTATCTTGGGAGTCCTGTGTGCGTTGGAGGTGTTGCGGGTCATTCATGAAGCAAACATCACTACCTACGCTCCGTTGGCGATTGTCAACTGGACCAACGAAGAAGGGGCCAGGTTTTCCCCTGCCATGCTTGGATCGGGGGTCTGGGCAGGGGAGTTCAGCACCGAATATGGGCATAGCCGAGTGAGCTCTGAGGGTACAACCATGGGGCAAGAACTCCAGCGCATTGGATATCTCGGGTCGACGCCTTGTTCCTATCAAGCAAACCCTCTATTGGCGCACTTTGAGGTGCACATCGAACAAGGTCCGATCCTGGATGTCGCAGAAAAGCCGGTTGGTGTCGTCAAAGGAGCACAAGCCATCCGTTGGTACCGGTTGGCGGTCAGAGGTCGGGAGGCTCACACCGGAAGCACTCCGATGGATCGCCGGAGTGATGCGCTACTGGCTGCGGCAAAGATGATCGTGGAGGTCAACAAGATAGCCACCACCGCGCCGCTGTCCACACGTGGAGCCCGGGGAACTATCGCCGTCATCAATTCGGGACCGCAAAGTATCAATACCATTGCGGGACAGGTGACGATGAACCTGGACATCCGCTCGCCATTTGATCAAGATATCGAGGAGATTGAGAAGTTGTGCAAGCAAGGGTTCGAAGCGATAGGCGAAGAGCATGGGACAAGCCTCGAGATGGAATGCATCTGGACGTCGCCGGCGACCAATTTCCATCCCCTCATGGTCGAGTGCGTGCGCCAGTCAGCAAAGAGCATCGACTGTCACCACGAAATCATCAGCGGCGCAGGTCACGACAGGTGAGGATCCGTATCTGTACTGATTCATGCCATTAGTGACCAGCCGCTAACCACCAACCACCTGCGTCCAGCGTCTACACGTCCAGAAAGGTCCCGACAGCCATGATCTTTGCTCGATGCCGAGATGGGATCAGTCACAACCCTGCTGAATATTCCCGCCCCGAAGAGTGAGTGCATCCTCCGTATCGAGATGGTAAGACAGACACTGGACACTGACACGACTTGCCTAGCTGTGCTGCTGCCGGTGAGGTGTTGCTGGGTGCCTACCTACGCTACGACGAGCACATCCGCCAGCAGAACGAGTCGAAGACGGAGGAATGACGGTTCAGCGAATAGCCCTGTTCCGACATAGCCCACCAAGCAAAACCAGGCCATGAACAGGAAACTGGCATGAATATAGCCAGCAGCGAGTGTGCCTTACAATTCGATAAATTGGACTCTAAAGTGCTGTTCCTGTTCGCGTAAATGCTCGACGCGCTGGACGCGACGCGTCGGCTGCAGGCTTGGCACTGTCGTTCGTCCTGCGAGTCGGTCGATGCATACCTTAGATACATGTACCTTAATTAGGTACTCCTAAAACTAGTAGAGACCTACTCGTACGGTATCATCAATTGTCAGAAGCGGAGGCTTCCCATTTCTGCGAGAAAAGAGTATGGAGTAATACGGAGTACGTATGTCGGGGTGCACGGATACGGGCATTTCATGGAACTGGAGATCTCCCTACCTCAGTCCACCCATCCCATCCCACCAGGCACCTACCAGGTACTAACTAACTAGTACTCCACCAACCGTCAATTTTATTGTCTCACTCTCACCCAAGACCCGCATATGACCATCTCTCGCCTCTTACGGGGCCACCTAATAGGGTACCGGCAGAACGCCGAGGTCAGAGCCAGAGATTTCCTCCACCGCAGAGACCAAGCGCAAGACCCCTGACCTCAAACCTCAGCAAGTCATTCTTGCCTGCCGCAATCCAAATACATGTCGTTCCTCACATATGTCGGCGGCGGTAGATGAGCCTCTTTCAGGCGCTTTCAGCCTGTGGCCATGGCTCTCTTCCGCCTCTCCCGGCGGTACAGGAGCCTTCGAAAGGACAGCGAAGGAACCGAACTAAAAGATTCACCGGTCACATCGCATCCCCTAGATGGCGACGATGCTCCTTTCAATTTCGAACCGGGCATCCCTGACACAGTGAGCTCACCGGAGCGGTTGGATACGCATTGGAATCCTCCATTTCTTAGGCTTTGGGTTCTTGCCACCTTCGCCGTCTTCTTCATTGGGGTTATTGTTGGGTTGCAGGCTGTGTACAGCGTCTCCGTCAACCATGACGGGATCGCGCGGACTGATGATAACAAGCATTACCTGTGGACATACGGCCCAACCGCATTGTTTGTCCTCGTCACTGTCCTCTGGCGCCAGGTCGACTATTCAGCCAAATCAATTCAGCCATGGGCTGAAATGGCCAAGGGTCCGCAGCCGGCCACAAACAGCCTCTTGTTAGACTATGTCACACCCTTCCAGATAGTGGCGCTGTGGAAGTCTCTTCGCAGTAGCCACTTCAGCGTGTCTTGCACCATTGTGGTATTCTTCCTCCTGAAAGTCATCACCATAGTTAGCACCGGTATTTTCAGCTTGCGTTCCGTGCAACGAGACGATGTTGGAACCCCAATGGCGATCAACAACACCTTCGAAGGCTCCAACTTTGACCAGGGGGCTTCTGTCGACTCGAGAGCTGCCTATATCGTCTTTGGTCATCAGCAATACAACGTCAGCCTTCCGACTGGCACAATCGATACCTATGCCGCTCAAAGCTTTCACCCAAGCCATGGATTCATTAATGGCAGCCTCACCTACTCTGCTTTGGTTGATGTCTTCAGTGCCAGTCTCGACTGCAAGTCGGGGAAACTTTCCCACACCTCATCGTTTGATTCTGGCTCCAATGCTCCCACTGCGTCCTATTACAATACCTCAGTATCTCTCCCTGACTGCCAGATCTTCAATGCCTCCCTCGATGCTCCAGACTGGTACTATCAGCCCAACGATAAAGCCCACCGATTCGGGTATCGAGGTCTGTTGCAAAACGTCACCTGTGCGAATCTGCCTCCCGACGACCCGAAACGATTGCGCTACATGGTTGCGGTGGCGTACTCCGAAGGTTTATCTCAGAATGAAAACAACATGATCAACTCGTCTAACATTGTGTGCGTTCCCTCATACTCGATCCGGCAGGGCATGGTCACCTTGGATGCGGCAGGAAATATCAAATCAGTCAATTTGACTGGTTCCACCCGCCAGCTCGACGGCGTTGATGGGAACGGCATCGGAAATGGTGTGTTGGCAACTGCACAGCAGGCGAGTTCAATAATGAGCGACGTCTCGCCCGACTTGGTTCTCGATAGCTTTATGACATTGATGCAACAAGAAACCGAGGCTTTCGTGCCGGAACAACTCCTTGATTCCGAATATTTGAACAAGGCTGCCAATACCGTGTTTGGAAAGATTGCTGCACAGTTGGCTAACCTGTATCTTCTCAAACCAACCACGTCGGATCCCGCGCCAACTGTGGAAGGAACGGTGTCCAAATATGAGAATCGCCTGGTCGCACGAGAGGATCCTATCAGGGCCATGCAAGGGATTGCAGGCGCCATGCTTCTTATCACCGTCATTCTCCTGTTCATCATCCCTAGGGGAGTTGTTCCCAGATCGGTGGATTCCATAGCTGCGTTGGCCGCCATCTTGGCCCGAAGCCCGGCTCTTGAGATAAGCCTCCGCGGAACAGGTCATATGAGTCTTGACCAAATTGCAACGCTTCTCAGGCCCCATCGATACTTTACCCGGGTCGGTTATGAAGAGGGTGTCCGCTCCTTTTCAATCCATGTCACCCCTGCCAGTGAAGATGAGAATAACCCGTACCGGGTGAACATTGATGCTAAGCATGAAAATGTAAAGTGGTCGCGACCTTTTGTCTTGAGAAGGATCACTATCTCATTCGCTATTTTGGCGTCGATTGCAACCATTATTGCTCTCGAAGTTCTCCTCTCTCAGTCCCAAAAGAACAATGGCCTGGGTAGCGTCAATGGCGATACCGCAACGAGGTACAGCTGGCTTTATGCCCCTGTGCTTGTCTTTCTGCTTTTGGGAACTCTTTTCAACATTCTCGATTTCGAGATTGAATTCGTCGAATCGTATCATGCACTTGCGAAAGGGTACTGCAATGCGAAATCGAGTTTGTTGTGGAACCCGACACGCCACGTTTCAGTCCATGCCACTTGGAACGGCCTGAAGCACAATAGATTCGCTCTGACCGCAGCCTCGGCCTCGGCCATCCTCGCCCCATTTTTGACAATTGTGGTTTCAGGGCTCTTCTCTACCAAGGCCACCCTTCATCTCTCTCCTGTCCAGGTCACAGCTCTGAACTGGTTCAATACTACCACACTGATGAGCCCTTCGACAAACATACCAGCTCTAGTCATCGAAGGCAACATGTCGTATCCGCAGTGGACATATGATGAGCTCGCATTTCCGAAACTGGAGATCGTCCAGAACATCACATCCCAAGGTGAACCAGGTGTTGTGTCTGTGGACACACCCGCCTTGAGAGGGGCGGCGACCTGCTACGCAGTTCCCCAAGACCGGTTGTTAGAGACCACCGTCCTGGGCGGCTACTTAACCAGTAACATATCCACCCCTGACGGATGCGGCAACTCGGGCTTCATCGACCAGCCGTATCTGTGGCTTACGAACTCCTTGCCAATTCCCGTGAACAGCTCCGGATACTTTGGCCAAACACTAACCTTGGGCTTTGGGGCCCCGTCCTGTCCGACGCTGGCTCTCTACTATGGCCATGCCTCGGACAACAGAGCTGACAGTTTTGGCGCCATCCTTTGCACACAATACCTCGAGCGGGTTCAGGCAAATGTGACTCTCCAACTTCCGGACTTGTCCATCAGCACTGAACCGACAGTTCGTCCTGGCTCTGCGGCAAACTTCTCGAGTTGGTACATGACTTTTCCGCAATTCCAAATTATGAATGTTTCCAATCAAAAAGACGAGTTGGACAACGTGTTTAGCGCCATGGTCTACGGGCGCGATGGAGTGCCTGCCGCCGAGCTTCTGAATGGCACTAAGTTGATTGAGTCGTACCAACACCTATACCGGCAGTACATGGCACAGATCGCAAGCCTGTATCTGCGAACAGACTTCTCTACTTTGTCAAACAACGCGACGGAGACGGTCGCCAATCCACTCCAAGCGACGTATACCGACCCCAGTCGCCTTCGCCTGGTACAATCATCCCTATCAACACACCTACTCGTCGGGGTCATGGCAGCCTTGCTCATCTGTGCGGCTACGATTTTCATCACTGTCGACATGAGAAATGTCCTACCCAAACCGATGGGGAGTTTGGCAGCGGTGGCAAGCTTGCTAGCGGGAAGCCGACTCGTGGACGGGAAATCTGGTTTAACCCCGAAAGGCTCCGAATTCTGGAGTGACGGTGACTGGGAAAGGAGTGGGGTTTGGCAAGGCCAGATGTTCCGAATGGGATGGTGGGACAAGTTCAATGAGCCGGCTGAATCATGGAGCGCAAGACAACCAGATATGGTGGGGGGCACACTGCGAGATGATGCAGAAATCACGTCCGATCCCGACCTCGTGCCGGCTGGCCGCGCACTGGGGGCTTTCAGGATTGATGCACGTCCGACCATAGTTGCATGACACGACCGGTGTTGTTGTTGATATGATAGATACGATAATACGATAATATAGCTGCTGAAGACATTTTCACCCATGTGTTCTGTTCTGGCTCAACGAATGGATGTTTGCCAGGTTCAGGGTCCTTTGCCCATTCTGTGAACCTTTCCTATGCACTCACCATCACAATCATAGCGTAGCTGTCAGTCAAGGGGGCCACTGAGCCTTAGAAGCCCCTGAGCCGTATAACAAAAGCTGCAGCCGGGCTTGAGGAGCTCAGCCTCGAGCCTCGGCGTTTCGGAAAAGCAGTTTTTCCGTCTCCGCCGCTGCGGTGCAGTGCGTAGTGCGCAGTGCGCAGTGCAGTGAGGTGAAGCTTGTCTCGACCTCAGGCCTTCAAGGTGCACAGAGCAGCTCCCCTCCTAATTATAGACTGTCGCCCGGCAGTGTCACCGTCTCTTGAACAGCTGCGCCATGCAGGGAGTCTGTATCTCATCATGGCGTCGCGGGCTGGCTGCCCCGGCAATGTGGCCTGGGAGGCAGTTCTGCGAAACTCCCGCGCAGAGTCCTGAGTCCTGACCACAATGCACATGAACATCAGGCCTCGAACACTCTCGCCCTGGTCGCACCGGCGCCCTCGCTTGATTCAATTGCTTGAAGCTGTTAGGAGCCGAAGATGCAGCATGGCAGCCTCGTGGCGTACTGCAAGGAGGACATGTCAGCAGCATTGAGGAGTATCCTATGCTCAAACTCAAGATGGAGATGCTCGCCCTCGCCCTCGCCGAAAGATGAGAGAGCACCGCCCTTCTGGGCAGCTTGCTCGCTTCGACATCTTCCTGCACGAGGTGGGCATACCTCGCGCTGCTGTACATGAAGATGAGACACTATCACGACCTGGTTCGCGGCTGCCGGACAGCTCTGTGGAAAGAGCATCCAGACCCATGTCTTTCGACCTAGCCGAAGACCTCAGCCAACATGGTCCTCGATATCTCTGCAGTGCCGACGTTGCAGAAATCCTTTCATTGGACAGGAGCTCATCGTTCGTTTCCGATGTTTCAGTGACCTGGCAAACTGCTAGCACCTTGTAAATTCTTCTGGGTCCCGTCTGAGATTTTGGTCGGAGGCGTGTCTTTCTTCCTAGATGTTGCTGATCCTCCGCATCTGGGACTGACGTATCTGGTTGCAAAGCTCCTCCAGATCCAGCGCAGCGCAAACCCCTTACCAAGACCCGAGGCCTCTGCGAGTCTTGGGCTGGACGTGAAAGGGGAACCACGATGTCTTGGAAATTGGCTGAACTGAGGTGGCGTCAAGATGTAGGACTGCAAGAAAGCTGTTGGGAAAGAGAGGGTGAACCATCGACTGAGAAGCACACCGGTTCAACAAAGGGCCATGGGATTGAAAGCAGGAGATGTCCTGAAAGCCACAGCTACCGACGTCGCTGTCTGTCGTTAGGGGATGATTCACCAGCATACATCAATCAAGACTCTTTGCGGACACCGCCTCGATCACGTTTCCCAAAAATACCGCCGGACCCTCGCGTACCGGTGTTATTGCCAAAAACCTCTTCGTCTTCGCGAACTTCTCTTCTCAACGTTCGTCGTAGCACAGACAATCACAACTTCTCAGACTCGTTGTCGATCTCTTCCATCAAAGAGTCTAGATTGATTGTCACCACATCTTCTGTCTGGGAGATACTGAACATATCGCCTTTGACTTCACACCGTGGCCCATCTCAAGCGCAGGCAGCGACCCTTGAGGCAACTCCAACCGATCTTTCAGGTTTGTTGTGACATGTCCGAGATTCTTTCGGGTATACTGAGCAGTGTGAAGGTGTATCAGGCTCTGTGCCACCGAACTCTCATCCTTGGGGATTGATAGCGACTCCAGCCACGAATCTGGTCGAGACAACGTCCTCAGACTCCCGTCAGATCCCACACGGAGTTGGTGAGCATGACCTGCCTCTGTATTGGAGCCCTGCTGATGGCTAGTAGATGAGGAGGCCTTTGAGCACCAAACAAAGCAATCCTGTCTGTTGCCATCCCCTTGTTCATCTCATGTGAGTACCAGCCTTCCTGAATACCGAGATCGGAAAGCTCACAACCGAGCAGAGCCTGGACCTGAGGACTGTATCTCAGTTTGGCAGCGGAGTATTCCTTCCTCCACACTCTGGTGCCTCCTGGGGTTCGTTCGAGGACTTTTTCCGACAAAACTCGGACCACAGCACACTTGACTGGAGCGTGACCCTGCCAGCGAGTAGGAGCCAGTCCGTTTCTCCAAGTCTCCAAAGAACATCCATCGGATCGAGGCATCACTCGGACTCATATCTCTTACGTACCTTCAAGATGAGTGAAGAAACATTGTCATCGTCTGGACGCAGACAGACCTCGCGCACACTGTACCCAGATCTCCATTCAGCACACGCGCAGATCCTAGGCCGGAGACCAGCGAGCCCTTTGCAAACACCTCCCAGCCCGAAGGAAACACCTCCCAGCCCGAAGGAAACACCTCCCAGCCCGAAGGAAACACCCCCCAGCCCGAAGGAAACCCGCTTCCCTCTCAGTCCATCCAGCATTTCAAGCGAAGAAGACGAGCAGGATGAATTTGACCTGTTGCCGTTGCCGTTTGGAAGTGACGATATACCACTGAAGGATCTATCGTGTCGACGAGTACAGTCGGCACAGGGAGTTCTTCGTGAGGCCGATCACCATGAGGAGTCCAGCGCTATCCTCGAAACCTCCGACGAGGCTGAGCCTGTGGGACCCAATGAAGGCAGATTCTCTTCCACGCTCGACGAGATCGTTTCTCATTATGCCGAAGGGCCAGCTGACGGTTCGTCTTCGTTGCCTGTCATGCATCCAAACTCCGGTCAAGGCTTTGCAAATCCAGAGATCGCTCATCCCCAACCGGTTCGCCGTGTCCATGTTCACCGCGACAGCGGAGGCAATGCTTTCGAGCCACCTATCAGAGGCCATTTCCCCAGTGGCCCACCTGACGAAGGGCAGCAGGAACAAGAGGATCGGCCTTTGAGAAGTATTGCAGACTTTGAGGAGGATGACGGGGACTGGGAGACTGTGCCAGAGAGCAGTCGTAGCGGCTTTCTAACCCCTTCCAGATTGCGCTTCCGTTTGACAAGAGAGACTCTGGAGGATTCAAACTCGACTTTCGTCAGCAAAACCCCTGCAACACCATGGGACCCTCTGTCATCCTCACGACGAACCCACCTTGAACCTGGTCCAGCTCTGACACGTCGTCCTCATCTACACGGTCGACAGCGAACACAAATTCCCCCTTTGAACCCTCTGAACAGAGACGACGGCCGCAGCAGTGGGACTCAACAAAGACGGCAGATAGTCACGCAAACCACGGCCAAACCAAGTTTGATGGAAGCAAGTTCACACCGCGCCTCTCATTCTGCCAGCACCCCCGGTGGCCCACGAATTCAGTCTCCACGAATTCAGTCTCCACGCCACCCGCGCCCATCACCTCTACACTCTTCAACACGTCTCACTTCTCACAAAACCTCACTTTTCCCTTCAAGTTCCTCGCCTGATCACAATCCTATCAGCGCTCTTCCATCAAGCTCCTTATTTCCTCGGGCTCTTGCCAGGGAGTTGACTCAAGCCCACGGTGACCAAAGCGGTCACTTCGATACTGCAAGTCCAGGACGCACCCTCGACCGACAACGCAAGGGTGACGAGTTTGGAAAGATGGCCGCCACAGACGGATCTCACAAGCGTCTCCTTGCCCTGCAACTTCGCGAAGGCACCTACGGGTCGACCGATGCAGAAATCTCTCGATTTTTGCGAGATACTCAACACCTCCGGGCAGACACCGCGGCCGACAGAAGCTCAATGTATTCAAGCCACAGCAATGTCAACGCGGCCCAGTACAATCATTCCGCACATGGCACCTCGGCCTCGCTTCTCCCGGCTACAGGCCAGCGCCTGACATTCCCGCTTGAGCAAGCGCAACGCTCCGTCGACATCCAGCGCCGAGCTGGTCGGTTTCTTCTGGTGGCCTGCATGGCGACATTTTGGGTTGGTGGTTTCGTGTTGGCCCACGACATGGGCAGAGATGGCACCTTGGCCGGTGAGGCAATGGCGGAGATGACGAGATGGCTCTCGGGGCGGGAGGACGGTGTCGTTGGCCGCGTCCACCCCGAGGACGCTCGACTGGCCCGCGCAGTCGAGGAGGTCGGCCTGTTGGTGGCGGTTGCGGCGATGTTGGGCTGCGTTGGTGTTTTGGTCTGGGCTGCCACCAACTGAGCAGTTGGATGAAGAGGGTGCTACCCTGGGGCCAGAGAGCCAGACAGACTTGTATTGTGTACACGAAATCAATGTATGAATAGAACCGCCCCTCTTCCTCCCTTTTGCGTTCGTAGCGGCCGTCATTATACGCGCCTTCACTCAACAAACAGAATAGCACAGTGAAAGGAACTCAGTGAAAGGCCCACGATATCATGATTTAGATCTGTACAGAATGTGGCCGAGCCACCTCGATCGTGATATCGTCATCCACAAGCCATGCCCATAAGCCACGAATACAACAGTCATATGTCTGTGAGCTATCCTTCATCCACGACATATCCCAGCGCCTGGCCGACCTTGACCTTTTGGTTTCGCTCAATGGCCCATTTGAAGCCGCCCTTTATCTCACCAGTACCAGCACCAGCATCAGCACCAGCACCAGCACCGCCTTCATCAAGAGCCTGTTTGGCGTGGCCAGCCGGCGCCTCAAATACCAGGACGATACTTGATCCAAGCTTAAAGCCACCCATCTCTTCACCACCTCTTAAAGCATGGCCTCCCAGGATTTTGCTCGCGTTCTGGTAGGTGGCTTCACTAAATCCAGCATATGGTTCGCCCCTCTCTGCAGCTGCAGCTGCTTGACGGTCCGCTTCAGTGTCGGTAGTGAGGGAATTTGTGCGCAGTTCCTTGTCAAAATTGATGACGATGGAACCAACATTGGTGGCACCAACAGGCGTATAGCTGAAGAAGCCATATTTCCATCGCCCGAGGAGAACGACTCGTTCATTCAAGGTAAACAGCCCCGGCAACATGCGCTGGACGTAAGGCGACACGGAGAACAACTCGCCGGCGAAGTGCCGACGCGTCGTACAAACCCAGCTGACGGGAGAATGGAAGCGGTGGTAGTCACCCGGGGCCAAATAGACGACACAATAGTAAAGCTTCTTGTCCGTGGTCGGAGAAGAAAAAGGTGACCACCAAGGTTGGGTTGTCGCCAGGTCTGCCGACACGGCGGCTTCGGAGGACGGGAGGGATTTGGTAGAAGCGTCCTGCTTAGAGGAGTTGCCTGCTTGCTGCGAGCCTGAAAACAAGTTGGGAAGCGTGTAAGAAATGCCGTTGACATTGGCGAATTCCTCGTCCGCGGAGATCGACTTCGATTCTGGGTCATCTGACGCGGGCGATGTCATGTCCTTGGGAGGTGCAAAAATGTTCGACGGAGCCTGAGGGTTAGGGGAGGTAGGGGCGATTTTCCCCAGAAGAGCGTCCACACTGTATGTCATGCCTTTGACCTGTTCAACCTCGCCGTTCTCAATGGTTCCAAACTGCAGGACTCGGGCGTCCGCTGGCGACAGGACCGCATTGGGATTGGGGTCAAGGGGTCGGAGACCAGGCTTGAGCTCACGATAGAAGAAAGAAGCCAGATTGGGGTAGGCATGAAGATCTGGCTCAGCCACCTCTGAGAAGTCCACGCCGAATATCCAGCCGTAGAGTTTGAAGCCCGGGACACGGAGGTAGTAGGGGATGGTCAGCTCGTTGAAACGGCCCCAGACTCTTGAAATCGCTTTCAGTGGCAATGTGGACATTATCTGCACTTGCCAACCACCTCCCGTGGGATATATTCTCTTCCGCTTAGGAGGCCGGCCCCCGTCCGTCTCAGAAGAACCTTCTTGTGCACCACTTTCCCTAGACTGGATTCGCATAAACTGTATCAAACCCAGGAATCCAATCCCCAGGCCAATCGGGATTGGTTTCCATTCGATCTTTGTCTCCCTCCATGCCTTCCCCAGTCGCGACGCAAAACTCTCCTCGCGCTGCCCTCTGCCATCTTTCCACCTCCTTTGGGTGTCTCTGAAGTGCCTTCTTTGTTGCACTTGGATGCGACCGTAGGAAGTGCGATAAGCAATGGATTGGAAGGGACAGGATTCCGACAGCTGACGGAGGGACTGAGAAGCGAGGAAGGATCGCCGGTACAGGCAGGCTCTGCCGACGCTGGTGGCAGCCATCTGTCAGAGCGAAGGGATTTCGTGCCAGGTGGTTAAATCATGCGCGGAGGTGGAGGCAAAAGAAGAGTGAGAAAGACGGAAGCAACCCCGGCCAGCTTGGAGCGATGAACATTACAGTCCTACTACTAGGGTCACGATCTTCTCCAAAGTCAAGAGACAAGGAGGTGGTGAAGGCAGATTGTTCTACTACGTACTACATACCTCTGATCTTTTGCCAGTTGCTGCACGATGACGACGGTTGCTAGATGCAAGCCGTGAGCCCTGAGCCCTAACCCCCAGAGGCTTAGGCTCCCTATGGCTCTAAAGCCCCATAGCCCCCTAGCCCTTAAGCCCGTGCGCTTGATGATTGGCGCTTTTGGCGACTGCGGCTGCGGTTGCGGTTGCGTGTACGAGTACTCCATAGAACGCCCAAGTCTCATGGACCTTCATACCATGCTGGCTACTCTGTGCCCTGTATCCGTACAGCAATGTAAAACAGTCACTACAACTTCAGCTGCCCTTATTACTGCTCTGTCTGATCGGTCATGCGAGCGTCAGACCTTGTACCATCTCAGCATGGACGGCAACAGTCGTGATGCGTCCTCGCCCTCGCCCTCGGATCAGCCACCGTCAGATCCCTCCTCCTCCCCTTTGCAGCCTGATCATGTCTATCTGAGAGTAATATACTTGGTCACTGGGGATCCAAGGCCACCTCACAATCTGGGACAGGTTGATTTGAATACTACCGTCTCGGCTTTGAAGGACAGGATCCAGCATGACCTCCTGGAACACCCAGCTCCCTCTGAGCAACGTCTCATATACCAAGGAAGACCTCTTCTGCGGAACGAGGCAACCTTGCGAGAAGTCCTCCGACTCGAGGTATTTGCTGAGCAACACTGCTGTCTATTGATCCCACTGACATTCCGAAGCCCGGCGCTGCAGCTGGTCCTCTACCATATACAATCCATATCGTAATCAACTCCCGTCAAGATGCGGTCCCTCCCACCGATCCTCCGAATGCGCTCAGAATCCCCTCCCCCGAAGCTCCTCAGCCTACAGAACGCCTCAATCCATTCAGAGCCGTTGAGACATCTGCTGCCAGGCTTCAAGAGTCGCTTGCTCGAATTCAGCAACAAATTGAGGTGAACAGGGCCGATTTGATGAACGTGCAACAGAGAATAGGGCTCCAGCATCATAACATACATCACAATGTGCATCTTAATGCTCATCATAACGCGCATCACAATTTGCACCACAATGCGCACATTGGACAACCCATTCCCATTGTTCCGGCTATTCAAGTAGAGGTGAATGGTCAAGCCTTGCTTACCGCGCCGACGAATCTGCGCGTCAACGCCGGGCAAGCGCTGGAGCAACAGCCTACCGATCGAGGTCTGCCACCAATCCCCTGGATTCACGCTCATAACGTTCGAGCTCATGGTCAGGCAGTTCCAGCGATGTTCAGGAACCCCGCGGTGCCTCCTCTCGCATCTCAACCTGCGCTCACACCTCAACCTCCCCAGCCGGCAGCAAGGGCGAGTCCACGGCCAGATATTCAAGCATCGCAGGGACCGAACGGCACTCCCACAGCTACTGAGAGACGTCCCACCAATATGGGGATGCCGCTCCAGCAAAATGCTTCTGCGTCTGGTAATCAGCAGCACCCACCCCAGCCCCTCCTCCAGCCTCAACTCTTCGCTGGCGGGCAGCCTATATCCGGCACGATCATGGCACCTCATCTTGCAGCCCACCTTCCAACGCCCTTTTCTCGGACTGCGCCAGGACAGAATGCTCCATCGAGCACCCTCGCATGGATAATATCATCGCCTAGAGGTCCAGAAGGGTTGCTGTTTGCCCCAGGCCATGGTTTCTATACCACGACACAGCTGCAGCAACCTCGACAGTCCACAACTCGCAGTGCTACAGAGGCGCCGCTACCTGGCAGTCAACCCACCCCAGCGGTGCCACCCCCAGTGGGAGAAGAAAACGCACCACAGAATATCAATGCCCGCAGAGCACAGCCCAGAAGAGACGCGAGACCTGATGTGCCAGCTTTGGCACAAGCCCGGCGGAACGAAGCTGATAATGATTTGTTCGCATTCTTGATCCGGCGAGGCTGGCTATTCTTACGCCTCTACCTCTTCATGTTTGTTTTCTCAGAACCAGGGACTTGGAAGCGGTGGGCTCTGATTGTGATTGCGGCCGTTGTTTGCCTTCAACCCAGGAATGGGCCTCATGCACGTGCTCTGACCGCGGCCCGTCATCATCTTGACAATCTGATTGCTCCACGTCTCCAGCCTGTGCCTGCTGCCCAGGCACGGCAACAGGCTCAGGCCGACCCTCTCGGAAATGCGGGAAATGGGGTAGCTGCCCAGCGGCCTGCTAACATCCGTGGCGCGGTTCAAATCACTCCCGAGGAAGCCGCAGCGCGTCTCATTCGGCAGAATCAAGGTGAAGGCCCTGCTTCCTGGAGAGCTGCGGCTTACCGCATTGAACAAAGCATCGCACTGTTTCTGGCAAGTCTAATACCCGGCGTTGGTGAACGACATGTCCGTGCAAGGGAAGAGGCTAGAAGAGAAGCTGAGCGACTTGAACAAGAGAGAGTCCGGGCTGAAGAAGAGACAGTTGCGCGTGCGCAGACCGAGATTGGGGAGGCGGAGCAAGCTAGCGAGACTGTGAACGAGGCCGCAACTTCGCCAACGCAAGAACCGAAGTCTAATCTGCCGCATGAGCAGAGCAGTTCGAGCTCCGTACAGGTTCGTGAGAGTCCAGCAGAGACAGAAGGATTGCGGAACAGGAACAATTGATAATTTCTGCTTTTTCCATCTCAGCTATAGCTTATGCGTAGTGCCTTGCCATGGCGAGCGAATTCGATTTGTTCAATATGTTCAGCGATGAAGGCCTGTATCCGCGCTGAATGGAATTGTGGATCCACAACCTAATGGCAATGTAATCAAATCGGCTCAATTCTTCCAGAGCGGCCGTAGATCCCTCTGCGAAGAGGTGATACAGCCAACTGGGAATTGCAAGACGGGATTGGGAATTTTGCAAGCCAGTGCCTCGTGCGTCATATTCCACCCTCCGCTGCACAGGTAGCATAAGTAGCTCCCTCGGCAGGCTTGGAGCCCGATAGTGTCGTCCCCAGGGTCTCAGCATCTATGTCAACCGTGGTTGCAAAACTGCCTCTGCAGTCACTCCGAGTGATGCAGATGCGGTGTTGGCAGTACGACGGCCTAACCACGAAGACATGCAGTCAGTTGGAGTGCGAGACCTGCCTGCTCCGAGAGACGAATCGCCAAATCCAGCCAGTCTTTGGCCATGAATTTTGCAGCTTTCGCGCTACCCGATCAAACCAAGGACACCCTTAGGACGGGTGGAATTTCTGATTCTTTACGTGCCTTGATGCTGAAGAACCATGTCATGATATTTGTCCAGCAAGACTGCCTCCTGTCCCGAGGCGCTGTCGCCGTCCGTCACCGTCCTTCCCTTTCCCATGCATCGGATGATTCTTCTCCCACTCCTCGTCGGCTCGGAAGGCCTGGAGTGCCAGGTCCAAGTTATAATCGCTTCCCTTCAGATAGAGGGCGGCCACGTCGTAATCGGCACATTTCGTGGCGACCATCCATCTCCGCAGCTTGGTCTTGCGTTCTTCCTCGTCAGGGTTCGGAGGCGTCGACAGAGACGGGCCGGTGTAGTGGGACTTCGGAATCAGGATCCACTTGCGGGCCACAAGCAGTTGGTCAGAGTAGAGGTTGTTATGCTGGCGGAGGGTCGGGACTGGGACTTTGTACGCAAGAGACAGCGACTGTAACGAGTCTTGAGAGCCCACAAAGTGCAGTGTGTCCTCGGTATGCCGGGGAGGCGCTGTGCCTGTGCTCGGGTCAGGTAGTCGTCTAGGTGTTATCGCATCGGCGTACGATGGTGGCGGCGATTCGGCCCTGCCACGGCTGCTGGACTGAGGACTCCGGGTGTACGAGGGAGGAAGCCTGAGACCATCTTTCGGTAGGGCTGAAGGGCCAGACGAGATCTGGCAGAAAGGACAGTAGGACTGGAACCGCGGGTTTTGATACTGGCAAGTGGCGCAGATCTGGCGCGAGCAACACTCCAGGCGCCGGTTGTGGAGCAGCGGCTTCTCGGACTCGGCGTCGTAGGGAACTTTGACGTCGGTCAGCAACGTTGCGCAGGTGCAGCAGGAGTCAGTCGTGGACATGGACATTTTGAGGGAGATTGGCGGCGCTGCGAGAAAGAAAGAAATGGATAGATAGCATCGAGGTGGAGTGTGTCGTGTGTAGGGAGTGTACCGCGTAATTAGGCATGTGGTGAGTGATAATTGTATCAATCTAACATGGCGTATCACGTATCGCGTAGATGATGATGTCATCCATGGCTTTGGCTGTTGGCTGTCGCTTTCCACCGTCAACAGCATTGTATATTGTATATTGTGTATTTGTATATTGTATATGTGTGTGTAGGAAGATCTTCTCTATTCTCATCCTAGAACACAGGTTCTTCGACGCTTCTATATTGGCGAGGATTATGGCGGAGGATATCCCTGCCCCGTTTTTGGGTGCACGAGGCTGGCTCTGTGGCCCAACAACACACCCTTCTGAGGGCCACCTTCGTGTAAGATTTGAGCTCTCAGTCAAGCACAAGGAATGAATGGATGCCACTGTGGATGCAGCTTCCGTACAATGCTCCTCATCAACCTGGTTGCTCGACCTCTGAAAAACCACTCCGATTCGATCCTCTTCAACAGCAGGGAGTAGTGTGCCAGTAAGATCAGAGCAGCCGGATGCTGTTCTTTCATAAGCGACATGAACCCATCGGATACCCGCATCGGCCAGATTCTCAAAGCATCCCATGGTGTGAAGGCATGAGGCGTTGATTGCGAGCAAGCACAGGCCAGTGCAAGCTCTGCGGCTGCTTCGCGATATAGTTCACGCACATGCTCCGACCAAGTACAATCGGAAGATGGGAGAGCGGCTTGGAGCAGCGAGTTCAGAGCGGTGGTCTCGTCCAACTTGTTGACTCCAGCGAAGGGCGCCTCCCAAGCAAGAGCAAGAACGCTGCAGGGGCCGGACTCAAGGAACTCCCAGACTGTGCAAAGCATGCTACAGCCGCTTCGAAGGAAGTGTAGCCACGTTGGAATGATATCGCCTTCTCCCTCCGTCTCCGTAACCAAAAGGAGGCTGTCGTCCTGTTTCTCGGAGGCGAAAGCGTAGAGAACGAGAAGATGAGTGAAAACCAACACAGCATGGCAATTGTCCTTGTCCGGACTGGACACTGCCAAGCGGAAGAGGCCCATGGCTTTGTCCTGGTATCTACTGGCCTCGACATAGTACGCATTCTGCTGTTCGGGATTGAGATAGGCGCAATGAAGAGATGCCAGGGCCAGGATGCCAAACATCAGGAAGTTATATTCGTGGGCCAGCTCGACCACAGTGTCCCGCCACAAGGTTGCGGTCTCTGCATCGGTGGCGATTGTGTGGCATGTCACCGTGTGGTAGTGATGGAGCAAGGACCGGGCACTAAGATCGAGATGTAAATGTAGATGCCGGGGCAAGCTGACGTTGACATCGGCCAACACGGCGTGCCTGACCCGTGGGTCACTTTGCTGTTTGCGGAGGCTGGTTTCCAGGTCACAATCGACCGCCACAACGCGCTCCTGCTCCTGCTCCTGACCATGAAGCCTTTGTGTCCGGCCTGTGAAATAGCGCAGGTTGTTGCCCCGGAAAAAGGTCTGGACGGGAACACACCGGTACTGTAGACTGTGTCCGGCGACACTGTGCTTTGCCAGAACCCAGTGGCTTCGCATCCGTTTCTCCGTCAGACACAGATGCCCACAGCCGTTGACACCGCACTGCAACCCATCATATATCGGGAGATACGGCACCGGAAACTGATCGTCCCGTGGGGCGAGTACATGGTCGGGGTCGGCCAGGTCTAATTTCTGGACAAATTGCGTGAAAGGCCGGCGTCTTGATCGGTAGATGTGGTGGATTTCCTTGAGATGCCTGGCCACTGCATTTGGAGGGACGGCATACCGACAGGCCGTGCAGATGACTACCCGGTGGTCCGGAGAGTGGTGGAAGAGCTGTTCTGGGGCCTGATCCTGATCGTGACCCTGATCCATCGACACGACATGAGAGATCAGCTCTGCCGGACAGGTCTGCAAGCAGGGAGGAGAGTTGGACGTAGGACTCTCCCCGGGAGAGCGAGGCGTGCAAGTGCAAGTTTTCCCTCTGCTTGGGATTCCAGGCCACCGTGACCCGCCGTTGCAAATCGACGGTGCCGTTCCCAATCAGCTCGCCGCCGGTCTCGTCTCCGCCTCTTGGGAGCCAATCAAACCACGCAGCCTCGCCCGCCTCTGCACTTCTCACTTCGTGTATTGAGTCTTGACAGCTTAGTTGGAGACTCAGCCTAGGGATGCCGGTCTTGGACGCGGACGGACACAGCGTCCCTGCATTGATACGACTGATTCCCCAATCACGCGCTGTGCAATCTCAGGGTTGCCGCGCTGGATTTACAGAACTTCCCAAAACGTCGATTCTTGGCCCCGGGCGGCATGATATTAGTCCGCCGCCACCACATATATGTAATAATAGGACTATCGCTACCATCACTACTACCACCACTCCCACCACTCCCACCACTCCTGCAGAGTCGCTCAGGTAGGCACCTCGGGTATATAAACCCACCATCCCCCATGTTCCCAAGTGCCCACAACCCACAACCCCCAAGTCCTTTTTCTCAAAAAGCCTCACCATGCCGAACATTCCCAGATCAATCCTGATCACCGGCGGCACCAGTGGCCTCGGGCTTTGTGCTGCCACCGAGATTGCAAGGCTACGTCCGCAGCATCGTATCATACTGGCCTCGCGCAAAGACCCAGACAGAAGCGCGGCGTCGATCAACCAAACGCTGGGCCAGGACAATGTCGAGTTCATGCCCCTTGATCTCGGACACCTGGACAACGTCCGCTCCTTCGTCAAGGCCTGGGGCGAGAAAAACATGCCCCCAATCTCTGAACTGCTGCTGAACGCAGGACTTCAATTTCCCCATGGTGTCACCCTCACCGCCGACGGAGTGGAGGCCACCTTCGGCATCAACCACGTCGGCCATGCGCTCCTATTCTACCTCTTGCAGCCGTATCTGGCAGACGAAGCCCGCATCGTCATCACTGCCAGTGGCACCCATGATCCTAAGCAGAAGACAGGACTTCCCGACGCCAAATACACGTCCGGCGAAGAACTAGCCCACCCCTCCAAGGCAACGGTCAATAACCTGGGCCGGCAACGCTATGCCACGAGCAAATTGTGCAACGTCATGTGGACATACGCCCTCCATCGACGCCTGACACGGCTGAACAACAAGAAGTGGACAGTTGTCGCAATGGATCCCGGCCTCATGCCTGGCACAGGGCTCGCCAGAGACGCCGGACCCTTGGCCCGCTTTCTTTGGAACAGTGTGTTGCCTAGGATCATTCCGCTTATCCGCCTTTTAGTGTCGCAAAACACACATCTTCCGCAGGAGTCTGGAGCCTCGTTGGCATGGATCGCTCTTGATGAGAAGGAGCACTCAACAAGCGGCGTCTATTACGAAGGCAGAAAACAGATCAAATCCAGTGTCGAGAGTTATGATGAGACAAAGCAAGAAGAGCTTTGGTCGTGGACCGCGAAGTTTGTAGCAGCCAATGACAGGGAGCTGCAAGCCTTCCAGGTCGCTCCTTGAATATTCAGGCGACGGTGGAAAGGGTGTCATGGCCGGATAGGGTTGATATGGAGCAAAGAATCCGGCTTCTTTGCGATTTAAATACCGGTGTGGATGCCTATCTCAAATGAGGCATCATCGAGGCTGTAGGCTCAAATTGCGCCAGTGTCATCTGTCTCCGGTCAAGAAGCTGCTTGTTTTCTGTCAGCTCTTTGTTTACTTTGTCTTCCAGAGTAATTCACGCAGAGAAACTGCAATCGTAACGTCGCCGGGATTAGCGAATGTAGGTTGTCTGCGTTAACCTGCGGATGTAGCACCTCGAGGGTCCACCCAATCTGGATCGGTTCGTTGTTGCCTCAGCCCAAGTCGTCTTACCTCCTCGCGCTGTGCCGCGTCCTCAGCTTCTTGCCCCTCTTTCTCTTTCTTGACTTTCAGTCTCAAACGTCCCTGAGATCCACCTCGATTGAAGTCCAACGTCCATTCCAGGGGCAATTGTCCCTTGCGACCGCCATCAGGCGTGTCTCCGGCTTCGACACTTACCCAGCTGTAGCCCGCCTTCAGGATGACATTAGCAAAAATGGTGAAGTAGCCCCATCCGAGTCGACGTATCTCATATGGCGGGTTGTGGACAATAACGCGAGGGTTGCGGAACGTTGGATGCTGACCCGAGTTGTTGGCTCAGTGAGTGCTGCACATCGTTGAACTCAGACTTACCAGAAATATTTGTACCTCTTCAATGAGATCTGTTCTGGAAGGTCGCACAAAGAACTTCCAGTGGTGCTTGTTGTTAGAGTCACCGTGTGCCCTGATCAAGGAGTGTTCATTCCCAATGTACACCGTCAGCCACTCGACATCCGAACCCGAGTCGTCTTCCTGAGCCAACCCGCTCTCCGCCTCTCGTGCTCGATAAGAGACCGGATACAGCCGCTGTAGGGCCGTCGCTCTGGCAGGGTCGAAAGAGGCCGTGGTGGGAGTTCGGCACATGGGACACTTGGTTTCAACTTCGTTGGGCAGGAGAGCTACCTCAGGGTCATTCAGCCCGACGGGGGTGATTTGAGAGGTTATCGAAACCTCAGCCCAACGGGCCATACACCATTCACACAGCGTGTGATTGCACTGTGTGCGAACAGGTCGGTAGAGAAGAAGGTGACAGATCGCGCAAAGGTCGTCCAAGTCGACGTCTTCGCCGTGCGGGGCGCCAGCGACATCGCCTCCGGACTTCTGTCCAGCTTCAGGAGACGAAGTCTCGGTCTTTGTCGCCTTTCTCTTCATGATGGCCGTCTGGGGACAAGAACAGCGCAAGTGAAGCCCTCTGATCGCCGCGCTGCCTGGAGTTGGAGTTGGAACGACACGGCTGGTCAGCAGTGACTGTTGGTGACTGGCAGCACTGGTGCCTGGTGATCTACGGTCAAGCAGACAAAATACGGTCACAGCTTATGCGGCCCACCGAAGCATTTGACATAATCTAATCTAATCTCGCCATTTCTCATTCCAAGTGGAATGACCTGCAGGCTGCGGCAATTGCCAGGAAATTGGATCCATGCCCACCACGCCACGCCACGCCGCGATCTCCTTTTCTGCGAGAAGCCGATTCCCCCGATCAAGTGTTGCATGTTGCATGACACCCGGATACGGATTTTCAGAGAGGCAAAAAAGACTCGACCGTCAGATTCGAGCACCTCACCTCTTCTTCGTCCCTGTTCCCCTTTATCCGACCGAATCTTCTTCAACTCCCACTCTCATTCATTCCTTAGAGACCGCCCTTCCGCTGCTACCTGCGGCCGTTCTCCTCCCGCCTCGTGTATCTTTCGTCCGCCCTCTGTACATTCGCGAAGCAATCGAGATTGAAGATGCCTAGCCGAACACTCCCTACGATTACGCACGCAGAGGTGCAGGCGCACAATACCAAGAAATCATGCTATGTGACCATTGGAGAACGCGTGTTCGATGTAACAGACTTCATCGACGATCATCCAGGAGGTGGTGATTTGATCCTCCAGTACGCCGGCAAGGATGTCAAGCAGATTATGGAGGATGAGGCTTCCCACTTCCACTCCGAAGCCGCATACGAGATTCTGGAAGAGAGCCTGATTGGGTTCACACCCACTGATGCGGTGCTCAAGGCCGCCGTCAACTCATCCCACCCTGACCAAGTCGTGCCACTACCCGCGACAGCCGAAGGCAATAAACAATTGAAGGCCGCAGGCGTACAGACAGATGAACTGCCCTCAAGACAGATTTATTCATCGACAGGCCTGTCTTCGGCCGAGGATCTCTCGAAAGACACGGACTTGGAGTTGGACTGGAAAGAACACAAGTTCCTCGATCTCAACCGGCCCCTGTTTTCGCAGCTCCTATTCAGCAATTTCTCCAAGGAGTTCTACCTAGAGCAGGTGCACCGGCCTAGGCATTATCGCGGAGGCGATTCTGCACCAATTTTCGGCAACTTCATGGAACCGTTAAGCAAGACTTCCTGGTACATTGTACCAATCCTGTGGCTCCCACCTGTACTCTACGGCTCGTACCTGGGAATCTCTCATCTCCCTGGAGTGCAGGGCCCGGCATACTGGTGTCTCGGCCTTTTCCTGTGGACGCTGGTGGAGTACATCCTGCACCGCTTCCTCTTCCACATCGACAAATATCTGCCTGATCACCCGGTGTTCCTGACGCTACACTTCCTCCTTCACGGGGTCCACCACTATCTTCCCATGGACAAGTACCGGCTTGTCATGCCACCCTCGATGTTCCTCATTCTCGCCACTCCCTTCTACCGTCTCGCACACGCCGTGTTTTGGTACAACTGGTACGCCGCCGTGACGGTCTTTTCCGGCGGCATCTTCGGCTACGTCTGCTACGACTGCACTCACTACTGGCTGCACCACCGTCAACTGCCTAGCTACGTGCGAGAATTGAAGAAGTACCATCTAGCCCACCACTACCAGAACTTCGAGCTTGGGTAAGTCCTTTTGATTCTAATTCTGTGCGAAGGAGTATCCAAATATACTGACTGCGTCCTAGGTTCGGTGTCACCTCAAAATTCTGGGATTATATCTGGGGCACACAGCTGGAGTATGTCAAGCCAATCAAGTCCTCATAAAGCCCTGCCCGGTGGGCGCCTTTTAAAATAACAGAAACGACCTGTTTCCCTCTCACCTCAGTCCCGATGGAGAAGATTGTACAGTACTTGACGAGGCTGGGCTTTTCGTTGCAGATTGGAAGAGGAAGAGGACCATACCTCAGGGAAGACATGGTTCTTCTTAATTAACAATGATAGGCGGTTGAGCTTTCCGGTGGGCGAGGCATAGCGGATGTCCATTTTAGCGGCTGTTGATTCATGTATACTTACTATATGCTTCCTCGATAATACTAATGAGTGCCACCATACATGTCAGACTGTCTGGTCTGCCCATGTCAAGTCTCATTCATGTCTAGTTCGACTTTGGCCCGCCGAGTAGCTACGTTTCGCATGCATTCCATCAGATGCCCAAGCCGGGGCCGTTCTAAAGAAAGGAAAAACTGAAAATGAAAATGAAAATGAAAATGAAAATGAGAATCAATGCAGTGGCTCGCCTACGCCCGCGGATTCAAACGAATTGGCCTGTGTCGTTCTGCTTTGGACAACCATTGGCACCTAATGAACGATCACATCGAGCTTTTTCCGTATCCACGAGTTCTCTTGATCTGGATGTGCAGAATGGGTCATTGATATGTGAACGCGATCTCGGCGTCTGGTCTCATATGCTATGCTATCTTCCAACCCATTAATTCATCTCCTGGTCATTTGACGACGCGACGTCAACTCTTCGTGCGTAATTTGTCCATCCAAGCGCGTGTCCGTCGGTTTATGTGCAAAATATCAACTTGAAGAAACCGCCCAGCGCATTCCTGTCTTGATTTCGCCCCGCTTTAGATTCATCCCAACTTATGCATCTGGAATGGTCACTGAACCCGTATGTCCACCAATGCTCATCATCAATGTTGGACCAGCCTTCACGAACCCGCCGTCGCTTTCGCTTCACTTGAGCTTGAGCTCCAGCCGAGCCAGATGAAGGGGTTGCGTGCGCGCAAGCGGTAGGCAGAGTGAGCAGTCGAGCAGTTTCCGTCTGCTGGATCGGGAGCGGCAGCACGCGGAGCAACTGTTGGGGTAGGTGCAGAATCTGAGATAGGAACAATAGTCAGCGACATCGGTACAGAAGATTGAACTGGATTCGCGGGTAGTGATGGAGAATCTGGGTCAGAAGGCATGGAGTAGACTGTGTTTGGAGGCGACTCGGATGGGCTCTCGCTCTCAGGTGGGAAAGGGGCGTCAGTGGCCATGTCGGTGGTTACAGGCATGGTCATGACAAGGCCATCGGGCATGGTCATGATCGAGCCAAGAGTCGTCACTGATGCCATGCTTGCAGGGTGCATTGAGTTGAACCATGGGTTGCCGTCACCATAGCGTCCATGGTCTCCGCTGTCACCTTTTCTGAGGCTGCTGTTACCAATGCCATCTCCGGTGCCACACGAATGGTTACGAGGCCCGCCGCGGAAAACCGAATGGGGTTCGCCTGGAGCATAAGTAGGAGATATCGCAGTCATGTGGCCACGATTTGTTGTGTAACGGTACCAACGAGAAAGGCGAGAGGCTGGATAATCGGGACGACCACGAGATCCGGTTGGAAAGACACTTGGGGCTGAGGCAAAGATCGAGGGGTTGGGCTTACCGTCGCGTTTTGTGTATCTGGTGTTGTAAACGGTTTGGAAAACGGTCTCCGTAACCGAGTGGTACTCAGTGAACGTGGCAACTGCTGCATTGGCGTTTGGTACTGGAGTGACTTGTGGACCTGTATGGTCGCCCATGCTGTTCAGCAAACTGACGACGGATGATAAGATGCTTTCAAGGTCCGACTCACCAGCGTTGTTATCTCCACCATGGCCGCCGCGGCCCTGCCCAGGAGTAGGCTGTGCATCGGGAGTTGAGACACCAATGGGAATGACGGTAAATGATTGAGTCTCAACCCCTGGACCAGCTGTGGACCCAGTATGAACGGTCAAGAAGGCAGGAACACCTGTGTCAGTTTGGGTGGCAGCGACGGCACTAGCTTCGCTGGCACCGCCGACAGCAGGGCCGGTGGCGGAAGCAGAGAAAGGAATAGTCGAACCTATATAAGACGTCAGTGGCTGGGTTGAATTCTGAAGTGCAGGTTTGGAAGTGCGTGGAATGGGGATTGAGGTAAAGGGGATTGACTGACCGGTTACCGCAGTAGGATTGGCAATGTCGGAGAATTGACCAGCAATGGCAGCATTGTCGACTGCTTGGCCTTGGACAAAGTTGGCTTGGGCATTGGAAACAGTACCAGCGCCATTGTTGTCCACGATGTCAATATCCAAGCAGGTGGTGTAGATTTCTTGCTTGCCATTTGGAAATCCCGCAGTGCCGGGCAGTGTTGGCCAGTCCCACACCCAGTAAAGAGTGTATGGTTGACCGCTTGGAGCATTTGATGGAATTTGAACATCTTGCTGGCACCAAAGGTCATTACCCATGACACTGTTGAAAGTGTGCTTGAACTGCTGCTGACGCTGCTGAGATATTTGGCCACCGTTGACTTGATAACATTGACCATCGTCAAAGTTTCGGGTGGACAAGAGAACGCCACGACCATCACCGCCGGTACCGTTGGCATTCCAGACACGGTGAATGGCAAGGAAAGAATCGTCCGGACTTGGCTGAGTAGTGCCATAGACGAAAACAGTGCCCCGGTTTGGCGGCTTTCCTGGCTGATTGTCTGGCAAAGTAACGTGGCCATTCTCTTGGAATCTCAAAGCCACCGCCGATCCAGGAGCCGCCTGCAGCCTAGGACTACCATCCGTTTGAGTCTGAGATGTCTGGGTGGACTTGCACATCAGATCAGAAGGCTCGATCTGGTTGATAGGGCGGCCGTCGGGTGGAATGAGGTTGACCATGGTAGGATCACTGAATCCAGGAGTGCCTCGAAGGACATTTCCACGTGCGAATCCAGGCTGTCCAACCAGAGTACCATTCGGAGCAATGACCATCAACTGTTCAACCCATGTGTGAGCAGCGGTGAAAGGAGTTGCAGCTAGCAGCCCGAAAATGGCAGTGCGCAAGAGGGATTTGGTGGAAGGCATGGCGGAGTGTGACCAAGACATAGAATGCGCTTCTGTAGATGCGGGTGTTTCGGCCAGCGAAGAGTCGTTCTCGGTTCGACCAGGAGCCAGAGTCTTAGGATCTATAAGAGTGTTGAGGGTCTGTGACAGACTGAATGATCTGGTGGTACGAAAGATCGAATGGACCAGGCCAGAACGGTTGAAAAGATTGGTTGCCCAAATACTTGGAGCTGAAAAGGCAGGCAGTAACACAGACGGCACTGCCGTGGTAAAGGAGTGAAAGAACAAACAAAGATGTGATGAATCAAAAGAGTGACTGCGTCGGCATTGACGATTTAGAACAAAGATGTAGACAATGCTTGCACAAGCATTGTGTGTTGTGTTGGAGAGAACAATGGGAAGACAAGTCGGGCGATAAGCGAGACTTCAACTTGAGCTCGGCGGCCGCCTGGCGGTCTGGTAGGCAGTGTGAGCGATTGTGCACAAAGACAAAGCTTTTGGACCATCCAAGCGGAACGTGGAGTATGGATATGGGAATTTCGATCGGCATCTAAGCGCAAGGAGGCGAGGCAGCGTTTTGGAGCTCGAGGCTTGATCCATGCAGAAAGACCCCTTTTAGGGGATGCGGATTGCGGGATAGACGTCGAACCTGCCATCTACAGGATAGAACAGCTGGCGAGGGTGTACGGAGTATACGGTGGACGAGCTCTAATCAGGTATGACGAACGGACAGCCAATACCTGTCCCCTGTCGACCATCGACTCATGCAATGCTCAGGGTTTGACCTGGAGTGGCGGTGTTTCATAGCCTCGGCCTTCGCGTGGCGTGCCGGGGCACAAGTTTAGACTTGGTTGGTGCGGATTATATTGCACGCTCGATCTAAGATAAGAGCGATGGAGATGCATCGAGTCGAGATCGCCGCTTCTCAGGGTGTTCCCGCTGTGAATTGTACGTACCATGCTCGAGGGCATTGTTTCTCCTCGATTGTTCTGGCAGACAATATCATCACTCACCCTCGGCGGGTGAGGCAGATGGTGGGCACTTGGCGGGGATAGCTTTCACCCTCAGTTTGTCGTGAGCCAGCGCGGCGACGCATGGACAGAGCTGAGAAAGGCACTCCGCGGGGACCCCTTTCATCTCAAAGAGAGGGTCGCGTGATGGTGTCAATGCTCTCTGAAGGATAGGGAGGCATGGAGAGAACAGGGAGAACAGAGAGAAGGGGGTTGGGATTGCGAGACGAGGTCACTTCAAACATTAGCGCATGTTTCAAATCCAGCTTAGCGCCGGCCTAAGATACTCTAGAGCACTCCTCACCACCAATCACGGCCTCTCAGGCTGGCCTTCTGCATCTGGACCTTTTGCGACCATGCGACCGCCGACACCCTCTTTGCCGCCTGTCTAACTGCCTGCCTGCGTTCTCTGCCAGTGCCTCAGCATGGAAACATGTCTTTCTCTGTGCTACATACGGAGTACTCGAGGCACGTTGCGCTAAGAATACGGGCCAAAAAGTGTCCGTCACTCTCTCTGGACCGTGGGCTGTCAAAACGGCATACCGGGTCCAGGCTAATGAAGGGGCTGGAGAGTAAGTTGGTGTGACACTCGGTGCTTATGTGATGTTGCGCCCATGTCTTCTGCCGTCGAGCTTCCCCACGACCAGGCTCCTACTCGGGTGTGTCGGACGTCCTTCTAAGTGACGTCAAAGTACCCGTACGTCGGGCAAGTTAGTTGCGAGGTGTGACAGAGATAGATTAAAGGAAGGCTGCCCCAGCCTTCTACGTGTCAGTGCTGCAAATCGTTGTGATATCGCGCAAGTAGATGAACTGGGTCTCCAAGACCAGACCCATGAACCTCCAGACTCCATGCTAAGTTCGGCCGCAGAACATCAAATTGAAAGGAGTATGTCGCGTTCCAGTCCATATCCACCAACAAGAAGACTCTTGAGACATTCGTCGCGTACATCGGAGATCACTTGCTATGGACTATCGCATCATACCTCGGAGGTCAACGCTTGAAACCACTCTCCTCGCGCAACCACTTCTCAAAGTCAAGCATGTTCTTATTCAACAGGCGACATTGCTGCAAGTCACTGCCGTAACCTTGGTCGACGAACCACTGGAACATAATTCCTAATTCGGGGATCATTTTCTTCAAGAGGGTCGCCATGAAATCGTATGACCGGGGCATGGGGCGACCCAGCACTTTCCAGAAGACCTCATTAGCCTGAGCTTGGGTGAGCTCGTCGCCTGCGAGACTGATGGCGCTGTTCTTGTATTCGTCCGTTTCTGCGGATGCAAATGCCTGAGCAGCAAAAACTCCGATGTCCTTGGTAGCTACCAATTGTAGAGGTTTGTCACCCATGCTCGCCCACGTGGCCGTAAATACTCTTCCTGGCAGATTCGGAGTTAAGTTTTCCATAAAAGCTACCGGCCGTAGAATAGTGTACGTCGTGCCAGTCCCTCTCGCCTTCTCTTTCAGATGTTTTTCGATGTTATACTAGCATCGTGTTAGCAACCAGGAGCGCCGGGGAACAGGGGAGATGTCGAACGTGCTTTCGACACAAAATGGGGGACGTTGGTAGCGTCTACTTCGGACTGGTCAGGGCCGCCACGATCGACGGAACTGAAGACAAAATGTTTAACATCGTGCGCAATGGCTGCATCGACCAGATCTTTGCCGTGTTTCAGCTCGCCGTTCTCGACTTCTTTCTTGAATGATGGGACTGTCACAGCAAACACGCCCCAGACAGCTCCCACTCCGCCAGCTTTTGTGAAAATGCTCCCACAGTCATCAAGACTGCCCTCAATAAGTGTGATCTTAGGATTCGAAGCAAGAGCTTTTGCGGAGGAAGAGGTAGATTTGCGTGTCAGAGCTAGGATCTGGTAATCGTAGGGAGGAGGGTTGGCGAGAAGGGCTTTCACTACAGCACCACCTTGCTTGCCGGTGGCACCCGTGACGAGGATTTTCCGAGTTGTCATGGCTGTTCGGATGGAATTGACATTAGTATAGAAGGATTAGTTTGATCGGAGTGTGCTGTGGTTAGTGAAGTATGGTCTACTACTGATTTCTATCAGGGGGAGATTGGCGAGAGAGGCCGAGGATTTGCGCAGGCGGGAGATCGATTGACGTCACCTAAAAGGCAAGATAATCGCTATCAGCAGAGACTGTTTGAAGATCCGCGAGGCGTTTCAGTCAACTCCCTTACCACAGTACAAGTATAATACTGCAGCTTGGAAGAGTCGTGCGCCGAAGGTCGTTGACGGCTATGCAACTCGCTTCAGGGCGCGCGGGCCCTGAGGCATAGGAGTTAGTGCGTGCCACATGTGTCAGCCTTGTGATCCTTTGGTCGGGCTTACAGATCTTGACAGCTCCCGGCCACGGAGTATCTACACATAGGGGAAATATCACCCTGCCATGATTCAGACGAAACTCCCTTTGGCATTCCATTGCCTCCGAGAGGTGCTCATTGTATTAGAAACTGCACAATTTTCAATCACGAAGTGATGACGACCTTTACAGGCACTCTTCCCTCGTCTTCTCCGTCCTTTGGCTGGTTTGCAGCCAGTCTAAATGCTCTTTCTCCGTCTGCAAGTGCGACACGGTGTGTAACAAGGTCTTCAACGACACCGTCCAATTGTCCGCTCGCAAAAAGTGCAATAGCAGCTGGATAGCAGTTTGCATATCGGAATACACCAATAATGTCCACTTCCCTCAAGGCTGCTGCGCCCAAGGGCAGTGTCTGGGTCGGGGTACCCATTCCAACCAGCACCAGCTTCCCACCTGCCGTAGCTGCAAAGATGCCTAGTTGCACGCAAGATTGCACTCCCGTGCATTCGAAAACTCTGTCAAACCCAGATTGCAGGTCTGCTGACTTGCAAACCTCAGTGGCCAATTCTTGTGCACCAGCTAGTGTCTCCTCGATGGTCGGCGCCGGTGCTTTGCGTGGCAACAGGAACGTCTTCAGCTTGTATTTCCCACTGGCTAGGCCCGCTGCGATCTTGAGCCTCGGAGCATCAATATCGGCAATGACGATTTTTGAGACTCCGGCGACGGCGAGCGCGGCCGCGGTCAGCATCCCAACAGCACCAGCCCCGAGCACCAAGGCAGTTGAGCCGACCAGGGGAACTCCGGCGCTTGATCCCGCACTCTGGCTTCGATTGATCCCGTGCAGCGAAACAGCTAATGGCTCAACAAGGGCGCCTTGTTCGAACGTGACGTGCTCGGGGAGTTCATGGCACATGTTGGCCGGATGGGATATCACAGTCTGTAGGGTGCCGTCTGCATGCGGAAATGTCTTTGCTGAAGACCTGAAGGACATTTGAGGACAGAGGTTATATCGGCCGGTAGTACATAGTGAGCATGACCGACAGGGTATACCGACTTCTAGGGCGACTCTGTCTCCAACCTTGAGGCCTGCCGAAGGACCAGCGCCGGTGGTGGCTCCATTCTGCGTGTCAGGAACAGCAGTGACGACGCCTGATGCTTCGTGACCAAGAACAAGTGGTGCTTGGATCACAAAGCTGCCATTACGGCCATGCTGGTAGTAGTGCAAGTCCGATCCGCAGAGACCGGTGGCCTTGATGGCTATCTGGACCTCTCCTTTGCGGGGCGTAGGCTCTGGCCTGGTTTCCTAGGAGAACACAGTGTCAATGAATGCGCGCCTTTTGACGATTCTGCATTTACTGCATTCGCTTACCACTCTTAAGTCTTTGGCGCCATGAAGTACTAGCGCCTGGACGCTTTCGGAGGGAGACATGTTGTCGGACGGCCAAGCATCAACAACGAGTCTTGGTCAATCTCACTGTTGCCCTCACCGAGTGGTGTCTTTCCTGTCTCTTTCTTAGATGAATGACTGAACAAGCAGAACTAGGAGCACACAAGATGTGGCGTGGAGCACGGCAGTCTGCCGAAACAATGTGTGGAGGAGGGTCGAGAATATGGGATGAGCCCTGATATTAGAGAGGGAGACGACCGGGATCTTCGCCGGGGTGCGTCTGTTAGAGTGTTCGAATGTCGAATTCGCATTCTTCGTTCTTATGACCTTTCGACTCGAGTTCGCGGGCAGTCCATTCCAAGAAATCTTCGGCGAGCATTAGCCCGACCAATGTTCAGGAGTACTAGGCACCTTGCGGATGCTGAATATGGATACATACCAGGTACAAGATGCAGGCCTCAGCCGTGGGGTGCCCACTGACCCAGCGCCAGGAAGTACTGTAGTGGGGTTTGCACCCACGACTTAGGGAGACTGTCGCCCATGAAATGTCGGCAATCGACTGTGCGGGGGGCAGCGCTCAAACACCGATGGCTTGAAGGAGACTCGCCGAGTTAACTACACGCACTCCATACATAGTATTTCATAGTAGAGAAAAAAAAAGTCGCAATCTTTGGCGTTTGTTAGCAAATTGATGTTTTGCAGCCCTCTCTGCCGTTTCGCTCTCTCTTTAAGACCAAGGATATTCTACACTCGTTCGCCCTGTACCTACGCCAATCCCAGCCGATCTGCCCTCTCAACACCATTCCGACGCCAATATCGTCCAGGCACAATGTCCAAACCCACGGTTTTGTTGATCGGGGGCCTGACACATGTCAACAAAGAGTGGGAAGAGTATGGCTCCAAATATGTGCTGAAAGAATTCCGCAAAGGAACCCGGGCTCAGTTCTTGTCCAACTGCAAGAACGGCGAATATGACGGCATTGTGGCTCTGTATCGTTCAAATCATTCTGTCTCCCAGACTGGCCCTTTTGATAAAGAGCTGGTGTCGGTCCTCCCGAAATCTCTGAGATACATCTGTCACAATGGTGCGGGATATGACAACATCGATGTGGATGCATGCACAGAGAAAGGCCTCCAGATTTCCAGTACTCCGATAGCTGTCGATGACGCCACTGCCGATGTTGGTATTTTCCTGCTGTTGGGCGCCCTCAGAAATGCCTGGATACCTTTGACGGCCATTAAAGAGGGCAAATGGAAAGGCAACACACCCATTGGACACGATCCCAAGGGCAAGGTTCTCGGAATCTTGGGCATGGGAGGTATTGGCAGGGTGAGACACCGGTCCGCAGATGCAGATGACAATTACACTTGCTAACTAGGTGTAGGCGATGGCAAAGCGTGCACGAGCGTTCGGGATGAAGATTGCCTACCACAACAGGTCGAGACTGTCTCCAGAACTGGAGGAAGATGCCACATACCTTTCCTTTGATGAGTTACTCGCCCAATCTGATGTCCTGAGCCTCAATCTCGCCCTCAACGCCAAAACCCGTCACATCATATCCGCCCCGGAACTCGCAAAGATGAAGGATGGCGTGGTCATTGTCAACACGGCTCGAGGCGCCTTGATTAACGAGAAAGACCTAGTTGCAGCGCTCGAGAGTGGGAAAGTGGCATCGGTTGGACTAGACGTCTTTGAGAAAGAACCCGAGGTGGAGGAGGGCCTGTTGAAGAATGACCGAGCCTTCATTGTGCCGCATATTGGCACAAACACTTATGAGACGCAAAGAGAGATGGAGCTGTTGGTGCTGCAGAACCTGGAAAGCGCTGTGGACAAAGGAACGCTATTGACGCCCATACCGGAGCAAAAGAACAAGTCAAATGGCCACTTATGACCACTGCCGAGGGCTGGCCCTCCGAGATATGATGTTCCGATGTGTGATTTAGATCCCACCCCTTTGGGAAGAATATAATCAAATGCGAGAGAGGATTATGGGATACATGGATGTACATGAATGTACAGAGTAGATTGCGAGTCTCTTGTTAGGCCTGGGGAATAAGACGAGCCTCGGCACATGCCATCCCCACCAGTACCGTACACTCCAAAGTACGGAGTACACATTATTACCATTGTATGTATGTGTTGGGTTGCACTAGGATACACCCTCCTACCGCACCGTCCATCCCCAGCCCCGATCGTTGCGTCAGTGCACATGCCGTCGCCTTCGAACCGCGACTCTACGCTCTTCCACCTGCGACCGGATTCCGAATTCCAGACCGAACAATATCAAACAAGACAGCGATTCTTCAAACGCCCTCCATCGGCGTCTTCGTGATATCTTCGTGATATCATCATGTCCCTCCCCCAACCGTAATGACCGCCTTCCAGCACGTCGACCTGCTCTAGCATGCCGTTGCAATCGAAGGAGGACCCGTTGGTGGTGCTTTACCACCACTACCTAAACCTACTGCAATCTCGAATACGCCGAACGTCAAGATCCGTCAAAGTCGCGGCCACCGCGGCGCTCGTCATCTCGATAATATCCACGAGCTATGGCAGCTATAAGTGGTGGCAGGACAGGTCGAAAGAGAAGGACCGCGGCCGTAGACTGGTCAGGAAGAACAGCGGTTTACGAGGAAAAGATGGAGAGCGCATCATCTATGTTCCCCGGGGCGATACTACGTCCAAGGTCATCATTCATCCTACCCGACCGACCACGTTCGATGCGCACCGCCGACTGTTTCTCACTCCTCCGCGAGTCACTCGAATGGGAAGTGGCGCATCCACACCTGCGTATGGGCCGCCTCCTCAGACAAAGCCGGGCCTCAATCTGGCCTTCCTGCACCAGTTCTTGAGTCTACTCAATATCATGATACCCCGGTTTAGGAGCAAAGAGACAGCCCTACTCTTGAGTCATGCCGTCTTCCTCATCCTGAGGACATACTTGTCTCTGATTGTTGCCCGGTTGGATGGCGCCATCGTTCGGGATCTTGTTGCTGGTCAAGGGAAATCATTCATGTTGGGTATCCTCCGATGGCTGTCGGTCGGCACCTTGGCCTCCTACACCAACGCCATGATCAAATTCCTTCAGTCCAAGATTTCAATTGCTTTCCGAACTCGACTGACTCGGTATATCCACGATCTGTACCTCAACTCGAACCTCAACTATTACAAACTCACCAATCTCGATGGCGGCGTCGGCCAAGGCGCAGACCAGTTCATCACGCAAGATCTCACACTCTTCTGTACATCAGCAGCGTCTCTATATTCCTCTTTAGGGAAACCTCTTGTCGACATCTTTGTCTTCAACTACCAGCTATATCGATCGCTTGGCCCGCTTGCCCTGACAGGCCTGTTATCCAATTATTTCGCCACAGCTACTCTCCTTCGCCGGCTCTCCCCGCCGTTCGGAAAGCTCAAAGCAGTCGAGGCGCGGAAAGAAGGCGATTTCCGTGGGCTACATGCACGATTGATCGCCAATGCTGAAGAAGTCGCCTTCTACGGCGGGGCCGAGGTTGAAAAGGTATACCTTAACAAAGCTTTCAAAGAGCTCCGGACTTGGATGGAGGGAATCTATAACGTCAAGGTCCGGTATAACATGCTCGAAGACTTTGTCCTGAAATATTCCTGGTCGGCATTTGGGTATATCATCACCTCTATACCTGTGTATCTTCCAGCCTGGGCGGGAATGACGGCCCTTCTGGAATCAAGCGGTTCTGAAGGACCGGAATTGTCTGAAACCTCTCGGGAAAGATCGCACATGAAAGATTTCATCACCAATAAAAGACTCATGCTGGCCTTGGCAGACGCCGGTGGTCGAATGATGTACAGTATCAAGGATCTCTCCGAATTGGCAGGATACACCTCACGAGTCTACCAGCTCATCTCCACGCTCCATCGTGTTCACGCCAATGCTTACGCACCCTCCCACCGCCGCAGTCCCGGTAGGATCGAACTTTACTCGTTGGCGGACGTCCAAGGCACGACCCACCTCGGATTCGTCGGCGTCCGACTTGAAGATGTTCCCATCGTGGCTCCGGCGCTGTGGCCGTATGGGGGAGATGAGCTGATCGAGTCACTCTCATTTGTGGCCCACAGCGGCCAACACCTCCTCATTTCCGGCCCCAATGGTGCAGGCAAATCTTCCATCGCACGCATCGTTGCCGGTCTGTGGCCGGTATACCGCGGCTTAGTGTCCCGGCCACGCAACACCGGCCAGGACGGTATCATGTTTCTTCCCCAACGGCCCTATCTGAGCGTAGGGACATTGCGAGACCAGGTCATCTACCCGCACACTGAACTGGATATGCGGGACAACGCGCGGCGCGACAACGAGTTGGAGCAGATCTTAGGCGACGCTAAGCTCGGTCATCTGCTTGCCCGGGAAGGCGGCTGGGACACACGGAAGGAATGGAAAGACGTGCTCTCCGGTGGAGAAAAACAGCGCATGGCGATTGCAAGACTGCTCTACCATGAGCCCAAGTACGCCTTTCTCGATGAGGGGACTTCTGCCGTTTCCTCCGACGTCGAAGGCTTGCTGTATGAGCGGTGCAAAGACCGGGGGATTACGCTGATCACAATCTCGACGCGCGCCAGCCTTCGCAAGTACCACACGTTCAACCTGGTGCTCGGCCTCGGCGAGGAAGGTTATGACTGGGAGATGGTGCGGATTGGGACGGAGCAGGAGAAAATCGGCCTCGAGAAGGAGATTAGCGAGCTCAAGGGCAAACTTGCCAAAGTGGCGGAATGGCAGAGGCGGAAGGCGGAGATCGAGGAAGAGCTCAGTCGTGTTCTGGTGATTGACCAGGAAGGGCACGAATTGGAAAAGCCTGCGTATTTCGATCAGCTGGCGGAGGGACAGGGGGAGATTGCGGTCTGAAGAGATAAGTATCTAAGTTTACATCGAAAGGGGAAGGGCACTGATGTAGGGAATATATACGTCTTCCCGTGGGCTCAGGCTGCGTTGTACGTTGTGCGTCGTCCCTCCGTCCCTTTTCTTTCTGCAATCAAGAGCCAAGTACCATTGGGTACTTAGATATAGGTGACAGGGATGTATCGATGGCTCAGGAGGCTTCACTCACTCACCCGCCGCGCCGCACGGCCGGCAGAACGCAATTCAATTCACCGCAGAATAAATCATCGGTACATGAATCACATCCACGAGTTTTCCTCTCAATAACGCAAAGACCCCCAGTTCCCTGATGGCCCCCCCACGGCCGAGTCAGTTGGGCGACCCGATTCACTCTCTGGCTCTGCTGGCCCAAGTTCGAGCCTCGTCGTCTCCCTTTGACTTTATGGAACCGGAACCCTGGGAACCTGGATCATTCGGCCCTTTGTTACCTTTGACCCTGTGGCCTTTGGCCCTTTGTTACCTCTGGCCCTGAGTTACCTTTGGCCCTATGTTCAACTGACCCCTAGCCCTAGAACCCTGAACCCGGATTGGAAATTCATCACTGGCCCTGACAACAACAACAACAACAACAACTCGATACAACAAACCGGAATTGGAATACGGAAAACCCCAGCCCGGGTTTCACTTCCCACAACCCTCATCTGACTTCGACATGGGGCTTGTGGAAAAAGTTTTTTGGCTTTTTGAAACGCATAAAGATTTTCGTTGTTGCCTTTTCGGCTCCTGCCCGGCACTACTCTACGGGGGTATCAGTTGTAGGATAGAACCCGGGCAGAATAAAGATATTTCAGGCATGACAGGCCATAGGGAGCTTGGAACTTGATGCTAGCTAGTAGTGACTCGATTCAGTTGATATTTGGTCAAAGCTGAAACGAGACTGGAGGTTTCCACAGGCGTGATGTGCAGTAGGAACTTAGATTAGCCACTTAGTCCCTGGGGAGTTGTGACTACTTACGCGTATTCCTTTCTATCATCTTGATAGGTCACTAGGAGTAGAGTGGTCTTCCTGTCGTGGTAGTGGTGGGTAGGTATAGATGTGTCGATAGAGAATAGGATATAGAAATACTATTAGTGGTTGTGAGACGGACAAGGCTATAAGATTAAAAATCATCGAACATATCTGTACTCTGTACATCCTACAACAGATACAGCAGGGATCCTTTCTCCTTTCCAGTCACCCATATCGCCTGCCCTACTACGCAAGAACTCTCTAATAGATTCTCTCTCCGGGGTCCAGCCCAGCTCGTAAGTTGAATCCCGGTGCTTCATCCATACATCCATCACATCACATCACATCTATAACTCCATCTACTCTACACCACACCATACTACACCGCACATGATAGGAGTATGCTACACGCCACGCAAGGTATCAGTATGCTACACGCGACTGTCCTGACAATCAACTGGCCTAGTCGCCGAACTACAATCCGTGCCGCCCAAGCACTTCACGATCAAGCTTTTGCAGCATGCTGGAAAAAAGAGAGGCCGAGGGTGAGAGTCCTACAGCCACATCGCCAGCCTGAAGCAGGTCGTCGCGAGCATGTGAAGCCTTAACCACACCATGGTTGACCGACGTGGTCTGCGACAGGCCGAGACGGAATTGAGATTGAGACAAGGCTGTCATTGACTGCGGTCTTCCCGTTGGCCGGGTCACGTATCCTCGAAAAACATGGCGATGGTGACGAGCCTGATCCTGATCCTGGTCCTGGTCCTGATCCTCGATTGCCGCCGATGCATCTGGGGCCGGGCTTATGACAAACCAGTCCTCGTCTATTGCTGCTGCTGCTGCTGCTGCTGCTGTTTTTGTTGCTGTTGCTTCGTCTGCTTTTGGATTGAAACCGGGACTTGATGCTTCAGCCTGGAGACGCAGCGGCGGCGGCAATCTCGGGCGGCGGGGCCGGATGTAGAGGAGACGTGGTGGCGACGACGGTTTGGAGAATCTCACCATTTCAGCACATGCCAGTTCATCCATGGCCTCCGAGGAGGAGCTTCGTCGAAGTGTTGTGTCGTCGTGGCTGCGGTGTGGATCTGCCCCTGGCAAGGAGGACGGTGAAGGTGACAGTGATGGTGACGGTGTCGGTACTGGCGCCGCAGACTCCCCTCCAGAATGGTCTCTTTCTGTCTCTGTCATCGCAGTGGCTGGCGGTGCAGTGGATGGCTGGGACAAACTTGGGACACTTACGTAGACTTGTTCGCCGGAGGCTTCATCCTCGTCTAGATGCACAGCTCCTCGTTCGATAACGAAATAGCGACCGTGTCGCTTTGAGCCGAGTCTGCCCTCGTTCGGACCTGGGCCTGTTGATGGTCGCCTCGTCTCGGATGGCGTCTCTGCGGTCGGTTCTCCAATTCTGACTGCGACTGGGAAGGTGTCAATGCCAACAACGCGCTCACTTACATGTACCGTGTGCTTGCCCCGGCCAAGATCGACAGTCTTGTCCTCCTCACTCTTCATATCCCAGCTCGCGGTCCCTTCTTCCCATCTCGAAGCAGATGAGCGGCAGACCCCGACCTTCGCAGCTGCGCGCCGCAACAGAGCTTTGGTTGTCTGCTTTGCTGACTTGAGGGAGGTCATCGACGCCGCCGTGCGGAGCGGCTTGTGCGAGCGGCATGGCAATGCAGGAAGATGTTCTCGGCCAGACCCCAACACCGGCTGAGAATCCGCATGACCAAGAGAGGGTACCAAAGTGACTCCTAAACCCGTCGGCTGCTGCTCGTCCTCTGCACTCTTCCGCGCTGGCTGATCTTTGCTGTCCAAGCTGGCCGCCACTGGCAGGGCTTGGGACTTGTAGTACAACGGATATGTCTCTCGCAGCATCATCAGGGTTTTCATCACCGTCTTCGGTGTGTGTGCTGCAGGCGTGGCGGCTCGAGCTCGGCGATGCTTGCGGTGAGCGGACCGACCTCGTTCTTCCCCTGCTCCATGGTCTTGGCCTTCACCGTTGATGGCTCTCCTACTGAAGGCTCGTTCAATCCTCAAAGCTTCGGCAATCCCGTTCTTGACCTTTGTTTTCAGCTTCATCTTCATCAGCTGCTTTGGCTCGGCTTCCTTCTTACCGAAACACATGTTAGGATCGGTTCCTCTGAGACGGGCCGGTTTTCCGTAACTGCCTTGCATGCGCCGGGCACGCAGCGCCTGTCCAGCACCGAGGACCTTCTCAACCGAGGCTCGGCATCGAGTCAAATCTTCTCCCTCTTTGATGTGTCCACTGGATGGTACAATGCGCGAATGCAGGCTTTGGAACGGTGTCCCGGGCACAGCTCGACGTTGGAACGAATAGAGATGGTCGAGCAGGAGGGTCCGTGCAATGATGAGACTGGTAGAAGGATCTTGAAAATCTGGAAAGGGTTCAACGTCGTCGTGAGAGGAGCGTCTTGGAGGTAGGTACCGGGATCTGGGTGCAGGCCAGGTGATGTACGCTGAATCGAAAAATTGTTCAGAACGACTGTGCTGCTCCAATCTGGTCGCATCTCCTGCTCCTGCAAGGGACGAGCTGCGAGGCGGAATGCTCAGTGTCGATGCAGAGCCATCTTGCGGGACTGCCATTGCGTCTCAGTCTCCCTGCACCAAGTCCGGCTTGGTGTCGAGAGGAATGATGATCGCAAGGACGAGAAGCACGGGAAGTACGAGAAGCACGAGAAGCAAAAGGGCGATGACTGTAGGAAACATCTGGATCTAAGGGCACCGTCCGAGACATTATACCAGGAGTGATCCGATGGCCGCAGACAAGGAAGTGCATCCAGCGCTGTCACTCACAATGAACAAAGGGACATTGACCAAGAGCAAGGTGGTAAAGCATACTGCCTTCATTCACTGCAGATAAAGAAAACCACACCATCAGGACAGAAAATGAAAACGCAGACAATGAACGGAGTTAATCTTCAGCTGGTAATCTGTATGATCAACATGCCGGACAGCAGCATGACTGCTGCAGGCATTGGAGGAAGTTAACACTTCGGTAACACATCGTTGTCCTATGCGTTCCGCTGATCTGTATCTGTTCAGATCTTCATGACTCCCTCGGTAAGCCCAGTGCCCAGGTTGACCGAACCGAAAGGTGGATGGTAATAAGGATGTTGAACCGATGTCGGTGCAGTAGACCATGTGTCCCCTTCAGCCTCGCCGAAACTCCTCCAGGACCGTACAAGACCTTAAATCTATCAATGCAGGGGTATCATATGTGTTGTACAAATGCGTGCTTGTTAAACTCGTCTGTCGAGCTTTGCAAGCCGCTTGGGGTGTTGGATCAACAGACGATCATCATCATACTCGTTCGTTTGCCCTTCATCTGAGCGCCGGCCAGGAGGATCATGGTTAGGTAGAAAGACCGAATAGGTAACCCAGCTCTCGGACACTGAGCCTGGCCACATTACGGCCAGCCGTCTCATCGAGCGCAGTTTCGACCAGTTCACGCTTTCTCTCCTGTAGCGACAAGATTCGATCCTCGACGGTGAATCCTCCAGGCTTGGGTTCATTGTCTTCGGAGCCTCCTTCACCGATCAAGACTCGGTGGACCGTCACCTCCTGGGTTTGGCCAATTCTGTAACATCGGTCGGCTGCCTGGAATTCCACGAACGGATTCCAGAACGGGTCGAGCATCACCACATGATTTGCGGCAGTAAGATTAAGGCCAGCATTGCCTGCTTTGAGGCTCACAAGGATGACATTGCAGTTCGGGTTCTCTGTGAACTCCATGACGGCATTGTTCCGTTCGGTCGCTGACATTGATCCGTCGTACCGGACGTAGTTGCGAAAGTCTCGATGATCGACCAGAGGAACTTCGAGGAGATCGAGAAACGATGTGAAGTTGGAGAATATGATGGTCTTCTCGTTCTTCCCACGACCCTTGATCTCCTCCAAAAGTTCAATGGTTTTGGTGATTTTGGCCGACGTCTGAAAGTTTTTGCGTAGACGCCTAAGATACTTTCGCTTCGCAGATTTGCTCTTCAGCCCCTCCTTCCGAAGCTGGGCAAGGGATTTGAAGGCATCGCGCGAATGCAACGTATCTTTCGACTTGGACTTGGACTTCTTCTTTCCCGTGCGAGATTTCGAGACTCGCTTCTTTGCCTTACTCTCATCTTCAGACTGCTCCTCGAAATCGTCGGGTACAACAAAACCGTTCAAATCGCCGCCTTCGTCCGAACCATCAGAGTCAGACTCGGATTCGGTGTCATCACAATCATCATCATCCTCGTCCTCTTCATCTTTAGTCTCTGCTGGTGCTCGATCCGGACAATGAACACGAAGAAAACTTGTAATGTCGGTGATTTTGTTGGCATCGATTTTGGCTCTACAATGAGGACATGTAGGAAGGACGTCATTGTCACTGGTGGCCTGATCAATCAAACGACTAAGGCAATCGCTGCAGAGTGCATGGCCGCAAGGGAACAGGGCGGGGTTCTCGTCAACATCCATACAGATTGGGCATTCAAAGGCGTCAATCTCCTTCAAGCGGCTAACAACTTTCTGATCCAGCTCGGCAGCGTTGTCCAGCAGAGCATCGGTGTCCAAATTCCCTGCCCCTTGAAGAAAGTCCTTGCTTTGAACAACAAGACCAGGATGACAGCAGGCTTGGCGGAGCCGTAGGAGCAGAACGAGCGCGTGAGAATAGTTTTTGCCTATGCCTCCTCTCTGGATGTATTTGTTGAACTGGATCTGAGCATTGGATTCCAGGCTTTGGTAGAAGGCCAGCTCATCCTCGTCGAAAGTCACTCTTTCTTCTTTGATTGTCTTGGGCGGAAGTTGAAGAATAGGTTCACCATTGATTTTAGAGCTTTTGGTACGTCGCAGCAATATCGCCCGAAGCAGCGCTTGCAGCGCCGTCATAGCTTTATCCTTGTTTCCATTCCGGTTTTTCAGCGGCCGAGCAATGTCGCTGCTGAACTGGCTCCATTCATTGTAAGGTCGAATCCGACAAAATTTGACCAGGCTGAACAGCTCTTCCACACTGTTCTGCATGGGAGTGCCAGTAAGAGCCCAGCGATAATCGGATTGAATACGACAAGCAGCGAGACCAGCCTTGGTGTTTCGGTTTTTGATCCACTGCGCTTCATCGAGAATCACACGGTGAAAGTGAGATCGCTCCCCAAGTACGGGGCATTCTTCGTAAGGCCTAGGTCGCGCGTCCGGAACCAATTTCAGCTTCTCATCCCAGGCCAGTTTGCGCTTGAGTTCAGACGTCAACAGACCGTATGTTGTTAGAACGACATCGTACGCCTTCAGAGCAGACCAAGTGGTTCTTCTGGACTCTCCGTACAGAACAAAAACATTGAGGCGACGTCTCGAACGGACCATCTTCTCAAGCTCTTTCTTCCACTGATGCATCAGCGCGACTGGAGCGACGACAAGCGTCGGGCGGTGTTTGTTTTCAGGTGGCGGACGGTCAAGCATCAAAGCAATGCTCTGAATGGTCTTCCCCAGTCCCATGTCGTCGGCAAGAATGCCGCCCTTGTTGGTGCCCTCCTCCATCATTCTCATCCAAGTCAGTCCATAAAGCTGATGTGGCATCAGAGTCACCTTCAAGCCATCTGGCTGCACAGCAACTTGGTCAGCACCGAACTCTTCGTCAGGTCTGATATGCTTCAGCAGGTCTTGTAGTTCTTCCTTTGTCTGAGCTGGATCTTGATATTCAGACCGCAAGTGGGCGAGTGGATCGAAAACTCTTGTGTTGCCAAAGCCAAAGCCAAAGCCAGCCTCAGCACCGCTTGAAGGAACATATGGCTGGTTGTTTCCGATACGATGAGACCCGCCCGGTGTCGAAGCAGAACCGTTATATGATGACGAGTTATATACCGGAATCCCGCCAATGCTAGCATATGTTTGCGCTCCTGGGAAGCTGCCAGGTATCATCGGCGCCGACGAATAGTGAGCGGGCTCGGATTTGATGCCGTTTGTCGTGGCAATGCGCCCAGAATTCTGGGCAGGAGTGAAGGGCGGTCTGGAGCTAGATGCATATGGGTCGGAACTCGACAAATGACTCAAATTGTACGCAGACTCCGATTTGATGGATGCCACGTTTGGATGACTCGCTCTGGGCTCTTGTTTGACTGAAGTAGAGTTGCTGATAAATGGATGTCTGACCATGGACGCCGACGGGCTTTCATGGTTTGGCGGAGCTGGTTTGGTTGAGAGACGATTTATGCTGCCGTCTGTCTTGAAGAAAGATTGGGTATAGTCTGATGGGCGGGCATAGCCAGTGGGCGGTGTGGACGTGAAGCTATCATCGTCCTGCCCTTGAGCTAGTATTCTTGCAAGTCTGGCATCTTCTTCTTGTTGCTTCTTCCGCTCTTCATGCTTCTTCCAGAACTCACGATGACGCTCTGCCTCATCCTTCGATAGATCGCCGAACAAGGAGGTTATGAATGGATCATCAAAGTCGAGACTATCGAGGCTGTTCGTAGAGTCGGCAGGAGAGGGTGCAGCAGTGACCGATGAACTTGGCGTGGTCCGTCGAGATTTAGAAGAGGGCCCGGTAACCTCATCATGGAAACTGGCATCGTCTCTGAGTCGTTTGCGATTTACTAGATCGTAGTTTGGCGGAGGCATGGGGTCGCTAGGTCTGGGAGAGAAACCGTGATTGGGAGTCTGAGCATGGCTGCTTCTAGGTCTTGTATTGGCGCTTGGGATTTCATGAATATTGACTCTTGAGAGTGGCTCGCCATCGCCGTCTTCATTGGGGGTAGGCTGCAACAGATGAAGACGCTTTTTGAGCTGCTTGAGGTTATTTCTTATGAGAGCCTTGGTGTCTTCCGTATCCGAGTCGCCATCGTCGTTATCGTTCAGACTTTCAAGAAGGCCCTCATTAAGAGCAATATCATCTCGAATATCCTCGATCTCGGCGACACGAGCACGGTCCGTAACGTCTGCCATTTTGTGGTGAGGCTGTAGGAAGTGTCAAGAGGTGCCAAAGTGATACTTAGATCGACGTGTCAGGCAGACGCGGCGCAGTTGGGCGACTGCGCCCAAACGAGCTGCCTTACGCAGGAGGCACGAGAGAAGGTCAAGGTGGGAGCAGTGGTGTGTACCGAATACAATGGTCAGGAAGAGGTTTGGAGCCTCATGAATGAGTGAAGGCCACGTTGCTGGTGGTTTGGCGGAAGAGTGACAGTGGCAAGGATTGGAGAGAAAATCTGGGGTCGGCTGTCTGCGTTTTCAAGTGAATGAGGTCGCATTCAAAAATGCGAAAGGCAAAGTGAAGTTCAAGTTCTCAGGAGGCTCTACGATAGTAATATACCATCTAATTGCGGTTGTAACGAACGTGTGCCTGATGGCCTCCCATTCATTATTACCTACAAAGTACCTTTGCTTCATTGTGCTTCCCCCACAAAGAGGTTTCCGCGTCTGCGCGTGTCTGGGTCATCCCAAAATAGACGCGTCGAATTGAAATCACATGTCCACCTATGATTGAACAGGCGTATCAGGCACGCTGTTCCACGTCAATATCAGTAAAGTATACGATATACTAGGTACTCATAATCAGTCCTTATGTTATGTGGTTGAACAGACATATATACTGAGGTAGGTGCCTGCCTTATCCCCGGCTGATGGGTGCTAGCTGCGCAACAGGTGCAAATGGTCGTGATCCCAATGAAAGAAATACCTGGTAGCCTCTAATTAAGGTATGTAGGACTTCTAGTAGGTACCGGGTACCATGTACGTGCCCTTAGCCTCTAGGGACTGCCATTACGTCGGGCTAACTAAGCCTACCTTGAGCCTAAGCCCCTAAGGTCCTTAAGGTAGGCTGCCGCACCTAAAAGCTACCTTAGTCTTGCCGTCATTGCATCCCCTCCCAATATCCCCCTCTAGAGCATCAAGAGGGTTTGTTCCTCCTCGAACATCACTCGATGGCGGACCACAGCCCAGCGCCGATGAAGCGCGTATCAAGAGCATGTACCTTCTGTCGTGCTCGCAAAAGCCGGTGCGATCTGTAAGTTTGCCCGCTGTTCCTTCGCTTCATATCCTCCCCCTGTGCCCGATGGCGGGTGGCAATGTCGCTCGCTCTGTGCTCTTCCGTGTGTGCGTCAGGTCCACTGGAGCCTCCTAAGCTCCTAAGCCCCAGATTTTCCCCATTCGCCGGCTACGACACCCAACACGCAATAGCCGTCGTTTTCGGCAATTTGCACGCGGAGGGCATTTTTGATTAACCATTGTTGCAGTGATGTTTCAGGCGGCCAACCACCCTGTGGACGATGCAAAAAGGACGGCCGCTCCTGTACCTTAGCAACCTCTAATCGCGGCGGCAGTCGTGTCCGGAAGAAAACCCTTTCCACCGCCAACCTCTCAACCTCGACCAAACCTCGCCAGTTGATGACGATCCACCAGTCGACTCCCAGTTCGCAGCCACAACCTCCATCTTACCCACAGCTCTCTGCGCATGGAGACAGCTCCGTGACCTCGACTACAGGAGATCGTCAAAATGGAGCATCTGTCGTGGAGGGGGTGGAAGATGATGATTCGGTCTCTACTACAGACAGCACTATTGGAAATACCATACCCAGGAATCCCTCGGATGCGTGGCAACTATTGAAGGATGTGGCCAGTCGTGAAGCAGATCATTTGCAGACGACGGCAACGGGGAACACTCGGGGCTACCTTTCCAGCCAGACGATCCCAAGTGCGATCAGGCCCGGGCCTCAACGTTCGGTCAATATCCATGCCGGTATCTCGAGCTACCGTCTAGTACGCGAAGGATATCTGACACCGGATGTGATTCAGATGCTGGTCAGACGCTATGCCGAGCATTATCATCCATATCTGCCTCTAGTCCCACGAAAATACTTTGATCCTGCCCAGTTGGACCCCTTCGCGGTCAGTGAGAAGCATCTGCTGACCGCCGTAATCACCATTTCTTCCAAAGATATGGTCGAGCAGCCCAATATTCACATGAGTTGCTCGCGATATATGCACGATCTGATATCGGGAATTGCGGCTGGCCATGACTGCGACGTGGAAGCAGTTGAGGCCCTGTTGCTACTCGCCGAGTGGGAGCCTCAAGGCCTTCACAATCGCATCGAGGCGGTGGGAAGAGGTGAGGAAGACCGATCAGCATGGATGCATGTCGGCATTGCACTTCGTACTGGCTACTTTCTGGGCCTGGATAGAACAGCTTTTCGCCAGGAGTCGGCGGAGGAGGCAAAGATTGATGGGCGGAAGCGCCTTGCCTGGGCGAATTGCTACGTGTCAGACCGGCTTATCTCTGTGAGAATAGGCAAGGCATTCTGGTCTCGCGGCCCGGGACCCATGACAGGACTTTCCTCTCAAGACTTCCCCTCGCTACAACCATTCAGTCCGGGGGATGAGGATTACGCCAAAATAATGCAGGCTACGCTCGATTTGACACAGCTCTACTCGAATGTTCACGACGTCCTATACTCGGGTATGCGGACGAGCGGCCAAATGATGCTCATGGGAGATTATGTCAAATACGTGGATGACTTCAGAATGGGAATCGCGCGCTGGAACACGACCTGGGGAAAGTTGGACTGCTCGCCCCATATCAAGATCACGATGCAGATGTCGTACGAATACCTATGCCTCTACACCAACGCCTTCGTATTTCAAGCCGCGATCTCCCAGGCAATTGCGAACAAGCCCAAAACCGATGCACACTCCCTAAGGGACCACCTCCGGAGCGTTTTCAGCAACGTGGGGACCATGCCAGATGCCCGCTTCATCTGGGCCAGTGTTGCCGCTGCCAAAGCATATCTAACGTTGCTCAGTACACAGATCGATCCTGGCAGATACTTGAGGTATATGCCGTTGAGATACTATCTTTATAGCATCTACTCTGCGGTGTTTTTGTACAAAGCACGATCCTTTGGCGTGATGACGGACATGGAAGCACGGCAGGTCCGACAACTGATTGTACAAGTCACGGAGGTGCTCAAGAAAGCCTCTGTATCTACACAGGATGCAGGCTCACGTTACGCCCGATTGCTCGAACTGCTATGGATCAAACCGCCCAAAGACAGTTCTCACGTCCAGCAGCCCATGGAATCGCCAGCAATGTCCGACACCCAACTTTCGTCGTCGGCTGGAAGCGTTCGAGTAGACGCTCACGGCTACATGCAGTACAGTCCGGCCAACGATTTCTCGTGGCTTGATCTTGAGGCTGTGGGTGATTATGTGTCTGGTGATCAAATCCCCGGGAATGGGATCAGTGGGCTTGCCCCGATGGCTGCCTATGAGACGGCACCCTCTTTCATGCCTCAGACTCAGGGAATATCATGGCACCAGCAGAACAATGGTCTCAGTTGGCCAATGGACGGGTCCAGCAATCTGTTCTTTTAGAGGACATCATCACGACCACCAGTTGGAAACTTGACTCCGACACCCGCTACGCTATCTCAGCCATCGTGCCGAACTTGAGGGTAGTGGATGCATTGCGGGAGTACCACTATGGTGGACGGAGCACTACAACAGAGTGCGGATAACGTACTTGGATAGACGTGGGCGATGTCGGCAACTGAATACCAAGCCCGATTGACGTGTGTGGCATCCGCCGTGGGTCGGATCTGCCCCGCACTCGACCTCCAAGCAGAGAGAAACATCGGCGCAGTCGCCGAACTCGCCGCCTCCATCCACCCTCGCATACAGAGTAAGTAGTCTCATGGATGCTTCGCCCGCAGAACTCGAGGCCGAACACTCACACAACTCGACGACTGTCCCAAAGACCAGCGTCTACTCCACGGACATCCACCATGCCCGTCGACAATGACATACGCGGCCGCCTAGCCCTCATCACCGGGGCGTCTGGCGGGTCAGTAACCCATTGGAGCACCTTGAAGTCTTTTACTGACATGCGCAGAATTGGTGCGGGTTGTGCACGAGACCTCTACAGTCAAGGCTGCCATTTGGCTCTCACCTATTCCAAGAACAAGGCGAACGTGGATTCCTTGATCGCCGACTTGCCAGCCTCCACAGCCGGCCAAAGAATATCCTCCCACCAGGTCGACATGGCATCGACCGAAGACATCGAGCGGTTATACAAGGAGATTGAGGCGCAACATGGGCACGGTCCAGATATTGTGATCGCCAATGCTGGTCACGGCAAGAGAATCCCTCAAATACAGGACATTAGTTATGAAGAGTTTGACTATACCGTCTTGATCAACTTGCGAGCACCCTTCGTGTTGGCTAAGCTAGCTGTGCCTCACATGGCCCAGCAAAAATGGGGGCGAATTATCATGATGGGCAGCATAGCAGGATATGGCGGAGGTATCAATGGTTGTCATTACGCGGCATCCAAAGCCGGGCTGATGGGCATGGTCAAAAACCTGGCGCAGAAGCTGGCCAAGGATGGGATCACGGTCAACGACGTCGCACCGGCCATGATAGGCGAGACAGGGATGATTCCCGATGCTAGATCTGTCGAAGGCAGCCCTGGAGATGTGAAAAATATCCCAGTAGGAAGACTGGGGACGCCTCAGGAATGTGCTAACATCGTGACGACGATATGTAAGACGGGATACCTGACGGGACAAAGTATTCTGCTGTCAGGAGGATTGAAGTAGCTGCCCAAATGCGATTAAACCTGCTCTGACCCTGGCGTTGGAGGAGTGGGAGAAGGACAAACTGCGCCGTGTGACCGTGGTTTCCTCAGGCCCAAGCCACTGTACAAATGCGGTCGTGGCTGGTTCGTCACCGTCTTGACTCTTGACTCTTGGCCGACGACCAACTCTCCTCGATATCCCATTTTTACTCTCTCGCCCTCTGCATCAGCCCGATCTAAACGTGCCGTGTAGACAAGCTTGAGGATCACGCTTCAGAGCACCGTTCTCGATATCTGATTGCACAGCCATGTTGGTGCAGTGACTGCCACCGACCAGTCACCCGCCCTTGTACGGTTCTTCACCGAATCTGCTACATTTCTAACTTTCACCATGGGCATCAATCCCGACGCTCATTCCGAACGCTTCATGGAGCTTACACAGAATCCCCATCACCGAACGGCCCCCGGCGAGCCCTACCAGCACGTACCTAACCCAAATCTACTGCATGGCGAAGCCATGACTTCTGCCATCCATGGCGAAGACTTGGTCTCTCGACATCGAACCGCGTCGACCTTTGACACCGAGAGCCAGTCACCCACGCATTACTCCTCTTCCGATCCTCTAGACCTCTCGCGCCGGCTGAAGTCCAAGTCCGAACTAGACCACATCACTGCGAACACCGCTCGCAAACGCAATGCTATCTGCAACCCTATGATCATCACGGGCCAGACGCAACGGTCCAAGATCTCAAATTTTTACGAGTCCCAGAATGAGCAGATCCAGAGGTTGCTGAAGCCGGTGGATGAACACGTCCGGGAAGCAAGAGACACACAGGCATCCAACCATCTGCGGTACCAGATCGCGGTGTACGGCAGCTTCGTGGCCAACATCATCCTGGCCGCGCTCCAGCTCTACGGCGCCATTGCTTCTGGTTCTCTTTCCCTCTTTACTACCATGGCCGACGCCGTCTTCGACCCGATGTCTAACGTTACCTTGATCTTGTCGAACAAGGCTGTGCAAAAGGTCGATGCCAGGAAATTCCCGGCAGGAAGAGCGCGCATCGAAACAGCCGGAAACATCGTGTTCTGTTTCCTTATGACCGCTGTCAGTTTCATTCTCATTGGCTTTTCCATCCAGGAGCTTGTACGGGGCCATCAAAGCGAGACTAAGAGTTTCCATCTCCCGTCCGTCATCGCTGTATCAGTTGCTTTCTGCACAAAACTAGGCCTGTTTCTATACTGCTGGGCCCTGCGGAATCAATACTCGCAAATCCGTATCTTGTGGGAAGATCATCGAAACGATCTCTTCATCAACGGCTTCGGTGTGCTGACGTCCGTGGGTGGCAGCAAACTGCGATGGTGGCTTGACCCTGCTGGTGCCATTGTCCTATCCGTTCTCATCTCTGTTCTCTGGCTCCACACCGCATACTCGGAGTTCCAGCTTCTCATCGGCATCACTGCCGACACGGAAACACAACAACTGATCACCTACGTGAGCATGACACACAGTGAACACATCAAACAACTCGACACCGTCCGTGCTTGGCATTCCGGGCCGCGTCTAGTAGTTGAAGTCGATGTGGTCATGGACCCCCAGGAGAGCCTGAGAGTTTGCCATGATGTGGCAGAGGACTTGCAGATGAAGCTCGAGAGCCTGCCAGACGTGGAACGAGCGTATGTCCACATCGACTATAACGGGCATCATCCACCGGAGCATTTCCTGAAGAAGGAACTATGAGACTGAGGTCGTTGGACCTCTTGGGCTCCCTCGTGGCATAAGGGCACGTTGGGTATCCAGCCATGCAGCAGAAGCATATCCTAACTCTGATACGTCATGGCATGATCGTGTCAGGCAAGATTACGACATTAACGATTTGTGGGATGGGCCAGCTGTGCAGGAGTGTTGTGCGCGGTACAGGACTAGTTTTCTCAGTAGAGTAGATGAATCAATGTATCAATGTCCTGCAGCATAAAGGCGCGAATATACACATCCCGCTCCTCTCAAAGGCCTTGCCAGGAAGGGCGAAAGAGCAGTGAGAGCGAGACCAGCTGGGAAACACATGTCTCCTTGTCCCTCGACTGCCTCGTCGCATTGCAGTCCATATTTCACACCGCAATAGCATGCGACAGCCACTGCGTCCGCCACACTTGGCCGCCTGTCCAGCCACTCGTTCCTTGATAGATGATCGTCATTTCACTTTTTGGTTCGTGGACATTCGTGGTGGTATAGGTAGCAAACGCCCATTGCCCAGCCCCTCCGTCGGCTCCACACGATTTCCCATGCCATACCTTAGGTAGGTAGTATGTATCCATTCCCGGTCAAATTCGCCGTTCTCGAAGAAGGGAAACCCCAAGCCAGCATCCAGAAATAAAGCATGCACACAATCTGCCGCCGAGGAGAATCGATGCGAAATAAAATCCAGATCACCACCCCCCAGTCAAGTCAAGGTCGAGTTCTCGTAGCAAGTAAAGACATAAAACAACGCAGACTATGCAAAAACATAAAGTGTGTTCCGGCCGCAAACTTTACCTAATGAACTAGCCCACATCGGGCACGTTCACACATCTTCTTCGTCACCGCTGCTGATACTGCATGCCTTGTTGCTGCTGCTGCGCCTGCATCACTTGCTGAGCTTGTTGAAGCTGCATCTGCTGCATGTGCTGCGCCTGTTGTTGTTGGAGAGCTGCTGCCATGTTAGGGCTCATGCCCATCATCCCATTAGGCATTCCACCGCCCTGCTGCTGAGCTTGCTGCTGGGCAACTTGTTGGCGCATCTGAGCCTGTTGAATCGACATATTGTTCATCTCAACCTGGCGTCTGCGCACGGCTTGCATGGCTGCAGTTTTAGCTTGCTGTTGCACCTGCTGGACCTCGGCGGGCTGAAGCATACTTGTGTTGCCACCGTACTTAGCGGCGGCTTGTCCCAAGAAACGCTGCTGGTAGGCGGCCAACGTCGACTGATATAATTGTTGTAGCGCAGGATTTGCTTGGGGCCGCTGCTGTGGATGTGGCACGCTGCCGCCCATCATCTGAGCTTGTTGAGCTTGGGCAGCCATCATCCTTTGCTGTTGCTGGACATGAGCTAATTGCGACACTTGCTGCTGAGGTGTCATGTGGTTCGGTGCAGGCGAGCTATGGCCTTGATTTTGTTGTTGGAGACTTTGGATTTGAGCCTTGACATGTTCGGCTACGGACTGCTTGTACGCTATCTGGCTTTGCGCAGGATCTGGCGACATGTGTTGGCTCTGCGGCGTGCCTTGCTGCATCGCCTGCTGCTGCTGCTGGTGGTGTTGTTGTGCTTGTTGCCGTTGTATGGCTGCCTGTCGTTCGGCTTGGGCCTGCTGCTGAGCCTGAATGTGTGCTATTTGGGCATGTGACATTTGGGGGGTGCCATTAGCCATCTGTTGTTGCATTGCTTGCTGCTGCAATGCCTGGCGGCGTTGCATCTCTGCAAGCTGTTGCGGATTCAACTGTCGAGGAACTCCGTTCGGAGCCTGTCCCTGCATTCCTTGCATCATTCCGGCCGGCATCATCTGAGGCGTAGGGGCCACCGTACTACCATGTGGACTAGCCTGAGTGATCTGCTGTGCGGGCGTACCTTGTCGCATAACAGGGGTTGCGTTCCTGGGCGTGCCATGAGCCATTTGTGGAGTACTGTGTCGGCTTGGCCCTTGCCCGCTCGGGACTCTGGCCATAGGGGCGCTGGGATGGCCATGTTGCACAGCAGAGCCGGAGCCGGGCCGAGGTGGAGACCCATGCCCTTGTTGTGAACCTGACATAGCCATGGGATGTCCAACTTGACCAGCACCAGTCACGACGGGCGACGAAGCCGCAAGAGGAGTACCTTGACGAATGACCGGAGAGCCACGTTGCTGAGCAGCGAGCATTTGGCTCTGCATGTTTGGAGGAATGCCATTGACTTGCTGAGAAGGAGGCCGTTGCACAGCTTGAGTATGCTGCTGCTGTTGAAAAACCGTCTGTACGTCCTGCGGCCGCGGACGCATCCCTCTCATCTCTTGGGCCCGTTGAATCATGATCCGTTTCTTCTCTTCTTCCTGCATACGATCTTGTTGACTCCTTCGAGTCTCGTCCTCTTGCAACTGTCGATCCTTCTCACGCTGCTTTCGTTCCGCGATTTCTCGCTTAATATTATCAAGGGCATTAAACTTCTCGAAGCGCGGCTGGAACAATGTGGCAGCAGCTTGGCCATCCACAGCACCGGAATTCGTAGCTCCAGTACTGCCAGCGGTACGCTCGTCCATAATGAGCATAAACCGCTCTTGTTGCTTTGCGTGAGCATCTTCCGCTGCAAGTTCCGCAAAGGTCCTCTTGCGGCGTTTGGGGGATGGAGGACGGGTGTTGCAAAGAGGGTCCTTGAGTATATCGATCAAGGTTTCGGCTTCCTCTAGGGTGTCCACTGGGTCCAAATACAATGGGGGAGCGGTGGCATTGACAATCCGCCCTTCGTATTCCAACAAATCCTTGGGATCTATCCTCAGCTTTTGTTTCTTGAGTGGCGGTCCCTTCTCCGATGACGGGGTAGGAGGCACTCCTGAGATGGGGGTTTGCGGGGCCGCCGACCCAGGTGGCCGGTTGGCGGAATTGGCTTGGGACTGCTTTCGGTTGACCGATTTGGGATCCGGTGCCATCGCATCTAGGACCAGGTCCATATGCCGAGACAAAATCGTCGGTCGCAGGGCAACATGGTAAATTCTGGGACGGGGCTTTGTCGATTTTGGCGCCACATCAATAGTATCGTCAGAGTGAAGAAGATCTCTGGTGTCGCTGGCCACTGAGTCCTGACGTTCTTGCTTAAGTGGTGGTGATCTGGCAAGGGATTGTTCTTGCGAGGGATAGGGCGCGTAAGGTGAGGGTGTGATGTATTGATTGTAGTTGTGGATAGAAAATGGTTTCTCGTCATCCGCCGCGGCCTCAGAGGTATGGACATCCTTCGCGACAGATTTATGATCCACGACTCGAACAATGAGCCATCCATCGTAGTATTTCACATCTGACTTCCGAAACTCTTCAACCATGTCGTGCGGGATAGTTCCTTTGGCGAGATGTTCGATGAAGACGCGCATTTCAGAGTGATAGCTGAAGCTTCCATCTTGCTGGTCAAAACGAAAGTGTGTGGGGTGGAGATGGACAATTAGAGAGGGCGGGCACCCTTTGAACTTGCGCAGGATGTAGGACTCTTTAGGCACTGCAAAGGCGCGGTCAGTTGGTGCTGCAGGACGCGAGAATAGCCATGAGGGACAAACCATATGGCTCCGGGATCTTCTTGGGCACCCGCTTTTCAATCGAGCCATTCTCTGTGTTATTTCGTATGGATAACCGTGGTTGTCGCCGATTCGATCGCGCTGTGCCATTGACCGTGGCACTATTGCTCGAAGCAGAGGTCGGAGTTGGGTTCTGGCCGGGGAGGCTTTTCCTAGCACTCGAGGGCGACGAAGACGGTGCTGTCGGCTTAACACCGTTCACATTCGTTTGTACCACAGGCGTGGGGGGCTTCTTCATCTTGGTGGCAGTTCCAGCCGGCTTAGCCATGACTGCAGCCATTGTGTGAAGACGATCTCCTGATTTGCCACGGGTCCCTACTCTTCCAGAGATGTCACCACTATTCCGAAGCAGTAGCAGCCTCTTGGAAAGGTGCTCGGCCAGAATGCGACGCTGCTGGCCAAACGCGCATCATGAGGGGCAGCAGGTTAGGTTGGACCCTGGCTCAGGCAGGTATGGAGGTGTATTCGGTCCAGTTCTTGGGTATAGGGGTGCCAGAGGCCAGCGCGGTCAGGGAATTATACAAAACAGAATCAAAATGGATGGAAATGTCGAGGAGTTCAACGTTGATGATGCGCAGTCGCAACACGATCGATGTCTCATTAAAGGTCAAAGGCTTGGCATTTCTCGACGTCTGCCCGGTGCTCGGCCTCACGTGGACACCTCGGTCCCCCCTATTAGGTGCCCCCTATTAAGTGCTGGCCTTGCGCGGCCGTCTCTTGTAGGAACGACGTCGGTATCAAGGAATGGGGCAATACTCGTACGCTGGCACAGTACCCAACGTTTTCTGCCAACTACAAAGATCTGCATATGGCAGAGTTCGTGCTGTTGCCCATCTCCTCGCGAAGCCATACCCCCTAATGAGGCGAAGGCTCGATGGCTCTCAACCACAGAACAATCTCTTTCCGCGCTCAAGTTGAACAAATCATACGCCTACGAGCTATTGCTTTGGACCAAGGTAGACCTCTACCCAATAATACTTGTCCGATCATAGCTCGCACGTCGGCTCCTTTTAGAGCGGCGTTGTGACCTTTCAATCGTGGTGACTCGGTGGATGGAACAATTTATTGGGGTTGAAGCTATCCATAAATTATTTATCACAGCCGGGGTTCATAAGGCTTGCAACCCTCCAATTCTAGAAACAATTCAGTCAGAAGTTAGAATAAAATATTTTCAACATCAAATGCCGTAGAACCCTTCATAATCCTAGTAGAGGAAGACCTCATGGGTTATACTATAGATGAGATTTCATACCTCGAGTAGCTGTTCCGATCGCTCAATTCGCAGATACTGCAGATGACAAGCAAGACTTTCATGACCATGACCATTGACATTATCCACCACACCGGCGCTAGTCCCTCTCGTCAACGCGTCTTCGCCAGTCTTCCCCTATTTTCAGGCTCTCCACTACTGTAACCTGTTTCCCGAGGCCAGTCCGTTCTTCCTTCTGCCACCACGTCTCCGGCTTCTGGACGGCTGATTCATCATCCGTGTCAATTAAACCGCCATGGCCGCCTTCGTCCCCAATCACGACGACCGTTTGCCGGACCCAGCCCGACAGATCTGAAACGATTTCTCCATCCCGACCACAGAGAGATTCCTGGATGTACACAATCTCAGGAGCCAGGCTTCGTAGGATATGCTTGTGCCCATGAGGAGTGGTGAACGGGAGGATCAGAGTCTCGTGGTCGACGATCTCGGTGGCTTGGCTATAGAGAGTCTGGTAGAGGGAGGCTGGTTCATCAATTGGTATGGGATCCACCGATGCCAGAAGAACTTCTCCTGTTCCAGACAAGAATTCTCCCGGAGTATGGGATGGAGTCTGAGCATCAGTCTGGCTGATGTTTGAGAACGACGAGGTCATAGACTGCGAAGGGCGGCTGGCGGCGACCGGACACAGCGGATGTGTTTTGAGATCTGGCGCGTAGATGAGAACAAAGACTCTCGTCCTGTCTGTATCGATATGCTCCCAGAGATGCGTGAGAATGGACTGTGCGCCGGTAAGCATGATGTACATCTGGAATACGGGATTTGAGAACACTTACGGCATGGTGACCCACCTCCGATTCAGCATCAGCGGCAGGGCCAACAGCAGACACAACCACAGCCACGTTCCTTCTCTTCTGTCTCGCAATGGATGTATATTTTGGAATATCAACATGGCCGGAAAAGAATTCTTCCGCTGTCCCACGTCGTCGTATGCCTTGCTGTATTTCTCGTTCATTGTCCCGCTGCTCCGCCTCTTCGCTCCATCTCTCGTGATCTTCATACGCTTCGGTACCTCCACCACTTAGCGAGGTAATAGCGGCACCGAACATTGCGCCGGCTGCTGCAACCCCGGCTGAGAATGGTTTGTTGGCCCAGTCGTACGTTTGGGCTTGACTCTGAGGTTGGCTCTGGGAAGGGGTCGTTGAACGGCCAAACCCGAATGCGCTTGACATTCTTGCTACTAGACCTGCCTCCCCCGGCTGCTCGACTGCACTTGAGCGGGCATTGTCGTACTGTGCTCCGCCGCTAGGAAACCCTGCTGGTGGTGGACCTTGAAATCCTCCCGGTGCGAAGGGAACAAAACCACCAGGCTGTTGCTGGCCAGGCATCATCGGAGCTGCAGGATCTTGTAGATCGGGACCTGGGAATTGGGGGCCTTGAAATCCACCTGGTGGTGCTGGGCCAGGGGTTATTGCGCCGCTCATGCTTGCATAGCCTGGAGGTGGGACACCTCCCGCGTAGTGTTCGTCTTCACTAGAGTCTTCCTCGTCATCGCGCCGTTCGCTCCATACCCAGGCAGCGAGTCCAATTGTTGCTGCTGTTACCGTGAGCACCAGTGGCACCCAGTACCCAAATGTCGACCTGCTGCCGTGGCCACTGGTGTTCGTAGTTCTGCGCCTGCGCTCAGTCACCGTGTATTGGTAAGACATGATGTATCTGTCCGAGGATCACAGCGCCAGAAGGGCTCCGACTGAGTCGGACAGCTTCGAAGAGATTGTTTGGATCAGGCCAAAGGGCAAATGTACAGTGCAATGCCTGGCGCAAGTGGGCGTTGTCATCGAATGGGGCTGCTATGTTTACGAGGTTTAGCCGCGGTCTTTCGTGCTGCGGGCGTAGAAGTGACAGCCTGGCACCGAACCAATGGTTTGGTCAGTGTTCAGAATTGGTCGGAGGAAAGACAAGAAGAAGAAATGCACGGACAATGGAGGGATATACCAGCAGTGAGTGGTGCAGGTGAATCAGCGTGGGTGGCTGGTTGCGCATGAAGCTGGCGCCGTCCGAAACAAGCATGGGATCATTCCCAGCCTGCGGCTACTGGCGTTTCCCCACATCTCACATCTCACGAGACGAACTGTTCCGCCACAGGCCCATCACCTGCCTGTTCGTTGAGATGACCAGATCTTGACATGGGCGCCGTTCGTACTGGACCTCGACCACAACACGCATGATGGACTCCTCTTCCATACGGCAGCGAGCACCGAAGTCACAACCTTCATCGAGCTCTTCGGAGCATTCATATTCTCAGCCTGACGAAATCGAAGACGCCAACACCCGCGTAATATCTCTTCTTGACATCTTACGTATCATCTTCACCCTCATCGCTGTCTCGTGCGCCTTGTCATACTACTTGACTTCTGGTTCGTCCTACTTTTGGAAATACAATCCGTGGTTCGCCAGTCCCTCGCAAGTCGCCCGCTGGTGGAAGGGTCCATTACTCCTCACGCCGGAGCAACTAGCATTATACAACGGCACCGACCCCGAGAAGCCAATATACCTTGCGATTAATGGGACAATTTTCGACGTGACTGCTGGAAAGCATACGTATGGTCCCGGTGGCAGCTACGAAGTATTTGCCGGTCGAGATGCTACAAGAGCTTTTGTCACAGGGTGCTTTCTGGAAGACCGGACGGGTGATCTAAGGGGAGCCGAGGAAATCTATATCCCGATTGACGACCCAGAAGAAGAGATTGCAAGTGGGGCAAGGAAGACGCGAGCAGAGAGAGAACGTAGGGCTGCAAAGAAACGCGTGCTGCAGGAAGTGAGAAAGTGGGAAGAGTTCTACAGACACCACAAGAAATATTTCGAGGTCGGAAACCTGGTTAATGTGTCAGAGTATCTGGATAAACCACCCGTACTATGCGAGGCCGCCCAAAAAGGGAGACCCAAGAGAAAGAACATCAGGACAGTAAACGAGGTCGAGGCGCCAGGGAAACCTGTGCAATGAAGCCAAAATCGGCAGGATTTGAGCACCTTATCTCACGGAATAGATGAAACAATAACTTGGCAATAAGACAAGCGCACTTGGATTTCGAGTTCCTCACAGTTGTTTGTTGGCAGGGCGTCATTTTGTAGAAGCATACCTACTTAACAGGAAGAATGAAAGACTTGACTGCCGTGATTCTGGAAGGTTGTGTGTTTGACCTTTCATTTATGCTAGAGTCCTGCATTCCACCGGTCCTCGAGTGCATCCATAGCATCCTCCACCAGTATCAATCCCATCAGAAGCATATCCGATGTGGTCACCGGCGCGAAAGGCGCGATATTCTCTGTGAATCGTGCTCGGCAGACTCGGCCATGTGTTGTTATCCTCTGTTCCACCGGCGCTCGTAATGTCATCTAATCGCTGTCGGCTGCCGCTCTCGTGTAAATGCTGCCCGTGTGATGTCCGACAACCTTGCGGATGACGCCCCGATCCTCGAGATCAGCAAGGGCTCTCCGTGCTAATGAGCCATTGATCTTCAATCTGTCGACCAGAACGGCCACGGTGATGAGGCGGTACGACTGAACGTCCTTGTTGAGTTTGTCCGAGATGGCTTTGTCCAAAACGACGGCGTGCTGGGCCTTGTCCTTGACTGCGCAATAAAAAAAAAGAAGTCAGCTCAGAAATAAGGCAGAATGACCTGCAAGACTATGTGGAAGATATGGAAATGAAGGGCAGGACCGGAATCATACCCTTTCCCTTGGACCACTTCTTCTTCTGCTTCTTGCCGCCGGAGGATGCTGAGGGCGCCTGTTGTCATCAGTCAATTTGATCGGTCATTCGATCGGGCGCGATTAGAGATGAATGCGTACCATTGTTGCGGTGTTTGTCTTGAACGATACTAAAGATGGACAGGAGAATGAGGTCAAGGCCGAAAGAGAAGTTCTACGCCCGCAGTTCCAAAAAGGGTAATAGGGCAAGGGTCTTGGCATAGAATTTTGGGCCGCGGACCAGGTCTACCGGAGGAGACAGAGAACCGAAACTATCAGGTTTACGGGCAATTGACGATGGTAATTCTGTGCAAACATTGTCATTGTAGCCGTCGGTTGCGCTATCTAATGTATCTGTGGCCCTAGCTCATGAGAGGGCCGGCTGGAAGTCACAAACTTTTCGGGTATCTTCCCTCGCTCATGCTGTCATACAGAATACGCTCAGGATACATTGTCTAGTAGAAGAAGCCGATGATCTTTCCGGAGACATGCTTCCTTCTGGCTTCCTCGTGATCCATAATACCGGCACTTGTGGTCAGAACGATGTAGCCGAACTGACGAGACGGCAACAGCTTGACAACCCACTTCTCCAGATCCCGGAGTTGGACGTTGTACCGAGGGGAGATGACACCGGTCTTGTTGAGACGGCCGTTGAGCTGAATAACAACTTTGCCGCTGCGGTGGTCGTCGACTTCCTCAAATTCGCCAATGTAACCTAGAGAAGTAATTGTCAGCATGGTTTGTCAACAAGGTGTTGCGGCCGAATAAACATTGTACAAACACGGATGGAAAGGCAAGTAAATGTGTAAGATCGACCGCGGAAAAATTCAATCTCTCGGATACTTAAAGGGCAAAGGTCGTCGAGGAATATTGAAACCACCGCCTAGTTATCAACCCGAGTGTATAATGCTGGTCCGCATTGATCCTTCTCTTTTCGCGACAGATGAAATGGGATTTCTGGGAGATCCACGTACCGTGCTTCTGCATGACAGCCAAGAACTTGATGATGACCTTGGAGCTCGGTCGGATCATAACTTGACGCTTGCCGGCCTTCTCGGCGTTGTTGATGCTCTTGAGAGCGTCATTTAGAACGGAGGTTTTGACCATATTGGCGGTATTGAAGTGGTGAGATTCTCAAGTCGTGTAAACTAGGACTTGAGGTGTCTGCAAGTGAAACATCATGTTAGTCTTCAGTAGCCTCGAGCACGAAGAGTGCCCACTCAAGGGTTCTTCAGCTCGTGTCGCAAAAGATGAGCGTGTCCGAAACTGCGTGTGCATCCTGGAAATGGTACAGACCAGGAGCAGACAGCCGGATTGCTCATCTTAGGCTAGCTGAAGAGGGTTGGACTTCGCACATACCTCAGGGGAGTTGGTGTAGGTTGATGAATGAGAATTGTTGATGTCGACGTGGATGGGAGAAGATTGGGAACTGCGCTCGTCTTCACGAAATTGATTGTGCTTCGCCAAGATTTGGCTGGACTATTCCTGATTTGGCGGTACTGGGGCTTCGGCCAATCAATGCTCCAGCTCTATTCAGCCTCGGCCAGAACAGCAGTCTTTCTCTTTCACAGAATGGCGGATGGTGTGGAGGACATTCTGACGAGGGGTTTAATCTGCTCAATTCATACTGATCACAGTGTTCCATGGTACTCAAGTCGTTCGCGCCTTTGCTGGGGCGATGTCATAAGCCATAGAACACACACCACAGCGAACCCTCACTCTCGGATCTAGATAGGAATAGAGAGTGTATTGTTGTTATTCCAGAGATCGTTAACAATGGCATATACAAGAGGGGTCATAACTCTGACAGTCGTTGGTGATCAATGGTCATACCATGGCTTGTTAGGTGACTGTAAGAATGCAAAGCTTTGGATAATTCTTGCTGCATAATTATAAATATTTTACATGGACCGCAACTTCCACAGTAGTGTCAATAGTGCTCCTACAAACCACCCAGTCAATTGTATGAGTTGTTTTCAAGCTGATTCTCATTAAGGGATCCTGCAAGGCCATCAATACATTCCTGAGATATATAACTGCTTCGTAAGAACATTGGTATCGTTTCTCAAAGAAGCTATGTTCTTCCCGTGACATATTAGCCGGTGTGTTATCGCCTACTGAATTTCTATGTCGGGAGAGCAGATGCATAGGTCCATCGCTCTATGCAGGCGACAGCGCTGGTGCATGGCAAGTCCAGGAAGTCTTTAGGGTGTAACGTCACAGAACGCTGAACTTCGAAACGACCTGAAAGACATGCCGGCCCTGTTGATGTCCCAATGTCGCACTGTTGGCTCTCTCCTCTACAGCAGTATCTTGTGTTATTGTGTGTATGGTATCCGCAGTTGAATTTGCGCATGTTATGGATTTGTTAGAATCACATGTCCTGGGATTGAATGGACCTTTGAACTGCCTCACCCGAAAGTGAATGGCCGCACACTGTACTTAACACGTTGTTCATGTGTACCATGCAGCCAGATTCCCTTAGGCTTGGAATAACCACTCCTATCCATGCCACATTGTCGGCAGGGCTCCCGCAACCTATTCAAGATGTCGGCGTCACAGTCAACGCCTCGTAAGCGAACCGCAGATGAAAACTGGGTGTACTTCTGTGAGAATGCTTGCCTCACCAGTTTCTCTGGTTGTGTTGACGAAGACTCGACGATGACAGAACGAGAGATCTCTGAATACATTTGGCACTCGAATCCGGAACTTCATGAGAAGCTGAACCGAGTTCGTCTCCCAAGTTCCTACTTGGCATCTGATGAGATCGAGCACACAGCTGGTCGCCAAACTGTGCCGGCCGAGCGCATCCTATCATCGTTTTTGGATCATGCAGGAAGAGCCGAGGGAACAAAGTTCCATTCAGTGAACAATGCTCAGTTGCCATCTGGCGAGAACAGCGGCGAAGACCACGCTACGGAGTTCGTTTTAGGTATGCGTGCGTGACTTTGAAGGTCCTCTGGGCTCGGAACTAATTGACTTAGCAGATCGATACCGCTTCAACTTGCATCAGCATTCGGATCCCGAGACAATATACTGCTGCTCCTATCCTACCTGCCGAAATCCCCTGAACGTGATACCTCTTGGAGAATGCTATGGCAGCGTGACAGACGAAGCTTGGAACAAAAACAACAATTTGCTTACAGAGTACCCAAGAATGGTGTACTACTGTTTTGATTGTCTTCAGGAAGTACTGAAACAGAAATTCGAAGTCGAGATGGTGCACCAGAAACTTCCGCAACTTGTTGATGGCACCCGTGATAGAGAGATGGTGCTTGAGTCAGCAGAAAAGATACACCCACTTCTCCAGGCCAAGGAACTGAAATTCATGTACTTTCCCGAAGAGCCGCCCCTGACCCCAGGAAAAGATTCCAATTCGAAGAAAGGCAATCGTCTGCGCCGCCAGAAACAGTACGAGATTGAACGAATCCTGGAGGCGCTGACGGAGAAATACCTCAGAAAGAGAGAATACATGAGAGGCGGCCAAGATACGGACTCGATATCTTCGGAACTTCAGATCCAGCCCCGACGTGATGTGTCGCCTTTCCGAGATAGATATAAGAAGCAAGGGCTCGAGTACTGTGAATTACACAATCAGTTCGGATCAGGTGAAATACTTGAAGAAAACGAAGCGGCCACATCAAAGTTTGTCGGAGACTCCGGAGACGAGAGTGTATTGAATTGTTTCTGCAGAGAGCCACCAGATGAGGAGGGGATGATTCGCTGTAGTGCGATAACCTGCATGTTTGGAGCTGTTCACCTGAGGTGCTCTGGTCTCAAAGATGTGGCTACTATACCCGAAGAGTTCATTTGCAAATACTGCAAAGGCCACGACGCTGCATGTTCCGAGAATGACTGTTCGGACGATACAGTACAGAAGCGAGATCTGGGCTGGTGGAAAAAGTGCTCGCCACTGGATTGCAACTCCATCAGAGATGGGATCACATGGAAAAATGGCATGGACACCGATAATGAGTCAGAAGAACGTGACGAAGATGCGGCGGCGGACCTGGGCCCCGTGGGTGAGCACCCTTCAGGATTCATCGCGGTCAACAGTCCGCCCCCGAGGGCATGTGATGAGATAAACTGCACCTTGCAATTCGCTTGCGAGAACCGCTTTGTTGGGAAAGGGGCATCGTCAAAGGAATGATTCTGGCACGATATGTGTAGTCGAATGGGGCTGTGAGGGAGACGGGGCTCTTTCTTGCCCGACAGCTTGTTGGATTTCAGCCACTGTTGGATTTCAGCCAACACAGCTTGGAGGTTAAGATGCACGCGGATAACAGCAATGCACTCAGAATATCATGAAGGTGTGCAGAATGGTGTTATCTTGCTGCCAGTGTAGGACCGAGATCTAGAGCTGAGATGACGGTAGGGACTTATGTAAGACAGTCACGTGATAAGACTTTGGACTAGTACTAGTCAAGTTAGTCGCCTGAGCCTGCACTACTGGCATTGCTGCTCTTTGCATTTCAAGTTCTCTGCTTCATCATTTCTGCGCATCTCCGGCGATTTCGCACATCCGCACCAGATCTTGACACCCACGACATACTCGTTTAGAATCGAGGTTTTGTTGTGGAACGAGGAGCATCTCGCGCCATTAGGCCGTTCCTCGCATAAATTACTGCAAGGGTTTGCTGCGCACAACCTTGCTCTTCTACCAACTCTGACCACGTCCAAGTGAATCCATCCTTCATTCGGCTCTGCACTACCGAGCACACCACGAACGGCTGCTCAAAATGTCAGGGCTCGACGTTGAGGCTCTCCTCGATTCCACCGCCGCCGAGGAAGTCAAAGACACTCTAAAACAAGACGATGATCGCCATCGTAGCGACCGTGCCGACCGGCGTGATCGAGAGAAACACCGTGATGGATCCCGTGACCGCGATAGGGACCGCAAACGACGCGATCGAAGCCGTGAACTTCGACGAGAGATAGACGACGACACCAAAAGTCCCCGAAGCGACCATGGGAGTGCTAACGGAAGTCACAGAAGTAGCAGGAGAAGAAGTCGCAGCCGGGATGATGAGAGGAGACGTTCCAAACGAGATGAAGACTACCACCGTCGAAGATCCAGGTCTCCAGATGCTGATCGCTATCACTACCGTCCAGGCGGAAGACCAAAGCGAGACGATGATGACAGGCGGGATCGAGATCGTGATCGACGACGCTCGGCAAGTCCGAGAAAACGTGTCAAGAGCAAAACCCCCGAACCACAGCTCACTGAAGACGAGCGTGATAGGAGAACGGTGTTTGTTCAGCAACTTGCCGCCCGTCTACGTACCAAAGAGTTGATTCAATTCTTCGAAAAAGCGGGTCCCGTCAAGGAGGCACAAATTGTCAAGGATCGAGTCAGCGGACGGTCCAAGGGGTGAGTCCCATTACTTGCCATGCTGCGTAGGCCCAGCTCTAATTATACGTAGTGTTGGCTATGTCGAATTCAAACAAGAAGAGTCGGTACCTCTTGCGATCCAGATGACCGGACAAAAGCTTCTCGGAATCCCCATCATTGCCCAACTCACTGAAGCAGAGAAAAACCGACAAGCACGCAATCCGGAAGCCAGCACTGGCCATCACAACTCAGCCCCTTTCCATCGCCTCTATGTTGGAAATATTCACTTCAGCATTACTGAGCAAGACTTGCAGAATGTCTTTGAGCCTTTCGGCGAACTCGAGTTCGTTCAACTTCAGAAGGACGAGACAGGACGGAGCCGAGGCTATGGATTTGTCCAGTATGTGGTTTGAATGAAAATGAAGATTGTCCGCTAATTTCCCCACAGGTTCCGTGATCCCAATCAAGCTCGTGAGGCTCTTGAAAAGATGAATGGTTTTGACCTCGCAGGACGTCCGATCCGAGTGGGCCTTGGCAATGACAAGTTCACGCCGGAATCAACTGCGAACCTCCTCCAACGCTTTCAAGGACAGAACCCGCCTGGCTTTCAAGGGTCCGCATTTTCCGGCTCCGGTGGCCGTGGGGCCCAGGCTGGCGGCTCTGGAGGCGCATTTGATCGTGCAGGCGGCCGCGATACCGACAAGGGCTCTGGAAATGCCAGTGCACTAGATGACACAGACGTGGCCGGTGTGAACTTCAACAATTACAGCAGAGATGCATTGATGCGGAAACTCGCTAGGACAGATGACTCTCCCGCCGAAGCCAATCCAAAACGGGTTGCCCTGCCCAAGAAGGAAAGCAGGCCTCTTCCTGTCAATGTGAGCCAGGCGAGCAGATGCGTTTTGCTTCGCAACATGTTTGATCCTGCCGAGTACGTTGTCCCAGATTTATTTTCCATCCCGCGACATTGCTGACACGTCCTTCAACAGGGAAGAAGGTGAGGCCTGGGTCAAAGAACTCGAGGACGATGTCCGTGCCGAGTGCGAAGAAAAATATGGCCATGTTGTACACATCTCGGTCGATCCAAACACGCAAGGCGACATCTACTTGAAATTCGAACGTGTTTCGGGCGGCGAGAATGCCATCAAGGGTTTGAACGGCCGATACTTTGGCGGTAGGCAAATTAGCGCTCAGCCCGTTGTTGACGCCGTCTACAGCAGTCTTTTTGCCAGGACCAAGGCCTTGTGATAGCGCACAGCATTCAAACCCGGGCGAGTTCACGTCAGAGATTGACATGACTGAGGGGAGGGGCGTCTTTATCATGTCTAATCGTTGACCTGCTGGTTAGGACAAGGCGTACTGCGGGCCTGCAGTCGTTCACAGCTGAAGGACCAGGGGAATCGAGCCACCATGTGGTTTCGGCCGACTCGAGCTAGGAAAGCAGGCGACCGTTGACTTTGCTTTAGATTACTTCCATTCAGTCCCTCGCTTCTGGCTCGCGGGATGTGGGCGGTCAATCACAGCTGGTGAATTGAGATGGGGACGGAGTAGTTCGTTCCACATCAGATTTGTCATGGAGGCCCCGGTAGGTCCCCATTACTTTGGTTTTCGTGCCCTTTCAAGTTGATAACTACCTTTTGAGCACCAGACGACAGAAAGGCGTTGAGATGAATGTCCAAAAGTTGATGAGTTTATGGTGTTGGACTTCTGGATTTGATTTATGTTCTTGTCATGTACAGTTGTTTCCAGGCACCATCGTTGCCTTCCACAGTATTGTAGTTTCCATGCCCGCCGCCGTCGGACTCGTTCAATCACGATGCCGCCACCACCACATCCCTGTCACCATTACCGCCAGACGCCGAGATTTGAATCCTAACTTCCATCGTCCGCACCAGAATCAACACAACGTTCGTTTCGAAATTGTCCAGTGATAAACCTAGATGCCTCAAAGGGCTAGGGTTCCGTCTGGATTCGTCGGGCTTGTTCCTTTCTCTGTTACCCATACCACCACATCTCGGGCTCCAGAACACACATCGGCTTCCTTTCTTGACCACCTTGCGACGTTCAGCTCTGTCTTGTCAGCGGCCACAAACACTCTGGAAAACCCACTTTCCATGGAGTCTGTCAACATCGATAGACAAGATGACATTCAGGTTCTGCTCTTCATGGATTGGAGTATCACTGCACCGTTGGGCCAAAGTTCGGCATCCTGGAAGGCTTTTTGGAACACTTCTTCTCCATCCGGAGTTTGTTTAGTGGGTTCATGATGCAGCTCCGACTTGGTTTGCTTGCTTGCTGTACACACCGCTGGCAGCGGAACGGTCTGGGCTGCTATCTCGATTCAACAATCCATCTCCTTCATTGGCTGCTAGTTTATAAGCTAGCCATACAGTACCTCCTGGGCAGCGAGGTCGGAAACTTGCAGAAATCCTTCAAACAGTGGTAAACCCCTGAAGAATGCCCCCAATTGTGTCCTCTTCCTAACTCCCTGCTGTGAACTCCTGTTTGATGTTGCTCAACGGTCTTATGTTCAGACCAGTTTCCTTGAAGAATAGGAGACTCGTTCTCTTCAAACCACCCTCAGGCATGTCTCCCTGGTCATCCTCATGCGAGACGGCTGAAAATGACTCTGGAGAGGATGGATGGTGACCATCATTCATGGAAAGCAATGGTTCCGGACTCGACGAGCGGGTTGACGTGATCAAGGTCCGGACCTGCACCGGGAGTATTCTCTCGTGCACACTGGGGTCTTTCCGTATCTCAGATCTCGAGCCTAACAAGGCATTGTTCGTGATGACCTTCTGGTATGTTGCCTACAACGCCAGCGTCGCTATTTACAGCACCAATCTCATTGCTAGAGCAGTTCTCTGGCTGGAGCTGGCAGTTGTTGGTTGAAACACAGGGTCCTGCGGGATGACTCTGGTGCCGAGAGAGTGCTGGTCAGGACGGCTAGGATGTTCAGGCGAGTGGAGGAGGAAGATGGGTCGGTATGGGTCGACCGCTTGTTGTAAGGCTCGAAGGAATCTAGCGCTAGGTTTCTGTTCATCTATGTGTGAGTTTCTCTGCATTTGCTCGGCTGAGTCCATGGGCCGACCTGGTGATACCTCCCTCAGGGTTGATGAATGTTGCTCCTGCACTTTGGAAAGAGGTGGTGGCTGTTTGTGCCTTCAGATCTCATGGGACAGCATGGGACATACTCACAAAGACGGTGCTTGGGACCTGTGAACATGAAAGAAACGAACAACCAGAGACACTTGCAGCCTCTCCCCTGCCGTCCCCACAGCATCAGCCGCACTGTCCAGCCGCATTGCTGCCCGTCCAAGCATTCATGGGTGCGGCTGGAGCTTGCATCGGCGGCTGTAACGGGTTAGGGCCCACGGATCGACTTTAAATATCCCTCCTCCTCTTCTCCTCTTCCAAATCTTCTTCCTTCTCTTCATCCTCTTCACCCTGCTGTCCTCGGCATCATTTTATCCTCTAAACCCCGTCTTTAGTTTCCTTTGTCCTCTCTGGTGGTCAAGACGACAGAAGACACAAGGGTGATGCACCATAATTGGTGCATCACCCTTGTAGTGATCATCACAGTGTCTTTGAGACACTGACAAGTCCTCGGTAAGATCTGCTGTCCACAACTCACCTTGCGAACAAGACTGACATAGACAGGTTTTATTGTACAACAAAAGAATGGCGCAATAGCGCACTGCCTCCCCCTGTGGGGGGCGCAATATGTGCTTTCGGTACGTCTCTTTCCTTGCCATCTTTCACCTGGTTTCATGCCATTCTGGACGACGTCGACAAGAGGAAGAACAAGAGGTTGGAAAGACAGGACACAACGACTGGCTGTGCCAGGGGCCGCAGTGTCAACTGCCCTGGCTGGAGCTTCTCCCGTATCATCAAATGAGCCGCCCCACTTGATGACAAGGCTGGCCCTGGTCGAATAACAGTGACAACCCAGTGCCACGGAACATATCACACAGGATGCCACCAAAGCTTGCAGTGATATCCTCGGCCATCAAGCTGTCCTGGTAGTCTCACTACCCTCGAAAAATCGGATACCTGGCTTGCATGTGTCAGTCACTTTGTCCCGGCTGCAAAGTGAACAGACATTCGATTCCACTCGGCCACTGGACACCAGGCCCATTGTTGATGAAGTGAAGAAACATCCAGGGCATTCACTGTATGTGCCTCCCTTCAGGGGTACATAAGGTGGTCTGCCTCTGTCGAACTTCTTCCTCTCTTTCATCTCCCTCTTTTGCCACACAGACGACGCTCAGGTTGAGCTTTGGACTCTTCTGCCCTTCTACTCAGAAGAAACATTTGATATTTCAGCCGCATCTCTTTGACGATTTTTGACGATTTTGGAGACGAAAAGCAACTGGGTGTATTTGTCCTCTGGATACCTTTCAGCACTCTGAAAGTTTCTCACCTCCACCATCCCCTCTCGGATCGAGCTTGGAGCCACTGAACTCAACCGCCACTCATTTCGATCGAAGTCGAATCCTTTTACTGCCACCTTTTCTTAGGGCATCTCCTGGTGCTGTGTCCGTTGAAACACTATCTTCAGACATCCTGATCTGTTGTAAACTCAAAAAAACCGGTCGTTTGATTTCTGGATTTGGCTGCGCTTCCTCCGGATCTATCGCAAGCCGGAGTCAGTCCGGATCTGTTGGGGAGTTGTTTCTTTCAGTCAAATACAAGTTGGACCACCGTTGCTAGAAGAAAGGATTCAATCAGCACGTGGCGGTCATCATCGGGTCTGAATTTGCCTGCGCCCTCGTCGACGTCGTCCAATCTGGCTTGGCACAGAAACCGCTATAAGTACCTTACCTTCACTAACTCTCCTCAGCACAGAATTTTCTTTATTTTTGGTGAGCACTGCTCTTCTTTACCTCCATTCACTCTCGGAATCAATCGCCCTCTCTGTCAATTCATCACCATACCCCAGTCACTCTCCGGAGCCTGGAGCCGGGACGTCGCCAAGAGGAAGCGAGGTTACCGCTCCTCTCGTCTACAACTCGAATCAGATTGCAGCCTGCACCCAAAACCTCACTTCTGATCACTTCACACGGAATCCTTGAATCCCTGACTTCGCCCGCTTGGCTTCCGCATCCACGGCACATCTCTTGCTCACCAAACTTCTGCTACAGACCAAAATGTCGTATCTACACGGCAGCGGCGTCGGTGGTGGCATGCCTACCACCCCTGTGCCTCACGAGGCACAGGAGAGACTGCTCCATACGGAGCAGTCCTACGCCAGAAAGCAGCAGGAGCTGCAGAGCCTGGTCCAAACGAGGGCCTCGACGCCAATGTCAGCCGCAGAAAGCGGCAGAAATAGTTCGGAAATTGCACAGCTACAGCAGACTCTGCGGCAGATGGAGGCTGAGATCAATACGTTGAAGGCCACAAACCTTCGACAGATGGCCACCATCAAGACACAGAGTGAAGCCATCGCCAACCCAAAGAAGCACTACGTTACGCCCGTGCGCTTTAGAGACAATCAACCACACGGCACGATGCCCAGTCGAGATCTAAGCCAAGTGATGCCGCCGCAGTCTGCCCAGTCATACAATAGACGTACATCTGACAGCATCCCTCGGCAACAACCATACCTGGCTACTGCACCGTTGCTTCCATCTGCACATGATCCACAGCCACAGCCCACCAACATACACGACCCTTTCTGTGCAAACCGCAACGCGTCATGGAACCAGCAACTGACATACCAACCGCAAGGTCCACAGGTGCAGCAATTCCCGATGGGATACCATACAACACCTACAGGTCCAAGCCGCGGCAGCCACGGCAGCCACGGCACTCCATTTAAAGCACATGGAAGCAACCAAGGGATGTTCGGCAGCCAGCCACAGGTGCAACAACCCTCCAATCCACAATCCATGGCGCTGGTCCCGGCATCTGTTACAACTGAGTGGAACGCGGTCAAAGCACAACTGGCAAAGGTCTGGGGCATGGCAGAGGCATTCTCCCGCTCACACGTCAACATACCAAGCACGGCAAGGGACAATGCAATGCCCCAAAAGCTCAAAGACACTCTTCTCAATGCGGCAACAAGGACGACAGCATTTCAATTCATGTCTACCCCACTCTATCGATACTTCTTGGTGACAAAGGTTATTGTGCAGTGGCTGATGAACAATGTCCTCAAGGTGGACAGCTTTGCTGGCTTTGACACCAACACCGACCGAGTGATCGAGTCTTGCCGCAATCAGATTTATCAATGTAAGTACACCTCATGGCAGCATGACCGCAACTTCAGCTAACGGCGTCTTTCAGCGACGCCTGCCCAAGTCAAGTTCCAGCTACTCACAACAATTGGCCAGCAGATGGCAGTCCTCCAACAGAATCCACGGTTCGAAACGTTTCTGTTGAAGCTTGCCCGAGACCGCGGCAATATGCTCTGGCCCGACCTCCAAATGATGATGCACCAAAAGAGCTCACGAGACTGGGATGATTTACTGAGTTTGATGACCGAGGCACACAGAACGGCTCTTCTCATGTACTCCGGACCGGATGAGTACCGCTACGAGATGCCACAGCATGGACAGCCATTCACCAAGGAGACCATGGAACCAAGGGATTCCTACATGAATGGTCACACGCCAGAACAGTTGGAGGCAATGGGCACGACAGTACGACTGGCTTTTACACCGCATGTTACCGTGAGGACGAATTTGCCAAATGGACATGTGACATCAAGGACCTTGCTACCAGCATATGTGTTGTTGAAGGTGGGCAAGTAGACAGAAACGGGATATGCCAAAGCATGGTGAAAAATATGGGGAAACATCTAGATGTAAAGGGTTTGCTAGTAATGGATCGAGGTTGATGGTGCTGGACACATGACAATGGGCTATACAAATCATCATACAAAGAGACCTTGACAGAAAAACTTTTTGGCTAAGTCATAATATCATAAGAATCCTACTACAACAGTCTTTTTTTACAGGATATGGGAATAGAGTCTTCCTACCACCTATTATATAACACTAGAGTAAATAATAACCTGGCATGCTCCTTTCCTATTTACCCTTTTTAAAATATTTGATCCTAACGTTCCTCTGTTATATACTCGGCCTTATTAAAAAGGGGGCATACTCACGATTAGGCGGTGCTTAGGTAAGTCAGTAACTATATATCTAATCACGTGACTGGCGGCGATGGCCTGTGCTGTGGGGGGACTCCCTAAACCCTCAGCCTGACTGCACTGGTGAACGGCCACACCACAGCCCCAGCGCACATTTCTCCCTCTAGCCCTGTGAACAGCACTGGCTGCTCAAATGTGCCGTAATGACCTGACGGCGCCGGCAACTGCGCACATGTAAGATTACGAATCAGAAAAGTTGCTTCGGCTGCCTTAGACTCTAGAGCCTATTGATATGTCATTCTCTTCTCCTGAGCTTATAGGACCGTTGTTCCCGCCGTTCCTGTTCCTCAGCAGGACTATTGTTGATATTGTCGACGACTCTGCGGGTGTATCTATCCTTTTCTCGTCTTCGAACCCCCTGCGTCTTTAGCCCTTCCCACCCCTGCGCCTTTAGGCCTTCCATCCCCTGCACTAACCGGGGATTCTCGTGGCCCAAACCGTTTCAAGCGGGCCGCCGTCTTCGGCAGAGTCTTTTCATACTCCTTCCATTGCCTGTTGGCATACTCCTCCCATTGTCTGTTGGTGGTGGAGTCCGCGTTCCACATGGCCAGGACTTGGTATCTCTCCAGAAAGAACTTTGGGTCGCTCCTGCTTTCTCTCCCATTCCCATTCCCATTGTTGAGCCACCTCTCCCTTATCTTTCCGACTTTGGTCGAGGTCAAGGCCTGTTGAGCCACCTCTCCCTTATCTTTGCGACTTTGGCAGAGGACAAGGCTTGTTGGGGAGGGTCGGTGGGCGGAGGCCGCACCAGCTCGCCCGTTGTATTGGGAGAAACGCGTTGGCGGAAACCCGAATTGTAAGGCGTCGAGTTGAGGCAGGCCAGTCGCTTCTCGTTCCCGTTGAAGAAGTGCTCCAGAGAAGCGTGTTGGGTGGATTCGGGTGCATTCTTGTCGTTGTTCCTATCGTGGTTCTTGTCGTTCTTCTTGTCGTTCTTCTTGTCGTTCTTCTTGTTGTTTGATTGTGTGCATTGGCATTGGCTCTGCATAGTGGGAAATGCTTGTGAAAGTGACAATGGGTCGATTCACATGTCCAGTGTGTGAGGGTGAGATTGCTGTGACTCTGACTTGGGCTTCATCTAGAGGATAAAGCAGCGAGGAAAGTGATGACTTGAGGACTCTGCGTGAATGGAACTGGTTGAGAACAAGGTCACGCCCCACGCATCTATCTGTGATTTGAACGACAAATCCCAACACACGAACACACACACGTGGCATGCAGTGAGGAACACTGAGGGCTGAGTAAATTGTCTGAGCCGGTTGTGAACATGGATCAAATCGATTGAGCTCCACCGAGCTCGACCCGCGCCTTGTCTCTGCGTGCTGTAACTGTAACTGTCGTGAACGGTTTGTTTCCACGTATCCTATCTTGGAGCGCGTATGACATCGTCAGACCGCGCCGACAACACACAACGCCCTCCTTCTCCGTCGCCCAGCTCTTTTCCGCGTAGATCCAACACCGTGGACCTAAAATCAAGAATCTTGGGCTTGACCGGCTTGCAGTTCGGAATGGCTGGTGAAGGTCGAAAACGAAAAAAGGCTCGATTCCGATCCCCTATCATGGAGCTGGATTACTCCATCACAATCACACCAACCCAAACTTCCCAACTAGGTGTTCGTGACGAGGGGTATTTACGGGCTGCCCGAGTGGAACTCAGAGATAAGATGGATGGGATCTTCCGTGCCGGGGAACTTCGACCATCATACCTCGGTGCATTGTGGGCCTCGGAACAGAATATGGAGCCGGACGGCACCCTGCGCTCACCTCGATCGAACGACCCTCCTCCCTTTCCCCAGGACGGGGCGCCAGATGCAGAGAAACCTCACTGGACAGCAGTCAATCGGCCGCGTGCCGAGGTAGCCCCGGCCTGGTACCAAGGGGAGCTCCGGAAGGCAAACGCAATCAGCATCCGGGAGAAAGTCAGCAACCGGGAGAAAGCTGGCAGTTGTCCTTGGACGGTAAAGACACAGTGGAGGAAAGCCGTGAACGGCAGATTGCTGGCCAAGCAGACAAGGCGGGCATTCGACAACGATGGCCAACGAGCAGAAGCCCGCCGGGTCCGGAAAGCATTGAGAAAATCAGCTCGTGACGGGGAGGGAAACCGGCGTTGAGGACAAGCAGTGCGGCTTCGCCTTGGAAGTGGGCGTGGATTGCCGACAATGACGCTACCGGGTGTTGCAGGGCATCCCCGGGGACAAATGTGGACTGGTCGTCAAAGGAACGATTGAAGCAAGAGATAATCGCATCTCCGCTGGTGCTCTCTCTGGGGCAGGGATTGGAACACCAACACAAGATGGAGAATCGACCAATGCGCGAGAAAGCCAAAGGGTTTTGGTGGCCAAGGATGTCGGATGAGTTGAGCCTACGCAAGCCTGGTCAAGAATGGTCAGCTCACTGGACGAATGGACAGGAGGTCTCGTTTGAAAAACAAATCGATCTCGCAGATCGCAAAGAGATATGGGAGCGGGGACCATGGCAGAACAAGAAACAGATGAGAATGAATTCATGATTTTTAGTCTCTTTCTTCTCGCCGGGAATAGCTGCTACAAATCAAGAGACACCTTCGCCGAAGAACGGGATTGGCCTGAGCTTGAACGCAGTCAGCGATGACTGTTCGATAGCTCGAGCACTGAGCCTTTTCCGAGCAATCGCGCCACCTCATTGACCTTGTTGCATGCGTTGCATGCCGCATCGAGAGACCACGACCCAGCTGCTTCTCCTTTGACCTTTGCCATTTTCAAAACGCGCCAAACATGCAGGGCCTCCTACGAAGAAGTGATTGCTCTCCGTCGTTGAGCGCCTCGCTGTCTAGCATTCAGTTTGGCTCCCTTGGCGACATCCAAGTCCTCGGCCTTGGTAACCGCCTCCTCGGCCTCAGTGAGGATCAATTCAATGTGGCATGGGTTGGACATGTAAGGGTTGATACGACCGTGGGCACGGTAGGTTCGGCGGCGCTGCTTGGGGGCTTGGTTGACTTGGATGTGCTTGACGATCAGGTTGGAGGTATCGAGGCCTTTGGTGTCGGCATTGGCTTCGGCGTTCTTGAGTAGGCCAAGGAGGAACTCGGCCGACTTGACGGGGTGACGGGCTTTGGAGACTCCGAATGCCTTGCCTGCAGAGAGAGACTTAGCTATCATATACTTTGGAGACGATTACAGACGGAATCCGCATCCAGGTGTTGCTGCTGGGCAAGCACTTCCAAACCCATGTACATGGTCTTTGATCCCCAAAGGGTTTGTCGCCATTGCCCAGCAGAGCACCTGAATCACGAAAATTTCGAATTCCGCCTTTTGAAGTTGCCCATACCTTGTGCGCTTCTACCAGTGCTTCCAGCATATCTTCGCATAGGCACGGCCTCCTTCAGTTCTTGGACATTCTCGAGGTACTTGACAGCGCGCTGGAGTTTCCAGCCGTTGATGGCCTGGGCAGTCTCGCGGGTGTTCTTGAAGCTGACGCGCAGATAACTGCCACGGCTTCGAGCCGATTTGGCGGTGGGAATTCGATCGGCGGGGGCGTAACGGACCTGTTGTGCGGTTGTTAGTGATCCAATATCCTTGACTGCGTCTTTACAGAGTCGCTCGAGGAAGGGGCATCTTTCGTACCATCTTGAATGTCGTGTAGGCGGTGAGATGGTCGTTGTCGTTGTCGATGATGTCGAATCCAACTTTCGAGGTTGCAACAAATTTGGGTTGTGTGCCAAGCCAAGAATTGCACCTTGTTCTGGAAAGGCAGGTCAACCGAGGATCCCATTCAATGCTGATAGTAGCGGGGCTTGGCAGGCAAGATTATTATCAACCACTGACGAGTGATGCCAGTGCTCATTTTGGCCGCACTATTCAGGTACGCTTAAGTCCTAGTGCCGACTGCGCAAAGCCGCATCCGCCTTCTCCCTTCGTCGACCGTTTCTTCTATTGCTTCCTGAGGTATTAGACGTGCTACCGAGTTTGGCCAATACTGGGGGTCACTTTCAGACCTAATCCTGCGTCATCTAGGGCCGCATTGTTTGATCTGAGAGTGAGGTGCAAATGGTACCGGATTACGGTTGAAGATATGATGGGAGAAGCAGATGTTCCCAGCACGATTGCCTAACGACCTCTTGAGTATGTGGCTGCAAGAGTAACAATGCTGATGGCCTAGTCTTCCTTTTCGGCGGCCGCTTCCGCATCGATCCTTGCCACCTCGGGGTGAGTAAATGGGACAAGGATGGCTTCTTCTTCTGCTTCCTTGATTCGCTGTTCATTGAACGAGACGGGGAGGTCAGCTAATCAATCATATCATGGTGTGTCTAACCGCGAATGGTGCATGAGTAGGAGCTTGTGAACAGATAGGTGCTAGACCTGCTGGCCCGGGGCACGCACGGATGTGTGGTATAGCGAACATGGATAGCCTCAGCTAAAAAAGCAACGACCAGCGGCAGATGTGGAGGACACGCTCAAAGTCGGGATTACGGGTAGGAGTACGGATAGGCTTACATCCAAGGCGCCCGTGGCAGTCAACCAGCTAGCAACCAGCATGCTGCGCAGAACCCAGTTCTTGCGAAAGACGGAGCTCCGGAGGTCATCGAGAGGCCAAGTCTCGAAGCCGCGGTGAGGAAAGTTGGCGTCGAGATGCAGCCGCAGCAGACGTGGGTATCGGTCGAGGCTGCGCAGCGACTTGCGCACCGCGTCACGGTAGAAGCCGACGGCGCCCAGCACGAAGCCGGTGCACGCGGACGCCACGAAGGGGATCGTTGCCGTGTCCCAGACTAGAGCGCCAAATGAGGCCCCAGCCATGCCGATAAAGACGGATGAAATGGTGCCGGATAGGATGACGCGGAGCATGCTAGCAGAATAGAGGAAAATGGTCAGCGAGCGAGAGCGAGGGCGATTGATCAGTAGAACAGACGGGATGGGATGGGACGGGGACAGACTCGATTAGCCAGGTGTATCACATAGAACGTAACTTACAAGAGGCCAGGTCCACTATGAGCGTACAGCAATGGTATAGTCAGCACCAAGCTCAATCTTCGAGAAATGTACAGTATCATCCAGAAGCATTGCATGTCTGTCCAACTCGGCGCCGCCAGGACCGTGGGGGCGGCGTCGCTCAGGTTGTCGGTCTCCGTGACCGATTCGCACACAACAAACCATCCGCAGAAAAGGAGAAGGAGAAGGACGCAGGGAGGAAGAGAGATGGTAGAGGGATCATCCTGACGGACCTGACAGTGCCCCATCCTCCCCCGACACGTAGGACAGACCGCCACGCATCTCCGTACTCATGGAGGAACTCGGTTGCAGGGCCTCGGTGCGATGATGCCATGGTTCGGGTTCGAGCAACAAGCCGCAGACTGTCTGTCTGTTGGGAAGTAAAGGATGGAATCCCCTCGATGTGGATGGTCAGTGCAACATCAACACGAAGACGACGACGGCACCATATGTGCACAGTACTCCGTAGTAGTGGCCGACAAGGGTTCTTTGTTCTTGCGTCAAGCGGCTCGACACTCCTACGTATCGACACTCCTACGTATCGACACCCCTACTTTGTAAAGACCATCTTGGTTAGACACGCCTACAGTCATCATCTTTTTAGAGTCTCGGCCTCAGAGGGTACCAGCTTCATTGGCGGTTTATTCGAATACTACTTCGATGGTATTGAGCACATCTCCAGCTCTCCCAGATGCATCATTTTCTCGACACTAGAGTCGCGTGTGATGTAGTGACATGTGTGCATCCCGCGAGATTTATGCTGGCCAAACCGCATCACTCCATTCCTCTCCCTTCATGATCAGGCTGTCAGCAAGTCCCGATCCTGCTGACCAGGCGGCAAACTTGGTAAAGCCGACCCTGGACCAATAACTGAAATTTGTTCCTTCAGGAATGAATGCCAAATCGCCGAATATCAATGTCACTATCTCGCCGTTGATCTCGAGATGGAGCTGGCCTTCCGTCACTTGAAAGGCTTGGTGTACATCGAACTTGACCGCGGCAGGCTGTGATCCAGGCTTTGTCGCGATGGTCGCGACGGTGAGTTTGTCGTTGGTCTGCTTGCCAGATGCCAGCAGGCTGACCACTTGGCCAGTTTTTCGCTGCAGATACTTTGGTCCTCGGTTGCTAGATACAAAATATGGTGTGACTGAGTTATTTGGCAAGGTCTGGTTAGCAACATGCCAGGTGGCCAACCCATCATCGGTGGTTCCGTTGGTCCAATCTAGATTGATGGTGTTGTATGGTGCTGGTGTGATGCCATATCTAGGGAAGAGCTCCAACACCTTGGTAACGTTCAGCTGCGATTGATCTTCCGGGTCGTACGGGGCTGATGAGTTGTAAGGTGTCCCAGCGGCTGTAAAGAGATCCTCGATACCTCCTGGAGCCATACACAAAGTCAACTGGAAATCAAGGTCATTGAAACGGTATGTATGGTTGTTGCCAGGTGCGAGGAGGGCAAAATCATTTGCTTGAAGCTCACGACCCTGGTTGGTATTGTGGAAGACTTGAACGCTGCCCTTGATGGAATAGAATGTTTCCACTTGCTTGTGGGAGTGGACGATACTGAGAGGACTCGGTCCAGTGTTGATACTCAAGATCGATAGAGCGCCAGATGAGGTGATGTTGGAAACCAGAGTTCGGATGATCAAGCCGCCAAAGTCGACAGCCTCGCCTTTGAGATTCGGGAGCACGTAGGGGCGGGGAGTCGTAGGGGCGGTGTCCACCACCAAATCACCGTATGCGTAAACCTGATCCTGTAGAGCGAGAAGCCATATCAACAAGCTCAGGAAGCCCAAAGCGACGGTTGCCATGCTGAGAACACGACGATATGATTTTGAAGAGCTGACTTTGGAGCAGGTAGTAGGGTAGCGAGCTTGGTGAGGGAGGGAGGGAGCGTTAACGGCAGCGCGTTGATGCAGAGGTCAGCTTGGTAGGTTGCAAGGGGGATAGAAGATGGAAGAAGAACGGAAGACTGAGGTTTGACACAAGTGATTGATGACACGGCGACATGAGCAGCGGAAGAGTCGCAGGTACAGGTGAGTCAGATGAAGTGAATGACTGCCGTGAATGAACGCAGGGAAGGAAACAAACAAACTCTCATTCTCACTCTCACTTTCTCTCTCAGTCAAGCCACTCGCCAATCTTCACGCTTCACAAACAGACACTGACCCCAACAGGGGCACCCGTTGTTTGTATCACTCGTTCGTTACCATCGCTCTCATAGAGAAGGCTGGTCACTGTATTCACATGCTTTCTCTGAAGTCTAGTCCTTGCCCGCCAGCCTCTGTAAGCCCCGATAAGCGATTAAAGCGCCACTTCCCCCTTTTTATATACAGCAAGTTCTATGCATGTTAACAGTCCCATTTAAGACACCGCGAACTTGCTCCTCTTCCTCAGGTTAGCACCGAAGAAATAAATTCCATAGATGCCAAAGACACACAGCACAGTCAACCCGCCCAAGAGACTGACTCCGCCAGACACTCCCAGCTGATCAAACATGGGGCGAGCGTACAAAATGGCGCCGGCGGCGAAGGCGCTGCGTGCGAGTCCGTTCGCAGCGAAAAGGGAGCCCGAATACCGAGGATATGTGAACGGGAGGTAGATGAACATGCACTGCGTGATGGTGAAGACACCCACCATGTTGATTGCGACACCGAGGAGACTAAAGATCCAATGGACGTGTTTGCGAGCAGTCCAAGCTAGATGGGGGATCGACATATTAGCAAACTTGTGGATGCCAAAGGACCAACTTGACTTACCGAATATGAACAGCCCTATTGGTATCAAAAAGGTGGCGATGAGGCCTGGCCAGATACGCGCTTCAGGTGGAACTGACCCGGACTTCGCTGCAGCTCGAGCAAGTCTCTTAGCTGCCCAGAAATAGAAGTAGGAACAGTACAAGGTAACGGCACTGACCAGGCCCACCAAGACAGCAAGGAAGGCCAGGCCAACTTCGCCCAGGTTGAACCCATACAGCTTGCCATACACGATAGGGAAGGATTCAAAGAAGGAGTAGTAGATGCCGTAGGTGAGCGCCGTGTAGATGGTTGTGAAGAGGACAGCCGGGTCAAGTGCATTGATCTGCCACGGCTTGATTAAAGCCTGGAGGGCAATGTCTAAGGCAGACAGCTTTGCCTGTCGAATTTCGGACTCGGCTTTAATGTCGGTTCGGCTAGTGAGCACCCGTAGCCGCCTTGCCCGGTAAAGGAGAATGGTATCAGAGGATGTCTCAGGGAGAGACACGAACATGAGGCCAAGGCTGAGGCCGGACAGCCAAAGAAGTTCCCAAGAGCTCCATCGCCAACTCATCGACTGCACAGCGAAGCCGCCTATCAATGGTCCGAGAGCCTGTAGTGCCTCTTGTCAGTCCGGGGACGTCACAGTAGCAATTGAACTTCATTGGATGAGAGGACCAAGTCAATGACCTGTTGATACTGGAGGGAAGCATACTGGACCCAATGTTGCACCACCGCCCCATAAGGCAATCACGTAGGGCATCTCCCTTGCGCCGTAGAAGTCTCCGTAGCTGGCTCCCCCTGTGGCCAGGCAGGGAGAGCCAAAGAACCCCAGCAAGAACCGAAGAACCAATAACCCAGGCATATTGTCGACCAGACAAGTTGGAATGCAGAGGATGACAAAAGTGAAGAACGAGACAATGTAAGGAGCATTGCGGCCCACGGCAGGGATCTCCGACAGCGGTGAGAATAACATAGGTCCGAGTCCGTATCCGATGACATAAAGAGACAGTCCGAGAGACCCTATAACTGGTGCCACGTCAAATGCTTTGAGGATATCCGGGATACTGGCAACGTATAGGGATGAGCCGACATAGACGGTGAAGGTGTACAGAAGTATGACGAAGGAGATCCAGCCTTTCTTCACAGGGGACCAATTCTGAGGATTGTCCGGGTCGGTATCGGAGTACCATGTGACTATTGTATAGCCTCCATCAAGATCACTTTTTTTTCCCCCTTGGCCCACTGGACTGTCTGAATCCTGGAGAGTGCCATTTTCAACGTCGCCATTGGCTTGGGCTTCAGGACCGCCAGATCTTTGCTCGTCAGCGCCACTACCACCACCACCATAGCCGCCATGGCTTTCTCTGGATACCGTTACTCCGTGTAGAGGCTTCGAAAAGCGTTCCGGTACTTTGAAGTGTGAATACTGCTCAGGAAAGCCGGCGATTCTGTTGCAAGTGAGGAAGCGAAGGCAGTGACCGACCGGGGCATCTCGAAATATGTCGTGCATGATGCTGGCTCTGGAGGCTCGGTAGGACCAATGGAAGAAGATATCTGGCCAGCTCAAAGAGGACAACAGCTGCATTTTGCCGGCTTTTGTAGATAGCTCTCAGGAAGTGAGGGAGGACATTGGTGTCTCTCCGGCCAATGAGACGCAATAGAAACGCGCAAAGCTAACTGTATCCGGTAGGTCCAAAGTGGCTCTTGCGGCTCAGCAGGACTCGCTGCTCTGTCTGTAGGCAGATGAGCTGATCTGTTTGTTTCGTATCTTGTAGATTGATGTGGGGAAACGGATGATGTAGTTGTTTTCAGTGTGCGCCGTAATAAAGCCAGGGCATGACCGTCCGAATCTTGGTCTGCCCAAACATCATGCGTTCCTCTTGACGCTGCTCTTCTCAGACTGGGTGGATCAGCATGCCAGCCCACATCAGAACATGACCTTCAGCTATGTACTGGAACGGAAGATTGGCATCAGACTACAACGACACAACAACTTAGCGCAGCTTCATCGTCATATCGAGTGCTGCTGAAGCACTTACCTGCGAAAGCAACGTTGCTTGGCCGATTCCCATATTCCTGCCTATCCATGCTAGACAATCCCGCATCGAATCCTGCATCTTTGGCGAGACCACAGACGAAACGGTCACCACCCATAATGGATGAAGCAGCAATAAGCCACCGACAGGCTTGCCAGGAAGTCGCTCTGTACCTTCACCAGTGTCCTCTGTGAGACAAGACGTTGGGTCTGAGCTTAGATGAAAGGGAATTGAGGCGACGATTTCTTCGACAAGGCTATACGCTTCTCGCTCCTCCCTGGTATGTGAGGCCATGTCTAGCCCGAGCCATTTCTTGCACCTAAAAACAACATCGAGCATCAACAGGTGTGTTTTGCGATAAGTGTTCCAGACTGCCGCCACGTATACTAGAGGAGTCAGTGCATTGATTTGCAGGCCGACATTAAATTCCACCTACAATCGAAATAGACGTCAATCCTTCCTGGACAGCAGAATCCGTATGCAGAGGAGTTACGCGAGGATCTTCCAATTGTCTTCGGCTTCCATTCTAAAGTCTGGCTCGCTGCCCAAGTCGCAAACATTGTTTCCAAACTCAGAGCGTCTTCCATCACTTGGCGGACGGCGGACTCTGAGATTTGGGAATCTCCGGAGAGCAAATCATTCGCTCGATAGAAGATGGGATTGAATTTGAGCAGGATTGAGTCCAGGCTTTGCACCCTAGAGTTTACAATTGGTGCGCATAGGACGCCGACATCCTGGGCTTGCTAGGCGACATGAGCAAAAATCGAGCTTTGGCTTGAGCATCAAGACTGACTTTCAATGGCTCCTTGAGCAATATGGGATTGTTCAGTTGGAATAGCTGCATTCCGCCCAAGAGATCAAAAGGGGAGTTCTTGCTGGAGAGAATGGCAGACACACCACGAACGTGGGCGGTGTGATGACCAGGATGCCCTTCGTTGCTGATTATAATCTATAAAGCCTTTAGCTAGGGAATGGATGGCATTCTGTTCACACCGAACCTCATAGAGCCCTAGTAATACTGCTACCATCAAGGACTCTGCCGTGTTTGCTGTCTCGGGGTTGGAGATGCTGGTTTGGAACGAACGTAGTAGGTCTCCGTATATGTGCTTGGCCTTCACAAGTAGACCGCTTCTGCCATTCCGGTTACCTGTTGCTGCCAGAGCCACGACCCTCACAGCTTTGGAGATGTCGGAGGAAGACCCCGCATGGTCGACCAAAGGCTCGAGACCATCTAGAAACCCTCGAGAAAGCAGTCGGTCCCTTGATGGCACACAGAAGTCTGCAAAGAAGGTGTTGACACTGAGCGCTTCAAGTTCGGCATCATCTAGATTCGAAGGACTGACAGTGGCTGCACAGTTGCTGTCCTCGGTAGGCACCTCGGTAGGCACCTGGGTAGAATCGACCGGAGAGGCACGATGACTGCCGGAGCTGATGACTCCGTAGTTGCGGAACACAAAGCCTGGGTCCTCTTCGTAGCCCGGGAACGCTCTGCGGGATCTGAGACACCGGTTACAAGACTGGCCGAGTCAGCTGGGCATTGCGTGATGAATAGAGGCATCGTACCGGACGGGTCGCATCGCACTACACGACAGTTTAGCCATCAATGAACATCTTCCGATATGGAGGGGTGGCATGCACATACCTTCTTCCGCCGTTTCTTGCATTCTTTGCAAGCTTTGGAGACTCCATGGTTGACCATGTTTTGTACTGGCAATCTCCCGTGGCATGTTCTCACGCTGCAAGCATGTTCATTGTCCTGTTCTTCGCCATTGGACGCTCAATTCGTTGAGAGAGGGATATCAATACGCATGGTGCTAGGAGCAGCTGCGGGCGTCGGCAAACCTGCCAGTACGGGGGCCCATATGTTATTTCGTACTCCGTAGACGTGCCCGGTCCCTTCAGGGGGGCTGTTCGGCATGCTGTGAGACATGAAGGACCTAGAAGCTTGATTGAACTGGCATTCAAACATGTTACGCTGCACTACTGTTCCGGGAAATTTACCAGAGAGGTTGCCTACAGTGCTCGATACAGGTACGAGTAGGTATAGGTACTCCGTACAGAGTTTAGGACGACCGAGTTGAAGCCTAAGAAGTCCCTTAGCCACCCACGTCACGCAAGTCAACGTGGTTGGTGTGGTGCTGTGGTGCAGTGGTGTGGTGTTGTGGGACACTTAGACCGCGGGGGATGTGCCTGCGGTGCCCACTTTAGCATAAGCGTCCCCAGCGTTAGCATGCTAGGCTTGCACTCAACTCCTTCGACAGAACATGAGGCGGAGGCGGAGGCGGAGGCGAGGCGGAGGGGTGCGAATGAGGCGGGGAGAGCAACTCGACAAACTGAACTGCGCTCTTTCCTGAGCCTTCTACGGATCACAGACTACGACGAAGAGCACATACAGCACAGGCCCTTCCTGTCTTACCTAGCCAATATATTAATCAAGTCCATCCTTTAGGACCTTGACCTTCCACACACACACTCACCCACACCCACATCCCCAGCGCAGATTGAGAGACGACTCATTGTCATCAATACCTGTATTAGCCATCTGCCCTGCTTGAACAGCAGCACTATCTAACCCAAACAGACTACTGTAGCACCATGTCTTCCTCTCCCGGCAGCTGGCAGGACCGCCGCTTCATGTTCCCCGCCGGCAAGGAAGTCCACCAGGGCAGCCGTCGTTTCTCGCAGTCCAGCGACAAAGATGTGCCGCCTCCGGTGACTGCTGCTGCTGTTGCTACTACTGCCGATGCGGCTCCGGCTCCTCCATCCCTGGCTACTGCCCCAGCTGACGATTCCGCTACCGCCGCCCAGTCGACCGGGCAAGCCCTCCCCAGATGGGAGGGTGACCGACGCTTTATGTTCCCTGCAGCCAAGGAGATCCACCAGCCCGCTCGCCGCATGTCCTCGTCCTCGACCTCCTCTGGTGAGAAGAAGGCCGGTGCTCCTACAAAACCCTCTACTTCTCCGCCGGCCTCATCGGGTGGAGGTATTGCAGCGGCGATCGCAGGAAGACGACGAGTACGCACCTACATATCCTTCTCTTGTCTTAGTTTGAGCCTTCGATACGAGCCCTGTGCATCCTGACCTCCAACCGTATCTTGCATTGCACCCATGACCACTCTTAATCTTCTTATTGCATCCACTTGACAACCTCACTCAAGGCCTCCTCTCTGACCAGCCTGCTTTGCATAGTCTTCTGCCTCCTCTCAAGGTGGCTTGTTCGGCGGCCTCATTGCAAATCGAAGCAGCGATACACACGCCGAGCGTCGACAGGGCTGGGAGGAAATGAAGAGGCCTGAAGGGCTGGGAGGATTCTTCAGCAACCTAGTGAACAAATCGGGGGAAAAGAAATGAATCACACTCCCACTGGACGATGAATCAGGCGAACGATGACGGAGAAGGGATATCGTGGTACGATACAGAGCGCACAACCAACCGCGGCGGGCAGAGGGAGGTCAGAAAAGTCTGGAGGGTGAATCATCTTTGGCTACGAAGCCAGTTGAACCATGATAGGCGAAATCATGCCCCGGTGGGGACGTGATATTGTCACAACAGATTGAACGAGAAACTTGTTGTGTAAGTATGTTCGGTAGCAACACAGCTTTATTTCCGCTCCTGATATATTCTCGCGTGAGGCTACGAACAAAAGCCTCTCTGTTCATCTTCTCAAACCCGAAACCCGTCCAGTCTAGGTTTCCTCCGAGCATGTCCGATCGTCCTTGAAGCTGGATGGAACTGTTGACCATCGACGAAAGAATTCATCCCAGCGCGATGGTGTGACCAGAAAGAACATTCTATTCGCCCTTGACGGCCGCCTTCTCCGGGGGCGTCTCAGAGCTTCCGCTCTCTTCCTCCACCTCTGTGACGCGACCATGAAGCGCGGGCTTCTTCTTGCCGGTCAGGTCGAGGAACATGGATCGGACAGTGTGAGCCATGGTCTTCCGGCCCTGCCAGAGCGGGAAGAGGCCTACGCAGAAGGTGCTAAAGAACAGCCACAGAATACCGACAACAACCCAGCCTATAGGACCGAGCCGAGTTAGATGGATTTGCACTCACATATTTTCCAAATCACAGGAGGGAGGGGGCGAGGGAGTAGACATATCGACATACCGGTAAAGAACTTCTTGCTGAAAATATATCCAGACCCGTACATCGGCATGGGCCAGAGCACAAGCATGGCAATGGTCATGAAGCCGGTCAAGCTTCGCGAGATGATGGCCGCCTTCTTCAACTTGGCCTGTTCGGCCGATTCTTCTTCGGTGGATCGAGACGTCGTGGTGGGCACAATCTCGGCGTCGACACTGGCGCGACGAATGATCTCGGTGTCATCGCCGCGGCGGATCTGCCTCATCGACACCCAGTCGTAGTTCTGCCGGCCGAAGGTGTAGGTGAGGATCGGCACGAAGATGAGCGGGCTGAGCAGGGCAGTGACGTTCCCGGCAAGCATGGGATTGTTGGAGCCTGTGCAGTCGACGTTCAGGACGCCGCATTCCTTCTTGGCCGTCACAAGCCAGGCAATCAGCGCGCAGATCAGCCCCAGAACGGGCGCGCCGGCAGCGGCTTGCCAGTTCTGGTCCTTCCACATCAAGGCCAGTGTGGCCGGAATGACGGCCGAGCTGATGATGCAACCCATCATCAAGTACAAGTAGCCCATGCTGACGCCGGCATAGAAGAGGCCCGTGGAGAAACTGGCCAGGACGAGGGCATAGACGACGCAGGCCACGTGAGACATGCGAATCAAAAACTTGCCGGATGCCGCAGGGTTGATGTAGGTCTGGTAGATATCGTATGTCCAGATGGACGACACGGCAATCAGTTCGGCCGAAGACGCCGAGGTGACGGCCATGAAGATCAACAGCAACGTCGCTCCAGCGCCGCCTTTTCCAAGAAGAGCCACGGCCGCATAAGGAAGCACCAATCCAGCGCTGACCTCGGAATGGGCCATGCGGTTGGGATACGTCGGGAAGACGGGGTTGTTCTCCAGGGCTAGAGCCGCCAGGCCCATGGTTGTGGCACAGAGCCAGGGGATGGCGAACCAAGAGAGACCACCCATCACATATCCGGGCAGGGCATCGACTGGCGAAGCTGCAATGGCTTTGTTGTAGTACCCTAACCGTAGGCGATCAGCAACCATTTTGATTCTCTCTTGATATTCGACGGAGACAACCTACCATTGTCCAGGAAGACGGTGCCGAAATTGCCCACAATGTTGATGACGAAGAAAATCGCCCCTTCTCGGCTGCGCATGGTCAAGTAACTCCCTTCAGCGTTGCCTTTGACGGGGTGCCGTTTGGACGCCTCAACAAGGAGCTCCCAAACCTTGCCAGGAGACCCAGCAATGTCGTTTGTCGCGTAGGCGCTGAAGGCGAAGACAAAGATGATGACCAGTATAATCACGGTGTGAATGTAGTCCGTAAGGAAAGTCGCCTTGATGCCGCCGAACATGGTGTACAAGACCACACCAACCGGGAGCAGGAAACAAGCTGCGGCGGTGGGAACTCCACAGAGCGAACTGGCCACGGCACTGCCACCGGTCAAAAGCATGGCCGTGACGAGGATGTTGGTCATGAGGCCAAAGACAAGGAACACAATGTGGGTGACAACGCCATATCTGGCCTTGATGACCTCAAGAAACGTATGCGCATTTGGGGCACGTCTCTTCAGTCTGTTGCATCTATTGTCAGACCGTCTTCACGGAGAGCATGGAAGGGGCAATGGCAATGGCATCAGCTGAACACTTACTCGATTGCCAGAGTAGCGAAGAGCAAGATCTGGACCGTTGCACCCGAAGCATACCAGAAAGGACCGGATACACCGTAAGAGTAGGCAACACCCGAGGATTGAAGCAAAGTGGCAGCCCAAGTCCAGCTGGAGACGACTGCGGCTGCTACGAGACCTGACTTGACGGTTCTCCCAGCGGTCGAGAAAGCTTCTGAGGTTTGCACCTGGAAACCCGGTCAGAAGCGCTGCAGTATTGACGGACACGAAACTCACCTCTCCATGATATCGCTTCAACGCCCATGTAGTTCCTATCATACCCAGGGCGAAAGCGAACCCAAGGCCGAGGATAATGCCATATCCGAAGCCCTGGGTCAGTGGCACGTAGGCCGCTCCAGCTGTGTCAGGCATCTTGAGACGCAGAAAGCAAATTGGATCCTCTCAAGAGAGAAAGTGATCCTTTTTTGGGAAGAGGATCAACACAGGCGCGATCTCGAAACCGAAGATTTCAAGGCGGACCCTCGTTAGATATAACCCGATCGCTGCCACCTGAAAGGATCCGGAGCCGAAGTGGAAAAACGAAACCGTCCTTCCAGTCATAACGGATGCTCACCGATTAAAAGCTCTGAGCACGCCCGACCGGGGCATGGGGCTGAGAAGATTTCTGCTCCTGTCCATGCCGATAACGGACATCGCATGGAGAACCCGCCTCTCCATGTTGTTCACCCGACGACGCTTGATAGCAGTTGGAAGCATTGACAGGGATCGACAGGGATCTTAGCTTGACGATGCCCCAGATGCAGAGTAGGACAGCACAGGTTGCAGATATCGTGAGCAACCGGGAGATATGAAACACGTTAGCTTACTGGAGGCGCTGATAAGCAAATCGGTATGCTAATGGATTTGCTGCAGGCTGAACGGGATCGCGACAAGGCGAGGCAGATCATTTGTCTGGAGAGGGCCCTGGGGCAGTTGGGGATATGCTAGAGTGACAAGAAGGCGAGCTGGCTGAAGCAAAAGAAAAGGCTGAAGGGGGGTCTTATCTGACCTTCTCGCCGTCGTGATTGGTAGAGCCAGCGAGGCCATCGGCTACCGCCTAACGGGCCTCCAGTGCTTGCTTCATGGGCCATGATAAGTCCTCGATCCATGACTAAGTTGGTTTGCTGGGCCAATCTCGTCAGGCAGACCTTTGTACGAAGTACAGTATCTAATATCTATCATGATCGCCAGCTAAGGAAAGGCTTCACCCACATCGTATTGTACTGGGGCCAATTTGGTACGTACAGAGTGGTGGTCACGGTTATTGATAATTGCTTTTGATGAGCTCGACTGCTGATGGCATATGTCGCTGCACCATGCCTTCTCCCGGGTCTCTTTCGTCTGGACTCCTCTGAGATGTCGGACGGAAGAGATGACGTGCTGGGCATTTGTTTATTCTTCCCACCGGATGTAACCCTATGAATGATTGCGTGGTCGTGCTGCTGAAAAGTAGTCCCGCCCTCATCCTCTTTATCAGACTCTGAAAGGTACACGCACAGAACTCCGTACCATCCGTAATAGATTCGACACGCATAAGGCTGGCCCGAGCAGCATCAGGACAGCCTGTGATCGTTCCAATTCGATTGGAAAGGTTGGGGTCCGATCCAAGACAGATGCGCCTCATACACTTCAACTTGGACAATGCGAGATCTGGGAGCAGGTCTTTGTCACTACGACGGGGTTGACCGATTGCCCTCGCATAGGGCAACGGATGCATCTGTCTCCGCTGACTATGCTAGTAGGACTCTGCAAGAACTCCCTGCCGAGTGTTGATTCCACATCTTGGGCAAAACTGAACCGTCTCCTCGTGGGAAACTTGATTTTCTTCTGTCCGTACTATAGAACACAGAAGAACGTCCAGCCGCCAGCCCTCAGGTTCCCCAATCCCCAAGATCATGTCAACCCCGAGTCCCGGAGAACGATGTACTCACTTGAGTCTGCATTGCACAGAAGGATCCTTCTGACTTGTGGGTTCTTTTTGAGTCCTGGGCCTGCAGCTATTTGTGTCCTTGTGCATGGTGAGAGCCTCTCATCTTATGGTGTCTTTAATCGCCCATGCCCACCGTCACCCCCATGAATCGAAGCGTTACCTATAGCCAATCGACTACTGATTGTTCCATCGTCGTGTTGTCATGTCCCCTAGAAAGAACCATAGCCAGTCAGTACTGAGGAAGGGCCACTTCTTTACAAACTTCTGTCACAGGATGATGCTCTGGCCAGGGAGCAGGGCCTCATATGACGGCGTCGAAACAATTGGGAATGTGCTCAACCTGATGTTATGTATTGCGCTCTCTTTTCCGCACCGCAAGCTCCTAGGATTACAAAACCAAGCATTCAAGCACATTGTCACCTCCGTTCTTGCCTTCCTAATGCTCATGGTGAGCTTCTCCGCGATATCCCACAATCTTCAACCTTCCGATCATCTCTCCAACAGTAAAGAAACCAAGTACTTGAGCAAAGATGATACCAGCGGTGGCTACTTGTCTGGAGTTGGCGTTGCGGATGCTGCTGAGGACCGTTTCCGGACTGACGGAGCGGGTCAGGGAGCCGGTAATGGACGAAATAGATCGAGGGTTTCGGAAAACGTTGATGAGAGGTTCAAGGTACGATTGGAATTGTGCAAGGGTGCTGGAGATGGGTTATTAGCATACTATGGGTCTCAGACCGGATGGGACTTACGGAGGTGTCATTTGTTGGCCCTTGAAGACAGTTTTCGTGAGCTCCAAACCCACACGTGAGTAGTAGACAGTAGGTGGTATTAATGCTAAAGCGTGTCAGCAAGGCCTGGAAATTCCCAAGGATATCAACTCAGGCGCATACATTCAACAAAGGAGATCAGTCTTCCCGTCCTGCCACCCACTTTTCCCAATGCATTGTATGCGGATGAGCCAACTTTCGAGAGTGCGGCACCAGCAGAGCTCTGAACACGGCTGAGTCCCTCTGAAGCCTTTGACACGGCTTGTTTCCCAGCATCTTGGGCCTTGGAAGCGGCCTCTGAGGTGGTGGAAGCTTGTCTGAAAGTGTTTTGACGCAGAAGTAATTTTGAGTGCCGCAGGATGGCACGGGACGCAGGTGTGGCTGACATGACTGCTGAAGCTCCTGGAAGCGATGGGAGACCGGTAGCAAGCGCGACAGGGTACTGTGAGGCTGCTGAGACACAGGACGTGGTCGTGGTCGTGGTCGTGTGAATGCGTTGCGTTCCTGAAATCCAAGGGCTAAAGTGAAAAGCTCCAAATCTCGGAATGAATTGGGACGAAAACCACCTAGAGACAGAAGCTCCTGATTGGCCACCATGGATGCCATCTCTGAGAAGGGTCGCTGCTTTAATTACACTCACCACCACTACCTCACCACCACTACTACGGAGTACTAGGTTTAGGTACCATGTACTTAACAATGGGAAACAACTGGTTACTGAAGTTGCTATAAGCGCCGGACAGGGCAAACTATAGATGTGTTCGACCTCAACCCGCAGCCGCATTATGGTACCGCTTCGCTCCGCTGGGCGGCCATAGCTCTAGGGGAAATGTCTACCAACCCCTTTAGACTCTCCCTCCCTAGGTACCTTACAGTACTATATAAAGGTGGTCCCAAGGACGAAAATAACCATTCTGTAACCCAGTAGCCCAAGGATCGTAAGCCCTTTCTTCTCCTCAGATCTAACCGATGTTCTCTCTCCCAGGCTGAAACCGCCGCTCAGGGCCCCGTTCACCGGATACAGTTGACAACCGTCTTCCCCGGGGCTCCGCCCGCCCTGAACCCCTGCATCAGGATATTTGGACTCCTGCCTTTTTTTTTCCTTCTGCATTGGTGCAGTGTTGATCACTTGCGTGAACTGCCTCAGTGAACATAACTCTTCCAGATTTGCTGTCATCATGTAGAAGACCTCTCCGTCGTCATATGCACGCAATCACAGGTTTGTTGGGCGTTCTCAGGCGGCGTTCTTTGTCTTTTCCATCTTAAGCCAGATCATCTCGCGCGGTTCCTTGCATCCATATCAGCCGTGTTGTCCAGCACCTCCCATCTTTGAGTTTGTATAGCTCCTTTTGTTGCAATCACCTCATTCCATCTGAAAGGTTCGGCGGCAGAGGCATAACAGCAGAAGCTGCACAGTCAACCTTGATCCTCCGAAATGGCTGCCAAGCCTCGACAACCCGGAAACTCGCCTCGGAAGTCGCTGAAGCAGAGCCTCAAAGACCTCTTCCTGCGCAGACTGCGGAAATCCCCCAGTCCTTCTGTTGAGACCGTGGGTTCTGGAATCCTACGCAAAGGGGTTCCGTCAAGCAGTTTCATCTCGTCCGTCTACACCTTAGATAAATCCTTGCCCGAATCGACCGACAGCCTGTGGAGTCTCGATCAGTACACCATCTCCCGTGCAATACCCAACCGATTTCAAACACCAACGAAGAGATCGGAGAGCCAAAATGCAGCAAGACAGTCTCTCCTGCCTGCTACAAGCCTCAGTCAGTTCAATCTGCATCATGCGTACCTTCAACAATCGGCAGGGCCCCAAAGGATCGTCCACCAAGCCATATCACCGACCTTCACCTCACTCTTGAGCCAGGAAGCGAGTATAGCGACATTTTCGCCCATCCCAAGCGCCTCAACCCTCAAACTACAAGACTCCCGTCCTAGTCTCATGCACCGAGATTCCTTCAATGAGCTTCCATGGCCGTCTCCAGGCCGAACCATTCAGCAAAGCCAAGGACGAGGCAAGCAAGTTTCATGGTTAGACTCTGCAACGACCAGTTCCATCACCGTACCACACCAGTACCAAATCCCGACCCTACCTGTGAATATCGAAGGTCGTGCTGGTGTCCGGCAAGTGGAGCACTTCAAATCCTTCTGCGTACTGGACACAGCAATGCCGGGATGTCCGGTGGTTGCAACATCCCAAGAACTGAGGTACATCTTTGAGATTGGCGAACACTTTTTCCTCAACAGCTGTGAATGTGAGGGGACGTCTATGGATATTGTCACCGGCCAAGACGCTGCCGGCGATCCTGTCACTCATCTTGTGCTCTTTACTCCTCTTGTCATCCCTAGTAGTGGTCGAAGTCGGTTCATGCTTGCCAGCCTAGTTGATGTTACTCGATTCATTCATGATGCAGCGTCCCTTCCAGAACTCGAAGAAGTCTCCAATATTTCAACGGTCGAGAGTGGCCCGCAAACACCCTTGTACAAGCCAACGCCAATGAATTGGACCTCCGCGACATACAAACTTTCCGCTGAGGATCTCCTGGGAGGTTGCCTTTTGCCTGAAGACCGTGACACTCGGGCAATCCCAACCATGGAGTCAACAGACGATATCTGGGTAAATTTGGCCAATGAAGAAAAGAGTCGAACATCAACCGCGAGAAACACTCCAAAATCGACACACAGACGCGGTGGTACTTCCAGGTCTTCAGACGTCTCGCAGTTATCTAAAACTAGCTGCACCGTGGACGAAGTGTTGGATGACTTTATGTCTAGCTTACAAGACCTGTATTCAGACTTCTTCCTTTTGGGCAAATCTCCGCTCGACGACACTTACTATGAGATCTGCAACGTCTCACCGATGTTGTACGCAGCAAAGGACTATGTCCACGGACATCTCTCCCGGACAGGAAAACAAGGAATCGCCGAGTTAAGTACTCGTCTAGGCCTAGGATCGCCGTTCCAGGCTCAAGTCAGATGGGGGCTAGAGGGTCGGGACAAACGTCTGTATTGTAGTCCACTCTACGGGCACAATTCCACCACGTGGATCTGTTTCCTCGTGGACCCCGACACGCCAGAACTGTGGTAGAGGGCCATCCATTGTCGCACAGAGTCGCAGCAGCAGCGTCGTGAAGAGTACGCATTTCTCCGTATGGAGTACAAGTCCCGTTATTGCCTTTCTAGTGGCGAAAGTCGTATTGGGAGGGTTGGTTCAGCACACGCCACCAATGGCCTCAACACGGAACATTCTTGGGCCATCGAAATGGCGGGCTGTTACAGGGGACAAGGACAAAGCAGGGATCCCTGGGTGTTGTTAAACGACCGTATCATAGAAGGGCCCAGAACTTTGTGCAGCATCACAACGTCGCATTGACAGGCATCCAACAGGGTCCGAACTCCCTCGACGGGGGCAAACTGGACGTAATTCGAGCAGGCCCCAAGGGCGATCGGGTGCCTACTGCACTACGACCATTAGCTGGATCTGGAGCTGGAGCTGGAGCTGGAGCTGAGCTGTGTCTGCCATCTGGTGTCCCTGGGCATCTTGGAGCCGACCATCGGCATCGGCGGCAGACAACAATCATCAGAGGTTCACAACCCGCGCAGTGACGCGGGAGATAGATCTGGCCATTTATTCGGCTTGGTTGGGGCTTTGTCGGCGGCCCACGCTCAGCTCCAGCGTGCAAAGAGTTGCCATTAACAGAAGCGCCCACCCGCTCGCGCCTTGGATTCTCCACACCATGCAGCGCAGTACGGAGTACGTACGGCCGGCGTACGTCGCATCGAATCTTCGCTCATTCTTTCGCTCGGCTATTGCGATGGCACCATGGAGTTTAGCGATCATCCAGCTCCACCAGACTGCGTGCCACCATTCATCACTCCAGTATCGCTCTCTCGCTATATCTGCACGCGAACGGCGTCTGCGTCTGCGTCTGTTGTCCCAGTCTTGACTCGGGTCTCAGCAAAAGCAAATGGAAAAACCTTATGATACATTCGCACTTTTTGCTTGAGACTGTACGCTTCCCCACAACTCAACAATATAACTGCTTGGGTTCGACCGTTGTTGGCCAGCTGATGGGAATGAGGCATTGACAGAAATCCGCAATCCGCCGGCGCCCAGCTTGTCGCATCCTCGACTGCGTTTCTGCAACCGTCCCTTCTTCCAACAACCACGAACGACCCTCCTAAGCTTGTTCACACAGGCCTTCTTTCGACATGTTCAATGAGAATTTCTCCTTTGGCCGGTCCCCGCAATCACCTAATTTCGACGCCAGTGTCGACGATTCGACTTCCGCAGATATCTCGCCATGCACGTCCCGATGCCCATCGCCCACTTCTCGAACGCCGGCACCCTGTCGCGATTCTCGCTTCGACGCCTATAGATACTCTAGCAGCCCTCGTCGTTCCTCGATTACGGCCTTGACGGCACAGTTGCAATCCCAGGCCCTCAATGACACCGAGATGCCTTCCCCATCACTGCCACTGAGCGAAGCCGGATCCCCCGCAGCCTCGATACCAGACACGGACGCCGACGAGGGCTTTTATGATGGACCGGATACTCCTACGACTACATTTTCCGACTATTACGAGCCAGCTGAAACCGACCCTGCCTGGTGGGATTTCAGCATGTCCGATTCCATAATTCCCACATCCTCACCCCGGCCTTCACTGTCTCTCGAAGCCCAAGCCCTGTCCCCATATACCATGCGCCGAAGGCAACGACAAACATTGATCAGGCTACAATGCATGGTGTCTCGTACTCCTGATCTTGCCATGCTCATTGAAGAGTGCCACCCCAGTTCATTACCTCTCGGCAATGATACAGTACGGCATTACAATACGAAAACAAGAAGTGATTCAACATGCAGTATTTCGGGCTTATTATCTACGCAAGGGACCAACGAGTGTCGGATAGAGAAGAATCGAAGTCTATCGACTGCGGCGGTTCGGAGACCTCCTAGACTGAGAAAGAGGACGCGGTGAAATGATCTCGAGTCCGACAGCGGAGGTAGAGATGACCTACGATGCCTCGTCCCGAGTTGATCGGGTCTATTATGGTCCGGGCGGCCTCCCCGTGAATAACAAGATCAAAACTTGACCCAAACGGCTACGGACCTCCCTCGACAGAGCTACGATTCGAAACTCCGGCTGAGGCGCTGCTCCGACTTTGATTCAGTTGTAGCGGAATTAGCAAGGCACTGCACAAGCATATTCGCGAAGTACCACTCCAGCATGCAGAAGTTGCCTCAAAGTGATCCCGTCGAATTCGCCGATCCAAGCGCCATGCCAACCACGCCAGGCTGGACAAGGAAGCGCCAGAGATCTTTCTGGTCAGGGATGCTGCGAAGGCTCAAGAGATATTGCCATCAGAGCCCATCAGATCACTCCTTGTCTTTGGGTCATAATCCAGAAGATGAGCGCTGGAGACGGCATTCTTCGTTCTTGAATTATCTGCGAGGCTGGCAGGGGGCGAATTATGCATTTACAATCACTTTCTAGCGTCCTCTTGATATTGAGTAGATCGACATTTCTTGTCACCCGAAAGGGCAGAAGGACATGGTGATTAGACAGGGCCGCCAGTCTAGACTTGCTTTTTATGAGCTATCCTTGTGAGTCGGAGCTATATCCACCAGCAAATTCATGAGTCTTGCTGCGAATCTAGTCTGGAGGAGATGTTGTCCTCTAGCATAGGATGAAGTATACCATGTGAAACATCCCACACTGAACACCAATACAATATTGGTCAGCGATGGCAACAACCACCTCGTCCAGTTGGGAATCTGTGCCGTGACTTGCCTGGACGAGCTGGTCCTGTCCATCCGTAGTATCGCTTGTGATATCACAAGAAGACGTTTTATGCTACAGTCATTCAGTTTGTCGTATCATCCAGCCGTGTTGCCCGTCCCTAGCCTCATTTCCTCCTGTTTTCGTGTCTCTGTGAGTTCCTTGCGGCCGATGATAAAGATCCCGGATGTGAAAGGGTGGTTCTGGCCAGAAATGTACCCGCCCAGTAGACACTCGGCAACTACGCATGAAAGGGCAAAGCACAAATCAGTGCCGGTGAAGCAATCCAGCAAAGAAGCGGTCTTTGGAGAAGACCTCCTGAGATGAGTTCTAAACAAGGACAAATGGAGCGGGTGCGCACGAGAGCGTCGGCTCAACAGCCGACAGACGATGTAAAGTTTCTCGCGCGGTGCAGAGCAGGAGCAACAATCATCCGGCAGGTCGGCGGCATGCATACAGGACACATGTACACATGTTTTGTTGGCGGTTGATTTGGGACCCCAGTTTGCTCTAAGGACCGCGATTGAAGAGCAACTTTCGACAATTTTCCTCCAGCTGAGCGGTACCGGTCGCGACCAGAACTGATGTTGAGCGGTTCCGCTCAAAGTCAACCTGCATGCTCATAGCGGAACCGCACGGATTGAACGCTATCATCACCTGAGGGCCGAAGCGGGAATTTCAGATATATTTCCTGTCGGCCTCTGTTTCGACCTCGATTGGTTCCGTCACTAGAGCCGCGTCGTGTGGGGTATGGAAGCCGAAAGGTCTCGCACCGAGAGACCTCAATCTGCTCTGGCAAGATTGAACATGTGCAGAGTAACAAGGGTGCCAAACGGAGGAGACCGCCGTCGGGGTCCACGCAGCTATGAACCTCGAAATACCGAGAGGCCGGTGCAGAGATGGGAGCGGCGCCACGAAGTAGAATTGTCAACAGACGGACATGTTCAGCGTTGTGGCGTCGTTTGCCCTGGCGACGGAAGCGCACCGAAATCTCATCATTGAGCGCGACCGCTTGCCTTCTCTGAACCGATGGGAACCGTAATCTAAGTGTCAAAGATGTTAGGTAACAGGAGTGATCGGTAAGGGTATGCCCGCCAGAGCAGCGGAACCGATGCGTATTGCTAGTGAATAGGAATAAAACGTGCTGCTTCGGAAGCGCTGCTCCTCATCATGCTAGACCTGGAAAGGTGTTCCCGACCAGATTCTGGCGTGGCTGAACTAAGCAGTCCCAGCGATGTTGCTAGAGCTATCAGGCCATTGTCCTCTCTTGAAACCACGTGCGCGATTGTGGCAAAGGTGGTGTGTATGGAGCAGACCACCAGACACGGCTGCGGTCCATATGTGGGCGACAAGGTACCTGTTTGTCACGAATGGAAGTATTTCCGCCCAGGGAGAACTGACATGTCGGCTACTGATCAGTGATTACTGCCAGGTTGCTGTAACAAGGATTTATTGTCGGCATATGATCTCGGCCGGGTCCTTGACGGTCCAGAACCTGCCGGAGATATTTCGAAGTCAAGCCACAAGTGTCAGCCACAATAAATATCCATCCTATCACTGCAGCTGGCCTGCTTGTCGGGATTGTCAGGGCCTCGACCTCGAACACGGATCATCCTAACAAGACATCGTATGGCTTGACGCATCATGTCGTACTGACTCAAATGACTACTGTTGCACAGATCGGAGATGGCCAGGGAAAACCAGTAATGGTGTGATAGTTTCAAGGCCTGTCACTGATCGATCCACCTCACCTCACCAAACGACCGTTGCGCAAGTACATGGATGCTGTGCTTTTGAAGTGAAAGGCGAGCTATAGGTATTGATGGGTCGGCCAGACGAACAATTGCAAGCCAAGCGGGTGACAAAGACTGTTCCAACTCGAGGTCAACTGAATCCCTCCCACTCCGCGCCTGCTTCGCTCTCTTGAGGGGTCTTCCCCTTCGTGGAAAGACTGGCTTGAACGGCACCACGCTTCCTGTTTACCTCGCGTTTCTCGTAACCGCTCTGAGTCCCGATTCGAGATTTCCGTTTCATTCGCTTGGTTTTCTCGTCATCATCCGCATGAATGGCTCGTCGAGACTCCACGCCATGGAGTTTGAGGTCCTTTTTCGCCGACTTGGAGACATTGGGCAGGGCATGTAACAACCAAGGTTGAATGCCAGTCGTGGTTACAGATGATGCGGTTGCTGCCGCGTTGCTGCCAGACACTTCTCCATTCCTCGAGCTAGTCCGTAGCTTTTCACTTGCTGCAATGACGTTGACAATTCCTTTGACATATTGGATGTCCTCCTTGGTGTAAAAGCTGACACAGACACCCCCCTGTCTTCCGGCTCTGCCAGTTCTACCAGCGCGATGTACATAACCGGCCACCGTGGTTGGAATGTCGTAGTTTACAACCACGTTGACCCCCCTGAAATCGACGCCCCGAGATAGCAAGTCAGTAGTAATTAAGACCCAAATCTTCCCCTGCCGAAATTGCTGCATGATCGATGCCCGGGCGTGGTCAGGCAGGGAAGAGTGAAGGACAGCTATACGTGAAGATCCACCGGCGGAGGCAGGTATATCGTACTGAAGTTCGTCGTACAAGGATTGTGCTCGAGTGATTGTCTGAGTAAACACCAGGAAGGGAGGCCGAAGTGGGACTGTTGTGTCTTCATTACCGTTCGAGAATGTAGATCGCGTTGGATGGAGTAATTGCCTCATGCCTAGTAACTTGCCCGATTCTGTCGCCGTGTACGTCAAGCGATGAGAGATCGTTGGCAAGCTTGTGTCCTTAAGGCCAATGACGGTCCGTAGCAGTTGGGGCCGTTGACTGCGACGAATCTTGAGGCGTTTCTGGCGCTCACGTATTGTAGACACAGCGAGTTCCTCGATGTTGGATCCAATAGTGGCTGACCACATGCTGATTTGTAGGGAAGGGGACGTGCAGGCTGACCAGACAGCTAGAGTCTGAGAGCGGAAGAGAGGATCCAGAAGAACGTCGGCTTCGTCAAAAACCAATGTTTCAATAGTTGGTATGGGATGAGGAGGATCGGGTTCGTCTTCTTCCCACGAAGGACACAGCGCATGGACCAAACTCAAAGGTGTCGACACGAGAATATCAGCTTTGACTAGAGGCCGGGAACTAGGGTCGGTTTTATCCTCGGTTTTCTGCTCAAAATCATCTTCTGAAGACTGATTCTCGTCCGAGGCAGGATGCCCTTCCAATAGTTTCATCCCTTTTCTCATGGCTGTAATGCTCACACCAGTACTCGAGCACAGCTTACGTCCCTCATTCACAATCTGTGGCACAAGTTCTTTGGTGGGCGCGAGAATGATGGCGCTGACATGTTTCTCCGCTTGGTCCTGTCTTTGCCGATGAGCTCTGATGGTTTTCTCAATCAAAGGGATCAGAAATGCGAGCGTCTTTCCGCTGCCTGTGGGCGCGATGGCCAAAAGGTCGGGTTCCCGTTGGTCCTCTTCGACCGAAGACTTCAAAAGCAATGAAAATGTGGCAGCTTGAACCTCGGTAGGCTCAAAATATGCCTGCTCTGCGATGTTGCTTGCCAGAGCCGGGTTGACATTGTAATGGGTGCGGAGTTGACCAAAAGACGTGACTGGCTGTGGATAAATTCGAGATTGTTCTTTCCGCAACTTTCGTGATTCTTCAGACCGGCTCGCTCCCTGAAGACGGGTCAAGTCGACGATTTTGATCTTGTGCCTTTTTTGAAATTGCCGAACTTCGTCTTCCGAGAGCAGGTTGGACGTAGCTTGTGGAACTTGGTCATTATTTGCATCTTCAGAGTCTCGCTTGCGCTTTCGGTTTAGACTGGGATCCTCTCCATTCTGAGAAATCACGGATCCAGAGGCAGATGGAAGATTTTGGGGCGGTTCCTTGGAAATCTTCGCCTTCAGGCCAGTAGACCGAGATAATAGTCTGAGGGCGTCCATATCAGCAGAGTTTCAGCGAAGGAAACTCATAAGCACATTGCTATTGGAGAGATAGAATCAGCCGCATTGATAGTCGTCGCTTCGTTGTCTCTACGCTGACTCGCAGGGGTAATTGCATTGATCTTTTGAAGTCGACTCGAACTTCGAGACGAATTTGATGCCAAGACACCGCCGGCCTTAGTCATCTGTCCCTAGTACTAGTACGAAGTAGTACTAGCAACACCGGAAGAATAATTCAGCGATTTACGTCTTGGCGAGTTTGATCTGTTTGGGCGACTCCGGCCGCGCGGGGTGGCCAGCTTTCCAACTCCTGCGCCGTTGCTTTTCAGACGGCCCATGGCGACCCCCTGGAGAGATATGCTGTCGATCTCTTACCCGAGCCCGATGAGAGTGAGAGGTTATCTCGCTGGCGGCTGAAGCCCCGACATCAGTGACAAAATGGTCATCGGACTCCTGGTCCTAACCGCGATCCCTACCGTGACTGGCGTCGCGCAGGCGATTTCCGGCCAGAAGACACAAAAAGAGCGGGAGAAAGACGCAAACCGGATGAAGAAGTTTCATATCGATGTCTGTTGCGAGGCTCAGAGTTCCCGTACGACTGAACTTCACGACAAAAGGCTGGTGCTACGGGATGATCGAGTATGGATAGGACCGACTGAGGCATTGAATCCGTGCAAGGAAGGCTATGTTGCGGAATCATTCTTCATCGAATACCCGGATAACGAAGTAAGCGATCCGAGACCACAATATGGTATTTTGAGAGTTTGTCACTAACATTCATATGACGCAGAGAGTGCCAGTTGAGATTGGTCTTGTTACTCAAGTCCAAGATGATCCTCCGCTATTAAACTGGATTTATGTAGACAAGGACACGATGGAATTGAAATATGGGAACAAAACTGCAAGCGTAGCCCATCATGTTGGGCCTTGGGACTGGACGGAGGACGAGGAGGGCATCGTATTCGATGGGCATGAGCGATTCACGGCTGTCGAAGACCCAAAGACGCATAAGTGGCAGATATATTATGACTTGGACGACGACGGACTGAGTAAACATGTGCCGAACAGGACGAAGATATCGGTGAGTCTGGAGAGGACTCTAATACCTGGAGCCTAGCCAGAAATACTATCAAAATACTAGTAATAATAATAGTATCATCATTATCATCATTATTGTTCTCCAAGCTTCGACAACCTCACGCGTTGCCAGTGTTTTTGTTGTATCTCCAAAATGAAGCGGAGGGAGATTCGCGAAATTCGGTTTACTTCCACCTTGACTTCTTCACGTCCATTTCCACCTTGACTTTGTTACTACCACTTGACTTCTTCACTTCCACACCACCACAGCCTCTCAGCTATATGACACAGGCGGCCTCGGCCTACGTCCTTATGTAGCTCTTCGCTCTCTGGTCGGTTCTACCGTTTACGCCTCGTCGTCATGACCCAAAGAAGCCAACCTGCTCCGCATTGGGAGATAATCGGAAAGAAAGGCACGACATGGCAAATTCGACATATCAACCCCTACAGCGATGGCGAGCAACGTCACTGGCCAGGCAAACCCTATCGACCAGGTTCCGAAGAGAAATATTTGATCCAACTGGCGAAAGCGTGGGTCAAAAAAGATGGCCTCGATCAACCAGGTAGGCTTCATTGCGCGCGCTGCCTATCCTGGTATGCACTCTAACATTGACCGTAGGCGTCGAATATTACCTTGACAAGCTACCAGATAGCTACGCTTTGTTCGAGTTACCCCAGCCAAGTGGAACTCAGGTTTACAAGAGACTCTTTGGACATCCATCTGGCCGATATTACGACTCAATCGTGCGGTTTGAGGTCCACTTCCTATGGTTAATGTCCGGAATGAAAGGCACCTGCGAATGTGTGCACTGTGGAAATGCCAAACCCAGACCAGTCGTACCACGAAACCGATATACCTTCGACAAGCCAGTGTTACCTAAAGAGCGAGCTAAATTACTAGGGTTTGACGATGCCGCTTCGACGAGGTCTAGCTCTGCAGATACCCGCCTCGCCGGCGGTACTTCAAGCAGACCACAAAGACAGGTCAAAGCCGTAGGGGCGCCTTACGCTCAGGACGACGAAGGAGTAGAAGATGTCTACAAAGAATTGCTCAAGCGACTTGAAGCCGCGCAAGGAAGCAGGAAAGGTATCGAGGACGACATCGGGGAAATTAACTCTATTGATTGGAGAGCGGAACATTCATGGGATGGCTTTGGCTCGGATTTGATTCAGCGGACTCTGACCACCATCGAACACCAGCATTCATTTGTCCCGCGGGTCGGCGAACTTGTCTTGTGGTGTCCCATCTTCTTGGACGGACACTATCTTATGCTGGACGAGGAGGTGGGCGAATACAAGTTCTATTCACCTGAACAGGAATGCTTTCACGGATTCCCTGCGTGGAAAGGTGGTGTCGTCGCAGCCGTCCCATCTGGCAGTGATGGACCGCTCGATTTTCCGGATCTCCAAACTCTCCCTGATAAGCGAAATTCTCTGAATCTCTCTGGCTTTCGCGTGGAGACTTTCCCGGACCCAAATGATGAAGTCGACAAGAAGGCGTCGAAGCAGTACCGATATGTGCCTTTACGGAATATTCGGCCGCTATCTCACTGGCAAACGCTTCTTCGTGGTATTCCACAGAAGAGGTGGCATCCCTCCATCCGGCATGCCTTGACCTGCATGACGAGCATGTCGCTTCTCGAGAAGTGGTGGTTTAACGGTGACTGGCCCAATGCCAGTGTCCTGTGCAAAGGTATATACATCGGAGCCGAGTTGATCACTATTGGCGACGCGGTTCGCATCGCACCAGAGGCTACTTCTACGAAGACGAGGAGTTGTACTGATGTCCTTGTCGTTGATTCGATTCGACTGAATCTTATCGATATCAAGCCCGAACATATCTCTCCTGACTCACCGCTACTATCGTCAGCATCATCTATCACCCTTGTGGGAAGAGCCTACACGCTTGATATCCGCCGTCACTACACAATCCAAGGAAAAATCCCCGATGTTGATACTGTCATTCCGGCTCCCATACCTAAAGAAGAAGTAAAGACTATCTTCAGACCCGTGGGCTCTAATGACTACGGTCCATGGTATCACCTACACGACCCTTCTAAACGCTTTGAGATTTCATATGATGAAGTCCTGGGTAGGATGTATGAAGCTGCTGCTGTCCAACTTTGGACCGGGTTGCTGCAACGTCCGGCCGTCCCAACAAATCCCGCCATCCGACCAAGCCTAGACTATGACAGGCGGGCGATCGAGGAAGGTCGTAGATACGCGACGCAAGTGGACCTAAGATTAGACCAAGCAGAGCAGGGCCAAGTGCTATGGTTTTGGGCCGATAACAGAGCCGAGGCACTCGACATTGAAACAATGAACGGATTGGAAGTCAGCAGATATCACGACATCAGAGACAGAGAGACTCTGGAGGCTTGGAGGACACAGCTGAGGATTCTGAACGGCTATCCAGCTCCCACAGATTGGTTCAAGTTTAGTTCCAACTTCCCGGTGCTGGGCTCGACGAGAGGAAGAAAGCCGGGCTCCAAAGTCGTCGATGGGAAAGTCATCCAACCCGGCACTCCCGGACACGGTGATGCGGAGGCGGACCGTGTCGAACTCCCATCAACACCAAGACACAAAACCAGTCAATTGGCCGGTGCTGCACTAGTCGTGATGGAGGATGAGGAGGATGTCTTTGAAGATGCCGAGGAAGTTCTGTCGACCGTGGAGTATCAGCCAGGAGAGACGACGAGGCAAGACTGGAGCCCGATCCGAGAACGAGAACGAGAACGAGAACAAAGCAGCCACGAACCAAGCAGCAGATCATGTCGAATGCTGATGCAGACCTCTCAGACGACGATCACTGGTATACTGAGCCGGTCCCAATCCGGGGCGGTACAGAGGAATCGGAAGGTGGAGACTACGATCCTCGCCGCGAAGACGAGTAGAAGGGCCAACGGCTTATGAAGGCTAGAGTAGCTTGCCACAATACTTCGTGGTCAATCATTATGCAGACTGGCACTAGTTGACCAGTCCTTTCTATGAAACTCATACTAACAAATGAAGCACCACCGAGACAGAGTACCTGGGTAGTTTCTAAACGCGCTACTGGGTCTCTGAGTAAAACATGCTTTCGGGGGGAAAAGGCCCCTAGTATTTCTGTAAGCATGCAGGAGTTCACCCGAATAGAGATCGACCACTGCTTCTCTTGATCCCTTCTGCTTCCACTGCATCAATGAACTGCTGTGGCATCTTGCTGTCCGTGAATTCCGCACTCGCTTCCAAGTAGCTGTCTTTGAATGTTGTCCACAACACTCTGTCTTTCGGATCTTTGGACGCTGGCCGAGGGTAGTACGGGTCATTGAAATAGAAGGCCCGTTCAAGCTGCTTGACTCCTTGTGGGCCTTCCTCAAAGCGTTGGCATTGATCGAAATCCAAGAGCCAGATGCCAAGAGAGCGGTGTTTGAAGTCAAGTTCCGATGAGAGGCGTTCTGCTTGATCAGCTGTCAAGCACGCAAGCTCTGCTGCAGTTGGGCGCAGGCGGATTTCGGGAGAGCTTCCAAAAACAAATTCAACATCGTTGCCGTCAACTCCCGCTTTCCAGTGCATGATGGCTAATGCGTGCCCCATTGATTCCGCATACAAATGAGTGTCAAGTCGTGAGTACTCCATTTCATTGACAGTCATATCGAAATTGCGTAAGCGGAATGCGTTCATTGAAGATCTTTCTTGTCGGCGGCCAAGGTAGATCCGGATGAGACAATCTTTGTTTTCTGGCTGTGCCAAGAAGCTTTCCTTGTTATTCTTGACAGATCGGGGGGCACAGGCGTCAACAATCGCGCTGCATACTGGGAGCGGTACCGGGAAGATACGGGTCGAGACAATGCCGTATGTTGACTGGAATCCTTTGGGTAGGAACTTGGCATGGTCCTTCCAGAACAACTCGTTGTGAGGCCCAAGCCAGGTTTGGCAACTTGGAAGATTGATGTGTCTTCTAAACACTGAAAATGTCGACCTGAATGCTTCTTCAACTGCGGCGTGTTGGCAATAATCGTTGTACAGCTGATCCTTCTTGCCGTCATTTGGAACCTTCAAAACCATGGTAGTGCCAGTCAGAGCCCATACAGTCCCACATTGGCCCTGTCCTACTTTCACAAAGCTCTTCATTTCTGGATGGTTGTAGGCGTCTTGATTCTTTTCGACGAGAGTGGATGTGGTCAAGATGTACGACTTCGTCGAGAGCATGTGATGAAGGACTTGTTCAGGGCCGTGCTCACGAAGGAAGGTTTCGTCGAGAAAGGTCAGTCCAGACAGATCGCCTGCATACCGCAGGCCTGTTGCCATAAGTGACTTCAGAGACTCGGTGATCGAGTCGATGGAAGAATCGTTGCGGGATTGCTGTCTGCGAGACATGGCTAAGGCTGGAACAGAGCAAAGACTTATATGCTGTGGGTGATGAGGACCTTGAAGGGGACCGGACACGTTTCAAAAAGAATCAGAGCCCCAAATCCAAAGTCAAGTGCAAGGTGAGTTTAACCCGGGAAGGTGCCCTAACTAGTTCGACGTCATTGTATCAACGCCCGGGATCAGAGGAGTCACCTTGCCTTATTTAATACAGACCTGAGGAGTACTCCTGCCTCTTTTATAGAATGGGGCAGTCTGGAAAGGTGACCTCCTGGATACCATCAGTGCAGCATCAGCACAAGTCGGGCAATATCAGACGTATTGCCATCGAGACTAGAAGTATAGCTGCGGCCTAGACAAATTCCAATATACGGTACAAAGCCCTTCCAAGATAAATACAGTAGGTGGCTACTATTATTCTATAGAGATGCAACGACAAGGCCAGGCCTGACCAGGGTCTGGGAGGCCAAGGCTTATTAGGGGCTTAGGCCCCAGTCTCGCAGTGTGGCTGCAGGGGAGTGGCTGGTGCCGTGGCTGGTGACTTTGCAACCTGAGTTCCCCGGACTCTTGAGACACATCGAGACTTTGGCATTTCGCAAAAGTGTCCAGAACTGTATAAACTACCTGAAGATCGTAATCACACTTTTCGCCAAACATCCGCCATCTCATCTTAATACGCAACAGAATCGACTGAAAGCATCCTCTGTCTCCCTTGCCGACGATTTACACTTTATTCCTTCACGTGCGCTTCCTACTGCCAAAGTAGACCTACACACCTCCTATTTACGAGAACAACTGCTGCACCTACTCTCAGTAATGGTACGAAATCCAGCCTCTCTCCTGCCTGCGCAAGGCACATGCTCTTTGTTATATTCGCGTAGTTTCCATCCTGGAAACGTGCGCATACTGGGTCCATCAACGTGAAATTCTAACCAGACAATCCGCAGGCGACTCCTCGACCCTCGTCTCCTCTGACTTCTGGTCCCGAATCCGGTCCTGATTCAACACCTTCTGCACAGAAGGCCAGCGGCTCTTCTTCTCTCGCACGCGCTGGATCCCCACCCGGAGGACCTCGATCTGCTATCCGACGTCGTGCGGCTGCCGACCACAAGGAATCTGTCAAGAATGCTCGCCCAGCTTCGACACGTGCGGCCGGTGCAGGTGGCTCTTCAGGGACAATGTTAAGATTGTACACGGATGAGAGTCCTGGGTTGAAGGTGGATCCTATGGTCGTCCTGTTTCTGAGCCTGGGTTTTATTTTCAGTGTGGTCGCTCTACACCGTAAGTCATGTTGTTGCACTCGAGAATGGATGTCCCCAGATTAGAACTAACAGAGGTTGGCAGTTATCGCAAAATTCACAAAGAGATTCTCATAGGTGCATGGTTTTCCAGCTCCTGAAGGTTCTTTCGCGGATAGGCAGCATGGTCTATCATGTACAGCATCAGAATACGGTCATGATCAAGGAGCAGGATCGGTTGAAGACAATTCAAGCTCTACCTCGCATTGATGACCTACTCGATCCCTTAACTCTTGGGAATGCAAGAGAATTTGGCCTTACTACCGTTCATCTGTGCTCGACGCCGCCGTTTCCAAGATGAAGACACTGCACGACTGCTCCTACTCTGCAGCGCGTGTTGAATCTTGCGGTTGCATCGAGTTTGCACCTTGAACTGCCCTTTCGACAACGATCCGGCTGAAGAAAATCCTTGTGTTATAGCCAGGTCGAAATAATCAAAGAGCACCCCGAGGAATTATTATCGTGTAGTATCTGCATTGTGGGCGTCATTTCTGTATAACTTTGAGCCGTGTCGTTGTGCACTGAATGTGACGATATTCGATTGGGTCGCGTGGCCAATCTTTCGTCTTAGACTTTCACCCGAATCTTGAACTTTTGAATTAGCAGCCTCATTCCCTTAAACGGTCTTTTGAATTGTTAGACTCTCAGCGGCATCCCATCTCCTTGGCTCTCGACGTACGGCTACCGCTCGAAGCTGCACATATCAACGGTCCGTTCGTCCCTCCCGCGTCATGGCGGATCATACCCCTCCTCCCAACCCACCGCTCAGCGACGAACACGAGAACGAAGCGGGACAATCTCAGATCGAGATACATGCACACACTCACATCGAGGCCGGCGGGAGGAAGTCAACAGATGGACAGTCGTCTGCGCCTCTAGTCAATAGCAGTGGCTGGGACGGCAAATTGCGCATGCCACCACGTAACGCCGTCCTGACCAACCCTGAAGCCCTCTCTGACCCCGACTACTCGGACCCGGAAGCGCCTCCTGTCGAGCAGATTGAGGCCGACGAGGATTTGCTTGATGATTATCCCCTGGACACTGAGGATATTGATCTTGTCCACTGCCGGATTTCCTCACTTGTTGCACTGAAACTCGAACGCTTCACCAATGCCAAGAGACTGTGTTTACGGCAGAATGCCATCCAGAGTATAGCTTTAACGCCAAACCTGGGAGAGACATTGGAAGAGCTGGATTTGTATGACAACTTGATTTCGCACATCAAGGGCCTCGATGATATCAAGAACCTGAGAAGCCTGGACCTCAGCTTCAACAAGATCAAACATATCAAGAATGTGAACCACTTGCGCAGTCTAAAGGAACTATATTTCGTGCAGAATCGCATCTCCAAGATTGAAAACCTCGATGGACTAGAGAACCTGACCATGATCGAGCTCGGCGCGAACCGTATTCGAGAGATCGAGAATCTGGAAACCCTCCACACCTTGCACGAGCTCTGGCTGGGGAAGAACAAGATCACCGAGATCAAGGGCTTGTCTTCTCTGACGAGTTTAAAGCTTCTCGACCTAAAGTCCAACCGATTGACCACCATAACAGGCCTAGAGTCGCTGTCCAACCTTGAAGAACTGTACGTCTCACATAACGGCATCACAGAGATATCACCTGCATCACTAGCCAACAACTTGAAACTGCGAGTCCTCGATCTCTCGAATAACCAGATCTCCCATCTGGCGAACATTGGACATCTTAAAGAGCTCGAAGAGGTCTGGGCTAGCAGCAACAAACTTGCCGATTTCCGAGAAGTCGAGCGCGAGTTGGCCGACAAGGAACACCTCGAAACGGTGTATTTCGAGATGAATCCCCTGCAGCTGGCTTCGCCTGCATTATACAGGAACAAAGTGCGCCTGGCATTGCCGCAGATCAAGCAGATTGATGCAAGTAAGTTAATCACACCTCGTCATGGCTTGAGAGTCTGAACAAAGATTCAATGCTGACTGTCTGTACAGCATTCGTCAGAGTCTGAGTAAATGGACTGAGGGGATGCCATTACATATTACATTCTCGATTCGTTCCTCGCTCACTGAAGCAGTGTCGAGCGCGTTTCGAGGATATAGTGGGTTCTGTGAGTTGTCTACCTGGCCCGCCTAGCCACAAGAATACCTTTGCGTATTCAATTACCACCCAACAGCCAGCCTCAGCTACTGTTTCCGCAGGCAGACCAGAAATGACACATGCGGTCGGCTTACCAAAGGACGTTGCAACGAATAGATCCAGTGATGACATCTATAAAAGAAAACGGTGCGGTGCGGGCAAGGTCTGCACCCGAAAACCCTCATGAAGGACGATAGACACTGTCTTGCTCACATGCCACGTGGAGATCTATTGATTTGGACGAGTCGAAACGGCATCCGAGTCAACGGTAATGAATTCGGGAGGGCAACTGAGAGGCGAAAAAAAAGATTTTATCCGAGTGTTTCTCAGGTACTGGGGTAGAGACTTGTGGACACTGGTATATCACTACGATGGAAACCAGTCATGACGGATACTGCTGAGGTCAAAATTATGCACATGAGCAGATCGATTCAAACTAAAAAGCACACATTGAAGGCAAGGAGCATTGGGCATTGCCGAGAAAAGCCCTTCTAGCAGATGTAATACACCAGTTGACAACCCGACTTCTGCTTTTATTTGCATTCCATTTCCATTTCAAAGCAGTGATCGGACAAACCATCCCAGCTAGAGCCCAGTCATCGCCGTTTCCATACTAACCAGCTTCCGCTTCTAAACACCGAGAACGCCGCCATGTGCTTGATCCGTTCGTTGGCTGGTGCCCCTGGGGAACCATCTCAAGTCGCAGTGGAGGCCGTCATGGACAGGCCATTCAATACGCCTAGCATGTTTCCAGGGTCCCTGTCCAATACGCAATTTGGTGGAAGAGGTCCCGACATGCTTTCGACGTGCCCTTCCAAGACGACTATCGCCCCTTCGAACGCAAGCAGCTAGGAATATTATCCAGGCAAAGACACAGTACCATCACATGTACACAAGCCAAACAACCAACCAAAGTTCCCACGAGATGAGGTCTGTTGACTGAGATCCGTCAAAGAGCCTCGGAGAAGCTCGTGTACCGCATTTGCTTGAGTGCGTCAGTGTTTACTGTGCGCTGTGCTGGTAAACGCCCGCCACGATACAGTGATCTCGTTCAAAGGGTTCTGCGATGGACAAACGGGTTAGTAAATCTCGTTCCTGCCAAAGCCACGGTCTGGAACCATAAATAAAAGGACGTACCGAGAGTCAGCTGTTCTTTGGGCTTGATTCGCTCTTCCCGCATCTTCTTGACCTCATTGGCAAAGACAACCTCGGGCTTCGCGGTCGAGTCGATACAGTTGGCCTTGATACTGACAAGAACGCCGCCGCCGACCTTCAAGAACAGGTGAGCATTCAGACCCACAATACGCGCCTGATCGGGCTGAGCAACGTCTGCGAAGATTACGTCCACCATGCCGACCAGCATACGGTAGCGTAGAGGATGTCGGGCGTCTTCAATGATGGGGATGACATTTGTGCGGTGTGTCGCCATGGTGATCAAATCACGGCCTGACCGGTGGGAGAACTCGACAGCGTAGACTCGTCCAGTGGGACCGACAATGTCGGCAACATGGGACACCGACGTTCCTGATGCCGCACCCAGGTACAGCACACTGGAGCCGGGACGGATGAAGATGTCGTCCAGACCACCCAAGATACCGGCTGCCAACTTGGAGCGGAACGGGTTCCATACTCTGTATTCTGTCTTGGTAGCGGGTGCGTTGCCGTCGCCGTTAACGGCCGGGGTCTCGGTTGAATCGACGCTGATGCGCTTTTCGCCGTACACAGACTCCCCTGGAGTCAGGTTCTTGGTGACCAACAGATCTTCTTTACCGCCACGAGCAACAAAGACACCGGGATGTCGGTGAGGTTCCTGGTTGAATGTGGTTAGTGCTTGCTCTGCCAGACAGCGGCTGGTCAGAGGCGTGAACAAACAATTATGACTTTCGCTCCTCCTCTGATGCCAGGCTTGCCGCCTCTGGTACCGCCCCTGGGAGCACCGCGTCCTCTAGGAGCACCACGGCCACCGCCGCCTCTGGGAGCGCCTCGGCCACCACCTCGGCCACCTCGATCGCCAAAACCGCCGCCGAAACCGCCTAAATTTGTGAAGCCAGAGATCAGTGATCATCCTTCCGAGTTGTCACCATTGTTCTTTTGAAGCCATTACCTCTACCGCCACCTCGTCCGCCGCCTCGTGGGCCACCTCTGGAAAAACCTCCCCGTCCTCCGCCGCCGCCACGACCGCGCGCACCGTCAAAGGCCATCTTTTAGTCGGCTCTGGGTTTTGTAGGATTCGCACTTGAAGATAGGGGGTGCGATCAACCGGTGACTAGGTTACCGTGTTGTGCAAGATATTCGCAGGAGGATAATGCAAGCAAGCGACAATGTTGCGTCGCTACGATACTTCTCGCCTGCGAAATTTGAAGCGGTGCTGCTACTTTTTTGCGTCGAAATTTGGAGCTGCGGAGGAGAAAATACGGCGCTAAGTACAAATGTGGTAAGAATCCTGCAAACCTGCCAAGAGCGGTGTTGATTGGCCCATCCGCGAACGGTCAATCCAGTATCTTGGATAAGCACCATTGTCTCTGAGATGCCAGTGGGATAACCAGGAGGCCAGTGGACAATCAACTATACTTCCAGGCCGTCCAGCGCTTTCCGCATGCCACAAAGTCTGCCGTCCAATATCCGTCCCGCTGGATGCAGCTTCTGCTCTGCTAGCCGCCCAAGGGAGGCTTTCAAGGTACGTAGAGATCATCCCAGATTTCTCCCTGTAGTTGCAGCTCCCTCCAGTACTCCTGATCGTACAGGTCGCCATCGTCTTCGCCATCTTCTACCTCCCCGAAGCCGATAAATGGGATGATATCCTCCGGATAGACCACCCGCCTCCTCGACGTGCCGCCGCGCTTCGCCATTGCCTCCAGGAACGCGTCGTCCGAATACTCCATATCCTCTGTGGCCTCTGCCATCGCCCGACCCACACCAAAGTATGTTGTGAGGAAATCGGGCGGCAATTGCTGTAGGCACCGCACGTCGTCGAAGGGGAGGTTGAAAGTAGCTAGCTCATACCGTCCGATGACTTTGAAGGGCATGCTCGACAGCAACCTAGCAAAGTTGTTCTTGCAATCACACATGACACTTTCCTCGGTGAATGTCGAGAGCGGTTGGATGTCGTCTTGTGGATCGACCGCGCCGCTCATCATGTCATTTTCGCCTGGGAGGTGATCCTCAATGATGACTTCAGGAAGGACGAGATCATCTGGAGGAGTTGTGTCGCCTGTGTCTGTTTGGTCTTCTTCATTTTCTAGAGGTGAGAGATGTCCCATGCTGCTTGTCGGTGATTCTGGCAATGGAGGTATCGTTGTCCTGCCGTGACCATTGTGGTGGATGGGTAAGAGAGGTTCAGTTGCGCTCAGCACCGTGTCGGGTAGTACGATACCGCCGTCGCCAATCTTGGTTTCACATTCGCTTGACGTGCTGGACACCGTCTCCCAATAGCTCTCCTCGTCATCTTCAAGGAAAGGACTAAAAGTGAGAGAGCCACAGTGAGGTTGTTGGATGCAAGCGGCGTTCAGATGGACAGGATCAAAGTCTTCAGAATATGCCTCTTGGCTGTCAGAAACGGGGAAGTCCATACTGCTCAGCTCTATCGATGCCAGCTTTTACGCAATGGCACGCTGGGCTAAAGAATGTTTCTTTTCAACCGTAAAGATATTGTTGGTCTAGATCGGGCAGTGAAGTCCACTTGAAGTCCATGTGAAGTCCATGTGATGTAGTGACTGATGGCGATGTATGTCAGTACGATAACAATAGACGATACCTAGGGAGAGCTTCAAAGTCGCATTGTCTAAGCTGGACATATAATCTTCTTTGTCGCCATTCCAGTCAGGTCCATAGTGAGAGACTGAAATGTTCCTTCAAACTTCGCACACGGATTTCTTTGTCAAGGATTTGCTTGATAGCAATTCTTCACCGAGATCGACGTGCCCTTCAATCTCAAAGATCTCTAAACTCTCAACCATCACAGTTCCCAACGCCCGGTGTTGAATCTTGTCCTTGAGCTACGACCATTCGATAAGTCTCTGCTTCCACGATCAGTCATCCCCGTCCTCGGATTACAGTGGCCATCTGTGCCCGAGGGCTCCTGGCTATGGGTCTGGCTGTTGCCTCGCGTCGTATATATGGCTATGCGCCTGCTCTGGCTGAAGGAGAGGCATCCACCATCAAGCTGCAACGGGCGTGGTGTTTTTTGGTGTTCCTCTTACACCGCGCCAGATCCCATTGGAAACAATGAAGGGTCGGAATGCCACTGGCTGTTCTCTCATAGCCTCTGCACAGTAGCGGAGGAGAGAAAGGGCCACGGAGGGTTGTTGTAGACATACTATCTCAGTATATCCGAGAAATACTTGGGTGAAAGAATCAATTAACCTTTCTTGAACATTAGGTACGCTGCGGGGTGTTTCCAATGGGCCGGCTACCGAACCTACGTCATGTCTCTGGGAAAGTGACGGGCTCACAATTTAAAAGTTCAAACGCGCATTTGGACTTTCTCTGGTTGGCCGCAGTCATCTATTCATCACCTCTATGCACCGTCGAGGCTAGCTGGACCTGATGAAGCTCTACCACAGACTCCCCACTATCACTCGTAACTTCAGCCTCTGGAACGGCCTCAGGGCTCGAGTGCTACAAACCCCGTTGTTCGGCACTCCGGGAAAAACACATCCACCTCCTCAGGCACCTAGAGAAGAAACGATTTCTCCTCCTCTCAATGGTAAGTTCTAGTATTTATGAGCCCTGTTCAACATGTTCTGTCTCCACTGCTACTGCTAACAGTACTGCCTCCACCTACTAACCCAGCGCAGTTTTCAAACGACCTCTTGCTTTCTTCTCCGATCGCCCCGTGACAGGTTTCTATCGAGACGGCTATTGCAGAACCGGTGCGGCCGATTTCGGCAACCATGCTGTTGCGGGGGTCGTGTCAGAGGAGTTCTTGGATTATTCGGCTTCTCAGGGAAACGATCTTCGAGTTGCTGGGCTGACAGATGGCTGCAAGTGGTGCCTTTGCACGTCAAGATGGCTAGAGGCCTTCCAGGCATACACGGATGGGAAGATCAGTAAGACCGCCGTGCCTAGGGTGTATCTTGAGGCAACTGAAGATAGCGCTCTGCGAAGGGTTGATCTGGACACTTTGCGTGAATTTGCGGCCAAGAAAGAGACGAGCGATGCCAACGGTGTGAATGGAGTGCATGGTGTTTGAGGAAAGCCACCCGGGAACCCAGAAAGAAGAATGGTACTCCGTCACATAGCTCAATATTAGTAGTATCCCATACTTTGGGCAGCAAATTGTACACATACCTAAAAAATGGGTAAAAGATGCGCCGCCCCCCAGAGTAATCAGAATCGAATTGAAACCGCCCGGTCACCAACTCCGAAGAGGTCAATGAAAGGGTGGAATCCGCTGCGATTGCACTAAAGTTGAGGTCGCGGTACGCGCCAAACAATCTTCGCAATGGCTCTTCCATAGGGAATCCCTCGAGGAGGACACATGGAAGACAAGTCACCCATGAAGTCCCCGAGGCCCTGTATATTTCTGATGCCGATTGCAGGCACGGAATCATGCTAGGCCCTTACGGGCAGCCCTGTTCTCCAGAGTCAAGCTTGACTCGGGAGAAAGGTTTGTGGTTGAAGATTACTCCGAATTTCTCATCTGCAAGGAGGGAGCAGATGCTCAACTGCCGGTGAAAGCAGGAGCAGTCTACGTCTGTAGCAGAGAACGCAGCGGATGGAGGGCGGCGCATGGAGAAAAGTAAAAGTGGTTTGGCTGTTTGGAATTCAATTTTATAGCTGACTCGGTTTATTCTGCCACTTCTGACCGCTTTGGGAAGAATCACGTGATGCAATTGAAAGTCGATAGTTATTGTGACAAGTACAGATACAATAATATCAGCTGTCCGAGGCAAGCTGGCCAAAGCATCGTGTATCGCAAGTATATCGTACAACTTCAGTGACTTGCGATAGCAATCACACCACTCGGCTGGGTAGACAGGCAGACCACGAATGGCTCTAAGTAAGGGCAGTGGACTCTACGAGACGCCTGGTGACCTGTATTTACAGAACACATTGGATGCCCCGAACTTAGGTCCTGAAGCTCTCGTCTCTTCTCCAGACTGGGGTGCGGGCTTGTCTGAGGCCAGTAGACACAAAAACGCATTGTGTGCAAGCAGACTGGGGGCAGAAGAGGCGCAGGCCGGACTGGATGGTCCGAATGCTTCCGATTTCCCCTGGAGAAGGCATCCCGTCAAACCCGTGCATTGAGGATTGCAGCAGGTCCAGCCTATGTTCCTGGATATGAGCCCACATATGAGATTTCGGATGCTGTTTCCTGAAGTGCCGAACACTCTAGGAACTAACCACGCGAGTTGTGCCCAAAGGTCGAATATCACGAGACAAGGTACTGTCCTTCTGAGAATTTGCAGGCTTCAGCCTGAGACCCCAGAAGACCCCAGAGGCACTTCTGGAGAGTAAATGCACGATATCGCGGTTCATGGGATCACCACCTCATTCCGTCAAAGTATAGGTCGTCGTCTCAATACCCATGGTTTCGAATGCTGTAAGCCGGTCGGCTGCGATCCATTGCCCCGGTATATCACTGTCGTGTGGCCAACTTGACTTTGAAATCAGCTGGCTCACGCTTCTACCCAGGATGCTGCAAGAGTCCTCACAAGTCGACCGCGTGGAACGAGTTTCGGTGTGTGTGGTAAATGCCCGTGTCACACAAGTGAATCACGCTGAATAGAGACTTCATTCAATAATATCCTCGCGAGTTCATGAATCCGGCTCTGTGAAGAAGGTATTCCTCTCACCGCGGCGACAGTGCCCCATCATCAGAGTCAGATAAATGCCACGGCCGTAAGACTCCGGACACCCGTGCTCTTGCAATTTGTCGAAAACACCCTGCATTACTTATAGTGCGGTTGCTGTCCTGGTGGAGGGCCGTTCCATCCTAACGGCGGTCCTTGTTGCTGTGGGGGTACAGCTGGCCCTTGGCCTTGTTGCGAGAGGACATCCGGTCGATTCCTAGACAAGAGTGAGAAACTGGCGAAGCCTGTGTTGTGAACGTGGGAGCATACCGTAGATCTTGGCGAAACCGGCAGATTGAGCAAGCAAGCTACGAGAAGTTTCAGCATGGACCAATACTACCCTTTGAAGGAGGGGACCGACGTCTTTGTGCTTGCTTCCGAGTGGTATAACAGGAATAAAGCAGAAGGTGAACCACTCCCAGGATGAAATAGGATGTGCCGACCAGTTTCCGCAGTTGTGACACTGCGCTGTGATGGACTCGTAGCCTTTGAGAGGCCCGGTGAAATCTATGAATTTGTTAGGGTGCGCAATCAGTGGGGGAGCAATTCCAGGTACCCACCATTCGTGCCCATGACAAAGCAGAAAGCCATGATGAAGAAGGATGTTGTTGAAATCGATAATTGCAACCTAGGAATGATGGACAAGAGAGACAATGAAGGAGGGTTGCCAGTGTTTCCCGGTGGACTCGGAGTTCGATGACGCGCCATCACTTGGCGACAAGTGACACGAGATCGGCTATACAACAACACAGTCTCCCCGAGGTATTTCTCGTTAGCGCCCTAAATGATTCCAACAGCGTTTGAATTATGGCAGTGCTAATTGACCAACAGGACGTGTTCTTTAGGTATCATTTCCACCATACATTCTGTTCTGACACGTAGTAGGATATTGATTACAAGCCATGTGGCTATATGCCTTCTATAGGAGGCCGTCTTCAGGCAATGGTGCAGCGAACTTGCTGGAGTGCTTCTTCATGGCACGGTATTGTCCAGAAGGTCCATGCATAGGTATGTAGGCACACCTATCCTCAGAAGAGCTCCAAGAGCTGACCAGCCTGGTTCACCTATGGCCTCTCCACCCTCTCGATCGTCATCTCCCAGTCCAGCCTGTCAAAGGAAAGAACTCAATGCATGTTTCATCCCGGGAGTGTAATTCTGAGATCAACATGTCGTCTTTTGTGACAGAACGCCATTCTCACCTGCACTGAACGTACTGAAACTTGACCGGTCTGTGTGTGCCGCAACCTTCGAACCCGTTTGATTGAGTACCTAGGGAACGCCGTCCTGCGTGCCGCGGTTGCTGACCAGGCCGAGGATGATCACTGCAAGAACCTCCCCTTGACGCCGTCCGCTGAAAGCTTCCATCACTGGGTCTTGAACAATAAAATTGCGACATGACCAAGATAGAAGTAGATAAAATGCTTTGTCTCTGTGTCAGATTGTCAGTTGAACCCTCTTCACCGTAACTAACAGCGGATTCTCTTATACCATGAGTCACAAAGCTTCCAAAATTCCTGCCGACAATGCAATGCCATGTAGCACCTTTCTTCGCATCGAACTAGTAGAGAAAGGTCAGACGCTCCTCCAGGGGTTTCGGGGCGCATCAACCGACCTCTCGCTTGATATGTTGCGCGATGTCCTATGCCAATGTAAGCGCTTGCAAGGGCAAAGTCAGTGGCACCTGCATACCTTCTCGACGGTGAATTTCTCCATCGCTTCTTGAGCTGCACGCTTGTCAACACGCCGGGCCCAGACTGTCCAGGTGTAACTCTCCATACCAACTTCAATCGCCTCCTGTTGCATATCCTCGCTCTTCATACGTTGTCAATGCAGGCGCAAGGATTGGGGTTTCGCACGGATCGCCTACCATGTCGACAGATTTGATCTGGGCTGAAATCACCGTTGTCAGTCCTTGCGCATCTCACTTTCGGAATCTAATGGACTTACGCTCCAACTTCACCTTCTTCTCCGGGAGTTCCATGGTTGCCATGATGTGTAGTGTGATTGAGAGGGGTTGGAGGCGATGAGGAATAGACAATTAAATATGCTCAAGAGGTCGCAATGCAACAAACGGTCAGAGGGAAAGATACTGTCGAAGTTGGGTGATACGGGCTTGTCGGGGGTGGAAGCGCAGCGCAGGCTGGCACCATCACAAACAAGGCGTTGCGGCGCTGCATCCGAGGAAATCTTGGCGTCTTAAGACAATCACCTGCCCGTGGCTCCTCAGCCTTAGGCCTGCTTAGCTCCTGAGCCTTGAGAGCCTTGCTATTAGTAGTGCGTGAGCTGCGCCGCTTTTAAACATTGCTCGCCTCACTCACTCTTACCTTTAATGGCCATTTGCTTCCACTTACTCAGGTGTCATCAGTAAGGTGCTCTTCGTCTGGTAGAGAGCCAATCGACAGAAATAATGCAGTGATCTGCTGCATCGATTCTACGGTCACCAAAATGGCCATGACAGGGTGAGTATAGCTACGGAAAATTGTTCCAGGATGCCTCCGAGGGCACCTTATCGTTGTACTCAGAACTTGAAGCATTATTAATCGAAAGAATTTGTCCGTGGTTCGGCCGAAGCTCCAGTCTATAAAAGCCAACAATTCTTATCAAGTGGGTTTCTCAACAATAGAAGAGTATAGAGTAATTATTGCGTATCAAATCCGCACTCATGGCATTCCGAATCACGCTCTTGATAAAGAAGCTCGACACACTTACTCACGACGAGTTTTATGCTTAGTGAGAATGAGCACCCTATCTGCTTCATAATATCTAACTTAGATATCTATTTCAGCTGGGAAGGGCCACATGCCGAACTGTTCTTGAAGTGTCCTATTGTGAAGGAGAAGGTGATCAAATACTCTCAGGTAAGCAGCTCGACGAGTAGTGCAATGTCTCTACCATGTCACCTCCAGCATTACCGGCTCAATAGGTAAATAATGGTTGACTATCTATCTAACAATATACCTTTTGGATAGTTCCACATTAACCAGACTGTATCTGCAAGCCTAACTGCAGCCGGGCTTCCGATGTCAGAGTTCGATGGCGAGGTCAATATTTGGGGGGCATCCTTGGAGGATCTGATGGCTGTATGTGTTTCTCCACTCTCCGGATGTCAAATGGAGCTACAATGCTGAGCTTGGTTTAGATGCTCCAGGATCCTGAGTATCAGCGGACTGTGGTGCCCGACGGAGCAGTGTTTATTAAAACGGAGGATTCGAGAATGATGGTCGGGTATGACAAGGATTTTATTGCTAATGGAAAGGTGTTGTAGAAAGGATGCTGTAGCTTGGTTTAGAAGGAGGTTGCAATCTATACAAGGGCTTGCCAATTCAAAACCGCCCGAACAAGATTAGGACGTCGACCTTGGCAGATATGCAGTAAAGATCTCAGGGATTGCTATAGAGGTCAGCAGGAACTGTACTATCCTCGCTATGGCGACTCACCCATACCACGAACAGGTCCACGGTCACATGGGGATCGCCCAAAATGCCTTAGACTACAATATTGAAAGTTGATATATTGTTATCTACGGGGGTCCGACGAGCATTAACATCAAGGTGAAAGTAATATAGTGCTAATGAGCACATTGCCTCAAGTTCAAGAAGGGTTAGCCCCCTGGTTCCCGCTCAGACTCGACATGGACACGCTCTTCAGAAATACATGCAGTAGACGGCATTCACAAAAGTTTTGAGTAGATCCCACTGGATGACATACCCCTTCCTGATGTGTACACCTAGCGATCCATCCTGGCAAGTGAGCCTGCTTGACAAAGTCTGAGACAATTGTCGGCAGGCGCTGTTTGAACTGGTCACAAGCTAGTGCAAGCACAAAAGCTTTGCTGGTCAATATGTCCAGTGCGGCAATGTAGAAGTTCAAGAGATGTTTGTACACTGGAATGAGGGCCTTAAAACCAGATCGGAACTAGAAAAGGCAGCGTCTAGGCGATATCAACTGAGTCTGTGGGCCGTAACTTGGCCATTTCAAGGCCTGCGACAACCCACAACTGGAAACCTAGGCTAGTTTGTGGCACAACTTTCAGGTTGCTCAACATTCCCCCCAATGACGGCACAAGAAAGGGCCAAAGTCACCGAAAGGTCAAGGCTGCCTAGAGGGCGATGACCTGGCCCCATTTGTTCGACGCTGGCAGCTTGTGGAGGAGGACCACACCGATGATGGTGGAGACGCAGGAAACGGACATGCGGTACAGTCGCATGTCCGGGGATTTGCTCGCAGGGAAGTCAGCAGACCTTCTTGACCCGTCTTGGACTCAGAGACAACGTCCATGGAGGGCACGCTTCTGGCTTTGCTGCTCCAGAGGTTCAAAGTTTCGCTGTGCGTATCACCACTCGCCAGGCGTATTCACCTTTTGCGATGAAGATGTTGGCACAACTCGTCCACCTAGGACCCAGAAAATCACCGCACAGGCTGTCGCATCGAGCCTGGGTCTAGAATCTAAGATTCATGACATTTCACCCCGGTTTGGGACCAACTGCAACCATCCTGAATTCGCTCTGCCAACTGTCCATATGAATGGCGAACCAGAGACCTATCGGTCCCCCGCGGTGACTTGGCCAGAAACAAGCAGACAACGGAGGCTTGCTGCCTTGGTGTTCATAAAATCAGTTGTTTGATGGGGCTCTTCACTTACCTCACTATTCACTACTGTCTCCCTTCACATACATGACTAGGTAGGCAGTGATTGTAGTGACTGCGACTCCCGCAGCACGATAAGTAGTTTGTTTCTCTCCTAGATAGTTTGAGAATCTTTATCGCACTTGTACAATCAATCAGGGACTTCAACTAAATCTGCTATTGCTGCAGGCTCTGTGTTTTGCGACCTAATGCCTTGATCCTCTGAATTCGTAGATAGACGTCTATCCAGTGACGGATTTCCATGGTCAGAACCAACACTGTCGTGAACAAGAAGACCCCAATGCCAAGGAGTAAGTGGGTGGCACAAGCTGCAATAGCCTGAAGTACCACGATGACAGAGTGTAAGTCAAGATGGCTCTGCGGACTTCCCGAATTTCGAACGGATCCTCTCGAATGAAACGAGCAAGCAGCAACTTTGGGTTTGCTTGCATCGCATTGGAAAGCTCTTCTTCACCCGAAGTTGAAATGCCCACGCATGCTTCAGTGTCGTTCCTCTTTGGCGCCCAAGGTTCTCCCAGGCCGGTGACGGATCGACTGAGAGCATTGCCGGAAGAAACACCTGTACTTGTTTCTGGCGAGCGCCTGTCCTGTATCTGTTGATTTTGGTTCCTTGCTGGAGCCCGGTGGAGTGATCTCAGCGTGACGTTGTCCAAGTCCGGCAACCCACCAGCTTCAGCCACACCAGCGCCCACAGGCGTTTGGTGATTGAACAATTCTTGGCGAATCTGATCTCGAAGGTCGCTTTCCGCTTCCACGAGAGCTTGATGCTCTCCATTGACCTCGTCGGCCCCAGCGGGTCCGGGATTTTCGGCTTCAGGTAATGGACCAATAGACTCTGCTTCGCCACTACCATCCGTGCAATCAGGCTCTATCACAGTCTGGCCTTGTGAGGCATTCGTAGCCTCAAAGGCCATATGCCCTGATCCTTGAGAAACAACTTCCTGAGGTTCCTGGTTATCAACGCCACTGTCAGTCACAGACTCTGGTCTGCCTGGTTCGTGCAAAGAGCCACCCGTTCCTGTCGCTTGCGTCGTGACGCTCTGCGGGGTGACCTCTTCTAAGGCATCCTGATAACCTGTGACTTCATGTCAGTACCAATCTTCAAGTTCTATCAATGTTTTGCTATACCGTAAATGCTCTCTATAGCAGCAAATATCAGTAAGGCTAACAGGAATACTGGAACGATCTGACCAAAGCCCATCGTGTTGAAGCGACCCACTGTGCCATCGTGTTGATTTCGGTAAAAGAATATCAGTATGGCGCCATAAATATTCTGATATAGCAGCTCCGCAATCTGCCAGAGACGCGAGTCGTGGGTTTCATGGAAGGCGAATGACTCGACCAGAACAAATGACTGGTAGGTTCTTCTCCATGACGGGTTTTGTACGATGAGATATCGTGCCTGTTTCTTGTAGGCTTGGACCCTGTAATCAAAATCCTTGACCTTATATTTTATCAGCCGTTTCTTAGTAATCATATCTTCGCCTTGTGGGAGGCGTCCCAAATCCGAATAAAGTGTGACGACTTTCTCATAGTGTGCAAACAAGATGACAACGATGACATATCCTCGAGTCAAAATAAGTTCGAATGAAGAATCTGTTAGCGAGAAATCCCAGAATGCACAGATAAGGAACAGATTCGAGTCTGTGCCTTCGTCGGTCCACCATGTGCTGGAAAGTTGCATGACCAAAAAGAAGACGAGCAGGATCATTGTCACCACCATGGCAGCTACACGACAGCCCTTCACAACATGGTGCCTTCTTAGGTACGTTGTTAGGAAGTCCAATGTACCTATGTGAACAGAGGCTGAGAAGAAAGCTAGCGCAGAAACAACGTTTGCTGAGTACACGGTAATCTGAGTCCATCGCCCGAAAGCTGCCACAAGCATGGCGACGCCTGTTACCAGCTGCTGGTCGCTGAGGGCAAGCATGAAGCCTCGTACTGCGTCAATACGGTACTTTCTTGCCGGATTGCTTTCTGCCTCGGGGCGATCTGAGGCAGACGCCTTGGTGGGATTATCCTGCTCGGTGGTGCTTCGCCGGCGGCATACTGTGCAGGCTCGGTAAAGTCGTTGCAAATAGCAATAAATACACCTTAGCAGTCTTCTGGTGCTTTCGACAATCTTATCATCGGCTCTGTTCTTGCAGTCGTCCTCGAAGGAGAATGTCAAGTATCCAGATACAACCACGATGAAAGTGGTGTGAGCAGTGACGATAAAGGATATGATGACCTGGCATCTCAGGTCAGTATGGTCAAGGAGCAAACCTCGGATCAGTCTATACTCCCGCTCCCACAATGTCGGCGTCGGCCACGATCTGGCCAGAGTCCCCAATGCCCATTGGGTGGCTATCGAGCAATTGGACTTGCAAACAGGCAGCGATTCGCCAACGGACATCTTCTCCGAGGCCGGCTTCGGGATGCTCTTGCACTGGCAGGAAGCTGAACCACTGTACCGAAGAAACACGTTGTCCCCTTTACCGGCAACTTGCGCTACTAGGTTTGAACGGAAGCCTAGGTCTCTACCCAAGAAATCTTGCAGATTTTGCGAGTGAAAGCTTTGAATTAACCTCATCGCGTGGACAAGTCGCTGATAAGGCTGAGAGGCGGCACTGGCGCGGGGTGGTGCTGCTGCCTGTCGACGCCACATCGGCTAGAACTGACGACCCAGGCGCCAATCAGAGCGGCACAATCCAGTTTAGTAACGTGTTAGACGGGACGAGAGCTCGCTTGCCTTGCTGGGATGATTCTAATGATAGTAATCTGCGGACAGCTGTCGACATGTTGAGGCATGGGTGCTTGACGATGAACGGCCTCGGACCACGTGCATCATGGCCTAGAAAGTCACCAACCGCATGGGTTACAATGAGCATCCATTGGGCAATTGTCTGATACCTTGAATTCGCACCAGGAGAGCTAGAAGAGAAGTGCTTCTTGTGGCATGGTCATGGCCGGAAGAGACGTGGCCACGTCATTCAATTCATCCATATCTTCTATCGGGATTCAGGGCTGGCCTGTTCCCTGCCCCTTGCAGTGCTCTCTAGGCGCGAACAGTCCTCCACTGGCAGTCTTGTCTCCTGCAAAGTAAATATGGGAACTGAATTCCAACAGATGGAAAAGATGCTCGCAACTGACCTGAGGCCCGTTTCAGGACAAAGGTGATGCCGCCCTGTATCCACCCATGTCTTAGCCCGTCACAGTGCGTTCTCAACCTGTATTTATTTTCAGGGTGCCTCTGATGAGGGGTTTTCTTTCTTTCCCATGCACTCGTTTCCATTGCCCCTGCCCACGGATGTCGGAACAGTAAAATATCCAAGTACCAGTGTGCTACGCATTATCACGTCGAAGTGAGCGTAGGGCGTAGGGCGGCGCCTCTCTTTCTACATGTAGATAGTTCAACCCGGCAATATCGGAGTTTACTGTCTTGGCGCAGGTTGTTGTCGGCCTAGTCCTCGAACTTTTTTCGTCCTACGAAACTTTTGCCGTGGTAGAGCAGGCCATTCTCAATTCTCGCACTTGGAGTGCCCGTGGCCTTTTTCATAATGGCAGAGTCAGATAATGATGGCTCTGCCGTCACGCGGATATATGTGTCCGGCCTGCCTCCGTCGATGACCACGGAACAACTGCGGTCTCATTTTGCAGAGAAGTACCCGGTCACTGATGCACATGTGGTATCTGATCGCCGCTTTGGTTTCGTGGGGTTTGTTACGCACGAACATGCTAAGAGCGCCGTCAATTACTTCAACAAATCCTTTATCCGAATGTCTAAGATATCTGTCACTTTGGCCAACCCAGTTGAGATCAAACGCAATTCTTCAGGCCAGGCAGCACCTGTCTCCCAACGATCCATCCGCCATATGGAGATGAGATACCAAGATCGAGATTTGCCCTCGAAAAAGAGAAAGCGTGACCTACACGATGATGGCGAGCCGGTCGAGCCAGTCTTACAACCTACAACAGAGAAAGATGCCCTGCCCGCCAACCCAGGCCCAGAAGCAAAAGATCAACTTCAACAGGAGGACAAAACATCAGGCGAAGTCCTGCAACTGGAAAGCACAGTGGAAGTCACTCCACAGAATGCTCCAAAATCAGACGCAGACTGGCTTCGTGGCAAAACTAGTAGATTGTTGGACCTGGTTGAAGGGGATGCAACCCATGCGCCAGCAGCTTCGGATGGTGCTCCTGCTGCTGAGAAAGTACCCGAACCTGATGATTTTGCGCGGGGAAGTGAGGACAATGCGGATGCAGAGGCTGAAGCTCGGCCAGAAAGCACTTCCACAGTCTCTGTACCGAATGCTCGGTTGTTCATCCGAAACTTACCGTTCGATGCAAGGGAGAACGACCTCAGAACAAAATTCACGCCGTATGGGAGAATTTCCGAGGTATGTTTAACTCTGCTTGCTTTCCAGCCCAATATTCTCCTGATGATTTCCTGATAGGGACAACTTATGCTATGCATATGATTTGAACCGGGAAAGAGTATTTTAGTAGATGCCTCTCATTCTGACCTTTTCATTTCCCACGTCTTCTCTCCTTGCAGCGTCCGAGAAAAACACGTGCTGACCAAACAATAGGTCCGTTTGGTCACAGACACTCGGAAGCTTACAGGAAAGGGTCTTGGATATGTCCAATTTGTGGAGCCCGAGGATGCCGAGAAGGCCCTTGTCGACCTCGACGGCAAAGACTTCCAGGGCCGCCTTATGCATATCCTCCCGGCGTCTGATAAGAAGTTGCAAAAACTTACCGAGTTTGAGCTGTCGAAATTGCCTTTGAAAAAGCAGAAAGCCATCAAACGCAAAAACCAGGCTACATCCTCAAGTTTCAGCTGGAATTCTCTGTACATGAACCCTGATGCCGTGCTTGCCTCTGTAGCCGATCGGCTGGGAGTCTCAAAGTCAGACTTGCTCGACCCTGCCTCGGCGGACGCGGCAGTCAAGCAGGCTCACGCAGAAACCAGTGTGATCAACGAGACAAAAGAGTACCTGAAATCTAATGGGGTGAATATCGACGCATTCAAGAACCGGTCTCGCGACGATAGAACGATTCTGTTGAAGAACTTCTCCTTTGGAACGACTTCAGAGGAGCTATCACAGATGCTGAGTCAGTATGGTGTTGTTGAACGCCTGGTTTTCCCGACCACGGGTACTATGGCTGTGGCGCAGTATCAAGAACCTGCCGCTGCGAACTTGGCATTGAAACAACTTGCATATCGCAATCTGAGGGGATCTGTCCTATACCTCGAGAAAGCGCCGGATGGCCTATGGGGATCGAAAGCTCCTGCAACTGTGAATTCCGGGGCAGAAACTTCGCAGCCGCAAGGGGAGGTAACAGACCAACCCCTGGGTAGCACTTTCTCGGTTTTTGTCCGCAACCTCAACTTTTCTACAACAACTGCCAGACTCAGTGAAGCATTCAAGCCATTGTCAGGATTTTTATCTGCCAGGGTGAAAACCAAAACCGATGCCAAACGGCCTGCTGAAATCCTGAGCATGGGATTTGGCTTCGTCGAGTTCCGCACCAAGGCTCAAGCAGAAGCCGCGATCGTGACTATGAATGGAAGGCGACTGGATGGCCATCAACTGCTTGTGCAATTCTCGCAAAAGGCGAACGACCTGGGAGAAGAACGACGCAAAGAAGATAGCTCCAAGAAGCTCAACGCCAACAAGACCAAGATCATCATCAAAAATTTACCGTTCGAGGCGACGAAGAAAGATATTCGCGCCCTTTTCGGTGCCTATGGACAGCTACGTACCGTACGCTTGCCAAGAAAGTTCGACAACAGTGCTCGAGGCTTTGCTTTTGCGGAGTTTGTCACGGCAAAGGAGGCCGAGAACGCCTTGGAAGCCCTTTCCAACACGCACTTACTCGGTCGCAGGCTTGTGCTCGACTTTGCGGAAGGCGAAGCGGTGGATCCTGAAGCTGAGATTGAAGCCATGGAGAAGAAGATCCAGCATCATCAGGACACATTAACACACCACAGAATGACAGGATCTGTCCGAAAGAAATTTAACATCGGCACAGGAGACGATCTCGAGCATTTGTGAGATCTACAATAGCTGGGGACCCACCCTGTCCTATCCCTTGCAGCACTCCGCCCTTCTCTCTGACCTGCAGTCTCATTCCCTTGAAGATATTATACGATGGCCACCAACCCGACCATAGTTCAGACGACAAGGTGCAGTTGCTTCCCAAGATCTTCTTAGTAGCAGTCATGGCAGTCTTCAACTGCTGATGTGAAAATAAATTCCGGCCAGGAGAAAAAGTATCATCTGACAACTTTGCCTGTACCCCCTTCCTCATTCCTGGGCAAGATTAGCTACAACGTGACGTTCATCGCGGTCTTTGGTCGGGGCGTTATGTCTCTGTTACCTTCAGCTCAGGCATTATGTTCGGCTCCTGCTAACTCGGCATTGCCACGCCAGCTATGTGAGTGCAACTGTCCCAAAACGGCAGTTTCTCATCCCTTACATGTCCATGGTTGCCCTTTTGAGTCTGTGCGGCAAGGATATGGAACGCTGCTTATACTCTAAGATTACCTGTCTTGCTTGGTCTCGATTCTTTGGACAGCTCACCAAGCAATGTCCGTGGGTTTGTATTCCTACTGGACCAAAGAGGCAAAGGGCTGCTACTGATGAAATGGGAGAATCGAGGGAAGATTAGATTGCACGGGCGCCTGGGTCCGGCAGCGACAATTATAACACGATGATGATTTTCCTCCTCTTCCAGCATTCCTTTTTATCATTCCAAGGTCTTTTTGTTCTCGAGAATTGTTTGCTGCATTTTTCATTCCCATTCTTTGGCATTGCTGGCGACGCACTGGGCGCCTTAGTCTTCCATGGACCATTCGAATTCCGCCTCGCCTGCGGCCATGCAGTCTGAAGAACACTCCAACGGTCAGAATGGGCTCGATCCCCTTTCAGCCTCTTCCGGCAATGCTCGATCATTTGGCGGCGGGGTGCAGGAGGGGGTCGAAAATCAGCATCCTCTTCCGGAGCTCAATGTTGGTCTATCGATGACACAGGAATTGCAGTTCCCTAGTCCTCTGATCAAACTTGGTTCCAATGATACTTCAACCAACTTGGCATTTGGCCGAAAGCCGAGGCGACACCCACTGAGACCTCACCGGTCGAAGCCCTTGACTCAAGCAGACCGCCCATATCTGACTCATCCCAAGTACCTGGAATATCGATCACGGCCTAGGCAGGATATCGGGCCGGACGGAAAGCCAATCTGGCCTGATCGCATTGAGGCTGCTTTTCAGAATGGTGAGGCGGTCTGCTGCATGCCCGATGAGACGTCTAACGGTCTTCAGCATTAGTACACATCAAGCCAATGGGACGGAAGAAATGCTCTCAGCGCGGAAGACCCTATGGACGAAACATGCTCATTGCAGAGTGGATCTATCGGGAGACTGGTGAGGTTCGTGTACGCAAGCAAGTTTCTAGCCACATCCAGGTCCTCGATCGATTCCTCAAAGGAATACCAGAATGTAACTGATCGCCATTGCCCATCGACATGATCTAAGTTAACCATGACTCAGGGGATTGCTTGATCAAGCCCGGCGATGACGAAGATACCAGCCCAATCGAAGGGCGCAAGTTCTATCATAATTCGATTGAACACATGGTCAACGAACAAAAGGCTATAAAGAGCGAGATACACCAACAAGGAGAATTCCAAGCAGATGATCCAGTGGACGGGGATACTCCTATGCAAGCAGTTAGCTCAGACATCATCCATCTCCAAAGATTGACTTTCGAGATGTGGGTCAGTCAACCCGATGACTGGGAGCACGCCTTGCATCACTATACTCGACTGCAACCCTTCAAACTGGAGCCTCTTGCTTTGGAGGATGTTCCCGGCTGGCAGGCGGCGTTTCCTCACCTTCCGCCCATCATTGAAACTTGGACGAATGGGAATCAATGCGAGCTGATACTACTCAACGCTAGCTTCCAGCTAATGGAGGACTTTCCTCCTCGGCACTCCAAGCTCGGGATCGGCCTGGAACTGGATTTCCTGGATCAGCATTGGTCGGCAACATCACACTTGGACGACTTGAAAGATTGGACCTGTGTTACTCACATGTACCGCGATGGCCTTGAGATCTCCGCACCGACCCACGAAGAATGCCGGGCTTCTGGTCCAGGCAAGATTAAACCATTCTTCCAGTCAAGATGGTGGGCCACCTCATTCACATCACTTACAGAAGCCAAAAGACTGGCAGAAGAGTCTAAGGACTTGGGAGCTATCGAACTTGCGCATCAGCTCTCTAGTAACTTTCTCGGCGGTCTGACCATCATGCAGGAACTATCTGCACTTGACACCAGGCCTGGGCGGTATGGCGAGAAGTACACTCGAAGGTCGCGGCGAAGAACGGCTGTTCTTCTCTGGAGATTCTCTCAGGCTCCTCTCGGGAGCGGCGGGACAACCACCTGGCAGTCTATATGGGTGCCTCCTTTGAACAACCTGGCCACGACCAGCACCGTACCATCCGCCGAAATGGGACTGCCGCCATTGTCCGTGCATTCCGTGGATGACTATTCGCCTAATGCTGTCTCTTTTGACAGCAGCAGTCAGTTCCTGTCACAAAATAGTCTCCCGTACCATATGTATCTGGGGCCGATGGACGAAGAACTCTGTCAGGATGGATTCATGGCATTCAAGCCTGGTCCGGTTGCGGACTCGGGGCATCTAGGATCGTCATACTCTTTCCCATCGACTCAAGGGTTTCTTCCAAGCTGTGAGCTCGGCTCTCTGACCTCAAATCTCGACATAGCTCATAGCAATCTGCACGCTGTTAGTGGCAATGGAGATGACTCCATGGAGTCGGCCAATGTCTTCGAGCTTCCTGAGCTGGAGGGACACATGAACGCCCAGTCAGACACATCCTCCATGAAAGAGCCGCGGCATCCATTGACAAGATTCAATATTCAGACTCACCAAGTATTGCAAGAACAGCTTGGCTCTGAGGATCACAGTGTGACACAGCCGCTGCCTGACATTGAACCAGATTCCAATTTGCCGCCCTCGGGAACAACTGATGAGCATTCCTGGAACGAATTTCACCGGGAAAATGGCTATTCAAACCTTTCAGCGGAATCGCCGCCGACCAAACTCCCAGTTCCGTCGTGGGTATCCATTGACGAGCAAGACCAAGCCCTGCATTCAGCCCTGCTAGCAGCATGCGCCATGAGCGATCTAAGAGTACCACCCCAGGGGACACCACCAGGTCATCGAGGACATGGCAATTGCAAACTTGAGTTGCCCGATGAACCTCAATGTGGGTCACCATCGATGTTCCGGCCCACACTGCATAGCCATCACAGTTTTCCTGGCATTCGGAGCATGCAAGGTACGAATGGTGAAAGTTGTGGGCTGCCATTCGATGAGCACGATGGTGCACATGGGCTAGCTTTGCTACAATCCCAGCTTCGTCAGAACGGGGAATGTCAGGTCTTCGCATCAATGGTACCAGACGAGCTTCACAGAGTGGGTGGTAGCTACAGTGGTGGTACACGAGGCCTACCTCGCGCTCAGAGTGAACCTGACCCTGGACCCATGAGACTGGCGGTCCCGACCCCTGCGGTGGGGTCAGGTCTGATGGAGATCAATCAGAGACACCACGAGACTGAAGAGATGGAAGAGATCTTGCGAAGTCGGCACCAAGGGGAATCCCCAGCTGCCCTCGACTGAGGACGCAGAGATGGACAATCGTTTCGCCAAAAGTCATATGGATGAGATTCAGTAACAAGTTGCCTCCATGCCACTAATAGCCGAGAAGCACGCCGCTGTATGTGGGGAACAGTATTGTGTCGATGCGATGAGGGACAGGGAACACCAGACGCCATCTATCAGCAGGTATACTGTGCAATTGTAGGATAATGGCATCATTGAAGCTGAGGAATGAGAGTGATCTCATATCGATGTCGATGCAGGTGACTTTGGTGGACCAGTGCTTGCCGATCTTCCCGATGAGGATGGCTAGCGAGGCTTAGGCTGTCAACGGGGATGGGAGTGACTGAGGAATGACAATAAGATGCTGTAAGAACGTATTATTCGGTCTCGTTTAACATGGCACTGTTCCAACCCGACGTGCCTCGGCATTTCTTTCAGCGGTCAGCATGATGTCCTGCTTAATGCATTGCTCAAGCACACAAGATAGACGTTTTTCGATGAACCTTGTAAAACCAGGTTGATGGCTGAGACGCACAAGGTTGGGCGAGACTGCAGTCTCTCTTCGTGTAGTATGGAGCACAATGCTGCGTGAAGTTTCGATAGGGATAGACTCGCTTTGTCGCAATCACCATGATCTCGAAATACATCAGACCAGGCGACTGAGTCTTGAAAAAAGGGCATTGGATCCACCGTCGAGGTTCGTTGTACCGTTTGAGGTTCGTTCTATCTTCGAAGTTCATAGACAGCCACGCATCCATGATAGGAACGCAATACCAGTGACACGGAAGGCTCAGGACGCAAAGACCAAGAAGCGACTAAGTAATCGACTAAACAGGTATTTGATTGTGGGGGGATTCCTGAAAATCCCATCACACACTATATCTCGAGAGCATCAGAAGCTCTACGACAGCCTTGTTCCGCCCTCATATCGCTCCACCTTACGCACCCTCTGTGCTTTGTGTGCCGTTCCATGTTTAGTGAGCGGAGTGACATGGTGATCCAAGCTCTCTCGGTCCTTCGAGTGACTCAGCCAAATCCCAATCAGAGGGAGGCTCTCATCTTGCCGTCAAAACCCGCCTACTCAGTGGACTGGCGAGCAGATCTCGTCGAATGGCATATTCATTTCTGTGGCCGAGGTGTTAGACCGCGAACGATCGAGGGTGAAGGATGCAGATAGGGGCAGACTCACGCCACAGGCAGTGCATTTGCACCCTGAGCCGCACTGGCAGCTGGAAGGGCCGGAACAGGTGCAGGGACCCATGTTCGTACAGTATCTTGATTGCGAAGGACGGCACTTAAACAAAAGGATGCCTGAAAGTGATCTGGATCTAGGCTGTGCTTGATATCGATCGATTTTGAGCACAGTGACAGTGATATTGACAGCGACGGTGGAAATGGGCTGTTGTAAGGTGTATGTGAGGAAAGGAGAGCATCAGGAATGTAACAGAGCCAGCAAAGAAGATACCTATATATACACAAATGCTACACGCTACATGCTACCTGCAGCAGAAGCAATACTCTGCCCCACGTCAGACGGTCCAGGTAGTTTTCCCTTGAAGCGAGGTCAGGCGAGGCGAAGAGAAGAGAAGAGAAGAATCCCAAGGTAACCTGGTTGGTCATGTCGGGCGGGTCTGCTGGACCAAAAGTCTCGGTCCTGACATCTCTGTCTGTCTGATCATTGGAGGACAAGCCGTTGTGGAGGGGAGGGAGGAAGTGGTGGGATGGCGCACAAAGCCCTCACTTTGCCTGGATCCTCGAGCGTGACAGCGCAGAGGGTTCGCCACAATTCTCTCGACACGGCCCGGCTCGGCGCTGGACCACTACGACCTCTCTGTGCAGTGGTGGTGTTGAGAAGGAGACGAGGGGTGATGTCTCGGCGACAGAAGTCTAGATTCCGCAACTGGATGTGCGATTACTCATGGAGAGGGGCGAAATGAGCATGGTCGACGAGGGTGTGAAATTCGAGAAGAAGGTCAAAAAATTGAAGAACGAAAGGAACATGGGTCTATGGCTGGCAAACGCCGGCCAGCATGCTGGACGTGCTGTCAGAATGTACCAAACTATACATGCATGCCCAAGTTCTAAACTTCAGGCTCTTTGAGGCCATTTTCAGATGCTGTCGGATAGCTAATGTATCCTTCAAGGATCAAGTATTGTACGTCTTTAGCTTTGTTTCCTTTCCCTCGGCAAAGTACCTTGGATAGCACCATCTTGAGCATCTCCATGGACCTGAAGCTCTCCTTGATATGTTGTATGGCCCCCCATATTTCTACTTTTGTACCCTGCATATTGCTCCCAACATGGCAAATGGCTCCTCCTACAGTACGAGTGGCACAGCAAGCCCCATGGCGGCGAGGAGATTTTGAACTGCTTTTGGAGCGTTCGTCGCAGCGGCGAGGCCGGACGAACTGGCGGATGCAGCAGCACCACCACCTGTGGCCGACGAAGAAGGACTGGAAGTGCTGCTCGCCATGCTCATGGACGACGAGCTCGATGCAGAAATGGTGAAGTTATTTTGATTTGTGAGGACCGCGGTTAGGCCGGTAACATTCTGGCAGCTTGAGCTGACGGTGTTGTTGACTCCAGCGACGAAATTGACAGGGGCACACTAAAGACAGACAATCAATCATGATGAGTGATGGAAGGCAGAGGTGGGGAGCATCATGTTTATACTGGAGCATACCTGATACAGGATTCCATCGGGACCATGTTGCATGACCTGCAATATTCCAGTCTTCCCAGTAAAGTCGGAGGGCGCCTTCAGGTCGGGAAGACAGAACTGGCCAAGGCCCGTTTCTGAGACGACAGGCAGCAGATTGGTCCAGTTGAAAGGCTCCTGTCGGTCGAGGGTCGCACGGAACAGCCAGTCTGCTGCCGGATGAGTGCTCAGCATAGAGACAGGAAAGCCGTCGACAGGCACGGAATCATCCGACGAGTTGAAGGAAAAGTCGAAGCCGCCGCACGGTGCAGTGCCCTCGGTGTCGTCGTCGAACCCAAGGGAACGAGGGTATTGAAGTATGAAGTGCGCCGATGCGAGTGAAGATGCGACGAGAATAGAGAACAAGAGCTGCATGGCTGTAGGCGAGCGGCTATATCACGCTTGGCTGAGGCTGGTGATGTTGGAGTCGAGTCTGGCAGCTCTACGACAAGCAACCAACACAGCGTCCGAATTCCTCAGAGCTAGAAGACATGCTGCAGTTATATCAATTCAGCTTCACTACTAGTTTCCTCACTTCTTTATCCTCTCCCTACTACTCCTCGCCGTCGCTCCTCGTCAGTTGAGCAAATAGACAAGGGTGCGCAGTTGCGCCCCCAATACGTTCTGCCGTGGTGGATATGAGCAAGTTTCCAGGCATCAAGAAGAGCACGTTTCTGCACAACCTACACCACCGTCTCTCATTCATTGGCCGCTTTCTCACCTCTTGCTCTATCTAGCCTCTCCGGCGACCACGCTATAACCATGAACGGCTGCTTCGTGCCTCTGGCCGGTCTGTTACTGGTCTCTAGACTTCTCGGAACTTGGCCGGCCAGCTCTTTGGAATCAACCACAGGGCCACGAGCCAAAGTAATGTGCTCCAGCACTCAGGTATCCGTTTACATGAGACTGTCTGCTCGGCCTATCGTTAAACACATGCTGACAGCGCAGGCTGACGAAAGAGATCCCATGCACAGACCCGTCGACCAGCACTTAATACCCAGTGGAAGAATATTTCACAAGCTGCAAACACAATCACAAAGCCGGAGAGAGACACAATAATCCCAGATATGGACATGGATATGGGGTCGATGTCTGGCATGGGAGGCATGGACATGTCCAGTACCAGTATGTTTACGCCGGCCAACAAACGCATCGCGCAGATCTACTGGTACCTCGTCGCTGCAGCTGTTGGGATACTGGTGCTCACCAGGATGATCGATCTTCTCAGGTTGCGTCTTGCGTGAGTCTATGCGCAGCCTTCTTCACGAGGAGTGCTAACCATCTCAACAGCCAACGCCAGCCGGGAGTGATCCCATTCAGACCTGAAAACCTATTCGCGCAGACGTACGACACAATGATCGCGGTGTGCAGAGAGATTTCATACCCACAGATATGGACATTCACTGGAAAATATAGCAGATTTTTCACACCTCCGCCCCTGGGAAGATGTCTCCTGCTTCTGATATACTGGACAGTGATTTTGACCATGTTATGGTCGAACACAATCCTTGGACCCAGTTCAGCCAACTACGCTTATAGATGGGAAATCGTGGGCTTTCGGGCAGCATGGGTCTCGGTGACTCAGTTACCTCTGATTTACATCCTATCTGGGAAAGTCAACATCATCAGCATCCTCACCGGCATATCATATGAGAGATTGAACTGGCTCCATCGCTGGGTCGCACGAACAATCTTTCTAACGCTGATCGTGCACTGGTCGTTCTTCTTCCGCGAATGGGACATTGCCCATTTTGTGAAGCTGGAGATGGACATGATGCCGATGGTCAAGTATGGCTTCGGAGCCTGGGCCGTGATAGGATGGGTGGTCCTTTCAGGATTTGGGTTCTTTCGGTCTGCATGCTACGAGTTATGGTTCTTGCAGCACCTCATCGCCGCCATTGTTCTCTTGTGGTTGGTTTATGTCCATGTGCCAATTTATGCCCGCTACAATGTGTGGTCTTCTGTCGGCGTCGTCGTCCTCGACAGACTGGTGAGGACATTAAGAACAGTGGTCATCAACTGTCGCCTGTCTCCCAGCAGGAAAGGCGGCAACCAGATCAGGAGGAGAAGAATTGGCTACGATGCAGAAGTCAAGTGTCTGTCATCAGAGTTCATCCATGTGACTGTGCGAGATGTTAATTTCTCCTGGCAACCTGGCCAGCACATCTATCTGACAATTCCTCGCGCAGGACCCTTTGAAGCACATCCATTCACTATCGCCAATGTCTCGAGGTTGAGTTCCCCTCAGGACAAGTCAGACCGGCTGGAACTTTATATTCGGGTCCATCAAGGATTTACTCGACGACTTTACCGCCTGTGCCAAGGGTCAGAGAGGACTCCGACGTTTTTGTCCTTTATCAGTGGTCCTTGGGGAGTCCCGACGTCCATCGGCCGATTTGAGTCTTTGATTCTGGTGGCGACGGGAAATGGGGCATCTTTCACTGTTCCGATATTCCAACAAGCTTCGATGACTACAACACATCTACGGCAGATCTCATTTATCTGGATCATTCCAGATTCGCGCCATCTGGCCTGGTTCCGGGATCAACTATTGTCGGCCGCAGGGTCCGCTCTGCTCCGAAACATCAATGTTTCTGTCCATGTCTTTGTCACTCGCCCGGGCCGAGATAGTAATCCGCAGTCTTTGGAGGGTAACCCGTTGCTCGAACACAAATACGAAATCAACTGTCCAGAGGCAGAGGCGGCTAGTGAGGGCCCGCAAGGCTCGAAGCAAGCAATACTGTCTCGGGAACCCTCGACAGAAAAGGATTTCAGTCATAATGGACAAGAAGCATCATCCTTGTGGACGTCATCTGCATCGAATGACTCCCCTACCATCATCTTAGGTACTGGCCGGCCAGATCTCGATACACTTATTCGACCAGTGGTAGAAGAGGCGTTTGGAGAGACGGGCATTTTTGCTTGTGGCGGCGCACAGTTTACAGATTCGATGAGAAACTATGTAGCCAGCCTGTCGGACGAGAGGGCTGTACATAAAGGGACTGCGGCCCAAGGGCTGTACCTGTTCTGCGAGACATACGGTTGGTAGGGTGGTGTAGAGATGTATTGATACAGTAGATGGTACCTACCTTGGATGGAAACCATAGTACTGAACTCCGTATATATCCATGAGTGTCGATGTCTTCAGTCTTTCGTTCCATGACACCTGGCCCTTAATAAACATCCCAGAACCTCACATAACGGGTGGAGACCAGAACCCGTTCACATACCAGGTGGAAACAATGGAGAAGAGTTTGTGTTTGTTTCCATTACCTACCTACTCACACTGCCAGTGGCAATACAACAAGTTTAGTACGGCTGAGATGGTGAGGGTGATGGTGATGGAGACCAATAGAGAAGAGTTGTGTTTGTTTCTATTACCTACCTACTAACACCACCAGTGAAGCAATTTAGTACGGCTGAGCTGGTGATGGTGATGTTGATGGTGACTAATGGAGAAGAGTTGTTTTTGTTTCCATTACCTACTAACACTGCCAGTGAAGATGCCACTGTGACTGATATACATGGCTTAGGGCTTTAGTTTAGGCATGACACCGCTTACGTAATACTTAAAGGGGCACTACAGCCTCGCGGCGGCCTAAGTAAGGTAACGCTGTGTGTGGGCTTGGGCTCGATCGGGATCGGGCTTGGCGGAAGCTGATATCTGATATGCACGGAGTAATACTGGTACTGGTTTAGGTGCGTCTAGATTCATTGATCTATGCGGATATCGTTCTGTACGGGGGACCATACTCCAAGCGCATCTCCGATCTCTCTAACTAATAGGCAATAGATGGAATGGAACCTGGCGAGGTTCTAACGAACCGTCGTTTTTTAATTATTTAAAACAATATTCATATTCATCAATTCTTAATCTGGAGTCCTGACGTCTTTCTTATTCGTCTTCGTCTTCATCTACGTCTTGTCTTCGTCTTCGTCCATGTCCATGTGACTATCACACCATCGCCATTGCTACCTCATCCCAAGGTGTCCGTGTCCTCAACGCCGCGGCCGCAGAAACCAAATTGAGCAAGGTATAGCACCATTGGATCGAATCGCTCTGCTTAGACAATTTGTCTTTGGCTTCTCCTGTCCCAAACTTGTCACTTACTTACACCAGTGGTAACGACAGACCCGGCGCTCCATGAAAACCTTATCGGCATTGCCGAGGTGTGAAGATGGAGAAACTCCAAGCAAGGTCAAAGACCCGGTCATGAAAACCTTATCAGCATCGTCAAGTTATAAAGATGAAGGAACTCCAAGCAAGGTCAAAGACCTGGCCACGAGGTCACGGTTCGGCTGAGGCCTTTGAAGCTGTCCAAAATCTCCAGAAGTGTAGCTCCAGCGCTGGGCTCGACCGCCGTGACATTCCTTGCAATGTAGACTTCCTTGTTGCCATTCCACCGGTTCTTCAAGCCTTTGACCACATTGAACGACACGTTCTGGACCGAGAGCCACTTGACTTGACAGGGACTGCTGAAGGGAATCCGGCTGGGACGTGAGATGGATTGCGAGCTTTCCTCGGCCTTGAAGGGCGAAAATGCCGAGAAGGGGCTGAATGGAGCGGCAACCTGCGTGGGCAGGGTTGATCCAGGTGTCGGTGTTGGTATATCAGTCAAGCGCAGGTGTGCTTCGCCCATTCTCGGTGTTGGTAAATCAGTCCAGCGCAAGCGTTCTTCGCCCACTGTCGATGCTGGTGATGGACAAGTGCGCGGGTTTCTGAATCCGCAGGACTGCTCTTGCTCTTCAGCCGCTGCAACTGGAGAGGTCAGATCATGATGCGGAGCCTCCCATACGATTCTTCTTCGCTCAGGTTCGTAGTAGATCGAGCCGAGCGAAGAGTCCGACGATGACGACGACGATGTGAGGGAGGGCGTTCGAGATCGGGACCCCAGACTGGGCTCGCTATTCGTTTCCGTTTCCGTTTCCGTTGACACTAATGAATCCGGTATCAGGTCCAGAGCTGATAATGGTACCTTGTGGGTGTCGTTTGACTGGTCAAACATCTCGACGGCAGGTTGTATCTCCGATTTCATCGCGGCGTAGCCAAAGAATCGGCGTGAGCCATTGATGGAAAATATAAAGTAGACCTTGCTAGCTGTCTGAGAGAGAACACGAACCACAGTCAGCGTGAGTCGAGGGCTGTTAAGACGGATCCACGGGTCCGGTAATTCGGCAAATGAGGATTCGTTCTCACCTGAAATGCGTGATTCAGCCGCTTGATGTGCCGGTGGGGCACAAACCACTGTCCTGACTCCAGACTTTGCGAGAGCGCTTGCGCAGAACTACTCTTGACGATGAAGTATTTCGCCTTCGCATATTGCGATCTGTCGGCCTCGGGATAATGTGAAATCTGCTCGGCGTCTTGCACGGGATCGTTCGGGTTGTCACGGTAGATTGCAATTGCAATCGAACCTTTGCCCGGCTGGTTGAGCCCGTAGTTGACCTTGGTAGATCTGGACGTGGTGCCTTGTCGTATACGACAGTCTAGCCGTCTATCTTGAAACAAATGACACGCAGCGTGCTCGATGGCGCGAAACCGAGATGCCTCGGTGCTGAAATTCACGAATGCGTATCTGGCGTCGGGATTGTAGGAGATGCTGAGGAGGGCCTGCACAGATGGCTCTATGAAATAGTCCCTGAGGCTCATGACCGTTGCCTGGGGAGGTATGTTGCCAACCCATAACGCATAATCACCCCAGTACTTCGAAGTCATTTTCCCTCCCGTATGGCTGGAGCTCTGACCGAATGAAGAGAAGTCTACTATCCAGTCAGCGACGATGAATTCCAAGAAGTGGCTGCTACTGCAGCCTCATAAACTATAGCACAACTCACTTACATCGTGCCAACAAGTGTTCCTAACCATACCAATCAGTAGGAGAATGTCGAAGCGTTTGCCTTTAAAGCAATGATGTCGGAGGAGGAATACTGGAGAAGTGAATTCAGAAAACGGGGTACTGGCCGTTTTGTCGCAATGATTCTTCACTCTTGACATTGACAGCAGTGGCAGAGACGAGTGCGCAGGTTTAGCAGCTCACAATGTGCTCTTCCACCGATGGGAAAAGAACAGGCATGCAGATCCTGGTCGCTGCGCTGAATCCCAGATAACCGAGACCCAATGGGGAGTACGGAGTGCAGAAGACTGTGAGATCCTAAAAGCAGCCATGCTCCAGGCTTCCCGGCCCCCTTTCCTGCAGTTTCCAGTGCTGAGATCCGGCCTTGGAAGCTCGCCAAGAACTTGCGCGGAAATGTGCTCGTTGTGAGAGGCGGCGGAAGGAAACATGCTCATGCTGGAGACTAAGGGACCCCTGGTCGTGCCATGCGGGGCGGTTGATTAGCTACTGCATTTGGTAAGCCCATATCCCATACTCCGTACTTGCCAGACAACAGGCAAATACTGTACGTCCAGCTCCAGGCTCGAGCTGTTAGGCTGTATCTGATAGGGCTGAGGCTGAGGCTGAGGCTGGAGTTAGGTGTGACGGGGGGGCGATGGCAGCAGATGGGCTTTGTGGAGGAGAGAAACCCATGCTGTCCTAGGACAAACCTGTTATCACCCTCGATCGGGAGCAGAGTAAGCCCTCTATCTGACCGCCATGATTGGCCTTGCTGGCAACTCAGCATGATGGCCCCAATCGCTTAGGGTTAGGGTTAGGGTTAGGGTTAGGATTACAGCGTCGATCGGCTCACAGTTCTGTGAGTGATCTCAACCTGATGAGTGGTCACCTTCCACTCACGACAATTCTGCCGTGGATGGGCTTAAATAATATCTAGGGTTACGTTGAGTGAAGAAGAATCGAGACAGCGTGATGGTGTGATGGCAGTACAGCATAGTGGTTCAGAAGGCAATGTTCAAGGCAGTAAGATTTTCATATGTAGGCACCAGGCAGAGCTGACACGTTCAAGTTCTTCTACTTGATATCACATGACGAGGCTGGCCCTGTCCCCTACAAATGCACAGCTGCTGGTACCCTGCTGCTCGTCAATTTTGTAGCTCCCGCTTATAGCTGCCTAATAGTACGGCAGCAGACCATCGTACTTCATGTCCAAGAAGTATTCGACTGCAAAGTTGAAGAACTTTGGATCCTCAAGCAAGGCGAAGTGAGAGACTTGTGGCAAAAGTAATTGGCCGGCGAAAGGGATCCAAGCCGCCATGGCATCGGCCTGGTTTCGTTCAATATCTTCATCGTGGTCGCCATCCACAATCCAGACGGGGCATTTGATCTTGGAAAACGCTTCGGGGCCCCAGGTTGGCTCGGTGTTCCACATGGTGTCCACGCCCTGCTCCATGGCGGCGCATTTGCCGGGAGCTGGGCTCAAGTTCTCACACGAGTAGGGGTCGGGCGCGTCCGCGCTCGCGCGTTTGGTCAGATTGCCTTTGGTGGAATAAGTCACCCCGTGCGAGTCCACATCCGAGACCAAGCTCCCCGTTTCCGAGTTGATGATCGGATCGTCGGGCCCGGGGATGCTCATGTTGGCTTGAGGATTCGCTCCGTGCGCAAAGACTCGGTCAATGCGAGAGCTGTAATTCATGGCCAAGTCCAGGCCGGTGATGGCGCCGTCGCTCCATCCCACCACTGCGACGCGTGAGATGTTCAGATGGTCCAATAATGCGATGGCGTCGCGTGCAAAATCGTCGTAATGGAACTCGCTGAAATTGCGGTACGGGCTTCGACCCTCTCCTCGAGTACTGGAAAAAACGGAAACGGAACAGTCAATACATATCCAGATCCACGGAACTCGAACTCGCCACAACGACTTTCACCATGGACCTGGACGAGCTAGCTCACTCTTGAAGAATGACCTTCCGGGTCTTGGCCAGATAGTTTGCCTGAAGATACATCTGATTGCTATTCCCCATGCCGCCATGCAGGAGGAGGACCGGCGTATGATTAGAGGGTCGGCCCATGGTCGTGTACCAAAGATCGACTCCAGAAGTCAAATTCAAGTATTGGCCCTTGTCACCATTGGCCAGGGGCCCAGCGTTCGGGGTCCATTCCCACCGGACCACAGACGCATTGTAGTCGGCGCTGGGCAGCACGGAGGCGGAGGCCCTTGAATTCGTTTCAGCAACTGTTCTCCATAGAATGGGAAAGCCATCAAGGCAGCACCTACGCCCTGGTCAGAGCCAGCATCGAGAGGATGCCTATCCAAACTTGGCCGAGGTCCTTCATTTTCGTCGTGAATTTGGGGAAACAAGAAGGGTTGGCTTCATTAGCATTTCGTCTTGAGGGCTTTCGTCGGCTTTTTGACCTTCCAGGGCTTGCTTCATCCTGTCTGGACTAGTAGCAGCAGTTGTAGCTACCAGGTAGAAGATAATGTCATACCACAGATACGGCTCGACTACTTTAGTGTGGTGACAACGCTACTTTCCGCTAGCATCGTTGGACGATAACCGATCTCGGTAGCCTGTCCATGATAAGGGGCCCTTTGCTAATATCGGAGTTCTGATTCGAGGGAGAGTTTCGAGAAATCGACAGGGATGCTACCTTGGAGACCTTAGAGCAAGCCATTGACGCTGCAGCGGTCGTGAGGAGATCGCTCTAAGCTCTTTGAAGAGATGGAAGTCGTAAGGGTAGTAAGTAGCGCGATGAGAGTGATCCGGCTTATCAGGATATCTCTACTCTCCGACGTCACTCTGCGGAGATACCCACACTGGAGAAGGCCTCATGTCCGTAAGGATATCCGCTAATGTTACATGGGCTCAAGGAGGACGACTTCTGAGGAGAGTGATCCGAAGTCTGAAAATGTAGCGGTATATGAAACTACAATGGGCATGAATCAAAGCTGGAGACTGATCTCGGAAGTTCAAATAGAGAACGTATATGTGACCAAGGTGAAGATATATCGGTCTATCTCACACTAGACAATATAAATGCCCGTGCCCCTTGAAGTCTGGAAATATGGAGAGTTCTAGTTCTTGCGCATTTATATACTACTGTTTTAACCCCCCTCGTCCGCTGAACCTTAACTTCCTCTTATAACAGCTTTAAAGAATCCCGGTGCACCCGAGACTGAATGCCCACTTCATTCATGCTCTCTCTTATCTGCAGAGTCTCTCGAAAGATCTTTCCCTATGCTGGAACGCGCGTCTGCTAACTGTTTCTTGACGAAGAAGGCTTCTGGCGGGCTGGACATGCGGTTGGAGTTACGGGAACGGTGGTATCTAGCTGGCTCGTTTCCGCTTGGGTAGCTTCAACCTTAGAAAGTGGATAGGCATTGGTAAAGGTTGGCGTAAGATGTCCCTAAACGGGTCTGTCAAATAGGCCTGATAGAGGAGCTGTGATGGCACCCTTGATATGTGGTGGATATCTCTCCCAATTGATTTCGTGTGCTGTATTCATACCAGCAGTGAACGCAGCCTTGAGAGGAATGCCAGACAAGAACACACTTCCGCCAAGGTAACTAGCATCCCTGTATCGACGCTGGGCCAGATAAGCGAATTCCGTTATCCAGCCACCATGCTGGTATCCGTACAAGACCAGACACCAGACCTGTTGTGGGTTGAGTTCTTCAATGGCGGTATTCAATAAGGCTAGATTGTGCACGGCTTGAGAGATCGGCCCACGCTTGCGACCTTCTTCTCGTTTTCCAGAACCGTTTCCGGCCCCACATGCTGAGATCAATGGAAGCGGCTCCAGCACTTCCATCAATGCCAAAGCGGACCGGAAGGCAATGCCTCTTCAGCGAGCTGCAGAACGAAGACCCGCAGGTAATTGTACCTATAGATGACGTGTGCGGGATGAATTCCGTCCACGACCATGACTATCTGTACCCCTAGAGGTGGACCTCTGAGGCCTGCAAACCCGTTCTAGAGGAGGAGGAAAGTTGGCAAGCCCGAGGACGGGAAGGGAGTTTTTGTACTCCATCGGCAGGAGGGAGAGTCTGTCTCAACGCGGGAGCGAGACATTGGTCGAAAGTCGAAAGTCGAAAGGCGTCAAAGAGGGACCCATCGGGGCGTTTTGGGTCCTGGCCGGCGCTGCATGCGGTGGAACGGGGCTCAGGATGGAGGGTGAGTGTCAGGGTGAGCGAGGTGAGTACGAAGGTGAGAGGGAGGGTTACCCGTTATAAAAGCGGCAGGTCGGTTTTCACTCATCTTCTGCTGCACGGTGTCTCCTGACTAGACCCATGAGGAGAAACTGTATTCCCTCATTAGGCGCTTGATGCTACGACGTGGTCGGAAGCAGCCAAGAGAAAGCCAAGACAGGATGGCCAGAATTGGGGTTTGGATTTCCTGATCCAGCGCTGGGATTGCTTTCATATCACGACGAAGCGTTTAACAGCCAAGCATCGCCGCGACAGCTTAACCAGGATAGGGAGTAGGATATCCCGAATTGGCCTGATAGGTGAAGTTTAGCACAACGACGAGCCCAGTGAAAGCCAAGATAAAGCTTGGACAGTTTGAGCCTGGCCGGATCAATGCCTCGTGCAACGACGAGACAAAGGATGACTGTGCCATGGGCGGACAAGAGAGATGATCCAACAACTCTCTGTGAGTCTGTGAGTTAGAGTATTCACTGACAGAGTAAAGGGCGCGGTATGGCAGCGCAGTCCATGAATTGATTGGTCGAACAGAAGGCGCCGGAGAAACGCCTGCCACTGCAGTTGGACACGACGAGGCGTGGAATCCCGGATCCCGAAAGTCGGAATTCAAGAACCAATTCAGAGTGCTCCGTACTTCGTAGAAGGGAAGCTGGTTTTTGGATGCGCCGTTCTGATCTGAATTGTGTACTTCACGGTGGGGCTTGAGGTTCTAGAATCTACTCCGTACAGACAGTAATCTGTGAGAGTGCAACGGCAGGGCGACGTAAGGGACGACAGCAGTGCTACCGTGAACGCAAGGACAATGGCCTTGACATGCTTACGCTTGTCTGGTTTATCGGCATGAACCGTCCAGCCTGGGAAGAGGTAGGTAGACATAGTAGAGAAATGGACAATGGACAATGGACAAATGGACAAATGGACACTGTCTGACTGCGATGTCGACTTGAAGGATTCCACCAGACAAGGACAATCTTCCAAAGCGGGCGGGATTTCGGCAATTTGATGACCCGACGTCAAGCCTGCTTCACTGCAGCGGAGATCCCAGCGGCCAATAGATGGCGATCCTGCCCGGCCAGGCCACTAGAGTGACTAAGGAAATTGTGATTCCGTATCAGGACTTTGTCTCGCCGACGTCGACATCGGGTGAGCAAAGGTAAGCTCATACATACTAATGGTATGAAGGTGACAACGACAACGACAACGACAACGACAATGACAACGCGGCAAGCTATTAATAGGCTGGGAGAAACTGTGAAGCACAGGTGTCTGTCTACTAGTATATGTGCTCTCATCTAGATATCTACCCAAGTCAAACGAAATCTAAAACCCCCGTCGATAAATCTATAGTCTAGTACTTTTCCTGGTAACACTGAACGCCACGCCACGTTATAGACCTACTCACACATCCATATGGCATCTCATCATGTTCATCAGAGCGTAAGCACAGGTAGGTGTTACAGAGGACATCCCTATTGTCATACCTTTTCGGATATCCTCTCTTGGATCCTCCCTCCATCCGTCTGACCGATTTTGTCTCCTCCTTTCCCATCTCTCACCATAACCACATCTTGCTTTCCATTCTCTTCGTCTGCAGCCTCTCGACGTTGCAGTTCCTTCAACTGTTTGCAAAAGCTGCTGTTGTCCCGGATCTGGTCCCCGTATTTGATGAATGCGATAGGGATCGGACACATGCCTAAACTCAGAAAAGCCAGCAGACTACAGGCCCAAGGGATCCCCAAGGAAGAAAACATGCGGTGTGACGCAAGTGGAAGTAACGCGCCACAGACACTGCGGCATTGGCTGGAGATGCCCTGAGCACTGGCCGCAAAGGTCATGTATGAGTCACTCAAGTAGTTCAGCAATGACATGAAAATGAGGACGAACCCCAGGCCAAAGGTGACGCCCGAAGCAACAGGCGCCATCCAATGCATACCAGGTTTCGCGCTCCAACCGATCCAGAGCAGTGAGACAACATAGAGCGGGCCGCCAATAACGGCCAGTGGCAATCGCCTGTATTCCTCTTGGAAGGCCCATTTGGCATTCCGTTTCTGCGCCTTTGCCAGATACGAATCCCAGAGCAGAAAGACCGGAGCGGCCAAGACCACACCAATGCCAATGGGCAGGAAAGCCAGACCCGAAAGGCCCCAAGACCATTTGTACACCGAGTCCGGACCTTGAAAGATGATCGGATAAGCTTCGAAGTAGAGGTAGAAGATCCCGTAGGCCAGCGCACAGTAGGCACAGACGCTCATGACAATGACTTCGTTGAAGAGCATGCGATACGGCCGTGTCATGACGACGGTGAGAACATACCGGAGCGTCTTTTTCTGAAGGTCGGTCTTGGCAATGATCTCCGGATCGCCCGTCTCTTTGCGAAGTTTCTTTGCCTTGCGACTCAAAAGAGTGGGCGCGTACGTCTCGGGCATGATTAGGATGAGAGGGACCGTTGCTGCCGCAAACAGCGTTTCGACACCAAACACCCATCGCCACGTGGTGTTTTCGGAGATGAAGCCTGAGATGATGGGTGAGATGACAGGACCTAAACTGGTCGCAACCGTAAACCATGCCATAGCCACTCCTCTTTCTCGGGCGTCGTTGTAGATATCCGCGTAGATGCCTCCCACTACGGCGATGGGGGCAGACAGTCCAACTCCACACACCAGCCGGAAAAACAGCAAAGCCGGCCAACTGGGGGCCAATGCACAGGCCATTGAGAAGAACATGGCCAGCAGGAAGAAGGCCAGCAAGACGGGCTTGCGACCGTTGTTTTCGGACAGAGGAGCGCAAAGCGACGGCCCTATCACGTACCCCGCAAGGAAACAAGATATCGGAAGTGGCAGTTGGATTTGATCAGTTACGTGGAAATGCTCAGCAATGAAGGAAATCGCCCCGCTCGGTATGGATGAGCCCAGCGTGCTGTTGATGACTGTAAGGATGCCTGCGACGAAAATATACCGCTTCTTCTTCTGGGACAAATTGCACGGGTTCTCAGGATCGGTTGAAGTAAATGAGATGATCTTCTTAGGATCGATTGTGCCCACTGGCACCGCATCAGGTGCCAAACTGTACGTCGATAGCTTGTCGGACAGACTGTGACCGGAGGGAGAGTTGCATTGCGTCGTCGACACGGAGGGGAATTCATGTTCTGTGAGAATATCAGGTCAGGCTGTGCACGAGATTTGAGGGAGCATGGCATTGGTATACCTGGTAATGACTGGTGCACCTGCGTGGAAGCGCCTTTCACCGACTTCTGCGCTCCATGGGAGGACGCAGAGCCCATGGTCGAGCTAGGCCAGAAAGGAAAGACAGGGTGAGGACCTGAAAACAGAACGCCGGAAACACGTAACTAAGAGCCAGAGGTTGGTTGTCGTTGTCCATATACAAATATCGAATTGCATACTTCCACCGGAACGGATGCAAAAAGACCGACATGGTAGGAATACTAGTAATATTAGTACTATTAAGCAAATGTCGAAATTCTGACGAGAGCTGTGGAAAGGGGAAAGGCTGTTCCACTGAGGGGTGTCCAGTCAGCCAACACACGGCATCATAGGGCGCAACGCGGCGGACGTTTGCAAAGTCGGGTATCACGGCAGGAGGGGAAAAGGGAAGCACCGCAGAATTCTGGCCCATTATGGCACAATCTGACAACCATAGGCGTGGTTGACGCCGGCAGAAGTGATCCGATAGTCATCAGCGCGATCAGGCTGACTGCCTTGATTGGGAGAAAGCTGCTTGTATTGCGGGCTGAAACACTCTATTGAGGGTCCGTGTAGGAGCGGTAGCTGTGGTAGTGGGAGTGTTATCTCTCGGATTCTCTCCTATCGTTGATGGACCTACCTAAGGGATGGATGGGTCAAGTCAAAGTGTGCGGATACCACTCCGTATGGATCGAAAAAATTCTCCTTTCATCTTCACATGCTTTATAGGCGCGGAATTCGGAGACCAGTGCACGCTAAGGAATGCGTTTATCCGGTGCTTGATCCGAATACGCGTCGGAAAAATACAAAAACCTCCACGACGGCCCTGTGGCATGGGCGGAGTGGAAAGACGAAATACCTTACTCTCGTCTCTTCTGCCTCTCCCTATTACTCTCCTCAAACCAACAGCAACAGGCAGGCCTTCAGGGTGCGTCGAGGGCGTGTGGGTTGTACAAAGTGGTATCGAGCTGCGCATGTCGATCACCGCTTGCATTTTTTTGATTCCCCTGCTTATTTTCTCGTCAAGACTGTGCTATGCGCAAGCCTCTTCCGCTACCACCGCTACCATCGGTCCGACGATCTGAGGTGATGCGGCTACAGAATTGTGACGCCGTCACCGACGCAACGAATCATGATTCACCACGTGTGATTTAAATCAGACATCCCAACCGAAAGAACCCCTACCGGCGACGTCGTTTTCTGAGCATTTGCTCTTCATCTCTTCATCTTCACTGCCTCGAGATATGAGGCAAAGAGCAATAACAAGAAAAGACAATGCCGCAAGTGGAAAAACCAGACAACTTGGTTGTCAAAAGTCCATCAGGGACTACTAACAAAGTACGCCAATAGCCCAACGCCAATGCTCAGCCACTGGCCTCAAAGTACTAGTACACAGTTCGTATGGCTCATTGCCCATTCCTGCTTAGGGTCTCTTCATCTCCAGGCATTGTGATCTCTGAATGCAGTCGTCGTGATATCATTCACCCAGTTTGTGACCAGTGTCTCTGTTGAGGTTCGCGGCGGTGTAAGCGGTGGTGTTGGTCTTGTTGCAAGTGCAATCATCCTCCATACGAAGTACTTACTGCCTTCTCGCACATACACACCCCTCAGCAAGCATTGCACCAGACTGACATGTTCCGGTCAATGCACCTTTGAGGAGTAGAAGACCTTCCGCGTCCTCGCCGCAAAAAAAAAAGCCTGGGAAACATGATCTATGCAAAGCACATCAGTTTCATCCAGCCTCGACCTCTCGCATCCCGAGTCTTCCGGTTCATCCTTAGATCCGTAAATTTCTCCCCGTTCGGCCCAACAAGTGAGTCGAATTCGTTCGCAGGTGGGCTGGAGGCGGAGGCCAGAGTTGCTTTCTTCTTCGACACAGCCGCGGAAGAGTAAACATGGAGTTTCGCAACCGGATTATTCTCTTTGTCGGCGGACAGAGGTACATCAGGCTCTACAATGCCGCTGTTCTCGTCAATCGCCCCGAGCAGGGTTTGTGGAGGTGATACACGTCGAGATCGGGGTGCCGAGGTACTATACACCGGAGGCGGGGCAGGATCTGCCTTGGAGAACGGTGGTGAGGGAGGCGGCGACCATGTGGATGTGGAACTCGAACTCGAACTCGAACTCGAACCTGATCTCGCAGAGAAGCATGTGGGTGAAGACGATGTACTGTCGAGAGAATCCGGTGGGGATGGCGTCCGAGAAGTCGGTAGGCCATAAGCCTGGATTTTGCGGGGTGACATGATTGTGTCGATAATTGGAAGAAAAAGACCTAACTCACACGACCATGAGCTTCATACTTGCTAGCAGCCACCACTCTGGACAGCCTAGAAGATGAGCTGAACTGAGCTGATGAGTCCAGCGAGAATCACAGGAAGTGTGATACAAGAGAAGAAGAGAAAGAAGAAACAAGGATAGCCCCCGGAGTGGTGCAGTGCGGTGACGGAGAAGGCTGGCCAGATTCGCGCTGAGACCTGCGGATCATCCTTCGCTACGTACTTCTTGTTCCACCAGTTCAGCTCCAACACCGGTTGTCGATCTTTTCCTGCGCTCCTGCAACGCGAAGATTCGCTCAACACCCCCGGTTCTTCCAGCCCCAGCAACGCCACCGAGCCAATGCACGTCTTGATTGGGCCACAGCACCTGTCAAAGTCCGAAAACCCGCGAATTCCATGTCCCAGCCTAATGGCCGAAGGAGTGTCAAGCGAGGTACAGGCCACTAACGAAAGGCAAAGAAAGCCACAATGCCCGATGGGGAATTGATGTCCATGTCTAAACTCCGTTTGGTCGCGAAGCTCCCTGAGGGACACGGATTTTGACAGCGATATGAGTCAATGACGAAAGTGGCAGGACATGCAGGCAAAGAGATGATCTGGACAAAGAGTTCAAAAAGGCCACAAGACTACAGGAATAGGGTGACAATCCTTCCAAACAGACACCATACAATCAATCACTTTATCCACACAGGCAGCATTGGGATAGAACAAACCAGAAAAACACCCACTCAAGAAGCACATACTCAAGAATTACAGATGCAAAGATGGCTATTCCAAGTTTTCTCCTCGGTGTCAATGCAGGAATGGTTGCACGCCGCAGGGCATGACATCAACCCGACATCTGCCAACATTTCTCCTCTCCCGAATGTATTGGTTGCTTGTTAGTATAAGCCTTGAACGCGGTCTCTGTGATAGGGGGGAAGATGAAGGCATTATGGAAGGGCGTAGTAGCTGGTGGTGGTGGATCTGAGGCGAGGATGGAGGGTGAAACACGTTGCTCGCCTTGAAATCGTCAGTCTCGGCCAAAAGGGCGGTGTCGTTCTCACGTCCTCATGTTCTCATGTCCTCCGTACTTGCGAGCCACAGGCAGTGTGCCACATATTGATGCAGCAGGGGACAACTGCATGGAAGAAGTGACCCATGCTCGATACCTGTTAGGTGCCTGTCTTTTCATGGACGCCCATCTCCACGTGTGCTCTGAACGCCGCCACCCAGTCTTCTTGTGCCGACCGCCAATACCAATTCGTAACCTATCATGCTACTTTCTGGTGTTGATGACTGGCCGAGCAAAGGAGAAGTACAGTACGGAGGACAGCTGCCCCCGTTTGGCTGCCCCGGATTGTTCGGCGAAACGTAAATCCGGTCAGTCGAGGCGTCCTTAGCGGAGCCTCGCGGGCGGTGCATGTGCAGTGGTAGACTCCAAGTGTCGCTGGGCGGCAATCTGCGGTTGATAGGGATTTCTCTCCAAGTCAGACTCGCATCGTTGCCTCCCACAGCCACCATTGACCGTTTTACGTTTATCTTTGGCATGGAGCCACCAGAGTAGTCACATACCAAGACTGTCAGCCACGGTGGCCGCGCTGTGCACGCCCAACCACCGCCAACATGGCACGCCCGCGCCAAACGTCCGCGGCGTCCGATCTCAGTTCAGTGCTGGACCAGAATCAGGTGCGTGCCATGCCCGCCCGCTCGTGGTGGTCCGGTTGGCGCCGGACGCCGCCAGTATGTACTAGTGACGCATGGAGCTGATCCGCGAGACAGGAGCTCGGAAGCATGTACGATTTCCTGGCCAAAGTCGTCCTCCTCGGGCCCTCGGGGGCAGGCAAGTCGTGCCTCCTACACCGGTTCGTCAAGCAAGAATGGCGCGTCCTGTCGTCGCAAACCATCGGCGTCGAGTTCGCCTCCAAGATCGTCAAAGTCGGCTCCGGCCCCACGCGACGACGCATCAAGCTGCAGCTGTGGGATACGGCGGGCACAGAACGATTCCGATCCGTCAGTCGGTCCTACTATCGAGGCGCCGCTGGCGCCATCTTGGTCTACGACGTCGCGAGCCTACCCAGCTTCCATGCCCTGCCCACCTTTCTGAGCGATGCGAGGGCTCTGGCGAGTCCGAATCTGACGGTCATCCTGGCAGGGAACAAGGCTGATCTGGCGGAGGAGAGGGCGCATGCACCGGGGAGAGGCCCTGAGGGTGCGCCGCAACAGCAACAACAACAACTGCAGCCGCAGCAAGATTCCATGCCATCTGCCTCGAGCGCTTCGAGTCGGCAATCATACTTTCCCTACGACTCCGGCGGGGGTGGATCAGCACTCGCGTCGTCGACACGTTCACGTGGTGACTCGATCAACCTCTCGCTCAGTACCGGCAAGTGGACGGCGACCACTTCCGTTGAAGGTCGCGAAGTCACCCCGGACTTAGCCTCACGCTGGGCATCCAAGGTCCACGTCCCGGTGACCATGGAAGTGTCGGCGCTGACGGGCGAAAATGTCGACGAACTCTTCAATCGGCTCGCCCGCATGATCCTCACCAAAATCGAGCTCGGCGAAATCGACCCCGACGATCCTGCCAGCGGGATCCAATATGGCGATGGCGGAGGGACATGGGACGGATCGAGCACCCGCTCCGGCACAGGAGACGATGGCAGAGCCAGCACCCTCAGGAGACGGAGAAATCCAGGAAGAGGCCGGAATGGCGTTCTTGCGGGGCTGAGTGAATGGGAGGACGTCTTCCGCCGGCCCGCTGCTCGAGGTGGTCCACGGTGCTGTTGACAGAATGATTTTAGTCAGGTTGTTCCGAGTGCCGGTTTCATTTGGGCATTGTTCAATTTGCAACTTGTGGCGTAGAATGAAGCAAGCGAGGAGTCTATCGGCTGGTATCCAACCACCATGCATGATTTCTTGGACGGCGTTGACGAACAATACCTGTACAACCCTCAGGCGCTGGTTCGCAGCGGGTGCGATAATGTTTAATATCCTGATTCTACAGTGTTCATGACCAATTCTACTGCTGCTTCAAGAGCCCCCAGCATCCACCGTTACCGACGTGTCTCCATCAATGCCCTGCCCTCGGTCAAACTGGGCACCAATCTTTTCACAGACCTCTATGAACTCGACTTGCTTTTGCAAGTTTTGAGCCGCACTCAACGCCTTCAGGATAACGGCTTGATTTCTCTGCGTGGTGGCGGCACGGAAGCTCCTGAGCAGAAACTCCGCCAACGTCGAAACGCTCCAGTCCTCGGGGATGTCCCGAAGGATGTTCAAAGCATCGAAATATGTCGCGAACTTACCAAGAAGATGGCTCGTGCGTTCAAGGCGGTCTTCCTCGTCTTCAATCAGGAGGAACTCATGAAAGAGAAACTGAAAGAGTTCTTGTTGGACTTCCCTTGAAGGCAAGGCGCTGGCATCGACAGTATGAGAATATGTGGGCGCCGGTCCACCAAAGTAGCAGTAGCGTGTTGCAGTGTCAAAGTCGCCAAGTCCGTGGGTCAAGAGTCGGAGTGCCTCCTTGTGATGACCTCGTCTTGCGTCGAGGATGATTGATTCAGAAACGAGGTAGGAGGAGAACGGCGCCATGCGTTCTAGAACCATAGGGACCGAATAAGTCAGTTCTTTGCTTGCCACCCCACTCGATGCATAGGCGCCGGTCCCAAGGAGTTGCAGAAGCCGTAGTCGAGACTGCCACCATGAATCTGCCGGCGCATTCTGGTTGATAAAATCAAGGTAGGTGGGCTTCGGTGATTCTAGGGCTCGGTAGGTAGAATAGCTGTCCGCGAGTGATGTTCGAGCCTCCTCAGATCGCTCCAAGACTGTAAGGACTGAGTCGAGGTAGTAACCGATGAGGTCGTCGGCATATTTGTCGAGGCGCTTACCAAAAACAAGATGCTCCAGGTATTGTTGTACCGCTGCAGGCGCTCGTTCCTTTAGAAGCGGCACGACTTGTTGGGGGCTGAACTTGACCCTCGCGCTGTCATCGGTAAGTATCTGAACGGCCAAGCCAGGATTGCGCTGAGCCAGCCATATTGTATAGTCCTGAACGAGATCGGTGTCACGGATGACTGTGAGATAGCGCCTTAGTTGCCCTTCAATATATTCCGTGTTGGAGCCGTAATCCACATCTTTCTCGCCAACAAGAATTCGTTTCCATGTTTTCAACACATCTCGAGCCTGTTTTCTACTCTGGTAAAGACGACTGAGAACAAACAACCTATCATATCTTTCCAACAGTAGAATGGCACGGTCGAAGTCACCCCTCCAGTTATCAACGACATTGTTCAGCTTGGTCCGAACCGACCTTTGAGCAGGACTCTCTGCTTGGAGAGCTTGATCCAGATAGAGCAGCACATGGAGAAGGGCGGCATCCACAGAATCAAACACGTGCTTGTCATCTGTGATGCTCCCATAGCCTCTTTTCTCTTGCCACAGCATGAGGAAATGTCTCATCATCATCCAAAATTCGGTCGGGGCATCCTCGAAACGGGATATCGGGGGTTGAAAATCATCCAACAAGTCCGCTATCCCTTGATAAAGCCAAATGCCTTCGGCGCCGTACACCACCTCGGAAGCGAGTGGAGGGGCTAGAAGGAGAACAACCCGCGGGTCTAGTCCTCCCTCGTGAAGGGTATTCTCAATCGCCTTGAACATCTCCTCAAGGCTTGCGGCGGCGGAGACTTGAGTTTCAAGGTGCAAGAACAATATGAGACCTGCCTTCTGCCTGATGTAATTTAAGGTGAGGAACTCTGTTTCGTCATTTGGCTCACGACGATGTATGCTTGCGAGGAAACCAAAGATCTGGCCCGGGTTGATATATGCAGGGTTGCCCTCAGCCACATATTGCATGAGTCGATGTTCCAGTTGACAGATCAAAGGATTCTGAAGTATCATGAGTAAGTCTTTGCCTTGCCACACGATGTTTCTCGTAAAGGCGCGCCCAAACCGACTTGCCAGCTTGGCCTCTTCGGCGGCTCGTTTCTTGACAAGCTCCGCAGAAGGTTCAATAGTGGCTGTCGAGGACTGGCTGTCAAACAAGGCACGTTCCTGCTCCAATTGCTCGACAGCAGACTGCGTCCTTGGATCACTCTCCGGAGGCTCCTTGGGTTCTTGGAGAGTCGAGGGCCTGATAGACAACGGAACAAGCCGTAAAAGGTCTCCAGCGATATTAAAGAAGTGCCGGTGCGTGCTCAAAGTATGATGAACACCGGCCCGAGCATTCTCTACTGTTTCAGAGGGGAGCTCAACCAAACTTCGAGGATGTACCAACTCAGATGCATTCTCCAATCTCTGCATCTCCAATTTCCGCTTTGTAGCGTTTTCGCCTTTGCGAAGCAATGCAATCACGACTGGGCTCTCGTTCTGTGGCATCAGCGTAACCTCATGTTCGGGAACCCAGAAACTGTCCACCAGAAGGTCATCTGGATAGGTCTCGAATTCGATGGTCCCTCTGACAACGTCGCCATCCAGGTTCACGAACATAGCCACCCCAGGTTCTGACTCACTCGTGCCGGTTGTAAGCATAAATTCCATGGGGAACGGGGACAGTACATGAGGCTTGAGACGCTTCGTAAACCGTTTACTGCTGCCAGCAGCAGCGGCTTTGACCGGAAGGGCATCTGTCGACGCGCGGGGCCGACCTGTAGTCTGTCCGCTTGCCGCACTGCTTTCGTTAGGCTTCGTCACACTAGATACCGATGAAGACCCCGAGATTGGACCTGTCTCCGATGGACGCCCCTGTGGGCGGGCCCTTTCGCTTTGAGCGGGAGTTGAGAATGTTCCCACACTTGTGCTTCTGGAATGCCCACTTGTGTCTGCGGCAGGAGGTGAACCTACGGGTGTTTCCTTATCATTCTCAGAGGTTGCTTCGTCCTCGATTGGTTGCGAAGAGATGGGAAACAAGGGTATTTTCTGCTGATGTTCAACATCCAAGAGGGCATAGCTTGTATCGTCGGCCACACAAGCAATCGAGTCTCTTCTACTCGATTTCAAACATCCGGGATACTCGATACTGTTGCGGATCGGTTTCAATCGCTCGCCCACCCTGACCTGAAGTATCTTTCTTGGAGTTGCAAACATGACCACCTGGCCCTCAGGGTTCTCTAGGTCCTCATTTTCATCAATACCACCAATCCATTGTACCCCAGTGGGCTCCCTGTTCGGAAATGCTGGACTCAACTCCGGCAATGAGTAGAACGAGACGACGCCATTGCAAAGGACGCAGGCTTTTGACGGGCCAGGGAGGACAAGTATTTGTTGGATGCCTGGTGCATTCTCGGAGCTTGCAGATGCAGCATGTCCACTAGGTTGAAGTCTAGATGCGAGAATGAACGTCGTCGGCTCGCCCCCGTCTCCTTGATCTGAAGGAAGAGAGACAAGATGCAGGATTTCGGCCGCAGAAGTCCCGATGTATAGATTGTTGTCTTGTTTTCATATAAGTATCTGTACGATGCATAGGTACGGGCCTCCTTACTCCAGTATTCTACACAGGTGATGGACACCTCTTCGGGCCCATGCTCGGTGGTCAAAGGGATATCCTGCAACACGCTGCGGAGAACATAAGGACCTGGTTCAGGCGGGGACATTCGTCGGCGTTTGATCGGTCGTTCATCATAGTGGTCGGAGTCGTTCATTCTGGAAAGCAGCTGCTAGCAAGGGGAAGAGAAGGCACTCATGGCTTTGAGATAGCATTCTAGGCTGGCTGTCGACATCAAGGAACGCAACAGGAACGTTGGGTGTCGGCTTCGCAGGAAGCGCAGTGCGGCGCCTAGAGTTGCGCTTTCTCCACGTTGACGCGCCGGAGATCCACGCGGCGTTCTTCGTAGTTACAAGAGCGTAGGTGTTGTCTTCTCAATTGACACCTTCTACTTTACCTCGCCGTCAATGCATGACCGCACACCGCGGAGGTCTGCTTTATAGAAGCCTACAAATCAACCTGACCCTATGGATGCATTGGCATTGACCGAGGCCAATGCCCCGGGGGCAGAGTACGATGGTCCTCCGCCGCAGACCGTGGCAGGCGAGAGATCCCCTAGCGAGGGCGAGAACAAGTTTCAGAAGGCTTTGGCAGCATGGCGCAGTATGTGTTTGGTTGTAGCTGTGTTGACTGCTCGGTGCTGACTCCTTAGATATTGGCCTTTCTTCATTAATGCCACAGTTAGACTCTACCGCATCCGACATCGTGGCCCATCAGAGAGATGCGTTAGTCGAACGAAAGGAACTCGCTCAGAAGACCAAAGACTTTAGAAAATTGGAAGATTCTGCAAAATTAACAGAGTACAAGTCCTTACTCAAGGGTTGGTCATTCTGGTCAATCCGTGATTGTCGTTCTGACGGTTTGCAGCCTACCAGGGATTCATTGATCTAATCACCGGCCACGGAAAGACATCCTCATCCGCATTCCTCCAACTGTACCAGTCTCTTTCTGAGGCACCCGATCCCTTCCCTCTGCTAGAGGCTTCTGTCGATTCCCTTGTCGCCGCCGAGGATACTGTTCCAAAACTGACCTCTGAGAACCAACAACTGCTGGCAAGAGTCAATAAGCTGTCCGCTCAACTGGAAGAAACAGAGAAGAAGCTGCAGGAAGAAAGTAAAGTAAGAAAAGATGCGGAGGCCGGCAACGGGACTTTGGTTCAGGAAATCGAAGAGAAGTGGGCGAAGGTGTTAGAGGAGAAGCAAAACAACTGGGCTGCGAAGGAGCGGAGCTTAGAGGAGAAGGTTGAAAATCAGGACCGGGTGTTGAAGGAGTTGAAAGCCAGCTATGAAGTGTCTCAGAGGCTTCAAGACGGTTCTGCTGAGATGGCGTCCTCAAGGGCTGCCAGTGTTGAGTTGGAGTTGATGAGTTCCGAGCTTGAGAAGACGAGTGCGCGACTCGCAGAGATCGAAGCCCGAAACGAACATCTGCGTGTTGATCTCGCTCGAGCCACATCGCAGAATGCCACAAGTCATGATGTTGAAGATGATCCGTCGTTTCTACGCCTGCAGTCGGAGAACTCCTCGCTTCTGAGAAAGATCGAATCGATACGCTTCGAGAGAGATACAGAGAAACGGAATGGGGACGATAAGCTTCGTCAGCTCGAAAGGCGGCGCTCTCAATTGGCGACAGAGAACGAGGAGCTGCGCGTCAAAGTCGCCAAATGGTCCGACTACGAGGAACTCAAGAGGGAACTGGACACACTCCGGTCGATCGAGCTATCCATTGAAGACGAGGAAGATGGACCCGAGAGCGGGTTGGATGGTGCAGCGGAAAATGACTCGAAACAATCATTGGAACACCTGCTGCTTGCACGAAATAAAAAGCTAAGCAACGAATTGACTTTGCTCCGAGTCTCGTATCAAGACCTCCAAAGCCAATTCGAGGATCTCCAGGAAGAACTCTCTCGAACCAACGCAGAATTGGAAAAGTTCCAGAAGCTATCATCGACGCTTGAGAATGATCTCCTTCGGGTGCAAGAAGAAGCAGCAAATGCCCTTCCGTCGTCGGGAATGTCTGTAGCGGGAACCTATGTTTCACGGCACCCTACCAGCTCCTTGCGTCGAGGCAGAGCGTCCCCAACTTCATCGATCATCTCAGGCTACGAGATGCAACCTCGCACCAACACTCTTGACTCATTACGGTCCGGAGAAGCTCTCGGTGGAGGCTCCGGCATTTTGCCCATGATCCAAGCCCAACGAGATCGCTTTAAAGAAAAGAATCAGCAACTTGAAGAAGAACTTGCAAAAACTTACGCTACCGTGACCTCCCTACGACAGGAGATTGCCTCGCTGCAGAAGGACAATCTGAATCTGTACGAGAAAACCAGATACATTTCAACCTACAGCCGGGCCCCGACAACGACATCCTCCTCCGCATATTCCGGCGCTCCGGGACATACTGCAGTATACACCTCGGACGATGGCACTTCAGATCGGTGGAAGTCACAATACGAAGCCAACATATCGCCGTTTGCCGCATTCCGTGGCCGCGAGGCTGCTCGAGCCTATAAACGCATGAGCTTCCCAGAGCGGATAATCTTTTCACTTACAAGGATCGTTCTTGCTACAAGGACTTCTCGCAATCTCTTTGCCACGTACTGCCTTGCGCTTCACATCTTGGTCTTCTGGATGCTATACTGGATGGGTACAACTGATGTTGAGCGAAGTGCTGTCCACCTAAGTGAAGTCGCTGCTGCCGGAGCCGTAGGAGTGCGATCTCCGGACTCACACGGTGCCGATTGGCACCAAGAGGACTTTGGGTAGACTCTGACTGAATCTCGACTCTGCGCTCAGAAATGCAGCCTGGACAACCATCATACTCGACTCTTTCACTGGTTTCTTTTGTTATGCCATGGAGTTGCCTCCCTCGCAAATATACCCAGTGGTCCCAAAAGGGGCCGTATCTAGGGTAGCAGCAAACTGTCGTCAAAGCACGACACGGGAGCTTCGCTACAAGCCTCACTATGCAATGGCGGACCCAACTTACGAGAGTCTAGGAAAACATCTAGGGAAGGGTCGATTTTGTGGATGTGAGGACGAATCATGCGAAGTGGATAAACTCGACATTGGTGCTTCAGGAAGCGTGGCGCTATGTTTCAGGCGGAAGGGGGTATTCTGTACACACGGTCTCGACATGTGCATGGAGTGAGTACTCCGTACACATGCCTAGGAGGCTCGGTCACTTGTTCTCTTGACTGTGCGCCTGTGGTAGAATGTATATCCGCAGTTCAAATAATGAGCAAGCGAAATCCACGAGCAAGGCATGGTCCGACATGGGCTTGATCAAGAATAAACATGCTACAGGGATGCTGCAGCGTACAGGGTACAAGTTCAGGAGAACGAATGGCCTGCAGCATTTTTCAGGCGGTCACGACACTGCTCTTGTCAGTGGAATTACAGTCAGGCATCACTACTCCGTACTGAGCCGTCCATCCTCCACTCCTGCGCTCCTGCGCTCCTGCGCTTCATGGCTTAGATGTACGAGTAGAAGACCATCAACTGCGCTGCCACCCCTCCAGAGTCCACAGCCGACTCCTCCCAGCCACGCTTAATCCCTTCCATCGGACACCGGGGTCCTTGTCATAGCCCGATGCCACGTCGACTTCGCATAAGCGCGCCGCGACACAGTCATCCTGTCCTCGAGCTGCCTGCCTCCTGCCTCCCCCCGGTCAATCCAAGAGAAGACGCTTGATTGCCAAAGTGGGACGGTGGCTTGCTGCTGGCAGAAGCCACTGAAACAACACGCAGGATCCCTGCGAAGATCAACCTCTCTCGGCTCATTGACTCGATGCCGCGAACAGCTGGCCTCGGCATTTGTCTGCACGTCATGCATTGGTACGAAGCCAAAGACAAGAATCAAGAGCTTTGGGTGGCTGGGCGGCGGCTGATGGGCGGCTATACAAAGAACCACGCAAGACCGGAAGCCGAGTGAGGTCGCTGATAGGGAGCGAGGGGAGCAAGGGAGCCATCAAGCGGCCGTTTGGCGGCCGTCAAGCAGCCACCCGCAGGACCGGGGCCTCTGAAACGGACCGCCAGGATCGTCAGTCAGTCTACCACGAACCCTGTCATTCATTGTCCCATGTCTGCAGGGGTCTCAGCCGCGGGCGCCAATGCCCATCTTCTATTCTTGTCCTCCCCATATCGATCTAAGGAACGGATGGCCAAATCTCCCTTGCCGCTTCGTGCATCCAACAAGCATCCACCTTCGCCAGCGGCCCAATCGCCAGTAGCTGACGGCCGAAGATAGAAACACGACCCTCTTCCTGCCATCCTGCAGTCGAGAAGACGACCGGCCTGTCTCTGTCGAGAACCGCAGTCCACTTTGCAATGCCATGTATGTTGGCGGCTGGTCTCAAAAGACACCATGGGGGTCCCTGGTCCTCGATAACATATACAGGCTTGACGTCCAGCTCCAGCCGGCCTCTTCATCACCTCTTTTACCACTTTCTTTCGCAGTCTCAGCAGATCTGCCGGCCAGACTCTTTCCCTTCATTAATATCATTAATATCATAAGCATCACCTGTTCACCACCATGAGACATGCCATTTGGCTTGCCGCCCTAACCACTACGCTTCTTGCTGCTCCTACCCAGACCAAGAGGGATTCAACAGAGTGGACACCGACGTTAGCGGGCTACTTCGATGTCGTCTACAGCTATATCGAGGAAGCAAAGGCGGCCGGAGCATCTCCACCATCATGTGATCTTTCCAAAGCCGCGATGCCTGTCGCCTCGACACCTCTTCCCACCCCTGATGGCTTGAGCTTGGTACATGTCGCTGTCGGACGTGGTGTGCAGGTAAGTGTGATGACGGCTTGAGCCTTGGACCAGCCCTGACCATGGCAGAACTATACGTGCGCCAACGCCACTGCTACCCCTGCCGCAGTGGGAGCCGTTGCCAAATTTTACAATGCTTCCTGTGTGGCCGCCGACTATCCTGACCTGTTGGGCCTCATTCCCACTGTTGCATTGTCGTACCGTGTCCCGTCCGCGGCCGATGCGCCGCTTGAGCCATCCGATCTCAGCCTATCGAGTCACCATTTCTTCTCCAACACGAGCACTCCGGTCTTTGCATTCGATGTTTCCACAGGACCGCAACTTGGCAGAGTATCGGCAGAGAAAGTGAAGGATTCTGCCGCCCCCTCTAACGCTCCCGCGGGTGTGAATGGGCAAGGCAACGGCGCCGTGCCATGGCTCTATCTCACCTCTCGGCCTGACACGGTGGGCAACATAAAGGCTGTTTACCGACTGAGCACAGCCGGAGGCAGTCCACCTGCATCGTGTGCAAATCAGGCTTCTGCATTCAGCGTGGACTATTCCGCTATATACTGGTTCTGGGAGTAGATTACACTTTTGACAAATTCACGGTACCAGGGCGGCCTTTTCGCGTTTATAGAGAGTGGTGTCGTATTTCTTTCACGGTAACAGATACACTACAGTCTGGGACGGTGACATGGTGAATGAGCCTCTCATGGACGAGTCTAGGTAATGCAAAGCCTGGCAGTACATAGCCAATACATTTACTTCTTCAACAACTTCTCGTAGTCACAGCGTGCAGGTGGCTGTTGCTGGGTAGCACTGGTGGTTGGTGTGCCACAAGACGCGCCCTGAGGGTGGTACAGGTGGTCTCTCAAACCATAAAGTCCATACAGCGGTGGGTGATTTGTGAACCAGATGACTGTCTGCCCTGGAAAGTAAGTGAGCAGCTTCATCCACACTTCCTCCACGAGAACCATCAACCATCATTCTTCGTCACTCGTTCAACCACTGCAGCACCATTCTGCCAAATCGATGCCTTGGTCTCCTGCACAGTTTGAGCCTCAAACCGAGCCTCAAACCCTACCTCCGTCGCAAAGTGTCTTGCGTCAGGCAACCGTGCAATACTGACCATGAAGCACGCCTTCTCCTTCTGGGTGAGTTATTGCATGTGCTGTGGTTGAAGCTGAAACAGCCCAGTCGAACACGATCGGGATATCCGCGGAATAGTTCACGTTTGCAAATCTCCCCATCCACCGATGCAGCATGGCATCTAAGACCACGATCGAATTGCAAGTCGGCGAGTTTGAATCTGCCGCAGCCATGAGATCCGCCCATTCCTTAGACGCTCTGTTAATCCTCCAACCTCCATCCCCATACAAGGCTACGGATCTACCACCAGAATGCTCGAGTCCGAGTCCAATACAGCCAGCCCTTTTTCCCTACGCACCAACAGGAAACTAAAAACGAGGATAAAGAATACAAAAGACTCGAACGTTCTCAGTGGCTACGGTCGACGAGGCTATTGAACTTCAACCACATAGTCTTTATGCCAGGTGGAGAAAAAGATTCCCGGTGCCTGAACCAACTCCTAAATAAGGCATGGGTCCATACACACCGACCGCTATGAGGAGAGGCAGTGGCACTTGTACCATCATCAAGCAGCTGGAGAACACAAGACTTAGTACTGTTCTCTGGGATTCACTACCGGTCTTGTGGCGTGGCTGTAATAAAATATAGGGCTCTCTTCCCTTCTCTTGTTCTTCTTCTTTCCCTCGACAAACTCAGCTCGTCACTCATGCTGGACGTGAGCAGAAGCGATTCTGTCCTATTAACCACACAAGACACTCATTCTCAGCAACACATCCACATTCACACCCACTCTCAACAATATAGTAGCCATCAAGATGGCTCAATTCATTTCCGTACAGCAAGATCTTCAGTAACTACAAGCAAGCCTCGAAGGTAGTCTTTCCCTGATACATGCTACATAGTCCATCAAGTCATGCCTAACTCTAGGTATTTATTCCGCTGAACTTGTCAGGACAGGGCTGTGGGTAGTTGAGCTATAAATTGGCTATAGGTATAGGGGGGTGGCGATTCAAGTGGAAGACCGCCGTACATGTAGACTAAACATCCAGTATGTACTATACTGTACTTGTCCTGATTTTATTGCCCGAATTTCAAAGAGAAGAATCTGTCTGAATCTGGGAAGCGAATGCCATGCCACGCGAGTATTCCTTGTGAAAGAGAGAGTCCGCAGAGAAATCAACCCAAACATGTTGCCTGCATCTTTCATAACTTGGCCTCCTGCCAGTCTCTCCCGACAGCGCGATGGTTCGCCAGGGCTTCTTCGGCCGTTGGGACCTTGGGCACAAGTAGGTTCGGTGCACCACCCTCTCGAGTCCTTCTGATGGTATGGTTCTGACGTCGGATGTAAATTTCTGGAGCCCTTTCTCTGTGGATGGCACGTTGTTCAACGTAGGGCCGGTCTCTGATGACACGTTCTTCTTCAACGTAGGCCCGGGGAGCTGGAAGGCTCGGGGCCCTCCGCTCTTCTATCACAATCGGAGAAGAATCGTCCTGGACAAAGTGGGGAGAGTGGAAGGAAGAAGGGCTGGATTCTCTAGGAGGTCTGGGGGCTGGAGGTGTCGGGATTCTCTCACTCGGAGGACGGGGAGTCTCTGTACCAGCAGAATCGTCCGAGGGAGCGTGAGGAGACTGGAAGGAAGAAGGGCTCGATTCTCGAAGGAAAGCTGGAGGTGTCGAGATTCTCTTCCTTTCTATCAGCATCATGGGGCGGGGAGAGTCCAAGGAAGCAAAGACATTGAGATCCAGTGCTTCTATTCGGCGATCCACGAGGGCCTCAAGGGTCGTGAGCATGTCTTCCTGTTCCTCGTCCGCCATCATCAACTTCCAGATTTCGAACTTGTTGTCGACGTCTTTACGCACTGCTTCTTTTCGAGCACGGAGTATGTGGCTGGCTCCAAACTGGCCTGCGTTCTGAGGTATGGCTAGCATGCCCAGGTCCAAAGCATCCTCTGACGATACACGGCTCAGCAGTCCGGCGAACTCAACTCTCGCCAATAGCTTGGGATGTTTGATTGAAGCCCCGTCGTCGTCGAGTATGTCGGTGCCGAGCTGGAGCTCATCGCCTTTATGTAACTCCAACGACTGCCCTGCCGCAAGCTGCTGCCCGTTGACGAAGATCCCACCCGTTGACATGTGGTCCTCGATGTAGACCGAGCCTGTCTTTTCATCCGCTCGCACTGCTGCATGTGGATCTGACACAGCTGCGGCATCAAATAATCCGTTCGTGTCAGTCGCTCGGAATTGCTCATCCGCCCTGCCAAGTCTACAGAGAGCATGGAATGGGACCAGGAGCTGTTTCCGGTCGAATAGCTGATTTAGGGGCCGTAGGACCAGAATGGCGATGCCAGGGCCATAAACAGCCTTCAAGTTGAGTTGTGGAAAATTACTGTCGATGATGCTCTCCAGGATCTGCATCCTCTCCTCACTCTCTTTGAGCACTTTCGTAACATTGTCGGAAACCATGAGTGCGCTCTCACTCGTATATGGCGCTCGCTTGCGTCGCACCAGATAGACTTGGGGAGTCTCAACCGTCGTCGATGACCTGAGGCTTTTCACCGCTCCGAACGGGCCCCAGCCACTCCAACGCTGCACCAGAACATCTGCGCTGACGTGAAAGCTCGTATCAGTTTCAACGATCATCATCAGTCGCACGGATGGAGGCAAGCCACTCTTGCTTTTGCGCTCCTCATACATTTTCCACTGAGCCTTGTTCGAGGCTGGAAGAAAGCCATGGATCAGCCTTGAGCCTTTGAACGTGGTCTTGTCGCCCCAGGACAGTCCTGCACTGACACTGATGGCGCCTGCTGCTGGACCGGGCGCCCCTAGATTGACGCCGACATTCTGGCCGGAAGCGATCTCATGGTCGGCTATGTATACGAGACTTGCTTCGGGGTCGATGGCAGATATGGTTGGTCCACGACGCCCGGGGTCTGATTTTTGAGCGGAAACATCGACGTTGACCACGGCTGATCGGATGCGCTTCGACGCCTCGAACGGCCGGGCAAAGTCGAGTTTGAAATGCAGCTGATACGCTGGTCTGCCATGGAAGGTGGCGAGTTCAGCCTGGATGATTTTGATGTCGAAGTAGCAATCATGACTGCTGTGCCTTGCGAGAACATATGGGAGGGGGTCGGAGTTGCTGTTGTTGTCCATATCCTCGAGAGTCGATACTGAGGCCGTGGAACCGCCCGGCATTCTGCATAGACATTGCCTTGATGGTGTTCGAGTTCAATCGGGTCTGTTACCCAGGAGGCTGGATCTCGGTATCGATGATGCTCGCTGTGAGAGTCTTCTTGATTCTTTTACCTAGGTCCTTGACAAATTGCATAGCCTCTCGAGTCCCTAAGCCTCCACCTCCACATCCACGCTAATTATAACTGCTAGAGCATTAGCTCTTGGCTATGGGCGTGGGCAGCCTTAAGAGGTACCGTAGAGTCCGGGCATGCGTATCTGGTCCGATGACAACGCAAAGTGCGTGTGACAGATGCGGCTGTCTACTGGCAGCCGGACACACAAGCGTCGGAGTTGGTGTAGGTGTAGAAGGAGTGACGGCAACCTAGACCGTGTGACAGCGCATGCACTGGGGAGGTGAGAGAGGGATTAGGACGCACCAGGGGAGCTGGCCTTATGACAAGCCGGCATACCTTCCTTCTGGCTGGCTGGAGAAATTGCCCTTACCGGGTAGGTGCCGGGGTATGTGAAATTGCTTCAACATCCTCAATACACTCGACTCGAACTCTTCGCCAACTTTGCCTTCGACATCTCACGTCGTCGCCTCTCAGCCTCTTTCTTCAGCCACCACAAACTGGGCGTTCAACCCATGCCATACACCTGCAAACCCAGCGAAACTTAGGCACCTCATCGCAGTTTTTTCCGAACTTCCATGCGTCCCTGCCAAGCCTCCGCCGAGGCTGGAGAGAAATGATATGGAAGGGTTTTGATGGAGTCTACCGGCAATCGACTTTCTTGCCTCTATATCGTCAGCTGCGAAGTCTTTTGGAGTGGTGCAGCAAAGTCGGGGCTCTGCATCAAGGACTAAAAGGTAGGCACCGCTCATCGAGAGAGGAAAACAACATGTTGGGTCGTCTGCGACATCCCCTCGATAGTAGCCGAGCATACCGGCACTAGTAGGATCGAGATGCCTGTGTCTGGCCCCGGTGCGGAAGGAGACTTGAAATAGGCGAAGTGGGAGACGGTAGCGACAGCCCCATCTCACCGCGACAACGCCCGTTGTGAGTTTGCCTGGTTCAATGTATTCGTTCCTGGCCTTCAAGGCATCTTCTCCGATCTTGAAAGGTACGCTGGGAAATCCTTCAGTGTTCTCTTCAAGTTTCGTTCGTATTATTCTGTCGCAAAACCTCTTTATAACTCGAAGGACATGTCGTCGATGATGTTTCCGACCGAGTAAGGTTTAAGATGGCAGACCGGAGTGGCGCGAATTGAACAAACTAAAGGAAGAGCAGATTGAGGCGAACTAATGTAAAGAGCCGCCATCAAGCGAGAGTATGAGCCGTTTGATGGCAACTGCAGAGGGATTGAATATTCACCGATGGAAAAAAAGAAAAATCATGTGGCAGCCAGTGCAGGTGAAGCGCATCCAAAAATCCAAAAACTTTTTCTACAAGCCCCAGTTGAACTGGAGGTTGTAGGTAAGTGAAAAGCCATGTCGGAATGACTTTTTTTCGGACGATACGGGGGTATCGAATGAAGTAGGTACCCGGTGATTCTGGGCTGGACATGGTGCTTATTGAACCCGGGACTTTGTTCACCGGCCATGCCTCTACACCGTCGAACCCGCCAACTGAGCCATCGACCCCTCGATTTGAGGGGGAGACAACTTTCCAGCTGAGGGTTGACCTTGGGTGCGACTGGGAGAGAATTCCGGCACTACAATATGTATAGTGGTAATTAATTAGTGACCTAGCATTCACACCGCCCGCAGCCTTGTCTAGCCTTGGCCTTGCCTTGCCTTGCCTTGCCTTGCCTCTGATTATTTCGTCGGGGCCACCGAGCATTAGAGTAAATTGGATAGAACCTAATAGATTGACCTGCTGCTACTTACTATCTCGACATCTATATTACTCATTTTAGAGAACTAGGAGGCGGTGGTCTCGCCGTGTACCTGTTGGTTATCACATCGACTCTCTCCGAGTCTTGTAATGAATTGCCTCCGGCGCTGGTTCTACCAGTATCTTCTGCAGACAACCCAGACAAGCCATGGCCTACAAAAATGCCTGGATGGCTTACCTTGAACTTTACTGTTAAGTCTCGTAGCTGTGTTCAACTAGGTCAGCCCTGCGCGGGGGCAATTCACAGGTCTGGTTGGGTCTCCTGGCTTGCCGCGAAAAGTGGCCTGGGAGAGGGCGGGTATGTTCTCGCACCAACACCACCCATCTGACAGGGGAGCTATTGTTCTCCCGGGTTTTCTGTGCTAGGACTAAGAGCCCAAGGCCTCGTACCTAATACAAGCGCTAGGTTCGTCATTTCAGCCTTCGAATAAAGGTAGTTCTAGATGAACCCAACAATGCCTCTCATTTGACGGAGAAGAACAGAAGCTGGTCGCCATCTCTCAAGCATGCTAGGCTAATCTGAGAGGCACAGATACGTAGCTGTTGGCACGCAGATCCCTTGAATAAAAAGCAACACGCTCCTAGTGTCTATCTATGTCTTCTCTGATGAGCAAGCCGAATCCACCAGACGCTGATCAATGAGCCTGAGATATACCCTATCCTTGCATATGGAGGTTGACGGTGTGACACGTATGCCCACTCTTTCTAGCCTGTGTCTTACTCGTCTCGCTCCCTTTGTAGCGACTGTCAGCTTGTGTCATACAGCGGACACTCACATCGATTAGATAGGATCTGGTAGGAGAGGGCCTTACGGCGTTAGCAAGAGTATCCACAGGTGCATCCTTGACGCGCTGCGCGGGTATCAGCAGGTTTCAAATATGGTAGAAGACCTATTTCCCACCGCAATGGGTACAGTATCTTTGTGGCCTGGGTCGTTTGATGTGGACGTCGAGGAAGCTCTGTGGCAACCCGGGACTGACGTTTTGGCTCTCGGGTTCAGACGAGCCACCACTCCCCAACTGCTGCAATGCTGCTATTCATAAAGCAGAAAGCTGCATTTTCTTCCGCAATCGACCATAGGATCGAGAAAGAAGCACTTCCCGTCCGCTCAGTGGTACTTAAGCTCGATGCCGGTTAGTTAGTACTGACGTGGGTGACCAGTTGGGAATCCTAACTGTTGATTGTTTTTGCCCTTTTGTCCCGTATCAGGCCCTCATGTATCTTGGTTTTTTGGGGTGGAATCTTCCAGATAAGGTATGTTGGGTCGGTATCTTAGATAGTAGTAGTATCAAAGGAGAGTTCAGCCTCGTCCCAGTGCAATGACGCACTTTGTCCGGTCGTTGCACAGATGGCTCGACCATCGGCATTTCAAGTAGTACCAAGACGGCGAGATATGCGTTCACCATCGTTTCCAGAGCCTTAGGGTGGTGTTGCGGAATTGCAGGACATCGAGAACAAATCCAAACAAAGAGAGGTGCAATCTAAATCTATTACAATCCCGCTGATGTGGCTGTCCGCGATGGCAAGATACGGGCAACTCCGAAGACAGCCTGCAGTCGGACGACTCCGCAGCTTATTGAGTGTTTGCAAGTGTGTTTGTATCAGTCCTAAGGCACCCTCTTTCCCATTTGCATACCCAGTATCTCGCTCCAGGTGGTACGTTGTTGCATGTTGAATGCCACCGCACCGCCTAGTCCAGTCTAATTGGAGCTGTTAAACAGTCACTCAAGATGGTGCGGCGAGTGCGGCTCGGAGTGATTGTCCCATCTTCCAACACGGTCCTCGAACCTTTAACGCAGGCCATAGTTGCATCAATCACTGACCCAGACCTAGAGGTGACAGTACACTTCTCCAGACTTCGCGTCACAAAGATCGATCTATCAGGGGATGCAAGCTTGCAGTTTTCAACTGAGGCTATGTTAGCTGCGGCCCAGCTACTCGCCGATGCACAGGTCGATGTCATTGGATGGAGCGGCACTTCTGCGGGCTGGTTGGGGTTGCAAACCGACGACAGTTTGTGCAGGGAGATACAGAAAGTCAGTGGGATTCCTGCTACGTCCTCGATCCTCGCTCTAAACGAGCTGCTCCGAGCTAGCAAGGCCGAGAAAATCGGTCTGGTTACACCATATCTGACCTCGGTGGTGGATGCGATTCGCAAGAACTATGCCGCCATCGGATTCCCCATCGCTCCGGAGAGAGAACGGCATCTGGTGCTGACGAAGAACTCGGACTTCGGCCTTGTCACAGAGGCTCAGCTCGATGCAATGGTCTCGGAGGTTGCAAACCAGGGCGGCGCCGACGTTGTTGCCATTTACTGCACAAACCTTCGCGGCGCGCGCCGGGCAGCAGCATGGGAGAAAACACATGGAATTGTGGTCCTCGACAGCGTGGCCACAACGGTCTGGGGAATGCTGAAGATGGTTAATGTATCTCCCGCGTCTGTCATGGGCTGGGGCTCGATATTCAGCCCGCAGCAATGATGCATGCCTCTCTCAAATGGAGTAGCGCCCTGTAGTGGATGCCATGTGCAATCATTTTATGTTAAAGACAAGAGCGTGACGGTGGACGACCACTCGAAGCACAAGGCAGCGTCAGAAGGGGGCCAGCAAAGAACCTGAGATTGGAGATTCAAGATTCATTAATAGCAGCGTCATTCAAATTCCTGTCGCTCTGCCAAGAATATACGGTGTACGGAGGAGTGCGGAGTAGCACATGTCTAGCTTTCGTAGTCCGCCGTAATACTACAGCATGCTGGTGCGCGTTGTGGCAGCGAAGCGACCTGCAACACTGCAGTACCATGTCAGTTGTACGGTGTAGACTGCCGAACGTGAATGTGAATGCCGAGAAACCCCTCCTTGCATGCTTTGCTTTGGTTCTACGAGAGTCGAGATGCCAGGGCCCTGGCTGAGCCACGTCAGGTTTTTCCCTTGCCATTCGCACTCATATACGAATACTGGCAGTAAGCCGTCCTTTTGACACTCCCGACGTCCATCTCCAATAGCACAGCAGGATGCCGACCAGAAAATCCAAGTCGAGCGCCTCCAAAGGCAAGGCTACTACTGCCTCCGCCGTCCCTTCGTATACCATCGTATCCAATCCTCGAGGGTTACCACGTCTCGAGGATGGCCCTCCCTTGGCTGGAGAGGAGTTCATGGCCAAGAATGCTCGTGCAAAAGCCCTCATCATGTCGACCCTGGTCCCCGGCAGCGAACCGTGGAAGATTGCCGAACCACTCGAACTGGCTTCGGATGTATGGAAAGCGTTGGAAGAAAAGTATGCGCCGAGAGACGCGAGCGGGAAAAAGATCAGTCAAACACAGACCAAAAGCGAGAGCAATTTTATAGACGACTGGGTGGAGGGGAGGCCACTGGACAAGTACCTTGACTATTACAAGTCGGACATTCTGGTCAAAGCAAAATCCAACTTTGGAAAATCCAACGTCAAAGTCAAGTCCCTTACGCCCAAGCCGACCGATAAATCATCCATGCAGGATCACGTCCTCGAAGACGTGAGATCGGTGCTCTTCCCAACGGAGACGGCGGAGCAGCATCCCAAGCCTCCAGCTCCGACAGGACCTTCGGCATCCGTAGCATCGGCCGATGCAGCAGCTGCGCCGCCACTTCGCTCGCGATGGGTCGCCCGCCCAGTTCCCCATGAAGAGTACTTCAGCGAAGAGCAAGGTTCTATATTTGCTTCACACGACCTAGGGCGGAAGAAACAAGTGCAGAACGCCATTACGAAAGTCATGATGCAGAAGCTACCGAATCGCGACCTCCGCTTACTCTGGGCAGTTCTGTATGGTGGTGAGGACGCCATCTGGCCAGGGTCACTGTCAACGGTCATTCTAGGTGTGACGCATGATGTGGCGCCGAAAGTCGTTCCGGGTGGAGCAGGCACTGATAAAGAATCCCGATCTAACAAGAATGATGCCCAGGATACTCCTGACGAGGATGCTCCTGACAAGAATGCTCAACCAATATCTACAGAGCCATGAGCTACTTCGCATCACCCACAGAACTGAGCTCTCACCCTTCAAACTAAGCAACCTCTTGCCGCATCTATCGTCTTTCCTATATACCTGAGAACGGCACACCAAAGTCTCCCAGACACATCCAGACCAAGAGGATGATGACCCACGCGAGCAAACTTGCGCTTTGGCCACTAGCCAGAGATGGCGCAGCGCTCTTTTCGCGAATAAACGTGACATTCTGCGCAAGCCCGACAATATCTCTCGTCGCATGTCCTGCCTGTGCGAGCTGTCTCAGCTGGTCACCAAAGATGGCCAGGATATTCGAACTCCGGCCAGTAGGACAGAAGACGACTTCGAATCCGCTACCCTGCGGAATGATGAAGGTGCTCGTTTGGTCGTCATAGGCGTAGCTGTAGGCATCTGGACACACCTTCTTGGCCTGCGTCGAGTACAAACTAGGCGAACAGGTCGCCGGGGTGTTATGGTTCCCGGTACAACAGTACTTAGCTTTGTTCCATTTGGCACAAGCGCTCAGGCATGGGTTGAAGATTGGTCGTTGGATGTTGTCATCTGGATAGGGATAAACGCCGTCACCGGGCTTCTCAGGCGGAGCGAGTTGCAACGGCCACGGGCACCAGTCCTGGACAAAGGAGGGCGTCATAGCCTGTTCCAAGGGTAGAGGGAATGTGGCATTTGTCCCGAAATCGGCGTCTGGACTGCTCCCCAGCGGAGTGAGGAGAGAAGAGGTGCCGATGCAAACTGGATTTGTCAAATTGGGCGGAATGTCGGCCAGCGTGGAATTCCCGGTCTCTCCCAGCAAGGCGATGATCCCGACAGGCAGGTTGTAACCGTCGACCAGCGAGATGTCATAAAAGGATTGGTATGTGTCGGAGGACATGGTGAATTCTGCCAGGGTTGCGGGTGCTTGTCCCTGAGAAGGAAAGTCAGCGCCAACGTGAACGGTGGCCCGGTAGGCTCTGTGCTCTCAGCTACTTACAGCTCCTTGACATTGCAAGAACATGCCACAGTCGCCCGTGGTACATGCCGCTCCTCCCTGTCCACTGGCCGGGCCAACGCCGGATTGGGGAAAACTGCAGTTTGTCCGTCCCCAAACCCGGCCTCTCCAATCGCCACTGACGGTTTGTGGATTGGAACTGCCCGGCGCCAGCATGAAGCCGGACGACGCAGGGCCGGTGCCGCTCTGTGTCAGAATGGCGGGCCAAATTGTTTCCTTGCAATTATTTGTTACGCGGAGTGGCAGGACCATGTTGCGTGGATCGAGGTGTCTCGATGTCGAGGCGAGAGCAAAAGGTGCATGGAGAGCCAGAAGAACGGACAATGACCACAATGGATGCGCAAATGGGGTTGACTGTGGGACGATGGGATCTCGCTTCGACTCCGGACGGTTACTGTTGCGGTTGCGGTTTTGCTTGAAGCGAGGCCACTCAGACGAGTCTCGTCGGTGACGGGATCCTGCTTGTCGCTTTGAACAAGTCCGTTCTTCCATGGTGGACGGCTGCTGAATTCAACTCGATAGGAGAAGATCAATATCGAGGCACGGAGTGACGAGTTTCAACAATGGCCAGAGACTGATCTTGTGGATACCTGCTGCCCTTCCGCCGTATCTGGGAAGACGCAAACCGGTCACGAGTGACGCGGACTGAGCAGCCTTGCTTGGAGTTGCTCTGTCAAAGCGACCGCTTCTTCAGTGTAGATGTAATGGAATGTCCAATGTGCAATGTTCAACCCGCAGAGGCGAACAACTGAGATACAAGAGTCGTCCAATATGCGTGCTTATACCAGGTGCGTCTGTGAGGATAATGATAATAAAGAGTCGTGTTGTCGTCCAAATCAGAAGTCGACACAGGTGACAGACAGGTAAGCAATCAGCAGGCGGGTGGGTTATCGAGCGGTGAGGTACGGGTAGATATGAAGAGGGTGTCGTGAGGTGTCAATGAATCGAGTCGAAGAAAGCGCAACCGCCAAGTCTGTCTGTATTTCCAAGTCTTGTTGTCGGATCGATAGCTTCGGGTGCAGTGAGTGGTCAGTCTGTACAGTACCTGATATATCCGTACTTGACGACGCGTACACTTTTGATAGACATAGTAGGTAGACGGGTTTGAGGATGGTGAGGCACAGCCAAAGCCAGAGCCAGAGCCAGAGCCACGGCCACGGCCACAGTCATGGCCATGATTGCCTGAGATCGGTCGAATATCTTGGTATGGGCGTCGCAGGCCTTGCCATGGCCCCTGTCAAGTTGTTGATGGACGTGGCGGTGGTGTCGGGATGCGCAGTCGGTGATGTCATTGTCTTGTCTCATTGGCAGTGTTGGCGATGGGCGATCACCTCAATCACCTCCATCATTAGGTACCACCTATACGAGTACGGAGTATGTAGGTAGGTATTCACACCTCTTCAATTCAAGTTACGGAAGCCTGACCATCACTCTCTCTACACAAGTCTCCCTCGCCTGGCGCCTGACCTCCTCACTGGCAGACTTGGTCAAGGGGATGCCTCTTGCATCGGTGCCCGTGTCGACGGGGACTTCGGCCAGAAGCGTGAAGCCCAGTCTCTGGTATGCACGCACGGCCTGAGAGGTGCTGGTGTCCAAGATGACGGGCGTGTGTGCAAAGCGGGCGAAATGTCGCTCGATCTGATGCTGCAGCAGTTTCGACCCATATCCCTGGCCCGCGTACTTGGGGTTACTGGCTACCATCCGCACAAACCCACAGTCTCGATCCGCGAAGCCGCAGGCGTCCTTCAGCGTCCTGGCAAACATGGACCGCACGTTGGCTTCAGAGACCATCTCGATGCGGTACAGTCCACCGAGTCCATAATTCCACGGCAGCATGAGCGAGAAGAAGCCGGATTTCCAGAGCGTGCCAACGTCCAAGGCGCCCAGTCGCTTGGACGGAGGAAGCCACAGAAGGATCGCTCCGATGTCAGTTTCTGCTTCTGTCTCTGTCTCTGTCTTCCCTGCGGCGCGTGCAGCTGGCACCTCGGCTACCAGCACCTCGCCGCCGAGCAGCCTCGTCAATTTAATCAGGCTCCAGTAGAACCTGACCCGCGACTTCTGCTGTCTGCTCATCGAGCCCGACGACGGCTTACCGTTGCCGTTGTTGCTGACGGTGACGTTGACGTTGACGACGACCGGTTCAAGCGGTGCCGACACGCCCTGAAACCAATTGTGATCCCTGCATCGAGCGAGTCAAGTCAGCCACATTTGTTGTCTTTGTCTTCGCTGCGCAGTGCAGAGCTAGACTGGAGTCGAGAATGAAGCAGACATCGGGGGTCGAGGACGAAACCTCTCAGGGCACAAGGAGGAGTGACGGACCAGATGGGGAGGAAGGCATTGCAAAGAATCCTAGACAACACATCGTCCTCTTCAACCCCCGCTGGACGGAACCTCACCGCCGGTTGCGGTAGCGCGGGCCCAGTAGCACCGTTAGCCATATCAAGCTTCTGCTTCTGGTCCATTGCCGTACAAGTACAGCGTGAATAGTGGATATAGGATACAGGTAGATTCAAGAAGTTAAAGCTCTGCACAGAGTAATCACCCCTGAAGTCCTGTTGTCTGCAGCTTCAAGATCGAGCTACGTACCTTGATATCGCCGGGTTACTATTATGGAGTACTCCGTACTAGTAGTAGGGCGAATTCTGGCGGCCTAGCCTCACGCATTCCAATTGGCTGTCGAGTGACCGACCATACGAGAATACGAGGTACGAGCACATAGGTATGCAGTTGGTGATCAAGAAATACGAGGTACGAGCACATATGCAATGGTGATGGAATACGAGGTACGGAGTACGAGGCACCCGCACAGTAGCTCGGAAAAGGACCGGGGAAGACTGTCTACAAGAGTGAGGATAAGACTAGAGATTGACACTCTCTCACTATTCCTAGATATGTTTTCATCCGACTTTCGACGTCGCTCTACGGAGTACGGATACTGGCTGTGAAATGTCAATGTGATCTGTGATCGAAAATGTAGGGAGTACAGGATACAGGATACAGGATACAGGATACAGGATACAGGATACAGGATACAGGATACATTGTCGGGTAGGTTCGTTTCATCATAAAGCATGAATCATATTTTGGCCATGATTTCGTTTCCTCGTTTGAGCCCATGGCCTCATTCTTCGATTTGCTTTTTCCGCTCGCAGATGCCAGTACACTGACAACGACTGATCGGATCTCTTCGGGCGGCATAGAGCCGTGAGTCAAAGTCGGGAACTTTGTTGTGCACCCCAATCTTTTTTTTGTGGTGGGCAGAGGGAGCTTAGGACGAGGAGGATGGTGGAATAGTTCTATCCCGACTGTCGGCATGTGCTGTAGTGGCCTTGGCCTTGGAAGAGCTGAAAAGGGCCACACTGTACCGTTCGGGCATCTCGGCGTGGGTTGCGGTCGACTCTTCCGCCGGCGAGGTTGTAGGGTATATGGCTACCACCCTGTGCACCGTTGGCTTCCATCGAGCGCCGCTGATCTTTTTCAGCCTATTGCCCGTAAGGACGGTGACCAGATCGTCTTGGGGATCAACCGGGGCGAACAACCCATGCTTGTCAAACCAACTGCTTCTCGTCTCAACCGTCTCTCTCCTGTCCGCGACCTCAAGTCCACCGCTGCCGTCCGATAACAACAGGGTCAAGGTTCCCGAATCGATATGTGTCGGATTGCGCTGAATACCAGGACCAGGACCAGGACCAGGACCAAATGGAATCGCTTCAGAGGCAATCGAAGGGTAATGAAGGAACCCTAAGCGGAAATCGGAGCAGTCGTGGCTTTGGCTCAAATGTTGACCCGGTGGTAGGTCCATCGTGATCGATAAACAGTCAATGAGGTCGCACAGGACGTCGGACAATACCTATGTGTACACGTGAGGACCCAAATGATTAGCCTGCGCCATCATGGCTGGTTGACCGTCACGCCGTACCATGTGGAGGTGCGTTGCAAAACCACGAAACCCCGGCAAGAGATTTTCGTCGGGCCAGTTGGTCCGGGGCCCGGCATCACAAGTATACGACTCGTTTAAGATGGGAATCTCGCCACGCACTTTGTCCGTTCCCAGGGCAGAATACCCGAGGGAGTGTTTCGACGTCGGAGAGAGCAACGATTTCACCGATTCCTCGAGGTCGAAGAGCTTGCGACTCTGAAACGAAAGTGAACGTTATACCGCATTCGAACTTGAAGTACATTGCGATGCGAGTCGCGTGGTAATGTGGTATGTGGCAGTGCAGGTGGACAGTCTCCGTACCTGTATCTTCCAGTTGGGAAGAATGCCGCGCAAGGTATCAGGTTCAAGTTGAACCTGGCAATATGTGAACTCACGCAGACTTTGGTCGATTTGAGCAGCCACGTCTTTCCGGTCCTGCTCGGAGCCACGAGTGAACCGGCCAGAATCGAGCCTCAGCCTAGGTGATCTGAGGGGATTAGCAGCAGTCTTGCCATTCAGGGCCATCTCGGGAGGTAGTGAATTGAAGGGCTCAAAAGGGAAATGTCACGGTGATGAGCAACATCAAGACTGCCCTTGATACCGCCGTTCAAGGCTACGTACCTACTAGGTAGGTAGGCGACTTCAAGAGGGGGGGTCGACGGAGCCGCAGTCAGAGCGTTAAAGCAGCCACCGCAAAGTCAGGTACTCGTACTAGTACTAGTCTAGTTAGTGCCATTTGTCTCTACGGCGGCGACCTCTCCTGCCGTTCTCGTGTCTCCAACCCAACAGGCCATCATCATCATCTCTTCTGCGGAGCAACGTCGCCTGCCTGTAGCCATCGTAGCAGAAAAGAAACAGCTGAAATGTCGTCAACGCATAAAGGAAAACCTCAGCCAAAAATGTTTGCCCTGAACGACCGACAGAATCCACTGGGAGCATCGCGCGGCAGAGAGTTTAATCCCCAACTAAGGAACCTCTCGGGGCACACACTTCGGCTATATCGCTGATTGGTTGGTGTTGTGCGACGGTAGAGACGTTGTGCGAGAGCCGTCAGGGTTATAATAAGACTACCTTTTGACCCTACCAGACCCTTGAGTCGCTCAATACTTGACCTCGTCGTCGATCGCCGTTGCGCCCTGATATAGTACTTCTGTGGTGTTGCTTAAAGTGCCTGAATATGTCTTCTCTTTAACTACGTGACTGCGTGCGCCTCCTGAGTGCCCTGAGTACTTACGATAAGCTCTTAAGAAGGCTGTAAATTCCTATCCTGTGGAGTATCTCGACGACCCTGTCGACGGCGAGGTGTTGTTGATAGTTAACGAGTACGAGGCTCGTCTTCTTATATTCTGACTAATTAGAGCGCTCCGCTAAGTGGTTATGTAAGGCGGCGACGACGATATTGGTTATGTGGAATGGGCGGCGACGAGGTCTTGGTTATCGTATAAACCACCGTGCTACTAACCCTGATTAGGCAACTCCGAAGTGTGTGAAGTGTGTGTCGAAGTGTGTGCCCCGAGAGGTTCCCCCCAACTACTTCCCACAGAAGTGAGTATCAGCAACACGACAACTTCTCCCCATATTGTACCTGTGTGTAGGTAGTCCTATGCACTTGACGCTGCCGTGGGGGTGGGGAATCATTGAACCAGTCCCCGATGTCATTGCGACGCTCGGATTCCGATGAGGGAGCGACCATGGTGCGTGTAAGGCCGGTCGAAAGATTCTTCCCGCAATCCCTGGTCGGTATTGTCTGTCCCGTGTCGTTGGATGGGCTAACCCGCAAACACCAGATCCTCTGGGAGCTCTTGTCTCAGAAATGAGGATCAAGGACGCCTCTTTTTCAATTCCGAAATGCGATCTTTGACTCCTACCAATAGGATAATCTCAGGCAACGAGGGAGTTCTCCTCTCCGCTACACGGAAATCGGTGGCGGAGCCTCTTCGAATCCTTCTCCCGCCCGAAATTCTGGATCGCCATTGAGCCAGTGTCAGACAGAAGAGTTTGTGAGCCAGAATGGCGAGCATTACCACCCCGAAAGACCAACAGAATAGAGCAATAAAAGGTTCCCACCCGATGGCAGGAACACCCAAACCAAAAGGGCTTCGCATATGTCGGAAATTTCTTGGGTGGTGACTGCGCAGCCAGCCTAGAGACATGGCTGGCGGTTCGGTGAGATCCCTATGTAGCGCGTCGCTGCAACCTTTCGGCAGTTCCACACGTGTTTGCTATATGTGTAAACGAAGATGAGTCAGGAACTGCCATTGGTCTTCCAAATCTTTGGCTGGTGGATGGCGGAGACTTAGACTTACACTCACGGCCGTGCAATACTCTCGAAAGTCCTTTGCTGCGGTCCACATGGAGAGCTGCAGGGCCATCCAGGCCGCGGTTAGGCCCAGAACCGCGATGCATGTCTTGATGAAAACGATGACGCCGAATTTGATTTGATTCCACGATGGACAGAGTAATGAACCATGTCCAGCTGGAGCTGCCTGAAGGCCTGAGCCGCCGGCGGCCACTGGTCGACTCGAAGCGTAAACATTAGACTGTCCGCTCCCAGTGTTGGTGTTGGGAGAAGTCGGCGACACAACCGAAGGGCCCTGGTGTGCAACAAACGCAGGCAGATTCGACGGGCTTGGAGTCGAAGTCGAAGATGCGGACGGTTGGCAAGGCTGACTTGCCACTGGCACTGGCGGGAGGTTGCCAAGAGCAATTGTAGTGCCTGTTGCCTGGCTGGCCATGTCTGGGCGATGTTAGATGTTAGAATATGGGTGACGAGCGTGGCCTTCTGATGCACATTCCCTGAGAAACGGTGAGTATTGATTGCACTCGCTGCATTTGTGTGCATGTTACTGATTCATTGCCGGTCGACGATACAGTAAATGATAAAGCGGACGAGACGTCGTTATGTTTTGGCCCCTCGGCGCCTGCTGCTGCGCCTCAAACTCTCCACAGATGCCACCTAGATGCCAGCCCCGTGGCTTAGGAGGCCTAGGTGCTTATTGTTGGTCGCTATGCCTCTTGATCCTGGCAAGAGGCCGCCAGTTGACGGCTGGTACAGTAGTGGGGTCAAATCTATACGAGGATAGGGACGGCGTCGAATGTGCTTATGGCCAAATTCACCTTCCGCATATATTCGACATGGCCATCGACTTCCAGGTCATCTTGCACCCAGACAGCCTGGACCAAGGCTCCCACCTCTTTGAAGCTTCGTACCTGCGGGTCCTGTTGCGTTTTTGAAATGAGGTCGAGGATCACCCTTCGGCGGTCATCGGTGCGAGCCTCGCAGCCAACGATAAAGAGCGGGAAGGGATGACGACAAGTTCCTATCCCGGCGAATATTGAGAAAGCGTCGTCGATCCAAGTCTCAAGCTTGGTGGACTGACCGGAGAAGTTTCTGGAGGTGTGTTCGAGGTAGATCAGTGCTGCGAGCCGAAACAACTTCAGAACGGGGGTGAGATCTTCGTCCGCAGTGGTTTCAGCTGGGCCAGTAAGCGTTACGTTTGTGAGTCTGGATTCGAGGCCATCCAGGTACTCTTGATATTCCAACGAATGGTACTGTGGATCCCAGGGATGCAGAATCGTATCGCAGACTTCACCCAGCAAGCCGAGAACCTCGTGCGCATGGCGGGAGATCTGTGGTATCACGGCGGCAAACGAGGCACGCGCAAGGGCATATTGGGTGACACACGGCATGTCGCCGTTGCCGCCGTTCGTGGTGAAGCGAGGATCTGGCACCACTTCAGACACGACGTCTGTGCGCCAGTGTCGAGTGCTGAACCGGGCGAGCACGTCGTAGTAATAGACCCAGCCCAGCATGATGGAAGAATCACTTCCTGGGGGATGCTGTCCATCCTTGACGGCCTGCACAACTCCTTTGGCACCACATATGTGCCCAACCCACTGGCAGTTCCAGGTATGTCCATTGGAATTCAGCTGCATCTGTGGGAATTTCATGAGTGCCTTGCCCATGCCGATGCCGTCCGGGTTGGAGGGGGTGACAGTCCATGCCAATATCAATATCGCAGACTTACCTCAAAACAGGCAAGGAGAATGCCGGCAGCAATATGCTGAATGCCAGCTTCGGCGTCGATGCCATCCTTTGCCGAGGTCATGAGTGACTGAAGTGCTGTAAGGTTCAGCCGAGCCGCATGTGGTTGGAGTCCGTCCCTGTACAAGGACGCGAGAGCGAGCATGGCCTGACACACCGCGTTTGACGCGAGGGTGCTGCCTGAGAGCGCCATCCGCATCAGTATCTCGCGGACCCTGCTCCGACCCGAGTCGAACATGGGCAGAACATTGCTGCCTACGTGCTCAACTGTGTTGCATGGGTCAATTGGCTTGCGCATAAGGAGCCATCTCAACAGGGGAACTTACAATATTGGAGGAGGTCCTGGTCACTGGCGTTGATCTTGGACGGTGTCCAACTGATTAATTGAGGAACGCAAGGCAGAGCAAGCTGCATAAACGCTACACGGTCCCTCACTAACAAACATAGGTAAGCGAGCGGGGACAGCAGAGCCACGAGGCCACATGATAACTTACCTTGATTGGGATATTCAGAGGCAAAATGGTGCAGATAGATATCCATGGAGGAAGCATTGATCCACTGGAGATCCTGATGCCGGATTGATCTGCTTCTGCTCGCATGACGAGGAGATGAACCGCCGACCACCGCACGCTTACCATCGTTGGGCCGTGGCCACGAGAGACGGAGACCATAACCTCCACATTGCCGTTTCGATTTCACGCAGTTGAGACAGACCGGGGTGGCGCGATCGCAGGAGACTTTTCGCTCTGCAATTGCAAGCCGTCCTCTCATCAGCGACCGCCTTCCGAAATGTTGTTTTGATAAGAGGCGACAAACCTCTGCATGTCCAGCAGCGTCCTTGCGCCGCCGCCATCTCACCGTCCAAACGGCTAAAGCAACTTGCTGGTATGATCTATGTGTAGCCAACAGTGGGGAAACGTCGTTCGAAGCGCTTGCCGAGAGGGTATAAAAGATGGTGGAAAATGCATATACAGTACGATACTGTTAGCAAGAAAGGACAGAAGCACAGCACCACGGGCCTGTGCGAGGCTGACAAAGCCAGGTTCGTATCATTGAATATTGAGAGTGTCCACACGGGCCTCATTGCAGCCAATCGGCAATGCCACTTCTGGAGATATTGCAGTTTCCGGCCAATCGGCAGCCTTGAACCGGGTCCACCGGCCAGGCTAATCACCAAATGGGTCTCAGGGCAAGTATTTGCGAGAGGCTGTGAGAGGCTGCCATTCGTGATGTGCTACGGGTGGCGCCACCGTCCCATAATGGAACTTGGACAAGTATTTGCGAGCCCCAGCAAACATCCGGCATGGAACTGGATCACTCCAGCATATTGCGAGAAACAACGGTCAGCAACCGGACAGTGGACGTCCGAAGTTGATTGGAAATCAAACCAAAGATGCCGGATCAGAAGTCGTGGGAAACCCGACTTTGCAGGGCTATAAGGGGGCCGAGAAGCCGCACCAGCACCCAGCACCAGCATCTTCATCTTGTCTTTGTCTCGAGATCTAACTGCAGCCTCTATCAGAACCCTTTTCGAGAAATCCAGCACAACATGTCTTCCTATTTCGTCACTGGGGTCTCCCGAGGCATTGGGGTAAGTTTGACTTGGACGAACTGTTGGACCAACAAAACTAACCCACCCGTTTGATCAGTTCGAGTTTCTTCGCCAGCTCTCGAGCGACCCAGCAAAAACCGTGATCGGTCTGGTTCGCAACAAGCCGGCTACTGATGCAAAGGTCGCCGCGCTGAACCGAACCAACATCCACATTCTCGAGGGAGACCTGACCGACTACGAATCGTTGAAGGTATTTCCGCTCCGGTTAGAAAGTCAGGAAGCATTCGCTGATCTTTCTTCTCAAAGAGAGCAGCCTCGGCCACCTCGAAGATCACCGGGGGTAGCCTCGACTATCTCATCGCCAATGCCGCGAGCATTCCTCTGTGGTCCTACTTTGACGGCATGGGAGCCTTGTGAGTGCTATCCTTCCGTGCTTGCCCGACGGCGGTCTGGCCCCCCCAATCCCAGGGGCGGTTAGGAACTTGCTATTCGAGAACTGACGGTTTGTTCTCCGTGACTGAAATGAAACAGGGGCAGCAAAGATCCAGTTGCCCTGGAAAAGGATCTCCTCGACGCCTACAAAACAAACATAATCGGCAATGTTCACCTTTTCAACTTGTTTCTGCCGCTCATTCTAAAGGGCGAGAAGAAGAAAGTCATCGCCATCTCGTCAGGTATGGCTGACATCGAACTCATTACCAAATACGATCTCGAGATTGGTGGACCCTATGCTGTTAGCAAGGCTGGCGCGAACGCCGTCGTGGCCAAGTATAGTGCTGAGTATGCTAAGGACGGGGTGCTCTTCATAAGCATCTGCCCCGGAGTGGTAGACACAGGCAATTCTGGCACTCGTGAGACACCCGCCATACGAAACACCCTTCCCTTCTCCTTCCTACAGGCCACCACCTTCTCAAAAGCCAAGATCAAGATGCCACCGAATCGAATTGCTGACGTGATGAACAGTGACGGAAGAACAACTCCAGAAGATTGGCGTTATGATGGGCAAGTTTGCACAGTATGCGCCTAATTTCAAAGGTCCGGCCACCCCAGAGGAGTCCGTCAAGGCTCTGATTTCGGTCTATGAGAAAGCCAGTGTTGCTGGCGGAGATGGTGGCGCATTTGTTTCTCATTTTGGAAACAAGCAATGGCTCTGATTCCGCCGAAGGCACGACAAGCTCCCCATTGCGGGAGCCGAAGACAGTGAGCCGACAAGACGATCTCGATAGCCCTAGAAGATTGGCGAAAATGGGATCAATTCACTCTCAGGCCCCTTGGTACAATAGATTCGAGAGAATGAGGCTGCGATTGAAACTGGAAACCTTGATTGTTGGAACAAATATCTCGTCTACTCTGTACCAGTCCCTTCCCCTTTACATCAATGTGTTCTGGGCGTGGGATACGTCGTGCCTGTCTAGCATTGTTGTGGTCTACGACATTAATGAGTTCTCCCCACTGCACAGATCCCTTTAGGTCCTCCTGTCCGAACGCCTGTCCATTGTGTTCTGTCGATGTGCGTTCTCCTTGTGAGAGCAAAAGGAAAGGGCCACTACGGTAAAGCATATTCCTACTAAACTGCGGAGTATTGGTGTAGATTGCGCAATTAGTCGTCACCTAGAAGGGTATAGCTAGCCACGCCGCTTTCGAGAAGACTCACAGTTTGATTGGATGGGCTCCTGCAGGCACCAGACTGAGACAGGGCGGCTTCATCCTCGTCCTATTCGGGGGCGGGCCAGCAGAGGAGGGAGATGGGATCATCTGTTCCTGTAGGCAGGCACGGCACATGGTATCCCGGATTATTCAACTCAACACCTCATCTCCTAACAAGCACCATCCTCTTCTCTACTGCCTTGTCCATTTCCTGTCACTCCTTCAGCATCTTTCCAACCGCCCGAGCCCTTCGCCCCTCTCCCCGGCCCCCCCGGTCCCCCGGCGACCGCGCAAACTGTATTCGCACTGCGCCCAACCTCCCGAGTCACTTCCATCTCCATCCTGCCTGAACCATGAAACCGGTCGCGGCGTACCTATTGTCCATTCCCTTACTGGCGGCACACCTTTCCGCAGCTGTGTCAATAGACTGTGAAAATATTCGAGTGGACAACAAGAAATTCGACCTATCCAAGCTTGCCGGGCGGCATTCCATCAGTGTCCACGACACTTCAAGACCACCGGCGGAATACAACACCACCTGGACACTGGATCTTTGCGCACCGCTTAAAAAGCTCAAAGCTGTTCCAGATTCAGATCAATGCCCATCAGGGACACGAGGTAGGACCCCCGCAGCCTCCGAACGGGGTGGTTGAGGTTGACTGTTTGTGCAGTGTGTGGGGTTGTCAGGTCGTGGAACGCCGTGGATGACCCGGAGCAGAAGCACGTCCAAGTCGAAAATGTGATCCCGGTAGCTGGCAACTTCGAGTCCAGTACCGGCAAGAGTCTGGCTCCCAAAGTCTCGCGACTGAAAGCCCAGGACTCGAAGTCGGACGGTCTCCAGATCGAACTGAACGGCGGTTACTACAATAAAAAGAAACAACGAGCTGTGATTCAGCTACAGTGCGATAAAGAACGAACAGGTGACGAAGAGAAGAGGAGGTTGGCGCGAGATGAAGACGACGACGGAGAAGAGGACGACCAACCCGAACCCGAATCCCCCACAGCTAGTCTATCATTCATAAGTTATGGACCGGTCGAAGGCAAGGAACAGATTGAGGTGCTCCGACTTGACTGGAAAACCAAGTATGCGTGCGAAAGCTATGCCGACAGTGACGAGGCGAAGAAGAGCGGTTGGGGCTTTTTCACTTGGTTTGTCTTGATGTATGATACTCCCTCTCCCCTTTCCCATTTCCGAGTCTGGTTTCCTTACTGACATGGGGGCCGAACAGCGGGTTCCTGGGCGTCGCCGCGTATTTGATCTTCGGTTCCTGGCTCAATTACAGCCGTTACGGAGCGCGTGGATGGGATTTGCTGCCCCACGGCGACACCATTCGCGACATTCCATACATCGTCAAGGACCTGTCGCGCAAGGTGGTGGACACAGTTTCGGGCAGCGGATCTAGAGGGGGGTACAGTGCTGTATGATTTACAACGAACATTCTTTTTCCTTGTCAGTGGCGACGGTGTCAACTTGTAGAGAACGAATGGAATTGAGAAGACGCGGCAGCATGGGAAAAGAGGTCAGGTTTAATTTTAAAGAGGCCCCTTCAAGTTTGGGATAGCACCTCCGTCATGTAGCCCGTGCCGTGATCTCTGGCTTCCGGTCTGTAGCAGACAAGTCTTCTGTGAACATGTCTTCCTCCGGTGACGTGGACGTTGAGATGCCTGATGTTTCGCCGTATAATTTCTGCGGGGCTGGTTCAATGTTTCGCCGAAGGTAAATATCTATGCCCGAGATTGAACGTCGACGGGCGTCCGGAGCCTCGTCCCACGACCGACGTCAAGCCTCACCAGTTACTCGAGATTGTCAGCTGAAGGAACGCGACATCCCTCTCTTCTCACAACAGGAACAGTACCCTCTATCTGTCTGTTCGAGCCGGCCAAAATGCTTTCCAGGAGAGTGGTAAGTCAAGTCATCTATCTGTCACTAATGATTCTTGATCTCCACCCCGCGTATTTGATCTGGGCTCGACCCGCGGACGTCGTTTGAATTTCTGTTTCGGCCTGCGATATCCCCAACGCCATACCACGCAAGATGTGCACCGGTCGTTCCCGATTCTTTATTTTGTCTCCTTCTTGCGTTCCGTGCATGTTTGCCGATACTGATGCTGATGCTGATGCTGATGCTGATTCCCCGCCAGCTCTCCAAGGAGGAAGAGTCGGAAGCCACCGACGCCGAAGTGACCAAGGAAGACCAAGACAAGATCAACGCCTTCTCGAAGCTGCATAATCGGAGCAAGGCGCTTGAGGAGGAACTGGCTACGAAGCAGGTGAGTGGACAGAATATTGGATTTCGTCGTCTTGTCTTTTCTCTTTTCTCTTTCTTGTTGATCGGGTTTCTTCCTTTCGTGTGTCTTGGTCCATCAGTCAGACCTTGACGAGTCGGTATTTCGATGGGCATACCCAAAGACCGGCCAGAATAGATGGAGCTGGATTGGTAGCACAATGGCCAGAAGAGATGGAGTTGGATTGGTAGCACAATGGGTCGACATGGCTTGTCGCAGCTTCCGTCTTGCACAGTACACATTACATTACAGTACATTGCTAACTCGATTCGCCCATGGCTCCAGAAAGATAAAGAAGACCTCGAAGAGGTCTCGACGGAACTCGAACTCGCCGACGAGGACGAACTGATTCCGTAAGATAGCCCTTTCTGCACCCTATCGACACTTTTCGGATCTCGTTCCGCCGTCCAACATCCTTGTTGATCCCTAGTCTTCGATAATCTAACTGTTGTTCCCGCGCAGTTACAAGATCGGCGAGTCGTTCATGCACGTTCCCCTGTCCGAGGCGCAAGAGCTGCTCGCCTCAGCGACAACCGAGCTCGAGAGCGAAGTGACGTCGTTGGAAGATGAACTGAGCACGATCCGCGACGAGATCGGCACCCTGAAGGCTCATCTGTACGCTCGGTTCGGGAAGGGCATCAACCTGGAGGCTTGAGGCCGGGTCAGGCCAACTCAATACTCCAAACTCAATTCTCTGTCCCCTTTCTCCTTTCTCCTTTCTCCTTGTTCTCATCGGTTCCGAACGATGCAATTCGTATCCTGGGCCCGCATGGCACGGCATGGCATATTAGACGTCAAAGTGCATGAGTGACGACGGGTCAGTCTACAGCAGAGTCTACGAAGTCCAGCACATGCCAGGCTAAGAGCAGAGTGGAATCTATGTATGACGTTGATCGGACATGTCCTCGCGCGGAGAAAAGGAAAAGGAATGAGGAGAAGAGGAATGGAAGAAAAAGGGAAACGGAACGGAAAAGGGAATGGGAAAGAAATCACAGACCTGGCATGGAATTCTCCCCTTGAGCTCGTCATGGAAACCGGGAGCACGTCGGTGTCGAAGCACGCTTGGGCTTGGGCGATCGATGATTAGTAGTCATGTCAAGGCGAGGGCAAATTAAACCGTCGGCAGTCAGTCATGCCAGTCAGTCAGTGGTCAATCACATCTTCCAGGCACCGCTGTGTTAGTGCTGCTACTGGCATTGCTACTGGTATTGCTATTGCTATTGCTCCTGCTCCTGTCCCTTCCTGCGGCTGTTGCGCCCGTTCGTCCTGCCATATTGTAAGAACCCGACGATTCCGTGTCTCTAAATTGAGGCGGAAGAGGGTATTGAAATCACCCGACACACAAACATGATCCAATCCAACCCGAACCCAAACAGTGGCCGTGGAGGCGAGGGCACAGGAAGGATAGAACGGACATCTCATAATTTACTCTCGTCCTTCTGCACCAGCCGCACCACGCCTTCCTGGACACACGAGGCGATCAAGGTGCCGTCTTTACTCCAGATGCGCTGCATGACGACGCCCCTGCCGTCGCCGGCCCACGGACTGGCCATTTCGGTCAACATCCACTCGTCGGCGCGGAAGGCGCGCGGGTTGTGGAAGTAGATGGTGTGGTCGAGCGAAACCATCATGCCGATGCGGCGGCCGTCTGTGGCCGGGGCCGACGGTGACGATGATGATGATGATGACTGCGACTTATCCAACTGATCAAACTGCTCGTGCTCCTCGGCCTCCTCGCGGGCAATCTCTTCCAGGTAGCGCCTCATCTGGTCCCGTTCTTCCTGCGAGCCCCGGAAGCCACGCAGGGTGCGCTCGATGTTCTGGCGGTTGGCGAAGCGCATCAGGCGGTGCACGCGGGCCACGGTGCCGATGAAGTACGAGTCGGACATGTAGGCGAGCGCCGAGAGGTGCGCTTGGTGGTTGTTCCCGGGCTGGTGGGCACGCTCGCCCTGGGCCAGCTCCTCCTCGCGCACGTTGGGCGGACAGTCGCTGATGCGGCCGCGGGCCCGGATCCACTGGCGCAGTTTGCGTTCCGCCGGTGAGCCGTGTCGTGTCACAGGGCAGCGGACGGACTCGAACGGCTGCGACTCGCCCGAGTCGTTGGCACTCCAGGCCGACCGGCTGGATTCGGTGTCAGGCGGCGGCGTCACGTCGGTGGGCATGGGCACCGCATGTTCCACCTTTTCCTTGCCGCCGCTGCCTTCCTTCATAAACGACAGCGTCGTGGTGAAGATACACTTGCCTCGCTGCCGTGCCTGCACCGTGCGGGTGATGAAGCTCCGCCCGTCCCGCACGCGTTCCACGTGGTACAGGATCGGGATCTCCGAGTTGCCCGCCAACACGAAGTAGCAGTGCATGCTGTGCACCGTGAAGTCCGGAGGAATCGTGGCCTGCGCCGCCGACAGACATTGAGCGATGGCTGCGCCGCCGTAGATGCCTCGCGCCCCGGGTGGGTGCCAGAGAGGACGGGCATTGGTGTAGATGTCAGGGCCGATGTCGACGAGCGGGAGGAGGGAGAGGACGTTCTCGATGGGAGAATGGTGAGGAAGGGATTTGGGAGGTTTGATGAGCGTCGGATGTCTGGACATGCTGGGCGGGTGTGAGAGGGTCAACGGGCGCGTAAGGAGGATTTGTGGTCGTTGCAGGACGTGTCTCAATGCTGGAGTGCGGATACTCTGCATCCAAGATCCGTATCTTAAGGTTTAGTTGAGGGTGGGTGCAATATCCGTATCTCGAGGTTGAGCTGAGGGTGGGTGGTGGTGGTGGTGGGATGGATATGGAGACTGTACGTTCAACAGGTTCGTGGAAGGTCTCTGCTCATCCTGAGGTCGAGGTTGTTATGTACAGCAAGCTGCTTGCAATCAGCGAGTAACAAGCACAACGACTCTCACGACTACCACGGTTGACATCTGACACATCTTCCCCGGTGGACATGATTCGGGCGTCGTCGAGACATTGATGGCGTCGGTCTCGGTCTGGCGATACGAATAATAGCCGAGGTAGGATTTAATTGGTACAGTAAGAGACTCGTATCCGTACAGTAATTAATTACCTAGATACTGACAATGCCCGCACGTGCCCCGGGCCGTCAATCCGGGGCGCCGGTCACGTGTATCACGGCTGGTCACATGACGTCTACGTGACCGTAACTGCGGACGCACTTGCCCCTATCAGGGTTGGTGGTACTAAACACTATAAACTACGGAGTACGGAGTACGTATAGGTACTCTGTAGACACTACTCCGTACATCTATTACTCGAGAGCGAAAGACCCAATTTCCATTTACGGGTTGATCCTAGAGGGTGAGCGAGTGCTGCTTTAACCTGAGCTTCAACTGAGCGTAGGCACAAGTACTATATACTTAGACTACAAAGGCTTAGGGTGGGTGTCAGAATTAAAGGCGGTTTGTCCAGCTGCTACTTCGATAGGATTCAGGAAACCTCTAGCTCTACCGGATGATTATCTTTCTAAGATACCCGCCATATATTTTGGCACCTCGCCTTAGGCCCAAAACAGACCCAGACTGCAGCCATGCACTCACGCAAGCTTCCCTTGGTTCGCCTCGCGCCACGCCCCGCCCTTGGCCCTCATCCACCAAATGACCAGAGCGCCCGTACTCGCCAGGATGGCCAGGCCCGTAAACATCCAGCCGTTGCCCTCGGCGCGGATCAGCGGGACGGTCAGGACGGTGCCGACGCAGGAGAAGAGGTTGCGGAGGAAATTGGCCACGGCGACGCCATTGCTGGGTTTGCGCGGCGAGAATTCCGTCAGCATCGTGGCGGCGAGGCCGAATATAAGCATGGTCGACAGGCCGTAGACGAAATTTGCCAGCATCTGTGCGAGATTGGGTCGATTAGGGTCTGAGTCAGGCTTCTGGTTGCTATTGCGGGTTTCTTGGACAACGCACAGGGTAGGGCATGCCATTAAAACAAGTGTGCAATTGCAAAAGCAGAAGTTAAGACGGGAGGGCAGAGGAGGGGATTTTGATATGAAAAACATAAAATGAAAAAGGATGAGTTTCCGTACCGGCACCAGCCAGAATACCCCCTTCTCGGCAGTCCAGCCGTACCAGATCATAGAGATGGGAAAGCCGACGGCAGCGACCCAGGCATTTTCCATCATTCGATCTTCAGGCCGCAGGATCAGTTTCCCCTTCTCGTCATACCGGTTCTTCCGCCTCGCTTCTCGCGCCATGACATGGTCGGCCCATTTGCCGCTGAACAAAGCCGAGATCAGGCCGCCGAAGCCGGAAGGGAGGTAGATCAGACCGATCTTGGACACGGAGAAGTTGTAGGGCGGCTTGGCGAAGACGTCCTGGACCGAGATGTTGACAATGTAGAGCGTGCCGAATGCGAGGGTCGCGTAGTAGGCCGCGAATAAGATGGGGAGGTGGCGAAGGAGGAGGGTGATCTTCAGGGGCTCGAGGAATACTCGGCGCAGGATGCCGCCGAGTCTTTTCAATCGGACGCGAGTGGTTGAGGTTAAGGCTGAGGCGTGGGACAGAGCGGGCATATTGTGGGATAGATTGCTTTCATCGCCTTGTCTTCCTCCTCCTCCTCCTCCTCCTCCTCCTCCTCCTCCTCCTCCTCCTCCTCCTCCTCCTCCTCCTCCGCCTCCTCCTCCTCCCTCTTCTTCTTCAGCCACGGCGGCTGAAGCGGCGTCCTGGACAACCACACTGTGTTTATGAGCTTTGACTGTCTCGGGCAGTCCGAAGAGGAGGAGGACGAAAACCACTCCGCCATAAATGACCAGGAACCACTGGGTACTTCTCCAGCCCCATCGGGCGGTCAGAAACCTGTAGCTGGGGTTAGCATTGCTCTGCTCTAGGCAATACGGATAGAAAAGGGGCCGAAATCAAAGGACGGGATTGTGGATTGGGAATTGAGATATGCCATCTCCGTGATATGCAAGGGAAGAACTCACCCGCCGATGACGGGAGCCAGCAGCGGCCCACACAAGGGACCAAGGTAGAAGCGGCCCATGGCTTTTCCTCGTTCAAAAGGCTCCCAAATGTCTGCCAGAGTTCCCGCTCCGACTGCTTGCACCGACGAGCCAGCCCCGCCACAGAGCAGGCGCATCGCGACGAAGACGCCCATCGATTTCGCCACGGAAGAGAGGATGGCGAAGAGGATGAACAGCGTAAATGAAGTGACGTAGACAGTTCGACGGCCAGTTGTTTCGCTAAACGACGACCACCACAGAGGGAAGATGGAGATGCTGAGCATATACAGCGCCACGGAAAGATTGGTCACGGTGACGCTGGCGTTGAGGTCCTGAGCCGCTTCGGCGAGAGCCGCTGCAGAAATCGAAATGGCAATAACATCAGCCATCAAGTACAGTACATCATATCTCACGATCACAGAGGGTTGGGGTGTCACCATCTCATCACTTACGATAGATGATGGAGCCCCCGAGAGAGGTGGTCGCCGCAGCAAAGGCTACCACGAACGTGATGAACCATTTGGCGCTGTTGGGGTAGAGATACGGGTCGTCGACCTCGGCGAGAATGGTGAGCGAGGCCAATGGACCTCGCCGCTTGGACCGGGGAACACTGATGGGCTTTTTCCGTACGGTCGAGCCAAATTCTAGATCGAGGTCGAGGTCGGCCCGCGCAGTGGCAGTGGCAGCGGCAGTGGCAGTGTCAGGGTCTGTTGGTTGCTCTGGCCATGTGGAAACCCGAATCTCTGGGCTTGCATCTTTCTCTTTATCCAGTGCGTGGCATGGTGCTGGTACTGGTGCTGGTTGTAATTCGGGCTGCTCCTCATCGGTGTTGGTGCTAGGCTGGACTGCCTCTGAGATGTCCATTCTGCCCTTCTACTTCCACGTCCACGTCCACGCTAGCCAGTTCAAAGCCGGAAACAGGTAGAATTCTCCGACCGTGATATCATCCCCGTAGCAACCGGAACTTGCCAAAGGAGACGCAAAGCCTCGCTGAAAGGAAATGAAAGGGTAAGAAGAGCGCGACGTATGAGGACGAAGGGAAGCAAGACTCGGTGGCGGCATGACTCATGTTTATATCTGTCTTGGGATGTCCAACAAACCCCTCACGTGGCTGTTGTGGATGTCAGAGTCAATCGTATCGATAAAGGGCGGAACTGCTCGCGTGCTCAAATGATGAAATGCCCGAGACAGGGACACCGAGTCGTTCTAGTTCAGTATCGGGGATAGGTACTGCGTACAATGTACATGCAGTGGTCTCCATATTGTCGGGACCATTGGGGGAAAACGACGCATTTACGGAGTACGGATACTCCGTGCTGGAATCTCCACTATACTACCTAAGGTAGTAGAGGACCGTCGTAGCAGGTATTCCTGTACTGTGGTAGGCAGAGGAATCAGACGGTCTGATACTGTACCTAGTATGCATCGCCAATCTTCCCCCTCGAGCAGAGACCTCAGTCTTCACATAGTCAAGTCAATCTTGTCCGTGACACGAGGTAGCCAACTGGTGAATATGAGGGGATATACTCCGTACCTATGCAGCCCAGCCCAACGTCAAGGCTGAGTTGCAGGGGGTCTCATATACATACCGTCCGGGTCTAGACTGACGATGATATGGAGACTTGAGTTCAATTATGTAGCGGGATCTCCCTAGGGTAGAGGGCGGTAGTTGCCCAGTTCCCTAGATTGAAAGTTCGGTGTACCCTGCACCCTGCACCCTGCGCCCTGCGCCCTGCGCCCTGCGCCCTGCGACCTGCCCTGCGACCTGCCTCCTGCACCCTGCCTACATGTACTGTAAGCCTCCTAAGCCTAAGGGCTCAAGGACACAAGGGCTTGGGAGGCTCCTTAGTCTCCACGGCCGCCCTAGTCCTTTTTGTCGGGCCGTGACTGTGATGGACCTACGCACGTTGAAGAAGACCATCCAGATAGGAGCGAGATTCTGGGGAGATCTCCAGTCTTCAGCACCAGCAGGAATACTCTATTTATCCAGGGGAACTCTGACGAACTTGGGTTGCGGCTGCTGGAGGTTCGCTATGGATGCTCCGTAGGATTTTATATATTAGTCGACATCATGTACCAACGTCCGAAACGAGACCCGGGACACTTCGCCCATCAGGCCCGCTACAGACATCCAACCGTTACCTAGGCATACCTCGTGGAGCCAGTCCATGGTGGAGGTTGATCAACGACAAGTGGTGGTGACGCGCCTGGCGTCTGTGCCCATTCGCCCTCAGATCCTGGAGTAAGAAGGACAGAAGCCCTCTCGATCTGTCGTCGCCGGCGTTCTCGCGAATCCTGATAACCCTCAAGATTTGGACTTCGGTCTCTCGTCACATTATTGAAGATGTTCCACTTGCGAGGTTTGCTCGGTAGGCTCCCACTCCGCGGTCGCCCGTCCGGTGTGGCCACCAGCGATCCTTGGTGGCCCGGCTCATCTCCTGGTAGAGTGATCTGATAAGTGCTTGAGAGACTGTGGATGTTGGGAGAGTGGGGTGGGTCTCGTTCCAGTAATAGTCGAAGGAATTGTTGACGTTGTGCTTCATCTTCGGGAATTGGAATTTTGTGGTGGTGGATTGGTAGTAGTTCCGTTGTAGATGCCGCATCCCCGTAGCTGGCGTAGGAATCTTTCTCCCATCTCGGCACATGCTGTCGCCTTTGTCTGTCCAGGCTCTTGACAGTGGCCATTTTCCTATATGCGATGTAACCGAGCACGGCTGACGCGACTGTGGTGGAAGAGGCAGTCACCAGCGGGACGTAGATATACGCCTGAGAGGGGATAGGGAACTCTTTATGCAAGGCATGGTTCATAACAGTGACGAAGACGCCCATGAAGGATGAGGTGAGGATTGGCAGGAGGACGGCATCAAACGCGAAGAGGAGGCTGCGACAGTAGAAGGCTATGACTGCACTCACAGCATAGCCGACGAAGAGGAAGACGGAGGCGAGCAGTGTCAGGGTAAAACGGGATGCTTTGATGTTAGATTCGGCAGAGGTGAAGACAAGGGCGAACAGAATATAGCCTCCGAGGGCAAGCCATGAGGCCACGAGGGCGATGGTTCGGAAATACCAGGGAAGGGCGTCGCGTTCGGTGTAGAGATCGAAGAGGGTTTCGCGCATTCGACTGTATCGTCGAGACAGGGACATTCTCTTCTGTACAGATACAGGGCGTGAACCGAAGACATTCGAGGAAGACGAAGACGCTGAGGATTGGATTGAGCTGACGAGGCTGGGGAGAGGCTGCTCAATCAATTCAGCTAGGAAATTTCAGCGCGGATGCCTCAAAGAGGATGGCTTGAGCTTTGCAGAACGATCCATTGTGCAGGCCAGCAGAAGGAGAGCGGTGTTGTACTCTATACGGACAGTTGAGGAATGACAATGGACACGAATGGCAGAGTCTGTGGCAGAATAAGACGGAGAGCTCCAGGAGGTCTGTAAGGCGCAGTTCCAGTTGTGGCGTGGACCTCGTCACCTACAGTATTATTAGCACCTATTACCTAGCTAATAAGTAATAAGGCCAAGCACCACAAGGGTCCTAAAGATCCTCAGGAAAGCTTAACCAGGGGACTGGTGGGGAGGTCATTATTGTACCTTACAGGTGGTTGGGTACCCGGAGCGGAGGAGTCAGTCAGATGTCAGCGCTGATTCTGCCAGTGTGGCAGTGGTGTCTGGATCTCAACTCACCGCCTCCAGCCTGCGCTGCGCTGCCATTGATGCACAGCATGTACGGAGGGAGTATGCCAGTATGGAGTACAGATATTGTTCTCGCTCTCGCTCTCGCTCTCACTCACTACCTTACATTTCCTTTTGCTTCACCCCTACCCTCACCGCCAGCTCTCTTCCCACATACTCGATGTAAACCCCTCGTAGCCCCAGAACACGGCCAATCCAATAGCAGACATACAAAACAGCGTGGGTCACTGACCAACTAACCCATCCGCCATTGTTGCCCACCAACACAGGCCAGTTGTCCCAGGCTCGAAAGATGCTCAACAACTGCAACGTGACGATCCACCCCTCGAGCACTCTCCGGAGCCATGTCGGTGCCAGGGTCGACATTTCATACAGGGAGCTTGGGTGGTCTTCGGTCAGGAACGAATTCAACATCCTGAAGAATGCCTCCTTCTGACCGTCCTCCGGGGCCGTCCATTCCCGAACGATCAGATCTTCTTCGGCGCCATCGTCCTCGTCCTCGTTTTCGTCGATTCGGTGCCATTCGTGCACGGTGTACTTAGGCACTTCGATCACTCTGTCCTCTGCCCCGTAATGCCCGGACCGGTCTCCCACTCTCACAAAGGCGCGTCCTTGCAGGATTTGGAGATACTCTGTGTGAGTCTCGTGCCAATGAAGCCCCGACGTCCACGTCGAAGAGACAGGCACTGTGATGGTGACATGGGCTGGCTTGGAAAGGTCGTACGTGACTGTTTGGGGGCCGCCGCGCCTGAAGATTCGGATCTGGGAGCTATGTTGTCGCTCGACCGGCATATTTCTGGAGCAGTACAATCATTCCAGAATCCCTCACATTGGCTTCACGAAAGCCAGATAGAGAGACGTACGTAGTCAATACGGACGCACGCAGATGTACCGTAAGCATCTGCGCGGCTCACTGTTCGGCTGACCAAGCGACATGGGAGCCATTACAGTACCACGGGGAGATTCCGCCTTGACTCTGTGCACAGTGCTATGGGAGATGTCGCTCTGGGCCGAGTCCACGTGGTGAAGTCTCTTAAGGAGAAGCGGTAGCCTCGCCTGGATCAGCTACTCATGGTCAACGAAGACAGAACAGACATCCATCATGTCCAAGACCATGCCTGGCTGGAATTCTGGGCTTGCATCTCTCTGTTCGGTCTGTTCGAGTTCATTACTCATCTGTCGCACCGTTTCCCTCCCACGCTACATGGACAGCACAGCACAGCAGTCCTCCGCTGAAGAAAAGCCCATCGTTCAAATGCGCTGGTCTCCTCCATTCATGCCTCATTGCGTCGTGCTTTGACAAGTCTCATCCCAATAGGTCGTCCGTGGTCTGAAGGCATCCAGCTCAGTACTGGGAGTATCCGCCGCCGCCGCCATAACCCTCGTTCTCGCCCTCGTCCTCGCCACCATATCGCCGACGCTGAGCATATGCCTCATTATCGTCATCTCCACCACCATACCCAGCGTCGTAGTCACCTTGACCTTCCGGGCGGCCATACTCCTCGCGGGGCGGTTCTCCGTACTCTTGTTGGCCTCCGTAGCCTCGACCAGCACCGGAGCCGTATTCCTCTCGACCGCCGCCGAAGCCGCCAAAGCCGCCGCCGCCAAAGTCGGGTTCGCGTGGAGGTGCATCAAACCCACCGGGGATAAATCCGGGTTCGTCTCGAGGCCCTCCGAATCCGCCAGGAACAAAGTCGGGTTCATCTCGACGTCTGCCCGGACCGCCGAACCCACCACTTGGTTCTTCCCGACGCCCATACTCGGCCGATCCGAATCCGGATTCTTCTCGACGCCCATACTGGTCTTGACCGTAAGTGGATTCTTGCTGACGTCCATACCCGCCACCGGAGCCGTATTCGTTGTCTTCTCGCCTGCCATAGTCTTCACGGCGCTCGTGACGGCCAAACCCTTCAACACCGCCGTAGCCTGGTATCTCGGGTTCCGGACGACGATCCTGTCCCTGGTTACCGTAAAAGCGCCCCTCGTCGCCACGCGGATGTCCACCGTCATCATGACGATGGTGCTCGTACGACTCGGAATCGTGATGGCGTCCATGTGACCCGGATCCCCGACGATGATGTCGTTCGTGCTCCGGGCGACGACCGTATGCGCCACCGTCATCGCCATCGCCATCGCCATAGCGACTAGACCAGTTAGCAGTCTTCCTTCTCGTGCTTGGGTGAGAACATCACTTACCGGGTTTCCTCACGATACTGTCCAGTGCTGGTGCGTTCTTCGTGGTGGACTTCGGACTGCAGCCGTCCACCGTACTCGGTCTGCTCGAAGCGGTTATACTCCTCGTGGGTACGACCGCCAGCAGCCCCAGTGGTCGACGAGTATTGGGCTTGGCCGTATCGATCACCCGATTGTGACTGGCCGACCTCGGTCACGGTCTCGGTGTACGAGCCATCCTGCCCGTACGAGTCGCGCTTGTACGTCTGGCTGTTGGTGTCGAGCCCGCCGCCGAGGAGGTTCCCTCCAAGTCCACTGGTCAGACCTCCCACCAAAGATCCGAGTATTCCACCCCCAACTGCGGCGCCGGCCATCTCGCCAATCTTATCTACAGGCGCAGTGGAGTGTCCACTGCCTGGGTTCCCGCCCTCGAAAGCCGAGCCGATGGCACCGAAAGCGTCGCCTCCAAAACCAGACAACGGGCTACCGGAATTGAGGTTCGCCATCGCGAGTGGTCGGTTGCTGCCGTGGCCATGGTCCTGAACCCCAGGCTTATGATTCTCACCGGACCGCACCCCCTCACGACTAAGTTGACGGCGCAATCCGTCCTTTTCTTGCTCGCTCTTGCCTCGCCACCAATCTTCGACGACGCTAAACATCAAATGACGGCCATCGCTGGCACCATCTTGACCGTGGTCGCGGAGAGCCGGGTGGTGGAGAACGCCATGGATGATGCGGTCCAGGGTGCGATTGACATCGATACTCTCGTCATCCCAGCAGGCCACGATCTGAGGAACAACCCACTTGACGGTCTGTCTGGCCACCTTGCCGGCGGGTTCATTGAGAATGTTGGAGAAATGGTCTTTGGCAAGCATTGAGTGGGTGGGGTCGGAAGAGTTGTCGTCGTTGAAGACGATGTGCTGCTTATCCTTGCTGGAGTTGATGATTTCGCTGGATCCCGTGTTGAGTTCTGTTTTGACTTGGTTGATGATGGGGACGACGAATGGTGCCAGAAGAGAAAATACGAATTTGTTGATCTCGTCCTGGAGCTGTTCAATGAGGTCGGGAAGGATGGGAATCTTCTCGATGGTCTCAGTAATGGCCTTCATGATCTCGTCGTGCCACTCGATGATGGGCAAGATCTGTCTCTGGACGTCGTTGAGATATTGAGTCCACTCCTCTGGTTGTCTTGGTGAAATGCGGCTGCTCTCCATCGCGTGGTTGAGGGAGTTTTGTTTCAGCTCATCAGCCTTTCCCGCCTCATCTTTCCCGCCAAAGACCCCCGACGGAATCTTGTCCAGAAGCCCTTGCAGAATGCTGTTGTCTTGGTCGCCGTTTCCGTATTGTTGCATGGTGCCTTCAAGCTCTTCGATTTCCGACTGGGTGGTCTTGTCGTCGAACTCGCCGCAGACCGAATGAAGAAAGTCGACGCCGCCAAAGGTACCAGTCACGATTGGATAGACCGGATGCCGCACCTCGCGAAGCTGGATGGCAGTACGACGACCGACGTGAGGGAAGACATCCCGTTCACCAAGTTCAATCAGGGCCAGTTCGACGTAGTTGGAGTGGGCTGCGTAATCTTCCAGGCAGTGCGATCCGGTCCCCAAGAGACGGAGGGCTTCATAGAGGTCGGCCTTGTTCTTGCTGCGTGCATACTGACGGCCTAGCTGGATGGACCGACCGAAGAGTTTTCGGACCAAGCCGGCCGAAGTGTCAATGCCCATGCCCTCCGAGGCGATGTAATTCTTCAATGCAGTCTGTGGGTTGATGGACAGCTCGCGACGTTCATCGACAGGACCTCGCAGGCGGCGATCGTATTGCCGCGCGTCTAGATTGTCTGCATAGTCCTTGGGGTTGCTGCTAGGGTTAGAACCACTCTTCCCACAGACATGGTTCACTTACTCGATGTGCTCCTCCGGTCGATAGCATCCAAGACGCTCTGTGGTCACTTCGAATTCACCGGAACCGTAGCCAAAGGACATGAATCCCAGGACCCAAAGAAGAATGCGGATGGCCTCGGCGCTGACATATTTGACCGTCCCAACGTCCACGGCCTGGCTGTAATCGCGAAGCCAGTTCCCGAAGTAGACCTAGGGAGGTTAATGGGGGCTACAGCGCGACGGGACGGGACGATTAGGTAACGACTCACTCTCTTCACATCGAGCTTGCTGAACTTCTTGCCTCCCATGGCACGAGCGGCGACCAGGGTGAGCAACGTGTCTTCCAGATCGCCATGTCGCCAGTTCTCGCCCTCGACCTTGGAGGTGGAGCCGATATTGCCCGCGCCAAAAGCATGAGCAGGTTTGGCCAGCAAGACAATGCCGACGGCACACAGCAAGACGATCTGAGAAGAAGAGAGCGCCATGTTTGGCGGGGTGGAAAAGAGACCGCGATCCTGTTCAGGGAGGGGTGTGATGCTCCAATTCTGGGGTCTGGGGACTGCGGCAGAAGGAAAGGAAAAGGTCAGGTCAGGGCGGTGATGATGCCACCGCGGTGAGCAGATGATCGACGACGGACAGGGACAAGGAGGACTTGTAGTCGCAGAGACGGTGATGGCAGGCTGCAAACAACAGGGCTGATTAAGGACACGATATTCACAATTCACAGCAGATGAGGCAGAGTTGATGTCACCTCATGCGAGAGCGAGAGCCGACAAGGACAAGTCACTCGAAATCCGTCGTAGGTGCGTAGTTGATTCTGCCGCGTCTCACTCCAGCTGCTGAGACCAATCACGCCGGCAACGCCCACTTCGGCTGGCTTGGCGATGTTTCACATGTCGCAGCTGAGGGCGAGCGGCATATCAGACATGATCGGCCTCGTCGTTTGCTCTTGTGGGCGGGTATCACCACCTCAGGGCTGGTCTACGTCCTCTGTTTCGTGCCTCGTTGCGATGCAGCTCCACGAGAAAGCTCCCGAGTCAACTCTATACCAAGTCTTGGCACCCGCGCAAGGCTGTGGGAGATCCCTGTCTCTGTCTACTGCTGAAGAACTTCCGCCCTCCACTCCTCGCGCCTCCTCGTCACCCAGTCGCCAAGCGGCTTCCAGATTGCCAGCTTCTCTGCCGGCGTGAGGGTGGCGGCCAGTCCGCTGGTAGATGTTGCCACAAATGTCTTTGCCCCCGCCCAGATGACCCTGCCACTCTCATCTACCCTTCTACCGAGCTGCATTTCCTCGTCTTGCCAGCCCCAATGGAAATCTGGATCCTTGAATTTCTTCTGGCCCTTTTTCACCATCCAAATGGCTTCCCAAATGCCTTTACCCACAATGGCCACCGCTTCTGGCTGGCACTGGGCAATCTTTTGGTCTAGAATGAGGGCACCTTCTTCCAGCTCGGCCTTGCTCAGTCCATCGCCGCTCCGGGTCGGCCGAGCACATATGTTGGTGTTTCCGATCTGGTACAGATCCATCAGATCTCGTGTTTCCGAGGGATCGTGCTTTTGCGGGGTGATGCCACTGGCGTGGACGATGTGCCAGAATCTGTTGGACGGATGGGCATAAGCGTGGCCCGTCGCCGCCGTCATGAGGCCAGGGTTGAGGCCCACAAACACCAAGATCAGCCCTGGTCGGAGGCTGTCCACCAGTTTGTTGGTGGGACTGTATGGATCACGAGCAGACCGCTCTTTCGTGGTGCTTCGTTTCTTTTTAGACTTGGACTTGGGGGTCAAGGTGCTATCTTTTGAGCCCGCACTGCCCCTAGCCAACTCTTCATCCCTCTCTTTGCTCTCGTCTCCGTCGGTCCGCGGTTGCGAGGACAATCGCCTGCGTTTTCTCGACGGGGAAGCGCTGCTAACAGGACTGCAGGGAGTGGAGGATCGCCAGGTTGCAAACCGGGAAGAACGTCGCTGCGGACTAATGTCTGTCTTGGGGGAGTATTCGAACTGCTTCAATCGAGCTTTGAAGGCAGCTGTAGACGGTCAGCTTGAAGTCGTTAAACATGTCGTAAAGGTCACACCTTGATCCGCCGCTGGCAATGTAACTTCCGACGACACGGTGTCTTCTTCGAGCCTGTGAGTATCTCCATCTCCATCTCCATCTCGAATGACAGTTAGATCACCCATTGCTGCCAAAGAGGAGACCTGAAATGCCGAAATGTCTAGTGACGGGATTGCGAAGCCGCATGGTTTGTCGGAGAGGGGCGACCACCTCACACTTTCATATTAGAATTAGCAAGTCAATTACGAGCCACTTCATGTCGCTGAATCTGGCCGTCTGTATCGAACCCACCACCGAAGTCGGTAGAGTATCTACTGTGCGGGTACAACGACACAGGAAAGTGGAAGACGGAGCCAAACATCGAGAGATGTGCCTGGACTTGCCCCGCATTGGGAAGAGATTCCTGCCGCTCTATGCTCGCGCAGCAAACTGGGAAGAAGGCCAACAAACCCGCTCACCGATTGTTATAATGTACTTTATTCGACTGTATCTCCTAGGTATGAAGTTGCATTCAATTGTCAGTGACTGGAAGGCAGATAGGTACCTACATCAAGGAAAGAGAGGTGCGACTGCTGCAAGGGCAACTGACTAATTAATTGTTGGTGTTAGAGCGGCAAGCTTGCGCCGCACACAGGGGGAGCCTTGTCAGCCTCCTAAGCCTTGCAGCCTTACACGGATTGAAACCAAGGCATAGGCACGAACAATCCATCTCTCATGGAAACCACCGGCTGCAGCTGGATGAGTTTAACCATGAAGAGGCACTTTTAATATGTAAGCAACAGAAAGAAGCATCTATTCACACAGCCAGCTCGTCGCAACATTGCTGTTGAGTGCGCCCACCTGACTTGAAAGTTGGACATGACAGTGATAAGTTCACTCGTAGTCAGTACCTATGCTTCATTCACTTCGTATCACTCACCGCCCACGTGCTAGTGACACTGCCAGATTCGGCAGGCCTCCTTCACGTGTACAAGGTATATATATAATCTGCGCTCTTTCACACTTGCTCGCCTGCGCTGTGCTCCAAAACAACCACCTGCGCAGCTCAGGCCAACTTAGCTCAGTCCCGTCGCTATCACCACCGTCCTACTTCCCTTGCTACGATTCTGGCATCAAAAAAGCGTAAAGATGCTCTTTCATGCCATCGTCTCTTCTGTTCTCTTCCTTTTTCAGCTCCATCTTGGACTGAAGCCGTCTGTGGCCAACGCCAAATGCTGCCGCGCTTCCAGTGAAAACGTCTGCTGGGACGGGTCCGATCCTACCCCCTGCTGCGGCTACGGAAAGTGCAATGGTTTCTGCTGTGCCTGTCCAGGAGGTAAGTCATTGTCACTGTCCCTTTTGCTGAAAGATCGGTCATTGTCCCTCCACAAGCTGCCCTCATCTTCGTTGCGTTTCTGGTTCTTCTGAAAAGTCCAGTCAGATCTAACACTGGCACCGCTTCTAGTCCAAATCATTCGAGAACAGTTCGTGAAAGAAGATTACTGGACCTCGACCTCTGTCATGACAGCACCTCCTGGCACCACATAGACATGCCGCGTCAGTCACATCACGTCCTCGGATCTGAAACACACTAAGCGTGATGTTCCTACGACCACTCCATCTGTCCTCGGCCTCGCGGATCATGACAGTCAGAATCTAACTGTGCCAGCGCCAGAGCCAGCAACAGCAGTCTCCGTCGCCAGCGAACAATCACAGACCCAGTCCCAGAGCATGGTCACCCTGGTCCCAGTCCCAGCCACATTGCCAATTCTCTACACTCGCGAACTCCTGGCCGAAATGGAGCACATGTTCAACGACCTCAGCAATGGAACGCAAGCCAACAGCACGAATGTTGTCACGCTGGACCAGTACCTAGCCTTCTTCAAGGTTACCGAACCGTCAGACTCGGACCAGGGCAACCAATACGCACAGAGAGTCACAGACAAGTTTCACATGCACGATAGGGATGGGGATGGAGTCGTGACCTTTGGCGAGATGATGATGCACTGTGATGAGAGTGGCTGTGAGTGAGACATCAACACCACTACGGCCTCGGTCTTCACAAAGAACAAAGAGCTTTTCTCCAGGACGAGAAAACAGAACGGAGTGATTAGAACTGTGTGCCGGTTGGGGAGTCTTAGACCTACTTCATGAACGTTAGCAAGTCGAGCAGCGAGGGTCGGAAGTCCGGGTATTGCGGATCCTACTTCTGATGATCGCCGACTTCGACTCCGACTCCGTAAGACACAAGGCATCGCATCGGTCGAGTAGACAATTATATTAGAGCAGAGATTGACTGGCGTGAGGCAGTGTTCCATGAATACCAACAAAGTCATGCACGCGGTCTCTTTCCAATCTTTCCGAGTACGCAGAGTAAGTGTCCTTTGTCAGACTTAGGCACTAACTCTAGGCATTCCCAGCCATGCCTTTAGCCAGAAGGCTGGCTTAGGCATACGATACACTATAAAGCCTAACTATATAGCCTGCGCTCCCCCATACCCCTTTGATAGAGAACATGGAACATTTCAACCTTGGACATCCTTACAGTCAAGAACCTTTCCTCGGCTCCTTGACCCTTGAATACTGATAAGTGGTCAACAGATATCTATTGAGTACAGTAATGGGCTTTGCATTTCCTCGAGTCCTTCCTATCTTTCTTGTCAGGAGGAGTACATGTCACGAGACTTATGGTAACGATGGATGGCTTTTTTTAACCTATTGATGTCCTTCTATGTATATATACCGCCTTAAGCGTGTCGACGTCAGGTCTATATTGACATCACCATCGCCATCGTTATCGCCGTCGCCATTGCCATTGTCGTCGCCCCCTCGTCAGTCTTCGCCAATTGTCCAAGGTAACGGGGTCGCGATATACATTGTGCGAAAGGCCTCGACAAAAGCAAACTGGTGGTCGTGGAGGACGGAGCCGTTCTTAAAGGTGAGAGTGGACTCTGCATCGGCGATGACCTGGGTGGTGATGATCAAGCCACCCTTCCGGACCCAGTAGTAATAGAGGCGACCGAAGCCGGTGACCTGCGACTCCAACAAGCCGAGGTCGGTGGCGATGGACACGCGCCAGGCGGTGCCGACGAGCTGATGGGACTTCGGATCGAGCCACTCGTCGGTCTGCGAGCGCGTGACGTTGGGGTTGTTGGCGCCGGAGGTGACATAGGTGCGGTTCCCGATGGTGAGCATGCCACTCGCGTAGGAGCCCAGGTCGGCGTCGAAGGACCAGAAGCTGAAGTGGCGGCCCCAGGCGTGCAGCCAGTAGGCGCCGTTGCCCCAGGCGTTCTGGATGCGCGAGGCCACGGTGCGGGCCTGGATTATGCGCTCGTGCACGGCGTAGGCCTGGTCCAGCGTCGTGGTGGTGCCGTTGTACGCGATGGTGCCGGTCGCGGTCGCGTGGATGATGCCGCCCGCGATGCCTGAGCAGTTGTAGTTGGTCGCCGTGGTGTTGGCCGCGCAGCCGGCCAGGTTGGCGAACGAGCCGGCGTGCAGGAACTCGTCGGCCACGCTGGTCATGGTTATGTCGACCGTCACCCCGGCGTGCGTGCCGTAGGCGCGCCATGTCTGGGTGTCGCCGTCGTACGATAGCGTCGTGTTGGCTATCGAATACGCCACGGTCGAGGCGTTGCCCGTCGACTGCAGCGTCCCCACGTCGTAGTAGTCCTCGATGTTCTGGCCCGTGTTGACGAACGGTGTGTCGTGCATTTGCTGTCGCTCGCCCTCGTCCGCCGAGAAGTGTCCGTGGATGAAGGCGATCTGGTACACGTCCGCGTCGAGGATCACTTCCTCCGACCCCGTCTGTCGGTACATGAACATCCACAACGAGAAGTCTTGCCCGTCGCTCGTGTTGCCGCGGATCACGAACCCGTAGTCGTTGAATAGGGGGTGATACTGCGAGTAGTTGTCCGGCACGAGCGGTCCTTCCGTGTCCAGTTGCAGCGGTCCGACTTCGTTGCCGAAGACTGCCGCTTGTTGGCCAGACACGGCCCAGAGCAAGGAGAAGGCCTCGATGAGATAGAGAAATTGATAGAGTATTGGATACCGCATGGTGATCGACTACTGGTCAATGGTCAATGGTCAATAGTCAATGGTATGTATGGACTCAGGGACTGTGTGGTGGCTATGTGCCACCTATCAGCTGTCAATGGTGTAGTATAGTACAGCACAGTATACCTATCAGTCTGTCAATGGTCAACGGTGTAATAAGTACAGTACAGCCCAGTATAGTATATTACCTGCCACTTCTAGTAGTATGTAGTACGGGGCGTTGACCTCCACAGTCCAGGAGGAAGGAGAAACACCCAGATTGGACTGGAGACTCGCGGCGATATTTGTAGTCATCCATCCTACTGTATGTGTGATGTAGGATGTGGGTTGTGGGTTGTGGGATGTATCGTGATTGAACCTGGAACAGCCACCTACCTACCTACCTACCAACCTACCGACAGTATCCAGGTACGGTATGCCTGCATCAGATCAACCCCAGAGTATCCAGCGCCATTCCGCAAAGTCTGCGGTGCCCTAGCCCCGTCGTGGAGGTCCGGTCCGGATGGTCTCTGAGTGGGAGTGGTACAGTATTGCCTTGCTGGTTGGTCCTGTACAATAATGCGGGGCCCCGGAATGTTGGGAATCTAGTCCTGTCACATACCCGGTACGTCTGTACCTATGTACATGTGTACATAGCCTGTGCCAGGTAGCATGGCCACAGACTGACTGACTGGCCGACCTCGACCTTAACCTTGATCGTGAATAGGAACAGCAAATCCGCTCGAATGTGAATATGTTGTGATTGCAGTCTCAGGAGGCTGTGGTCCATCCTCGTCGGAGCCTCGCCAGGAACAGGGACAGGAACAATCTGACTGGACTGCCCTTGCCTTGTGTTGCATCATGCATCTGACATCTGAGATCCCCCTCCATGGCCACGGAACACAAGCTGCAGGCTAATTAGGCCTTACTGTTACGAGAATATGAGTCCTCTTCCTCCGTATCGTATGTGCTTGCTTTCCGAATTCCGGATTTCGGATTTTCATCCAGCTGACTTGACTGCCCGAGCCCGGCTTCCCAAAGAAACCACTGTATTGTATATTGTATGGTAGACCTACAATAACGAATAACTGGTGTTACATTCCGCCTGTCTCTTGGACCGTCGATCTGTCTCGATCATGTCTGAAGAAAGTTGCTGAGACAATCTTTCCATCATTTCATCATTCCATCATTCTCGTAAATCATTCTCGTAAGTAGTGGCAGAGTCGTGTCTCTCACTCTCTCTCTGTCTGTCTGTGTGTGTGTGTGTGTGCTGTCTTCTTCTGATGCTCTAAGCCAGGATCTGTTCCCCCCCCGCCATCAATCGTCCTAGAAAGAGAGTCCAATGGCCACTATATCACAGGATACAGTAATGCCTCAGATGGTACTCCAGCCATGATCGACCGGGATCACAGCGCCACTGATCTCCTCGCTGAGATCCGACAGGAGAAAGAGCAGCACGTTGGCCTGCTGCTGGGCGGTGGACATGGTCATGCCGGAGGGGCCATTCAAGTGCAGGTCGTGAACGGGCTTGATGGTGGCCGAGGCTTCCTGGTCCATGTCCATGCGGTCCCAGTGGCTTGATTTCATGATGTTGGTCTCGACGCCGCCGGGACACGTCGCATTGCACCGAACGTGGTCGTGTCGAAAGCGCCAGGCGACATTCTTGGTGGCACCGACCTGCAGCACCGAAGGGATCAGCCTCAGCTCAGTTCAGCTTAGCTCAGCTCAGCTCAGTCCGGCCCGGCCGCAATTAAGGCAAGGGAGGCAAGGGAGGCAAGGAAGGCAAGGCAAGGCAAGGCAAGGTAAGATAAGGCAAGGCACACTGAACAGTACAACTTCTTAGGAGTTGGGAAGTAGGTTGGAAATGGATTGACCCCTTCAGACCTACTTACCAGTCCATGTTTGGTGGCCGTGTATGCCACCCCGGCGATGGCGCCGCTGGTGCCGGCTTTGCTGGAGACATTCACAATACTGCCTCCGCCACCCTGGACCATGACCGGCACCACTTCCCTCATCAGTTTGACCGGCGCCGTCAGGTTAACCGCGACGATCTTGTCCCAGTCCCGATCTCGCAGCGTGTCGACGCTACTGTTGTTGTCCATCATGCCGGCGATATTGAGCAATCCGTGGATCTTCCCGCCAAACGCCCCCACACAGCCTTGGACTACCTTCTTGGGCGTGCTGGTCTCCGTCAGGTCACATTGCAGGAAGCGAAGGTTCTCACCCCGGCCCCGGGCCAGGTTGAGGTTGGCTGGGTTTGGGCCCGACGCCAGGTCGCAGCCAAACACTTTGGCTCCGGCGCTGAGGAGCAGCCTCGTCGATGCTAGGCCAATGCCCGAGGCCGCTCCTGTCACGATCACGACCTTGGGGGTAGAAGACGGTCAACATGATACTCCTTGATGTGTCGAAAGGGAAGGGGAAAGTAAAGGGAAACGGGAAGGGAAGGGGAAAGGGAGTGTAAGATGCGATGGGGGATGAGGGATGAGGGATGAGGGATGGGGGATGAGGCATGAGGATGAGGCATGAGGATGAGGCATGAGGATGAGGCATGAGGATGAGGCATGAGGATGAGGCATGAGGATGAGGCATGAGGATGAGGCATGAGGGATGCCATCGAATCTTCCAGCCAGGGAGGGCTTGCTCACCTTTCCAGCGAGATCGGCAATCATCCTGTATCGGCAGGTGCAGGTCCAGGCCAGACCAGAGGTATGCAGTCAATCCGAGCAGCGCCGCTGAGAGGTATATGGTATATGGTATGTCAAGCGACGAGCAGTAGCTATTCAGACTGGATGGCCTGTGTTGTGGAACAGCATCTACATGACATATCTGTCAATCATCTATAGTCTATCAATTAGAAGTCTGATCACCTCTTTATCTTTGAGATACGCCTCCGCGTATGCACACGTGGTATGATCCAGAAGGGTTTGGATTAGCGGGGATGGCGGATGATCCAAAAGGGTGTGGATTGGCGGGGAAGGCATTGCATTGCCTTGCATTACCTTACTTTACCTTGCAGTGGCACGGGGGTGTCATAATTCTCCGGACAGTTATATCGAATTTAGCAGACAACGGAGATACTTTTTATAACTACGCTACAACTACTCGGTTTATAAGGAACGCTCTTAGTATAGTATAATAGTATACTAGACGAATTAGTAACTAAAATTTTATTACTATAGATTAATTTTTAGAAGCGTGGTGTTGAAGAGAAGAATAGTTTAGCGATAAAATCTTAGTCTGACTGGCCTATATCTGCTTACTTAGACGGAATTTGCTGTCCGGTGAATTCTGGCACCCACTGGTGGTGGGATGGCTTCTTAGAGTTCAGTACGTACAGTATCTCCATCTGCCCGGGGCTAACAGTAAGAGGCATAGGACCCCGCGGAGACTCCGAGTAACCTATTATTAGATAGAAGCTGGAGGCGGAGGCGGAGGCGGAATGCGACCGGAAACCGGGGCGCATTTCCGGGGTACACGAACAGACAACACACACGTCTAGTAGTGGTGGGTTGAGCCTCAGTTAAGGAGAGCATGTCGAATACTATATACGATACAGTCAGTATAGTCGAATACTATATCCTATATAGTTAATATGGTCGAATACTATATAGTATACGGTCAGTATATTCGGGGGAGTGGAGGACGGATACCTCCTGGTAATGTGTCCACGAGAGAAGCGTCTATGTACTGTATGTACTGTAGGAGCCCACCGCCACCGCCACGGGCCAGCGGGGATGAATGAAATGAAGAAGGTGATTGCGCGCCTGTACAGTATTGTATCATGTTGACCGCCATCCTATATCCTATCTCCTATCTCCTATGTTGTATATCCTATCCTCCAGGCAACCTATCAACTCTCGGGCTGTTCGGTGCCGGCCTGTTCTTGGTCTTTGGCTACACACTGCAATGACCTATGACCAGCCCAGATCAGAAATACCCTCCGTCCACATTAACCACCTAGAAAAGGAACAAAAAAAGCCTATCAGTAGCTAATACTTATGGGCAAAAAACAAAAGCAAAAACAACCCCCAAACTCGAGACCAGACTGACTTACCGAACCGGTCATGAAGCTGGCTTGATCACTCAGCAGAAACACCACCACTCGCGCCACCTCTTCGGGCTGGCCGACCCGGCCCAGCGCGGTGGTTTCTAAGAAGGCATCTCTTCCTTTCGACGGCGGGACCAGATTGGTTTCGACCACGCCTCTGGTGACATGTCAGCAGATATAAGGAAGCAGGAGAGTTTTAAGAAGATATATGGAAGCAGGAGAGTTTTCAGCAGATATAATGGGCATCCAGGATAGATATAGGTATACAGTATACAGCATACAGCATACACGAATGAATGCAACCCCACTCCCACACTGCATACTGCATACTGCACATTGAAGTGAAAGGAAAGCAAAGAAGAGAAGAGAAGAGAAAAGAAAAGAAAAGAAAAGAAAAGAAAAGAAAGGCGTTTGAAACTCACGGGGCCACGGCATTCACTCGAATGGCTTTCCTCCCACATTCCCGCGCGGCCGACTTGGTCAGGCCAATGACCCCCCATTTACTCACCACGTAAGGGGAGGCGTTGGCCGGACCATACTGGCCGGCGGTGCTCGCGGCATTCACAATCGACCCGGGCCCTGGCATCAGCCGGAGCTGGGCTCGCACACAGTTCTTGACCCCGTCCAGATTGGTGTTCATGATGGTGTCCCAGTCGTCGTCGTCAAGCCCGGTCAGCGGGAAATTCGCCGGTTTCGTCTTGCGGGTGCCTGCGATGCCGGCCATGTTTGCGGCGCCTGCCGGCCTCGAAGGAAGAGGAAGAGGAGGTCAGTGATAGTGGTGGTGATAGTGGTGGGGACGAGGACGAGGAAGCAAGACTGAATAGAGAAAGAAACAGAAATAGACACACAGGATACACACCATCCAGACGTCCAAACTCTTCCACCACCTTACGATGAGCCTCGTCCACCGCCTCGGCCGACTGCACATTACACGCCAGCGGGAGACAACGCCCGACTCCTTCTCCTTCCCTTCGAATCAGCTCCGCCATTTCGTCCGGCGCGTTCAAGTCCAGCGCGCCCACATGGGCTCCCTGCTGTGCGAGCAGGACGGCGGTAGCTCGACCCATGCCTGACGCCGCGCCGGTCACGACAAAGACTTTTCCACGGAGGTCATGGAAGGTTGCCATTGCCCTCTGGGGGCTGTCTTTTGGGTTGCTGTTGCTTGGGTTGCTGTATCTGGTGACTGGTGTCCTGACCTGAGCGAGTGAGTCCGGGCGAGGAGAATAGAATCTGAGTTTGAGTCTGGGTCTGCCTCTGCGTCTGTTTGGCCAACAAGAGTACAACACCAATATACTGTATACCGTAACTGTAGGCGCAAGACGGTGGGCTCGATACCCCCTCTGATGTGATCAGCGCTACCGTCAGCACACACGCACACATTCGTCCCTGCTGCCAAGATGGACATAAGACCTCGGGGTGAGTGGAGGATTCTCTTGAATGCACATCAATGTCAGCAAGGCCGGAACCCATTGATGTTTGGACGCTCTCCGCTGGGAAAGACGGAGGGGTTGGCCTTTCTTTCCGAGTCCCGACCATCTGAGATGTGAAGGTACAAATTACAAATTACATAGAACTCGTACTAGGATCCGTACAACAAACACATACGCTGCCCATGGAGCCTTAGGCCCCATGCTGGTCAAAAAGCCACGGGGATGCCACTACACGGTCAAGGTCACCAAACAACAATAACAATACCAAACTCACTGTCAGGTCGCCTCTCCAGCCCTTCGCTTCGCTCTGCCTGCCATACATCCATACATACATACATACATACTGTATACTGGACCCATGAGTGCCATGGGCGTGAACCTTGCCGTTGCTGTTGCTGCCGTCGCTGGCCTGGTCTCGCACCAGATCTTCCGCAAGCATGAACCCACCATCAGGTCAGTGTCCAGTTCACTCTGTCAAGCATAAATGAGATGCTGGGGTGTGAGGATCGAGGAGTAGAGGCTGACAGTTGTTTCGTGTGTTGTGTATAGAGGCTTCTTCGCCCATGTCTTGCTTGTCAACTTGGTGGTGGCCTTTGGCGGCAGGATCCTGAGCCACGGCCACCAGCATGCCGGTCCGGCTCTGTACGCTTGGAACCTCAACCTCGGCGCCTACTTGGGAAGCCTCGTGTCAGTATTACCAGTAATAGCTCCTAACACCTCCCTTTGGCCCCCCTTCGGCCCCCCTTCCGCCTCAGCCTCAGCCTCACCCAAGTCCAATCCTAATTTATGCCTGCATGATTGATTAGTGCCAGCCTGGTGGTGTACCGGTTATTCTTCCATCCTCTTCAACGATACCCAGGCCCCTGGCTGTGCAAGATCACCAGGTTTGTTGCCTCGTGGCACGTCATCACGCAAGATTCGCACCGATGGATGATGAAGCTGCATGAAAAGGTGAGTGTGCGTCTGAGTCAGTCAGTCGGTGGCCCCCTTCCCTTTTATCATGAGACACCATCGACATCGACATCGACATCGACATCGAGGTGGGAAATGACAGGGGCAGTATGACAAGGCTGACTGACTATCACCCCCCACTCAGTACGGAGACGTGGTCCGAGTATCCCCCAACGAGCTATCGTACATCAACGTGTCTGTGGTCGAGTCCATCCACGGAGCCAAGGCGGGCAAGCTGGCGCGCGGACCCTTCTACGCAGGCGATCCCAACCGGCCGGCCGACTCGATGCTGTCGACGCGAGATCTGGTTGAGCACCGGTGGCGGCGGAAAGGCTGGGAGCGCGGCTTCGGCACCGTGCAGTTGCGGGAATTCGAGCCTCGCGTGGTGCGCCACCTGGACACTCTGGTGCGGCAGTTCCAGGCCATGGCCATCTGCGATAGTACAGGCTCAGGCTCAAACTCAAACTCAAACTCCGGCCTGGTCGACATGACAGCCTGGGCCGAATATTTCGCCTACGACGTCATGTCGGACCTGGCCTTCAGCGAGGACTTTGGCATGCTGGAACAAGGCCGACCCAGCCGCTACATCGGCTCGCTGCACGGGGCGACGCGCGTGCTGACCATTGCCGCGCAAACCCCGTGGATTCGGCCGTTGATGAACTACATCCTCCTGCTCGACCCTCGGGCCAAACAGTGCGGGCTCGACTTCGCCCGCATCTCCAAGGAGACTCTGGACAGGAGGCAGGCCAAGGCGCAGATCCTGGCCAAGGGCGAGGCCAAGGCTGACATGTTTGCCTACATCTCCGCCCCGGGAGAAGGCCCTCGGGCCCTGACCCAGGCGGAACTGACGGCAGATGCTGCATGTAAGTAAAGAACTGTACTGTTTTTGTACTATCTTGTCCTGTCCTATTGTGTTTTGTTTTGTACTATCCGTCTACACCGTCACTCTCACTCTCACCATCATTCTCACTCTCCTTCTCCTCACCCTATGCCGGTGTCAAATACAGAGGGTTTCACTGACTACTGACTAACCATTGGCGATAATACCACACACAGTGTTGATCGCCGCTGGGGCCGTGTCCACCGCGCTGGCCATCACCTTCATCTTCTATTATCTCTGCCAGGACCGCGGCAAGTATGAGCGGCTGCAAGCCGAGATTGACGGCTGTTGGGACGGCAAAACAGCCCTCGAGGTGTCACAGTTAGGTAGGTACTGTAATACGTATTTCTACCACAGCAGTACCAGTACCAGTGCCTGTCCAGTCCCAGTCCAGTCCCAAAACTGCTCCGAAATGCCAACTTTTATACTAACACCGCTCCAGCCACTCACGCCGCCCCCTACCTGGAGGGCTGCATCAACGAAGCTCTTCGACTGTGGCCGCCGGCGCCGAACGGCATGCAACGGCGGACGCCTGCGGAAGGGATCATGATCGGCGACGCCTTTGTGCCTCCGGAGACCCAGATTTCGGTGCACACCATGGCCATCCAGCGCGACGGCCGCTGGTTCTCGCGGCCGGACGAGTTTCTGCCTGAGCGGTGGATTGAGAGCGAGCGGGAGGGGGCGTTGGGCGGCGAAGGCAACAGCGAGAACAAGGAGGAGAATGAGAACGAGAACAAAAAATTCAACCACCATCCTCGAGCCTTCATCCCCTTCACCATCGGCCAATTCGCATGTTTGGGCAAGACCCTAGCCTACCAGGAGTTGAAGCTGTTCATGGCCAAGGTGGTGCGCAATTTCGACTTTGAGTTCGCCCCGGGGTTCGATGCAAAGGCGTTTGAGAGGGACGTCAAGTTCAAGGGAACCCTGCTGATCGGTCCGATGATGTTGAAGCTGAAGGAACGATCATAGTTCTGGGTAGGCTACACTAGGATTGATCATATAGTACTGGGTAGGCTAGGAACGATCATACAGTACTCGTACGAGGTAGGCCAGACTAGGCTGGGGAACTGGGTTGAAATGAATTGATTGGAATTGAGTTGACTGGAGAACTGAGTTGAATGGATTAGAATTGAATTGAATTGACTGGACTGGACTGGGTTAGGGTTAGGGTTAAGACAGTGATTTGAGGCCTCCTTCGGAACGTTCCTGATCCACGCCATGCCATACTACACTGTACAGTAGACGTCAATCATTCAATCAGTCAATCAACTAACCACCTGAGTCTGTTTCTGTAGGATGGAGATGAGGTGCCGGACAAAGCACCTGAGTTTGGTTCTGTAAAATGGAGATGGAGTGCCGGACAAGCACCCCGAGCAGACCAGTGCAGCCATGTCCGGGGAACGGTATTAACGGTGTACCTGGCATGGCCGGGCCGGATTACTATACGTACTGTACTGTATACGACACGGGGTCGGCTTAGGCCTAGGCACCGGCGTTACAATTACAGTTACAGTTACAGTAAGTAAGTTAGGTACTTGACCAACGTTCCGGGATTCCGAAGGTTACTCTAAGGTCTGAGGCTAAGGCTATAGTACTAGTAGTATTATCTGTCTACCCATTTCACATTCCGTAACCAATGACCAACGTGTTGGCTATGAAGATGTTGGTCACAAATAAATACCAATGACTACCTAGTATACAGGAATGAATGGTTGGATGGATGGATGGATTCCCTACCTCCCCTCCCCATCCCCCTCCCCTCCCTATCCCCATTCCCCCCCGTGTTTTGTTTAGTCTGTGAATCGACTCCCAGGTGTCTCTCTTCACAATGTCTTTCGGTACCAGTGGGGCATCACAGCTGAACAAAGTAGGCGAGGTGAATGGTGCTGGCCTGGCGGGCAGTAATGCCAATGCCAATGCCGTCTTGCCACCCGGGGAACAGGAGGCCGTCACAGTCCCAGACTCGAGCATTTTCTCCAATGGACATGGACATGTCGCCTTGAACGAGGACGGGAACGGAAACGAGAACGACCATATTAACAGGCGGGTGGGAGTGGAGGTCAGTGGCAGCAGTAACACACACACCAACACCAACAGCAAGAACGATACCAATACCGATGGTCATGGTCATGGTAATAGTAATGGAGGAGACCATCCACCCTTAGAAAACCTCGTGGCCGAAGCCATCAGCACCGCCTCTCTCAACGCGTTGAGACTCGCGCTCTACCAGGCCACAGGCGACCCGGAACTGGGCAGGATGAAGGTGTCCAAGCAAGCCATCCGTGGCGGTGCTATGCAGGATTATGTGTTGTCTGAAGAAGATTCGGAGACGGTGAGGGCCAAAGCCCGAGACTTCTTGCTGCATGGCGACGGCGGGAAGCAGGCACCACCGCCACCACCGTCAAAAGAGCAAGCCGAGAAGCTGATGGAGACATTCACCGGACATGCCTTGAACCAGGCGGAGAAAGATCTCGGGTACGAAGAGCTGGCCTTCACCGACTTCCCGCGCGAACTGCACTGGGACGAGGGCAAACGGCCGTCAGCAGAGACGCTGAGCAAGTACCGGGTGGCCATCATCGGGGCGGGCATCTGTGGCATCTCGGCCGCGATCCACCTGCAGAGACTGGGGATCCCTTATATCGGGATCGAGCGCCAGGCCGGTTTCGGCGGCACCTGGCTCCTAAACACGTACCCGCAGGCCCGGGTCGACACGCTGGGCTTTCTGTTCCAGTACAAGTTCATGCGAGGCTACCGATGGGACGAGAATTTCCCGTCCGGGCCCGCCCTGCTCTCATATCTCCAGAAGACGGCGGCCGACTACCGGCTGAAGGAGCAGTTTGTGTTTGGTCGACAAGTGATCGGCGCCACCTGGGACGAGGCTACGGGGACCTGGGTGCTCGAGCTGGAGAAGGTGCAACAGCAGCAACAGCAGCAGGAGCAGGATGGAAGTGTGGTCGAGCAAGTCCGAGTCAACGCCATCATCAGCGCATCAGGGCTCTTCAACCAGCCGTGCCTGCCAGACATCCCCGGCATCGACGAGTTCCAGGGCCAGATATGCCACACCACGACCTGGGACGACTCGTACCACTGGCGAGGGAAGAAGGTGGCGCTGATCGGCAACGGGTCGAGCGGCGCACAGTTGATGCCGGAGCTGGCGCGCGGAGCGGCCCAGCTGACGGTATACCAACGCACGCCGCAGTGGATGGCCGGGTTCGACGGCTACCGCGACCGCATCCCCGAGTCGACGCACTGGCTGATGGACCGGCTGCCCTTCTACCGCGAGTGGTTCGGCTACACGTGCTTCATGCGCGGCATGCAGCTGCCGCCGCTGCAGGTGTACGACCGCGACTGGCAGGCCCGGGGCGGCCTGGTCAACGAACGCAACGACCGGATGCGCCGCGGCCTGGTCGAGTATATCCGCACCAAGGTAAAGGGCGACGCCGACCTCGTGCGCAAGCTCACACCGGACTATGCCCCGTTGGTGAGACGGCTGGTGGTCGACAACGGCTTCTACGACGCTCTCTTGCGGCCCAACGTCGAGTTGGAGACCAACCCGATCGTGACCTTTACCCGCGACGGCATCACCACCGTCACCACCGCCGTCACCACCGCCGCCAACGAGACCAGGCCCACAGCCACGCCCACAATGACTCCAACAACCACAACTACCCGCACCCGCAACTTCGACCTAGTCGTGCTCGCCTGTGGCTTCAAACCCACCGAGTATCTATGGCCGATCCAGTTCCGCGGCCGTGCCGGCGTCACCCTCGACCAGACCTGGGCCAAGGACGGCGCGCGCTCATACCTGGGCCTAGTCATGCCCGGCTACCCCAACCTCTGGTGTCTGTACGGGCCGAACCACCAGCCCAGAGGCGGGCCGAGCATTCACTCGTTCGCCGAGATCTGGGGCCGCTACGCCCTGTCCTCCATCAAGTATATGCTGCAGAACGACATCCGCTCGTTGGCCGTCAAGCAGCACGTCTACGACGAGTATAACGCCCGTCTCGACGCGGCCATGGCCAACATCATCTGGGAGGCCGAGGGGAGGGGGTACTTTGTTAATCGGTTCGGCCGCCAGGCTGTCAATATGCCGTGGACGAGTGACCAGTATTACGACATGGTCAAGGAGGTCAACTTTGCCGATTTCGACGCCCGATAGACCTACAGGAGTCAGGGGTACTGTACGGAGTACCGCTTACGGAGTATAGCCTTACGGAGTAGCCTCACGAAGCACAGTCTTCCGAAGTACAGCCTGCCTGGGACTGGGGAGAGTGTGTTGGGTTGGCAGACTGACCTACAATAGAGATTTGAATATGTATATATGTATATATACACATATAGGTCCTTATACACATATACAGTCGGCCTCTACAAGAGATTGAAATATACATTCGGCACCAGCACCGTGGCCTGTTTTCCAGGCAGAGAGTCCTCGGAGCAGACGTCCATGTCATCTCATCTCAGGGTATCTCAGGACATCTCAGCTCATCTCAGACCGTGTATAGAGTTGACGATGTATGTGATATAGCAAGCGTTGTACTGTCTCTACAGTAGTATCTATATAGGAACAAGAAGAAGAAGAATTAACTGCCCGTGCCTGGCCCGTGTTGTCTGGTGGCATTCTTCAGCTTTGACTAGAACTGGTACATATACATGCAGGTACTGTATCTCCAGAGCCTATGCGATGTATACATCCTGTAGGTAGGACACAGGTAGGTGGGTGGGTGTCAGTCAGTCAGGCAGCTCCGGCTCGGGTCCCGGTCCGGGTCCTCAGGCTACCTTACAGCAAGTACCTAAGGATGTGAACTTACTAACTATATAGTACTGCCCCCTGACCTAGGCAGCCTTCTGGAGTGTAGCGTACTGTAGTATACCTACCTAGCCCTGACCTGGTCAGGGTCGCCTGCTGTAATGTAACATAGTTTGGTATACCTACCCCTGACCTAGCCAGCCTGGTGTAATGTTGTAGTATAATCCCTGGCCTGGTTAGGCTCGGTCTTCTGTAAATATCATACTACTGTAACCCCTATCCTGACCCTGCCAGACTCAGAATGAGTGAGGAGGCTAAGGCCACAGAAGCCAGGAGACCGTCTTGAGAGAGATCCAAACTGTTGGAAAAGTCAAATTGTTACAGGAGCCTGAGCCGGAAGAGAAGATGGGGTTTTGTCAGAGATGCAGTGTGGAAATAGGTTTCGGCTTGTCGTAGGCTGTAGGCTGAGGGGCCTGGTCGACCTGGTACTGCAGTTGCAGGTTTGACGTACAGCACACTAGACTGGGGCTCGAAGCTACATAGCTAGACCTGAGCTGGGTTTCATTCAAGGTTGTGTTTGTATCTTTATTTCCCGGCTCTTCTCTTCGCTGTCCCACTGTCTGTGTCTTGTCCGTCACAGAATATGTTCTGCCCACTGGGATTGTATGGATCAATATTGACTTGCTGGCCCAGACTATGAGGAGTTGTGTCAGTAGCGTCGACATGGGATTGGAACTAGTCCAGTCTCTGAAAGTTGGGATTGGGATTGGGATTGGGATTGCAGGCCGGAGATAGATCGATGTAGTGTATATAAACCGAACAATCCAACGGCGTCCTAGACAAGTGAAGGTCGAGCGATCCTCATGGAGACAGGTGCAACCCTCACAATATGAGGAGCTTGCCATGCCGGGTTTTTGGTCGAGGTCAGCTCGGTTTCGCCGTCGTGTCAAAGTCCAATACCACCTGGGCCGTCTTGGAGTTCAAGTGTTGTGGTTAACTGTGCTTGACTGTGGCTGTCGGTCGCTCTTGACGCACACAGGACGAAGGGTTGACCCTAACCCTACCCCTAACCCTCATCTGACGACCAATCCAAACTGCGGGAGATTTGCCGTTCTCGATCCGCCGTAACTGCCTCTGCATCCGGCTGCGACCCTCGACCTCATATGATATCATGGCATTGGCCAAGACGAAGACAGCCATACTCAATACGAGTACTTGCCGCGCCTCTGTCGGTATCCACAAGACGACATGGCCCAATCGTGAATCATGCCTGCAGACAGCTGAGATCATCATGGCCGGCTGTCACACCCCGCAAAGGGAGCGATCCCGGTGTCGAGAGAGGAGAGCATTTTCCCCGGCGACGAAGGGAGCCAACCACCTGCCTTCCAGCGAAGACGTTGCGCCGGATCGACTTCTCTAGGGGAGCTATCGAGTCTCGGCACCTGGTTGGACGTGCTGGGACTGCCGACCACAACCACGTTGATTGTGAGGGTTAGGTCAGGCTTAGGGTCAGGGCCAGGTCAGGGTCAGTCAGAAATCAAGTGCCGAGTCGGCACAGACCCCTTGCACCCCCCCTGCTGGGGCTTAGGTACTTGCATCGGTCCGGTTCCCAAAGACATCAAGACTTGGTCAGTGTGTTTCCTCCTCGTCAAGTTCCTGACTTCTGACAGGCGCGCCAAAGCCTTAGCTCATGGCCCTGGCTCCATCTCGATGCGGGGACCCCAGGCAAGCGAGTCACGCGTGGGTCATCCATCACCACCACGTCTGGGGGCTTGTCCGATGGTCTGAGAGCTGGAAGCTAGAAGCTGAAAGCAGACAACGGCTCTGCTTCACGGTACTCGGTCCAGTAGGCGAGACGGGGGCGCACACAGACAGTCACACAATGTATATATGCCGTCACTGCGCCTCGTTTGTCCATCCATGGGCATTTCTTGTCTTTCTTTCCCGTTGTTCCCTTTCCCAACGCACCGTCTATCTGTGGAATTGAGGAAGTCTAGTATCACCCAAGATGGAGATGAACTATGATGCGAAGGTAGGTGATTCGTTCCGTTCAATGCGCGAGGCTCGCGAGACCATCCCTGACAAGACTGTAACCGCGGGCTGGCTGACACTCTGTGTGCGGTGCAGGAGCTCCACCGACTCGAGGAGGAGCTCCATGTCGAGCTGCTTCCAGGGACCGAGATCATGGCGGATGTTGGGACGCACCATTTCGTCAAGAGCAGTGGCAAAGCCCACCGAGTCTTGGTTCCGCAACCGACGGACGACGCGCACGATCCTCTGAACTGGTCGGTGCCGTGGAAGATCGCCGCCATTGTGGCCGCCAGCTTCGCCACCTTCATGGAGGGCTTCGGCCCGCTGTCGCTGGCGCCCATGTTTGGCGACTACATCAAGGCCTTCAACTGCTCTCTGCCGGATGCGGTGCAGTTCACCGGGGTCGCCATCCTGGTGCTGGGGTTCAGCAATTTCATTTGGTAGGCACACAGTCGTACAGTCGCACAGTCCTCTCTTGCTGACTCGCACTCCAGGATCCCACTCAGTACCTCGTTCGGTCGGCGTCCCGTCTACATTTTCTCCCTCCTTGTCTGTCTGGGCTCGTCTATCTGGCGCGCCCGTGCTCAAACATATGGCAGCTTCATGGGGGCTTGTGTGTAAGTGACTGTGATCTGATGCGATCCTCTCCTCGGCGATGGCCATGTTGTTTTTGCCCTTTCTCACAGGATGTCCATCTTGTTTTGTGCTTTCTCGCAAGACCTCATAGTAACACATGTTTCCTGCAGTCTCAACGGAATCGGCGCCGGTCCGGCCGAAACGGTGCAGCCAGCCGTCATTGCCGACATCTTCTTCCTCCACGACCGCGGGAAATGGAACACGCTGTACTGGGTGGTGTACATGGGGTCGCTGATGATCTCGCCCATCATCGCCGGCGCCATGTCTTCGCACGTGGGCTGGCGAAACTTCTGGTGGCTCAACACGGCGATGCTGGGCCTGTCGCTCCTCATGATAGTCTTTATGTTTCCCGAGACCAAGTGGCATCGAGCCCATCCGACCGAACTGCGACACGCCGAGCTCCTGACGGACCAGAAAGCGACGGTGGAAACGAGGGAAAACACAAAGGGCGAGGGCGACGTCGAAGCGCCCGTGCCGTCCGACGACCTGGTGGCGGTGATTGCCCCCCACGCGCTCACGGCGGTCGAGACGGCGCAGCGAGACCCGTGGCTCGGCCGCGGCACGCCCAGCAAGACGCAATGGGGCCTGTACACGCCCAACCCGACGCCGATCAAGAGCATCCTGCTGGACCTGTGGATTCCGTGGAAGCTGTTCGCCTTCCCGATTGTCGAGTTCGCCAGCTTCGTGGTCAGCTGGAGCTGCTCGTCCTTCTTGACCCTGAACCTGACGCAGACCCAGGCGTTTGCGGCGCCCCCCTACAACTGGAGCAACCAGACCATCGGCTTCACCAACTTTGCCATTCTGGCCGGCGCCATGATCGGCCTCGCCACGGCCGGGCCGTTTTCAGACTGGGTGTCTGCCCGGGCCACGGCCAGAAACCGCGGCATCCGCGAACCCGAGATGCGGCTGGTCGCCATGATCCCCTACGTGCTCATCATGTACCTGGGCAACATCATTGTGAGCGTCGGCTACGAACACCAATGGCCGTGGCAGGCCATTGTGATCATCGGTTACACCTGCGCCGGCATCCAGGTCGCCGCGCTCCCGGGCATGGTCTCGACCTATGCCGTCGACAGCTACAAACCCGTCGCCGGCAGCCTGTTCGTCTCCATCACCGTCAACAAGAACGTCTGGGGCTACGGCTTCAGCAAGTTCATTACTGATTGGATCATCGCCGATGGCTACATCCCACCCATCATGACCAATGCCTCGTTGATTCTGCTGTGGTGTCTCTTCGCCATTCTGTTCTATTACAAGGGCAAGACCTTCAGGAGGTGGTCGAAGAACAGCTCCGTGCACAGCATGTAAGACTTGCTGCTGGCATGTAAGACATGCAGCAGAGTAGCAGGACATGATTGGGGATCGGACATCGGGCACATAACCTGTGTAACATTTGAATGCTGTACCGTGTCACACTTTATACATCCATACAATTATCCCCGTGAGTAAGACATGCTGCAGAGTAGCAAGACGTGATTGGGGATCGGGATCTCGTGAACATAACCTGTGTAACATTTGAACGCTGCACCGTGTCACAGTCCATGCATTATCCCGTGAGTGAGAGTGCGATGGCAATTGGACAGTAAATGGCTGCCACAGAACAAGAATCGGTGTAGCTCCGTCTCCGGCCTTTTTTGCATGTTATTAGAGTATCCCCCCCTATAACACCTACAGTTGCCACCAGTTGCTACTCCCTACTTCGTACTTCTACCTCTATACTACAGAATACGGAGGATGTGAGCCGCGTTACGCGCTACGCATTAGACGCGCCAAGGCCTCGACGCGTCTCGGAGTGTGACACGTTCGTTCGAAACTGGACTGACGTAATTCTGTTTGTCAAACAGACATCAGACATTGTTTGTGTTAAATAAAAACGCATTCGACTTCAGTCAACTACAGAGCGACGTTGCCGTCGACATTGACAATGGCTCCCATGGGTGCAAAACGAGCAAGACATTCCTTCTCACCTCCACGGCCGGGCAAGAACAAGACCAAAACCGTCCAAATGAGCAGCCTCGCCGGGCGGAAGAAGACCTCAAAAGGCGTAAGCAAGTCGGCCCAGAAACAAGCGCCCGGAAAGAAACAACGGCAACGGGGCACAGGAGGAACGATGCGGGCGATATTGAACGATGCAGATGAGGACGAGGACGAGGAGCAGGACCAAGAAGATACAGCTGTCTCGTACCGTAGGCGCTATGGCAGATATGACGACGACGAGGACGAGTCCGACGAAGAGGATGATGACGATGACGATGATGGACGAGGACAACAGGGCCAAGACGAGGATGAGGAAGACCAACCTGCCCCCCACCCAACCTCGTCACCAGAGCCCGAATTCATCCTGGCCGAAGTAGCGACCACGGCGCCCAGGATATCGAAATCGGTTTCCGGGCCATCAACCACGGCCATGCCCGCAGCGCTGATCCACCGCATCATGCACTCGCAATTCATGGCGCCGGACCAAACGAACATCTCGACCGACGCGCGTGCTTTGTTCGCCACGTACGTGGAGATCTTTGTGAAAGAGGCCATCAGGCGGTGTGTGGACGAGAAGAAGGACAGACAAGGAGTTGGTGAAGCTGCGGTGGACAGTGGTTGGCTAGAAGTCGAGGACCTGGAGAGAGTGGCGACGCAGTTGTGTTTGGATTTTTGACGGAAGCGAGCGGCAACTCTGCTCTGCATGACAGCAGCAGTGTTTGGATTTTTGATGGAAGCGAAGCGGCAACTGCTCTGCATGACATGACATGACAATACTGGTGATGCTGGTACGGTATGATGATGGAACAATACTGGTGATGCTAGTACGGCATGATGATGGGACAATACTAGTGATGCTAGTACGGTATGGATGATGGCCAAGGGTTCGAGCCACGGACGAATATGCCAGGAGAGTGAAACCTGTTCAGGGTTCGAGCCACGGACGGATATGCCAGGAGAGTGAACCCTTGTCCAAGATTGCTCGGCAGCAAAGGGAGGAGAATGGCCTAGGATTCTAATGATACACGCGTAGCAAGCCAAAGGGAGGAGAACGGCCTAGGATTAATGATACACGCCTAGGTAGCAAGGGCAAACGGTCGAGACAAGCCTTAAAATTACAACCCTGCACGCTCCCCTCCTCTCCAGCGATATCTCTGGTTTGTATCCGAACCTACCACAGCATCACTCCGGTACATAGTACAGTGTGGACTAGGCCTCTCCGATCTATTGCGACCACTAGGTGACCATGATGTCCTCGTCAACAGTGGCACCCCCCGAGCTACAGATCATATCGACGATTAATTAGAGTACAATCCAGTACCAGTACATTCTCACCCGAGGGGTGCCCATCAACAATCAACGCTCCTTTTGCTTTTCGGAGTACAGAATACAGGCAATACTCTAGATCAGAAACGATCTCGAGAAAAGATACTAGAGCGGGAACCCTAAGAGGAACATCTCGCTGCCTCTGTCTGACGGCCGCTTTGGGGTGAGTATACCCAACCCTGGGTGAGTGAGCCAACCTTGGGTGAGTATACCCAACCGTAGATGAGTGTATCCAGCCCTGGATGAGTATACCCAACCGTAGATGAGTATACCAAGCCCAGAGTGACTGACGACCTCTGGCGTACCTTTACACGAATATCCAGGATACACGCCGATACGAACTTTTGTTCTATGGATGTGCTGTACTGTATGTGTGGCTACATGAGGCATCTGGCCTAATTCGACAAGGCAAAGGAGGTCGTAGACCGAAGGAGGGGAGGGGAGGGGAGGATACCATCAGAGGAAAGGGCAGCGAGCCTTACTTACCTGGTAGTGCTGCCATCACAGCGGAAGACTGAAGGCCAAGGGCCCCGATCGAACGGACAGGCACAAAGCTACCAGTGCTAGTATCACTACCACTACCACTAGCACTGGTTGCTCTGCTCTGCTCTGCGGGAAGGGAGGACTGGTTTTGCAGCTGGTTTGGGGAGACAAACGAAAACGAGGATAGCACCACTACAGCTAGACTCAGAACCTGCAGTCAATCAACCTCCCTGGCGGATCTGGTCTGATATACATACATATCTACATGCAGGTACAGAAACAGGTACAGGTACAGGTGTAGAAACACCTATAGCTACACAAACAGATACATGGGCAGATACAGCTACAGTTACAGTTACAGATACAGATACAAACAGGAGCTGGGCTGATATTGCAGGTCTGTCTTTCCGTCTCTATAGGGGTACAGTACATTTCTGGGGATTCAGGCCTGACTCCGGCCTCCGTGCCATGTCATGGGTCAATAAGGTAGGTACAGTTTGTATGTATGTTTTGCACGGTCCCAGCCTGTCCTTCAAAATCCTCACTCAGTCGCAGTCGCAGTCTTGCGTCGAGGGGATATCGAGATGTGTCTCCACCACAAGGGAAAACAAAGCAGAACCTCGGTTCTGATATAAGACAACGAAAAAGAAAAAGAAAAAAAGATGGCCGCCATCCATTCCTGAACAGGCATCAAGCCACATAGATCCCCATCCCACACCCACCCCCACTCCCGCTACCAAGGCACAGGGCTCGTAGGTGAGATTGTGACCGTTCGCCCTTTGCATATCGCCCGAGCCGTCAATGGACCGAGACGCCTGAGAGCATCCACGGCGCAACCTCACCAAGGAGAGAGAGCAACCACCACACCTCTAGTGGCGAACCGATCCACTCCTGGTCGGTTGACGAGAGTGTCGAAGGAAGAGACGGAAGACCATTGCCGAGCGCCGTTTCAAACATGCTCCGTACTGCGAACCGCATCCCGCGTACCGACCCAACTGCGTCGTGGACCCCCAAACCTAGGTAGGCACACGTGGGCGCATAGATATGAGGAGCAAATTACCACAGAGCCAGAAGCGCGCCCAACACCAGGCCGGCCGCAGACGACGCATGGCGGACCGGCAAAGAGACAGCGGCTCCCGTGAATGTCGCGGGTGCTACGGCCGTCGTGCTCGTCGAGGGAGGTGCCACCGTCTCCACGGGCGGAGCCTGCACGGCTGAACTGGTGGCTGCACCCGAACCGAAGGTGAAGGTGTCCGTGGCCGCCGGCGGGGCTGGGGGCGGAGGTGGCGCGACAACGCTGCTCGTGGCCGGCGGTGGAGCGGTCACGTTAACTATAGGCAACTGCGCAGCGTTTGCGATGTACTTGTCGATGGTATTGGGCCCGCTGCTGTTCTGATTGATTACCATGGCCATACCCTTTTGGCAGTGGTTCGTCTGGCCGCAGTAGATCCAGATAGGTTTGGTGTCGTTGATCAGCACGTTAAAGACGGGCGTGAAGTCCTCCTTGCCCGTCACGGGCACGAAGCCGGATTTCAAGCCGGGACGGGTGGCCGAGGTCAGGTTTGCCGCGATCGGTTTGCACGGTGCCGCGAAGCTGGATTCGGTGATTGTGTGATTCTATACCGCATCCTGGGTCAGTATGCCGTGCCAGATGTTGGATGCTGGATGGGTCTAGCTACGTACCTTGGGATGGAATTGGAATTGCACGACCGAGCCGACCGGCGCTTCGATCTGGTTGGGGAAGTATTTCAGAGAGCCGTTGGCGTCCGAGACCGACACCACCTGCACGATCAACTCTCCTGCGCTGGTCGCTGCTGGCGGTGGTGCGCCCCCCGTGGGGATCGGTTGGCAGCCCGCCGGGCATGACGCCGCCGCACCCCAGGAGCCGGATCCCGAGCCCTTGTCCGGACTACTCCCGCCGCCCCAAGAGCCACCTCCACCGCTACCGCTGCCCCAGGACGAGTAGTCCGTTGCGACGGCGGAGACCGCGAGGAGCGTGGAGATCAAGAGCGTCTTGAGAGACATTGTTGTTTGATGTTGCAAAAGACCGAGCTGGTGGGGCGCAATATACTCAGGTGGGTAGACAGGCGAGTTGTTCTGACTGAAGAATGATATATGGAGAGACTGACAACGAGCGACCGGCGCAAGCGAGAACCAAAGGTGAACTGCAGTGCGTCAAGCAGCAGAAGGAACGAACAGACCCGACGGAAGAGGTACGGGACCTAGAAAACACGAGGATTTTTGGGGCTTTGGTAAAGGATAGAATGGAGAAAGGAAAGGGATCACCTGAGGGAGACAAACGGGGTCTGCGGTCGACATAAGTAGGCCAACCCGAAGCAAAGGCAATCACATTTTCTTTCACCTAGGATTGTCATGAGGATCTGGATCTCAAGGGATGTGGCACTGCCCGAGTCTCGTCACCTGGTCAAGTGGTGACGCGCCCCTGGAGGAGGCTGAGGACACTGTCGGACATGTGTATCAGATGGCAAGGCCGGCATGAGGCGCGACAGGTGAAGAGCCCCAGCGTAAAGTGGGCGCGGGCGCGTGCAAGGCTATATTTGACACCACAAAGGTACACTGCCTGGAGGCGAGGGAGTGTCGCCAGGTCACCGGCGACGGGCGACGGGGGTTGCGAAGCGCTGCGATGGTTTGAAGAGCGTCGCGAGGGGCGATTCTGAAGCGCCTCCTTGTTTCGACCGGGGTGCCAGGTGTTTCCTGTTTCCGCTTCCGGCAGACCTGCCATTCTAGGACACAGCAGCCTTGGTGCCTTGGCGGTTAGTATTAGTGGTACTAGTGGTACTGGTACAGGAGAATTACCCTGCCGCTTTAGGCCATGCTGCTCTAAGGCCCACGACTGAAGCCGCAGGCTGACTTCACCTCACCTCTCCTCACCTCTCCCTCAATCCTCCTCAACCCTTGGGTGTCTCGACCTTCGTCCTTCACCCTTCACCCCTCACCTTTGCCTGGATACCCTCCTCCTGAAATAGATAGCAATGCTCAGCCTCGGCATTTGTGCACGGATGGCGGTCCGCGCGCAGCCCGGTTGGGCTCTCCGCTCATCACTCCACCGAATTTGCGGGGTCCGGGGAGTCAACTCTGTTATTGCCTCCGAGTCCGGGCCACCTGGGGGAATCGGGAACTTCCCATCGAATCCAGAGTTGAAGCCAGTTACGATGTTGCCTTGGTCCCAGCCGTGGACAAGGCGGTGGTTCTTACAGCGTTTGATTCAGCATGAACAACTCCTTAAGAAAGCCTATTGCGGGTGTACCTGCTTACACCAGGCTCCAGCTTTACACTCTGAAGACTGAAGGAGGCAAAGCCCATCAGCAAGTCCTCGAGCCGGATCACATGGTACAGTGTACACAACTACGTGGAACAGGCCAACTTGATCGCGCAATGATCGCTCCTCGTTTTATTTTACTGGTAGTATCTAGGGTCTAGATTCTTCACATCCAGGTATGGTGTTCTATCCGCATTGGGAGAGAAATCTAGGTCTCGCTCCGTGAAGCCGTGGCCGAGGAAATTGAATCGATTCGTCTGCAACGCACAAGATAGTCAGCTTCTGATTGGGTACATGCCAACCCTGCGAGCATACCTTGTGGTGGTATTTGATGTCAAAGTCCTCATACCGTGGACTTTTGATGAGTTCCATGTAGTGAAGAGCGCTGCCGGGCCAGACGGCGTCGACATTCCCGGTCTTCCTGTTCTTGTCTGGTTCTGCTGTCAATATCCGGTCTCATGCAGCCTAGCACAGGGAGAACTCACACCAGGCATTACAATCTTCCTCCCACACCGTCCCTTTGAACCACGACTGAACATGGTCGTTGAATTCGTCGCTCACGTCTTGTCGCGGAACCCAATACTTGATGTTCTCGGTCTGCATCTTCTTGATGATCTGGAGGGTGTAGTCGACCACCGCGGTCAACGGACCCATGACACTACCGTTCTCGACGGGCCACGTCGGTCCAATGAAGGTGATGTAGTTGGGGATTTCCGGGCAAGCCAGGCCAAAGTAGCCTTTGGGATAGACCTCCCACTTCTTTCGCAGATCTGTACCGTTGAGACCGATCAAGGGGAATCGAGGCCGGTACGAGACGTCGAAGCCCGTGGCGCACACGATCGTGTCAGTCTCGACTACGGTACCGTCATCGCCGATCAGGCCGGTCTCGGTAATCTCTTTGACCCCGGTGAAGTGGCAGTGGACGTTCTCCTTGGTCACGGCCTCCATGCACGGGTCGCCGGGCGCAATGCGTCGACAGCCAACGCTGAATTTGGGGGTGAAGCCCTCAATCAGCCGTTCGTCCTTCAGGAACGTTCTCATGCGCTCCTGGAGCGCCGCCCGGATCGCTTCGTAAGATTTGCCACTCTTGACCATGATGTGGAACAGCTTCATCAGGTCGTTCTCGTACGTTTTGGCGTATTTGACCATGGCTTCGTGGTCCTCGCGGAACAACTTCTTCTCCTCGTCGGTGTCTGTCCAAGATCAGCACCCTTGGCCAGGCAAGCCACATCGGGCACATTCGCAAATACTCACACGTATAGTCCTGGGGCCTCGGTGTACTCCCGGGGGCGTCGTGTTTGAAGAACCAGACACCGGTGCGCACGAAGAAGTCGATTTTCTTTGCGTACGGCTGCATGCCGGGAACCACCTGCACCGCACTCGCTCCGGAGCCGATGACGGCCACTCGATCCTTCTTCCACTCCTCCTGGCCGTACTTGGGATCCCATCCGGCGGTGTGGACCACTCTGCCCTTGAACTTCTCGATGCCCGGGATCTTGGGCATCTCCCACCGGTCCAGGATGCCAATGGCCCCGAGCAAGAGGTCGCAGTCTTCCGTGATCTCCTTGACGCTGCCATCTTCCTGTTTCTGCCGGATCTTGACGATCCAGACTCCGGTCTTCTCGTTGAATCTCGCCTCGACAATCTCGCTGTTGAATTGGATGTATTTGCGGAGGTCCAGCTTGTCCACCACCCCGGTGATGTATTTGTGGATCGTGGCCGAGTTGGAATAGAACTTCGGCCAGTCTGTACACGGTCAGAGTCATCGCCCTAGGAAGCAGACAGACGATTCCATCATACCCGGCGACATGGCAAAGTTGAATTGGTATGTGTGGCTGGGAGCATCGCAAGCGGCATTCGGATAGCGGTTTTGCAACTGCAGAGACGGGAAGCTTCAGCATTCAAGGCAGTGACTCTGGTTCAGACAAACTATACCCATGTGCCTCCCACTTCGGCATTCTTCTCATAAATGACATGGTCTATGTTCTGGCAATTCTTTTCGATCTGGTAGGCCAACATAATACCAGAGATACCGGCGCCAATCGTGAGGACCTTCAGTCGCCGGTTCTCTGGGGCGCCATAAGTCACCAGCGGGATTTGGTATCCCGTTTTGGGGTTGCAGTGGAATTCGGTCGATACTTTTTCGGTGAACAGATTCCCTGGACGGGTAGTTGGCTTCTCAGAGGGGGTGCCATTGGGCTTGTCGCCGTTCAGAATGCCACTCATCTTGTCCAGTATGCTCAATAACTCGTAACTCATCCACTCCAGATCGAACAGACGGCCTCTTTTCTCGATATATAGAGGGATGCCCTTGTCCACGATAAGCAGAACACGGCAGTGGCCCGTTACCGATCACCTCACGAATTTGCTCTCAGTTCTAGCGAAGACATGGCACTCTAGATGCTCGCCCCTCGGGACCTATATGTCGTCCGAGAGCCGGATACCGGGGCAATGCACTGCCCCGGTGGGGAAGAACACCTCATTTACCGGGGCCCCAAGCCACGTCTCCTTTCCAAGTCTTAGGACATGGACGAGCCAGCAAAGCACAACACGGAGGCGGCCCGTCAACGGGAGAAGAAAAGGGCAAGGAGCCCGAGGGTTTGGTCTTCGCCTTCTCCAACTACCGGTATACCAGTCCTGACTACTTAGCCAGCTAGCCAGAATCGGGAAATCTTGGGGTTGGTGTAGGACGAGCTCCGAGTCGTTCTCTATTGAAACAACGTCCTCAGGCATTCCCTCCCCCTCGTACCCCCTTTGGCTGTAGGATCAGAAACGAAACCAGACTGTGTCGGTTGCCGGTACTACAGTATCCAAAGACACAAACACCCTTTCTGCACGCTCTGGGACTTGACTCCTTCCCGATCATCACTCCATCTCCATCTCCAATCACCCACGCAGCTAGACGAGCTCTCAAGACATCCATCGAGGAGGTGGACGCGATGGGATCTCAATCATATGTCGACCCGGAATGGGCCCAATTCTCCAGCAACGTCCCCATTCCAACCTTGGTGGGCTCTCCAGTCGAGCTTCGCCAGATGATGGAGGGAATCAAAGCCCTGCGCCCGTATACCGAGCCCGTTGGGCACACGATCCGCGATCAGGCCATCGACGCTTACCAGGGTGCCAAGGGCACTGTCCGGATCTACACACCAGACGAGGTGCACAAGCCAGCGAAGACAATCATCTAGTACGTGGCCGTTTACTTTGCGGACTCTGCTTCTTCTCTGACACCTCACTCGACAGTCTGCATGGCGGCGGCTGGACCATCGGCGATCTTGTCTCGGAAGATGGAGTGTGTCGACTTCTTTGCACGGAGACGAAATCGATAATAGTCAGCGTCGACTACAGAAAGTAAGTCATCACGCACGGTTCCCATCTTAAGCAACCGTTGGGAGTGCCGGCAGGGCCAGTCGGTTTACGATATGCTGTTCCAGGGCGCCTGAAAACCCATTCCCCGTCCCCTTGGAGGATGCCTGGGCGGGTGTGTTATGGGTACGTGGCACGCCAGTTTCTGCAGAGGTCATGGCTGTGAACTGACTTGGGGTTTGTGATTCAAAAGACATTTGCAAACATCGACTCACTCGGTGGTTCTGCCGACAATGTCTACATCTTAGGCAATAGCGCCGGTGCCAACATGGTGAGCCTTATCCCTTTCTCATGATACGTATCTGTATCGGCCGGCCGTCACGGACGGATTTGATGGTTTCGCATCCGCCAGTCCCAGGCCACGAATTGACCAACTTGTTAAATCGATAGGCTTCTGTCCTCACTCAAAGAGCCCGTGACTCAAGCTCAGGCCCGGTCAGATTCAGGGGCTTGATCCTGCGAAACCCCATGGTGTGTCATCCGCAGGCACATCCCAAAGACCTCAAGTTCGACAGCTACATCGAGAACAAAGATGCTGCCCTTCTCTCGGCGGCCTCGGTTCACAACTTCGCTGACTTCTACAACCCACCTCCGAACGACACGCGGTTCTCATCTCTTTTGACCGAAGATTTCACCGCCTTGCCCCCTACATACATGCAGGTCTCGGGAGGCGACCCATTGAGGGATGATGGACTCAACTACGCCCAGAAACTGGAATCGGCCAGGTAAGGGGTGCCTCGCCCGTTTTTTCCTGACTCCTGATCAGTCTTCTCTTCTTCCCGATCAGCCTTCTCTTCTTCCTGATCAGCCTTCTCTTCTTCCCTCCGGTGCCGATGATCGACTTGGACTTTTCATCCCGTCTGTTAGATCGACTTGAGCCTTATACTGACCAGAGATCAATTTCAACCACGTCAGGGTGCCTGTGAAGGTGGATTTATACCCAGGTGTTCCGCATGCCTTCTTTACCTTTCCCCTGGAATCGGCCAAGAAATGCACCGCCGACCTGTTCAAGGGCATTGAGTGGTTAATGCAGCAAGCCCGTGCCCAGGGGAGCACAGCCTAGCTAGACGTGACTCAGTATATGTAAGTAGTCAGCCGCGTGCAACTCGATCGGTTCGTCGCTATGGCCTCTAAGCCGACAGAATTAGAGGCAGAGGCAGAAGCAGAGGTAGAAGCAGAAGCAGAAGGCTCTAGCTGGCGTTGAGCCCGCACCGGTCATGAGTGTGAAGATGACATTTCTGATATATATAGTAGAACGAGACAGAGTGTGTCCATATTCTCGCATCGCATGGGAGACTCATCAGACTCGTTTGTTTTTTCTTCTATCAAGTGATGAGTTTGTTTCTAGGACTAGGCCAAGGCCTCCTCATTCGTATATAGGTATGTATGTAGGGATGTACGTAGGATAAGGCGGCATCGTCGTCCGTCTAGAAGGGAAAGAAGGGGTGTGAGTTGCGCCGCTTTTACAGTACGGAGTATGCACGTTAGCTGGTAATGCTATATACCCACCTACACCTAGTAGGTCCCTCAGGCATCTATCTATCTATCTATCTATCTTTTTTACAGTGACCAAGGTAGGAGGTGGGAGTGTATTGGTGTTTCTTAACTTGACTTAACCCAATTCCCCCCAGTCCGACCTTCCAAATCTTCTTCTTGCGCTTACGCTTACGCCAGCTGCGCTCTGTTACATACTGGTAGTAGGCCTCTGTCTCTGTCTCTCTCGGGTACGTATCTATATCTCTATCTCTATCTCGGATACGTCCTCTTCCGCGTTTCACGTTTCACGTTTCACGTCTCACGTCTCACATTTCACACTCTCACACTCTCACCATCAGGCTGAAGGACTACGCTCAAGCTCGGCTCAGCCACTCTGCTAACGTCAGTTCTGGGTCATCGCTCGGGAACGTCGTCTGCCGATCTGATGGTGGCTTATTATAGGCTTGCTGTGAGCCTTCAAGGGGCCTCGGTACAAGGACTAAGGTCATAGCTAATAGCTATCTCCCCACTGAGGAAGTCCTGGTCCTACGTGTACATACTCGTACATGTCTGGGTTGGTGAGCCTTCAAGGGGCCTCGAGGCCAAGGTCCCTGTCCTACGTATACATGTCTGGGTTGGTGTTGTCCCTGGAATCCCAACTCAAATTCGAAATGCCTTGGATTAGCTAGCTAGCTCTCAGGCTGTTACAGTCTGCGACCTCATGCTTTGCTAGAGCATCGCATCGCATCACATCGCATGGACCGTGTCTCTTTCTGCTGCGTTGCCTTTGGTGGGCTTCTTAGCTCCATCCACCACGCTTGTAGACCGTGCCAGCGAGCTTGCTTCTTGCTTCTTGCTTCCTGAACCGTCCCATGACATGCAACATCAAGCCATTACATCGCAGAGAGTTTCTGCATCCTCCGTATTTTCTATATTCTCCCAGAAACTCCTCCCAAAACGGCCGGGGTATCCGATCCTATCCACACTGAAAAGAACGCCTAGTCACCCCACCATCAAGCCTTACAGTTGTCTCTGCCCGTCAAGCCTTACAGTTGTTTCTGCGTCTGATAAACGCCAAATCCAGTGGCCGTCTAGGTCATCGTATAGCCGGTCGATGTGGCAGCCATAAAGTCCCAATGGCCCGGCGGCAGATTATCTCGTCGTGGGGTGAATTCACCGACGGGTCGAGGGGTGCTGTCGGAAAGACTGGCCAGGGCCGGATCGAGTTCATCTTCGGGCTTTCTCTTCTTCGGTCGGCCTCGTGGCCGGCTGGTATTTGGCGGGTCGAGCACATATTCCTCTTTAAGCTGCATTGAGACCATGGGATCATATCCACGCTCACGCGCCAGTTTCCGGAGTCCGGCCAGGGTCTTCGGGTCCATGCCGGTGACCTCTTGGATCCTCTCGGACGAAATATTGGCCTCGGCCAGCGCGAGAGCTTGGATCCGAACAGCAGTAGAGTGTTCCTGCATCTTCAAGACCTTGGGCGCCTTGGCCTCTGCTGACTTGTGCGACCAGTCGGTGCTTCGGAAGAACGCGGCGGGGTCGGCGGCTTGACGGGTGATGGTGTTTTCGATCCCTTGTTCTTTCATCGCTTCAAGGTAGTTCTGGCAGCCGAGGAGGTGGACACGCTGGCGCGACGTGTGCTGGGCCATTTCTCTGCCACAGAACTTGCATCGTACCTGGGCGAGTTTCTGTCGACCAGGTCAGCGAGGCGCGCGCACGCCGTAGAGTCATGTCATTCAAGTACCTGGGTGCCCTCCGGGTCCTGCGGAATGATCTCCCATGCCGAATGAGTCTCTGTATCCCCCGGCTTGTTCTTGTAACCGCCAGAGCCTGGGCCTCCCATCTTTGAAGGCCGGGCAGGAAATGGTGAGCAACTGATGGTAATCCGAGTCGTCTTTTGACGAGTGATGAAGAGATGACAGCGATGTTGCCTGCGAAAATGTGGCGCCGCGTGAGGTATTACCTGGCTTGCCTGTTCAAAAGACAAGCAGGGCGCTAGTCCCGATTAGGCACCATAACAACCTACCTGGTACGCCGACCACTGTCGCGTCGCCGTGCATTTCCCCTCGTCTGGTCCTGTTCACTTTGTATGCTTTTAAATCCTTCGACACTGTTGCAGTTGCATTCATGGCGGACACCTCACAGGCGGCAACTTCGCTCCTGACGGAGCATTTGCAGTATACGCCTCTAGTAAGTGACACGGCCCATCGCAATCGCAGGACGCTGACATATCCGCTCTCAGTCACTGATCGACGACATTATCAATTCAGTCAACAATTTTGTGTACCAGGGCGTTGGAAGTCTGGAGACCGGACTCCTGTCTACACCTCCGGAGAAACTAGGATTCAAGGCAGTCGGAGGCGGCGACGGCGACGGGCCGGAGTTTCCAGATGCAAAGCAAGAGATTGAGGAGGGTCTACACAAACTCGAGACGCTATTGAACTCAACAGTGGACAAGAACTTTGACAAATTGGAAATCTACGTGCTGAGGAATGTCCTATCTGTCCCCGCAGATCTGGTCAACTGGGTGCGGTTGAGCCACTACGAGGTAGGACAGGTCTTTTCTGTGAGGAGTCCTGACCACTGGGCTGACGGAATAGAACATCTCATATCCACCCTCTGAGAACGCACCGACGGCAGAAAGCGTACAACTACTTCGCCGCAAACTAGCCGCATCACGAGCTGTGTCCAGGGCTCTGTTGGAGGAACAAACCTGCAACGAGACACTACTTCGGCAACTTCGAGCGATTGTCGGTCAAGGTGATCATGGCACAGGAAACAGCACCAGCGGGGACCTTTCATTCCTCGCCAATTCCACATCAATGCACGCCCTGGAAGGTACACCCAACTCAGACCAGCAGTCGTTGACCATCAACACCAACTTTGCCGTCTCCCAGCTCCCTGCGCTTCGAGCCCTACTAGCGGACCTTCGGCCGAAGTTGGCAGTATTGAAGAACTCCAACACGGGACTGGCTATTGAAAGTGCCAAGGACGAACTCCGTGAAGAGCGACGTGGTTACATCGAGCAACAGACACAATCACTTCTCAAGCGCAATGGGGAGAGTATGGCCGAGCATGCTGCCGTCGTGCCTGGGAGAAGAGTGGATGCTGAGGAAGTCCAAGCCATGGAGAAACTCGCCTCTCTGTTCGATCCAGTATGAAATGGCACTTCAAGAGCATTTTATTTTCTCGAGCACCGGCGAGCTCACGAGCACTTACAGTGTTGACGACCGTACCTGAATGTGGGCATCAGACGTCTTTTAAATCAGACGCTCCGGCAGGTACAATTATGGGCTGGCGCCATCCGGAAAATCTCCGACCAGCCCAAGACGGCGAAGAAGATCCTTGATTTGGACTAAATTGTGAACTCGATTCATTCCCTTCGAACTACCATGTCCCTCCAAAACTGTCGCCGAATCCCCAAGAGCGCCTGTGCTTAGTCAACAAGGAACCCCATGCGCTCGGGATGGATCTGGGCTACTGGATTGCCGGTGTGGTGATCTTCTGACAGATCCTGAATCAGTTGCGGCACTGATGGCTGCCTTACGAGGTAGCATCGCTCGGTCTGCTTTGGTGGCATTCTTGGCATCGGCTTCGCATAAGCCATAGAATTGGCGCAGGCCTGGATCAGGCAGCCCATATGCTGTTCTTCTGAGATTGAGAAAGGCGCTCGCGGCGATTGCAAAAGCCGCTCAATTTTTTCATTAGGCGCACCCTTTTTCAAATGGGCCGCCAGCTCGAAATAGCGTGGGTAATACCCAGCAGAGCTCCAGTCAAGCAGACAAACGTGACCACTTGGCAGCCACAATATGTTCTCTGCGGCGGTGTCTAGGTGGCACAGCACAAATTCTTCTCCACGGAGGTCCACGGGCGTATGTTGCCATGTGTTGATCCAATTCTCTAACCCTTCAACTGTATGACAAGCACTTGGAGCGCTATCTTCCCAGAGGATGCCTTGCGGCTCGCCTCGATGAAGAGGTCCGGGAAAGCTCCTGGTCAGAGATGCCAAATGAGCCATGGTCTTCTGCAGGGCTTCGACCTGTCTGTCGTCATGCATATCAATTAGTGAGGCATCAAACCACTCCATCGCCAAATACCCAATGCCCGTATCAGAGTCGCGATGGAAATGGTGGACCTGTGGAACGCGTACGATCGCTGGGTCCAAAAGGTCAAAGGCTGTACTTTGCGCGATCGCCTCCTCTTGTGTTACACCTCCACCAAATTTGATCACGACATCGAATCCTGGGACTTTGAGCACTGTACTGCCGCCAGAGATGTCTCTAAGAATGATGGAGTCCGGGGACTTGACATGCTGGCGGATAAAATCACTGTCAATGGTAGCCATTACATTGGTGGGTGAGAAAAAGCGGGAAAGAGGAGATTGTAAGGCTGTGAGGTTGGCTGAGTAAGAGTGACGAGGGTCCTAGCCAGGTCCCAGGCCACGGCCTGTGGCCATTAGGGAGATGCTGTACTCCGTACTCCGTACTCTGTACGGATACTCTGTAATAGAGGAGAAGATTGTGCTCCCTCTCACCTACCGCAGTGTCCCTGATGCCTCTGTCGCAGCTCGACTTAGTCCAACGGATACCACCTAATTAGTACTCGGGCTTCCTGCCATAAATAGACGCGTTCCCTCCAATCACGTGTGGCATCTCTGCCAAGGCCCAAGGCCAGTATCAGTAGCCGCTGCCACTGCACCAACTGCATGGGCTTCGACATCAATCCGATCTTCTCTTCCCCTTCCACTTTGCTTCATCCATGCTTGTCGGCCACTCAGACAGCCTCCTCGTCCTGAAGCGAGCCATGTAGCCGCCAGTGCATCAATCATCACCACCTCCACCACCACCGATGCGTTGTCTTGACTCGCCCCATGCCAGCCATCCTCCAGTTGCCAGCAACGCTGGGTCAGGCGCTTCAACCACCATGGCCGCTCTCCACGCTGGGTCCCTCTTACATGGCGGGCCAGTGTCGCTCATCTCACGCTGGCGCCAGGTAGATCGCCCTCTCATAAAGGAGACTCGCCTTCTTTCTGCGATTCGGCCTTGTGCCCTTTTGTTTCATTGTCTGTCTCGTTTCTGTGCGCTGGTTTCGCACTCTTTCTTCACGTTCTCTCCTCCATCTTCTGTGGTACTCTATCATGGATAACGCTCCTTCTACACGTCCGTCGTCCCTTGAGAATAGCACCAGTACAACCAGATCTCGTTCGCTCCCACGCAAACAAGCATCATACGATGCCTCAGCCTTGACCATAAACCCGTCCCCTCTCCTCACCTCGTCTCTCCACTCCCGCAACTCGGCCACATCTGCGCAAGAGTCGGCATACCTGAAGCGAGCACGCTGGCTTGGATGGGTTCGACTCGGTCTTGCCTTGCTCACACTTGGCTCTGCCACGGCCGCTGCTGGCTGCGCAGGCCACGTTCTGCGCAGGTATAACGCAACGCACTTGGCCAGCGGATGGCATCTATCTCTTTGGCCTCTAAACGTTGACTTGAGACCTACCTTGGCCGTTGTGGCTTCTGCTGCCATAATCACCGCTGCCAGCCTCGGGTACTTGGTGCTCTGGCTGATCCCAAGCGTGAGTGTCGTCCGGGCTTCGGCATCGTATTCGTCTAATTGATCCTTATCTAGCCACACTCCCGCACGCTGTTGTACAACTTTGTCTTCCTCGGCTCATCGCTTGTCGGCGTAGTTCTCTGCGTTTTCACCATCCCGTTCAACTTGATCCTGGTCAATCCGTCAAGTCATCATCAGCGGGAGTCACTGCAGTCTTGGACTTGCAAATTTTCCGATGGCGCTTCTCGATTCAACTCCGATGCCCAGTCACTTCAAATACCAGTCTTTGCCACCCACGGCGTTCCCGTGCCTGCCGGATTCGAGAGGCTGTGTATGGAGGCTCAGGTGGGCACGGGCCTGATGATTGCAGTGTTGGTCTTGGAGGCAGCTAGCTGCGCCCTAGCCGGCGTGGGGATATTGCTAGAAAAACAGATGACCAAGGCAAGAAGAGAGAGGTATGCCAATTGTGAAAAGGGTGAGCATGGGTCTTAGCAGAAGGCATCCCTCCGTTTCACGGAATGACGATCTGTTTGTGGTATACCGTGCGGCCCTGTTGCGGCCAGCAATGAAGCAAGATGGGGATAGAAAGACGGTGGAAACGGCATGCTGGTGGGGTATTATGGCGCTGGTCAGAGACTCTTGATCTACGGGTTTCTACTCTGGCGGCATTGAAGGCTGTAATGTACTAGTAGTTTACTATTGCAAATCGACGTGACCGCTCGAGGACCAACAACAATAGATGAGCAGATAATCTAGTTTCTACAAGTACTTCCGCAGCTGGGTCGCATATGATGTCGAACTGCCAGTGTATCTGAACATGGAGGAAAATATAGCTGTGCAACAGCAGGTTGGTGGCAGGAGTGTTGTGAGGGGAGTCTTGGATTCCGCGTTGATAAAATAAATATTTGCTCCACCCCAGTGTGCATGAACATCCATCCACATTCTGAACATCTCACCGGTATGTTCTTCCACCCCGTTCTTCGTCCTCGAAATGACATTCGCAAGTCATGATGACCGGCGGCACTGCTGCGGACAAAACACCAATGGTGCTGATTCTCTGAATCCGTCCACCAAGCGACGTCGGCAGCGCCCCGCGGTTCCTCGTCTCATTTCCGCAAGTGTCCAGCCACTCCCGTCTATCAAGCCCTTCGAGAGATAGGAGATCGTACCCGCATGCTCACGGATGCATGTGAACCAGGATCCCTGACTGAATGGTACAAATTGAACACACTCTGCAGAATCTTGCGCTGCTCCGACCTGGATCCGAATTTCTGGATCGTTGCCACATATGGCTGCAATGCAATCCTTGTCCACCGCCCACCTCCCACCGCCGGCCTGGGCGCTCACCAGGACATGTTCAACTCAACTGCAAGAAGTAACATTGGTCTGGCATCACTAGAGACATTGAACCCTGAGAAGGACACCAGAGAAGGTTCTTCAACCCATCGCCTTGGTCCTGCGTGTTCCGAGGCCGCAATGAAACTTCGGTGGTTAACAGATGGGGTTACCCGCTGGCCAAACTCCAGGGACATGCCTTCAAGGTTTAATCTTTCTCCACCTCCACCTGTTAAGCATAAGCTCAGCGGTAGGGACCCGAGGCGTTGTGGTCGTGGTCGTCCTATGGAGTTCAATACGGTGAGAGAGCCCACGGTTGTGGCCGAGTCCCACCAGTTGCAGGCGGAGACGGAGACGCATCGGGCCTTAAAGAACGAGAACCTTTTCTTATCTGCCCACTCATCTCAGGCGCTGTCAGGTAGGCGCTGTGATGGAGTTGGAATGTCTCATGGCCGACATGGTTCTGACCTCACAGAGACTGAGGGGCTCTATGGATTCTTCCCGGGTTGAGTTCCCCTTAGTGACAAAGGTCTTACATGGACGACGATGCCGGTTCTGACCTCACAGAGACCGATGTGCGACGCTCATGGCTTGAGATAATGCAAATGCAACGCTTATAGTACAACTTTTAGCACATGCCGGCCAGGCATCGGCGCAGGCTTGTCTTAGATGAGCGCTCCAGAGGATCCGAGAGGAGGTCGGAGAGCGCCTTCGTCTATTTCTGTCAGCTTGAACGATGGGTTCTGTTAGCTTGAGCGATGGCGGAGGCTCCTGCCACCAGGTTAGAAGGCCGCCATGGTACCGCCGCTCCATTCACTTCTGGAGGAAGCGAGATCCTAAATGTGGGAAGTACCGAAGTGGTGAGCAATCTAGAGGGGCAGCAGGAGTCCGGTATGCATGATACTAATGCAATGTACGGAGTACGTTCATGGACTACAGAGTACGGACTATTACATGCAAAGGATCTGCTGGTGAGTACAGTATGTTCATGGACTCCAGAGTACAGACTATCCGTACAGAGGACGGATACAGGCAAAGGATCTACTAATGATGATAGCGCACACTGATACTCCCGCAACTCCTCTCAGATCCGTATGGCGAAAGTGTCGCGGGGACTTTGGGACGAGCCGGAAGCGTGCCATTTGACATTTGACGTTGAAGTCGAAGACTCGGTCCTACCTTCTCGGAGTACGGATACATACAGCCTTGTCGGCGGCGGCTCGGAGGAGGGGGAGGTGGGTCGATATGATATTGCGATTGTACGATCCAGATGGAACATGGGTATCAATTCACGACTCTTTGAGGCTGTTGGTGTTATGCTGCGTGGCCTGCGCCTGTGCCCGAGCCTGCTTCTAAGTCTGAGCCTGAACCTGAACCTGAGCCTGAGCCTGAACCTGAGCCTGAGCCTGATCCTGAGCCTGAGCCTGCATGACCTGCTAAAGTCCTCCCTCCATCATGTCGAAAATGATCTGGTCTGATTTGATTTGATTTGATTTGACAATAATGATAATGCTGGTGTTGAGTCCCCCCACGCCCGGCGACACGACGCTACCGTAACTCGACTACGGAGTACCGAGAGCGAGTGGGAGTACGAGTGGCGGTCGGGGTGGCGTTCCTAGACGGTGCTAGGTGCTAGGTACGGATATGCTTGGGTAGAGACTCGAGAGGGCTAGACCGCTCCGCTCGTATGTAGGACCGCCGAGTGCATCCTGCCTGCATCCTGCATCCTGCATCCGAAGTACTCCGTACATGGCACAGGAGGGAATGAAGGTCAAGGAAGTATTCTCAGGAGCAAGGGGGTTCCCATTCCCACTTACACCCTATCCAGTCAGTTTCCACTGTCCAGTCAGTGAGCAACTGGGTTCTTTCGGTAAGCTGTTAACACTACTGTATCTGTATCCGTATGTGAACCGAGTATCAAGCACCCCTGTACGCGCCCTGTATCCGTACGCTGCATGCATATGCACACTGTACGCATATGCACATGCACATGCACATGCAGACTGTAAGCCTTGGCTGAATCCAGCCGGGGAGCTATGTCATATGTACTCCGTATGTACGGATACTCGTAGAGGTCCGACTCGACTCGACTCGGCCGAGGGGAAGGAAACGACAGAGCTAGTCAGTCAACTGCAGCCAGTCCGGAGTACCCTCTATTCCTCGACAAGGTGCGGCTCTAGACTGCGCAGACAGACGTTCACTTCGCTTCGAGGGAGAGGAAGAGGACGGTCGGAGGGACGGCGAACAAGGGAGAAAGCGAGCAAGAAAGCACATGCTGAACAGCCAACGCGCAACGTGGCTGTCGGCAGCTTGTTCGTACTCCGTATCCGTATGTCCTCTGTACTCCGTACTCTGTATGTGAGGTAGTCAATGTGGCCGAACCTCAGGGGACGAATACAGATAGCAGATAGCAGATAGCTGTAGCTGTAACCGTAGCGGTACAGAAACCACTTGCAGCAACCATCAACCAGCAACCATCAACCATCAACCATCACCCATCAACCATCACCCATCAACAAGTTCTTCGGAATGGAATGGATGCGGTTTTGGTGTCGGTGTCGGTGCCGCCGATCAAGCCTAGACGCCGGTTCCAGGGAGGTGATGAATCATATCCATACAGCATCGGTACTCAATACTCCGTACTCAGTACACCGTACCTACAACGCGAAGGTACTACAGATACAGAGTAAAGGGAGGCTGGGAGATCGACCTTATGCATCATGCAATGCAGCTCACCATCTTCAGGTTGGGTTGGGTTTGGACCGCGTACGGAGTACTCTGTACTCTGTACGCTGCACTGTACCAACGTTGGTCTTCACCGTGAAAATGAATGAAAGATGCCCGGCACTGTGGAAATCAAATCAAATCAAACAAATCAACCAGGGGAGACAGAGACAGACACCTAACACTGCTAACAGAGACAGTCAGCCTCGCTGATGCTGGGGAATAAGGAGTACTACCTACTACCTAATCATTACGGACGGTAAAATGAGATCGAGATGGTGCCGCCAACGGTTCAGATCACTGCCTAAAGGAACGAACGTCGCTCCAGGATGGTAGCGCGAGGATGGAGCCGTGACAGGAGAGAGAGTGAGATTGCCGCCCCCAATTAACGCCCCCAACTAATCACAATGTGCAGTATTAGGGCTCCTAAGGCTTAGGCTTAGGAGCAGATCTAGGCCCGTAGGGAGGATACAGACCTAGTCGTATTAGTCTTACAGGTAGGTTATTAGCATACCTCTTAGGCGGTGACTGAGGTGACTGCGGTGACTGCGGTACCTGACACCTGGCACCTGGCACCTGGCTCGTCCTTAGCCAACGACCGACCGTTGAGGTTCAAATTGAAGCATGCCACGCCAGTAATGCCAGATGCCCATCTAGGCAAATTGAACAGGGATCGAGAATAAGGAAGAGTACAGAGTATAGTCAGTCTACACTGTACGGACCCAGGTACATACGTGTGGTCGTGTACATTGTAATTACGGTGTATGTTAGAATCTGTAGATTTGGAAGGCCAGGGGTCAGGGGATGATATGATGATACCAAGTTTTACCGTATGATGCCGTTTGCCATGAACTACGGAACATGGACCATGGACCATGGACGTTGATGGTGTCACGCCCGGCGTGTTGATCTTGATGCAGACCCCAGACCCAGACCCAGACCCAAGACCCAAGACCCAAGACCTAGAGCCTCGCTCCCACGAGCTGGGCGGCGGGCGAAGCGACGAAATTGCAAGGCCTCCCATGCGTGTGGACGAAACGGGCAGACCGCCACCACCACCACGCTACGACCTCCTTCCAGTGCTCCGTAGGATTCTGTACATCCTACTCCGTACTAACTACTGCGTAGGAAGCGAGGCTAGAAGGGCTCCTGATTCCTGATACCTGATTCTTGATTCCTGATTCCTGATTCCTAGGACGGCCAAGGCCATAGGGCCGAAGATCACAGGGCTAATGGAGCGTGGTATGGACGGAGTACGGAGTACCATGTACGGATACTACGTATCTACTCTCTGCATGGAACATGTATCAGTGTACGAGTACCCCTAGGGACGCACCAAGGGAGGTGGGAAGTTTCTGGCTTCTGCAGGCCGCTTCAGAGCGGTGGCAGTGGCAGTGGCGTGGCAGGCTGTCAGAGCTCGACGTGTCATGTCGATACGTTATGGACAATAATGATCTAGATGTGGGATTGGCGAAAGAAGGATGGGAAAGGAGAGGTCCTCGACCGGTGTGGTCAGCCACCGCAAGGCTAGAATCAGAATCAGGATGGATTGTTATGCTGACAGAGTCGTTAGTTCCATCCATAGGTAGCAGGAAGCTATTGTCAATGTCTACCTACTTAGCAATATCAAGTGCCGTCCCTACCTACCTGGTAGACGCATATAAGCTGACGGCCTGACCGCTGCCAGCCACGTAATAATAATAGTTAGCGGATTATTCTCATTCTCAGTCTCATTCTCATTCTCATATGGAGGACTACTGCAGAGAATTCGCTATGACATAATTATATGTATCTACAATTTCGACGTTTGATGTTTGTTGTTGTTATTATTGAGGCGTGGCTGGCAGGCGTGGCAGGGCGCACGTCCCACTACCTGCCACGCCCTGCCACGCCATATTATAACATGACTACGTATTCACTATTGTAGAGGACAGAGGCGAGGAGTAAGGTATCTACCACGTGCCATGTCAGTCTCCCGTGGCCCAGTACTCCGTACCCATCAATAAATGATAAATGCCCAACCATCTATTTCGCTTGCTGGGACTTTGATCGGCGTCTAGTACCTACGCTGTAATTACTATGCGTACTATGAGGTTATTGATTGATTCAAGTACCATACGGAGACGATACCACTAACCCATTAGACCTGCCCACTTGGGAATGGTGCAACGACCCACGTGACCAGTCCGCACAATCCCAATGCGGCATGGCTGCAGGGCAGAGCAGGGCAGGCGCGTCTTCACTCAGGGGCTGCAGCCCGAACCGAACAGAACACTGGAACATGGAACAGGATTTGTCGCATCACGGGTTTAGGTTCCGGGACCTCAAGGTTGATCCTTGACCTTGATCCTTGAGGGTTGAGGGAAAAAACTAGGTCTGCAGCCTGCAGACAGAGATAAGCGCGTCGTGCTGGCCGTTCTGGCTGTCTCACTGAGTACGAGTACTGCCACGGGATGGGGGATGGATGGGTGGTCGTCGGGGTGGGATTTTCTGTAACTATTTACTGGCGGCCGGCCTTTTCCCTGCTTTCTCCCCTGCCCACCGCCCGCCGCCCAGCGCCCACCGGCCAGGACTCCTCCTTGTCTCACCCCCGGGTTATTTTTAGGCCAACCATGGTCGCAACTCCATCACCCGCTGCATCATGTGGGAAGAAAGCAAGAGAAAGAGAAAAACAAAAAGCTTCTCGCTTGAATCAACTGCAGCTGTCACTCTGTCCCCACCCCTTGCCGTCACAGTCTTGGTTGTTGTGTACAGAAACTCTGGATGTACGGGAGGTACCCGTACTGTGCTGCCTCAGCCAAACATCAACCCCCCCAGATCACACGCCCAATCTTCCGCATCAGCCTGGAAATTCACCCCCACAAGTGAAAAGAACTCAGGAGCACCATGGTGATCCGAGCACGGGTGACGCGGGCCAATGTTTTTGTTTACATTAATTAATTCCCGAATTGGCCGTGGTTGGGTGCACCGCCCCTGGATAAGCGGATGGCTGGAGCTGGATGGAGCTGGAGCTGGAGCTGGAGCTGCAGCAGCGTGCGGCTGGTCACAACCATAACCATTAGTCCCCTCAGACCCTGCAATGATGCTTGCAAGCATGAATCCATCGGGCCCATGCCAATTTTGAGCTTGACAGGAACTAAATGTGAGCCATCGAGCTTGCTCTGTTCTTGGCTTGGGAGCTGACCAGGGCACGAACCAGATCGCTCGCCTGGGCCCGTCGTGTGGGAATGCTGGGGTCAGCCACCCGCACCACCTGGCATCCACTCCAGCGAGACAGCCCGTCACTTTCTGATTGATTGATTGATGGATTACGCCACTCTGGTTCTGGCTGTGGTTCTGGCTGTGGCTCTGGCTGCTCGCCTGCTACGCGCATAAGCTGTGGGTGACAGCTGAGGGCTGATGTGATATGCAGGTGCCGTGGTGGTGTGGTCGGCTCCTGGACAAGGGGAAGGAAGACGAAGGAACGAACCAGTTCGAAGGTCCGGCCCCAGGCAGGCCAGGGACTACTGTACCGCCCATTCGGACGCTTGTCGGACGTCCATACATACACATACACTTAGGCTGGCTGACGGTCGCAAGTCACAAGTCACAAGTCACGAGTCACCAGTCACAAATTTCGATGGATCGTCAGATGTGCGGCACCTACTTCGCTTGTGCCGCAAGTCCCCAGCAGGAAGCGTGGAAGGAGGACGTTGAACGGGGCGGGCTTCACGCTGACGTCTCATCCTTCACACACTAGAAAGCTCGCTGTCAGCCCCGAACAAGAACTAATTAGCAAGCTGCCGAAGCCTGAGGGCCACAGGGCTGGGAAATACGACAACACCGCATCGTCACCTTACGGTGGTGGTGGGTGTCGATCGACTGCTAGGTGGGAGATACCAGATACTAGGCAATACTAGGCTGACCCGACCCAGGCAAAGGTGGATCGGCCCAGGATCCTGACTAGAAAAGCACTCCGTCCGGATACCTGAAACCAGTCAAGCGTCTATTGGCGCGAAGAAAAGAAAGGAGGCTCATGCGGCCCTCCCTGAACGAGCCTGACGGGCCATGGGGAAAAATCAATCAATCAATTCAATCAATCGGGCTCGGATGGGCGCTCGACCCGTGTGCTGGTTCCAGGATGGCTGGTGGTCCTGCGCAATCTGGGACGCCACCGTGACTGGCAGCCGGCCGGGGTCCTCTACGGCTAGTATCGACGGCCAATGCTAGTCCTGCATCCTCGCTGCTGTGTGTACTATGTAGGGGACATAAAGGTCTGGCTGGCCGGGCCCGGTCGATGTCAATGTCCCTTCTTCTCGATTGATCCTTCTCCGGCCATACCATACCCAAGCCAACCCGGGTTCATTCTTCTCTCGTTTTTCTTTGTTCCTTCATCCATCCAGACTCAGTGGCCTGCCCACTGATTGTCTTGTCTCTCGTTGATTCTTGTGTCGGCTCCGGTCCCGAATACTGTCCATATCACCTCCCCGGGCCCTCTCACCCTCGCTTCGACCAGTTCAACTGCAAAGAGGGCGGAAGAAATATATACCAGCATCTCAGGACATACATAATTACGACACCCAACGACGTACGCAACAGAACATAACAGACCAACCCAATGGCGGTGACTCGGGCCCTCAAGGCCTTGGCCGCCCTCACACTCGTCTCGTCGTCCATCACCTCGGTCGCGGCAGCCAGCAACTCGAGCTCGGTGTGCACAGGGACGTCGAAATGCAAGCCGTTCACCATTGATGTGACCTGGGGCAAACCGGACTCGGCCATCGGCATCGAGCGCGACGTGATCCTGACCAACGGCTCGCTACCGGGCCCTCCCCTGAAGCTGAAGGTGGGCGACTGCGTTGTCTTCACCGTCATCAACAACCTGGACACGGTGACGGGCGTGCATTTCCACGGCATCCGCCAGTTCGGCACCCCATGGTCGGACGGCGTGCCAGGAGTCAGCCAGTACTCGATCAAGCCCGGCACCACGTACCAGTACCAATGGACGGCTGAAGAGTCCGGCACATACTTCTACCACGCACACTACAAAGGCCAGATGATGGACGGTCTGTACGGAGCCATCTTGATTTCCCCGGCCGACGATGCCGACACGCCCTTCAGCCAGATCAGCGGTGACGCCACGGACCAGAAGCAGCTGGCGGCCGCGGCCGCGTCGCCCGAGACAGTCTTCATCTCGGACTGGACGCAGTTCACATTTGCCGAGTTCCTGGCCATCGAGCAGGCTGCCAACGTCGACATTGCGTGCGCCGACTCGATCATCCTCAACGGCAAGGGCAGCGTGTACTGCCTGCCGCCGGACGAGCTGTTGGCCAACGCGGCGGTGCAGACGCCACAGATCCTGAACGGCAGCTCGCTGACGGCCAAGGGCTGCATCCCGGCCAGCAACCCGCTGGTGCAGGGCGTCCAGTACAACCGCACTCTGTCCTCGCTGCCCAGCACCGTCTACGACACGTGCACGCCGACCACGGGCGCCAACTACACATACACGGTCGACCCGGCCGACGGCTGGGCGGCGCTGTCGCTGATCAACCCGGGCGGGTTCGCGCTGCTCAAGGTGGCCATCGACAGCCACAAGCTGTACGTGTACGAGTACAACGGCAACTTCATCGTGCCGCAGGAGGTGGACGACCTGATCGTCAGCAACGGCGACCGCGTCTCCTTCTTCGTCAAGCTCGACCAGACCCCCGGCGACTACACGATCCGCGTGGCCAACGACGGCCTGAACCAGGTCATCTCCGGCTTCGGCGTCCTGTCGTACAAGGGCGGTAACGGCGTACCTGCCGGCGTGGCCGTGCTCAACTACGGCGGCCAGAACACCACCGAGATCGTCAGCTTCGCCCCGGCCGCCGCTGCCCCTTACCCAGCCGTGCCGGTCGGCACTGGTGCTGCTACCAGCTTCGTGCTGGACATCATGAAGTCCGTATCGCAGCCATCCGACTCGTGGGCCTGGACCCTGTCCGGAGTGTCGTCGTACAACCAGTCGCGCGACGACGAGACGCCGCCGCTGCTGTTCCAGAGCCCGGGCTCCATCCCGTCCAGCGACCTGATTCTCGAGACCAGCTTCGACACGTGGGTTGACCTGATCATCAAGATCGCCGGCCCGCTCGCCGAGCCTCACCCGATCCACAAGCACGCCAACAAGTTCTTCGTCATCGGCGCCGGCACGGGCGACTTCAACTACACTTCGGTCGCGGACGCCCAGGCCGCCGGCCTGCCCTTCAACCTGGAGAACCCGCCGTACGTCGACGGCTTCACGTCGATCCCGGCCGAGGGCAGCGCCTCGTGGATGGTGTTCCGCTACTACGTCAACACCCCCGGCGCCTGGCTGCTGCATTGCCACGTCCAGTCGCATTTCTCCGGCGGCATGGCCGTCGCCATCTTGGATGCTGTCGACAACTTCCCCACCCTGCCCTCTGACGTCGGCAAGGTGTGCTCGTCGTCGTCCTCCAACTCGACCTCGTCGACCGGCAAGAGCTCCGGTTCAGGCTCTGGCTCTGGCTCGGGCTCCGGCTCCGGTTCCTCCACCACCACGGGCGCCACCACCACCTCGTCGCCGTCGTCTCCGGCCGCCTTCACCGGTGCTGCTTCGTCGACGACCGTCGTCGCCCCATTCGGCCTGCTACTGGCGTTGGCCGTCTCTTTCTTGACCACGCAGTAATCAATCACATCCATTAATGATACCCGGCCTGGGCTTGCTCTTGTCTTACCCGGCCTTTGGGGGGTTTTGGTCTTGTCCTACCTGATCGATCTCTTAATCAGCTGGGAGCGTCATGACACATAAGCTGGGGTGGGGGAAGTGGGAGGGAGAGAGACACAACGTATGCAGCAATGGGGTCTCTGATGTGCATATATTTCCACCACCTGGACCCGAACTGATGTGCACGGTACAGTACGGCATGTATATGAATATGTATATGTATATGTACGTGTGTGCATGTGTATATGGGAAGACCAGTGGTCGGGAAGGCTCCCTATGGATATATTTCTTGGACTGGTTTCAATTCTCCGTTTCCATATATTTTCGCATGACATTTCTTTTTTTCTTCCATTATTTTTCTTGTTTCCTATATATCATTGACGAGATATCTGTCTGCCTTACATCATATCACGAGATATCTGTCTGGTTTGGTCTGGTCTGGCTCGGGTCTGCCTTACATCATATCACGAGATATCTGTCTGTCTGGTTTGGCTCGGGTCGGCCTCGTTTGGCAATCAGACCGACTGTGTCATGGTTGCTCGTTTCTTTTGGCGGGGCAAGAATCCCGAATAGGTGAAAAACAAAAGAGTCAGAACGGCAGAAACATATTGAGGATGGATGGTGGATGGTGGATGGTGGACAGGACTGTCTACTATACCGTCATATCGGCTCGCAGCACATATCATTTATCCCCACAGCACGGTCACCAGCAAAGCAAAGCAAAGCAAAGCAGCACAGCATAGCAACGAATGGGTTTGAGTCGATGGGAAAGGGGTACCTGCACTGCATGAGGGAGGACGTCAATGGATTTGTCATGTTACATAAACACAAGTACACATACACTTGGAAGTATATTGATATATACCATACCATCATACCATCATATCTGATCTGATCTGACCTGCTCTGGTGTATCTAATGTTCAAACAAATAACACTCACTACCACTACCTTGAACTGTCTCACGCTGATCTAATCTCATGTTCAACTCTACCTTCTAAGTGATCTTGGTGTTGGTAGTATATCTGATTTAGTTGTCACTTTGATGCTGATGCTGATACTGGCTGATGCTGATACTGGCTGATGCTGATGCTGATGCTGATGCTGATGCTGATGCTGATACTGATGCTGATGCTGATCCTAGCTAATTAGGTCCGAACCTAGCTAAACCCGCCACCCTAGCCTGATAAGACGGCTTCGGCCCGAATTGTAAAGGATGTCGTATAGCATGGTTCATGTATAGAGGGGAAGGAAGAGCAGGTCTTCCCACACCTAGATTCTGCGGTGTCACGACACAGTGTGTAGCATGTAATTAGGTATATGAGTGTAACACTAGAACATATCAAAAGTGATCTATCTCCATTACATGCATCGCATCGTATATCGTTGACGTGCCTTTTCTGTGACCTATCACTTGATCTCTATCACTTGGTCCCTGTCAATTGGTCCCTATCAATTGGTCTATCCTACACACCCTTAAGCAGTCCCCAAGATAGATATCATATTCACATACTCATATATATTCATGCCGACGTGTATATGGTACATGGTTCGGAGTACTTACTTGCTTACTGTACAGTGCAGGTGTACAACATATCCTGGATAGCAATGGCGGTACACAACATATCCTGGATAGTATTGACGGTACGTCGATGCGGTGGGATGCGATGAGATCTAATGCCCATAACATGGCACCAATCAACCAGCCCAAAATCGGATCTGATGGTATCGGATAGTAAGGCCGAGCCCCCTGCTCCTGCCCCAGCTCCTGCCCCTACCCCTGTCCCTGACCCTGGAAGGCAAGCAAGGACAAGGGCAAGGGCATGGGCCTCGACTGTTGTGTCAACCTAGATATTGATACTAGACTAGACTGGATGATCGTGGACTAATTACGGAGTACGGAGGACTTAGTACTGCTGTGTCACTCACATACTCTCACACTCACTCACACACTCGGCGTGGCGTGTGGTAACAATATCAATATCGCACGTGTGTAGGTAGTGACAAGGCCTCGGGTCAGATTGAGTCCAGTTCAGTTCACTTCAATTCAACTCGCCACTGAAACTAGATCGAGCGTTAGTCAGTCAGGTAAACATAACACCACACGCCCACACCTCACACCACACCACACACCCACCCACACCCACCCACACCACACCCACAACAAACAGCCAAAACCAAAAACTTTGCCTACAAACTCCTCGAGCGGAGGTTGTAGGTAAGTGAACCTGTTTTTTCAGGTTTTTCGAGATTGTATGAACTATTGTTGCTTGAATGATCGAATATCCTGGGGTACCACTTAAATCCGAAGTTGAACATGAGACTCTTTCTAAACGCTTAGTGCGCAACCCGTTTGTTGTCTCTTTTCTAAACCACTGCGCCGTCAGACCGGAGGAGGAGGACGAGGAGGGGTTTGGTGAATTGTGAAATGAAAGTGCGGCAGTATTAAATTATCAAGTGTCGAGTGTCAACAATCAGAAACCACGCCCCTTGTGTTGGAGCCTCGTGGCTGGGGGGAGCCAAGGCTATGAAGTTCTAGGTAGGTCACCAGGGTTATCAAGCAGTAGGGGGTCAGGTAACAGGATCGATCAATGCTGGACAGAACCCAACAGAAGGACAGAAGAGTGGCAAGCAGGCGAATGAATCTTCACAACTAATACCGCCATCTTTCACGGTACTCTCAAGGCGGGCAAGAGATGATGCCAGGAAGGAGGAATTACCTAATTACCTGTAGGGAGTAATATTGACCACCAAGGCTCGTCACCTGACTCGGCAAGAAAAGGGGAATCACGTGCCAACGCTATTCATATACTGGCAATAGCTTGCAGCCTGGCCTCACTAGTCTCACTCACCGCGACTCGTGTACCAGTGTAATTTACAGACGCAGACAGGTAGTAAAAAAAACTACTAAAAAAGATTGACATGAAAAATCGGTTGATTCCATTCTCTGGGCCTGGTTCCATACACCGGCCTCAAACTATCTCTGTTTGTTTATCTGGGAATCTTTCGTCCAGCCCAACCCAACGCCGTCGCCATCGCTCGCAAAATCAGACTTCCATCCTAATCATTCCATTACTCGTAAAGATCCATATTGCCCTCCCGGTCTTCGAGCTCGGCCACAGCATCGTCTTCATCCCACATCTCTTCATCTTCCATCTCACTGTCGGTGTGGTTCGGTATCACCACTACCTTTCCATCATCCAAGACCACATTGGCCGTCTCACCGTCCTTAATCGCGCCTCTGAGGAGGAGGATGGCAAGACGATTGAGGATTTCCTTCTCAATCAATCTCTGGAGAGGACGGGCTCCGTACGCCGGGGAATAACCGGCAGCGCCCAAGTAATCCTTAACCTCCTCATCGGCATGGATGGTGATCTTCTTCTCGTTGGCCTCCAACCGCTTCTGGATCTCGTGCAATCTCAGCTCGACAATCTTCCGGATCTCTCTCCTAGTGAGCCGGTTGAAGATGACGATCGAGCTGATTCTGTTCAAGAACTCGGGTAAGAAGTAGTTGCGGAGCGCATTCATCACCAGTTCCTTCGTGGTCGGGTCGATCTTGCCGTCCGGAGCATTCTGGCGCGACAGGTATTCGGCACCCAGATTGCTGGTCATGACCACGATACAATTCCTTGCATCCACCACACGACCTTGGCCGTCGGTGATTCTGCCATCGTCCATGAGCTGAAGTAAGACGGTGAGAACTTCCTTCGCCGCCTTCTCAACTTCATCGAACAGCAGGATGGAGAATGGTCGCCGTCGAAGTGCTTCGGTCAATTGACCACCAGCATCGTGGCCGACGTAGCCCGGTGGGGCACCGATCATCCTCGATAGCGAGTGCCGCTCCTGGTACTCTGACATATCGAACCGAATCATCGCTTTCGGGTCATCGAACAGGAATTCTGCCAGCGCCTTGGTCAACAGCGTCTTACCGGTACCAGAAGGACCGCAGAACAGGAAGCTAGGAGGTTGATTGGGGTTACTAAGCCCTGATCGCTGCAGTCTGATCGCGTTGGAGACCGCCTTGACCGCTTCCTTCTGGCCAACCACCACCTTCTGCAAGTATTGTTCCATGTGAAGGATCTTTTCCTTCTCCGAAGCGCGTAGTCTTTGGATCGGGATGCCGGTCTGCTTGGCCACAATAGACTGGATTTGTTCGGGACCGACAGCGTCTGTAGGTGTGGCATCGCCCATGTCGCCGACTCTGGCACGCGATTCGGCCTCTTCTTGAGCCCGAGCGTTCTCGAGTTGCTTGATCTTTGCCGTCACATCTGGAATGGCGTAGTAGGTCAAGTCGGAAGCGGTTTGGAGATCATTGGACCGCTCGGCCTCGTCTCGCTTGTTCTTGAGTTGGTCGAGTTTGATCTTGAGATCCTGGATCTCCTTCGATCGAGTCTTCTCACGTTCGTAGTGCTCCTTGAGAGGGGCTAGTTCTTCCTTGACGTTGGCTGCTTCACGCTTCGCCACCTCTAGCCGTTCGACTGAAGCGGGGTCTGTTTCCTTTTGGAGGGCGTGAATTTCAATTTCCAGCTGGCGGAGTTTGCGTTCGAGGTTGTCAAGCACTTCGGGTTGGGATTCTCGGATGACGCGCACATCTGCCGCGGCTTCATCAATAAGATCAACCGCAGAATCAGGGAGACGCCGTGAGGTGATGTATCGTGCGGCCAATTGTGCCGCCGCCACAATGGCACCATCGAGAATGGTCACACCGTGGTGGACTTCGTATCGCTCTTTCAGGCCACGGAGGATGGAAATGGTTTCTTGTACCGAAGGCTCCTTGACCAACACCTGCTGGAATCTTCGTTCGAAAGCAGCATCTTTCTCGATGTACTTCCGATACTCTGCTAGCGTGGTGGCGCCGATACAGTGCAGTTGACCCCGGGCCAACATGGGCTTGAGAAGATTTGCCGCGTCCATACCACCCTCACCACTGGCGCCCGCACCCATGAGGAGGTGGATTTCGTCCACGAACAAGACGATCATCTCGTGTGACTGCTCGATCTCTTTGAGCACGCCCTTCATCCTCTCTTCGAATTCACCCCGGTACTTGCTGCCAGCAACAAGGGATCCCACGTCAAGTGAGAGGAGTCGGCACGCGGCCAGGTTGGCGGGGACATCGGCATTGATGATTCGTTGTGCGAGACCTTCGATGACGGTGGTCTTACCCACACCGGGCTCACCGATCAGGACGGGGTTGTTCTTCGTCCGTCGTGACAGAATCCGAATCACCCGTCGAATCTCTTCTTCTCGTCCAATGACCGGATCGAGCTTGCCTTCTCGGGCGAGCTGGGTCATGTCGATGGTGAATTTCTTTAGGTTTTCATTCTCTTCCTCGGTATCGGCGGTTTTGGAGTCGACCCGCTTCGTTCCCCGGATCTGCTGGATGGCGCTCTCGATGAGTTTGTTGTTGGGGATATTGGCCTCCCGTAGACAGTCTTGGATCTTGACGTCCTGGACCAGGGCGACAATCAAATGGTCAATGGCCACGAAACTGTCCTTTTGCGTCTTTTGCAGTTCCGTAGCCGATCTGATTACCTTGGCCAGTGCCGGCGACATGGTGATGTGCTCTGGTGGGGGATCTTGACTGGGTAACCGCACCAGGGCCTTCTTGAGTGCTCTGTCGAGGAGTTGAGTGTCGCCATGGGCTCTCTCTATCACTTGCCGAAAGAGGGGAGCCGAGGCATGGGTTTGTGAGGCATTGGCCGTCGTCTGTTGGTCCTTGGACTCATCTGGGGAGGGATCAAACAACGCAACTGCAAGATGAACGGGGAGGATCTGAGAATGAGCGTATTGTTCTGCAAGGTTTGCAGCGTCTGTCAGCGCCTTGGCGCTTCTATCAGTAAACTGCGGCCCGCCTGAAGCCATAGCTTAATGAAGTTTGAAAGGTATAATGAGTTTTGTTTCGTTTGTTTCAGTTTGAGGGAGAGAGGAGAGAACTGGGAACAGGCGGTGGTGAGTGTGGTGCTTCTTGTACTGGGCCAGCGGGCGGAAGTTGCGCGGAAGGCTATGACATCGTACCTTCCAGAAGCAGCCAGCGCGGGCTTGGCGGGCCTCGAATGGCCGGGAGGCTTCACGCATCAACTGATGCTGCCCGATCTGAAGCTGCGAGATGTGGCTCGCTTGGGGCAGATGCTGTCACGCACTTTCGCTCACCTCATTCTCACGACTCTAGTACTGACTCGCATCATCCGAGCCTGAACCCACACCTGCCCTTCCCTGTTCTTCCGGCCAAAGAAAGAACCATCTCTGCAAAGATGCCTCCAATGCCCGCTTCTGCGCAGCGGCGTGGTCCGACCTGGATCGACAAATGTAATTCTCTCACTTTCTCCATGCACGTCGTGGTCTGCCGAGACTAATAGGCTACAGTGAAGATGGGCATGCTCATGGGTGGAAGTCAGTCGAACGTAATGATACCATAGAGGATATGGAAGCTAATGGAAATGCCAGCTGTCGGAGGAATCATGGGCTTCATTTATGGTTTGTCCCAAATGCAGGAGCAGGAACCTCGCACACACACCAAGCTGACCTTCCACTCCAGGAACCGTGACGGTCTTTCAATATGGCGCAGGCCAGGCAGGGGTAACGCGAACCCTGGGGAAATACATGCTTGGATCGGGCGCAACCTTCAGGTACGCCGCCTCCTCGCCTGGGGTCTGCCCCAGATTACAGGACTGGCTAATTAATTGCATCTGCAGTGTCTTCATGGGTATAGGTAGCCTTATTCGCACCGACTCTCCTCAAATGGCCTCGTCAGCATGGGCACGATCACACTACCCTCCTCTTGTTCATCCACGACGTGACCGCCCTCAACTTCAGCGATAGTTAATCGACTCTGTGTTATCTCGGGAAAGAGGACGTCTCGCAGCTTGAATGTACATATACCATTTTGGGAACTGGAAAAGCTGAGTGCGACATGAGCGATACCCATGGACATGTAATGTGAATACACAAAATTCTGCCAACGATATCGATTGTTGAGCAGATGCTGGACAGAACGCTGGTTCTGCACTGCGTGAGATACAATTGACCCAGTCCCCAGGCACTGGCGCAAGGCGAGAATAGTGCAAGGTCGACATCGCGGGGTCGCCGATTTGATTTGCAAAAAGCCACAGTTGTCGCAGGTTCGGAGACAAGCTATGTCTTTGTTTTTCATTCCCTCAGCCGCCACCACTGAGGTCGCCTGGAATCCGATCGATCACCGAGACTTTGACAGCTCCCCACTCACTGCCTACGAGGATCAGCCTGTCTGATTGTCGACTGGAGGTGTAATGAATTGCTTTCAACGTTACCAAAGAGCCATGTGGAACGTGAGAACAGAACAGTTTCAGTATTGGTACACCGCTACTTGAACCACCGTGAATATTATAATCCAGCCTTTGAGCCAATCTAGAGCGACTGCGCCAAAGCGCCCGGATCCCTACTAGCATCGTACATGTCTCGACTTCTTCCGACCGCACATTCCCAACTACCGTCCCCTGGGCTTGGTGAGTCTGGGGTGGTCGTGGTGTCTTCCCATCCGCCTGCTGATAACTTGTATGCTGGCATCCACACACATAATCTTGCCGTGCGTGGTTGTATTCTCTGTCATCGAGAACCTGGAACATTCAGGGCCGGGTGCGTGCCATGGCTGAACCCGTTGACGAGGCCACTGTGTTGCCATCTTGAATAATCGGGTGTGGAAGCCTTCTCATCTGAGAAGACAGTCTTGAATCTCTCAGAAATGCAGGCCAAACAACAAAGGCCGCATCTCCCCTCAACATAGGTCTTCAGGGGCAGGAAACGCTTAGTCGCTAAACAGTTATGTACCGTCTATGCATGCTTCATCCGGATATCAGCACCCAAAGCAGGAAGAAAATCTGTAATGGTTAGCGACGTCGGGACCGAGAACGTTGGAAGCCTGTTCGACTTACCATGAGCACGCCAAACATTTTTGCCACAAGCCATCGGTTTCCTTGCACACGATTCCAATACTTCAACAGCTCCCGCTGCGCCCCTTGAACATTGTCCACCACGTCCTCGGTGTTGGCATCTATCCGTTGCAGCATTTCTCCTTGTTCCGAGACCATGCTCGCAAGCTGACCAAAAATACTTCCGAGTTCATTTATCGTCCGCTCAATGGCTTCAATGGCCTGTCCGCGCTCTTGAATATACGTGTTTGTGGGTTGCGCCTCTTCCATGAGCAACAACTGGTGATCCGAAAGCCCACCGTTCCTCATTAGAGTAGATGTGTTGGACGGCTCTAGCGTCAGCAAATCGTTTGAGGATGCCTGCGGGGTCTTTTGACGACCGGCAGCGTTCTGATATAGTGGTGACTCTGATCGCGAGTCGTCGAGATGGGTTTGTGAGCGCGCGGAGACGGAGGATACGAAGTTCTCCGTCCTTGACCTTGAAGCTTGGATGTTTTTCGTCCGGACTTCTAAGACATCTTTAAAGTTGGCAGCCACATCGGTGACTTTATTTTGTAGCATCAACACGACATTCTTGTGGTGTTGGCCTTCCTGGTCTGCGGATCGAGGCTGGAAAGCAGTCGGATGTTGTGACTGCGTAAGGTGTTGCAGTGCTGAGATCTGAGAATTGAGGTTGGCTAGGTCTTGTTTGATCACATATGTGAGCTCCGAGATCTCCACAGGCCGGTCGTCAAATATAGCCTTTCTCCGAGCGACTGTCTTTGGATTAGCAGTGTTCAGCTTCCAGCATTGACGGGCACCATCCGGGTTTTACATACGCTGCGCCAGTCTCTCCAATTTTCCCATGGTGGCCGTGATGCCACGACTGATTTGGGCGGCATTGCGCGCGAACTCTGATCTTGCACCCTTGGAAGGGCCGTGGGGAGCGCCATTGGCTTCATTCTTTTGTGCTTCTGTTAGGAGAGATTGTCGTTGAGGACCTCCTTTTGTGGCGGACTGTCGCTTTTGAACCTGAGTGAGGATTGCGCGGAACTCGTTCGTTCGATCTTGTATGGTATGGGAAACCATGATGACGGATCAGATCTAAACCTGCCACGATCAGGTGGCCAGCTCAGAGGTTGGGTGAAAGCCGTGAAGGCGCGGCGGGATTCGAAGTCAGGGCCGAGTTGGCAGAGCGGTCATCCTTGCGCAGTTGTAACAAAGACAGGGACGGCAATGCTAAAGTGAAGTAGAATGCTGATTAACACAGACAGGCGAAGTTAAATCTGCCAACGAATTTACTGGCGTTACGGAAGGTATGTACAAGGAGCGGATATGAAGGGAGTGAACAGAAGAACCATCCTGGCGCAACCGCAGCCGAGATCAATAGCGTCGTCCACTGTATCGCCAGTTGGCCAGCCGCCACTCCAGCTCATATTGTCCACCGTAGTACGGCGGGTACCTGGAACCTAGCCCCTGGTAGGTTTGTGGCGCAGCACACTCCGGTGACGCATGAGGCGCAGTGGCGTACTCCGTGCTCCGTATCCCAACTCTCCAATTCCTGCCCTGGTTTGGAGTTTGCACCGCATTCAAGTTGTGCACACGCGGCTGCGCTCATACCTCACCCGCCCTCCCTCGTGCTTGCGCATCCCCTTCATCCTTCACTCATCTCATTGCATTGTCTTGCTCTTTGAGATTCAGTCGAGCCTTGCCTACTAGTCTAGCCCGTGGCGTTTCTGAAAAGTGCTGTGTCTGATTTCTGTTTCGCCTGCGCGCTGTACACTTGGCCGCGCCGCTGCGGTTGAACACTTTGCGCAATGTTCGGCCTTGCATTGTGATGAAAATACCACCTTCCTCTTTGAACGCGTCACTCTAGGCAATAGTCCTAGACGATCGATCGGCAAGCCCTCTCGCAGATGGCGGCGCCCAATTCATTCTCGGCATACAAGACCAACGTTGGCAGGTCGGTTACTAAGAAATGGCGAGAGGCGAATCAAATCAGTTATGACGGGGACGACTGGGGAGACGACGATGAGGCTGACGAGCCGGCCGCCGGATCTGCAGAGGGCGGTGGTTACCCACGCTGGGGTCCTCAACCCAATGTCTACCCTTCGAATCGAAGCGTGACAAACCCTTCACCCTCTCGCATTGGTGGAAGAACCTCTTTTGACCGCGGCGACGATCGAAGAGCCTTCTCCTCTTCCGCGGGCTTCGACTCGGCCTACCCTACCACTCAGCGATCGCCTTTCCCTGAACTTCAAGATGACTTCGAGCCGCCGTCCCCAAACTTTCGAGACCAACCACCTCTGCGTGTCAATACAACACCCCAGGGTTCAATGTCTCCAGGCAACTTTCGCCCCGGTTCAAGAGGTAGACAATATCCCTCTCATGATGCTCCGGTGCCTATGCCAGGTGGCTTCCCTCAGCAGAGGAGATCTGGCTCAAGCAATCGTCCTCCTCCCGGGGATATATTCCAGCGGCATGAAAGCCCGATGCGTCCTGACAGTCGTGGGTCAAGCACATCAGCCAGGCAGTTCCCTCCTCGCAAGACAAGTTTGAGTCAGCAACGGTCGCCGCAGATGGACTTCATGCAACGCGTCGATACGGTTCCTCCTACTCAACCTTCGGAAATCAGCAATAACAACGAAGACAAACCTATACCGGTCTTTGTCCGGCCCTCAGACATTTACAAACGTATGCCGCAAGAGATGGAGAAGGCACGCAAGTCGCAGGAGTCATCCCGACCCAGCATCGATTCCATCAGTGGTCGAGTCAGAGAGCGCTCAGTTGGTGCTGGCTCAACATCTTCTGATCCAAGAGACATCACTAACGCCATATCCCAGCCCGTAGATGATGCTGACTCTACGCGGCGACTTAAGCCAACTCTAGACCCTGTTCCAGAGCGCAAAAGCGAGTACGGGTTCGACAATATTCTCCAAGCCTCTGGTGCTCCTAATCCGTCGACAGAGCCAGCGAACGGTGAGGGGACTGCGAGTGTCTCCAGACACCCAACTACGTCTTCTTCTATCTACACCGATCGTCCAGATCCCGTTTCAGCCACATCCATCTCTCGCAATGTCTCGCTTAGCGATACTCTCCCAGAAGCCGACCCCCAGCCACCCTCGCCAGTTCGTCCAAGCTTTGCGCTGCCGGCGATTGGCAGATTGTCGGGATTTGGCATGGATTTTGGCGCCTCGACACTGCCGGTTGAGAACGCGAGTCACCAGTCACCGGTGCAGCGAGAAGCTCCTACATCAGGACAGCACGAGTCCATCGGCGAGAAGGCAAAGATGGAATCAGACATACAAGGCCTGCAGCACCAGCCTTCCTTTGGTTACCGATCGATTGTGCAACAGGCATTCCATGAAAGTGAGAATCAAGGGGCCCTTTCTCCGGTCTCCGCGTCCGACACCGTCGATAGGTCGAACAGCGCTTCGACTTCAGACATTAGCCCTGTCATTGCTCGCCAGTCTGCACATCCAGCGATTCCGGAAGAACCTTTGCGCTCTGAGTCGCGACCAACATCAGCCTCCACATTGCGGCCGAATGAGGCGCAAAAAGTGGAGGATGAGGATTTCCCTGCCCCTACCCCAATTCGTACGGGATATCGAAGGAGCGTCACTCCTCCAAGCCGGGACAATAACCCCGCAAAGAGGCCTGTCAGTCTAGAGGCGCCTGTAGACGCACAACCTCAGCATGGCGCTATAGTCTCCGAGCAGGAGGTAGAGCAGGCCGTTGAGATCCCAGCCCATGGAAGAGCACCTGAAGACAAGGCTCTGCCTGCGGAGCCCACCACGGACTCTATTGATCAGACCCAATCATCCGAAGCCAGCATACCATCTTCTGAAAATATAAGGTCGGAAGTGGAACAGGAATGGCAAGCACACAAGGACCAAACTAATGCTCAGCATGATTTCCAGGACAGCGGTGAGACAGTACCGGATTTAACCTTACCCACCAAACGCTCCGAAACCCCTGCAAAGGGTACCGTGCGGGATCTGGCTGGCAAACTAGAATCGCTATCAGGAAGGTCTACTCCGAGCAATATCCAGGCCAGCTCCCCCCCAACAGAGCAAGGTCGTCCGCCACTACAAGCACGACTGGAGACTTTTCGTCCATCTATTCCTGGAGGCTGGCAATCGTTCACCTCGAATACAGGGTCAGCAATTCCCCCATCCACAAGCACGCCTCTTCAGCAATCATCCGATTCTCTTGTAGTGCAACCTCGGCCGCCGTTTGCATCTGCACATGGAGAAAGTTCCGAGAGCATACCTACCGCAAAAGCACCTGTGAATGCTGCATCTGAACCTGATAGCCTCACGCAAAGGGCCTTTGCTGCTGCTGCTTCCGCGGGAAGTGCTCTCGCTGAATCATTCAGTGGGCAGCGCCCGGTTGAGGATGTGGAGACATCCCGGGAAGCATCGGACGACTCAAGTGAAAATGAGTGGGATGCTTCGAGCACATCTAGCAAACAAGACTCGGACCCAGTGAACTTCGACCGTCAACCACTAGATCGAAGTCAAAGCCGGAATCTCGAAGATGTTGGTGGAGCTTCCATAGCTTCGGGACCAGCTGGCCAGGATCCCTCTCCATTGGAGTCGGCATCTCTGACACCCTCGAATGCGGATTACCCGGAGGCAGATGAGGCCCAGTCGAACACTGATTCTTATTTCCCGGCGCCCCTACGGACGGCGAGAATGAGTGCTTCAGTATCGCGCCCACCAATCCCCGAGGTCTCGGTACCGGCGACATCCACTTCAGAGAGCGACAATGAGCGACTGCAGGTCGAAATCGAAAAGAGCTTGACCCCTAAATCCTCAAGATTGGGTGACGTAAACGAAGTTCAAACGGATCAAGTTGAGAGGAACATTCCAGCTGAGGAGATCACACCCCTATCGGAAGCAGGGATTTACTCTGCGAAGCCTTGGTCTGAGACCCGCGATCTGACTCTGCAAGAGTCTGCCAAAATACCCGACAGAGAAACCGGTCTGGCTAGCACTGTCCAAGCACCACCGCCAGTTGATGCACAAGGGCCATCCACAGTTGGCCGGCCGTTCCTGCAACAGCGGTTCTCTTGGGAGACGCAGGCCGAACAAGAGCCCTCGACGCCGAAACAGACGAGTCCACCGTCGACTAGCTCCCCTGATACCATCCGAGCCGCCATTCAATCAGAGCCCGTACCCATCGAGACCTCTCAACCAGAGGCGGACCTGCGTCGGGGTATTGACCCGGAGAGCAATACTCCAGAACAGCCAACTTTCCCTCCAGAGCCCGCACCTTTGAGGACTGATGGATCGGCGATTCAAGCCTCGTCGCACTCGCAACCTGAGCTCGCCCCTTTTCGCGCGATCATGAAACTCGGTACTCCGCAAGAAAGAATTCGCGCTTTTGACGAAGCCAGGGATGTACTTGCTCGCCCGGACGGCGAGTTGCAAGAATGGTTGCTTTCCTTGAGGACTAGCGAGCACTCGGAGCTGTATGCCATGAACGGGCGCATCTCTCAAGACACGACAGAAACCACAAATGCCTACAAGCCATCTCCCCGGCGAATATTCACGGATTCAACTGGAGCAAGACATATGCAAGAAGATGGAAAGAAGCTGATGGCGGCGGCAGGAAGGTTTGGCGGGAAAGCAGGAATCGCGGCCAAGGGCCTCTTTGCGAAAGGAAAGGAGAAGATGCGGCATGCGAGTTCTGGTGAAAAGGTAGTGCATTGATCTTTTCCTTCTTATTCATGCTCGGTGATGGCCATCGTTTCTCTCTGTTGAGATGACAGGTGGTGGCTACGGTGGCTGTTTCTTGTTGGTCTTGGTCGATATCCGGCATCTGGACCTGGTACCCGTCCGACCACATCCTCGTTCCTCATCAACTTCAAATAGTAATGAATGGAAACAAACCATCTTTCACCACGTCTGTTCTTTGTGCTCAGGTTCTCGGTTGACGTTTGTTTAGGGATTCCTGAGCAACCGACACAAGTCGACGGGCCCCGAACCCGAAGACGCCCCTGCTCCCTCTCAGGCGCGAGATTCCACATTCCTAGAAGACCCGCCTCGAATTCCACTCAGCATCTCCCCAGACTCTGCGTCCGATTGGTTCTCACGACCAGAATTCCAGAGGTCGCAGACCAGCGAGGTTCACAGCCCGGTGCCACCCGCAGGAAGTTCCTCGTCGACAGCATCTATCGATCGAGACGCAAGCGAGGCCCAGCATCCAGGGGAGGTAGAGGAAGATATTCCTGGCGATGGGCCTACTGTGGCCGTGGTACCACCCGCAGTGCCTTCGAGCACGTCAATCTCAGCTCTTGACAGCGAGCATTCTGAGGATGCTGGGGTCCCAAGCCGCTCCATCAGTCAAGTGACGAAGCGGACAGCTGAAGAGTCTCCGATTGAATCAGCCCAGCAAGAGAACGCAGAACAGGCCACAGAGGTAGAGCCTGCACTGGTCCTCCCCCAGAACGTCGCTGATACACAGAACCACGGGGAGGTGAATACTCTAGCTGCCCCCAACCCGTTGATGACTCGTCCCGGCGGGTTCGGCGATAGAAGTCTGGACGTGCCTCATGATCGACGGCATTCTATGATATCGGAGGTTTCTAGCGTCAGCCCGAGTCTGGGGCCAGATTCTATCCAGCTACATCGGAGTCACAGCATATCGCCAGCGGATGAATCCTCCAGGATCTCTGAACCGAAGCAGCTCGAGGATACTCAAGCGTTGGGTCAAGAATCGGAGAGCACCAATATTGGCGGCGTCACGCAACCTATTCCGCCTCCTCTGGAAGGACTGGCCCCAGAGGGCGGCGAAGGGAATGTCGAGGTGGCCAAGGGACAGCCGACCAGCGAGGCTGAACCTCATAAACGGCCACAGGAGCAAAGCCGGTATGACAATTCTCCGCGCCGACCGTTCTCTTTTGTTGGACTCGAAGGGATTGGCGAAATCCATCGATCACTAGAGGCCGGTCACGATCCAGGCCGAGTTTCTACTCAACCGTTGAGTCCTATCAGTCAAACAATCAGCAGCCCATCTCTCGGCAAGGAAATGTCCGAGGTCAGTGTGGAGGACGTCCTGGACTCTGCGAACGCCGACGCCGCTGGTCAAAGGCAGTCTCGATCGTATTCTAGACCTTTTGGCGCGGATCCCAACATCAAACACCATCCTCATCCAGCCGAGTCTGAACAAGCAGCAATAGACAGAAGGCATATGTACTCCACCGAGAATCCCTTACCCAGCGCCAGACGGCTGCAAAACGAGGCTGAGCGTCTACGTCGGCCACGCGAGCAGCATTACCACAACAGTGCACCGCAGCCGCCGCCGCCGCCGCAGCCACAAGTGGCGGCCGAACCAGAGTTTCGGATTCCCGGACCGTATGTTCAGGAATACCGATCGCCAAAGCACATCTCAGCGCCCAAAACAGCTCGAAGTCAGACGCAAATCCAGGCCAGTGGAGAGCCCTTACCAAGCGCTTCGAGAACTCACCGATACAGTGCGCAGGCTTCTTCACAGTCCCAAAGACCGATTAGCACTGGTTATACTGGCTCCGAGCCCGTCGCGTCTCAATTCTATCGAGGGCAGACAGATCCGAGGCCCAGCTTTGATGCCCAAGACCGATACCCCGACATGAAGCCGCAAATCACGCAGCACGAGGAGGTCATTCCACCTCAGCGGCAGTCGATGGGGCCTCCGCCGGTGCCAGACCAACAGCTGGCGATGCCATCTGCCACCGACCGTCCAAAAAGGGGTGTTTTTGGAGGACTTTTCGGGCTGGGCGGTGGCAAGTCGCGCTCAAAATTGCAGAAGCTTGATCGCGGCGAGATTGTTGATAGCCGCGGCGCCCACGGCCATGATAAAGAGAAACGTAACAGTCTGTTCCGGCGACATAGCCGACACGACAGCATCTCCTCACAACAAAGCAGCCAGTACGGGGGTGCTGATCAGGTTGGTCAGCTCCCACGGACAAAGCTCCAGTCTCATGCTGCCAACCGGCAATCGAGGGAACTGTTGAGGACTCCAACGCCGGAGCCGCAGCCGTCAGAGGTGAAGAAGAAGAGGTTCTCCGGCCTTGGGAATCGACTTTTCAAGACTGGTGGCGGCTCCAGGGCATCCACCGTGCCGACGCCAGCAACGCAAGATGCATCGGTGCCTGCTGGCGGACAGTTGGGCCCCCAGTCATCTCAAGCAGTCATGTCTCCGCAGACGTATGACAGTGGCCCCGGACGGTATTACACTCCAGAGTCAGGACAATGGCATCATGGCGGGCCTGATTCTCGGCACAGCCTCTCCCAGCAGCAACAGCAACAGCAGCAGCAGCAGCAGCAGCAACGACAAGGTCAGCAATCTCCAAGATTTGCCTCTCCGTATCAGCATCAAACACGCCCAGTCAGCTATCCTTACCCCACGGAAGAGCCTCCAGACTTGCGGGGACAACGCCCAATAACAAGATCTATCCCGTCCACCAACATGTCCCCGTATGGTGATGTGGAACAACGGCGTCCTTCTGATCTCCGCATCGACACGGGCGATCGTAACCGCCGTTTCTCCGGCCTGCCTGCCACAGCGCCTGCGCAGATCTATCCTGCGGAAAACGATCCCAGATCAAGCCCTGGAGTCTTTGATACGGTGAGTCGTGCCAGCGCCAGAGGCAGCCCGGTGGCCCATCAAGCACGGTCTACTCAACCACAGCACCGCGCCCACGTGCTCGACTTGCATAAGCGATCCCGTTCGCCTCGAATCGGTAGGAGAGGTTCCGATGAGTTCGATTCAGCGAAAGATTCGACTTCCAATACGGGTTCGAGGCTTGTTGGCCAGCTGGGCACGTTCAGTTCTAAGAAAATCAGCCCGGTCGGCGGCATTCCGCGGTCCGATGACGATCAAGAACGGCCCTATGCGATCAACGTTCCTGGCTTGGATATCGACGACGGCGGCGGCGACCATGACAACGACCGCGGTCGCACCGGGGTTTCCTACAAGGGCGGCAGGTCTGCGGAACGCAGTGAAAAGTCTGTGAGTGTCGAGTCCAGCAATGGCGGTCAACATGGCCGGGTCGCTGCGCAGGGGTCTGGTGGTGGTGGTGGTGGTGGTGGCTTGTTGGAGAGAAATGTCAGCGTCCTTGAAGGAGCACAGCCCACCAACCCAGCAGATCACCGGCGCAGCAGCGCGCGAGACGTCAATTCAGGGGGCTTCATTGCCGAACTACCCGGGTCGAGAGCCGAAGGGTACGAGTCAGAAGAGGAGATTCCTATGAGCGCCACGGCGTATCCGGGGCAAGAGTGGGTGCCGATCATTGTGGGTGATGACAGATGGGATGATTGAGAAGAGAGATGTTTGGGTAGTGGGTGTTGAGGGTGTGAGCCGAGCCGAACAGGACCGGGATGCCTTCGTTCTTTTACCATGGCAATGTATGGCTTGGGATCGGATGTGATCGGATGTGATCTCATCTGATTTGTTAGGGGGTGGGAGAGGAAGGGGTTCTCACCTGGGGTTTTATTTCCGTTTCTGGATTTCTCACCACGCCCAAGGATGTTACACCCTATATTATGTTGAGCGTTGAGCGTTCAGCGTTCCGCGTTCCGCACTGACTGACCGGTTGGGGATTTCGAAGTGCCATGTTTTCATCATGTAATATCTATCCCTTACGGCCGAAGTTGGGTTTTATTGTCTTTATTGTCTTGTCCATAGTGACGGCGATCATGGACACACGCAAGTTCCAGTTGTTCCGCTCGGGCAGACCAGGTCTGTCTGCTTCCAGGCGAGGGTTAAAAGTTGGGTTGGTGGTTGGTATTTCGAGTCGATATGAATCTTAATTTGGGTCTGAATCTGAAACTGAATTTGAAATTGCAGTACAAGTACAAGTATAAATCTGAATCCGAATCGAGTCCAGAAGATATCAGGGATCAGGAAAGGGATGGGGATGGGGATGGGGATGGGGATGGGAGAAAAACATTAATTGTCCTTCTCGTCTTGTATATGATATGATATGGCATAACATGATACATGATCGATCGATCGATTGATTGACTATACTGTACTGTACTTTACGGATAAGGTAGTTGTCAATCGTCACCGGCACCTCTACTATCAGGACCTACCTGTAGTAATTAGGTGACTGGGAAGTAATTGACCAGATAGATGTCTAATAAGTATATGCACATCAAGTATAAACACCAAGTTCGCGTGCTTTCCTATACAAGAAACAACAACAAAAAACGGGAATTATAAATAGTCACTGTTTCATGTTTGTTTGGTGTTTTCATTCCACTTCTCCTGAGAACCAGTCTCTAGGCTTTGCTATACTATACTATACTGCTATACGATGCTGCCGGCCATCGAGGCTGGATTGGATGGATACATGACAAAAACCAAAACAGAAAACCAGAACAGAAAACCAAAACAGAAAAGCAAAGCGACAAAGCGACAAAGCCGGTTCAACCAAAAAGACGAAAATGGCCAAGGTGTGGCCGCATACCCAAGGAAGGGTGTTGGTATTGGTGTGGTGTGGAAACAGTTTGCGCCAGTGCCGGCCTGGGCGGTTCTTGAACGTGAGCGTCAGCGTGGACGTGGACGTGATGAAACGAGTGTCGTTGTGGTGTTGTTGAGGTGTGGGCCCCTTGCGATTCGAGTCCATGAGTCCAGCTCGGCGGGTGTCGAAGTGGAAGTGGAATGCCGCTGTTGTTGTTGTTTGTATTGGGGGTCTCGTTTCCCGAAAATCAGCCACCAGGGCTTGGTCGGCGCTGCTTGCCGTGTGGTCTTTATAATAATTGAATATAGGAAATATGCTCTAGGCAGAGCGTGGCTGTGTGTTGTTGTTTCAAGCTTCCTCTGTTCGGTGCCCACCGGGGGCCACCGAGCTATCTTTGGCTGTATCCGTACTGCAAGGTTCACTGTGATGGTTGTGGTCGGTCCGAGAGACCAGCTCAGGGACACGCTCTGTTGTAGAGTCAATATTTGGTTTTTCTTTGAGATTCTGAGTTGAGGAGTCCAGCTCTAGGGACACGCTCTGTTCTGCCACTAGAGTCTGAGTCGGTAGTGTTTATTTTGCTTTGAGATGCCAGCCTTAGGAGACCAGCTCCAAGGCATTGTTGCTGTGACTACTTCTGTCATCTTTGGTGACCGCAAGGGAGTCAATTTCTTTGTGGATGTTTCCATGACACTGGATTCAGACCAGCTCTGTAGGTAGTGTCTTGCACTGTTCTCGTTGTTCTAGTGGCCTCCAGGGCTTGGGGCTTGGTGTGGGTAGTAGTGATCGTGTAAATTTCGGGTCAAGACCAGCTCGACATAACGTGGGTTTTTGTAGGTTCAGAAGGGCGCCAGGGCTTCCCGGCGGTTGCGTCTTGATGTGTCGAGTCGGAAGACCGGCTTCCGGCACTATCTGCTGAAGGAAGGTGGTGTTCTGTGGCCGCTAGGGCTTAGATTTCGCTGTATTTGTGTCTCTGAGATTTCGAATCCAGCTCGGTGCAAGGGTGCTCTCATTCTCTATGACTTTATCTCACTCTCGCCAAGGCCAGCTTGGGAAGATAGAGGTAGTTGTCTTCTGGGTGTCCAGTGAAAGGAACCAGCCCCTGTTGTATCATTGTCACCGGTGTGTGGATGGCCGCCAGGACATAGCTTGGACTATGGTCGAAGCCAGCTTTCGAGTCCAGGACAGGGATGGTGTTATGCGATGCGCTGACCAGGAGAAATGTCTGGATGGCCACGGGATGGCCTCCAAGATGTACTGGTTGCAGCTGTAGTGTAACGTCCATGGGTCGCCCAGGACGCACATTGATTGCGTTGATCTTGCTTGCCTTTGTGAATTTCTTTCGACTTTTCTAAGATTATGCTCTGCCTCCGTCACGGTCCTTCGTCCCACTGATAAACACAGAGGTTCGGTGACCGATGATCGAAGAGGCACGACAATATTGCAAGGTTGTGGATACCCGCCACCAGGGCGTAAGTGTGATGCTGCTAGCACTGACGGTGACGGCGGGCGTTCCATCGCCGGAAACCAGCTCCACATGATTGTTGGCAAGCGATTGAGGCTCGCGACCAGCGCTGCGTTGTGAAAACAAATGCTGTACTACCGGCCGGCGCTATTAGCTCGGCGTTGGAAGGTATCAAGGAGCAAGATGCTTCTTGTAACGAGTGTAGGTTCTTATAGATTGGTTGCTCCTGGGATTCCACTTCGATTTGGCCCAGTCTCCAGGAATATCATGGCTCATGACGATCACGGCTTGGCCTCCGGAGCTGCAGCTGAGATGTTGCTTCAAAGTTGTTGATGAACCTGGATGGCTGAACCGTGTAGCTGGTCCAGTCAGGCAATTGCCGGATGGATCTGGGTCCTTGACGCCGTCCAGTGAGCGTATTTCTGCAGTCTATGCGCTGCAGCGCTTCTGGGAAATGGACGTTTCATTGTGGATTCCACAATTTGCACAAAAGCCCTGACGAGCCTCGTCAGCACAGTCACTAGCCTGTGATCTGTTCTCGGGCTTGTCTCTTCCGATGGGTCGGGCTTCAGGCTCGGACGCAACTCCCTCCCCCAAGTCGTCGCCGCTGACTGATACTCGGAAGAGGTGGGGTTGTCGACATGATCGCGCAGGATCTCCTTGCTGATATGGGCACATTCCGCAATACCACAAAGGCATGCTGCAATGGCGAGGACCCTAAATGCCAAATTGAGCATTTTGCTTTTACTGGGAGGGCTATTTTTGGTTCTTGTCGTTCTTGTCTGGCTTTGCGGTGTTGATTGACGGTCAAAGTGACATTGGTTTGCAGGGACAGGGCTCGAGGTTGACGAGCCAGGTGGTACGTACTTGTCACATCAAGGAATGCTGGGGTAGATTGTCCTGGTCCAGAACCCAAGAAATCTCTCTCCTCGTGGTGGGAGCAAGGGCGGGCTATATATGTCCTGGGTCAGAGATTACCCCTGAAGTGGACTGCGGTCGAAATTCGAGAAGAGTCGTCATCTGATCCCTCCGATTGCTGGATTTGTCCGTCCAATACCGACTCGCGATCAGGAGATCGAAGCGAGGCCTTGTTCAAGTTGCGCTTTGGCTTGCCCTCATGACGGTAGCGGCTTGAGGTATCCAGTCCAGGCGTGGCTGATGCTTCGCTCGCCGGGCCTCATAGAGGTCTATGAACAACCCGACAGCTGATAGAGACGATAACCGACAGCTAGCGGATATGGACCGAGCTTTGGTTGTCGATGACTCGGCGTTGGTCCGAGCGGACCGTGGGGCCGGGCCTTCTCGACGCCAAAGAATGATGTTTCGCGACGACACAGATATTGAATGACCTTATGCGATAGAATCGACGTAGACTTTAGTTTCTTGTTCCATCAACAGCCGGCTCTCTGGCCTAAGTTCAGTCGACTGCACTTATCTGGGGCCTGTTGAGTTGCCAGACTGAAAGTGCGAGGTTGACGCTTGGACCTCCGAGGTCACCATGCTCGAATATCGCGAGGCTGGGACTGTAAGGGGTTGTGCTTTCCCTAGAACGCCCACTACGCCATATAGTCCATGCGGTGGTCTCATGAGCCCGACACCAAAACCTGAATCGAGGGTCAAGGAACAAGTCGTGTGGTGGGACACAGGCCCTCAAAAATCGTGGAGGCTGGAGGTTGTTGAGTCAAGGTTTGAACGTCCAATCCCAGCGTCATACTGAAGATTCGTCATTGCATCTGGACCACAAAGACGCATCAAGGAGGAGTCGATTAGGAACCAGAAGACGGCACCGAAGCGAGGGGAGAATCATGGAGGACTCCGACAGCTGAGAAAGGCAAGGCCAGAACATGCTCGTCCATAGCCCTGAATGCCGGATTACAGAGGAGACGCCGAGCTCGGGTGATCTCGCACTGCCTAACGTATTTGTCACCTCGCGTAGAAAGAGTTTGAGAGGTGCTTACGGCGGAGGAAGATCTGTAGGAACGTGGCTGTCACAAGGTGCCTGATGCCTGGTGCCTGCCTGGTGGAGGAAGGAACGGCATATCGCGACATATCTGCTTCGCCGGAGTCCATTACTGCGGAGCATATCAAGGCCACACGCAGTGACCCTTCAATGTCCAATGTCCATCTTCGAGCGCACTCTTTCCAGTCGTGACACTGTATGACCTTCCAGTTACGCTGCCAACCCTGAGCAGTGGTGTAAAGATCTGCCACACGTCTGGACTGGATCATCACATTATGATGGCTGTGGCAGATATTGCACGCCTCGAATCCTCCCGTCGGCATATACGCCAGACGCCTTCTCGATGAAGCTGGACTGACAGTCACCCATCGCCCCAGAAGCCCTGAAGCCAGCCTGATCTTCCATCCCTCGAGACTGCCATGAACAGCCTCTCGTCGACTTCGTCCGAGGACGCCATTCTGGCCGGGCTCCTGGACTACTGCGTCGACCACGGAATTCAAATCTCTCCCAACATTTCAGTCCGGCGCGTGCCTGGCAAAGGTTTGGGCGTGTACACGAGCAAGCCGTTGCGGCGCGGCGAACGAGTCATGCACGTCCCGACGGCCGCGCTGTTCACGACGGCGTCGGTGCCGCCGAGCTTCGTGGGCAAGGAAGCACGCAAGACCATCCCCGTCCACGCCCTGCTGGCTGCGTACTTGGCGTTTGGCATGTCCGAGGCCAAACGTGAGGAGCATGCGCGGTGGATGGCAACGTGGCCGAGACTGACGGATTTCACGAGCACCATGCCGCTGTTCTGGCCGGCGAGGCTGAAGGCGCCGCTTGCGCAGCACAATGGCAGCAGGAACACCGCCAGTGCTGAGCAAGGAGAGAAAGTGGCCCCATTTCCATTTCTCCCGCTGCCGCCTTCACTGACTGGATCGTGGCTACCTTCTTCCGGAGAGGAGTCTCGTCAGACGACCTCCAAGGTGCTCGATGTTCAAGAGTCCAAACTCGAGTCGCATCTACAGATCATCGCCCAGGCCTTTCCTTCTCGCGCATCAGCTCTGCTTTCGCCGGGCGACCCATTGCACTGGAAGTTCATCCACATGTGGTGTGTCGTGTCCAGTCGATGTTTCTACTACCTCCGACCGGGCCAGCAGCCGCCCAAGGACAGCAACGAAGCCATGGCCTTGTGTCCGGCAATGGACCTGTTTAACCACTCCGACGCGGCGAGGTGTCACACGACCTATGACAGGAAGGGATATTATGTGACAACAGACCAAGAGTACAGTGTGGGCAAGGAAGTTTTGCTTGGCTACGGCGCCCACAGCAACGATGTGCTGTGGAACGAGTACGGCTTTATCATGGACAGCAACGCCAGCGACGGCGTCCAGTTGGACGAAGTTGTGCTGGCGTCCTTGACCGATGTGCAGAAGAAGGCACTCCAGGACGCCGGATATCTGGGCGACTACTGGCTCAAGCCCGATGGGTTGTGCTGGAGATCGGAGGCCGTGGCCTGGTTGGACATCTTGACCCCCAGCCAGTGGCATCGATTCCTGGAGGGTAAATACGATCCCGCCGTGGCAGACAGACAGTTCGCGGCCCAAGGCGATGAAACCAAAGTCAACGGCGCTAATAACAATAGGAAGCGGAAAAGAAAGTCGAATGAAACATCCGGTGCTGCCAAAGCGACTTCCGCGCCGAAACAAGCTCCAAGCGAACGGGCAAAAAGGAGGCAGCTGGCTTGGCTCGCATCAATTGCCGGCGTGGCGGAACATAGTCTGAGAGGACTCACTTCGACGGCCATGCGGCCCGTTGAACACAATGGAAAGGGCGACGACTCGGATGAGGAGCTGCTGGAGTGGTTCGGGGACGCAGACACCGTTCTTGAGTCACAGGGGCTTCGGGGTTCAGAAGTACCGGAGACGAAGTCATCTCAAGCCAGGTTGAGGCACAGGATGTGCGCGCAAAGATGGAGGCAAATCTTGAAGCTGTGCACCAAAGCCATGGGCACGATTTAAGCTGAATGTGCGCCTCTGCGAGACGACGTGGCACGAATGGAAGCCGAAACCCCAGCCCAGCCAATACAAGGGTTAGAGACTCTGGTAGAGGAGTTCCTGGAGCAGGAGACATGAATTGAGTCGGACAGTTCCAAATGTGTAAACATGCTGCTCGCGGCGCTTTTACGTATGATTATCACGAGAACGAGCTCGATCCCACCCCAGAGGCGTCTAGATGGTAAATCCAGCAGCTAGGTAACAAGCAGGCCAGAGGGCCTGATGGGTGTGCAGGCCGCCTCTCAAGTCAGGCCCCGAGCATCCAGGGACACATCTTGACACAGAACTGGTCTGTTTGTAACGGGGCCAGCAAGCTCTAGACCAGTGTCCATTGTCTTCCATCCGTTGAACAGAATCAGCACCCAAGATATGTGAAGAGTAGGCTCGTCTTGTCATGAGTTCCCGGGTCGTTGTGCAGCACTCGACACGCGTGTGCCAAGTTGGACGCTGGTGTTTGGACGCCCCTAAGCCGACCAAACACTTTGGTAAATAAACACATTGGCTACCTACCGTGAATGGGCGATTCGTTGGCCGTCATCTTCGGCATCAGAGAAGACCTCCGTGAAAGATCTGACCAGCCGATAGAGATGCTTCCTGTCCCGGATAGGCACTGAGTGGCAATCGTAGGTCTGCCAGGGCCATATCTGGAGTCATACGGGTGATCTCGACGGCGGAAACTACGAGTGCGTCCATGCTGAATGTGATTCGGAGCCCAAATGTCCAGGGTATGCATGCGAGGATAAGCATGCTGAGGTTGCTGCTGGCTCTGCGGCACCTGTAATCCTTCATTGGCCGCCATAGAGAACCGGCATCGTGTGAGCCCGCCAGGGGATTGTGTCCAGGCAAGATTGCTGTTGAGTAGTAGTTTGCAGCCTAATCGCCTATGGCCTCGGGTTTGACCTTATGTTTTGCCTTGTCGTTCGCTTTGTTTTGCGCCTTCTTAGCCTTCTTCTCTTGCTTTATTTGCTTTTTAGCCTCTTGCTCCTCCTGGGTGGGTTTCGCCTTTCGCTTCTTGCCCTGTTGGGCCGGTGACTGGGACACTGCTACCTTGGAAGGGTCAGTAGATCCCTTTGTTGGCTTCGATTTCGCTTTCGCCTTCTTCTGTGAGGAAGTGACCGGAGTCGAGGTAGATGATGGTGTCTGCTCGGGCTTGACCAAGGCGCTTGCGTCATTAGGCTCGCTTTCACTGCTGGAGGAAGAGTCGCCCGCGGAATCCGACGGTCGTACTGAGGCCAGTTGGGCGGCCTGCTGAAGGGCAGTGTTCACATCCACGGATTCGTGGGTTTCTTGTGCTATTGCCTTCGCTTTCATGCTCGCCTCAAGAGATTTTAATTTCTGGTTCGCTAGAACCCGCTCTCGTGCTGCGCGTTCGGCGCGTTCGAGATCGAATTTCTCATTACCCGCCTTTCCCCTGTTAGCATGGACCACAACCCTGGTGACTAGACTCGCAATACCAAAGCATGTTTTATGAACCTTCCCGCCGCCTCCTTATCCAGCGTGAGTGTCGGCCGCGCGTCTGGTACAGTCTCGGCTTCTTTGATCTTTTCAAAGTACTGCTTTACCCTTGTCAATTCTCTGAAAACGGCATGATCTTTGGCTTGGACTCCATGGAGTTTGAGGTACGCTACAGACGGTTGTACAAGTCAGTGGCCGGTCAGAAAATGGGAACGGGACTGGGACTGTAGCGTAACTCACAGAACAGCAATGACTCGATAGAGTATACGAGAAGGACATTGAGTTTTGCTCGGTCCAGCACTGGGAGTTTTTTGGCCGTGGCAGCCAAGGCGCCCTCTAACAGTGGTTGAAGAGCCTCCTCGAGATCGTCAATGGAATCCTCCAGATGGTCGACGAGCGAGATCACGGCGTTTGTGTCCATTGTAGAGAGACAAGCCGAGCGCTACAGACCTGGAGTGAAAGTGAGGGCGTGCATCATGATCAAGTCCAGGTTTGTGATAAAAAAGTGCATGCAGTTGGAGAATCACAAACTGCGGCGCGGTTTGGTTTCTCCGCGTTCCCGGCCAGCCTCAAAAGTCAAAAGTGACCAGATCCAGTTCGACGACATGATTGTATTTTCTCGCGTACCGTGTCTTCATTAGGCGTGTCAACGGGTCACAACATCTACCAGCGTGAGATTTATTGCATTTGCCCTTCAATTACTTCTCCTCTGCATCATTCAACGGCGCCAGCCACGATGTCTACCTCTACACAGTAGAACACTGGTCCTCCTCCAACTCCTACGCCTCGGCGAACGCTGCCCGATCCTCGCTCATGAGAAACCGTGGTTCTACCCCTCTTCAAGCTGTCGCCACGACTATTTATCCGCCCGCTCTCCAGGGCTCCGGGCAAATGGCCAAGGACTTTGAGACTTGGTTTGCGCCTCCAACCGACCCATTTTCTTAGGAACCAGCAGGCTGGCTATCAGACAATGACGGAGCTGCGATCATGGTGGAGCGGCTCGCCAGAGCCAGACACCCTGGAACCGCCGGCCTCGTTCGACACCAAACCTCTGAAGGACGGCGATCTGTCGGGACCAGAAACCGAGCACCCCCTCACACGGCGCATTCACATCCTAGGTCTGGGGAGCATAGGGACTTTCGTGGCGCATTCTCTCCGCTGCCTCCCGAACCCGCCTCCGATCACGTTGATGATTCACAAACGCCAGCAGTATGAAGAGTTCAAGAGAACAGGCAGAGTGATCTCTTTGATCAACAAGGAAAGTGAGATCAATGATGAGCAGCGAGGCTTCGATGTCGATTTGTTCGAGGGCACGACTGCGGAGAGGACGGGCCAATGGAAATATATCCCCGACCAGGAATGGATGAAAGAAGTATCCAATCCAGTCGAGGAGGGAGAGATGCTGCCATCGGGGGAGCTCTACATCTACTGTCTGATAGTAGCAGTGAAGGGGCATGCCACCGTCTCGGCGCTTCAATCGGTCAAGCACCGTGTGGATGCGAGAACAACCATCTGCTTTATGCAGAATGGTCTCGGACAGATTGACGAGCTCAATCGAGAAGTATTTACCGACCCTCGAACTCGCCCGACCTATCTTCAGGGGGTGGTGTCTCACGGAGTCTACATGACCGATCCCACAACGGTGGTCTATGCTGGACTGGGGACGGTGGCGTTGGGTATTTGTCGAGATGGCGACCGATATCCCTTGCCTCCCAAGACTTGGAACCACAACATCTCAGAGCTGAGCGAGGAGGAACGCCGCAAATTCCATCCCACCGATAAAGAACTTTTTGCCAACCTTTCTTCTCGATATCTGCTGCGCACCTTGACCAGATCGCCGGTGCTGGCTTGTGCGGCATTCCCATATCTGGACCTGCTGCAATTGCAGTTGGAAAAACTGGCTCTCAACTGTGTCTTGAATCCGTTGACCGCGCTGCTGGACGTGCCCAATGGGACACTCTTGTATAACAATGAACTGGCGACGGTGGAGAGAATGTTGCTCGCCGAGATCTCTCTGGTGATTCGCGGCCTGCCTGAACTTGAAGGCATCCCCAATGTTCGAGGGCGGTTTTCGGCCAAGAGATTGGAGCAACTGTGCCACGCCATTACACAGCGGACGGCGAAGAATTCCAGCAGCATGCGCGAAGATATGCGGAATGGCAAAAAACCGGAGCTCGACTACATCAACGGATACATTATAAGACGGGGCGAGGAACAAGGGGTCAAATGTGCACTGAATTTCATGCTGATGCAGCTGGTCAAGGGGAAGCACCTGTTCACCAAACCGGGGGATGCAGTGCCTTACGCCACCAAACGGATTAGAATCCAGAGCGATGATGCAGACCAGCCAGGAACTGTCACGCTTAGCGATGAAAGCACTCCGCCTCGAGGAAGTCTTTAGCGACGATATATCGAGAGCATCTAGAATAGGGAGCTTGTCACATTGGGCATTCAATGAGAATGACTCCAGTACGGATATATAGTGGCATACATCCCATGGAGAAGACATCAATTGAAAGTATACTTTACCTGGCCTACGCTACAGAGGACATGACTTTCCGACGATCAATGTTACAGTACGGTACTAATAAGGAGTACGTACAGTACTTAGTACTAGCTAGCGAAACCGGCTTCAGGTCCACACTCATGGTCTCTGTTTAGTATTTCCTTATGAGATATGAGTCACCAATTCGAAACAGACTAACACCATTATGGCTAATTGATGCCCTGACAGCGGCAATGCTATTGATACCTAAGGTACTACTGAGTAAGATGAAAGCCACCAGGAGAGCCGATAAGGAGTCGAATCGAAAGGAGTCGACTGGGCCGGGCGGGAGCTGTATTCGCAATCTGTCACTACGGACCGTACCTATCCCTACCTAGGTACCTTGTACCCTTCTCGCACCCCTACAGCTCAAGCACCACTACAACGCTCTACGAGTACTGTGTCTGTGTCTATATGTGTATGTGTATGTGTATCAGCTTTCAGTTGGCTCTGAGGTGACCGCCCTCTACCCACCGTCGATGTTGCGCCTCCTCACCCGACGCGTGAGGCTGAGGCAGCAGCCTCCCATCTCCCAAGGTCGACTTGGGCTTCGACATGGACCTCGACAGATGCATTCTGGGTCTGGTTCTGGGTCTGGGTCTACTTCTGGTCACAGCACCGTCCCTCTCCAATATACACTGCACAGTCCCCCTCTGTCTCCATCTTCATCCCCATCTTCATTAAAATCAAGACACTCAACCGTGGCCGGAGGCGGAGACGGACCACCAATTCTCTTCCTGCACGGCCTGTTTGGCTGCCGGAAAAACAACAGGAGCAGCTGTCGGTAAGTCCAAGTCTACGCCTACCTGTTCCCCTCTTCCCGGTCCCGGTCTGGTCATCTTAGCATAGCTTGGTGATGTATCCATTTCTATATCCAAACTGAACCGATACCGATGTTTCATTTCCATTTCTAGGGTTTTCGCCAGAAGGTTGCAACGGGCGTGTTATGCTCTGGTATGTTTAGATCGAATTGATTTCCCATGTTAGGTCATGTCAGGTCATGTCGTGTCATGTCATGTCGTCTCATCTCATCTCATGTCATGGTGGATGGGATAGAATGGAATGGACTCTTCGGCTGATCAGAAGTTCTACTTTCGAGTCTCTAGGACCTTCGCAATCACGGCGACTCGCCACATCATGAAAGACACGACTATTCATCCATGGCCGACGACGTGAGACATTTCATCAAGAAGCATTTTGGAGGCTCCCCCTCTAATCAAGTGACGTTGATCGGCCATTCCATGTGCGTTCTTAGCCTCTGTCTCATAAAGGGTTGGGGAGGGTTCCCGTTCTCATACAAGGCTAGGGTTCCCGTTCCCGTTCCTAACGCTAACATTGGACATTAGGGGAGCCAAAACAGCTCTCACTTTGGCCCTGGAATCTCCCGAGCTGGTGGCCGATGTGGTCGCCATCGACAATGCCCCGATCCGCCTCCCTCTGCTCGAGGATTTCGATAGGTACATTGAGGCCATGCGACAGATCGAGAGGGCGAGAGTCACGACCTTGACACAAGCAGATGAGATTCTGAAGGAGTACGAGAAGGTGAGTTTGGTATCTCGTTGGTGACTTTGACCGTTGACCGTTGACCGTTGATCGTTGACCGTCGACCTGTCGCTTTGTATCTGCTTCTGCTTCTGCTTCTGCTTCTGCTTCAGATTGTCCTCGTCACCATCTACTTGATTATCTCATCTAATCGATCGGTCCAACTTACAGTCATCCCAAATCCGCCTCTTCCTACTCACCAACCTCACGGCCCAACCCAAAGACAAAGACAAAGGCAAAGGCGGATTCCTCAAGTTCCGAGTCCCGATCGACGTGCTCGCCCGCGCACTTGGGCCTCTGGGTGATTTCCCATTTCCTGTTGGCGGTCATGGTCACGGTCACGGTCACGGTCAAGGTCACGGTCATCATGGTCACGATCATGGTCATGGTCATGGTCATCATGGTCACGGTCACGATACTCCGCGCTTCGACAAGCCCACGCTGTTCATACGGGCATTACGCAGTCACTATATCCCCGACTGGGCGACCAGCCACATCGATCGGTATTTTCCCAATTCGACAGTGGTGGACATCGATTGTGGACACTGGATCGTGCAGGAAAAGCCGCGGGAATTCCAAGAAGGTATGGCAAGAACAGGGAGAAGCTCTCATTGACGTTGACATTGAAATTGACATTGACATTGTTCCTGCGGTAGTCACGATCGATTTCCTAACGCGGAACCTCGCGAACCCTGGGAATGGGAATGGGAGCTCGAGAAGAGGAAAGGAGTTGAGGTGAGCTGAGTTGAGGTGAGCTAAGATCCCTACGGTACGTTATATGTCCGGAGCAAGCATAAACACAAGCATAAGCAAGGGTTTTAAATCCTGTATATAATCAAGTCAATAGATATCTAAGAGTCTAAGATAGACAGACAGACAGACAGACAGACAGACAGACAGACAGACAGACAGACAGACGAACAGGCATGGACATGACATGACCTGTAAAAGAGAGAGAGAATCTCTAGTTCCCAGCACCTATAGTATGTAATATACGACGTACGTACGATAGACATCGGCTAACGGACAACACACTAGACTCCCGACTCTAAGAATAAGAACAAGAAGAACACCTAAGATAGTGGTGGGGGGATAGTCATTATATTGCCGTGTATATTCGGAATCATCACAAAAAGAGTAAAGTAGTACTTGGTACTCTACTCCGTACTAGGTATATATGACATGATAATGGATGTCAGAACAGCCTAGTTTCAATTCTAGCTGCGTTGCCATTATTCCATCTATTCCATCTATTCCATTCCATTTCATTCGGTGCGATCACACGCCTGAACTGTCCGTACAGTCTGGTCTGGAGCAGACGGCAAATCCGCAACGCCCAAAACAGCCGAAGAGCAAGCGTCGACGGTGTCGAGAGAGAGACGACATACAACCACAACCAAGGTGTAGAGTGCTGAGCCTCATCCAATAGCCTGTGTTGTGTAGTGTAGTCAATCAACTCTAGGGCGCCGAACGAATGTCGATATTAGGCTATTTCAAGCTTGCGTCTTGTTGGTGTCGCGGATTCGGATTTGGTTCTGGCCTATCCCTGAGCATGTGTCTGTGCGCCAGTCCCAGGTCTGCACGTATATGCTATGCGGCATCTTCCTGGCTATCGTTTTGTTTCCTTTCGTCCGTTCTGTTCTGTTCGTCCGCCTCTGTTGGTCTGACGGTCACTTTGGACTATTCTCTCCGAGTCACTCATCCGCTGGATGTAGGATAGAGAGTATAGAGTATAGTCATCGAGACAATCTCGGCTGGTCTGATCTGATCTGATTTGACCGGATCTGGTCAGGTCGATTCGAATGGATTCGTCGGTGACAGAAATCTTCCATCCGTCACTCTCACTCTCAGCCGTGGGTTCTGCCTTCTCACATGGAATGGCATCATCGGCGAGGGAGTACTAATTATTTGGGGTATTATTGTGCATGAAATGAAACGGCATCATGTCGTCAAGCGGCGTCGTGTCATATCGGGTCGTGTCGGGTCGTCCATGTCTGTCTTGCTGCTATGCGTTGAGCCAGATTCATCTCATGGGTCGTCTCGACTCCGTCCTCATCAGCGCCAACCCGCCCACGCTCTCCTCGCCGTCTTCCTCGTCGAGATCGAGAGGGAAGCCATATTCGTCAACGTCGGCCGACGATGCGGACGAGGATGCTGCTTCCACCGTCCGCTTTGGCCTTAACCTTGATTCCTTCGAGCCCTTTCTCTCCTCCGCCATCAGGTACTTGTCGTCGGTGCGGGATGTCTGAAGCTCGCGCTCTGTCCGGGCGAGGTCCAGGAGTAGCAGTTCCAGGAGGTGGCCGTGGCTGAGTTTGAGACGGAGATCATCGCGCACCACCCTGTCCGACGACTTTCGTCGCGCCGTGTCGGCCAAATGGTATGTTTCCTCGCGCGACAGAGACCGCCCGGGCCGCCGGTGGCAGTCCAAGTCACGTGAAGGGGGCCGGGTGAGTGGCTGCATAGTGGAAAAAGGCATCTTGGTGTGTTATGGGATCCTATGTCCTATAAGTATGTACCCGCTGGTGGCTGGAGGGCGCGAAGAAGAAAGGAATCGCAAGTCGCGGTCGCGGTCGCAGCAGATATGTTGGATTGTTTCCAGCTGAAAATTGTTTCTAAGTGGAGCCAGGCCAGGCCCAGAGGCAAGAAAATTATAGAGAAATTATCGGTTTTGAGGCGGTGGAGGCGGAGATGGATATTGGATTGGATTGGATTGGATTGGATTTCTGTATCCGTAATAATAGTGATATTTCTTCCGTAATAGTGCCCGGAGAGGGACCCGACAGCCTCGCTTTTCCTTTCACATGCACCTGTCAAACAGGTAGGCTGAAGTCTGAAGGCTGAAGTCTGAAAGTCGGCGCGGCCGAACCGGTGACTTGACGACTTGTACTACGCGTCGTACGTAGAGTGTAGAGGGGTTGTAGAGGGCAATTGTACCACTAGACAGGTCTTGTTCTGGTGCAGGAGGAATTTGCAGAGTAGGCGGGGGTGGTGGTGGTATATGTATCCGTACTCTTAACTCTTTACTCCGATCTCTGTACAGCGTGGCAGCATACTACAGATACCTAGGTAGTTTTCGCCGGGTGGGGGTGGGTGCCTGAGTCACAATTGTAGAACTAATGGCCGTGGTATGGAGGTATGTACGAGGTTGCGGAGGAGAGGCGGCAGGCGACAGGCCAGGTTTTCTTGCTGTAGGGCGCGTGCAGAGTCTGTAGGCGTACTGTACGGAGTAGACATTTTCTCTTGCTGGGTCTGGCAGCCGTGGCAGCGCCGGTTGACTCATCAGCCATGCCACTCAGGCCCGGCGGGACACCAGATTGGCTGCGCGAGGGATGTGGCCGGAAGATCAATGCCGATGGCCAAACCTTACGCCTCAAAATTGGGCAGTAGGTGGCAGTAGAGCAACTAGAGCAGACCTGGTGATGCCTGGTAGGTGCTTAGCTAGGTAGCTACGGAGTACTGCGTACATAGAACTCTGGATGACAGATGTACGATGTGAGCCATAGTACATGATCGTACGAATAGGCCTCGGCTGAAGTTTTCATGGACTCAGACTGCGCGTTTTAATCAACCCAACCCTCACACGCCCTTGGGCCTTTGCGCCCTACCACAACTAGACCTACTATACTACTCCGTATACGCTACATTCTTTCAGAGCAGGACTAGTAGGTACGTACGTGGCAGTCGTGCATACAGTATCCGTGCTGCGTGTTGCGCTCTGGGCTAGGCCAGACCAAGCCTTGACCTTTTTGCCCAATATTTCATTTCCCAATGCGGCTTCTGAAAAATATTTCCCTTGTACCTCAGGCTGTGCCTGGCACTGTACATGTCCCCAAGAAGCGCAGTGCAGTGCCAATGGCTGAAGCAAAAACCCAAGCCCCTAAGCCCTCAGTAAGTACCAAATCTGACGGCGAGCTTGCTTGCAATCCCACCTACAGTTGGATCTCCTGTCACGTGATATCATTCACAGCCTTGTTGTTGCTATCGCAGATGAAGACGCGTAGGTAGTGAAGTGATCAGGGTATAAACAACCTGTTCTCTCCCACCTAGCTTTCTACATAGTTGAATATCATCAAGTTTAGCTGTCAGCTCCAACTCCTACTAGGCTCTAGCTACTCAACTCCGAGGGCCGGCCGATGCGCTCGCCAACCTCAACCACTGCCGTATCGCCGGCTAACCGGATCTTAATGCCTCGCGCAAGGCTGAACACTGAACAGTGAACACTAGTCCAACCACTACGCTCCAGCCTTGACCTCTTCTGCTTTTGCACTTCCTGGACTGTCGCTGACGCTGACCCTGCTATCGTCAATCGGCCTTCCTTGACTGATGACGCTCGCCCGTCTTTCTTTGGCTGCCCGTTCCTTGGCCAAAAACCGTTCCTGTTCTCGCCGACTCCGCTTCAAGTCCATGAAGAAGAACAACAAGCAAAAACTCAACAGGCTGAGTCCAAACAGGAAGTAAAAGGGGAGACTGTTGTTCCCCTTAGGATCCGCATCGATGATGGCGCTGGACACAATCGGGCCGATGAACGCGCTCGTCTTACCCATGATACTGTACAGACTGAAGAACAAGAATTCCTTCCCGCGCGGTGTCACCTCGCTGATCATCGTCTGGCTGTAAGCATACCACTGGCAGACGAACAGGCCGTAAAAGGTCTGGTAGAGCCAAAACTCCCATGCGTGGTGAAAGCCAAACCGAGAAGTCCAGATGCCGATCATCCCCCAGCCGTCAAGGAGAAGAATGCCAATCATGACAGCATCAAACATGGTTTTGGTGCTGAGGCCATATCGCTTCTGGATGACCCAATAGCCAATGATCCCAGCCCCTTGGGCTGCAATCCCCACGATTAACAGGTAATTCAAGGTCAGGGTATTGTACGACACCACCGAGTTCTGGAGAGTCGCAATCACCGTGACGGTGGTGTTCAGGGAGTCGCCAAGTAAGAAATACCCTGCTCGAGCATTAGACACTAGAGGTGTCTCAAGATTGACGACTAAAGAGTGCGTCGTGTGCAAACTTACCGATAAGGTATAACAAACTCTGCTTCAGCTCCCAAATCTGCGTCAGAGCACGATAGATGTTCCAGAAGCCAACGCTGACGACGTTCATCCCAGCCGGCAGCTGCTGGCCCGGTCTCCTCTTCTCCAGGATGAACCACGGAATGGACAGCACAATCCACACCCCGGTGGCGTAGGCAATCAGGACGGACAAGCCCCAGAGGTTGTTGGCCGCACTTGCGTTGACGTTCACCGCAAACAGGATGCCGACGAGCACCGCCAGAATGATGATCTCTCCGGCGCTTTGCATGATAAAGGCCACATTGTAGATGCGGTTGCGCGCCATCATATCGGCAAAGTCGTAGTCGTCTCGACTAATCTCCCCAACTTCATATTGTTGCGCCTTCTGCCGCATTTCGGGGGTGTTGCGCGCCAGTCCCGGAAACGCGGCGGTCCAGAAGGTGAGGCACATCTGATAGGCGATCAGTCCAACCATGTACAGACCAGTCGCCACGGGCCATTTGTCCTGTGTATGCACCCCGAGCCAACCAAAGCCCAACCCGAAGGCCACGACGGACCAAAAGATCAAAATCCAGGGCCGCCACCGGCCATAGTCCGCCATACTACCCAGAAGAAGGAACAACACCACTTGAATGGCGAATGAAATCCCATTGGCGAGCAAGACGATGCTGTTGATGGTTCGGTAGGCACCCAGAAACTGCAGCCTGCCGCTGTCGCCGGCGGCCTCGTACAAAAGATCCTGGAAGGATGTAGGCGCAAAGTTGAACAGCGTCAGCCCATTGTTGCCAATGTAGTAGCAGTAATACGCCCAGCGCTCCCACTTCGTGGTCTGGTATTTTGGGTCGAACTGGTCAGGCGCCACGGGATGCTCTTCACCATGGAGGACGTCGGGGGTAAGCACGTCGCTATCCTTTCGTGGATCCACTGCCTCTGGACCGGTCGCGGCAGCAGTTATGCCTGCGTTGGCGACAGACATGTTGCTTGGAGGCGCGTCAGACAGGCAACGCCTACTAGTAGTAGTACTGGAACATGACACGGGTCAGAGGTACGCCGGCAGAGACAATATATAATACGTATATGATCTGCCCAGTAAGAATGGCCGTGATAAGGCCGTCGTGTTACATGAAGATGACCTGCAGGCCAGCCAACAGGAGTGCAATGGGGACGATGGCACAATATTCAATGATGATCTGCTGTAAAAATTGCCCTTGTCTAGTAAGGTCGGCGGCGCTTGTTGCTGATCTAAACGATCGCAGCGTCGCATTCAAGCGGGCAAACCTTCCATTGGGCCCTGACTGTATAGATAAGCTTCCAGGGGCAACGAGCTAGGGAGAGGCTGATAAGTTGATGTGGACTCTGTACGGAGTAGAGGCGGCAGCATTCATGATGCTTGGGTGAAATTTCCATCATCAATCCTCTCGAGTCTCCATCGTCAATGTGAGCGTGATACGTAACGGTGCAGAGATTTCGATTTCGATTTCGGGTCGGGTTTCGGAACGGAAGAATGTCGATCCGGCGTCGACTGAGTCAGCGCATCACGTGATTAGTATATCAGTCACGTGACTGCAGCGAACCGTGACCACATGGAGGGTAGCCAGTTACGTCATTTGCTTCCACCGGCTTCTGTCGCAGAAAGGAAAGGCTGCCGAGCCCACGTGAGCCACATCACATGGGAAACCCTACCATTCCGTACTGGGACAACTCGAGTTTGAAGCCATGGCAGTGTCTACTATCCTGTGGGAAAAGCATTCAGGGTCAGAGACCGACAACTGCCAGGGCCTCCTGGTCAACGACTATCCGTACACTACAGAGTATCTATCCCATGCACCTCATATACGGATGATACACAGCTGGCTGGTTCTAGAACACCACAGTCCCGTGACAGCGCCTGGTCCCTGCAGCGACCCATCCGATGTGCCTGCTGGCCACAGTCGCAAGGCTGTTTGAGTGCGATCACCGCCAGGGTCTAGATCGCCAGCACTGCGCCAGCCTCGATCTGGCTAGCAAAACCAGGGTCAAAGGTCCAAGCGCACCGCGCCCCCGCCAGACAGCCGGCGCTGATGCTTGGCGTTTCTTTGCCGGACTGCGATCCAAGAGCTTGGAGTCCGATCTGCGTGCTCTTTTTCCCATCTCTGCTTCAAGGGTTTGAACAATCGAACCAAACACATGCTGCCCTTGGGAAGCCCTTGGGCCGCTGTGGCGGAAATGGCAAGGCCGACCTGGCCCTGTCTTACAGAACCCTCTTTCTCCCTCCTCCCAACACCGTCTCGTCGTGGTCGTCATGCCACGACTGCGTTGCCTCACCATCGCCATAATAGTATCACGACAGCCGCCCTCCATACCTCCCCGCTTATTGATCGCGTTGAATATGCGAAATCGAGCGTGAAAACGACAACGTACTTCATTCCCTAACCAACGGACGCACCGAACTCAGTCAGCACGCTAGCGACCTCACCCTTCGATCCCTTCAATCGTTTCGTCCCTACCTCTGTACCTAGACCCCTCGCATACCCATTCCACCAGGTCGTCCTTGGGTCGGGCCTAGGGCCTAGAGCCATGCCGCAACATGGTCAACAGCCCGCCATCATCGCCACGGTCACCTAAGAGACCCTTCGCCGAGATCAGAGACAATTCGCGTCTTACTTCTCCGTCGCAACTCAGGTCGCTCGCAAGACACAAGAGAGTCAAGATCGACCACAGCTCGAATGACAATGTTTCAGTTGGAGGGCCAGCACAGCCCCAGCCCCAGCACCAGCCCCAGCCCCAGGCTGTGACATCCTCCGTTCTACCTTCTGCGGGCGAGGGAGAGTCAAGCAGCGACCGGAGCGGAGCCAAGTGGTTCAAGAGAGTGAACGAAAATGTCGACGGTCCGACCAAGAAGCGAGGGAAACGTGAAGGTGGACGGAGCCCACCTTCCTCAACCCTCTGGTATGCTAATGCTGGTTTAGATGAAGCGCCTTTCTATATCTCTCGCCAGAACAGATACCAGCCATCCACTCACCTGCACTCCGTCAACGCGGACAGCTTTGGGCCATTGGGCCGTGACGACACCGAGAATGATGAGCTACGTGGCGTGATTGATGATCTGACGGTGGAAAACAAAAGATTGAAAAATATCCTCCGAACCTGCTACAACCGGGCAAGTTCTGTCAGCAGTGATTCCGACCGAATGATCGAAGTTCGCACGCATGGCCTCCCCCCCGAGAAGAAGAGAGAGCTGGAACGACTCCTCAAAAACTTTGCTACGGGTGTTAATGGCGATGCTGCTGACTCTCAGCCCAGTGACTCTACGCCGGCCGACAAGTCGGCCCGGAGCAGCGGCAATGGCGCATCGCCCGCCGTCAAACTGCCAGTCGCAGATCCCTCCCATACCGACTCGGGTTATGCATCCCGGTCCAACTCAGCCCTTCATTCAACGCCATACTCGGGTGCGCTTCATGACGGGGACTCTAAGAGCAAGAAGGACTCGGATATCAAAAATTACCTGCACGATATCCCTGACTCCCTCTTGCCCCAAAACACTCTCTCCGTGAGCGAGAGTACCAAAATGCAATTGGTGGTGCAGCGGCTCGAGCAGCTGTTTACGGGCAAGCTGGCAGTGCCAGGCGAGCACAGCTTGCCCATCCAACAACAGAAGATTGCTCGTTCTGCAGCCAAGGCAGATCGCCGAGAGGATGAAAAGATGAATCGAGCGAGCAGACCTGAAGGTTCCCGCGAGGCACAAGTCCTCCCGCCAGATTCGAAGATCAACCTCGATGCCATCGATCAGGGGAATGCACCGCGGCTAGGAGCTCCATCCGGGTTTGGTGCCTCTCCATTCGGAACCCCCAAATCCAGCTTGGACGTACCTGGCACTCCAGACCAACGACCCACCCGACCGTTGGACCTTGATATTCATCGTGCCCAAGTGGCGGCGGAGAATATCCGGTATATTCAGCATCTGGGTCTGTCGTCACCGGAATTCGAGAACGGCCCCGAACACCCCGGACAACCGTGGATGTATCTCAATTTGCTGGTCAGCATGGCTCAGCTCCACACCCTCAATGTTACTCCCGCCTTTGTTCGGAAGGCGGTCAAAGCTGGGAGCAGGAAATTCGAACTTTCGAACGATGGTCACAAGATTCGGTGGAAGGGTGATAGCTCCACGAGCGGCGGGGATCCGCCTCAGGGAAGTCCGATCTCTCTGACGCCGCGGAACTCGGACGATCCGGGCGACGATGGGGCGGGGCGTCGAAGCGGGAGGAGCGCCACCAGCACGGGCAATGAAGGCGCGTCCACGTCGCTTGTAGATGAGCGAACCTCGCGAGAAATGGTGAGCACGACGTCGAGACGGCAGGACTCTACAGCCACGTCGTCCAACCTGGCGGTTGGCAAGCCTTCGACTCTGTCCAAGGCGTCATCGTTTGACTACCGGCCACTCGTGTATCAGGAGAAGAAAATCCCGCTCAAGGCGCAAAAGTTCTACTTGGATTCTTCCAGTTCAGGTGGCGAAGTGTCCCCCGACTCCAGTCGCCTTGATCATGCACTGCGCCGATCAAGTCGCCGACCGAGCGGAGACGGTCTCCTCACCTTTTTCCGCAGTCCTCATTTCTTTGTGGATTTGAGCGGTGACAGCGTTCCTGATGCGCCGCGATTCGACCTGCCGCGCTGGCCGCCGGGAGTGATGGGGATTTCTGACAAGCGCACGCGTCAAGACGACGTTCTTCGGGACTCCTCGACATCCTATTTCGTCCGCCTCACGGAGGGAGGACAGAGCGAGGAAGCTGTAGCGTGTCCCGACCTTGCGTGGTCGATCTCACCTATAAGTTCGGCAGGCGAAGATGAGACACAACCAATCGAGCTGCCGGCGTCTGGCCTTGGAGGGGTGAGGCCTGAAGACAATTTCGCGCTGGATGTGGAGGTGGAACGGGCCAAGGTGGACTTGGTCGACCGTCAAACCGGCGGCATGCGCCCGCCCACTCAATACGCCTACCGCGTGCTCCAATGCCGGAAGCTCGAACTCCAGCCTTCGCGGCTCCCGCCGCCCAGCTATGTTTTCTTCACCAGCTCGTCATCCAGCGGAGAACAAGATTGTCTTGACGGCTACTCTAGCAGCCAGTCTTCCGAGCCGGACCATGCTCCCGCGGCGCCCGGACTACTGTGGCAGTGGTCGTCGAGCTCCAATGAACAGCGACCTGGCGAAGAGTATTCGGGAGACAGTACCCCGGATGTTCTGCAGGGGGGCCGCGCGCGGGCGCCAAATAACAATGGCGGGGTGGTTGGCGCCCACCATCACGATGCAGATCTGATGATGGCCACCCAGACTGGAGCCACCACGAACGATAATGGCAGCCTCGCGGCAACAGTGGGTGCCACCTACAGTGCGGCCTCGGCGGCAGGTCGGAATGCTGCGCGCGAGGAAGATGAGGAGGGGACGAGCAGCATCGATTTTGAGTAGAGTCCGACTAGCTTAGCCAACTGTGTTGTGATAGCTTCAGGGATTGGGATTGGGATTGGGATTGGGATTGGGATTGGGATTTGGATACCCTCGGATGCGGGCGGTGGCAAACAGGGACCAGGGACCAGGAACCTAGATAATGATGGAAATGATATGATATGGTACGGTATGATTCTAGTATCATTATCACTTGCCTTATGGAGTACACAGTAGCAGCACACACGGACACAGTACAGTAGTAGTCGCCAGTCACTACGGACTAGGTTCGTGGTTCGTGGCTGGAGGCGTGCATCGGATGGGTGTAATTAGTCCTTTGTAGGACGGATAAAGAATACTCCGTCCGGCGTAGTCAATACGGAGTACGGATAGCACCTAGTAGTAGTAATACAGCACCGGGGAAGCCTGAGCCAGCTACGGGCATTTTCGGGTGAGAGCCAAGGGGTCAGGGGCCCGGGAACGGGGAGGACAGGCACAGGATGAAGACACTGCGAAGTCTTGCCGACTGACTGCTGGGAGAAGTGATAAATGGCCCGAGCGAGCGAGAGGGAGGAGGGACTGAGTGCCAGAGGCTGTGCGCGAGTAGAGTCCCAGACCAGCTCCCCGCTGCTTTTGATTTGGATTCTCCTCATCGGATCGGTACCGCCTGCGCCTGCGCCCTCAGGTTTCAACTCCTGCTCTGCGGCCCCTAAGCTGGTAATAATACCACTCCTCCTACTATAGAGGTCAGAGCACAGAGTAAAGAGTAGAGAGTAGAGAGTAGAGAAGCCTCCTAAGCCCGCGGCCTGATTCCTCCCGGCCTCTGCTCCGTCCTGGCTGCTCTCGCTCTCGCCCTCGCCTGCGTCTCCGCGCTGCCAGCCCCGATGCTCGGATCGCAGCCGTCGAAGCTCTCCCCCACACATCTTCCACTATCCGTCCGGGTTTTCCTTCTTTAGCCGACTTCTCCCTCCGATACTCTCCCTCCTCCTCCTGCTCCTCCTCCTCCTCCCGATCGTGCCTCTGCTGCCGCTTCTGTCTTTGCTTGTCCTGAGGTCCTGAAGAGTCGGCCCTGCCCACTGACTCTACCCACTGTCACCATGTCGTCCTTCCTCGAGTCTACCATGCGTCTACCCTCCGAGGCCTCCAGGTGCTTGCGGACAGCCCGACATTTGACCCGCAGTCCGCGAAAGGTAAGCAAAGCAGTTCAATCCCCAGCCAAACGGTTCAATTGACAGGAGCTTCGCTGCACAGCAAAACCTCCTTCTCGCTCGCTCCTTCTCCTCCACCCTCCGCCGCCACGAGATCAACAAGATCGTGCCGTCTGCCGCCGAGGCTATCAAGGACATCAAGTCCAACTCGACCCTGCTCTGTGGAGGATTTGGTCTCTGTGGCGTGCCCGACACCCTCATCAACGAAGTGGCCAAGACGCCCTCTATCACTGGCCTGACCGCCGTCTCCAACAATGCCGGCATCCCTGGCGCCGGGCTCGGCCAGTTGCTGGAGAGTCGCCAGGTCACCAAGATGATTGCCAGCTACGTGGGCGAAAACAAGGTCTTGGAGCAGATGTATCTCGGCGGCGAGTTGGAACTCGAACTCACCCCTCAGGGCACCCTGGCAGAGCGATGTGCCGCGGGCGGCAAGGGCATTCCGGCCTTCTACACCCCCGCCGCATTCGGCACCGTCGTGCAGACGGGCGAGCTCCCGCTGCGCCACAACCCCGATGGTACCGTGGCATCCTTCGGCAAGCCGCGCGACGTCAAAGTGTTTAATGGCAAGAGCTACGTGATGGAAGAAGCCATCCCGGGAGACTACGCCTTCGTCAAGGCTTACCGCGCCGACAAGTTGGGCAACTGCCAATTCCGACTGGCCGCCAACAATTTCAATGGGGCCATGGGCCGAAATGCTAAAGTCACCATTGTCGAGGCCGAACATATCGTCGAAGTCGGCGAGATCGACCCGGCCGCCGTCCATCTCCCCGGCATCTATGTCAGCAAAGTCATCCAGTCCACCGCGGAGAAGAAGATCGAGCGGTACGTGAACCGAAAGGAAGAAGGAGACGTGACCGACAGCCTGGGCAAGGGCGAAGCCGCATCCAAGCGCGAGAAGATCGTCAAGCGGGCTGCCAAGGAGTTCCAGAACGGCATGTACGCCAATCTGGGCATTGGCATGCCCATGCTGGCACCCTCGTTCGTCGATGAGTCGGTCGAGGTCCAGCTGCAGTCGGAGAACGGCATTCTGGGCCTGGGCCCTTACCCCAGGAAAGGCGAGGAAGACCCGGATCTGATCAACGCCGGCAAAGAGACCGTCACCCTGCTCCCCGGTGCCTCCTGCTTCGGCTCCGAAGAGTCCTTTGGCATGATCCGCTCCGGCCGCATCAACCTGTCCATGCTCGGCGCCATGCAGGTCTCGGCCCGCGGCGACCTGGCCAACTGGATGCTGCCAGGTAAGGTCAAGGGCTTCGGTGGCGCCATGGATCTCGTGTCGAATCCCGAGAAGACCAAGGTTGTCGCCCTCATGGAGCACACCGACAAGAAGGGCAACCCCAAGATTCTGAAACAGTGCGAGTTCCCCTTGACTGGCAGAGCTTGTGTCAGCAGGATCATCACCGAGCTGGTAAGTCAATCTTCACGTCATGTAGCACCCGCGCGGTCGAGAACCAGGACCACCCACGCTGACACAACCCCTTTTTTAGTGCGTTTTCGACGTCGACTTCACCAGCGGCCTAACCCTGATTGAGCTTGCCGAGGGCGTGACCGTCGACGAGGTCAAGGCCAAGACCGAGGCGCCCTTCGCGGTGGCCGACGACCTCAAGACATTTTAAGGCCCTGTCGGACCATCCTCTGACAGCATGTGCCGTGGGGAGGGGGAGAGGAAACGGGTGCTGAGATGCCGGGTCTAAACCTTGTGGAGAGATGCGCCCGCAGCATCGGGCCCGGATCCGGATCACTCGACACGCGCTCGACACAGAACGGGTTGACTCTATCCTTGACCTCGGCGCACCAACAACCCAGACCAACCCCCGTCCTTTCCGACGGCGTCTGTGATGGAGATGGAGATTGTAGCTACCTCTGGTCAGTGGTGACAGCTCATCCTGTGCTTAGTTGCTGGACAATGATGGAAGGGCGAACCGCCCCCGCAAGGGGATGGCGCGGGGCCGGATCAGACCGCGCTGCACGGCTCACCAGGCCACCTACACAAGAGGGCGAAGTCGAAGTCAACCACACGGTCTTGGTCGCGGTCCCGTTTGCCCTGTGCTACAACTACAGCCTCGGCCTCGGCCTCAGCCTTCAGTGGGACGTGGGGTCCCGGAGTTACGAAGGCATGTTCACCCACATTTATATTTCGGTGGGACCATTCCACCCCGTGTACGGAGTACTGTATGGCATATGCGTAGCTTAGCTCGAGTTGAAGTTTGCAGCAAGACAAAAGCGGCTGGTTCCTGTAAATAATGGAATTTTTTTCGGCAGACCACATAATTTGGCAGACCACATACAATTTGGAAAAGGGCACAACAGCATTGTTTTTTCGGGGGTATTCCTGTCGTATTACAAGTCTCATTACTGAATCTCAAGCACAAAGCGCAGTGTCCTTCATCCTGCCAGCTCCTAGCTCCTAATATGCTCGGCTTTAAGCCCCAGCTTCATTGCTGTGTCCCTCCGTAACACGTGACAGGCTTGCTTGCTGTACTTCGTACACGGCACCCGGCCCGCGCCAGAGTCTCCACCTCCACCACCACATACCACGGCTAACTAAGCACCTGGGCAGGCTCGAAAGCACACCGGGAATCACAATCTCGAGGCTCTGGATGCCTTCTCCATGCAGACGTGGAGATGCGGAGCCACGGAAAAACACTCAGCGAGACTCGTGGTGTACAGACTGATCCCACACCCAAGTTTGTTTGGAACAGCCTAATCGTAATCGCAGCAAGAGCAAGTCGAGTTTCAGCAAAGCATCCGGAGACTGACAGTTGTGGCTTGCAATGATTTACCTCGCTCCCCATAGAGACAATGCCTCATCCCAGATCGTGGCGAGGCAGCATGAGGATGTCGTCTTTAAATGCCTCGAAAAGGAGCGACGAATTCAAGTCAGTCCTCTTCCTGGTGTTATCAGACCTCTCCGAAGAACTTTTGCGCCTCACTGTCCAGCATCTCTGCGGAGGCTTGACGGTCAGCGAGTGCCTTGGCAGCTTCACGGTCCTCCTCTATCATCTCAATAGCAGCCTCAACGTCACCCGCTGCGGCACTAGCATAGATATTCAGCCGTGACATCTCATTGTGATCCATAGTGCCATAGCCCATCACCCTAAGGGTTTTGACACATCGACCAACTACAGTGGTAGAGGAAGGCGGAGGTGCGACGACGCCGGTGCGACCCCTTGGGCGGGTGTATGGGGTTGGACTTGTGATAGGCGACAGATTCGGTCTCGAACGTACAACAGTTGAAGAGATGGACGAGGATGACGGCTGGCCCGAATTGCGGCCGAAGTGATGATTATGTGTTTGGGGATTGACTGAAGAAACTGACTGCGAAGGGTGAGCGTGCATCGGCACGGGTGGCGCAGGGCCGAATGCCATAACATCAGTGCTCGGTCGGTTCACCCGTGGTTTATTAGTCAGGTTGTCGAAACTCGGTCGGAGGAGATCTGCATGTCGTGCACGCATGCGAGTGAATTGGGGAGGCTGTGCGAACACATGTCGGTAACTAGTATTGGTGCTCTGAGCTCTAGAGAGAACTTCCTCCCGAGATCCTTGCCCAGAGAAAGACCAGTCAGCATTGCCAGATGCCGGCCTGGATATTGATTGTCTGAGAGCGCCTTTGGGCTGGTGATCCCCTGCGGTCGGTTTTGGACGGTCAAAAGCGGTCGAGTAAATAGGTCTGTATTCATTCAGGGGAGTCATCCACAGAGGCAATTTGGCATTTGGTCCTCCTCCAGCAGGGCCATCTATAGGCTGCGAAGCGAGTGGCGCAAGAGGGTCGAAGGGTCCATTGAGTCTTGCAGCCGGATTTGTTCCGCCCACAGTATGGTATCTTCGTGGAAGGTAAGCTGCTGTTGCTCGAGGATACATGTCAGTGACAGGGCCGTTGAGGCGAGGTGAAAGAGCCCCTGGCTTTTGTCCTTGAGTTGGCGGAGCCGAGTTTTCTGTAGCCTGCATGGACCAGTCCAGATAGGACGGCTTCGGAGCAGCAACGGCGGGATGCACTTCTTCTGATTTTTGCTCGGGCCAAGCGCCAGGGACAGTCGTCGCTGGTAGTGCGGTGGATATCACCTTGATGACTGTCTTGACCTCTTTGTTAAGCGTGCCGGGTTGTTCTAACTCAACATCGTCCTCCACAGAAGGCTTCTTGTATACATCAATCTTTTTTGGCTCGGTTGCACTATTAGGAGAGCTCACGCTGGCAAGCGTCTTGTCCTTGATGGAGGGTTTCTCATCGAATTTCGCTCTCGTCTTCAATCGGGTCTGCTGCTCGAATTGTCCGATACTGGGATAACGGGTCAAAGCTGATGCTGTGCTAATACCAGTTGGACCGAAGGAAGAAGAAATCTTGTACTTGTCTTGCAGCCCACTGACACTTTTGGCCTTTCGAACGGAGATCAATGGAGGGTATCTAGCGCAAAAGTCGGGCTCAGATGGTTCCAGATCAAGAATTGACGATTTGTCGGTTTCGGCGCGGGCACTGACAGTTTCGACCGCATGTGCCGCTGGTGGTTTTAGATCTTCGTGCCGCGGCACTCCAGAGAACTTTGGCTTCTGGGCAGAGGGGAGATAGAACGAGCGGTTGGGGTCGATGGATGGCCGAACTGGGTCGACAGGAGCCCTAACTGGGCCGAGTATTGGCTCTGGTTGGGATAGGGTACTTTGAACAAAGCTGACTCTCTTTGCGTTCGTCTCCGCTTTGGGTTGTGCTTGGTGTTCTCCCGTGGCAGGACTTAGTACCGAGGGCGACGGTGGCTCAGTCGGCTCGGAGACAGGTAATCCGGGTCTGTTTGCGTTGTTGGCCTTGTGCTCTTTAAGTTCATGGTCGATTGCTGCCAGAAATCCTAATCCAAGTTCGCCAACATCTGACATGATTCCTTTGAAGCCGCTCAGCACGCCTTCCACCGGGCTGCGCTCTGCTCTGGTGGACTTCTCAGCGGCCTTCCGTAGACCGAATGCGGTGATCTCGAGGAAATCTGCAATAGGGCCCATATGGGATCCCAGACCGTGGAAAACGTCAGATAGAGCGTTCTCCAACTCAGTCGAGTCTTCTTTCGCGGGTTGTCCTGAGATTGGCTGAGTTGGCGTGACACCGCTGGCAACGTGCTCTGACATGGCCGTTGGTAAGCTGGCTTTGTTCATGTCAGGAGCTTGGGGCGATTCATTTGGGTTGGCCAGTCTCGGGCACAGGCTGGAGTCGCCCGCGGAAGCGCTGAACGCAGAGTGAGGTTGTGGTGAGGCTGAGCGTGGGTGGTTGACCGTTTCACGGCCTGCAGACGTGCCTCGACTGTTCATCTTCTTGATCGTGGAGGTGTGGTGAGTCTTCCATGCAGCCATGCTTTTACTATTATGTTGGATGTCAAAGATATGCATCATCTTATCGTCGGCTTCCGGAGTGGGAGTAAGCTTCAGGGCTGCGGGGATTGAAAGAGTCGAGTGTTGTGCAGGCTCATCGAGACGTTGTCCCAGTTCAAACGAACTTCCAACTGTAATGAACTCCCCATCATCCTCGTCCATGTAGGAGAGCATGGCATCAGGCACAGATTGGACGGTGTCGTCATACTGATGGGCTGTGATCTGAACGACACCCGGGGGAGCCTCGGACCCATTCAAGGCGCGTATGCCAAAGGCGGGGAGCATGGGTTGGGACGAGTCCGCCATGATGATGCCGGACTACCGTGTGCTGTCTGGATCAAGAAGCGTGCATAGAGAAAGAATGAGGTTACAAGAGAATCAAATCGCCTTGCAGTGAGCAGGAGGTGAGGAAGAGGAGGAGGAGCGAGGCTGCAGTGAAAGTCGAGTCACAGGTAAGAGGCAATCCAGGCAGCAGGTTTGGCCTGCGCCTGCGGACACAACCCCGCACTTGGGGCGTCAGATGGTTTGATCCTGTACCACAATAAAAACATGGGGTGCCTGTTATCTCCCTTGCGCTCCACTGCCACCAGACTGCCACTGCGATTGTCTCAGGCTTATTAGGTCCTAAGGCCTCCTAAGCCTGTTTGCCGCGCCTGGGTGCAGCCTGCGGTTTGGAGACCTCACAGCGAGCTAGGAATGTATCTCCTCCGTATCCGCACTCCGATCAACATTCAGTATTCCTTCCATTCAGTTCAATTTCGCTAAGGCCGTTGGTATATCTCAAATCCAAATTACAGCAGTCCATGACAACGCGCTTACTACTAGTACAATGGTATCCATCCGAATTCATCTGGCTCGTTCAAAACTGCCGCCCGGCATGGCGATCACCATCACGGAGCATTTCTCTGCAGTGGGGCCGAGTCTCCTCTCGATACAAATTTCATTAATACCTTCTCTTGTCCGCCGATATATTACAACATGAAGATCAAGTAGGCTGGTGATAAAACAAGGGTGGAAAAGGCAGCGTGTCCCTCGCAGCGATGTGTCGGCTAAATCAGCAATGCTCCCCCGTCGATTGCTCTCGTCGTAGGCGCGTCTTTTCCGTCGTCAAATCTTGGGTGGTTCTGCTGAATGGGGCAATCAGGTCCAGGGCGTAGATGATGTAGATCGTATATCTGTCTTTATTTCTTCCTCGCAAATCTCCTGTTGAGGAGGGCAAGGACCTTTGAAACATCAAATTGGACGTACTCAAGGTCGAGGTCGTCTTGGCCATCCTTTTGCATTTCTAGCAGGTCATCCAGCTTCAGATCCAGTTCAAGCAGGCCACGAGCACGCCCTGCATCGCTGTTAGCCTTCCTGGTAGGCCGTAACCGGTCGGAATCATGGTACTCACCTTTATAATGCAGGCTGATGACGAAGGTGCCCGCAAGAGGACTCCGGAACATGAAGTAGATATTACCTCGTCGATTTTCGGGCACATTGCTTCTTGTGATGACCCCGTCCTTCTCCAACTGCGCGTGGGTAAACTTGTACGGACCCAATTCACGCACTTTTTCCGCCTTGCCTCTCCTAGTTCCTTCGGATTGGCTTCGGACATTGTGCAAGTAGTTCTTGTATGTGTCGAGCTGCGACAATAGGTAGGTGTTATGATCCCGGATCGTCTTGTAGACATCCTCCAGTTTGCCCGTCTCCTCAAGCACCTTCTCTTTGAGGGACCCAAGATGGGCAAGCTCTTGTTCTACCTCGTCGCGAAGGACCGCGTAGTCATCGGCGGGATCAATCGCCCCCATGTCCGACAGCTGGGTCAGAAGTTCAAGGCAGCGAATGCCTTTGCGAACCATGACACCATCATTCTTCAAGGTTCCAGCCGCCTCGGCGATTCGGCCGAGGCGCAGCGGTCGCCGCAAGACGGCGGCGTTCTGTGGTAAGCTTCGCATGATCTGGACGAAAGTGCTCTTTGCCTCCATGAAGAAGATTTCTTCTTGAGTGATATCGAGTGCATGAGTGAGGTCATCGAACGATGTTTCCCATTTGCTGAACAGCGGCAGTGTGATTGCCCTATTTTCCTTCCTGGGTAACTGGGGAGGAGCCGGGCCAAGTTCTTGAAGCAGGATACCTAGGTGAGACGAAGGGTCCTTGGCCAACTCAGTACTGTGCTTCTCAAGCAAAGCATGAGTAGCATAGACTTCGTTCAAGCTGATCTGTAGTTCTAGGTCTCGCTTGGACAATGCAACGTAGTTGTCCATCTCCAAACTCTCATAGAAATCTTGGACTTCGCAGAGATCGAGTAAGAATTGATTGCAACGATCCTTGTTGCGCTGGATAAAGGGTTGCAGTTTGGCCATGTATGGTTCTTTGGCGTATGATGGTTTGTTTGCCAGGTTCTGGAGCATCTTAGCAATGTAGGTCAGTGTCCGTTTCGGCTTTTCGTCCGGGACGCGTTCGATCAACATGTAAGATTTAGGGGTGACGATGGCAGGATTGATGAAGCGTAAGAAGAAAAACCCGCCAATGAGCGTGCAGATGGCCTGATCCTGAGCTTCAGGGTACTTGCGCCGGGAGAGGTTTCGGATCTGTTTGCAAATCCAGCGAATGCCGTACGGGGCCTCCTCCAGACACTCGATAATGGCGGAGAGAAATCCCTCCGCAATTTCGGTCAGCATCTTGAGCCGAGGTGCAATGATGGCTTGAACTTGCAGATTCTCGGCTGCAAACTCGGCGGTGACCGACCTAGGCAGATCATCTGGGAGGGAGCCAGTATCTTCTTCGATTTGCTTGACCATGGCCTCGTAAACCTTCAAAGGATTGATCTCGAGATCCACATTGTTTAGCTCGGTAAGTGAGTTGATCTTCTCCGCAAGGACCTCTTTCAGAAAGCTTTGACCTGGACCCCTTCGGGTGTAGGTGGTCATCATCCGTGAGACAGGCGTATTCTGCCGCAGCAAGGAGGAGTATTCAGGGGTAGTCTCGAATTGATGGGTCAGGACTGATTGGAACATGGTCAAGAGCAGATGTTCTTCCCGACTTTCGTACTGGTTACCATATATGGTAAACATGACGGTCTGCAGCAGGGAGTCTATCTCGGCCATCGTCACCAACCGGCACAGATGGGCGATGTGCCTAGGCTCTGATTGCAGCATGAAAAGAAGATTGCCGTACTTCTGAGTCTTGTCGTCGTTCGGGAAAGAACCCTCCTGTAGTTCAGAGGCATCATCCAAATGACTAGCCACCTCATTTTGCTAGGACGTTGTTAGCCAATATCTCGATCAGCTCCGGAGGAGATCACATACCTCTTCCAAAGCCATCCGATTTTGGATGAGGAGGGCGATTCTCGAGTCCAGATATCGGACGTCCTTCTCCAGGACGAAGTTCTTCTTTGATTGATTCGAAATCTTAAGTTTGAGATCTCGGAGGGTGCGCTGTGCTCTCGCGAGATCGTCACTGATTTCCAGATCTTTGTCTTTTGCACTGATGCTCGCATACAAGGCCGTCATGCTCACCCGTTTGCTTTGGCGCAAGGACCTGGCGCCATCGTGGCTCGAGTAAGTGTTCTGACGAGTGACTGGTTCGAAAGAGGAATTGGTTGAGGTCGACGCCCGCGAAGCGGGTTGAAGCATGGTTGCGACCGACATCTCGCTCGCCTTGCTGCGCCGGGCCTTGGAGCGGTCCTTTGCACTGGAGACACGCCTGGGAACGTCGGAGCGGATTGACGAGCTCATTTACTCGCGAGCACCAGGTGGCAGGCCAGGGGGAAATATAGATGGTGACAGCCTCGGTCCCGGAGGATTGGGCGAGGATGATGGTGGACGTGTTTCAAAACGGGCCGCAGGTCATCGGATGCGGTGATGCGGTGAGGAGTGGTGCTTCCCCTCCTGGAAGTACGCAGGTCGGCTCTCAAGTTGGAAGGCAGGACAAGTGTCGTGAGGGTTGTTTGTGTCGGTCTGGCACCGGAAGCGCAGGCCAATGCGACCAGCGCGATAACAGATTGAATGATATGTTGTTCCTCCCGGCACGATCTCGATAACAAAAGGCAGCAGACGCTCCGCCCCAGGAATATACCGGACTCTTCCTCGTCCTGGTACCGGCGAACTCGGGAATACACCGGATTCCAACGAAGTGGTGGGGGTGGTCCTCAGCAACTAGGAGGTGTAGAAGGGCGGATTGGTGCGCGGGCGCAATTTAACTGCGTTGCGACACGGATGCTCGTTCTTTTAATGGAGTGGTAGATAGCGTGAGTACCGCTGGTTGGTGAAGACGAGGAAGATAAGAGGTGTGCAGAGAGCGGAACAGAGGAACGAGAGCGAAGATGAAGAGAAGAGCGAAGTCGGTTCAACAGGAAGTCAGGAACCAGGAACGGCGAAGGGCGAATGAAGAGGATGAGGATGAGGGCGACTGTGCGTCTCAGTGATGGTGCGGATCTGGAACGGAGGGGGTGCCAGGCGTACGGTGGTCGCCCCGACTCAACATGAGATAGCCAGGCGTCAAGGGTCGTTCAACGGCCATCTGGCATGGAGAGAAGAAACAGGAGATAGGGGAGGGATGGAGTGTGAATGGTCCGGTCCTTTGACCTTTGGGTGTGAGTGGACACGGGCACACACACACTGCATGCCAACCCAACTTAGTACTGAAGAGCTTGGACGACGAACATGGTCGGGATGGTGGGTGGTGGCCGTGGCCCTGGGGTGGTGGGTGGCAGGTTGGTGGGTGGTGGGTGCGCGGACGCGGACACGGGCGCGGCTTCAGGGGTAATTCTGTCACTTCCACCTATTACCACTCCGTACTACGTGCTGCTACTGCTAGTCGAGCCGAGCGACAAGCTCCAGGTGGACCACCACCACCTCCTCGCCCTCCTCGCGGACACAGGGCATGTTTGTCATTTTGAACAATGAATAATCATCCATGGTTCCATGCCTGCCGACTCCCATCCTCCGACTTTGGATTTGGAGGCTGCCTCGAGCCCTGAGCCCTGAGCCCTGAGCTCGAGCTAGGGACAGACCCCAGTGCACACTACTCCGTACCTACACAAGACCAGTTCCAGTTCCATGCTGATCCGCACTCACGTAGCAGGTATCAGATATCGCATCCTCGCCCCTCCGTGGCTGTAGCTTGTATTCAGTGATGATGATGATGATGATGGTCGTCATTATCCATATCAATAAATTGTCATTGTTCCGATCTGTCCTGCTTTTCGAATCTCCCCTTCGCCTCTCTTGTCTCGCTTCTACGTTTGCGTCCAGGATCAGGCTCCGAATCGAGTGGCGATCCCAAATGCTGGGTAATCATTAATCTGGTACATTCCAGTCTGGCCGGCATCCAATTTATTCCCGCCCTACAGGGTGATGCTCATCGGTGTCAGGACCTCATGACATGCAAGGGGAAAACAGGAACCGTGCGGATAAAACTGCCTCTTCCTTGTTCAAGTTATCTGGGAGCTTCAGCCATGTGCATAACATGTACCGCGTACCGGTCCACTCTCCGCCCCAGGACAGCTGGACAAGCTCAAAGACGTGCTGGAATGCTCGGGACGTCGTGGTTCGACGATCGTACGCACTTGATCGATCTGACCCCGTCTGACGGGGAAAAAGCGCCTCTTTCTGCAGGACATCTTCTACCCGACACTCGATAGTTCCTGGAACCCCGGTTTGAAGGCCAGCCACTGCACAGCAAGAGAATGTGGCGGTCTACTAGTAAGGTCAGCGGCTGTTTTTTCCAGTCAGGTGCCCAGACATGCCGTCCATTACGGGGTGGGAGTTTCCCGAGGCGTCAGGTCTTTTCTCTGCATCCGTAGTTTCCCATAGGAATGCTCAACTAATGAGAAGTGGTTGGACGGAAGTTGAGTTGGTGGTGCCAGGGGCTGAAGAACACTGATGTTAGGGTTCGTCTGACGGTCAGGGCTCTGTTTCAACTCCCCCCTGCTCCGGGGATATGGGCGGGAGGATATCTCAAACACATCAGTGCACCGAACGAAACAGGCGGGTTCCCACCCTCCCGCAGTGGCTACGCGGTACGAGGAGGGGTTTAATCACTTTCATCATACGTATCCGTACTCCGAACCGACAACAGGATTCGGTCCGGGCAAGGCAAACTAGCGACACAATTACAATGCCAGGAGTCATCCGTCTTGTTCGCCGCCACCTGTAAACTGCGAGTGTCTCCCCATTTCTAGCCACTCAAGGCACATGTTGGGCACAGGGGTACGCTATACGGCACAAGACGAAGCACATTTGGATAGCAGATAGATGAACGACTCGTCTGAGGCCAAGGATGACATGAGCCTAGCAGTCCACAGTCCAGCCTTCAGGGCGTCGAATCTATCGTCCACTTGTGATCTTGTGGCCCCTTTCCCATCCGATATGTGGTACCGGCTTCCTTCGAATACATCTTTCTCGGCCCAGGGGTGTTGATTGGCATGTGTGCGGTGAACGGTACACGTAGAAAAGAGACAGTCGAGATTTAGATCGGGACCAAGAGGGGGAGATTTGACGGGAGCCATAGACTCTCTAAACGGGACGATTGCGGGGGACAAACGGGATGACAAACGAAGGAAATCCCCGGTGAAAGGCTCTGTTAGAGGGTGGCGAACAAAAGAGTGACATGAACTCCGAAGTGGTGTGGAATAGGGTCCCGTGGCAGTAGTCTAAAGTCGACGCCGGACGGTCTAGGTCAGTGACGAGTTGAAGATGGTGGTAAGATGGGAAGGTGTAGAAAATAGAAAGATGGGCGCAGGCATCTGGTCGACGCAGTTGTGTTAATATTAATAAATGTCACCCGCCACCGCCACCACCTTAAGCACCACCACACTGAGAGTCAAGACATTCGAGTTTCAGGCGCGCTCGTTAGCACAATAGTCCCGGAATTCACAGCCGAACTTTGACGTTTGGCAGGTACCACAGTTGGACAGAGTATTAGAGTAGCACGGGCCGGATACTCTCACAGTGTGTCCTACAGTATGATCCTCCGAACTCGGGACTTATGATTTGTCATTCCACCCATTCGGCTCCATGGATTGGATACAGTTGCAGACGATCGAAGACGACGCAACAGGGTCGTTCCGAGGACCCTACGAACATTGGCAATGCTCGACTCGGAATGCATCAACAGCACCCCCCATATGCCATCCCCTAGTCCAACTGGTTCCGTAGATTCTCATATTTGCTTTCGGGGTACGACAGACAGTTCTTAGCCTCCTCCAGTCGACCCGGTCCGCCACTTTGTGTCACAAAGGTCTCAATGAGGCTGCCGCCGCCGACAGCTTTATCAGCAGAAGATTCCCACCACATGCCTCCGGCCAGGCCATAGTCGCGGACAAAGGCCGCCTTTTGCACCACCACGGCCGGCGTATCGTAGCTGATCATCGTCTGAGACGACGGCGAATAACTCCAGCTGGCCCCAATGTGGGGGTCATGGTACTCAGAGCTATCCGACTTTGGAAGAGCTTTGTAGTCCCAAACCCCCTGTTCCCAACTACCTTCACCGACTCCGCTGTATGAGTGCCCAGGTCCTGCAGTGGACGTGAATGTCCGGCCATACAGGGGCATCCCGAGGACAATTTTCGAAGGGTCGACACCACGCCGGGTATAATGCTCGACCGCGGCGACCGTACTGAATGGCGTGCACTCCGGATGAGATTTCGACGGAAACAGATTCGCCTGATGCCCTGCTCGCTGGTCCCACGACCCTGCGTAGTCGTACGCCATCAGGTTCCAGAAATCCAGCAAGCGATCCATCTCCGGGATGTTCAACTTCTCAAAGTTGGAAGGTCCAGCGGGGCACGCAACCGTCAAGTAGAAATGGGTGTTCTGACGTTTGGCCGCAGCAGCATCTAGAGCGGCTCTTGTCTCACGCAACAACTTGACAAAGTCTTCAGCCTCGTGATGGTTCTTCGGATATTCCCAGTCCACATCAAGTCCATCAAAGCCAAGATCCTCGAGGAGCTTGACGGCGCTCTCTGCAAAGCGCCTCCTGCCGCTCTCGGTGCTGGCTGGCTGGGCGAAATTGGACGAGTACGTCCAGCCACCAATACTCAGCAAGATCTTGAGATTGCGATTCCTCTTCTTTTGAAGGAACAACTGTTTGACGCACCCGTAGACATTGGTCCCGGTGTCATTCCAGCTGTCGCTATCATAGTGCTTGTCGGTGTCGGACCAGGGGTCGGTCAGGTAGACTTCGCCACTTTCCGGCCTGACATTGGCAAAGGCGTACAGGATGTGAGTGAGGTATTCAGCAGGTAGGTCTTGTGGATGATGATTTCGGCCGTATGGCGCCCAGTTAACGTAGTACACGACCGACCGAATGCCGTCGCCGCCACCCATGAGGAGATTGGTTTCGTCAGGGCCCAGTTCAGGGATGAACTGTGTCAGTGAGGGGGAAAGTCGGAATGAAAGAACCAAGAGCAGAACTACAGCGGGAAGCATGCCAAAGTGGACGGGGGTGAGGCGCCTTAATACTGGAGATGCATCGATATCATCAAGGTTAGTACCAGCTGGCACTGAAGACTCTTGGATTGGGGCGGAGTGACTCAAGCTTCGAGTGAGGCCCGGCTGTCGGTGCAGTGTTTGTCTCACTTCACCCTGAACGACGGCTGCCTGAGATGCTTTGAATGGCAGTGATGCAGCTGCTTGCTCTTGGTTGGAGGAGGATGTGGTGGTGTTGGTGGTGTGGCTGATGATGATGACGCGGGAGGCGGTGCAGACCAAGACCTACGTATCCGATATCGTGGCTGGGTTCCCCTCTACGGTAAAATGTTGCTCCGCTGCAGCCTCGGCAGTATGGCATCATGCATTCAAGTTGTGAACCTCGTCCTAGATACCAGTTAATAGCATCTGAGGTACGGAGTACTTACGCACCCCGTGTGAGCCCTCTCTGATTATTCCTGTACTGCGGAGGCCGGTCAACTGTTTCCACCTTCCACGGTAGAAACAAAATGCCGCTGGAGATCCTGTTCTTCGGAGCCGGGGCGATTGGGGCCTTCTATGCTTCGCGCGTGGCGGTCAATCCAGACACCAATGTCTCGGTCGTCTGCCGGTCCAACTACTCTGCCGTGGTGAAGCACGGGTTCCGCATCACATCCCCGCAGTACGGCGACTACCAGTGGACGCCCACGCGGACATTTAACTCGGCGGAATCAGCGCGGCAGAGCGGCGTTCGCTGGGACTATGTGGTGGTGAGCACCAAAGCCCTGCCCAACGTCTCGGACGACTCGAAGCTGCTGGAAGGACTGGTAAGTCCGGGGACGGGGACGGCGACGGGGACCGCCATCGTCTTGATCCAGAACGGGCTGGGCGTCGAACAGCCTTATGCGCGGCGGTTTCCCCACGCGTCTATCTTGAGTGCCGTGACAGTCGCGTCCGCGGCCCAGCCCAGCAACGGCCACATCAAACATAACCGATGGACACGCATCAACATTGGACCGTTCTTCTCCGACGCGGACACGTCGCTCGAGTCGAAAGAAAGGGCCACGGCCCAAAACCGGCGCCTGGTCCAGCTGCTCGCCAAGGGCGGCATCAAGGATGCCATCGCCGACACGCACGAGAAACTACAGCTGGTTCGCTGGCACAAGATCGCCATCAACGCCGCCTTCAACCCCTCCGCCGTGCTCTCGGGAGGGAGCCACAACCAAGCCATGGCCTCCGACCCCGAACTCTATCTCCATCTCAAGGGTGTGATGGACGAGGTCCTCACCACCGCTCCCAGGGTCGTCGGCACTCCCTTTCCGCCTTCGTTCGCCTCGTCCGATGCCATTCTCCGCTCGACGCTGAGAAATAAGAGCGGCAGCAAACCCAGCATGCTGCTCGACTGGGAAAGTGGGAAGCCTCTGGAGCTGGAAGTCATTCTTGGCAATCCCATCCGCATCGCGCGGGAAAAGGGTTACGAAATGCCCCGGCTGCAGAGTCTGTATGCCCTGATCAAAATGAAAGAGACGAATCGAGAGGCTAGGGAGGAGAAAGCGAAGAGCAAACTCTAATCTTACAATAAATGATGGGATCCTTTTTAGAGACAAACCGACAGCTTCCCGGCCAAACGTTTCATCCACACCTACTTGCCATATCCGATCATTCATGCGTCCTGTCCTGCTTCACGCGGCGCGAGGAGATGAACTGAGATTCTATCTGTCAACACAGCCTCTTCTGGCATCAGGATCGCCAAATCATGCTAAATAAACTGTGGTGATGACAAGGAGAGCCGACTAATGCTGTACCAAATACCAACCAACCCAGAGTGTACCGCCTGCTCTCAACCCAGTCGAAGAGGCCTGGCGCAAAAATCGTCGACCGGCAGCCGACCAGCCCAGCGTCTACATGTCGATAGGGAGTAGAAACCGCAGCATCCACGATTGTGGGTTCTACTGCTCCATGGCTTTATGACATGCCCAGGGAGCTTAAACCGTCAATATTACCAATTCGTTGAATCTTCCTGCCTACTACATAGATCTCGGTCATCGAACCCTCGATGTAGACAGTTTCTTCACCGCACGTGGATTCTCTTGCGTGCTCCCGACCGTGAACCATGAAGTCGCCACCAGGGTCGCGCCAACAATCCACGCCGGCAGCCAAATGCACAATACTCCCACCGGCACACCCCAGCTCCACCAGACGTCCCATCCAAAGGCCAGCTTTTGAAGCCAGTCCACAAGCACGTCATTCCGGCCAATGGAAAAGAACCCATATGCGGCCAACCCCGCGGCCAAGCCGGTCGGGCTGAAGATGAGGAGAAGGAGATATTGAAGAATAGAGGCTCTTCCCCCGCCTGGATTCCGATCCACAAATGCAAGCGGTATACAGACAATGCCGAGAAACATGCTGAGACTGAAGTTCAGAGTCGCGAGCACGGTGAGGAACAGGCCTAGTAGTAATAAACTCAAGGACTTGATCAGAACATATTGTTCGTTGGTCGGTGCGGCAACTGCGGGCAAAGTGGTGTTGTTCGGCATTTCGGGCAAAGCTGATGCTAGGATGATAGGTAAGACAACGGTGAATGACGCCAGGAGAAAGAATGTCGATGGGATGGCCTTGAGGGTGAGCGAAGTGAGTAGGTATAGGGGAATAAGTGATGCCAAGTGGATGGCAGCCAGCAAAGTGATTGGAAGGACGAGTCGCCTGTCAAGAGGGCTGAATTCAACCTTTGGGCTATACTCGAAAGCTGGTCGTGTCTGCTCGTCAGCATCGCCCTCTTTCTCTCTTCCGCTCTGCTCAGCCTTGCCCTTCACCGCAACAATTGGCTTCTCTTTCACTCGGTAGCCGCTCAAAACCCAGAGATAGATTGCCATGATCGTGTAAGCGGCAGCTATAACCATGGCACTTGGGAGATACGTGCCAATGCTCACAAAACGATTGGACTGCATCAACAAATAGAAGAAGAAGCTCTGATGAAGCTTTTCCAGCAGGTTGTTCAGACTTCGACAGATACTTTCAATCGTCCTTCCGAAGGCCATTTCGTCTTGCCAGCCCTGGCCAATGGCAGTCAAAGTGATGGCATCAATATGGTATGTCATGAAACTGGAGTGCGGACCCGTGGCTTGGCCGAGTGCCTGTGATGCCATCCCACGCACCAGCGTCTGAAGCCGGGACGGGTATGAACTCTGACTGTCTCGGTCGGTGTAGGTGTGTTGGAACTGAATCGAGGTGCCTATCCCCATCTGGCCCGATGCAATTGTCACCGCCGTGTTGAAAAGGTCAAGATTGGGCAGCGCCCCATTGATGCCGTCATACGCAATGTGAAGAGTCTCGAACCGATGTTCGAATGGATAATCAATGCAAACGGCGGCCTGGAGAGCTCCGGACTTCAATGACAAGTCCTCAACGGTCCGAGGATCATGTGTGGAATGGTATGCGTCGATCCAGGCTTGTGGCCCGGCGAAACTGTCGGGGGTGACCAGGAAGATGATATCCTTCGACCAAAGAGACCATCGCTTGAAGTATCTTGCAAGTGAGATCAAGAGAGGTACGCCGTTGGTATTGAGGTCGTTATCGATGTTCTTCAGGGGTGCAAGTAACACGATTGCCTCTGTTCCATCGCCCCGCGGAGCATGGAGTACTGCGTAGACATTTACGCCCTCGTAAGTCTCACCAGAAGAGGTGTAGGAATAATGTTGGCTCGCGGTCTTCAAGCCAGCATTGCGGAACAACTCTTGTATCTTCACACTTCTTTTGTTCTCCCAGTCTCTCTCTTCTTTTTTTGAAATTGTGACATTCCCACTGGAGGTTGATGCGGGCCCCAGAACTGTAGCCAATTCCTGGCGATATGCACGGAAGACATTTTGCTCGCTTCCACCGAAATAGGTATGCACTTGACCGGGCAAAAGCGCGTTTTCGGAGATATAGGTTTGCCGCGAGTATTCGTTCAGAGGGAGCAGGAGGATCCAGACAATGCCTCCTAGGATGCAGAGGGCAGAAAGGTATGGGGGGATCCGTAAGAGGCGCGGGTCGTCCTTGCGCAGCCGGGAGATGGAGTTGCCTAGGGCACAAGTCAGAGTTCTCTCAGTGCCAAACGATGTCAGTCGTCGTCGGAATACTACATGTACTCACGTATCAGTCCCATCTTGGCCTGGCTCGGCCGGTCTACGCTTCAGCACAGCGCCGCCGTCTATCGAGGTTGCTCAGTGTGGCCCGTTTATAGACGAAATCTGTACTAGATGCCATATGCCGAGGTTCACCCGCCGCAGCCTTCTCGCCTCCTGCGACTCAGTAGTGCTACTCGTCACTTGCTTGGACTTTGGTTGTGCATGCAGCCTCGATCTTCAAAGAGGCGTCAAACATTTGCTATGGCGGTTCTCCTCATAGCGTCATTAGTATACAATGCGAAGGCAGTCTATACACATCAACCCCCGTTTTTGAAGGGTCCCGTCCTTTCAGTCCCCAATATTTAGCCAACCAGCCTGTCCCAGTATAATACTATATTCGAAGCTCATGTCAAGATCCAGAGTTGCAGGCGTACAACCTAAGGCCCAAGCCTTTGTCCGCTGGCACCTCCCACCCAGCCTAGGCCGATAGGACTCACATGCTCACCAGGTCCACTGGTCGAACTGGAGGGAAGTACACCATATCGGCCGTAGGTCTTTTGGTCCACCGAGACGTAATGTGGCAACCTGCCCAATAGGTTGAGTTTCCCTTCGATCCAGCGGAGAACTCGTTCTGGAGGGGCAAGGAATCGAATGTACCCTAGACCCCCTGGTTCCTTGTCAGCGGGGATGGAGAAGTATGGGATGAATGAGTGCGAGAGCACTGCGGAGGTACCTACAGACATATCCTGTGATACAGCCGGACAAATGACCAAGAAATGATGCGTTGGGGATCAACACAGATGTGACCACCAAAATGGCCAGAGGCGAAATCCAGGTCGGTATCTTGTAACCGGAAATCCTATCAAGAGCCATCAGTCAGAGAGCTCATACTGTAGACTTCATCCGCTGCCAAGGGGAGGGATCGCATACTCGATATAAGGATTGGTCTTGTATGTTTTGATCGCCTCAGACGCCAGCAGAAGGAACACCCATATACTAGTCCCAGAGGTCAGTCGTTCCTCTTATGCCAGCCTAAAAAGGTTCAATGGTTTTCGTACCTAGCACCAAGGACTGGTGTATTGTCTCGAAGGATAACGCCGTCCAGTAACAAATATATTCCCGCGGGTATTTGGCCCAGCGCTGTAATGATCATCAGTACCTCTCATTTGACACTGGTATTCCAGTCTTTTTCTTGCGCTTTCTGGGAATCCGGCAAGACTTACGGCCCATGAAAAGCGCCAGGCTGTTCAATGTCCCCCATTCGGCCTCGAACCTTTCGAGCAAAGGTATCAAGCATACCGTGTCCAACAACATATGCCAAAAGCCCGTGTGTATCAGAGCAAACGTGTTCAGCCTGTACATGCTTCCGAAGCCTATTTCTTTAGGGGTCAGGGAACCCCACTGAATCACGCTCCACACACTCTGGAGTTCGAGGACCCAGAACGCGACAATGGCGAGCAGAATGAGGCGCGTGAAAAGCGGGAGTCGGAAGAGGTAGGAGCGCAAGCGGGATATGTTGATGAGGCGCGTCGGGAGAGGCAGACTCAGGTTGTTGGTGGTTATTCTGGGGGCTGCCATTGCGGCGGTAGGCCTTGAGACGCGAAGGATCTTGTACACAGCTTCTGGTACTGGAGAGGTTAACAGTTCCGCTTTCCCGTGAAGTCTTGGAGATGAAGCCGAAGTGTCTATCAACAAAGTCCAGTGTACGCCCTTGTCTCGTACGCCATCGCGGTTGGATTTTTGTGCGTGATGAAAATGCGTACCACGAATACACTGAAGAGTCCAAAAGGTCGACTGTCTGGGAAGTGGTCGAACGCCTACCAAATTGCGGAGAACCGCATCGTCCAATACAGTAAATCACCCGGCCGTGCCGACCCAGCAAATGATGGTCCTATGATCTGCAGTTGTGTCTCTATATATATATATATATACATCGATCATCGAGCCATATGATGAATTAGAGGGGATCAGTTTAGCAGTGTGATTGTATTATGTTCAACGAGTGCCTTGTCCGCAAAGCAGCAGGACTCTCGCTACGGACTCTCTATAACAATGCAGTCTGGGTATCATCCAGTGTCAAAGTAGGGGTATCGTGCAGCAGGCAGTAACTCCATCCCGTGTCATTAGTGTCCCAGTAGGTCATAATCAAAGGTCGTCAAAGGGGTATCGCTCGCGAGTGTAAGTATAGAATCTCTTCTGCCAGCCAGCAAATGATTGCGAGAATGCAAGCCTGTAGGTGTCGTATTACCCCCTTTTTTCGTGTTCTTCTTTTTATTTTTCTGGGTTGATGGTTGGCCAAAGACACAGTCAATGGGCGGCGATTTCAGTATCGCGAGGATATTTGGGCTCTATGGAGCTCCTTCCGACTGGCCCAGCCCTTCAGAGAGAGCACAATGATCTCGTAAGACATGATCAAGGCGGTCAAGCCCATGGTGACGGTGAAAACGAACATGGCCATAAGATCGGCGCTTTCCATATAGTGAATGACGTCTTTCGTGCTGGCCATGAATATAAGGCCGCCGGAGATCAGACAAAATGCGGAGACCAGCTCAGTGGGTGGTCGGGAGGGGTAGACCGACGTGGGAGGTGCGATGTAGTTGACGATATAGGTGCACAATCGAGCCACAGAGAAGCCGGCGAGCATAGTGCCCCATTGCTTGTGAACCATAGTGGACACCATCGAACTTTGGTGATGAGAGGACATCATGACACCCAGGAGGAGTATGATCAATGCCGGCATTGGGTTAAGGGATGTAGTGTAATGCTTTGGAGGCGTGCGCAGTTCAAGCGCGTCGCTGGGATGCACCTCCGTTCGGACCGGCATGTTGTCAACGGCGGCATTGAGGCATCCTCGGACAAACTTTGACTCGATAAGCATGCCACACTGCGAAATGATTAGCCATTTTTCAGGAGCAGGCTTCCTGGATTTGAGAAACGTACCAAGCCACCGCCGAAGAACAGGATGGAGATGGACACATGTTCCAGATCCTGCGCGGTCCATTCACCACCCCAGGCTGCAAGATGTTCGAGGAAGACGTTGGTACTGCCATAGAGGAAGATGACAAAGGATTCGACGAACTCGGCGGAGGGCACGGCTGCTTTCCATTGGCCAACCTGGCTGCGGGCCGGCTTGATGTTCCAAGCCCAGCCCAGATCGGCAAAGCAGCCCATCCAACGTCCAAGTGTCAGCAATCCGTACCAGAAGAAGATTCCTCCTTTGATAAAGTGCGCAAGTCCGTTGAAGATGTTGTTGCCTCGCTGTCGATGGTCAGTAGGGTCCTTACTGCGACTGCGCCCGGCTTTCAGGATGCGGGGGGAGACTTACGAAGATGCCGGCATATGTTACCCCTCCTGTGGTCAATGCAATAAAGCCGAGCACCAGAATCGTCCTGTCGATGATTTCGTACGCCACCTCGAAGATTCGCAACGGCTTAGCCGAAAGCAGATTCGGGACTCGGGCGGACAGGTACTTGTCGACGACATGAATGCGCCACCGAGAGCTCGGGCGCGATCCTGGCGTTGCCGGCTCTTCATCCTCATCTTCCGGCTCAGGCTCAGGCTCCGGTTTCTCGAAGTCGTCAAAAGTGTCGCGACGATGGGGAGTTGCGGGAGAACCGTCTCGGCTGTGGAGGGTGGATGATTGTTCAGTCCCCTGGCCGCTGTCCCCTGACCAGCGGTGGTTCTTGTAAGGATGGGCGTTGTGGTGAGTCATATTCTCCACTGACACAGGCAAGAAGGCTACTCGCTCCGCAGCGGGTGCCTCGGGGGCCTTTCGTCTCCCAGAATAGGTGAACAAGAGGCTCATGATGACCTGGGCGGTTACAACCCACGTTGCGATCCAGCCAATTTTGTGATGGGCATTATTTTCGTACAGGTCCGGAGTATTAATGTTGTACACGGTACCGAACAAGACTCCCAGACCGTTGAGGATGAGGAAAAGGAACTGGACCGGCAGTGCAAACCTTGAACGAGCAACGCTGAATACAACGCCTGCTTGCGTCAGTGCTCCTGTCTTCCACCTGGTTCACGAACTTACCGATGGGTAGGACCAAGAACCATGCCAGCACCATGAGAACGATATGCGCCAGGATCATATTCCCATGCATGCCCAACCCGGCATAGCTCGGGAGGTTGTATAGATCATTATCATCTAGGGGGACCTTGTCGTGGGTCTCGACGCCCTTGCCCATATCCATACCGGTGTGTTCATCGTCGCCGTGGGCCGTGGTGGACAGGGCCAGGTAGAGCAGCACAGCTGCTATAGTATGTCTCGAGGGTAACATCCGGCTGAAGCAATCCCCAGGATATATCAGCCGATCCTACTGGTATGCCAATGGCGCAGCCACAACCACCCACTCTCTTCAAACGACCGAGAGTCTCCAGGGACAGTATGAGTATGAGGGGGCCTCCCGGAACAGTACGATAGAACGTGGGGGTTTCCGTTCAAGGTAGGCAAGAGGGTGTCCGGAGGTGAGGAGCGAGTCGCAATAGAGGTTTGCGCGAGAGCAGCGACAGCTAAAGGACAGGGAGGAAGACAAAGTCTTGCGCACTGCAGCAATGGACGGGCGTGTGAAGGAGGACAAGAATCAATCGAGTGAGAGGGAGCCCAAGCCCTTACCAGAAGAGGCCAGGGCGATATATTATGAACAAAGCAGAGCTTGAGTTGACTCGATCGAGTCATCGGCGCCAGCGACCGCGAGCGCGCCACAGACACGGACCGATTAGGTTAGTTGTGGAGGGCATTTTTCATGGGTAACCGGAGTGCTCGGATGCGCTATGGGTGGTGCATGTGTTGCTCGAGATCTGGTTGTCGCCGTGTCGGGTGAGCAAGGCGCTGGATAGAGGACGAGGCCACGAAGAGGGCGCCGGCTGATTGGACGGATCAGAGTCGGAACAGGGCGCCAAGCCAGGCTCCAGACACTGCAGGTCAGGCGAGAGAATTCTGAGTCCAAACTCCAGTGCAGTTGACCAGGGTCCGGCTCGGGCTCGGGCTCTTCGCACTACAGATTAGCCTAGCCGTTCACGCTCGACGGGTGTTGATGCGCTCAATGTGGATAAGTCGGCAAAGAGGGAATGGAAAAGGACATGGCTGATGACGGTCTGCGCTCTTCTATTGCCTTCGGAATAATGGGGAATGAATGCTGACAGACGCCAAAGAAACGGGGCCGCCACTGGGCGGTTATGTTACACCTACCATCCTCAGGCTCTGCTGACAAAGGGCGGCACCCTCCATCCCACGCCGGCCCAGGCGGTGACTGAGAGGGACGGAGTGTCGGAGTACGTACGGATAGACATCGACTCGCACCACTACCGTCTGACTTGCTACCGCAGACTGGACGCTGACTGGCGCAAAGGAGTCGACCTCAGATGACTCCCGGCAACTCCAGGAATCTCACAGCACATGATGTCATTACAGGGGACGCTCTGGTGGCTCTGCACCTACGTAGGAGTACGACACAGCACCACATGCTGCATTGGGACGAGTATTGTGCATTATCACCTCGGATTTAAGGGTGAGTCGCCTATGGCCAAGAGAGAGTGCGTGTCCCGACAGAGACAGTCAGGTGGTATGGGACCGTCAATTTAAGCGGTGTGCTCTGGACGCAGACGGCGCAGACGGCGCAGACCACTTTAGGCACAACAGTTGCGAGTTGAGGTGCCAGTTGCCAGTAGTCACTCCAGTAACACATGAATTATTAATGATTAATTAGTGGTGGCGGGGTACATGCGTCTGGCAGCTAGCACGTACTAACTGCGCTTCGAAGCTTGTAGACATCCAATGTGGCCTGACCACGAACGGGAACGATCGTCGATATCTCAGCCAGAGGTGCCAGTGGTGCCAGTGGTACCTCTGTAGGTGCCTCTGTACATAATACTCCTGCAGCGTGTGGGGATTGCTGATGCCTACCTACTCTTGGCGCTGTAAGTACCTACATGTAGGTAGGTGAGTCGGAAGCTAGGAGGAGGCTGGGGACGGTCCAGAGTTCAGAGTCCAGAGTCCAGACAGTATCAATGCTCCCTCCATACTGCTAGTAAGTTCAATAACTCGCATCACACAGTATACATACTGTGAGAAACAGACATCAGTGACAAAAATAGGAAGTGCTTTGCCCACCACTTGGTCCTCACCTCCTTGTGCTCTGTACAGAGTAGGCACAATGCGCCCGTCACGTCTGGGTCTGGCGTATACGGGACTTCATACAGAGTGCTCCGTAACCTAGGTAGGTACCTAGCTACCTCCTACCTGACATTTGATGATCGGCCGATCGCCTCCATCCTCTTCAAATCGCTTAAGCTGCTCTCCCGCCCGTCTGCTCCTCCCATTGAACCGTTTGTGCCACTAGGATATTGGTCTGAAGCAGCGGTCGGATACAAATGGCACATCGTCCGATCTCTTCTGTCGTCGCCTGACTCCTCATCCTACTGCGGCCTCAGTCAAGCAGCGAAGTACGAAGTATTCGTACTCCGGTACCTGATCCCCAACCCTCCTTCCGTGCTTCCAGTCCCGGACTGTCTATCCGTACACCGCACACCGTACGCACAGGCCCCGCGGTTTTGTTGCTATCACACTGACCTGATATGTTCTCAGAGACCGATTAGACACGGAAAGAAGTCGGTCACAGATCCATATTCGCATCCACCCAACGCGGTAGAAACCCGCCGAGAATCCTATTCTTACTACTGACCCTACTGTCACCTCCTGTTACCTACTCCATATGAGGTGCCTGAATCTCGATCCTTCCTCCCAGCCACTGTCGATATTCCGAATAAGTCCTATTAGTTGCGGAGCCCTGCAAAAAATTCTCTCAAATGGCTTGGGGAATGACTAACAGTTAGTTCTCGTATCGGCCAAAATTTGGACCGACGCCCTCCCATTGCCGTCTCACCCGACTTCACTCCCCGGCACCTCCAGACAGCGTGAACTTTACGATAGATACCGAGTTGGCATCGGAGATGGCGGGCAGCTCCCTGTTCACTGTTCAGGGACTATCGCGACGGTCTGCCTCGGTTACCAGTCACCAGTCATTATTTCTTCTCCAGCTGCTAACTACTGTGCCTGTGTGCGAGTACTCTGTATCCGTACTCCGAATGCTCGCCTCCACAGAAGAAAAATCTTCGATTGATGAACAGCTCCGGCGCCAACGCGCAGTTTCCCCGCTACTCTGTTCCAGAGACATTGTTAGCTCCATCGCCCCATGCAGTTTGGTCACAAGGCTCTGTCGTTCTGCGCTGGCCATCCTGCTCCCCCACTGTACTGCACGGGCGGCTACTAATCAACAAAAGGACTTGGCAGTCTTCTACATGACGCGAACTAACGGACTGAGCCGTCGCGGCCCCTGCTGGACATGAAACGCGCATCCCGATGCATAAAATGCCATCGTCCTTTTTTATGCAAACAATCAAGAACCGCCTCCAGTCCATGACCGCTGTGTATCCAGGGAGACCTTATGAGCGCAAGCTCGCCCACAGAAGCAGTGAGGGGGGGGAAGTTCAAGGGAGCAAGTCGGCTTTACAGCTTCGCAAACCATTGATTTAGCCAAAAAGAACCCCGAATGAGAAAACACAATTTGCCATGGACTGGCGAATATTTATCACATTCACCTTCACCTTCACCTTCATTTTATCCTGAACTATGCGCTGCTGTGCCCCAACCCCCTCCACATCGCCTATACCTTCTCGAGGCTTCTTAACGAGTAAAACAACAGGTAGGCCTCCTGCCTCAAGACGTCCTCAGTGGTGGTGGCCGAGACGATCTCGTCGTCGAAACGGAACCACTTGTTGTCCTGCCTGCAGAAGGCAAAGTAGTGGCCGTTCTGCGCGTGCTCGCCCTGGTGCACGACCACGCAATCCAGATCGTACATGTAGGCGTCGGGTTTCGTTTCGCCACCATTAGTTGTGGTCGCCATCGGCGACGGCGGCTTGGTCGTATACGGGCCCATGTCCAGCTGCAGCGGGAATTCGAGCTTTCCCTCGTACTTCTCTGGTAGCCAGACACCGCTGCCCGCCTGTTTCATGCCGAACCGCTTGACATGCACGCACATGATGGCCGGCAGCTTACGTAGGCGGGTTTGCTTGCTGGCGGACCGTCGCGCGTCGCACGTGGTGCAGTTGTATTGTTCCGGACTCAGCGGTTCAGGAGCCGTGTAGCTGCGCAGACATTCGTGTAGGTTAGGGATGGCGATCTTGAGAGGAGGTTTGTCGGCCTTGTTGGTGGCAGCAGAAGCGGCGGCAGCGGCGGCGTCCTTGGCGGCCTTCTTCTTCCTCTTAACCTGCTTCTTGAAGTCGAGGCTGATGCTAGAGAACTCGTCCTCTCGAGACGAAACGGTATGGCAGGTGTCGCATATGATCTGGCTGTTGTAGCGGCCGTAGAAGACCTTGTGGAAGAAGCACACGCATTGCTTGTCAATGGGCGGAATACCATTGGCCTCGTTGACGCTGTTCGTCTGGTCCGGAGTCGAGTACTGCGCCACAGCCTCGTGCAGCCGGTCGATGATGTACATGAACCATTCTTGGGCATCTTGCTGGCCCTTACCGGACATTTGCTGCGCCAGCCACCATGGTCAGCACGACGAGCAAAATAGGAAACGAAATTGTCAGAAGGGAAAGGGAACACTCACGGGAATGTTCTTCCAAGACGCGAAAAGAAGATTCACGGCGTGCGCGGGAAGGGGTTGGTCAACCATGGTGACGTCCGAGAAGAGGTCAGTCATTCCGCACGCCACGCAGACTTGCAGCTCTTTCTTCTGGTCCTGGTCCTCGGAGGCCTGTTCCTCTTCGTCGGAGGCGTCGTCCTTCTTTTCCGGTTCCTTGGAGATTGGACACGTGTGAATCGGATGGCCCATGCCGAGGAAGTAGCTGGCCAGCAGCGGATTGTGCACCATCATCTGTAGGACGGCGTTCATGTAGCAAGTCTCGCCGAGGTTGAATAAGCCTCGCACACCGCTGCGGCCACATGGCCGTTGCGCAGTGTTGGCGGTCAAGTAGGAGTCGTCTTCGTCACTGGTCTCTGTGAGTTTGCGTTTCTTGCCGTTGCCCAGCAAGGCCGGGTCGTAGACCAGGTCATGGCAGCCTGCACAGTAGACGGATTTCTGGCCGACGGCAAACCCGTGCTGCGTTTCGGAGAAGTGCTTGTCTAGACTGGGGAAGCTTCCTGGCATCGAGCATTGCAAGCATGTATACTGGGCAAAGTTTGGATCGATGCCATTGGTGGGGGAACTCCGAAACTGGCGGATCTGCTCGACTGTCTCGCTGTTTAGATGCTCACAGCCAGCTGTCGGCATATGAAGAGCGAGAGCCATGGTAAAGGGATAGTTGACGGTTATGCCGAAGGGAAGCGTGTACCTGTGTACCTGTGTGCTGTGGTGGCGCTGTGATGAGGAGGAAGTCGGGTGAGGAAGCGAGGGGATGTTTATTATGGAGGTTTTTCGATTGTCGATTGTTCAATAGCCTCAAATGGCTATTGTCACAGCTGCAGATTCATGGACAATAAACTGGCATCGAGCATGTGTTGGAATCGCCGGCTCATGGCAGAAAGGAAACGCGCCGAGACGTCGAAAAGTTCAAGATAAATGAGGCTAGCCACCCAATCGGGTCAACGGGCCATCGCCAGTACTAAGAATCCGTACAGCTTGGTAGCCTTAGCCGACGATACACCGCCAGCCTTGCATGCACTAATAATACAGAGTACGGAGCACGGAGTAATCTTCATGATCTCCGGAGAACGCCTGTAGTTGCCTGTAGATATTATTCACTGGGAAGTTCTACGATGGTGGTCGGCGACGTTACGTATTATACTCAGTATAGTTAGGTATACAATAGCCAGATGGATGCGGTTCAGCGCAGTCACGATGAGACTAAAATTTCCGCCCGCTTGCGAGACCCCAGTACGGAGTATGCTGATAGCGACTGGATGGATGCCCTTTCGGAAGAGGCATTAGAATGAGCATATAAAACACCTTGTTTGCCTTGGTTTCGTTATACTGATGCCATGCAAGAACAAGACCACCTAACCCATTCAGCTCTATGCTCGCCGACCCATCGACCAACCAGAGATTGCTCATCATCTCGATTGCTACACTGCAGATCTAGGGCATTTTCCACTCCGTAAGAGGGCAGCCTCTGGTGTATTCATAGGGCAATGTTCCAGTTGTGCCAAGTCATCCTCAACATCTGCGTTCCTTCTCTCACTCCATGGAGTCAGCTCAGAGAACGTGCCTGTGGTAGTAAGGTCTTGGAAGCGAATTGCGAAAGAGAGCGTTAGAGGAACCCCTAAGAGCGTATAGCAACACGCCAGGTATTGGAGGCTGGAGAATCCGTGCAATTACGCTCATTGCTTTTCCAACTCTCAGCACTTCCGTATCCACGTAGAGTTGTGCCTGATGCCGGGCAACTCGGACAGAAATCGAGGCATACGGTTGTCTCAGAGGTCAAAAAAGCCGGGGCAGGGTGTGAGTTGACCTTGTCGAGAGTGCTTGAAATCGAGAAGCCGACGGCAAGCCGGCCGTGAGAGCGACGGCGCGGGCAGTCACACAGCTTGACTACTGTGTTTTCCTTGCAGCATCTGGGTGTGACAGGCAAGAGTTCATAACATCGCCTCTATCGGGCCCCTCTTCCTCTCCCGCGTGGGAGACTACTGGCTCTTGCTCCACGACCAGTCGCTCTGCTCGCTCTTCCCGCAATTCCTCCTCGACCTGCCACATTGCTTTGTTTGAACGTTGACGTGGTACTTGGGGTGATGGACGGTGCCGTTGTCTTCCGACGTGGTGTAGCCTTCAGGCTTGTAAAGCTGGCATCCGTGTTCAAGAAAGTTGCTTCAGCTTCTCCCAGTCTACTGTCGGTGCTATTGGTCTGCAACAGGGTTTGCTCGTCGGTCTCCCCTTGACCATGGCGGTTTGGGAAGCGTTTAAATGATTCCGAGATTGGAGCCTAAGAGAAATAATCAGACCTGGCAGAGAAATGTTGAGGAAGCAGCTTACTTCAGGAAAATCCACGACAAAGGCATTCATGTTCAATCCATACAAGAAACTGGCGAAGCTTTCTGCAAATCTGCCGAGGCTTTCATGCATGAGTTGGAGATGCATGAGATTGGCCTCCAGATCAGCCATTGAGTCGCTTAACTCTGCGAACTGAGGCTCGAAGTTGTCGAGAGGGGATGGTCCGACAAAAGCACTGGTCTGCGAGGTTCGGAATGAGGAGCGAGAGGATGGACGGAGGGGGGTTGTTGGTCGAGAAGCAGGGGAACGAGATCTGTTCCTGGTAGGCAGACGTGTCTGGGACGATGTACGAGGCTGCGACATCTTTGAAAACACTGATAGACTGATAGACTGATACTCTCAGGGCTGGTAGGTAGTCCGCTGCTCGAGATCTATAGTGTGCGCAGGAGCACCATGCAAAACAACGCGTTTCAAGTGGTGCAAGCATGCGCCAGAGTGACGTCGGGGCTTCGGACAAACACATTCCGAGACATCGCCGCGTTGGGATGGACGTTGCCATCACTGTGAGATGCTACATACTACCCAAGCAATAAACAAGACGGTTGAAGTCGCCTCGGAATGACTACTAGGTAAAGACAACTAGTAATCCCTGGAAGCAAGGCAGTGTGTACGGAGTAGGACTCGCCGAATCTGGAAGAGCCTACAATGACCTGATCGGAAGATTACATCTGTTGCTCGTCTATATGGGTCAGTGATCGTAGCCGCCACCACTTTCTGGACATCAGTGACTCCAGTTGAACCTGGCCTTAAGCGACCTGCCACTCGAATGCACCCAACCAACCCGGAGACAATGCAATCCATCTTCGGTGGGAAAGCATATTCCTAGGCCTGCCATTTTCGCCACACAAAATAAGCTGGACGCAGCCAGATACTGTGCTGGCTAGGTCCATCCACCTTTATGATACACAACACGGTCTAACCTCGATCACAACCCCTCAAAGTCGCCGCCTGGCGCGTCATCGTCGTCCATTTCTCCGTCCACGATCTCTTTGGCGAGCTCGCGCTCGCGTTCGCGGGCTTCCTGGGCATTCTTGAGCTCCAATCTATGCTGGTTCATCGGGAAACGCATAGCCTGTAAATAAGAGTTAGAGCGTGATTCGGGGACGGACAAGTTAAAATGCATACCTTGACGCTTTCATCGTGCAACCCTAAACAAGCCTGGATGCGTTCGTGGAAGACGTCGCCCGGTTCTCTGGTAGCGTAGATGTCGCCCACCTCCTTACTCTTCATGTATCCATGTTCATGGTCCAGGCTCGCCTCAATGACTCCGTCGCGGATCGCCTTTGCAACCATGTACTCGGCGGATTCCTCGCTGTCCAATCCCAAGCGGAGGCACATGTCACGCAGCGAGATTCTGGCGTATGAGAGAGACATCATACGAATTCCCGTTCTGATCACGTTCTGCCTCAATCTCAGAATAAGAGTGTATGTATCGTCTTTTCGGAAGGTCGAATTGTACCGCTGGACTAGATTCTGGAAGCCAGTGATATCGCCAGAGCTAACAGCTTGAACGAGTTGAAGGTATGGTTGTAAAGACTTCTCTAGACTTGGCTGCCGGAAGATTGCGCGATCTGGGATATCTCCCATCAAGAGCTCCACCACAACAAGCAGTTTGGTCGAGGCCTGGTAAAAACCGCTTGCTTTGTAGGCGGACGGGGATTTCCGCGTGGCTCCCGTGAGATGTTCATGGGCTTCTGTATAAGAGAGTTGAATTGCTCGAATGCGCCCGAGATAATACAGATATCGAGCAATTTGATTGTTTGCCGCTGCGGGAGGAAACTTAGTTCGCGAGATCAACAGGTCGGCCTGGGTGATGTGCGAGGTAGACAGATAGTTTCGCAAGAGAAGAGTAGTCACTGCGGCCTGAATGTCTTGATCTTTTCGCAGGGTGGCTGTTCTCAATGCATCAAGAAGGTTCTTTCGAATGGAGATAACCGCGGCTGCAGGAGACGGTGGCAGTGGAGCTAGCTCTTCGAAAAAGAGTGCATAGTAGAAGTATACTCGGGCAGCCAATGGGTCCAGCGTTCGACGGTTCAATGTGCGCAGGTGCTCCACAAGAGCACTTGAGAACTCAGCACCAGCATTGACGGACTTCTTATCGTAAAGGTAGACCTGGACTAGAATCGATAGGTAGACATCAATTTCTGGCAGAATTTCTTTCTGCGAGGTCTTTTGAGCCGCGTCCTTTCTGCCGTGCCATTCTTTAACCTTCTGGGCAGGGAATGATGGGTCATCCTTGACGGCGGTAAGGAGAGATATCGCAGTTGCCGTGGGGATTGGGTAAGTGTCGGTGACAACAGCTGCCAAAACATAACCAGACAACTGTTTCCTAGTAGAAGGTATAGAGCGAAGCACTCTCAAGCTGAATCGCGGATCAAACTGAACAACACCCCGTTCCAATAACGGAAGATTGGCTTTGATCTCTGTCCGAAGGTTAATGAATGCAATATCACTCGCAAGACACTCGCAACTCACCTGAGATAACCTTCTCTTGAGGATCGACTTGAGCTTCAGATGCATTTTCGGCGTCACCGTTCAAAGCGCCGTTTTTGAGGTCCGCCTCGGTGGATTTCTCAGGAGCACTAGGAGCATGTGAGCCCTTCGAAGGCGGCACAACCACAGTCATCTCGTCGTCGCCATCCTTATCCTTAAGCTTGGAAGACTTCTTCCCGGTTTGTGATTCTTCCTTCATCTCAATATCTTCCGAGCCGTCGATACCGTTCTCCGCCGGATCCGTGCCGTTTGGGCGGTGTTTGTCGCCGCTCATGTCTTCGGTCGAACTTGCGAGGTGCTGTAAGCGTTGGTCTCAACTGAACAAGGTAGATCGGGGCGAGGAGCACGAGTTCGATGTAGGATCGTAAGTAGACAAGTCGTCCTTAATTCCTTCGCTTTCTGTGTGAGAGGCCGAGTAGGCCTTGTTGCGATGCTGATTCCGCCTCTCAATCGACACAATCTGCCAATCTGAGCTTCCCGTATCCAACCCCACTCCGAGTCCGTCGAATCAGGCGTAGTTTGGCAGCAGACGATAGCAATTTGTAGCGGTGAAGGCGACAGATGTAATATTGAATTAGAGATGGAAGGGAGTGATGAGGTCAGGTGGTTGAGGTTGGAGAAGCGGATTTGGCTTCGGTCGGCCATAGAGCAAAAGCGCAGGCCAGGCACGAGAAACGCGTTTCCCTCCGCACTAAGCGAAGTCACATCAACAAACGTCCTACGACAACCACTGCGCTTGCGATGTTGCTTCTCGTGCTGCAGTCTCCATGATCTTGAGTCTACGATCAACATGCAGTGAACAACAGTGTTGATAAGAGATTTACGTCTGCGGCCAACCAGCGAGAGGACGCCCGACGTCCGGCACGTGCTTGGATTTGTCTACCAATATGGCTCTTCTGGCTAGCCATTTGGAACAGATATCTCTCTCCGCCAGATCTATAGCAGAATTGGAGTACGTGCCGAACAGCCATGGTCTTGCCTATAGAGATTTCTTACCGGTTGCAGATTTCCCCCGCCCAAGATCTTTACCAATGCGCTGCTCAAAGACCACGAAATCACGACCTTGATTCGCGACACTGAACCCCACGAGCGTGCCTTATTCTCTTTAGACCCAAGTGCTTTAAGCAGAACACGGCAACAGAATGATCTTCGATCGACGAGCGCAGAGCCCGTTCCTCATGGGCGCAAGAGTCTTTATCCAAGTGTACCTCCTGTGAAACAGTCCGTCATTACGAGGCTATTGGGCACTGAGATGCTTCAAGAGATCCGCAAGTCAAGCAGCAATACTGTACGATCCCGGGAAGGTGTCAATATAGAGGTACTGCTTCAAGGAGCCGAGAGGCTTTGCCAGATATATGCCGTCGCTGGAGCACATGATAAAGCTCGAACGCTTCGCAACCGCCACAGGGAAGTTTCAGCTTCCATATCTGTGCTTGAAGAGAAGGTCTCCGAGCAAGAGTTGCTGTTGGAGCGTCGCAATAAGGGACATGATCCCGATGAAGAGTGGAACTCAAAAGGATTTGAACCGCAATTGGTTATCGACGACGTCATGGGATTTACGGAGCAGGATTTCCAATCCGAAGAAGACGAAATCAGACAACTCGAAGCCAGAAAAAAGGCTCTAGAAGATCTTGTTGCGGGCATCGAGAAAGATCTCGGCGGCCTCCTGAGGTGAGAGAGAGAGGACTTCATTCCACATCCTTGACCAGGACCCTGCGTCCATGGCTGAATCCAATGGACTTGCTTTCAAACCCTCGTTCATTAACAGAAATATCTGTGCCAATGCCCAACCACAAAGGACTGGCCACCGCAAGACCATCCCTTCCTAAGCATTGATCTTTCAGCTGTCGACATATGACTCGACACCGGAGACTGCGGCATGCGAGAATAAGCCTTCGCCTTCGGTTTTGCGCAAGGTCCATAACATTTACAGGGGTTGCATTACTCATGTCCCATCTCGGCCTATTGAGTCCGCTGAAGTCTCAGTTCTCATTAGTGAGAGCAACAGAATGTTCTGGACAACAACCATTAGAACAAAGCTGAAGGCGAGCTCCAAGACTCATGATATTTCCGCTGGCCGGGGCTCGGAAGATAAGACAACGATCTGAAGCAAGTGGGACAGTCAATTCAGTTATCACCCCAAGTGACCGAGCGAGCCATATGTCGATGAGGTTTGCGAGATACATAAATCTGCAAACAACCTCTTTGAGAATCTCTGCTCAGAACGAGTTACCACCCACTACTTGCCTGACTAGGTAGGCATGAATATGCGTCACAAAACAGCGAGGAGTACTCCGTACTAAGTATATCATCCAACTACAATTCATTCCCAGACTTTGTTATCTGACAGTCTCCGGAGTTCCAATTAGATCCAGATCCCAGCCAGTGTTCAATACGTTGATACAAAAGTTCTCATTCCATGACGAGACTCGGATCACCCTAAATGAGCGTTATGTAAATCAACTTCTTATGCCCCTTGTTTTGGTCTCCTGCTCCTCCTACCCTTTCTAAAGAAGCGATTCCTGCCGCAAATATGAAATCCTCCAAATATCGAACAATTCGAAAGCATCCCTTTTTCGGTGGGGCCGCAGGTCGTAAATGTCAAGGTCTCTTTTAGCCTTAAAAAGATGGAATGACGTTCTGGCACAGGTCAGGCTGAACAGTACCTACAGAGTATCTCGACGGCCTTCTGCACTATGACGGGAAAGCACTGTCGAAAATGGAGTCTGTGCGGTAACTCCATTCTCCATACTCCATACTCCATACTCGGTATTCCGTATACACCACGGATTGTGTGCAAGAGAAGTGACGACTCTGACTTCCGTATACCATTGGGTGTATCCGTACAAGCTTTTCGGAGAGAAGAGAGGAACGGTGCGGACCCGGTGCCTCTGTGTTGTTATTCAGGGGCGGCTCTAGGCACGCAGGAGGTTGGTTCCTGAAGCTGCGAAGATGCTTTGGGCTGCACCTAGTGTCTGTTAGGCTACTCCGTAGTGAAATGCGACCGGACGCCCTCACCAGTCCGCAAAGGCCAATGGCGGAAAGATCTGCTCGCATTGCCGTCGAGCTACAATGAGATGATTGTCCACTTGAGCACGAGGATAGAAAGCCACACCCGGAGTTCAGGTGTCCACCAATTGCGGATTCCTCGTAGTCAATGTGCCCACAGCGACGGTGCTAGCAGCCCCCCATGTTCAAATTCATGGTTTGAAACACCAGCCCCGAAGGGCCGGCTACCTTTGCGCTCCTCCCGCCATCTCCAGGGCCATCCTCAGCCTTTTAGCTACGTTTGGATCCCTTTTAACGAGGTCTTTTCTTCTACTGCGTTTCTCTCGCGGTCCCTGAATTGCGGTGAGCTCGGCGGAGCCACTCCATTGAATTTGACTTCGACTTTCTACACGAGCCTAACGTCACTGCGTGCTTTGCCTGCACCGACGAAGAACCCGTAATCTCACCAGCCAGTTTCGATCTGTCCCAGGAGAACAGATCTATACCCAAAGCTACAGTCGTCGAGGCGGCCACAAAACTTCCACTTCTTCTCCGCCATCCGTTCTGTGAAGTCTTCCTCTGGCACCGACCGTCACTACAGCCTCATTCAAGCATCACCCAAGCCCCCCCTCATGGGTACCTGACTGCGCCTCGCCATTTGCGCTGTTTCGTGAAGAGCCGACAGGCAATTCCTCAGCACTCGCAACATTTCCACACAAGATGGCACAACGCAGCTCGAGGCCCGATGCTCAAGAGACGGGCACTGTGAGAAGCCTGCGCAGCATGGGCTCGGGAACAGACGTACTTTCGATATCCACAAGGTCTTCAAGAGCTGCGCTTCCTCATGCAAGGCCACAGCCTGCATACGTTTCGGAATCTGAGGCGGAGCAATTGGTCTACGCGGAGATTGAGCAACCGACCAGGATCTCGGAAAGCGCACTTTCCTTGGTCAATGGCTTTCTCGACCAGATCCTCTATGACATCCTATCAAGATCGCGTTCAGTTGCGTTGAGTGCACTTCGATCTGCGGTACCGATTGTCTTGAAACAAAGATTGGGACACTCTGCAGTGAGCGCAGCCGACGAAGAATTGCAGGACTACCTGGACGAAGATGAAATGGAGGAAATACAATCTGCTGTTGCTGTCCTAGATCCAAAGGCAGAATTTGACGTCGACCTCAGCTGGAAGCTCACAAGACTCCGCTGTATGGTTTATGCGAAGCTAGGAGACATGGAAGAGGAAGATGAAGAAGACTATCTTGACGATGACGACTTGAAGGTACATATCGGTAGGGCGAAGGAATCGGTCAGAATCGGCGCTGCGATTACGCCGCCTGCGGCTATCTTTTTGACCTCTGTCCTCGAGTTTTTGGGCGAGCAGGCTCTCTGCATTGCGGCACAACATGCGAGGAAGCGTCACTTTTCCTACAAACTTCAGAGTGCGGCAGACTCCATGGTCGCGACTCAAGAACATGACCAGGGTGTCATTCCACTAGAGGAAATAGACATGTCAGGTGTTGGTAAAGAGGGGCCCCTGATCCGGCTTTGGCGCTCCTGGAAGGGCAGCATTCGCAGTGGAGCTGGCATGTCTTCTCGCCCAACGACACCCATCATCCTTTCTCCCACGGCTCCAGACTCTCCTGGCCACGACTGGAAGTTCCCTGCTGTCCCGCCGATATCGACCATCCAGGAAGAACGCAGCCCCTCTATCCGTCCAGCAGACAGTCCGCTACCGGCTGAAATTCCTCTTCCAATATCAGACCATGATGTGGAAGAGATTGAAATACCGGGTCTCGCGCCCACCTTCGAAAGCGAAGACGACGAAAGCCCCGGTGATCGCCCCACGCTCGAGAAGCGGCGGCCCTCGTCCATGTTAATCATGCCTGGCAATTTCCCGTATAGTGTGTCACCATCAGCGGATCAAAAACAGGACAACGATAGACCTGTTTGGACACGCCGACGATCGCAATCTGTACCGACGTCGCCCCAACCTGCTTCAGGCGTGCAGTTGAGGCAAATTGAAAAAGAAAGGACGCCCGATTATAGCATGGAGGGTGTAATGAACACGTCCAGCAGTTCAGAAGACCTCGGTGACACCGTCCCCCAATATGCACGCGAGGACAGCAACTGCAGTCCAAGGCCGAACAGAATCAGCACCACCGTGGCGACTATCGCTGGAGCATTAAGCATTGAAGCGTCCAGGGGATATCGGAGAGATCAACCGAGTTACCTCCAACCAGCCACAGATTCGGACAGGGCTGCTTTACAAGCAAGTCCCAGCGATCACACAACGGATGATCCTGATCCCATTGCGGCAGGACAAGGGTCCCACACTGCTTCAACGACAGGAGGCCATGAAGGCGATATTGATCCAGAGGACCTTGCATTGAGTTCCAGTGATGAGAGAGAAGTCGTCGAAGAAGACCGTTCAAACCTCCGCGACTCTGGATTTGGCGTGGCTGGTTCGGAAGACGAGCTTCCGGCACATGATCAGGCAACTACCGCTCCTGAACAAGGTTTAACGACAGCAGACTCCATTCAAGTGGATAATCATAATAATGACTCGACCCAAGAACAAAGTGCGAGTGATGGGACAGAAGTTGACAACTTGGGGACAGCTGCCATTTTTTATCAAGGTACAGCCGGAAGCGGCGGCCACGGCAGTCCTGAGTCTACATCTTACAGGCAGCCGGAGCGGCCGGACGTCTCCGTTCCTACCTCGACCGCAAACAAGGCAGGAGCAACAAACAGCTCTGCGTGGCCTGTCGTGATTCAAGGCCGGACATCGTCTCTTGAGAGCAAGGCTTCTGCGCCATCACCAATTCAGAGAAGTTTACCTAACCAAGTTCCAACCCGACATCAAGCCGCACAGGAAAGAATGGGCCATACTCCGCAAGACGGGGCCCCACAATATGCTACCTCGCCCTTCGCTGCTGGTCGCGACGGACATGACTTAGTCCAGGTCGCACAGGCAGGGATTACAAGTACAGGAAAAGATGGAATGCCGTCAACGGCTGGACGGCAGCATGTTCGGCTTCAAACAGACATTGATGATGGGCCCCGGCGACCTTCTCCACCGGATGAAATGGACAGAGCAAAGAAGAGCCTCGATGTCCTCATTGACAGCGATGAGACACTTCGTATAACACTCACCCCCAAGTCTGCCAGAGCCGCCAATGAGGTACGTCTGCTGCATTCCACGAGGGGGCCATCACTGACCGTTTTGCAGAAGCCTAAAGTTAAAAGTCAGACTCAAGAACTGGCGGACTTCTTCCGAAACACTGCTCCACCCGGAGAGGAGGTCACTCGGCCAAAATCGTCTCGTTCTGCCAAAGGCATCATCGATGATCTTCGATCGAAACCTCAATCGTCCAGCAAGATTCCATTGCCTGGCAGTATCAAATCCAGTCCGGCTCAATCGAACCTTCAGCAACCCGTGAGCTCGCCTCCAAGGCCTAAGAATCCCCTTGGTGAACCACGTGACCCTAGAATGGCCAGATCTTCGACTAGAGATCTTGCTGATTATGCACGCTCGACTGGGCCAGAGAATGAAGCGCAACTTCCCAAGCCGTTAGCCCCCCGACCTGGCACTGGTCAAGAGACGGCAGAGAGTGAGGACCGACTCGCGACAACGTCCGGCAAACCTGTTCATCGTCTCAAGTACCAGGCGCGAGATGCACGAGGTCCTCGAACTGCCGAAAGCTCAGAGCTCATTGATTTCATCAGAGAAGGTCCGCCTCGACCACCAGGAGATCATCGAATTGACCGACACGTGGCGCCCTTCCGGACGACCATGGACTCGGATGATTTGAATGCGCTTGCTCCTCCAGAAATGGATAGTAAAGGGCGAAGCTCTGTTGGCAGTACACATGAAAGCGCAATAACGGTCAAGTCCATGCCATCGTCGATGAATTCGCGTACAGGTCTCCTCGACTCAACCAACCGCATGGCTAGCAAATTTCCTAATGGAATAGGAAACTCTGCACATCCTATTCCTAGGCAGCCTGCCATCCCAGAAGCTGATGGTATGCCCAAGAGGACTCGGCGAAGGGTCCGTGACCCATATGCGATTGATTTCAGTGATGAGGAGGACGAAATGAATGAGCCATCCGCTCCCCAACAGCGGAGGGCGGAGGAGGAGTCTTTGGTTGATTTTCTCAGGAACACCGCTCCCCCACCTGGCATGACGACCCAGCCGATTCTGGCTGCCGTGCCAGATCCAGATCAGCCGAACCCATCGGTTGGGGTAAAAAGATCGACGAGCAGCTCGAAGCTGAGAGACTATTTCCAGGGCTCGATGTCGGGCAGGAATGGCGCTACTATGAAGCCGAGTAATGGTGCTCGTGCCGAGTCGCCCCATCTCACTCAAGTGGGTTCGAAGATGGACAAATACAGGCCGACGCAACCTACCCATGCAGCGCACGTTGAGCGCAATCGACAGAGGATGCGTGCGGAGCCAAGAGATCCAAGTGCTGCGAATGGTGGCGACACTGCTGATCTTGCTGCGTACCTCAAGAATTCAGGGCCGGACCCAGGAAAAGAGATTCCACCGCAGAAATTCAATCTAGGTGGAAAGGACCACGTGGGCTTCATGAGATTCTTTCAGAAACGGAGCAGCGTGAAAAGAGACAGAACGGTGACTTCTAGCTGATGATTTTCTACCTTTGGCAACATTACAATGTCTCAATTTATGATTGAACCAGCGATGGGGAACAAGCACTTTTGGCTGAATGTATCAAATATGTAAATGTAGGTAGTTGGCGATGTCGAAATCTATACGGAGTACTTGATACGTGTAATTTAGGGCTGGACCGATCCAATCGATCGCGGCTGCCCACTGTGAAACAGGGTTCCCTATTGCGCTCTTTCTTTGAGCTTTGATATGGATATGTATCTCCTCACAATGTCTACTACTCTGTATACCCGTCCAGGTGCCCGTAGTAGTCTGCGGCCCTCCGGACAAATAGGGGGCAACCATTTTCACCGCCCACGTGATCTGAAGTCGCAACACGCTGTATTCTGCCGGTCTCCTGAATTCAATTCCGACCCTCACAATGTCGCGCATCGGATCAAACCGTCTTCACCAGAACAAATACAAAGTCCGTGGCCTTGATTCGGCCGTGTTACCTCCTAACGACGCTATTGAGTGGTCTCAAGGCTCCTATTGACCACCATGAAGTCGTTCTTCAACTGGGCCGTCCTTCTCCTCCTCCTCCCTTTATCCTACGCATTGAAATTCGAACTCGTAGCGCAACCGGGTCACAGTGCAAAGAACGAACGATGCATCCGAAACTTTGTGACAAAGGACACCCTCGTTGTGGTTACTGCGATCGTTAGCGGGAGCAGAGGAGATGGACAGATGGTGAATATGCATGTACGTGTCCGCGTCCTCTGCAAGCGGCGAAGCGTGTCTGAACAGGAGAAATGCCTCCGTAATACCCTGGTGGGATCTCACATGTGCTGACGAGGCCGTTGTTACTCGATCTAGATCAAAGACGCTGTCGGAAACGATTATGGTCGCCCTAAAGACGTCGCCGGAGAGAAGAGGATGGCCTTCACGAGTCTCGCAGACACAGCCTTTGATGTGTGCTTTGAGAACACACTGACTGGCCGCGGTATGTTTTCACCCATTTTATGACATACTGAGACTGACCGCCCCCCCAAGCCGGCACGCCCAACCCATTGCGCCTGGTCGAGTTGGACATCGACATTGGAGCAGATGCTCGTGACTGGTCTGCGATCCAAGCTTCGGAGAAGTTGAAGCCCGTGGAGACGGAGCTCCGACGGATAGAAGAGACGGTAAATGAAATCGTTCAAGAGATGGAATACCTGCGGTTACGGGAGCAGAAGTTGCGTGATACCAACGAGAGCACGAATGAGCGGGTCAAATGGTTCGCTCTGGGCACAATGGGGATGCTCGTTGGATTGGGCGCATGGCAGGTTGTCTACCTGAGGGCTTATTTCAGGTATGTGCTTCCTTGTTGTTCTTCTTACCCTCAATACACGATCGTTGCTGCTGCAAGTCTCGAGAAGCCTTGGAATTGTCCTGACTTTTTTGTTCTAGGTCCAAGCATCTCATCTAGGTGCAGGTTTCCCCGAACCAGGATATACGAGCAGTGCTCGTGTCCTGTTTCTTTAACGGTCAAAAGTACATTCTGGAAGATGAAGGGAGCAAAAAGTTTCCTGCGATGATCCTTTGGCGTGATGCATCCATGTGTGAACATTCAAGATACAACCTACCTCTCTTAATAAGAGTGAAGACTACCATTATTATCATGAAGCATAGATGAGTATTTGAACTCCCAGAATCAGAGTACCAACGGGTCATCGGACAGCCATCCATACAGCGAAATTGAAGAGGGACATTGTGATGCTCCTTCCGCATAGACATGCTCCAAAATGGGAAAATATGCTGAGAATATCGTGTTATCAAGAGAGCAAATTTTGAGACCTGCATCAGGTCTTCCATGTGAACTGATAGCTGGCCAATTCGACATGTGAGAATTCACACCGGGCAACTGACTTCACCGCGCAACTGACTTCACTGCGCAACTGACTTCTCGTTCACCACAGCTTCAATTTCCCATCTGAAAACGCTTCACAGTGTTGGTGCTTAGAGAGAACTACTATTTCTCCCTCCTCTCTCACATCACTTCAACCAGGCATCTTCTCAACAGCAAATAGTCTCCCACCAGCTGAGTACTATGCAAATTCCACCTCCAGAGAATCAGGATCCTCCAACCAGTCAAGCTACCATGGTTACATCAACAACTTCGCAAGATGCTAGCAGCAAATCGCAAATGTAGGATATCTCCCCTCCTCTGCTAACTGGCACATCCTCTGCTGATATATGCTTACGCGGTTTAGCTTCGCTTTTTCCGACATCATCAGCGTATTTGTTGGCCAAAACAAGCTGGAGTACCGCCTTCATGAAGCCATTCTCACAACCAAATCTCCCTTCTTCGAGAAATGTCTATGCTCTGGTATGAAGGAACAGCAAGAGAAGAAAGTGTACCTTCCAGACGTCAACCCTTCAGAATTTGACATCATGATCATGTGGATGTACACCGAAAAAGTGAATCCGGGACGCGACAATGCGCTAATAACGGGTGTATACCTCCTCGCTGACAGATTCTGCATGCCTGACCTCCAGAATGGACTTGTGGACGCCTTCCGAGCAAACTACAACACCTACTTGATTAACCCCATGACCGTGAAGAATATTTGGAGGCTTACCCCGGAGGGCTGCAAGCTCCGAGAAGCGGCCCTCGATCTGATGTTCAATCGCTTGTGTCAAAATCCCTCCCAGTACAGAACTGCTTCAGTCGGCAAGTCTGCAACAACTCCTCAGAAACCCGAGTCCGAGTTTGCCATTGAGTTTGCCATTGAGTTCGAAAAGTTGTTGCAAGAAAATGGCCCGTTACCAAGTGCACTATTCTGGAAAAGACACGATCATAACCCGCCGACAGCATATTCATTACCACCAGATCCGTCATCAATGTCCGGCTGCGTCTACCATGTCCATGCCAATGGAAAGAAATGTAAGTAGATCCATCCATGACAATCACAAGGTATGACTTCGATCCGCTTTATTTTCCATACCAGTACGACTGACCCTTGATCCGTGAGAACAGGCTCGGCATCAGCTGGACCTCATTCTGACACTGGTAACGGAGTCGATGTGATTGGACCAAAAAGCGAAATTCATCAGCCAGGGCTCTCTGTTCAAAAAGCATCAGTCGAAACACCAATAGCAAGAACACGGCGCAGGCGGGGAGGAGGTTGGTGAATCCATTAAACGAAGGTCCCTCTTGAGGAAAAAAGACGGACACGGGTGTTAGATGGGAACCTCGTCGCCGAGAAGCTAGCGAGGGAGAAACAACCGATGCAACAGGTTGAGGAGGTTGTGGACAGTGTAGTGCCCGTACCGAGATAGACACATATGAAGGAGCAACCGCTGGACAGAGACCGCACAGTTTCTACATCGACCTGGGGGCTCCGATATTGCATGGTAACGAGGTGCGTTAGACTCAGACCAAACCACAAGTCAATTCTTGTGGGCACAGATGTATCAATTTCAGCAGGAGAACGAGCTTCGGACAGAGCCAACGCCTTTATGCCTCTGTCAGCACTGTGCCTCGGAACGAAGGAGGTTTCCGGATGAGTGCGCTGGGATTGTCCGAACAGAATTCAACATTCAAGGCCCAGAGCTTCCACTCAAGAAGTAGTATTGTACATCTGGCACCGAATAACCCAGCCCTAACCTTTCAACTAGCGAAAGTTCTATGTTCTGTCAAAAGTCACTTTGCCATCCCGACTGACGCTTGCAAATGACACCTTCGGCTGCGATTGAGACGGAACAGCTGGCGAGGACGACGAGGTTTCCCCTATAGCTATGCTGGAGGGCTTAATGTCTCTTGACAATGGCGAGTCGCGTATCACCTCCTTGACAACACCGGCAGGAGCATCGGCGATTTCGTTGACTTCCTGCGCCGTCAAAACATCATTCACTCTTGCGGCTCGACTTTGTATCAGGAGGGTCGTAGGACCTCGGAATTGTAGGAACAACCTGTCACCCCATATAGTCCTGCGACTCCACGTCCGAATCCTAAGCAGTGAGTTTGCCACAATTTTGTAGGTATTGCTCGTCTTCAACGTCTCCACAAATTTCGACGATGGAAAGAAATTTCCAAGCTGAAGAGGGATTTGAAACCGAACGTTTGTGGATTTGAATCGGTATGGTTGTGGGGGTGGAGAGGGCGATGATGTCGAGTATGCTAGGATATTTGAAGGGTGAATGACATAGGTCTCCCCTTCAGCAAGCTCAATAGAATAGACCTGCCCTTGGCCGGCAAGGGCGAGGAGACCCCTTCCAGTCACTTCAGAGCTTCCCCAATATGCAAGTGATAACTTTGTGCTCAGAGTTGGCTTCACCGACAGCGTATTTCCAGTCCATGCTAACAAAGCTTTTCTTTGGGCCAGTTTCCAATCAGTCCTACCGTCCAGTTGAAGGATCGCGAAGGTGGTGAGGGGCGACCTTGTAGCTATGAGGGCATTGACTGAGGAGGTCGAGGTGAGTTTCTGGTAGAGAAAGGGTATCCCAATCAAGGCGCGACGAATAGGATTGAGCATTCGCAGAGTCGAGACAGTTCCGTCGGGGTCTCCCGCAAAGCCGACTAATGTGCCCCGACGCGTGTACAGGTCTTGAGAAGGGGACAGTGTGACGGACAGCAACGAGTATGGGCTTCCAAGGACTTCGAATGAGGCATCTGAATTGTGAGCAGGTATCCCACCTAGCGATGATTGCAAACTGACCTGGTGATGATGCTGACACTGATCTGCCAACAATGTCCACCCTACTGGTATCTGTAGCCGGCGTTGCTTGCACCGAGATGTACTTGTAGCCGCCGACTCTCCGCCCGGCAACAAGGTGTGCTGGAAACACCCGTTTTCGAGGGAAGCTGGCCAGGCGGCGTAAGTGTTGAGGTGCGACCAGAGGCATTTTTGCCTCTTGAGAGTCAGGCTTGCTGCTTCTTAGAAAACAAGGAATTAACCGGGGACAGGTTTCCTTGATCACGGTGTGCGGCCCCAGACTATGAGAACCTCAAGTTCCTCACATCACTATTGAACGCAGAGCTTCCCAAACCTGCCGAGCTCAATTGCACCTGCTCCGAGTCCAACATTGCATTCACGACCAAACATGCCAAGGATTATGTAAACTTCGCCGTCACGTGGTGCTTGCTGTATATCGATGTACTGGCACCCAGACCCAGACATCGACAAACAGTCCTTGATTTGTATAGCCGCATGAGCCTCTCAAAGGCCAATGAGACTCTTGCCCAAGCGACAGATCGGGAGATGCCTTATTTTAGAGAGGGGTGTCTGCCGCACGCATGATTTGGAGAAGGACATGCAACTACCCGTGTTCCATGATATTTGGGCCAATGCCCTCATCCCAAGGATTTGATGGAGAAAACAACACAGGGCGTATTACTTGTTGGACTACGATCTGGCAGAGATCTAGGAGTAACAGCATTCGTTCACGAGAGAACAAGGCTGAAGAAGCTCTATTTCAGCCTCGTTGGATTATGTCAGCATTTACGGGGAAGTGTAGTTCCCCCGAAGCGCTTGTCTCGGATGGCATCACATCCAGCACAAATGGCTCAATCGATCGGATTGGTGCTTTCTTTCAAGTCCTCGAACTTGCTCACTGCTAGCTTTCCCTTTCCCGCGACCAAACCGTCTCTGTGCGGAGTGAATGACTTTCCTCTCTCTGGCCTCCTACATGCCATTGGAGAGGGGAAGGGAGGTGAGTAGCCATACCTGACCGACGGTTCTCGCTTCAAGAATCGATCAGCCTCCCGCCCAAGATGCTGTCTCGGGCATTCTGTAGCTGTGGGAATCGAAGGATATACAGCTCAGCACATCCTGCATCGAGGGTATGGAGGTCCAATCAACCAATAGTCGTGCGACCAAGTGTTCGCATCTTCACCCAGTCCGCCATCTTAAGCCGCCAGAATGAGACAAAGAAGCCAGCACAGGCAGTCCAAGGCGTCGAGGCGGTGCCCAGCAAGTCGGAAACCGTGGAAGTCATCAAACCAGAATCTATACAGAAGGCAGATCCCGTCAAACCTGACCCAGTCGCCAACAAGGCTCCCCTTCTCTCTGAGAAGGTCGTCTCCAACAAGGAGCAGCGGAAAGTGGATTTGGCCATCATGAAGGAAATGGTGCAGTATCTCTGGCCCAAGGGGGACTGGGGCACCAAACTACGCGTCGGTACTGCTCTAGGTCTACTGGTGTCGGCCAAAATTCTGAATGTCAATGTTCCTTTCTACTTCAAAAACATTGTCGATTCAATGAACATTGATTTTCTGGCAGTCGGCGGCACGGCCTGGACCGTGGCAGGATCGATGATTGTGGCGTATGGAGTGACTAGGATCGGGGCGACTCTGTTTCAGGAACTGCGAAATGCCGTTTTCGCCAGTGTGACCCAGAAGGCTATCCGCAACGTGGCTCGCAACGTCTTCGATCATCTTCTGCGGCTGGACCTGAATTTTCACCTGTCCAGGCAGACTGGCGGGCTGACAAGGGCGCTGGACCGAGGAACGAAAGGTATCAGCTTCTTGTTGACTTCCATGCTGTTCCATATCTTCCCTACAATCCTGGAGATATCCATGGTGTGTGGCATCTTGACATACAAATATGGTGCTTCATTCGCTGCGATCACCGCTGCAACTATGGTCGCGTACTCGGCGTTTACAATCGCCACGACCTCTTGGAGAACGAAGTTTCGAAAGCAGGCAAACGCGGCGGACAATCAAGGCGCGACGGTGGCAGTGGATACCCTCATTAACTATGAGGCGGTGAAATACTTCAACAACGAAAAGTTCGAGGTCAACCGATACGACAAGGCTCTGAAAAAGTACGAAGACGCATCGATTAAGGTGACAACCTCGTTAGCATTTCTGAACACCGGTCAGAATATCATCTTTTCCGGTGCATTGGCTGGCATGATGTACCTCGCGGCAAAGGGTGTGGCAGCTGGTGAATTGACGGTTGGAGACTTGGTCATGGTCAACCAACTCGTCTTTCAACTGTCGGTGCCCTTGAACTTCCTGGGTTCGGTCTATCGCGAACTTCGACAATCGCTGCTGGACATGGAGACCTTGTTCAACCTGCAAAAGGTCAATGTGACGGTGAAGGATGTCGCCCATCCAAGACCTCTGGCATTGACTAAAGGAGGAGAGATCAGCTTCGAAAACGTCACGTTCGGATATCATCCGGATCGGATGATATTGAGAAATCTGAGCATGACAATCCCGGCTGGAAAGAAGGTGGCCATTGTTGGTCCGAGCGGGTGTGGGAAGTCGACCATTCTTAGACTGCTGTTCCGATTCTACGACGCGGAATCTGGCCGAATTCTAATCGACGGACAGAACATCAAGGAGATCAGCCTCGACAGTCTACGACAGAGCATCGGAGTAGTTCCACAAGACACTCCGTTGTTCAACAACACCATCGAGCACAACATTCGATATGGCAAGATTGACGCGTCCTTCGAGGAGGTCAGACATGCGGCTCAGCGAGCCAGAATCCTTGATCTCGTGGAACGTCTACCGAACGGCTGGAACACCATGGTGGGCGAGAGAGGTATGATGATATCCGGGGGCGAAAAGCAACGACTTGCCATCGCACGACTCCTGTTGAAGGATCCTCCCCTGCTGTTCTTTGATGAAGCGACGTCGGCCCTGGACACACATACAGAGCAGACGCTGCTGCAAAACATCAACAGTATCCTGAAGGAGAGGGCCAGCACGAGTGTCTTCGTGGCACACCGCCTCCGCACGATCTATGACAGCGACATCATCTTTGTTCTCAGCGAGGGTCGGGTGGTTGAACAAGGTACTCACCCGGAACTGCTGGCTTTGGGAGGGCTCTATGCCGACCTATGGGCCGCACAAGAGGTCTTGGTCGGGCAAGACTTGACTATTGAGCGCGAACTGGAAGAAGAGCGAGAGATTGAAGCGAAGCACAAGGGGAAATGAGTGTTGCTTGCTCTATCCGTGAGCGCGTGGGAGAAATGTGAGGGGTTCCTGTGAACCTGCCGACTTCAGAAACCTTCGGTATCGGCACCGGCATCATCGATGTCTCGCCATCGATTAGACGAGCTCGGGGTCAAACCTTTGGCGTTGCGGACGGGCCATATACTTATAGCATCGGGAAGACACAAAATAGCAGAAGACGGAAGAGTTCGTGCCACGGGCCAGTCTGTTCCCAGGTCCCCTTGGCCCATTATTCCTGACGACAAGCGGGAGCGAGAAGAAGACATGCAGACTCCAGACCGAACAAGCCGTGGACTGGCGGCCAACCCAGACATGGTTTAGCCCCAGAGTCAGGGGTACAGGACGTTAGTCTGTCTGCTGCTCCGGTTACCGAGATGACGGGAGAGGAGCTGGTCGAGTTCGGAGAGACACGGCGCCAGGGGGGATGGATACTATACTAGTAGCAGCTACACTTATTACTAGCAGTTTGGCACGTGGCATGGGCTGGTTACATGCTGCCGTACATCCACCAGACTAGGACTGGATTCTTGCACGATCTGGGTCGGTTTCAGGAGGGGCAGGCCGAGGGGCACTTGGGACTTGGGTTGCGTTACAGTATGTTTCCCTAGAGACGAAGGACCGAACAATATATGTAGGTACTGACTCGGCAGAATGCGCCATACCCTACTTGTCTGTTCTGGTTCGTGGCTCTTCCTTGTATCTACTATCTGCAAATCAATTGAAAAAAGGACACTCCCCCGGTCGAACTCTGACGGCCCAGAGCCTAGAAGTCCTAGCAACTACAGGGTAAGGTACAAGCTGTTCCAGGCACCAACTTAGGTCTCGAGGCCGCCAGTCTAGGCGAGGGGTCACTGGAATCTTAGGGGCCCCGGCGCCCCTAGCCTCCTACACTGGAGCTGCTCTACCGGCTAGTGAGCCTGAAAAGGGACGTAGCTGCCCCTCCAAGACCTAGCTAAACTAGCCCGAGGCTCCGAGAAATTACCAACAGCCTCCTTTTTTCCCGTTCCCCGCTGAATTCTTTACAATGAGGGATGAACCACCCTCCCTTGCGGGCATTGGTCGTGGGTGCACGCATTCCTCTTCCTTCTGACCCGGACGTTGGCGGCGATACTGACACAATCATTCCTCTCCTGTTCTGCTCGATTTCCTACCGCTCCGGAGAGTAGCAGTGTGCACAGAAACGTCGAACGGCGACAAGTCAGCCTTGTTTCTCGGCTATCCTCACGGTCCCTACATCCGTCGTTACATACGCCTTCTACCGCGACCTTCCATCTTAGACAGGCAAGGACTCAAACTCGCTTGGAAATTGCACACAGGACGACTTCAGACCTTCTCCGCGATCCCAGGCCCCGTCTGGCTCATTGTCCCGTCCGACACTGCCTTCCCGGTATTACGTCGCCGCTCCGTATACATCTTGTCCTCCGCAAGCCGCAGAACGGCAGAGAAATCGCAGTTGAAAAGCGCGCCCAGCTCAACCGCGACTGATACAAAAGCCTGAAAAGGTCGGCCCTTCTATACAGGCCCGGAAAGCGCTGCGATATATCGGCCAATTCGGTCTCCGTGGCTGAAGGCGCCCCGGATCAGCTTATACTCTGGGTGTGAACTATTCAGCACCGTGGTATAGCAAGTTCATTCACTCTCTGACCGCACTGCCGACGGTTCACCCGGCAAGATGGGTCTGTTCGACAAGCTCCAAGCAAGTAAGTGAAGGGCCGTTCATCAAACACGCTCCACAAAATCGGCGTCTAATTGGTTTTCCGTTCAGAAATCGAACTGTACCGCCTAGAGCAGAAGTACGCCCGTCGCAAGAACAAGACCAGCTATACCACGGGCGCTCAATATGTGGATGGCGAATACATCTACTCGGATCAATCCAGTCCCACGGTGTCGGCCAACTCGACGGGAGGATCACACCGATCGAAGAGACAGACTGTGCTGTGGACGCCGACTCAGCATCGGAGATGATCTACGATATAAATCTGCTTGTTGAGCGTTGACTGGAGATTGTCGGGTTTGGTGTTTGTCTTCCTGTCACATGTTCTTTTGTCTTGGGTTTAGGTTGTGCATAGCATTGGGAGTTTTAAAATGTCCCCCATGTATGGGGTCGGGGGTCTTGTCCTTTACAGCAAGCATGATGTTCCTTTCAGATGTCATAGTCACGTCGAGGTAGGGTAGAGAGAAGTGAACAAGAGACTGGAGTGGTCTACTCACAAGGGCAGTCTGATGAGAGGGCCAAAACAGGAGGAGCCGAACGGTAGGGCGAGGCGCTTTCGATGGACATCGATGGCCATTGCTGGAATCCATATTGCCTACCTACCCAACCGACCAAACCGGAGTCCCGACGCTGTTGCAGGCCTGGTATATGGTAGAGACTCGAGAGGGAGAGCGACGGGCGTGTTGGCCTAAGGATAGCTAGAGCATTACACATAGATGCCGGGGGTTCCATTTCTGGCCACCACACGGCAGGAAGCGAGATGTGAATGATGATGAATGAGTTGCAAGTCCAGTTTACTCGTACGACCTATCACCATCACCACCACCTATTTAGGTAATTAGACTTCGTACTCCGCATGTGTCCTATCCGTACTGTTACTCCGTCCGTGGCTCGGTCGTCCTGGGGTCCATTACAGTACGGATAGTAGTGAGCTTGATCTTGAGCTTGATCTTGACCTTACCTACATACCGTATGTACGGAGTACACTTTCATACATACATACATATATACATACAGACAGACAGACAGACAGACAGACAGACAGACAGACATCTATACATATATACATACATATATTATACATACTAGGTAGGTAGTCAGGTAGGTAGTCAGGTAGGTAGTCATGTAGGTAGTCAGGTAGGTAGTCAGGTAGGTAGTCAGGTAGGTAGTCAGGTAGGTAAGTAGGAAGGAAGGCTCCTGACTCCTTCATCTGTACGAACTACAGAGTACGGAGTGCGCAGTTCTCAATCATGTGCTCAGCCTCGCGGGCCCCGTTGCCCTTGGCCTGTGCTTCTGTGGCGTTCGGCAGTCGATCGACAACAGTCAATCAGTGGCAGTGTCAGTGGTAGTGGCAGTCAGTGAGCAGCGTCGATTCGTACTGGACTTTGCGACTTCGACTTCGACTTCGCTCTTCGTCCACTACTTGCGGATACATACGTGCAGTACCAGTAGCAGTATCTTACCTATACATATATATACATATATATATATCCGTCACCACCGTACTACATCGGCGTTCTCAGGGCCAAGGGCGCTGAATAACGGGTTCCCGCGTCCATGTCCATATAGATAAATATATTAAAAACATAGGGCAATGGTAATTCATAATCATATCTCAACCCTGGTCATACAGTTCTCAAATCCGTGTTCTTTGTGCCCTGTTCGCTCGCGTTCCTGCTCTTAGCCCAAAATCCAAAATCCAAAATCCAATATCCAATATCCAATACTGCACACCATGAGACATGCGACATGAAACATGAGACATGGTCCATACAGGAAGGAAATCCTCCTCCTACCTACCTACCAATGTACCGTATTTTCTAATGAACCGAATCCACGCACGGAATCCCTGTCATGCCCGCTCCAGTCCCTAGTAACAATGCTCCAACATCCCAAAGACGTCCAAAGGTAGGACCGGGACATGTTCTCCTCCTTTCTTGTTTCAACTCGAAACATACTGACTCTCATGCTGGTCCCCGTGTAGTTGAAACGCCAGGTCAATTCGAATGGTTAATTGATTCCGACCCTGGACCAGCCACGCTCCTGTTGCCTTGCGCGGGAGCACGACTTGGACTCACGCCGTCATTTCTTCGACCGGTCTCGATCTCGGTTGCTGCCCGCCCGGGCAATGCCACTTGCAAACTTGCCAAACCCGCCAGCCAGGCTGTGTCCGCGCTTATGCGAGCCAGTCCTGTCTCCTGCGCCGGGAACAGCTAATCCACCGGTTCCAGCCTTGCCTGGACCGGAGCCACCGGAAGAGGGGACCATGCTCAACGGCCTGCCCGGGCCGCTCCCACCCCGCGATCCAAACCCTTTCCCGTCGACGTCGTCGCGGAGACTGGCACGACTAGACCGACCATCGGCGCCTTCGTCAAGTAGATGTTTGGCTCCCACGCCGCTGCCGAAGCTGTTTTCAAAATCAGCGCCCCGCAGAAGACGTTCGTTGCGCCGCCGTGCCTTTTCCTGTGTCTGTTTGAACTTGTCGAGCAGTTCGGGCCATTTGATCTCGTTCGCCATTGAGCCTGTGTCGCGGCTACGGTTGAGGCGGCCGCTTACCGAAGATGTGGAAGTTGATGGCAAGGACGATGAAGCCATTCCCGACACGGCACTATATCAAGCATGAGTAAGGCACAAGCAGACCACGAGAGAGGAAAGCTTACGACGATCGAGTCGATGTAGGCATAGAGGCTGGAGTGTGGAGCAATCCTATTGCCGAGACGCTGTTGAGCCGATTCTTCAAGGCGCCAAAGGCGGACGATTGAGGAAGAAGCATCAAGAGGCCATACAAGCATTTGTAGAGGTATGGGTAGCGGTCAGGTTCGAGTAGTTGGAGCCGCAGATCTGGTGGGTTGTCAGTGCTTCATTAGCATCAAAAATGGCCATGACCCGACTAAAGATCGAAGGTATCACTCACACGTAAAAACGGGACTCTCAAGTAATTGCACCAATTTGTCGATTTGGATGAGCATGTTCACCGTCATCTCCAAATCCGCAAATATCTGTAGAAGATTGTATGCCTGTTCGTAGGCTTGCGCGAGAAGGCACAAGGAGAATGTAGCGACGGCGTTGTGGCACCACGCACGGAACAATGCAACGAAGAACACTTGGCCGTCCTTGCTGTCAGGGTTTCTGAGTCTCTTTCTCAACTCAGCCAGCTCCGGTGCCGTGATGAGGTTGTTGTTCAGATTCTGGACCATGATGCTGGCGAATTCAATATCCTCGTCTTTCTCAATACAATCGGCCAGCGTTCGGTAAATCCGCTCTGGCTGAAGGTTAAGGCACAATTGACGAATAATCAAATTGCCTCTGATTTCGAGGAGCTTTCGGTCGGTGGAGAAGAGTTGCAATAAAGCCACCATGAAAGAGGTAAAGTATCCGTCTTCGCTGTTCTTGGAGATTTGTGACAGAAGCTGCAGATCTCGTGTCACAACAGCCTCGGCCGGGTCGGAAAGAGTCTTCAACAGAGCAGGAAATGTCCCGTCGTTGAATGCGAGGACTTTCTTGGGCGCTTTCCTGTGAAGCATGATCAACCAGCTCAATGCTGCCACCCTCGTCTCCTCGTGCTCGTTCAGGAACTGCAAAGTCAGAGCATTGACTGCAGCAGCGTAGTGTAGGTCGGCCACCGGCTTCTCGGAAGGATTAGCGGGAGATTGACCGGGAGCGTCAATAGATGATGACTCCCGTTCAGCAGAGGTATCGGGAGGAGTTTCATCTTGACCTGAAGGCTGAGTGGATATACTTTTCGCTGTAATTTCCGACAGCCTCTTCTCTCCGGGGTCAGCATCGCGAACAGACGCCAGCGAAAGGCTGCTGGGGGCTCGTCCACCAGCTTCCTCAGTGGAAACTTCATCTTGAAAGGTGACAATATAATCCATGAGTGATCTGTTGACCTTACTGGCTGTAGTCCGAACTTGTTCGGATTGGGCTGAAAGCGCAGGCAGCACGCAAGACAGAAGCCGCGGGACGAATTGGAGAATGTCCTCGGGGCTGATCTCGAAGAAACTGTCGATCCATCGAAGCGCCACGATACCAATCTCCTCTTCCTTTTGCTTCGACAATCCTTCCAACCGCAAGTTGGGGGCGGACTCTTTACTGGACGAGACATCGACGAACTTCAGCAGAATGTCGAGGATTTTTGCGTAATCCACTTGCACGTCCTGGCCCGGTATCCAATCGCCGCCGTTCTCTTCCAGCTCCATCGATTCGTCCTGGGCAGTACTGGACTCTGAATCTTCGATGGCATTGTCAGTTAGAACACTGCCACGGCCACTGCCACTGCCACGGGCAGTGCTGTCCGCCTGGCTTTCGGAAGCGGGCTTGAGACGGCTGGTTCGACTCCTGCGGCTTTCAGCGATGCCTCTCTTGATCTTTGCGATCTTCTTGATCTCGCTGAGAAAGCGTTCCAGGAGGCCTTGGGTTGCCACGTAGACGTCACGATTAGGATCGCCAAGAAATTTGAATAGCCCCTCGAGGAATGATGGTAGGTAGTGTACCAATTCTAGATCGGGAATCGTATCGAGGAGAGTGAGCCAAGAAACCAGGAAAGTGCGAGCGAAAGGGTTGAGGACATGGATACGTTCTTCCAACAAAGGGATGAACTTTTCAAGGGAGAATGTCGTAGGATAGTCGACACTTTCCCTGTCAGAGCCGGCCTGTTCGCCATTTTCATCGATGAAGTTCAAGACAGAAACATATGAAGCCGCTGATTCGGCAACAATGTCTTTGATGAGACGATCAAGGAGCTCGGCGCCATTTTTGACGGACAGTTCGGAGTCGGCAGCAAGCTGAAATGTGCCGGTTAGCATCAAGGATCCCATTTGCATGCTTGGTCCCATACCTTGCATAATGCGTCAAAGATGTCGTTAAAGAAGACCAGAATCTCGCCCTTTGCTACTTTGGCAATATTGTACATCGCCTCGCACGCATAGTACCGCACGCGGGCGTCCTGATCTGTAAAACAGGCAAGGACTGGCGGGACGATATCTTGGAGATAGCGGGCAACCTCGTCCTGTATGGAGTATGGTTAGACATCGAGCCTCACGCACGGGATATGGAGCGGAGGCCTACCGAACCAAGAGCAATCGCAGCGGCGGCCAGTCCGATCAGTCCCCCGTTGCGGGCATGGGGAAGATGGACTGCATAGGCGTAGTCATGGCATAATTGATCGATGGTTTTCCCAATCTTATCGTTATCTTTGGCCGCAAGGGATTCTCTGATGGAACGCTCGAGCCTGGTCTCGGTCAGCAGGTGGAAGTGGCGCCCATCACCCAAAGGATCTGCTGAACATACTCGAGAGCACCTTGCTTCCGCTTGTCGTAGAGCTTGTCTGTCAGCAATCGCTGAACTGAGGGGTCCATCGCAGCGAGGTCTTGGTTGATTGCGATGAGCCTGCAAGACCATCATCGAGGAGAGGGCACAGACGCAGCTGTCAGTCTCGCCTGTCTTCTTCGGCCACGTGCATGCCTTAGACACTCAAGACACTCAAGCCAGACGGGGGTACAGACTCGGGATATTGGGAGAAACGGCGACTGAGAGGACGGGTGATTCGCACCCGTTTCCTTCGCGTTGACGGACAGCGAGCGCGTGGAGGACGGAAACTGGGTTGAGATGAGGTCGTTTGCCTCCAACGTCAACGTCTACTTCGGGCCATATAATCCCGCCGTTTTAAGCTCAAAGACGCCATTGGCCGGAGGGCGGCATCGAGGTTGAACCGGCAGCTCTACCTTTCAAGCACCTAGATGAAGTCTCGGTGATCAATTACAGACCAGGTTACAAGTCTCTATGTTCAATGATTTCATTCTCGCGCATCGCCATCTTCATCCACTGTCTAGGGATTAACCCAACCAACCATGTTGCACATATAGTTTGAGAGAGAACCAGTGACCATGGGATTCATTCCCACAGGTTGGGCACGCGTAGTGGCTCGATTTACCCTGCGATTCCCGTTCTCCACCGTCCCTTCACGCATGCTCGTTCAGTGACTGATATACTGGAACACCGCGCTGACAGCATCTTCCGATGCTTCTTGCCGCAGCAGGAGGTCTTGGATCTTTCCAAGCGGTCCTTTTTCTCCGTTGTTGACAAAGTGGTTCCAAGAACTTGTATCGCCGTACAGCATTGCCGGGGCTTTGATTTGCTGAACCCCATCCGGTTTACATCGTTTGCATTTAAATGTGTCATGGGTATCGCTGCTTGTCTCAGGCTTAAACTGGAACAGCTCACGTAGAGAGTCGAGAGTGAAATGGCGCTCCACATCCTCGGCGGAATCGACCACAGTTGAAGACAGTGCCTGTTTGTGTGACTGTCGCTGAAAGATCTTCTCCTCGATTGTCCCAGTACCCATGAACCTATACACGAAACAATCTTTCTTCTGACCGTCTCGCCACACTCGAGCAAGGGCCTGTTGGTCTGCTGCTGGATTCCAGTCCGGGTCGAAGAGGACAAGGCGATTGGCCCCAATCAGGTTGATACCGCAACCGCCCGCTTTGCTACTTAGCAAGAACACAAACTCCTCGCCATTGGGATCGTTGAATTTATCCACCAGTTTCTGACGCTTGTTGACATTCATGGTACCGTCCAGTCGAAGGGATCCATAATTGCGTGCGCGACACAGCTTTTCAAAAACGTCCAGGGTCTGGGTGTAATTGCTGATGAGCACAATCTTGTCATTTGTGTCTTGTCGTATGCGTGCGAGCATGCGTTCCAACACAGCAAACTTCCCCGAATACCAAGATCTCACATCCCGATCACGACCCCTGGCTTCCTTCGGAACGTAATCCTCAGGCCAAAACTTCTCGCTTCCCGGGAGGTCTTTTTCAAGATCAAGAAGGTCAGGATGGTTGCAAAGTTTCTTCAAGATACCAATTGCTTTCAACGGCTGGCTACCCTTTCCCCTCAGAAGACTTTTGATGTCAGGGCTCTGAATGAAATGGTTGTATAGATCCTTTTGAAAAGGTGCCAAGTTGCAGAAAACAACATGCTCATACTTGACAGGCAAATACTTGGATAAGATGTCGTTGGTTCTGCGGATAATGAGCTTGTTGACGAGGGCGCCCAATTCGGCATTGGCTTCCTGGCCTTTCTGTTTATCAACGTCCGAGCCGGCAGCATCGCGACCGCGAAGAATCGGCAACTCAAACTTTTTGCGAAAGTCAGCTCTGGTGCCCAGGTAGCCTGGGTTTGCGAAGTCGAGTAAGGAGTGATACTCGGTGAGGTCATTCTGTATCGGTGTCCCTGATAGAATGACTCTACGGTCAACATTTAAGCCAGTCAGTGCCATGTATGTTTCGCTTTCGGCGTTTTTCAACCGGTGACCTTCGTCGCATAGCATGAGGCCAATCTTGACGTCCTTGAGCTCGTCAATGTTCAATCTCAAGGACTCGTACGACACAATCAAGACCGGTCGGGCGACAGACCTCCCGCTGGCCATCGCCCATTGTTTGAGTTGCATGGTGAGCTCTTCTTTTGATGCTTTCCCATCGATCGCAAATGGCGTAATGGCACCCTCACCAAGCCACTTGACGAGTTCATTCGCCCAATTCTTGACCAAACTTGCCGGGCACGCGATGATGCATTTCTGAATCGTTGACTTGCCCGCCTCAGGAGACTGTTTAAGTAGAGTCCACATGAGAGCGATGCACTGTAGAGTCTTTCCCAAACCCATTTCGTCGGCCATGATGCAACCCTTTGCCTTCTCATCCACTAGGCCGGTTGTACACCTGTACAAAAATTTCACTCCCTCAACTTGATGAGGCCTGAGTACCTTGGCTAGCCGTGGGTCGATGACAACTGGAACCTTCGGTCTCTCGCCCTCAACTTGCTTCTTGATCCCTAGTATCTCGGCGAGGCTCTTGTGCATGAGCGGGGTATCGAGTTTCGGCTTCTCGTCTTCCTTATTCCCTGCTTGCTGGTCTTCGAGCTTCTCGTCGATCGTAGGGTCATATAGAACAATCGCAAATTCTCCACTTGGATCGTGTAAGGGTTTATTGACAAAGGTTGCCCCTCGTCGCATACCCAGGGTAGGTGCTGGTCGTGAGGGATCGAACGCATTTTTGTTGATTAATGGAACGGAGAATCTTGCTCGAAAAGTGGTCTCTGTATCCTTGACTTTGAATTTTGGAAATCGATCTTTGAGTGAAGTGCTTTCTCCGTCTATGCTGTAACCGCCGCTCCCGTCATCCTGCCCTCCATCGGCCTCCACGTAATTCACCTTTCTTCGCTTTCGGCATGGCTCGCCCTTGGATTTGCGGGAATTGGCTGATCCGGGGCACTTGAACGGTTTGATGAGGCGGTCAAATGCTGCTGGAGAGTTGGCAGTCAACCGCGCAGCTTTCGGAAGAGGTATGTTTTCCTTGTCTTGCTCGAGCGCAAGGGTCTTGCTACGTATCCTGGCGCGACGTCAGTACAGAGGACATCTCAACATTGGAATTTAAGACCATACATGATGGGTGGAGGTAGATCAGAACTAAAACAAAGACTATCCAAGCCTTGTATCCGTGTGAGCAGTTGAAAAACAGATAAATTGGCAATCAATAAGCCTTGACTTGAGGAAAGGCCGAGGACGCGTCCAACTAACGCGTCGGGTGAACGCGATGTCACGTGCCTTGAGTTTGCCTCGATGGACGTGCTTGTCCTGGAAACCCACACCGAAGCATCCCCGAGCTTGGGCAAGAGGGCGTAAGGACAGCTCCCTCAAACGCTTCCTGGTCACTTACAATTATCTCTGCTTCTCATCCCGCAATAAGCCCCGGACATTTGTTGATTCGCGCCATCAGTGCCGCAGAGACCTTGCTCCGGGAAGAGCATCGCCAACCTCCGTCTGTTCCTGCAACATGATATAACAAGAGTTTACAGCCTTTTATTGTCTTTTCAGGGAGGGGCGGCCTCCTTGATTTGAAGATGTCGGCGGACTTTTGGGCCAGCTATGTCTCTGGTGCAATAGGCATTTTGATTGGAAATCGTCTCGATGTTTTGAAAGTGCGAGCGCAGGCAAGCTCTGCTGGTGCTCGCTCATCTGCTACTCCAGAGCCAAAGAATCGGGTTCAGAAATTCACATCTCTATTCAGAGGTGCCGCTGCTCCAATCCTCGGCTATGGCGCATTGAATTCCATTCTCTTTATGTCTTTCAATCGCTCCTTGAAGCTTATGGATCCCAGTATCTTCGACTTTACAAAATTGGCCGGGGTGGATCTTGGCAAAATATGGATGGCTGGAGCAATTGGAGGTTTAGCGACGTTCGTTGTGTCTGCGCCCTCTGAACTTGTCAAGTGCCGAACTCAGCTCGTTGTTGATGGGCAGGGTTCTTCATACGCAGTGTTCAAGGATATCTGGAAGCATGGCAGAATCCGAGGGCTTTACTATGGAGGCACAATCACGAGTCTTCGCGACGCATTTGGATATGGCTGGTATTTTTGGTCATATGAGCTAAGCAAAAGGCTTCTTCTGTCCAGGCAACCCGATCCTTTCGCTTCACCCTCCACTGCCGATATCTTGATCAGCGGCGGAATTGCGGGGATTGTCACCTGGGTGTCTATCTATCCGTTGGACGTTGTTAAAACCCGCCTGCAGACGCAACCTTCTTTGCGCCTTGAGAGCCAGGGGCTCCTTCCAGGCTCAACGGTACCGTCTCGTTATGACCAGACGTCTCTCGGTATGGCGCGTGAGATATGGCATAATTCTGGTCTCCGTGGCTTTTATCGTGGGTTGGGTGTGTGTAGTCTGCGAGCATTCGTAGTGAACGCTGTCCAAGTAGGTCGGAACCCCTTAATCGCGACGTACAGCTGACACAACGATAGTGGTATGCCTATGAAAGGATCATGGCATTCTTTCGCAGTCCGCAGTGACCTCTCCAACATGAGGCTGGCCATCCGCGAGAACCGACACCAACCCACGAGATTCCAGCCTACCTCGACCCGGTGCAAGCTCACGTGAATCATTGGCAGGGCCCTGCATGGCGAGTCTCTGGTTGATAACACGTCCCCATGGGGGCGAGGGTGGTGCCAGGATTTGCGCTTCGAGTCATCGAAAGTCATATCATCCGAAACCAAAATCAAACATCCTCCATGGCTTCAGTGTTTCGATGTGCACGGCCGTTATCTACTCCCAAGCCCACAGCGGCTTCTGCGAGTTGTTGGGTGTGTGCCTCTTCCTTAAGCATCCGGACGCTAGTGCACATGTCAGAAGTACATTCTAGCAAAATACAAATGAGTATATTTACCGTCTCTTGTGTATCTTTCCTCTCCGATGCTCGTTCAGGTTATGGCTGTCTGAGAAGTACTTGGCGCATTCGATGCAGTAGAAAGCGCCCAGTGCGGGCAGGTCTTCGGAGGCTTTGGCATTTTGGTGTTGGGAGAGGTGCTTGGGGGATTTAAGATCAGCCTTGACCTGATCCAAGTCGCTGTTGAGTACTGTTAGCATCTAGCATGACGGTGTTGGGTGTTAACCAGCAGAACCGACCGGGTCCGGCGTTTTGTCTTGATGCGCCTGATGCTGCCCATGATGGTATTCCGAACAATGTCCTCAAACCCACGATGCGTATCCTAGGGCTGGAATCTTATCTGGCGAAAAAAACCAGGGAAGATGCGGACGGCGTCTGCAAGGCTTCGGGTGTAGTGGGCCTGCGAGTTTTCGGGGGGTTTCATCAACAATCTCTTGCCGCGGCTGGGACCGGCATCTTGCTCTCCGGAGTGTCCAATCATTGCCCCGAAGGCGCACCCGAACTACAAATGGCGAATCGGCCCAAGTCCAAGTTGTGGAGGGCGTTCCCCGTCTGACTTCAGCATTCCGGGCGGAATTTGGCAGCATGCCGCAGTGGACATGTTGTCAGACACCGGAGTATTTAGTATTTATCAACGGCCCTCGGACAGCTGGAAACATGTACGGAATACACAAGCAGCCGGGCCAGAGGTTCGCGCCAGAATGAATCGCTACCTAACCTACCTAATTAGACCTACCCATACACACGAGAGACTGCGCATCTCTGACCTGGACTACGACAGAGAGCACGAAGCGGTGTGCTGCATCCGCACACCTCTCACCTCTGCTGGTACATGCAGCTACGCGGATGGAAGCGCATGGCCTATTATTTGACCAGACATTTGCTCTGGTCTCGACGGGTTTATGGGGATAGAACGGGGAGGTAATTGCCTGCTCAGTGATTGGCTGGAGCGGGAGGTCTGCAGGTCAGAAAGAAAAAATGAGGCATTTGCTCGGCGCAAGGGCCTAGGAGTGGGAACTTAGCCCGCATTGCCTAGGTAGTAGTAGAAACCACACAGCTAGTCCGCATGTCTGGGGGCAACAGCAGCTCGGGCTTGTGCGAATTCGTGCTGCTGGTATAAATCGTTGGCGATTCCCAGATCCGAATCCTTGACCGGATTCGAAAGCACTGTCGTTATAGAAGCTCCTGTATCGTGGTGCCCAGTGTGTGCGACAAGAGGGATCGCTGTGTGGGAGGTGCCAGTGGTTACTACCGCTACTTACCACTTAGTTATTCGTGGCCATTCACAGGTTGACGTCTTCCAAGGCTTATCGTGCTCCTCATTGAAGCCGCACCTCTCCAGAAAGAGCTTCCCTCCTCCAGCTTTTCTCCATCACCGTCATTTCTTCTCACTCTCCACTCCTCTGCTCGCATTTACAACTGTTGTCGAGCTAGACATTCTTGCTGCACTGTTTGCTAGAGCTCTCAAGCATCGTCGCAACCATGATGTCCGCAAGGCCTCTGGCCGGCCTGGCCTCGCGCCTGGTAAGTTCCCCAGCACCCTCCCTTCCGCACGCTGGCGGCTCCCGCACGGCTTCCGTCATGGCTTCACGCCTCGGTGGTTGCATTCTACTGCTCGAAGTCAGACCTGTGACTGACGATCATCTGCTTGCTCTAGGGCTCGAACGTAGGAACTGTCAGTTTATCTTCCGGTCCAAATCCAACCGCATACAGCGTGCTAATAACCAACATAGTCCCTGCGGATGTCCAGAATGGGATATGCTACCGTCTCCGATGACCCTTTGAGCAAAAATAAGTGACGGCCTCAAATACTGCTTGAGCATACGTTGCTGACTTCCGAATACAGGTCGAGATGACGAACTGGGAGAAGGGTCATTACATCAACTACAAGTAGGTCCAAATGCTAAATTGGCGCTTCTGCGACGGGCCGGCAATGGCTTTTGGCTGTATAGCGGAGACTCACCCTTTCACAGGAAGATGTCCGAGAACCTTGCAATCGTTCGAAGCCGACTTAACCGTCCCCTCACATACGGCGAAAAGGTCCTGTATTCGCACTTGGATGACCCGCACAACCAAGATATCGAGCGAGGAGTCTCCTATCTCAAGCTTCGACCTGATAGAGTGGCGTGTCAAGATGCTACTGCCCAGATGGCAATTCTGCAATTCATGTCGGCTGGCATGCCTTCAGTGGCTACACCCACCACCGTTCACTGCGATCATTTGATTGAGGCGCAGATTGGTGGAGACAAGGATTTGGAAAGAGCAAAGGACATTAACAAGGAGGTGTACGACTTCTTGTCCTCCGCCTGTGCCAAGTACAACATTGGCTTCTGGAGACCAGGCTCCGGTATTATCCATCAAATTATCCTCGAGAACTATGCCTTCCCAGGTGCCCTGATGATCGGGACTGATTCTCACACTCCCAATGCCGGTGGTCTCGGTATGGCTGCTATTGGTGTCGGTGGCGCTGATGCTGTCGATGTCATGGCAAATCTCCCCTGGGAATTGAAAGCCCCCAAGTACATTGGTGTCAAATTGACCGGCGAAATGTCCGGCTGGACTGCCCCCAAAGGTAAGAACGACGTCCACCGGGTACACACTATGGTCACACAAGCTAACAGTCTCGGGCAGACATCATTCTCAAGGTCGCTGGGATCTTGACAGTTAAGGGCGGCACGGGATGTGAGTTACAATCTTCCTGCATAAAGTGGCATTCCATTCTAACAGCCTTCTAGCGATCGTCGAATATCATGGACCTGGTGTCAACTCGATTTCTTGCACTGGCATGGCGACCATTGCCAACATGGGGGCTGAGATTGGCGCCACCACTACGATCTTCCCCTTCAACGACCGGATGTACGATTACTTGAAGGCCACCAAGCGCCAGCGAATTGGCGACTTCGCCCGCTCCTATGCCCATGAACTCCATGAGGATGAGGGCGCCGAGTACGATCAGTTCATCGAGATCAACCTGAGTGAGCTGGAGCCTCACATCAACGGGCCATTCACGCCGGATTTGGCGACTCCAATCTCCAAATTCAAGGATGCAGTTATCGAGAACAAGTGGCCCGAAGAGTTGAAGGTCGGTCTCATCGGTTCTTGCACAAACTCCTCTTATGAGGACATGTCTCGTGCTGCCTCGATTGCTCAAGATGCCATGGACCATGGTGTCAAGGCCAAGGCCCTCTTCACAGTCACTCCTGGCTCGGAGCAAATCCGCGCCACAATTGAACGGGATGGTCAGCTTAAGACCCTCGAGGAATTTGGAGGTGTTATCCTTGCAAATGCATGCGGTCCTTGCATCGGTCAGTGGGATCGACAAGACGTCAAGAAGGGCGAACCCAACTCCATCCTTTCTTCCTACAACCGAAACTTCACCGGCCGTAACGACGCGAACCCTGCGACGCACTCTTTCGTCACCTCCCCAGATTTGGTGGTGGCCTTGACCATTGCCGGAGATCTGAAATTCAACCCTCTTACCGATACTTTGAAGGACAAGGATGGCAAAGAGTTCAAGCTGAAGCCACCCAGTGGCGATGGTCTGCCCAAGAACGGATATGACGCAGGACGGGACACCTACCAGGCACCGCCTGAAGTACGTTCGGAGGTCGAGGTCAAGGTGTCTCCCACATCCGACCGTCTGCAAGTGCTGCAGCCCTTTGAAGCTTGGGATGGCAAGGATCAGAAGGATCTCCCCATTCTGATCAAGGCCAAGGGCAAGACGACAACTGATCACATCTCGATGGCTGGTCCCTGGCTCAAGTACCGTGGTCATCTTGACAACATCTCCAACAATATGTTGATTGGTGCTACCAATGCTGCGAACGGCGAGGCAAACAAGGTGCAAAACCAAGTGACCGGCAAATGGGACTCGGTGCCAAACACTGCTCGCGAATACAAGAAGAACGGTATCAAATGGGTTGTCGTTGGTGACTGGAACTACGGCGAAGGTTCATCTCGAGAACACGCCGCTCTCGAACCAAGGCATCTTGGTGGTCTCGCCATTATCACCCGAAGCTTCGCCCGTATCCACGAAACCAACTTGAAGAAACAAGGAATGTTGCCGTTGACCTTTTCCAACCCTGAGGACTACGACAAGATCAACCCGGATGACCGGGTTGACATCCTTGCCACTCAACTAGAGCCTGGCAAACCGGTGACCATGGTGGTACATCCCAAGGATGGTAAGCCATGGGAATGCCAACTGTCACACACGTTCAACGAAGGACAACTCGAATGGTTCAAGAACGGCAGTGCGTTGAACACGATGGCCAAGAGCCACAAGAATTAGTAAAGGGTGCGCTGGCAATCTTGACGGGACAGCATGCAATTTGTGTATACAGGGTGATTTGACACCGAGATCCATCCCGGGACAGTGCCTCCCGAAGAGAGGCTTGGGGATGGCACGAGTCGGGACCACATAACTACCTTGACAAGGATTAAGTGGCGGTGGGTTGAGCATATGATGTTATATAGGTATCTGCTTAGTGAGAATATCATATGGGCACAGTCTGTTTTCTTTACTCCGAACCGTGAACCCTTAGTTTTATCATGGCCATATTTCTTCTGTCGAGCCATTCCGAGTATCTGAATCATGCCAGACAACAATATCCAGCCGCGCCTCGTGATGTTGGGAACGGACTGACAAACTGACTAGTTACTATGTTCAGTGTGTGACCGTTAGACCTCGGTACGTGGGGATGTTGATATGATTGTCAATTGGAGAGACCGGATTGCGACACCATGTTGCCGAGTTGGAGACTGCGCCGCATCTTCCATCACGCCTTCACGACGCGGAGGCCTAGACGGGAGTCTTTCTTGCGACTTTCCTGTTGTTGCTGACTTAAGTTCCAGTCAAGACGCTCCCGGGTAGGGCTAAACACTCCCTGGACTCGTCGATTTCTTTACGACGCCGTCGCCTTGGTGCCTCGGTCTGAATATATTTCTTGAAGGGAGAACCTACAATAGAGAGTACGTGGTAGACGGCCGGCGTTTCTGCAGGGAACAACTTGTTAAGACAGGCTTCGGGAGAAGGACTTGGCCTCAGATCTCACATCCTAGGCAGAAGAAGAAGAAGAGGAAGAACGAAACAGTCGGTGCGGAAGCGGGCGTCAAGCAGCAGTCCTCTGAGCATTGTCCTCGATTCGTGTTTCGACGAGCAGCTTCATCCTTCTGTCCTCCTCGGCATCATCGGCCTCCTTGTCACGCTTCTCCGTCGTCACATCCATATGAGATCTTGTGAGATCGAAGAAGTTGTATGCGCCTAAGCCTCCGCAATCTGAACGTCCTGACCTCGGGCCTCAAGAAAGAGAAGGCCAGACTGAAATACAGAATCATGGCTCAAAATCTACCGCAACTTCCCCCGTGGGAGCAAGTCAGCACCAACGTGATACGGATCTTGGGCGGGAATCCTGGCAAGGTATGTATGTCCCTTCAATTCGGTGCTGGTTGGTATCTTTTATATCTTGAAATGCCCCCAAGCAAAAGTGGGAGGAGGTGGAGGTGGAGGCATTCCTCTCACGGCGAATTGTTGTTTGTCTCGTTCCGCCTCTCAACCATCCCACACTACACTGCCGTTCTCTGTCCCGGTCCGGCGTCAGGACCAGGTGCTGATCTTTGTCGCAGTTTACCTTGCAAGGAACCAACACGTACCTTCTTGGACGCGGGCCTCGGCGTCTACTCGTCGACACCGGCCAAGGTGAGCAGGTGTGGGCCGACACGCTGCGCAGCGTTCTACAGCAGCAGTCCCCGCCGGCGACCGTGGCGGCCTGTCTCCTGACGCACTGGCATCACGACCATATCGGCGGGGTTAAAGATTTGGATGCCCTCTCTGCAGAGACGAGGAGCAGCTCGCCAGGCGAGCGGGTCCCAGTGTATAAGAATCAGCCGACGCTGGACCCGGACGGCCTGCTTGACACAGACCGCCTGCTGGAGATAGTGGACGGTCAACGATTCCGCGTGTCGTCGGCCCCGTCCACGTCCGGCGGCGCGGGCGGCGACCAAAATGTCACCGAAGGCGAAGAGACTTTCGAGATCGAAGCAATCCACACCCCGGGCCATGCCAAAGACCACATCTCGTTCCTGGTGACCCAGTCATCGGACCCGGACGAGGTGGGCGCCATCTTCACTGCGGACAACGTCTTGGGCCACGGCACTGCCGTCTTTGAAGATCTCAGCGCTTACCTTGACAGTCTGGCGCTCATGAAGCGACGGGTCGCCGAGAGCATCGTGGCCCAAGACGGGGGGAGTGGTGCCTCGGAGGGTGCGTCGAATAACAAGATCAAGATCAACGTCAACAACAACATCAAGAAAAGGCGCGCGTTTCCCGGCCACGGCGCCGTCATCGACGATGCCGTGGCCAAGATCGACGAGTATATCACCCACCGACGCCTGCGGGAAGAAGAGGCGCTGAACGTGCTTCGGTTCGGCACCACCACGAGGCCCGACGCGACCGGCGGAGAGCTAGTCCACGACTCTATCACCACGTATGAAGACGACGGAGATGGAGGTGAAGGCGAGGCTGCCTCGGAGACAAGGCATGCTTCTGCCGCGGGCGCGGGCTTGGGCCTGGGCAAAGAAATCACCTCGGGCAAAGAGTGGTCGAGCATAGAGTTGGTCAAGGTCATCTACAGACACTATCCCGAGAGCCTGTACCAACCCGCCGAGTATGGCCTGTTGCGCGTGCTGGAGAAGTTGAGGCTCGACGGCAAGGTGGTCAAGACGCCCGAAGGGAAATGGAGGATCAGTGAGAAGGCCACGCTCTAATAGAGGAAGAGGATCTTTTGGCGATAGTACCGGCCTCTACGGTCCCAATAGTGAACCCCCAGAATCTAGACTGAGAGTATCTTGGAGAAAGGCGAGACGAGGCCATGACACCTTTAAAGAGAGAAACTCCAAACTTGTGCCTGGTTCGGTAGAGCTCTGACTCTGTGTTGTGATGTTTTTGTTCATGCCTGACACCTGAACGCTAGGTCTACGAATACATGTTGGTTGGATCTGGTATTATACACGCTTCATCATGTTTTCATTCTTTATACCAAGCCTTTGCTGTGTAGAAATGCCTTGAGTCCCTCGCCCACACCCTGTGGACTCGGTTTCACAGCACATACGTCCGCGTCGAAGCCGAATTTGGTCTTGAGGTGGTCTCTAGTGGTTGGCCCAATGGTGACGACGACGTAGAGCTGTCTCTGCTCTTCCTCTTGGTCTGGGACAGCGCAGGGTCTCGGTATGGCGTTCCATCTGTTCACCGCGCTTTCTGTCAGCTTGTGCGTGTCGTCAATAAAGCCGAGCGCGCGGAGCATAGCCTCGCACCCCTGAGGGCTGAAAACCACGACCGCCACGACCTTGTGTCCTTCACTTTTGAACGAGCTGAGCCTCAGCGTGAAATCGTCCTCGAACGATCCTACGACATCTGTGGCGTAGACTTCGACCTCGTCGACGGCGATCCGCTGTTGCGGGGCCAGTTTCCCTTTGGCATCCATTAATGTCTTAGGAATAATGTCTCTTCTCTGCTCGCCAACGAGGAACAACAGCCCTTTTTTCCGCAGGCGCTCGCGTTCGTCATCCTTGGCTGCATCACTGCGAGGCTCACCCCTCGTAGGTCCAAGGGTAGACGTGACCGGCCATCTCCACGAGTCGTGATGAGTGTAGAGCTTCCGGTCATCCAGCCCATTGTAGTGCGACAGAATGTACTGTGCAAGGTTGCCGCCGGTGCCTGTTTGTGCACCTAGGACGGAAGGGCGGAGACGAGTGAACGGGGATGCCTTCTTGGTGGTGGTACTAGACTCCGCAACTAACGTGTTCAGAGCGCGCGAGGTCGCTGGGCCGACCGTGTAGAGGGGGAAGGAGAAGTCGTCGTCTACATGCTCTGAATCAGTCACATGCTGCGATGCCTCGCCTGAATTCGCTCCAGGCTGAGACCCAATCACACCTGCAAGACCATTCAGTCAGCAATGATGTTTACTCTGGTAGAACATAGTGTAGAAAGCCTCGGGTTCCTTCACAACCCTGGTGGGCTGGTTCAGCAGGAGGACAGACCATACCAGTCCCAGGCCCGAAGACCTGTATCGTGCGTTCTTGTTCAAAACTGTCCAGCTCCGTTGTTCTGTCCTCTGTTGGCGGTAGTTCTCGCTCTACACTCTTAACCACCTCCGCCCACGCTTCAACAGCCCTCTGGCTCGTAAAGATCATCCCGCCATACTGCTGGCCCAGCGTTCCGCTTTGCAGCGCCCGCTTCAGCGCTCCCAAGCTCTCGGTATTAGGCCGGTGTTCGAGTACAGGAACAAACTGGGGGACGAAGGAAAACGAGGACGTGGCCCTTTCGTCCTCTCCTGTGGTAGCTGTTGGTGTCGTCGTAACCGGTGTTGTGGAGAAGTACTCTTCGTAAGCGTCATGTGGGTGAGACCGCGTTTTCAGGAGGAGCACGGGGACGGTAGATAGAGGAGACGGTGGAGGTGGCATTCTTTGTCACCGGGAGGAGTAATAAGGGCTATCGATTGTCTGCGAGTGCTTCAAAGTAAGACATGGCCGTGGCACGGTCTGTACCGAGTGTATTGTATGAGGGTGAGGCGAGGCGTAGGGACAGCGCGGAATTCCAGATGGGTGCCTCAACCACAGACAGTATCTGCAACCGACCGGCAGGTTGTAAAGGTGCAAAGACTTCCTTGCGAGGATGACAGCCAAAGCAAGTGAGCAAGCAAGCTCAAATTTGGAGCAGTAAAATGACTGATAAAAATATCGAGTCGAGTTCCGACGTTGATTGGTGTCATTCGTCCCCTTCCCCTGCGCCCTATTTTTCAGCTACAAGGCCGAGAGATGGATCACAGAACATGTCATCCGTTTGATAGCCTTGCACCGTTTCTGGCTTCATTGCTTTTTTCTTAGCTGCCATTGAGTCGAGGGATACAGTCGGCAATGGACAATCCCAACCTATCTGCATCTTACGCTTCGCGCGAGCATCAAACAAGTCAGGAATGTGTATCTATATTAAGATGGAATACAGTCCACACTGGATACTGTAGGCAGCCTTGCCTGGTCCGGCCACAAGGTGGACCTTGCCCGGTTTCTATCCATCTCTGCGATTTCCTCTAGACAGTCTCGCCACTGCCAGTGGCCCCTTTGTGGCCTTTGATTAAACGACTCTTGTCCATGAAGAGTTCAATCTATCCTATATACGCAGTCTCCCTGAAGAATACCGGAGCTTTCTCTAACAGAACCAAGATATCTTGCAGCTATTGCCCTGGCCAAACTTTCAAGACCAACTCTTCTCGCATTGGGCTAAATGCCCAAAACTGGCCATCTACGGCCAGAACGTGGTGACGCTTTCTACTGACGTTCTGAACGAGAAAAATACTTTTGCAGTGGGACAAGCTCACGGGTAGCGGTAGCGCACCGTCTTCGCTGATGCTGACCCGCTGGACTCACCTCGCACAGCCGGAAAATAATTGGACATGTCACACAGCAGGACAGAAGGAGGTAACCTTCCAGAGTGGAACAGGGAAACTGAACACTGAACAGTTCTTGCTGTAAACAGGTTTAGCTTCCACCTCCGGGGTCTCCCATCCACGTCTGAAGTCGTACATCCTGGAGACCAGACCAACCCTAGGCAGCAAGAAAGAAGGCTCCCATGGAGCGTTGTCAAACTCACACAACTCTCAGGAGGTAGGCGGGTTCAGCTGCGTGGCGGACCGACTGATAATCATATCAGATACAGAAAATCGTCCGCGATGAGAGAAAATCGCATGCTTTGTGTGGTCTGTCTGTATGTTTCGGCAAAGGAATGGGACTGGGCGACTGGCTGGAACTTGATGGTCGGCTCGCTGCAAGGATTCCACTAAATGGACCTCATGTTGTTTGTCTTTTTATGCATGTACTGATTCGGTCTTCCCAAATAGCAAACATTAAGTCCGTACAGCGGCTCAGCTTGCGATACGACAATATCAACTAGACAGGCTGTGGGTTTTGATTCAGCGAGCTGGCTGGTAGTCAGGCTTTGACCGCCTTGGTAACACAACAGCTGTCATATTAGCCTTGGAAGCAGCCGTCCAAGCATCCATGACGACCGGTACAGCCCCCCTGGCAGGCTAGCTGATACCGCAAGAATAGTCGACGACAATCAAAACATCTTGAACAGTCCAGAAGCTGCCTCCTCTGCGCCGGGACTCAGATCACGAGGCCGAGTCTAAAACCAAAACATATGCTGCAGGCCCCTGTATCACATGTCCAATTACTTGGTTTGGAAAGACATCTGGCTGTCTCGTCATGACTCTCTTCGCCGGAATGAAATCTTAGTCCAAGTACCTAGGACGATGTAGGATATCATTCTGGCCGGCAGGCTTGCTCCCCCATGCAACAAGGCGACGCTTAGGGGAACATGCGGTATCATGGTCGTCGTCCGGTTTGGAGTCAACACCGTCCCACACATGAGCCGGCCACGAGGTGCCCCTGCCTGTCGGATGCATGCATGAGTCAAACTCGCTAAGCCTGTGATTGCGTGCCATTCACCCGCCATATTTGACTTCAGGCTCGACGAAGCCGTCTCGCGGGCGAATCCATCTACATCGTCTTGACGCGCCCAATGCCCGAATTTGAAAACAGTCTTGACCCTGGTGCCCAATCGAGGTGCAAGCCTCGTGCAGGTAATCGTCTTCTTTGCTAATTCTTTGTCGCGTGTGGATCGAATTGCATGTTTGCTTCTCACCTTTTGCGGCCTGAGCCAGGGTTCATTTCCGATATATATGAAGAGCTCAAGGCAAAATCGCACCACCAAGTCTGTGACACTCACTCGCTGTGCTCACGACCTCGTACCATCTTGCACATACATTTCGGGCTGTTTTCATCAACCTGCTTTCCTTCACCGCCACGATGCCTCAACCACAACCTGTAGGACCGAGGGCGCCAAAGGACGATTTCATGAAGGCTCTGGGCTTGAGTACCACCGATCCACGCCACGAGGGCTACTATCGAGCGATGCGGGTAGGTTCGGGAACTGAAAGGCTGCCGCAGACCGAGGCTCACCACAATGCAGGAGGAAGCAATCGCTGTATACAGCAGGCTGAATTCCGATCGAACCAGTCTGATAGACGAAAAACGTAACGATGGATCAACAACGCCGCCCTTCTTTTGGCACCACATCCGTCAAGACCGTCGTCGGCAAGCCATCATCGACACATGGCAACAGGCGAAACCGGGCACCATTCAACGTACACTGTTTGATCGAGGCGCAACAACCGGTGAACATGCTCCCAACTGGGTAACTCTGTGGCTGCTATACAGTGTCTTTCGGTCCCGAGATATCCGTAACAATCGCAATCGGCGGGCTGGAGAGGGCGGTAGTGGCGGAGGTGAGAAATCTCTGCTTCGTTTTCGCTCTATTCCCGAGGCTAATCAGTTGTGTGAGGCGCAGGTCAGAGTTCTGGGTCCCACGATGCCGCGATATTTGATCCGGCTAGAGACAAATATGTGCGTCGCTGAATCTGGGAGTGGGTTCAATATTTTGTTGTATGATTTCAGAAGGTGTTGGGGAGATATTAATGCTGTTTAATCGTCGTCATCTTCTTCGTCATCCTCCTTTGACTTTGATCGGCCATTTGAATTCTTTCGCTCTTCCCGAAGTGCTTTTGTAACCTCTTTATCATGCTCATCAGCCCTCTCGTCCCACTCCACGTCGTATTCCGCAGCCACAGCTTTGATTTCCTTCCTGATGGCGTTGGCCTCTTCGATCGAGGCTTCCCATTTTTGCACATCAAACCCCTTGAGCTCGTATAGGCGGCTTTGACGACGACTGACCGTAATATTCAATGCCGACCGATAGGAGACCTCACGATTATGGTATAAAAACCACATATAACCACCGATAAGCGACGATAGACTGACAAGGTACGTGACAGGCTCGGCAAAGTCCCATCCGAGATCTGTCTGGAAGGTTATCCGATACACAACGAACCAATAGCCGACCAGGAAACCGCAACCTCCTATGGCGACTCTCTGTCCACGCTTGTGGGCGGCTTTATCGCATTCGTTCTTGATGGCAGCCATGTCGGCAATATTTTTGGAGACCCTGCGTAACCTTTGCCGCAAGTAAAAGGTCCTGTCGTTGAACGAAGGGACGGCAACCTTGATAGGCTTTGAACTCCCTTCAATCTCGACCTCGAACTCTTTCGCTCGCGCCGCGTCCCTGATAAAGTCGCCGATCTCAGTGGACAAGCTCCATCGAACGAATTCACCTTCGTCCTTGCCTTTGCCTTCACGGCCGGCGCCGCTGTAGCTCTCGACGCCGCCCTCAGTCGGAGGTTGTTGTGGGGCTTCGGCCTCTTCCAGCTCTTTTGACTCCTTCTTGGAGCTTCTGGTCCCTTCATCCTTGGACTCCATGGCCCGGAAAGAAACTGCTGGCAGTCTGCCCTCCCCTTTCTCATTGGTGATGCTGGGTAATTCAGACTGGATCAGGCGCTCAAGGTAGGAGAGCGGCTGCTGTGGATGAATAAGTAGAGCAAGAGGAGCGACGTCCTTGCGATCAGAGTTTTGGTCGAGGGTAGTGAGAGGAAGCACAAGTTTGAGCAACCTCGAAGGTGTGGTCAGTAGTTTTCCTAGAACTAAGGGTCAGCACGCGTTGGTGTCGTGAAGCCTCGGCGCAGTACGGTACCTTTGGTCATGGCTCCTGCTGAGCGTTGTCTTCGGACAGGAGGCATATCGGCTCCTTGTCGGTGCCATGGCGTCCGGCCTTGTTTTTCGTGCTCCTGGGCGACGGCACTGTCGAAATCAGACAAGGCGTCATCGACCCCCTGCTGATTCAGATCTCTGGCCTTTTGGTCGCTTGAAATGCTTCTAATGCCGTAGGGAATGCAGTTCGGGACCCTCCGTCTGATACATCTTGAGGATTGAAATCTGGGGCCTGAAATATGGAAGTACTGTCGAGTCGGTGATGAGGCAGGCGAGGGATGGCGCAGTCGATGCAGATGGCTGAGCGTGTCCAGCTGACGTGCCGTAACTCGGAGACGCAGAGCCATTGCAGTCTCTGGGGGTTATTGAAGTGGTCGAAGTCGCAGGTGCATACTGACAGCGCAAGAAATATTGTCTGCTCGCTGAGCGTGTACGTAGAAGATTGGCAGGGAAGACGAAGCGAGCGATGAACCTGTTTTAGTGGCACGTAAGATGAATGTTGATCCTGCGACGTCATTCACTGTCTACCAGACGTGAGACCAGTACGACTAGGTACGGAGTACTCCCTACTCCCTACTCCCTACTCCCTACTCCCTACTCCCTACTCCCTACTCCCTACAATGTTAGGCTGCGCCACACCTAGTACTTGGAGCCTTAGGGCCATAGGCACCTATAGGTATGCCCAGGTAGGTGCCAAGTATACGGAACATGTATGGAGTACATACTCCGTACTCATGTATCAACCAGCTTGCAGCTCCAGTGGCAGCTGCGTTGCCTGAAAGCCTGCCTCCGTCCCAAGAAGAGAGTCCGCAGGCTCACGCCAGCTCCAAGCCTTAGGCCCCTTAGCCCCTTAGCCCCCGAGGGCTTCTAAGGCCCTAAGGCTCCGTATTCAGTGTCGACTCCTACACTTGGGCGAACAAAGCTCCTGATATTGTAAGCCTTGTGATCGTTTTGAGGCAGCCCACCACCTATTCTACAAACTGATGGGACCAAGCGAGCCTGGCAAACAGGTCAATCAATCGAAATGGATTTGGCTGTTCTAAGCTCTTGTAAGAAAATCGTTCACACATCCTTCCAAGCACAATCCAATCAGCCGGAAAGGCTTCCTCCCTGCTCCAGTCGCTAAGCTTAGAAACACATCATTGACTGGCTGACTGACTTGACCACACAGTTGCCTGCTTCACTTTTCTCTATACGGCATGCGGCGAAAGAAACACAAAATCATTCATCATGAACCATCAAGGAAAATTGTGCCCCTCGCCGAAGGTCATGGTCTCGTAAGTCGTAAGTCGTAAATCGTCATAAAGCGCTGGAAAGTCGCCGTCCACGATGCACCGCACAGACAGTAGAAGAAATCATTATATGGTTCGATGAGAACATGTCTCAGTACCGTGGGACGGCTCGCTTGCCATGGTGACTCGCCTCGGAAGCGTAGATATCCCGACGGTTGGTCGACAGCTGCGGGCGACCTGGACGCCCCGAATCGGTCCAATCAGGACTGCTGCCTCCACTTCTGCTTCCAGAGCTGTCCGTGTCGCCATAGCGGTATTCAGCTCGAGTATCCTTCCCACTCCTGCGACTGTGGCGACCAGAGCCTACAGGGACCGGATTGCCCTGGATCACGCCTCCATGGGCAAAGCCGGCAGGGAAAAACCCATCGTTGGCAGAGAAGTTGCGGCAGATATTGAACGCAATCAAAGCAGCCCCTTCTCTGGCTGACGACTCGGACGGATGGTAGTTCGAAGTCTGGTATTCACGGTTGTTCACCCTGACAACGCATCGGTAGCCTGCCGGGCTGTAGGAAATCTGATAAGCAGGTTCGGGCCATCGACGGCGTTGACAGAGACCTGAGTGGGGACCACGAGTCAGTGTCTGGGACGGAGATATATGGCAAACTCCAAGCAAAGAGTCAAATTCAACGGCCACACGAACGCGAGGGTATCTCATTCCCGGACCATTGCAAGGCTGGCCAACCTCTTTGGGACCACATGGGACTCCATGCATAGCGGGATATGAAGACTACGAGTAGATGAAGCCAGAAACAAGGGCAGAAGCCATACATCAACGCCAAACAGGAGTAGTCGGCGTTGTAAGGTACGTACTGGCCAGATAGACGGTATGCAGCATATCTGCACTGGAGCCCGAAGTGACTTGAAGCCCAACAAATTGTGCATCCAATCGTGAGTGGAATAGTGTACTTGACGGCAATGGTGTCGATGAGGACTGGTTTTGTCGACAAACGTCAACAATGCTAATTGTGATGCTAAATCAGAAAGTGAGGCGTGGTGACTCTGTCAGGTAATGTTCCCCAGGCAGCAGATATTCAATATCACCGATATAGCTGGCCCTTTTCACAGGTGAAGTATGTCCACATTTTTCATGGCCTCGACGGCAAAGACCCTGCACTGACAGCGAAGCAAGTGCAAGACGACCGGCAGCGCGTGGGGCCGGGCGAAATGATTCCACAGTGGCCAAAATGCCTCTGGTGAGCGGCCGGCTGGAAAGCGATCGCGGAAGATTGAACATTCTGCTCTTCTGGCAATCGTCAATGTTTTGATGTGTTGGCATACTTTTTAGCCAGTACCCGAACGTTGAAGTCGGGACCGTCCTAGCATCTTCCCTCCGTCGGGCGAGTCGTGCAGAGACTCATGCAACCCATGATTGGTGCTGAGATCCTGATTCCCCCGCGCTGAAACCAAGTGTCGAATGAAGACACACCACCTCGGTGGCTAACAAGTCTCGTGGCTCGCCATGCTCTGCCTTTGACTTGCATCTGCGCTGACATGGTTGACCGGTGAAGCTTGCAGAAGATCACCTCTGGCGAGCAGCTGGAATTGGGGCGAATGCGTCCTTTCCTGCAGAGACGTTCTAGTTGACGCAATGGATTCTGTGCATGAACACCTGGCAGGTGGGGAATGGTGTTATCATGCCGCGGCCTGACTTGCTTTGGAGCTGCTGCTGGAAGTCTCGAGCCCTGCGAAGCTTAAGGGATCAATAAAATGAGCATTTTGATAGGTAGGCTAGACGCGAGAGGCCAATGCAAGCCCAGAGAACTCTCAGACTTGCAGCTTTCTGCCCACTGCGAAGGGGCGAAATGGTTGACGTGCGCAATCTAGATCGACCTTGGATTCGACAAAGTGCGTCTGGAGCGCTTTACGCCACTCGTATCGCGGATTGTTTCGGTGCGACAGCTTACATGGGTGCTGGAAACGGCTGGCCGACTGGCGGGCCAACTCAGCGAAGTTTGTGGTGGACCGCGTGTCTGCTTGTAAAATCCCTGGCGCATGAATGCGTTGTCCGGGACAGTGGTCTCCAATTCTCCAGTTCTCGTTGGATCCATCATGTCATCAGAGTCCGTCATCTTCTCGTGTTAACATGGAATCCATAGCTGCTGTAGACCATGCGCGGTAGTCATTATTGGAGTGGCCAGAAGAACTATCTGTGTTACCAGATATCATCCATGTCTTTCCCTTGACAGAAAGCGAAGCAGTCTCAGCCGTTTCTTAACTCGACGGTCGATGGGGCTGACAAGACATCGCGTGTGAATTAGGGAACCCCTTTTGGCATCGGCGTAGGGCTTGTCAAGACCGATATCGTTCGACATACTAGTATGAGTGGCCAACCGCCAGAGGAAGCCTCGAGATGGGGAAGGTAGAGGTACTAGGGAGTTTCGGTCATATGCAAACACTACAAGCTCAGCAACGGCGGCGGCCTACTGCAGAAGCAGGAGAACTTCCCCCACTTAGTTGTGTACTCGCCTGCGGGCCTGCGTTTGGCTACCTACCAATGTTCAAAAGGTGGAATAGTCGCCCAGATCAAATACGTGGTTCGGTCTGCGCGAAATCAAAGAGTATCTCGAGATGGCCAGCTGGGAAGTGACGATCAGAAAGAAAATGACAAGCAGCCTGAGACAAGAAAGCCGGTCATCAAAGCTGGGCACAGGGGACATGACTCGAGCCTTGTGGGGGGTGGCGTCTCTGACGAGTAAGGATTGTATAATGTGAACACGGGCAACGAGCATTCACCATCCAACGATTCACAAAATGACCGCAGATGAGAAGGATTTAGTGTGTCTAGAGTAGCCCCGTTTCTCCGTGGTAGATGATTGTGACCAGAGTTGAGAGGTCGACAGATAAATCTCTCAAGTGCCGGGAGGCTGACCTTTCCACACGGCCAATCTCAGGGCCAGCATTGATCATCAATCCGACGTTATGCACCTAGGGGACAAGACAATGCCCAATTCCGCATGGCCTGAGCAGCTTCATGAGGGATCGAGTAGACTGGATGGATAGCTCTGACATGCGCTCCCGTATCAAAAATCTTAGTGGGATCGGCCTCGCTAGGTATCTGGGCTTTGCAAGCCTCCCATGAGAAGGCCGAAGCAAAAGCATCAGACCCGTCAACTGGCCCGTAGGAATGTGAATGTTCCACCGTGCTGATGCCAGTCAACGTATAACAGGTATGATACGAATCGGGTCGCCTATGAGGTATTGTCAGCAGGTGCGGCAAGTCATGCTTTGGGACGACGAACTTCGAAGGCTTATCTCTAAGCCCACCATCCTGTGCCTGGCAGCAACATAGTATGTATCTTGCAAGGCCTTCGCTGCTATAGAGATTCTCCCTCACGTCATGTCCTAGTCCACTGGCCGTTCCCCGAGGACCGCTCAGAGCAGCCTGGACGAGCGGCCAACAGCTTCCTAGCCAGTGGCTGTAACATCCATCCACGAGCTTGTTGGTCCGACCTGCAAATCCACCCTCAGGTGCATACTGTCGTGAAGAAAGCCACCAAGTCAGGGCGTTAACGTCAAGGAACTTGTTTACTGCAGCGTGTGGAGTATTGTAGAGACAGAGGCAGGCAATGGCACAGAAAGCGTATGCTCCGTGAGCTTCGTTGCCGGGCGAGGCAGAAATTCCGCCTTCATATGTCTGACAGCGAGAGAGGTATTCGCCGAGGCCATCCATAAATGTTTCAAAGCCGGCGCTCCGAGCTGGGGAACTCGCCGGCAGTGAAAGAGGAAGATCGAGGAGGGAAATGGCAACCAATGCGCAGTATGCTCCTCTTACATCCTCTTCACCACCCTCAGATATCTGAAAGCCACCGTCTGGTTGTTTCAGCCGACCGAGCCATTGCCACATTTGGTCACGATCAATGAGTGTATAGGCTTCATCACCACCAACCAAAGCAAGGCTTAACAGTGCGGCGTACGTTCCAGCGAGATGGGAATATTGCCCGAAGCCCCCTCCGAAGCCCCCGCTTGAGTTCTGCATCGAAAAGAAGGTTTTGATAACCCTGTAGCGCTGTCAGCTTAAGTGTCCACGTTCATTCAGTGAAGCTGTGCGGAGGCAAGCTCGAGTGTAATACCTTGAGCGGTAACGAGACACGTCTTCTCCGAGCATGTAAAGTGACAACAACGCCCAGTAAACCATCCAAGGGCGACTGGCATCGAGGCCGACAAACGGTGCTGGGAACTCCTCTAGGTTTTCGTGGAGGAAATCAATATGCTTCTCCCTTTCCAGTACAGGCACGCTGAACTCATTAAAGTCGAAGGGGCTACGCGAAGGATCCTCAATGGCATTGAGCAGAGGTAAGCATTCTTTGACAGTATCCGCTTGTAGAACGGATGTCTCTGTCTCAAGACTGTCAAGCAAAGCTGGTGGTCCACGAAAGTAGGCGGGTATGAAAAATGCGAAGTCGTCCAGATTCGCCATAGTTGCAGTACGGCGCCTCCGCGGAAGCCCGGATACTGGATATGAAGCGTGACAGATGAAGATGTCGAGGCAGGTTAATTTTGAACAGATGAGTCCCTCATGTCTGGTTCAGCCTCGGTACGTTAGTATTGTTCTTGAATTCCACAACCTTAGGGGACTGCGGAATCCAGCACGCATAATAAGATTAGGGCGATTGTCGAGGACTTCTCGTCGAGAACAACCTCAATCGGAAGGCTAATCATGTAGAAAAGTCATCCGATAGTTGAGGCGCCGACTGAGTTATTAGGCCTGCCTAATTCAACTTGAAATTCTGTCACAGAGACTATGATCAGACGGGAGTCTTGAGGTCTGTTGACGAAGCGTTGGCACTTTACAGTAACATGCTTGGCATTGTCCTTGCCCCAAATAATAAGAATACACATAATAGTAGTACTATTAGTACAAGAAGTGACAAGAGATTCACACCTGAGTTCTTTCACTGTAATGTTTGACAAATCGTGAATCCTGTGCCCCCAATGCACTCTCCGAAAGGTAGAACATTGGAGACCTTGCCTCTCGGAAAATACTGAATGTCAAAGTACTGCAGACACGGCCCTGATTGTAATGCGAGGAACAAGGTATGGAGCACCGCCTCCGATTGGAAGATGACGGTACACAGCAGTCGGCGGTGTCCTCACACTCTGCACATCTTCCATCTGGAGTGTCGGGCAATATAGTCTTCCTCGCGCTTCTAGTATGGCTGTGGAATGTCTGCCGCATCCCGAGCGACGTTGACACCTCTAGTTGACACCCGCCGCCGAGATCAATCCACTGTCTTGAGTCCTTCACTTCACTGTAATCTTTCTGCCGCTGAGCAAGGGTGTGCGTCAAAAGTCTACACCGCTTCTCGAAAGCGCCATCCTGGAAGAAAATCCCCGAGGTGGACGACTGGCGCGTTCAGCTGGACAACAAGATACTTCCTCCACTGATACCAGGTACCTATTTCACCTAGAACCCGGTGCTTCTGCTGCAACAAGCCCGATGCCATCGACGAGGCTGTCTGAGCGTGCACACGGTGAGGTGAAGAGCGACGTTGCGGAGGCGTAGCAAAAGCACCTTCGGCGAGCAGCAGCATGATCTACGGCAGATACGAAGGAAAGACCTGCCAGAGAGAGGACTAGTGGTCAGCACCAACAAGATTACCTGCATGAGTGTGAGCTTCTTGGTGATATCAATCTGGCCAATTGGGCGAGGTCGCGGAGCATTGATGCGATATGACTCGTTGTCTGGTGTGTTGGGGTGAGCGAAGGAAACCCAGGATTTGTCGGCTGTGCCACTCGAGCCACAAAAGATTCGAGCCGTGGACATCGATCCCTCTGCAGGACGAGCCGTAACAAGGATGGCCGCCTCTCCGCCTTTTCCAAGGGCTGAGCAAGCTGCTTCATCGTCACGATGGAAATCGAGGGCGAAGTAGCGATGTGGTGATCCGCATGTGCAGCTTTTTGCATGAAAGAGGGCGCAGTCACCATATGGGTATCATTATTTACATTTCACTCCCCGTTCTTTGTTGCTTCAGTGCTCCCCGTCTCACTTTGCCATGATCTTGTTGCCGAAGCTCTTCACCTCACGACTGGAGTGTTCCCTTCACCGTCTTCTAGACTAGGCGCCGTCTCGAGGGGTGGTTCCAGGTTGACTCTAGCAAGGAAACGGACGCCGAACGAGCAAGGTGCCAAGCAGGAGCGAGCGGGGGCAGCTTTGTCTGGAGCGGCGAGGGAAAGCGCACCGCGGTACGGGGTACATGTATGCAGTACTAGCGACGTCGAACGGGCTCTGAAGGGAAGAAACAGTGTGGCCGAGACACGCATCAAAGGATCGCTCATTTCGTGCCTCCAGCCATCACTTGACTGCGCTGAGTCCGTCTAGCACTCGGATGGGGCTGTGAACCCAATCGGCACAACGACATCCAGTCGCCGAGGGGTCACGCCGCGGGTCCTTGGGGCCTGAAGCTGCAGCTTGCCACCGGCGCTGATCGTTGTTGGCTGCAGCCACTCGCCACGGCCGTTTCCGCGCACGAATTGCCCACTTGTCGTCCCCCGCCCACCTGCACCATCTCCAGAAGCGCATGCACCTGCTCACCGCTTCTTCTGCACCGTCTCTCTACCTCCCTCTTGAGGCCCGCCCTCTCGGTCGTGCCCGCCTCGAGCGGTCACTCTCTGTAACTCTTGTCCTTGCAGACTCTCTCTGCATCCTTCCCTCGACCTGTTTTCCTCTCTTGCTTGACGAGGCCGGCAAGACATCCTCCCCTCGAGACGCCTGACTTGCGACCGGGCAATTTCCTACGAGGCTGACGGTCTGACATATCAACCATGGCAGGCAATGTTGGCTTGACGAGTGAGGATCTCACCTACGAGCTCGACGCAAGAAACGCCTCATACTTCCGGAGTCAAGCATGGCCTCTGCAGCTGGAACAAGTGGCTGCTCCACGACAAGACCCCAGGAGGAACATATCACCTATACAGACCCGGAATCATGGTCTTCGACAGACCACCATGGCAGAGCATCCAATGATGGACAGTTGGAGGTTCCAATCACAGCAACATACGCAACAGCACGACACCGTCGATTTCTCCGTCCAACAGTCGGCGTATGATATCCATTTCGAAACCCAATTCCATGGCCTCCCCATGCACCCTTCGCACTTGACGATGATGCCTGTCTCGCAGCCGCCGCTAGGCAGTGGTCTGCCCCTCGAACCCGCGTATCTCCCCCTCGAATCCGGCATTGAGGGAATGCCGCGCAACTGGGCCGAATTTCAGAGCGAGTTGGTGAACTATACAACTACGGACATGGGGCTCGCTGTATCACCTTACCAACAGTTGACAAGCTCTCCCACCGGATCCCATCTTGAAGTTCTGTCACAGCCCAGTTCATGCGATGAGCACGGATGGACCATGGTAGAGCCTCGCTCCTCCTTCGAACCCTACGAGCGGCATTTCTTTGTTGATCCGAACCAGACCGTGCACAACAGGACGCTGTCAGAGTCGTCATACTCGGACCTTGAACCTCAAGGCAATGGGACATTCATGTCGAACCTCGAGATGGGCCATTCTCAAGCTGTATACTCCCCGACCACCTTGTCTGATAGTGATTTCGAGTACCCGCACCCCCACCGCCTCTCGATAGACTATGGATCTGCTCCCACCGCGAGCGTTAATCCCACAGCCCTCGTTCGCTCAATTCCTATTCCCACTGGCCGATCTTCTGGAGCTACCGTTCGGTCTCCTAGCTCTCAAGGCTCCGCTAGCTCCCCCGGTCGGAAAGGTTCAAGGAAAAGTCCTATCGCTGCCAAGTCGACTGACAAAGTCGTGAAGAAATCAGCACAAGCAGGCAAAGGTGAGGGCGAGAAGCGTGTGGGCCGAAGGAAGGGGCCGCTCCGTCCTGAACAACGTAAACAGGCCAGTGAGATCCGGAAATTGAGAGCATGCCTGCGATGCAAGTTCTTGAAAAAGACCTGTGACAAAGGAGAACCCTGTGCAGGATGCCAACCTTCGCATGCACGCCTGTGGCAAGTGCCTTGCACTCGCATTGACATCAAGGAAATTGGATATTTCTTGAAGGACTGGAAGTTCGACTATGAGCGACACATTTCACTCGGCTTTTCGGTCGGCAACATCAAAGGATTTTCTGACACTGAAAAGACTTTATTCATCACTCATGGGTACGGGCACATGTTACCCGTGACTGCCAGGGAGGTCTACGTCAGAGACGACACGTGCTTGAAGTTGGATTGGGTCGAGGCGCAACACCCATCGCCTGAAGGATACGAAGTATCTACTGCCAAGTTGTCTGCTGGCATGGAAGGCATTTCGACAACTATGTTGAGTGACTATCTTGACCGCCACATTGACGGGACTGGCACTTTCGAGAAATTCGTCGACGACTACTTCGAGGGGACTCCGTTTTTGTCGCAAATGCTCAAGACAGCGCATCGGTTTTACTTCAAGACAGGGTCCAAGATCATCAAGAAGGCTTTGAAACTCGTGCTCGCCTACAATCTGACGTTGCACATCACGATGGTCGAGGGAGTGCCACCGGAGGAGTCGTTTGTGGGGAAGATCGAAGAGCAGACATCCAAGTTCTTTGGTAAGACCCTGGCACCGGTGATGATCAACTTCCAGATCAAATGCGCCATGGCCGACATGTGGCGGGAGCTGCACAAGGATGTACTGGAGGAACTGTCAAGCTTGTACTCCAGCGTGTACAGTGGCGACAAGCTCAAGAACTGGCCGACCATCTTTATCCTGGCGTCGGTGTTGTTGGCAGTATGGGAATGCATGCAGTTTGACTGCCACTACCGCGTACCTGACAGCGCGGCTGTGGACCGGTTCTGCAACGACATGGAGACCACTCCGGTCGGTGTTGTGGTTGGTCTTTTCCAGGCCATTTCTCAGAAGCTGCCTTCAATTCTTGACTGGGACACTTCCAAGCATCATGCGTTATTGGCTTCCGACCCAGACGTTTGCAACACCATGACTGAAGTTCGAGAGCACGTCACGAGATATGGTGAGAGAGCTCCCTGTCCCCGAGTATCTTCGTTACTGATAGCATGTACAGAAAACTACCTCCGCGGCCGACCTAATGCACAATTCGACCGGAAGGATTTTGATTCGCTGTCGAACAAGTTTTTGGCGAAGTTGGTCATCAGGGCCAACTAAGAGTTTACGCAGTTTACGGCCTGATGCCCTGATGAAAAGTCGACCCGCAGAAGTTACGAGCGACCGACATGTCTAACGATATCATGCAATGTTTCTGACCTTTTACGACTACACCGAATGGATGAGTGACGAATGTATACGGCGTTACGATGATAAGCACCTCTCTATCATGCGCCTTCCTGCCTCCTGTCGTTCGCAATTTTCCTCTGTTATTTGATCAAGTGGGTGACTAAGAGGTGATGTGGGAGATCGGCACAAGAATTGTCCAAGACTAAGGCCAGCTCATTAGAGGCGGCGAGCACATGGATTGCAAGCGTGGTCGTACACATGGTGATTTTCAGATGCCATCTTTGAGGGGGCGGTATCGGGGATTTGAGAGCTATGGAGACAAGATAGCATGCGATGTCGAACTCAGGAAAAGTCGGCGGTGTCTTCACGGCAGTCGATAGTATCTAGCAAGGCGTGGGCGATCATTACCGTGCTATGTTGTGTTGTGGTTTGGCGTGTTGGTGATTCAAGGGTACCTAGGTGGCTACTGTACGCAAGGTGGTGGTAGTAGTTGTGTGCTAGGTAGCTATGAGGACAGGGGAACACAAGAAGACAAGGAAAATGACCTGAAGTTCTTTCCCTTCAGCTACTCTGGTACTGAGTATGGAGTACTATGTGTAGGTACTTAGGACATAGCTAATGTATCTGTACTCCTTACTCCGTAATCTGTAATTCTACCCCGCCTGGTAGCAGTGTACAAAGGTCGAATGGAACGAAGGCCGGCAAATCAGGCGCCAAGATAGCGATTAGAATCCCCTACTACAAGTACCACCTGGCACCTACCTGAGGTACCTATGTACCTAGCACAGTAGCATGGCCATAATACCTGGTAATATGACACCAACGTGCAAGGTGCTGTCCATTATCCTTGCCTGGGTAATATTTCAGACTCTGGTGACCGTATTCATATCGCATCCTCTGCCAGGACATAGGACTCGCCTGTAGAAGTACATACTGTTAGTAAGCTATATTTATTCCGTACACACCTGCAAGGTAGTTGGTCCTTAGGTATCCGTATCTGGTAAAGTATTGTCGGAGGAATGAGCCGGGGTGTCTGACAGGAGGGGCCCTTAGGCTACAAGGCCTTTAGCTGGGCGGACCAGGACCAGGGTGACGTACATGGAATGGTAAACGGCGTGCCAGCTTCAAGTTTCCTGCGCCTTCCAAGTATACCGCAAAAATAACCACAGCTTCGTCTCGAACTTCATCTGCTCTACTCTCCCAGACACAATATCAAGCCGATCTTATTTTACAAGGACCCCTGACCACCCCGTCTACCTCGCAGCATTTCGTGCATCCCTGCCCGCCACTGAACTGTTTGTTCGAGCGATTGACGCGGTGCGCCAGTCGGAACTGCCCTCTGTGCTTTCCACTCCCTCGGGTTGCATCAACAGCACGGAAAACCGGGCGGCGGTAGCACTTGAATCGACAGCAACAGCCCGACATAGATACAGCTTTTCCGGTCTCTTTCTGCCCGTCTGACATATACTACTCTGCTCCTGTAGCGTCAGATCTCGACTGCGGGTGTTATTACGTTGACCCCGATCTTGAATTGCGAAAGAATTACACGTTTCGACATTCGTCCTGCCTCTTCAGACCAGTCCCTAGGCACAATTCATCTCCTTGCCCCCCTCGATTCCGCTCGCATCTCGATCGAAACCGGCTTCTCCCGGCAGCGCACCAGCCCTTCTATCCCTATTCGACATGCCTTCCGTAACGGAAGACCCTCCGAAAGCCGAGTCGCGGTTACTCCTCGTCTCAAATCGTCTTCCCATAACTATCAAACGCTCCGCTGATGGAAAATATGATTACTCCATGTCATCAGGCGGTCTTGTCACTGGCCTCAGTGGATTGGCAAAGAGCACCACGTTTCAATGGTACGGCTGGCCAGGTCTAGAAATTCCACAAGATGAGATTCGGGAGGTTACCACCAAGCTCAAAGAGGAATTCAATGCCATTCCTGTCTTCATGGCCGATGAATTGGCTGACAGGCATTACAATGGCTTTTCAAGTGAGTAGACTGACCCGAGACATCAAAATGGACGCTAACAAGCCTCAGACTCCATCATGTGGCCTCTATTTCACTACCACCCCGGCGAGATCACGTTCGATGAATCGGCTTGGAATGCTTACCAGGAAGCCAATCGTCTCTTCGCCCGCACAATCGCCGCCGAAGTCGAGGATGGGGACCTCGTCTGGGTTCACGACTATCATCTCATGCTGTTGCCCCAAATGCTTCGCGAGGAGATCGGTACAAGCAAATCCAATGTCAAGATTGGTTTCTTTTTGCACACCCCCTTTCCCTCCAGCGAGATCTATAGAATTCTTCCCGTTCGAAACGAAGTCCTTCTCGGTGTCCTGCACTGTGACCTCATTGGCTTTCATACCTACGACTATGCACGACACTTCCTCAGCAGTTGTTCCCGGATCTTAAACCTCACCACAACACCAAATGGAGTCGAATTCGAAGGTAAAGTCGTCACTGTGGGGGCTTTCCCCATTGGCATCGATCCGGAGAAGTTCACAGAAGGACTCAAGAAAGAAAAGGTCCAGAAAAGAATAGCTGTATTGGAAGAAAAGTTCAAGGGTATGAAATTGATGGTCGGGGTCGACCGTCTTGACTATATCAAAGGTGTCCCGCAGAAGCTTCACGCCCTTGAAGTGTTCCTCACGGATCATCCTGAATGGATAGGGAAAGTCGTCCTGGTGCAGGTTGCTGTGCCAAGTAGACAAGACGTGGAGGAGTACCAAAATCTCCGAGCAGTTGTGAATGAGTTGGTTGGACGCATCAACGGCAAATTCGGTATGTTGTGTGAGTACCCAGCACATTCTTACTGTTCTGACCTTTTCCAGGGACTGTGGAATATATGCCCATCCATTTCATGCACAAGTCCGTCAATTTCGACGAACTCATTGCCCTCTACGCCGTGTCCGATGTCTGCCTAGTGTCCTCCACACGTGATGGTATGAACTTGGTGTCATTCGAATACATTGCGACGCAAGAGAAACGCAATGGGGTTCTTGTCTTGTCCGAGTTTACGGGAGCTGCACAGAGCTTGAATGGCAGCATCTTGGTCAACCCCTGGAACACGGAGGAACTGGCCGGTGCCATTCAGGAAGCCGTCACGATGAGTCCAGAACAACGTGCCCTCAACTACGCCAAACTGCACAAGTATGTTTTCAAGTATACTAGGTAAGTTGCCATGATGTTACACTGCTACCGGTACGATTATACTGATACATGATAGTTCTTTCTGGGGACAATCTTTCGTCGCTGAGTTGACCAGAATATCGGCGCAAGGCGAGAAGAAACTGAAGCTGCGTCGAGCCTCGTTGGTGAAAGACCCTTCACAAATCTCATTACCAAAAGATACGCCAGCCGAACAGAAGACAGCTTCACCCACCTCTGCCGCGGGTGTGGATGGCGGCCAGAAGTCCAACACCGTCTAGGTCGCAGAGAGAGCACTCGTTGCTGTGAAACTGCAGAGCGGGTAATTCGGTCTTTTTGATTCGGGATTCAAGCTTGTGAAGAAAATAGAAGACCTCCCTGTTGTGTCATGACACTGACCCTAGGCCCATGATTCCATGCACTAGACGGAAGGGCAATGGAGTTAAGAAATAGACTGGGTATAATGAATCAACTTCTCAACCTCCTTTTCTGCCGGGGCCCGTTGGGATAGAGCTGTCCGTAAATGGTATTGAATCAAGTAGGCGGCTGGAAATAACGATGACTTCAAGAATGACATGTTGCGATAAATTAACCTGCAGCCTCATTTGCACGGTGCATCAAGGTATACAGGTTGTCTCGCAGGGTAGGACAGAGACCATGACGAGTTGTCGAAAAAGGAGAAGACGTTCCGCCCAGCTTCACAGTGCCCGCGTCTATCTAGATGGATAGCAGTCTGGTGGAGGGTTTAGGACAGACAACCAGATATCTCAGTGATATACACTGGCAGAGACCGGGGCTGAGCGGACAGGGAATCATCCCTAGGGCCCAGTGTGAGCTATACTTACAGTATAATGGCGTCTATAGTTAGAAGACGGCTTTTATTAACTAGCTGGGCCATGAGAACATGATTGGGGATGGGAAATTAGGCCATGCCTTGAAGAGATATATACAGGCAAACTATCCATACAATAGCAATGTGGTCGGGCCGTCGTGGTCTGCAACCGGATTGTCTTGTATCCAGAATGTTCAACATGGACTTGCCGAAGCCCTGCATGGTCGCATGCTGTTTTGTCCGTGTCTTGCTGGGCTGGAAAGATGCACACGCCGAGACGGGCAATTTCGAATTCATCAACTCGAGTGGCTGTCCAATGCAGTAGGATTGCCATTTGCACTTGGACTTCGACCAGAGACATAGATATAGACACCAACACAGACACCAACACACCCAATAGACAGATGTTCGAGTCTTGGGATGTGACACAGATGTTTGAGTGTTGGGATATGACAATCAAACAACACCGACGTCAGGCCTCCCGAAATCTCGAAATCTCCCCATGGAGAATGGAACCGACCGTCGTCAGAACAGACATTTCCCTTTTGATTCGACCTCTCCTGTCTCATACTGTGGCCTTTGTGGACACGCTTACTACCACCTCCATCTAAAATCCCTTCTCCTCGCCTTGGTTGGGTTCGGGAGCGGGGCGGCTAGCTTGGAACAATCCAGGGGGCGATCGAGTAGGATCGAAGTCGAATATGTTCGAATCAGACTCTCTCTCTCTCTCGCTGGGTTGATCGTGTGGAGGAGACAAAGATGCGCCGAGGCTGCATGCCATTGAGGCGGGTGTGGATAGAGTGTTGACCGAGCTGAGACGCTCAAGAGTTGCTCCTTGGACAGGGGAAGTCGAAAACATACGAGTGAGAGGTAAAAATTGAACGAATCTTCGGGACTACCCCAGACAGACCGAACCCAGTTGCTGTATATGCTTGTCCCTTGCAGCACAGATCATCACACCTCAACCAGCAACGTCCCGCAGCAATCCATCAACGGAAGCCGAGGCGAAGGTATGCATGTTGCGGTGTTCAGGCAGCTGCCTCTGCATTCTTCTTGCTCGACGGAACATTGACCGCGTCCTTACCCCTGGGCCTAGTCCGGCTCCCGCCCTTCTGCACTTGCACCTGTCCCGGCGTACCGTGCCACCTGCCTGCAGGACTGCCGACGATTCGACTGACCCTTTGTTCAACGGGAGTGCCGAACGGCGTGATCACCTCCCTCAGCACATGGCTGACTTGTTTATTGCCTCCGACCTGGCCCCTCTGTTCGCGCGCCGCCCGCATGCTCGGCGGGAAGGGGCCGTACGTGATAACATCGCCTTCGTTCAGGATGTCCTGTGGATCGTGAACCAGGTCGTGGGCCGTCTTTTTCCAGTGCTTTTGCAAGAACTTGTCCCACACTTGCACGGTGCGGGAAACTCGAACGGTCTTACGCATCGTACCGACTCGGGTCACATGGCCAGTCAGTTTAAATGAGGTTGCGAGGAACGCTGCGTCCGCGGCGGCGATGGGATCAGACTCGGTTGTCGATGATGGTGAATTATCTGAGACTGGTGGCTGTTGTGCCGCCGCCGTTGCTCCGGTCTTGGAAATTGTAGACGATGACAGTGTCGACGACTGCTGCTGCTGATCCGTCTGAGCTCGCGAGATCACCGTCTGTGTTAGGTTCTCTCCTTCGCCGCCTTTGCCAGACACTTCACCCCCCTCTGACGCCGCGGCTGGGATGTCGTTCACAGGTTGAGCGTGCCCAAGTGTACTTGTTGACGAGAATGCCGCACGTTGCTGCCCAATGCCTCTGTGACACTGATATGTGAGGTTTCTTCCGTTTTGACTCGTGGATTTCAGGAATGGAGCGCTCGTCGATCGAGGCGGTAGGACTAAACTGCGTGACGGCGCTGGTACGGGGCGTGCGCGACATGCGCGGAAGAAGATCGTGGCCGAGCAGTTCATCGTGTCGAGTAGTGGGGGGTGCCGAGCTAAGCAAGATCTGCGACAGACACAGACAAAGAACAAGACCAGAAACACGTATAGTACAGAAGAAGAAGCGGTTGCGGAATCAGAGTGCAGCCAGGGCCATGGAGGAGAGCTCGAGGTGTTGGGGCCTTTGTCAAAATTTTAGTGCAATTGGAGATTTGGCGGACGGAGTTTACAGTACAGTATTGGGCCTTAGCTGCTTAGCCCGAAGGAGCCCGCCCCTGACCTCCAGAAGCCTGATGAGGTCTTCCCAAGTCACAGACTCGGAGAGACATAGATAGAGCAGATCAATGCATTTGCATTACATGGTCTACAGCTGTCTTTTGGGGCAGACTATCAAGGGCGCTCTCCGCCCATAACCCGCCCGTCGTCCGGTCCCAAACGCCAGTGCTATGTATGCCGCCTTTCTGCGACAGAATATGACCTCAAGCCGCCCACACATCTTTACCAACACCCTCTATCCAATGACCCAGCTCGTTGACATTGCTATCCCACTCCTTCAGCCGGGTTCTCATGCCTTCGATCTGGCTTCGCTCTAGTACTTTAGGCTGCACCCAGTTGATTTTCGCAATGCCGGCGACCTGATCGATCTTCCCCCTCAACAACCCTAAGCTCAAGGCTTTCATGATCAAATGTTCGATTTCGTCAGGCTTGACCTTAGTTTCTTGGCTGATAGTCTTGAAAGTCATTGCACGGTCGTGAGGCGGACGTTTGAACACGAGTTCTGTCAATGCTGCAAGGTTGATCTTTTGCCACAGGAAAAGCCGATGTGAGTCTAGGTTCTGGTCCTTGCTGAGGTTATTCGACATGCGGTCAAAGGTAGCAAGGTCTCCTCGGTTGAATGCAAAGAGAAGCTCCCGCAGCCACGAGTTCGGGTGCGGAGGTTTGAGGACATCGAGGATGGGATGCAATAGCAGTTCTCCGAAATTGTAGATGGTATCGGACACCAGCGCGGCAATAGCCAGATCGTACGCTCTCTGTTGTTGTTGCTCAGGTGATAACTCCGACTCTTCTATACAAGCAAGGTAGAGCAGGGAGTTTCTATAATAGGAGGTGTAGTCGCCTTGAGCTTGGAAATAGTCGGCATTGATGCGATAAAAGGCGGCATGAACGACATTCTCCACGAAGTCGAATTGGTCCAGTGTCTTTTGAGCCTTATCCAGCTGCTCTCTCGCCTTTGACGCCTCGCCCAAGCTTAGATAAACGCTGGCGAGTTCAGTAATGGTGTAGACAAATCCTTCTTCCGAATCCGGCTTGTCTACTCTGTCTGCGAGGGTCTTGAGGAATTGACTTCGTTCAGTGTCATCTAGAAGGCGAGTCAGCAAGTGGAAGAGGGTACTCCTGCGTGGGACATTCACCTTTGATCTGTGCGGAAGCACTCAAGGCCAGCTTCACCAGCTTGAGCTGGTTAATCTTGTCGGCGAAACTGGTGATGAAAGTGTTGTAGATGGGTAATCTTTGAGCGGCGGTTTCTGGGTTGGAGAAGTACTCCAACAGGGTATCCGTCAGTTGATGCCATAGTTTCCGCTCCCAGAGATCCTCGAATGTGAGAAAGATATGTTGGAGTTCGGCTGGCGCTTCGTCTCGCTGCTCAGCGAGGAAGTTGGATATCGCCTCGGGGTCGAATTGTTTTGACATTGCAAGCTCAGTCTAGAGCAGAACCAAATGACTGAAGTAACGTTCTTAGAAGAGCTGTCTATTGGTGCAATATGTGTGGGTGATAGGGCAAAGCATGAAAGAAGGGATCAGTACACGACGGGGATCGCTTGTGTAGAGTATAGACGGCGCAGTTGAACGCGCACCTCGTTGCGCCTGCGGCGGATGTCCTTACATGCCAAGATAATAAAAGCGGCAGCAATTATGTTTTCATTCGGCAGCATGGTCCTGCCGCTTCCTGATCAAACGTCGGCTGCAACTAAACTATGGCCCTTTTCCTAGTCTTCTCCTTCTTGTTCGCCTGTACGGTGCCACTGCCCTGGGCAGGCTTGTAGGCTATTCATCTCTTGCCCACGCTGCTCGGAGGTCGTCGGCAATAAACACGGTCCGTCGCCCAGATTGTTTCTGGCACTGTTCGATGAGATGGAGAGTGAGACGCCTTTCACACACTCCTTCTGTCACCCATCCGGCAATGTACAGACACTGGGTCGAGACGAAGCTGAAGGCCTCGGGAAGTCCGCCACTTGCGATGAGGAGGATTTGTTTGCGCGATCGGTCAATGAGCCGTCGCGTCGAAAGCGACTGCTGGGCATATGACCCTCGCGCCTCCCGTGGCTCAGACGGCCAAGTCGCTCCGTTGAGCCCGAGCAGGATTTGAGAGGCATGGTACATCTGAAGGCCGACGGCTGGTGTCCCCCGTCAGCCAACTCCCAAGATAAGATTCGACATCATCAGCCAAGGTCAAATGCATAATCCACTTACCGCAGTGTGGCGACAAGAACAATACAGATGAAATCTCTTGCAACCATGGGTCCTGCCGGCTTAGGCCTTCTTCGCCCTGCGTGGTGCCGTGGACTGCTCGCCCGGCCACAAAATGGGTCATAGAGGGTGGGAGCATTCTTCTCCACCCCTCGAGGGCACTTTGGAGTTCGGCCATCTTTCTCTGCCGTGCCTCCAGGGATCCTTCGATACCTTCGTTTATCAATCCCGATGGCGATGGGGATTCCTTGCCGTGGTTATAGAAGTTGATACACTGTCCGAGCAGGTACATGGCGCGGTTGGCGATCTCCGCTTGAGATAGTCCGTCGAAGCAATCAACCGGTCGAGGTTCCCAGTACCGCTCGTCCAGAAACATAGGTCGTCTAGCATGTAGAGCTGCCCATGTATCTGATCGGAACCAAGTCCAAAATACTATGCCTCCGATGCCCGGAGAATCTCCATTGACCTGCCACAGCTGAAGTAGAGAGGCGACGCCACGTAGATGTGACCCGAAGTGATCTCCGGCCACGTCGATGATCTCGTAGCTATGCAGGAGCAGACATGCGGTCAGCGCATCGTACTAGCCTTGCGTTTTCGGTTTCGGTTTCGGTTTCGGTTTCGGCTTCGGCTTCTGCAACACTCTTACCAGGAAAGCATGATGCTGGATGCCAGGATTTCGTCACTGCCAGCCCATTCGGATTGCATCAACAAAGCGCTGAAGGCTTTCAATGCCCTTTGGTAGAACTGGACGGCAACCACGTTTGGAATTCTTGGTTCGTTTTGGTTTTGGGTTCGTGGCTCACATCCAGTTTCCTGCAAGAACAGATGTTTGGCCGAAACAGCCAGGCACGAGAGCATGACCGCCGGGCAGTTGAGGGCGAGGATGGGCACGAGGGTGGAAAACGACGTCTCTGGAGAGAATGCCTCGATCTGCTCGAAGGAGTCAACCGATACAGATCATGTGATGAAGTCACAATCTTCTCAGAACAAAGAAAAGGAAAGGAAAAGGAACAAAGGAGACGGCTGGTGCAAAGTCTACCGTCTGCGTACCCTTGGTGCAAAGCATTCAATGTAGTTTCGAAACAAACTCATCTCCAGCTCCGTCAGGTAGAGCGGGCCAGTGGCACCGAAGGCTCTCGAAGGAGAAGGAGGCCTGAAGACTGTACGTTTTCCTGCTCTGCCAGACACGGTCTCATTGCTGTAGGGTCCATCCAATCCCTCGAGCGGTGAAGGCGAAACTGGCACAGCGGGGGAAGTTGGTTTCCAGGCCAGATGTGCATTGAGAAGGACGGACTCCAAGTTGGCCGAGGGCGAGCCTTGCTGTGACCAACGTCGGGCCGAACCTCTGGTTGGACTATCCAGAGATGATGTGGGCGTGTGATCAAAGTTAGCACTGGTGCCAGGTGGAACTGGAATCTCTGTTGGAGAGACCCCGTACCCTAATCTGCCTCCCCTGGCCTGGGTGTCAACGAGGCCTATACCGGTGGGTTGACTCGTGGCAGCCTGGGCTAAATGTCGAACTGGCCGAAACCATGGGGCGTCGTCGCACGCTGAGGAACCAGAGAGGAGAGGCAGAGGCGTGGTCGGGTTGGGGCCGGATGCAGTATGGATATGGATGTTAGTATCGGTAGGAGGACTCGAGCTGGACGTTCTCGCATGGCGTTGGGCCCGATACTCAAGCAGATTCTGCTTCGGACGAATGCCATGTGTCGCTTTCCCACTGGCAGTAACCGTACATGTAGGGCCAGCCTCGTACCGGCAATGGCGATTCTTTTTCCCACAGTTTCCGCAGATCGGTCTTCGTTCGTCGCATTTGACATGCCGTTGTCGGCAAGTTCGACTGTATGTTGACCAAGTCCAAGTCAGCCAACGCGGCCACTGTCCCGTGTCCTGCCCCGGGCAAGGCTCCCAGATCCATCCATGTGGCAAGACATACATACCATCCCGTGGTTACGCGGAGGCGTCTAGAGGTGCTCTGAAGCCCCAGCCCGTCATTCTCAGGCATGCTGGTTGGACTTGGACTCGGACCTCTGTTCCTAAAACTCGTCTCGTCTCGAGCCTCGTTGCGAGAAAGCTGGGCTTGGATGTGGATGTTCGACGTTCTCGACACTACACCATACTAGAGTACGGGGGTAGTCCGTACAGTATCCCGCGTTGCCCCATGGAGTTCGACACATCCTTATCAGGAAGTTCCGATCCAGAGCCTTATCAGCAGCAGGTGAACGGGTGCTGTCAAAAGGTTCGGAAAGCCAGCGAGCAAATAAGCTTAGGCCGTTCAACGACATGGAAAGGCGGAGATCGGCATCCCACACCTTATCATTGTCTCTCTTTCCTATCTTGATTCTCCTCAGGGGACTTGGAGAGACGAGTCGACTTTCCGACTTTCCGTCCTTGTACTTACGAGAAGAGCCAAGTTCGTTAGTGGTCCGGAGGTTTAGCATGGCAATGGCAAGCAGCATTGACCAACAACGGGACTTCGGTTTCGAAAGACGAACTATTTTATCCACCGCTACTAGGGGGGACTAGTAGGCTTAGGCTATAGCTTCTGGGCGCCAGGTGCTACTGTAATAGGTAAGGGGACCTATAAGGCTACCTAGATGAACACCTATAAGATTGTCGTCATTTGATTTAGTGTGGTCGCAAGGCGCAGCTGCATAAGATTCCTTACCAGATGAGGTACTGTACCTATGGTATATACTAAGATACTGGACTTCGTCTCACACCATTCAATAGCAACACACCGTTACGGCCGCCAGCGGTGAGAGCGTGTGTAGAGTCCATCATCTCATCCGCCAGTCTATCAAAAGTGATCAAGGCTACCCTGACGATCTCCTTTCCCTTCCCGATTTCGTCGTCGCCCTTGAACATCCGGCAAGCCTGCTCTTGGACTTAGGGGCTGTCATCCTGCACTGTCTACCGTCTGCCAACTTCCCGACGTCGCCTCTACTCAGCCTTTGAGTCCGAAAAGTGCTCCGGCCCCATTTATCGTGGCACAGGGCATCTCAGCTTCAGCCTGCTGGTTTGACAGTCGACAGTGGCAGCTACCCCCCAGCAACGGTGTTGCTATTATCCTCGCAACTGAACGCCGAGCCGACCTGGCCTTGCCTGTATTGATCGATGATGTTCACCACGTTGGCATACGTGCCGCCGATCGTGGCCAGCACACCAACCAGAAAGATTGCTATGTGGACGTAGCATAGGAATTGCTGAAGGGGCGTGCCTTTTCGCGCGTCTTTGTTCAGGACAAACCAGAAGATTGCGGGCAGGCAGACCCCCAGATAACCAAAGCCCAAAGCTCCAATGAGGGAGACCAGGCTGCCATAGAACGGAATGGCCTCGCACAGAATCCAGCCGAGGCAGCCTGTTCCGTAGGTGCATGAGAGCCAGACCGCCCAATGAGTTTTGGTGTTCTCGGTCAAGTGTCGAGTGTTGCGCAGGATGCGGACGAAAACGCTCTTTCCCGCGACGTGGATGCAGATCATGGTGCCTGCAATGAGTCCAGGGATCGCAATGGCATATGCGATGGTCTTGATGGTTGGACCTGCCGAGCCCAGGGCCGGTGAGGCCACCCATTTGCCGCAGTAGGCATACATGGTCACCGCCAGGGCCAGGTACGACGAAGTGATCCACGCCATGCAGACGTACACGGCCTTGAAATAGTCCTGCGGCCGTCTCATCTCTGAGATGACGGGCACAAACCCCGAAGTGTTGGCCGAGGAGGAGAAGATGGCAAGCGACGCCGACCATGCGGTAGCGAAAGTCGCCCCTGCAGGAGGAAGGGCAGAGAAACCGAGGTCGAAGTCTCCCGTCTGAGGAGCGGCAGCCGGCCGATCTCGCTGTGTGACGGCAATGACCACGATCAAGACCGCCGTCACAATGGAAATGAAGCCAACCCAGGTGATCCAACCAAGATTGTGAATCTTGCGAATACTGGCCACGGACGCCACGATGATATACGCCACAAAGCCGAAGGTGACGCTGCAAGTTCCATGTTTGGAGACGGCGTTGAGTGCGATGCTGAAGCCCAGAGTCGAAACACCGGCGCAGAGGATCCAGCTGAACAGGTAGACAAACTCGGTGATTTCCTTCGAGACCCAGGCCGTCTTCCTGCTGAATCCCAGCTCCAGAGCTGCAATCTGGGCACTGTCCGCAATCGTGTGCACGGACGGGTACTGGAGCTTGAACTGGCCCTGGATCACCGCCATGTAAGTGTTGAGGAGGCCCCAGAAGAGGATAAAGATGGCTCCAGGAACCGCTCCAAGGTTGTAGAGAGCCGCAGGGATAGAAAGCACGCCGGCCGCGAACGTCATCTTCAAGAAGAACATGGAAGCTCGGATCCAGCCGACAGTGCGAAAGTTGATCCCATTCTCCCCGGTGACGAAGACTTCGGCCTCATCAATGCTTCCGTACTTTGAGTCTCCTTCTGTTGGAGCAGCTACAGTGGTGGCTTCGATATCGCCCTTCTTCTCATTGATCGTCTCCGCCATCTTGACCTTGAATGATTCTCAAGCCGCAACAGAAGGGAGATATCAGTAGTAGACACGGCTGGCTATATGAGACAGTTTGTCGGAAGATGAGATGCGCTGGGAATGTCAATCAAGCCACCATCCCTTCCAAATAGCCGTGCTTTATACAATGCCATGGGAAGGCCGCCTTATCTCGGATGCCGTCCGGTTCCAAAACAGATCGAGGCTCCATTGTTGTTAACGTCCAACTGTAAGGGCCTCCAAACCCAATAGTGACACACGGCGCTCTGAACGGTGGAGACATTGTGATATGTCTTATCAGAAAGACGAGGACGACACAGGGCGGACCGACAAGTGTCTTTGTTGATATCAAGCCATAGCTACACCTGCGTCTCTGAATTTCGGTCACGATGATCAATGCCTTGTAGAGCGACATGCCCAATGCCACGCCACATTTCGCCAGCGTTATCTACAGTGGATACACAAGGCTATGCAGGTTTAGGAGGTCACACTAACCCAACAAAGCAGGCCCCAAACATGATTCCATGCGATATGTGAGGGCGTAGGAGGCGCTACTCCCTCACTGTCCCTTGAAACTCGGCTAGCCCATTCGATGGCTTCATCTCGAGCCGAGATTTTCTCGAGACGAGTATTAGACCTCGTCTAGTGATGATTCGATGCCGTGGCCTTATCCACTAAGTGGCCGGCGAACACATAGTTAATATCAACCTCGAGCGTCATCAAGACATGTAGTGAAATCCAAACCCACGGGTTTCTGGCCCGAGCTACCAGTCCAGTACATGGCAGCTCATAGCCGGAACTCGGCACAAACAGAGGCATTCCTTTCATGTGTATTGGGAGATAAGGAACCCAAGCCAGTTCTGAAAGCGGCCAAATCCACCTCACCTCGCAGCGGGATATAGATATCTATGATCTGTGTATTTAGTTCCGCGAATGTGTATTGGAACTGGAACATGAGCGTGGCTTGACCAGACCACACCAGACCAGACCAGACCAGACCATACACTGTACAATATAGCCACAGCCTTTCATTCGTTGCTGTTGCTGGACTTTCCCTCGAAGTCATCAAGCAGCAAACATGGTTATATCATCTGTAGAAAAGTGAGCCGCCGCCGCCGCCGTCCCTGTTCCTGTTCCTGTTCCTGTTTCTGTGAACAGTTCTCTCCGAACCGAACTGAAACCCGAAACTGACTACGTTGCATGGCGGCAGTGCATCCAAGCTTGACGCTGCCGAAGTTCGAGCGCTCATCGGCGGAGCAGGACTATCACTCTCCGACCGTGTGTTCGAAGACTGGCGTATCATCCTTGGAGCCTTTGATGATGCCGCGCAGCTCTTCTTGAAGGAGGACGATGGTCTTCCGGTCCCGAACCCGGCTCTGTACATCAGGACCGACGTCCACATCCCACAGGAACAGGACAGCGACAAGGGCGGGTGGGCGACGCGATGTACCATCAAGAGTACCACGCCCAAGAGCGCGCTGCTGGCCGGCCGCACGGTTGCAATCAAGGACAACATTGCGGTCGCTGGCGTCCGAGTCACCAACGGTCTCGCACCGGTCAATGGAGAATGGGTTCCGTCTTACGATGCTACCGTTGTGACGAGGATCCTCGATGCTGGCGGCATAGTCACGGGCAAGGCTGGTATGTGCCTCGGCAGTTTTTAGCTGGCTTGCCTCCTTATCGTACCTTTCTTTCCCTTTATCCACCGCAAGGAGAAGAGAAAAAGAGGAATTCGCCTACGTGATAAGCAGACGACTGACCATGGACCTTTCGCCCTTCAGCTTGTGAAAACGCATGCATGGAACCCGTCTCCAATACTTCGTACACTGGCGCCGTCCACAACCCGTACGCGGATAACTATACCTGCGGAGGATCCAGTAGCGGGTCGGGGAGGTTGGTCGCCACCGGTGCTGTGGATATAGCTCTGGGAGCGGACCAGGGAGGGTAAGGGAGGATCCAGTCCATTTTGAAGAGTGCTTTCCTGAAGACTGACGTTCGCAATATGTGAGTTACCAGTTCGATCCGAATCCCAGCCGCACTCTGTGGCATTGTCGGCCTCAAACCCACTTGGGGGTTGGTTCCCTATACTGGAATCCTCGGGCTACAATCCGTCATTGACCACGTCGGTCCCATGACCAAGACCGTGCGAGACAATGCGCTGCTGCTTGAGGCGATTGCCGGGCCCGACGGAATCGACGACCGCCAACCAGCCTTTATGGCGCCCGGATCTTTACAGTTTGTCAGTGGTCTGGACGAGTTCCTTGCCGCCGGTGCGGGCAAGCCACGGGACCAAGTGCTGAAAGGGTTCAAAGTGGGCGTGCTGAAGGAAGGGTTCGCGGGCAAAAGGGTCAACTCATGCGTCGCAAAGGCCTGCCGTTCGGCCGTCGCCGGCCTCGAGGCACTGGGCGCCGAGGTGGTCGAAGTCTCGGTCCCAGACCACGAGAAAGCCTGCTTGGCCTGGCTCTGTGCGATGCCGCTGCGCGGCGGTCGCGAAGCACTCCTCGGCGACACCACCGGCCGCAAACAGCTGGAGATGACAGACCGCGGTGCGAAGGCTGCCCCGGCCATGGGCCCGGCCGCGAAGGCGCGGCTTTCACAAGACGTCTTCGACTCTCTCTCCCCCGGAGGCCAGAACCTGTACATGCGCTATCTGTACTCAAGCGAGAAGTACGGGGCGAGCTTGCACGCCAAGTGCACCAACATCCTGAGGAAGGCGACGCAAGCGTACGACGCCGTCCTCGCTTCTGTCGATGTCATGGTCATGCCGACTGTGCCCTTTCCGGCCCTATCGTTCCCCAAACTGGCCGGCGATGGACCTCTCGAGCCCCTTACCTACGCTCTAGGCATGGTCGACAACACCGCACAGTTCAACTCCACCGGCCATCCCGCCCTGTCGTTCCCCGTGGGCTTCGTCCCTGCTGCGGACAATCCGGCAATCAAATTGCCCACCGGGCTCCAAATTGTTGCCAGACGCTTTGACGACTTGACCTGCTACAAGATCGCCGCAGAGTGGGAACAGAGTAATGACTGGAAGACCTTGGTGTTCGGGAACTAAAGCAATCCAAGAACCAAGTAGAAGGTTGGAAGCGGCGAGGCGAGAAGCAGAAGGAATTCCTTTCTAGCACTAGATACGCGGTATAGATGACGGAACTTCTATGCGAGCGCTTGCAAGCTTGCACCGCAGGGTGGGAGCCCCCATCGACCTTTCCAAACGCTTCAGTATAGTGGGTGAGACGACTTGAGCCTCTGTTCAGGGGGTTGGGAGGCTCATAGTTGACTACAGTCGTATATTTCAAGTTGGCCGGCATATATGGCGTGTCTTTCGCTTGGACGGCAGAAGTACTGGACATGTCGACGACCGAGATGGCCCATTTTTGAGCGGTACAGTAGATATTAAACCTAAGCCTTGGGAGGGTGGAAGGGTTAGGGTTAAGAAGGGTGGACGCCGGGTGACCCTTACCGCCACAAGGCGTCGGGTCCCTTGCCCCCTTTTCAATGCCGAGTAGTGCACGTGACCAGCATGTAGAAGACAAGGCTGCCAAGACTCAGGATAGTCGAGGCTGCCTAGGTACTGGTAGTTAAACAAACCCTTCAGACCGAGTGGCGGGCATTACACCTGCCTGGACAAATGGATGTTTGGCGTCACACGCCACTAGGGAACAGAAAAGCTCACGCTCGACGTCCTCCGATGGCGCCCGGACATGTCAGTTGGGAGGTGGTGTTTCATATTCCGTACATCGCAGTACGCCTCGGGATCATCGGGATCCACTTTCCTTGGGGAGCTTTTATCTTTATATCTGTTGTCTGCGCGGGGTTCACTGCAGCGAAGCCAGTGAGCGTCGTGGGGCAGCCTTCGGAATAAATGTTTTCCTCTGAATCTTTTGTACCTTGCCAGAGCCCGAGGGGTTTGTTCAGATTTCGAATTTTGCGCTCTGCACCGTCAGAGCCAGCTGCCGATTCATTTCGCATGTCTCGAACACTTTTCTGAACTGATCTCTCAATTCGAATATGGCACCGCTACTCGGGGGTGACTCTCCGGCGGTGGAGTACACTGTGAAAGATCTTTCTTCGGTCAAAGATACAGGCGCCCAACCTCAAGAAAACCGCGCCAGTCACAGTTCCAACGCTTTGCAGGCCCTAAGCCAGGGCGTCACGCTGCCCGGTCGGCCCGTCTTTACAGACCACGAGAAAGCCAGACAGCATATGTTGGAGCACATGGCGGGAGCATTCAGAGTGTTGGCTCGACATGGTTGCGTCGAAGGGATCAGCGGCCATATCTCACTAAGAGACCCTGAAGACCCGAACGTTTTCTGGACAAACCCGTATGTTCTGCCGTAGCGCCTTTGAGCAGAAGAGGTAGCTTACCAGTACCACCAGCCTCGGAATCCACTTCGCACTCCTCAAGCCCGATGACATGGTCTTACTCAATGAAGAAGGATCGGTCGTGGGTGGCAATACAAAACATCCGGCGAACGCAGCAGGATTTCTCATCCACAGAGCATTACACAAAGCCCGAGCTGACGTCAATGCGGCATGCCATTTTCATTCGCCCCACGGAAAGGCGTGGTCTGCTTTCGCGCAGCCGCTAGAGATGATAAACCAAGATGTCGCGATTTTCCTCGGTGCCGCGCAGGCCGTGTACGGTGAATTTGGCGGTGTTGTACTGAAGGACGAAGAATCACAAGCCCTAGCCAAAAGCCTTGGAAATGAGGGCAAGGGAATGATTCTGAGAAACCATGGTCTGCTCACTGTCGGCAGTACTGTCGATGAAGCAGCGTACTTGTTCATGTTGATGGAACGAAGCTGCCAGATCCAGCTGGAGGCTGATGCAGCGGCAGCATCCGGCCGGAAAAAGGTATACATCAGTGATGAGGCTGCTAAGTATACATTCGAAATGACGAGTGATCCTGTACGTGTCCCACGCAATGATCTCGGCATGAAATGTGTTAACTCGAAGCGTAGGACAGCTTGTACGCCGAGTTTCAGCCGTACCTCCAATATGAGGCAGCAATGTCAACAATCCATCGGTGATGATGAGCACCTGTCAGCCGCGGACGAGAAGTAGTCTGTACCTACGGTGCAGGCCATGGCTTTATGTTCAAGCATCGCGCAAAACACGAGCATACATGATCAAGTCACCGGCTGAAGACCACTGCCAGGCGGTCCTATCCAGAGTCTCGCAATCGGCGATGAATCTGGCTAATAGAGGCTTAATGAGGGGTGATTGATATCGCGCTTCCGCTCCCCGTACCGTGTCAAGTGCTCAATGGTCTTTGCGACAAAATGCTGTAAAATGTGCATATCAACTCCTCGAACATCTCGATAGAAATAAATTAGTAGGGCCGAATGCATTGCTTCCCCGAAGCGATATAGCAAAGACATGCGGGAGAGTTTCCAATGTCCTCTAGTCTTGACCCCGGGGCTGCTGCTTTAGCATGTGGAGCGGCGGGGAAGAAGGCGGTCGCATCTGACCTTCCGAGAGCGACAGGCTAAGCAGGAAGCATCGCGGACCATGGCCTGCCTGGTGTGGTGATGGGTGGAAATAAGACTGCGATGCTGGAAAACAAAGGGATACAATTGATTCCGATGAAATGGATAAGTTCAGTTCAACAGACCACCAGGCGAAGTAATAGTCCGTATCCGTGTTCGAAAGTGACTTATTTTCTTAGCCGGATTTCGGCGATCACCTTCCCAGCACAGATGTTATCAAGAGTGACTCCATTTTGGACAAGGATAAATCGCCTGTCAGGCTGCGGGCGCAACCCAAGGGCCGGTTGAGATATATGGAGTATACTCAAGCTGGATTCTGTTGTATCGACTGCCTGTGTGCTTTCCTGGTCCACCACATCTTGCAATTTTGATATTAAGGGCTTACTGTATACATGGAGGAGCGCCGAAGCACGTGGGCTCTAGAAGCGTACGGCACTTGTGAATTGGAGGACAAGGCTCTTGGCGTGGTCAATTCTCGCGTCAGCAACCCAGTGCTTGAATGTAGACACTTTGTTTTGTGGAAACTGCGGGTAATTCAGGGCAAACCTCTTCTCGGCTTCGAGTCGAATGCGTGCTCTCCATGTAGTTGATAACCGCATGTGACTGGCATGCTTGATGATGAGATGTCATTACCCGTCTGAAGGAAGAATGGAGTGCTGGCCTTGCCCGACCATCAATAAATCTCAAAGACTTGGATTTCAAATAGAGCGTGATAATTGGTGCCACCAGCTTCAAGAGAGATGGGGGCCAGGACAAAATAACGCTGCTTTTAATAAGACCATGCCCCGGAAAAGCGGCGGCCCATATAGATCTCGCCAAGACTCTCTCCAAAGGTGCCGGAGCTCTCGACGTCGACACCAATGTTGAGTTGCAGTACAGCCTTCAACTACCTCCACAGTCCAGAGTGCACTGTTCGCGACTGCAGGTCCCGGCCTCCTCAATACACGAACCTCAATCCTCTCTGCCTGCGGAGGGGCGGCTCTCCCAGGTGCGGTGCCTGCATTGAAGATGCAGACCAGTCAACCCACCACGCTCGCGCTCCGCGCAGCTCGAGCTTCTCGAACGAAGACCGCCGTCCAGCGCCGCCACCTGCAAGACATCGCGATCACCCGTACCGGTAAACCGATCATCCGATCCCAAGGAGGACGATCCTCATTAGGAGGACACACAGTGACGGTGTTTGGAGCCAATGGCTTCCTGGGTCGATACATCGTCAACCGACTAGCTCGGCGAGGGAACCAAGTGGTGATCCCGTTCCGAGATGATATGGCCAAACGTTTCCTCAAGGTATCCGGAGATCTGGGAAGAGTGTCATTCATGGAGTTCGACGTGCGGAACACACAATCGATTGAAGAGAGCGTGCGACATTCCGACATAGTGATCAACTTGATCGGGAGAAATTACCCCACAAAGAACTACAGCTTGTGGGACGCCAATGTTGAAAGTGTCGAGAGGATAGCGGAGGCCACCGCCAAATACGATGTGGATCGGTTTATTCACGTTTCTTCCTTCAACGCCGACCCAAATTCGCCGTCGGAGTTCTTTAGGGCGAAGGTGAGGGCTAGCAAACAAACGAAGGGTTAGCTTGTGTCGCTGACAATTTGGACAGGCCCAAGGAGAGCAAGTCGCGAGACAGCTATTCCCTGAAACGACAATCGTGCGACCGGCTCCCGTCTTCGGGTTCGAAGACAACTTGTTACATCGTCTGGCAAGAGTGACCAATCTCTTCACGGTCAACAACATGCAGGAGCGTTTCTGGCCAGTTCATGTATGTATATCCCTAACGTCCCCAGCAAACACTCTAACCCTTTCCAGGCCATTGATGTCGGTCTGGCCCTCGAGAGAATCGCCTATGATGACACAACTGCTGGAGAGACCTTTGAGCTGTACGGTCCTACGAACTACAGTCTGGCAGAGATTGCCGAAATCGTGGACAAGGAGATCATCAAAGAACGCAGACATATCAACTTGCCCAAAGCTCTGCTGAAGCCTGTGCTGTACTACCTCAACAAAGTTATCTGGTGGAAAATCATGTCGGCCGACCAACTGGAGCAAGAATGCATCGACCAATCCATCGACAAAACCGCAAAGACCTTCAAGGATCTCGGTATCGAGCCTGCTGATCTTAAGGATCTGACTTACCACTACCTGCAAGACTATCGTAGCAGCAGCTATTATGACTTGCCTCCCGCCACGGAACGCGAAAAGAAGGAAGCCAGCAAGTATTTGCACGTCATCGACGATCAATAGATGGAGTTTCCTAGGATTCCAGTTTTGGCAAAGACTCTGAAAAGGCATCCAAGTTTCGCAGGGATTCTGTATATATGTTAGCATGAATGCATACTATCGAGTGTATTCGCACTGCGCACTGCCCACTCCGTACTAGACGTCAAGTCTAGCTGTTGTCTTCCGAATGATTGCGTATCTCTGTCAAGAGACATCCCAAACAAAATAACCTCAGGAAGACGAAGAGCCAAAAAAAACAAAAAAAACCAAACGTCAGCGACAGGGTTCGAACCTGTGACCCCGAAGGGATGCGATACCTTTCGAATATCAACATTCAAGTCGCACGCCTTAGACCACTCGGCCACACTGACAGGGATACATATCAGCTTCGACAATAATTTCGCGAAGGATTTAGGTCAATTTTTGAGGGTTTCAAAATTATGAGGCACAATATTAAATCCAGAGCAATGTGTGGATTTATTGGTCACTACATGTTTAGTGGGTGGGAGCCAGCTAGGGCTTAGGCGCCGCTCGGGCCTGACCGGGGCATTCTCACGCCAAGCGATATTATCACAGGCCACCGTAGGGCATGCAGTGTACAGACGGCTGCTTGACCCATGGCAGAACCCCTCTTCTCTGAAGCTAGGAGCAGTTGGGAAGGGGAAGGATTTGGTCGCGAGAAAAGTGACCAGAGAGGTTATTCTGCAGCTCCTGTGGATGTTTCTCAGTCGAAGTGCTTGCCGCACGTGCCTTTACCCCCCTGGAATACTCCGTTCCGCTGTCCTGCGGTGGAATGCGATCAGAAGAGTGCGGCCGCCCCATGCAGTGAGAGTGAGGCCCAAGCTGTCGAATTAATCTACTACAGGAGTGATGATGCTCTACCCGAGGAAATGACGATGCTGGTGGGAGGTCACATCTCTGCTTGGTGGATCTAGAGAACTTCCTACAGACTTACGATCGGCTAAAAGGTCGAAACAATAATCTGGAGGAGTCGGCCACGGGAGAATGACTGCAAGAAGAAGTGTCGACGTGGACCGTATCGCATTGCAAGATCAGATTTCTATTTCATTCATTACCCTCAAGATTTGTGCCGTGGCACAAGTCCGAGAAGTTCATACCATCTCAACATCACTTTGCCATTCATGACAAACATACATAAGATGTGAAATGGATGCAACGAAAGCTGCATTGTGATCCATCTCCAAAGACCTCGAGCACAGGGGAAATCTCAAATCACAGTAACCTGGTGTCACTGCCAACGAATAATTGGAGCTTGCCAAATCATCGCATGATCTCATTCCAAATCAAGGCCTTCAATTCCTCTTTGCTCAATTGATCCTTGTTGCGATCAAAGTCAAAGAACTCTTCCGGAATTGGTTCGGCGGTAGGCTCGTCGTCGGGATCGTGATACGGCTCGAGGTACGGGTGCTTTAGAGCGTCTTCGACTGTGATGCGCTTGACAGGATTGAAGGCCAGAAGCTTCTCGAGAAGGTCCAGGGCGAGGTCCGATGTCTTGGGAAACAGAGCCTTGAGCGGGATCTTCTTCTTGAATGGAAGGGATCGAATGTACTCCCGGGCACGTCGAGACTTGATGCCGTAGTAGTCTTCCATTGTAGGAGTACCGAGGACGTCCAAGATCAGAGTGAGTTGATGATGGTCTGAATGAGTTAGATAGGCTGGCGCAGACAGATAGGTAAAACTTACAATCTTTCCCCGGGAACAGTGGTTTCCCGCTCAACATTTCCGCCAGGATGCAGCCAACGCTCCAGACATCAATGGCCTTAGTGTATTCCTTGAATGTGAGCATAATTTCCGGAGCGCGATACCATCTGGTTGCCACGTATTCGGTCATGAAACCCGAATTGTCGTCTGCAGAAGCCGCGGATCTAGCGAGACCGAAATCGCAGACTTTAAGATCACAATTCGCATTCAGCAAGAGATTTGACGGTTTCAAGTCCCGGTGCAGAACATCCGCAGAATGCATGGCCTTGAGAGCACGGAGAGTCTGATAGATGAAATATTGGCAATGGTCGTCCGAAAGGTCCTGAGTTCTGATGACGCGATGCATGTCCGTCTCCATCAGTTCCTAGAAAGTGTCAGTCTTCAGTCCACTGACTCCCAGGTCGACCAACCTGAATCAAGTAGACCTCGGTGAAGGATTCGTAATTTCGTGGCTTTTGAATATCAAGAATCGAGATGATGTTTTCGTGATTGAAATATCGTAGCAGTTTCATTTCTCGTAACGTGCGTAAACAAAACATGGAATGGTCGAAAGGAGTGATCTTCTTGATTGCGACTTTCTGGCCAGACGGCTTATGCAGGGCAGAACTATTGACTATGTCAGTCCACGCTGCTCGATAATGGAGAGCTGGTCTTACCAGACAACACCATAAGCGCCTTCACCAATGACATCCTGAATGTCATATTGGTCTGAGACGTTGAACGAGATCTTTCTTGAGCCTCCCGACGAAGCGGCCTGTTGCTGTGGTTGTCCCATTTTGCTTCACCGTTCACTTTCTCTTAGCGGCCTTGTTTATGACAATTGCAAGGAAATCAGCTGGTATGATTCGTACGAGCTCGGTCAAGTACGCAGGGTCGCACAGTCGTAACGGGGAACTGGAAGACAATGTTCCTGGCGTCGAGCGACAGTGATTTTGATATGTTGGCTGGAAGTTCAAGAGGGTGTGCTAGATCAGCGGTGACAGTCACCGGTACCACTGGCAGCGTCTATCCCCCTGTTTGCTAGCACTCTTGCTTCTTCGTCTGCGCTGATCGATCTTCTGTATTTGGCCGGATACGCACGAAGAAGGGCAGGACGCCTGGGCGCTGTGAAGCGGTTGAGGATGGATCGACAGGTGTTGGTATCTGTATTCGTGCCGCAATCGGGGAGCGGATGAGTAGGGAGGAATTCGGTCAATGCAGCTGAGGTAGCATTATTAGTATTGACGTTGTCGGCACATTCCACATTCCTTGCGGTCTGCGACGCTCGAGGGGCTAGGCTTACCCGACTGTGACGACCTGGTCACTCGGCCGCGAGGTCAGACCTGAGGGAGATTGTGATCTGTTCGCGGCGGTGGGGCCCGCTAGAGACGGAGGTCGTGGAGTAGATGGTTGTAGCAGGACAGGGCACGGCGGAGGCACGGATCACAGACCAACAATGGGGGGACGAGTGAGGAATGAAGGATGAAGTGAGTGAGAGACTTGAAGTGAGGTGGGTGTTCAGCGCAGAGTAGATTCGGCAAAGCTCCAACGTGACCGAGGTGGGACATTCACTGCAGTTGGCGAGAAACACTGGCGATGAGATGTGACCTCGACTCGCCCCAGGGATCGAGTTTGCTATTTCACACTGCGACCGAATTGGAGGTCGTTGGGCTGGGTAGCCGCCCACCTTGCCTGCGCTACAAATGGGACTACAGGGTAGTGCCAGGCCCTGCCCGCCACAAGGGTCGCGTTGCGAGCCATTCATCTGTCTCGCTTCACCTGGGGCCGTTGTCTCTGCCCGCTCGCTGCCGCCGTTTGGCGCCGTTTGAAGCAGTCGGATCAGTGTTTCACCTTCTCTCCACCACATGGACCTTCAGAGCTTCAGAGCTTCAGAGGAGGGCCCTGCTCAAAATAGGTCAAGTAGACGCAGGCCACAGCCTGATTCCCAGATGCCCCAGCCCCAGGGATGTGTCTACTACTGTACAAGAAAAATACTTGGTCGGTGAGAATCTCAGTGGTGTCTTGTTCTGTATTGACATATTTGGGTTCATCTGGCACTCGTTCTATGGCAATCCCTCTAGCGCTCGACGACCTATTGCATGACCTGCCATACAGTGTTAGCGACCCCTTGCTCGACGGACTCAGCCTCCGCTCATTACTGTACCTTTTCGCGCAACATCCCCATCCACTGTTGAAGGCTGACCCCTTGGTCTGCCCTGTCTTCCACAAGCATCGTCTGTGCCCACAATCTTAATCCTGGTTCACCGTCCTCTTTTACCACATAGAGATGAGGCACGACAATACTTCCCACCCCTTTTGACCTGTGATCACGGCTTTTGGAGACGACCGCTCTAACTCTCTCGCTAAAATCATTGTCCAGCTCGGGCAACCGCTGTTTTCCAACCTTCAGCTGGCTCTTGTCCGGCAGCCCGAAGACGTCCATGACCAGCTGTGGAACAGCATCACGGCCCACCCAGAGGAACTGCGTCTGGCCGTCGTCAATCAAATAGAGTCCATATGGTACAATCCGCTCAGACGACATATTGAGTGGAGGCGGAAGAATAATCTCGCCTGTCTTCTCATCCACGGTTCCTGCATCATCCGGCATGTCGTGCAGAGAGAACATCTTTGGGTACAGGTACTGGATCAGCAGAGGCAAGGGCAGTGTTGACAGCAGACATAAGGCTGCCGACCTCATGTCACTGGGGATTTGAGACGATCTCCTCAGGCCCAAGTGCTTGGTCAAAGCAAGGAACAAGACAGGAAGCGCACGCAGGTTGGCTGGGAACTGTAGTCCACCTCCACCCATGCTACCGCCAGCAAGCTCTTTCTTGTAGGTGGCCAGGAGTTCCACTACTTTGCTCTGTATCATGTCACGTGCGCTGTCAAGTCCGCCGCTTAGGACTCGTTCCACAGCTTTGTGACTGAAATATGCCGTGATAGCTTGTTGGTCCGCAGACGCGTAGATGTCGGCCAGCTGTTGCGTGGTTGGGAGGGCCAAAGTCATCACTCGAATACGTCGTTCGCCGTTGCAGGTTGTGTGCAAGACAGCGGTCTGCATGCAGACCACTGGCTTGGTGATAGTTTCGTCAATTGCCACTTCCACCACGTAGCTTTGGTCTCTGGGAAATGCCGGGAACGCACAGAGATCGGAGCTGCGGTTAAAGAAGTTGCCGTAAAACGTGCTCATCCTCAACCCAGTGGTCGCTCTGACACGGAGAACTGCCTCAAGTCCAATCTCGGACGACAAATAATCCGAGAATTCTTTCGCAAATTTGATGGCGTCCTCCTCACGAGCAGCATTCCAACCTGGATAGAAGTAGGTCTGCCCACCGGTATATCTAGGAAGATTGCTTAGTGAAGCGACATCCTGATACTGTGACGAGAATAGAAACATGTCAACCGAGATCTGCTGCTTCGAGCATTCGACCGCAAAACTCTTGTAGAAGCTGTTTGCGGTCTGCAACAAGCTACTTTCCTTAGATGTGCCCAACAGCTTCTTGTCCTCGCGCATATCAAGCTTGCCCTGCCCAATGTTGGGGAGCGAAGCCGTCACCACGGTCATCTTTCCACCAACGGGTCCTATGAGCTTATGACCTGCTCGAAGCGCCGAACCCATTGCCGAAGCACCGTTCTGCGTATTTTGAAACATTTCCTGAAGCTTGTCCAGGAAGTTCTCGATGTTTTCCCGGCATTCTGAGAGAGTGACGAGCAAATCGGCCGGTGTGGGCAAGAACGCATCCTCAAGGTCACTGACAACAAGCATAGTGGTCTGGGCATTCTCGGTCCCATCACGAGGAATGTTGAAGAAGTGAAGGCTTGAATCCACGGCAATAAATCCGAGTCTTGTTCGCCGATCGGCGTTCGGAATTCGGTCCAAACTCTCTCGAATGCATCTAGCAGTCGTCGCCAGGAGGCCGCTAGTCACCGCAGCGTAGCTCACATCCAACAGGAAGAGGTAGACAAGCGGCTGAGGGGGGCGGACCATGTATTCCTGAGGGGCGATGTATTCGACGACAGCATGGTTCAGGTCAGGTCTTTGCCATCTGTCGAGGCTTTTTTGAGCTGCCGCATCCCAGTCAAAGGCTTGAGGCACATCGTTGGTGAGATTGCACATGTTACATCGCCATCGATGGCCATGGTCTAGGAATGTCACAAAGGGGTTGATATATGATCGACAACGTCTGCAACGAGATATGACTTGGTCCGGCACAATTGGCACAGGATCTTCCACGTCGTGTAAAGAGGTATACGGTTGTATAACGAGAGCGAACGGCAATTTAGACTTTTTGAGGAGAGAATGCGTTGTGGGGACGGCATTCAAAGTCGACCGAACGTACTTCGGCGGACAGTTGGCATAGGGTGAAGGGGTCACACTTGTCTATTGAACAGTTAGAATTCGTAGGCACAGTGAGCTTGTGGAGTACATACGTTGGGCGGAAGAATAGCTGGAGGAGGTGGGTAGTCCAGCTCCGCAACATTGAGAGGCTGGTTCGACAAGTCTGTAGGGTACAGCTGGTTCAATACCGGAGCTCGCTGCTGTTGCTGGGGGGCTGCGGCGACAGGAGGCTTTTGATTGATGTCGACTTGACCGAATTGCTGCGTCAAGCTGGGTACGCCACCTGCAGGGTATCCTGGGGCCGGAGGTTGATAACCACCCAATGTCGCCGGCTCCTGACCAGGATACAGAGGCGTTGCGCTTTGTTGGACTGCGGCAGGATTCTGTTGATACCCTCCCTGAGGATAACCAGCTGCGTCTTGTTGCGCAGAGTATGCAGAGTATGCACCACCCGCTTGTTCCTGACCTCCCAGGGCAGCATTGGCTCCAGCGCCGAACTCATACGCCTGTCCAGCATATGCACGCTTCTTCCGGCCTCCAGCAGGATGTCCTGCGGTTGGCGTTGGCGCAGACGGCACCCCGGGTGCGGCTGTTGTCTGGTAGCTTTCGACGGGTTGCCCTGCAAGTGGTGCTTGGCCATATCCATCCTGTCCCGGGACGCCGGGCTGAGGATAAGACTGCGACATCGTGAAAATATGCGAAAAATCGAAGGATCGGGTACAGAGGGCGTGCTCGAGGCTGGCGGGCGGTTCTGGACGAAGGACCGGGGAAATTTGAGGTGGTGGGTGGTGCCGAGAGGGAGGGAAAAGACGACTGTGTGTGAGGCTATTGTCAAACTAGTCGGGGGATCGCAGCATCCATACCGAGTCTCAAAGTATCGCACAGCGTCAGGAGCTTTTGGACGACGCAGATGATGGTGGTGAGGACTTGGATGGTTGACTGCCTCTGGATAAACAGACAGGTTGTCCTCAGTGTGGAGGGATCTTGTTCATACAACGGGCGTGCTTCCTTACATCTCGGCCAATCAGCGGCGGCCTGGACTCTAGACGTCAACCTAAACCCGAAGCCCTTCGACCACTGCTCGTCCTCGTCTTTTGCACTGTCTTAAACTGCTGCTCTACAGTCAGTCACGGACTGTAATCATCGTTTGTAACTCCCTGAACTGGAGTCGTACTAGTTGTGAAGTCAACGGGCTCGAGGCAGCCAAGAATTCAGAACAGGTGGTTCATCGCAAACTCCTCCACGCAGCGTTCTTGGGGCGTTCGAAACCACCTTCCGCCACGAGCTGAAGTCACCGTTTGGCATCTCGCATGCTTTCGTCTCTTGAGCGGAGTGAGATAAATGCGAAGGTCTGGATTATATGGTCTTTTTGACCAGGCGTCAAAGGGTACAGTGGACGATCAAGCTTAATGACCGTTTCTTTCATTATGCTACTTCAACAAAAAAAAGGCTTGACAGGAGAGTTGATGACTCTTACTATCTGACACGAACTCTTCATCTCGGGGACTCCGCTATCGTTGAACTAACCAACGCTATGTTCCCGCCTCTTCATACCTTCTTCCGGCCTTGAGGTCACAAGATGGTAGACTGACTTTCTCTTTAGAAATATTGGCTGGGATACTGGCAGCGTTGCCATGCCCGAATGGGGTTATGCTCCACGACGATGTCATACTCTGTGAGGAGACCGGTGAATCCCTGTATACATGTCAGAGCCCTGTCCCAACCTCCATTGAGGGGAATTAGTGGCTGCTCTGCCAACCTGCGATAGAGGGAGATAATCCTTGGGATTCTCTTGAGACGCAGAACTCAGATGAGATAAAGGAGTTGCTTGTCACCGCCTGCTTGAACATCCTTGATCTTAGAGGATGCATGAGCTGTAAGTAAAGCACCTGCTATGTAGGCCAGTGAAAAGAGACTCCTGCTCACCTTGAGGCAGGTACAGCCTCGTGAAACATTCTATGGGTCCTCGCTGACAGACTTGATGCTGCTGGTAATACTAAGCAACTGGAAAACTAGCATTAGAATGCCATGTCCCGCCATACCTGTCTCGAAATGTTTTCAGAAACGCAGGATGGTGTACAACAGTCCACAAGACAAACATTTCCACCACATCGTAACAGATGTTGACCCCGTCCGATGGATAGTGCAACGACGTAGTGGAGGCGATGCCGACAAGTGGGAATAGACAGATGAGAAACGGGAGTGGCCAGCCGAGGATTGGGAGACATCTTTGATATATTGAATCATGCTTGCTCGTGGTTGCCCAATGTGATACAAACGTCCATGGTTGTATGGCTGTGTTCCGTACCAATGAGGCAAGAGAACGATGATCTGGTTCAAACTTGCCTCATAGTGCGGCCGCAAGTCAGATAGCAGATGCAAGAGCCTTATAGTAGCTGTGAGAGGGCTAAATTAGAGGGGTGTCCACGTGTAGGTATCGAGAACCTTGAGGGCGCCGCCAAAGACAGGGTTAGGAATGCCCACCAATGGGATCTCCGACAGGGATGGCTGTTGTGAAGCCGCTTTGACGTCTGGCATTCGGATTCCAGGTCACACCACCTGGACAAGAAAGAATACATCTACTTCAACCTCTTGGACGAACCCTCCACATTTTCTCCTATCCTTCTACAAGGACTCCAGGGCAACTTGAGTCTCGACAACTTGTGGCGGCACGAAATCCAATAGTCTACTCCCGGTCGACATGGCCTCAAGCAACAGTCGTACAATCGTTGCTGGTACTCTCGGTCTCACCTTTTCTGCCATATTTCTCGGGGCCAATCTAGGAATCTCCTATATCTCTGTGCCCACCCTACTACTTTCTTCTCCACGATCGCCATTGCCTCCTCCAGCAAACGCTCCTGATGAGGCCTCTCCTACCACCACTTCCTCGGAGAAGCCAGCAACAAAGCCTCCACATCTCGCCCGCCAGTGGCAACACATTTTTGACATCGGCAAGAAGGCAGGTCCAGCGACTGCCGTTCTTGCTAGTGCCTCATTTCTATATGCCTTCAGGAGCCTCCCATTAGCAGCTACGCGTCAGAGAAGACTCTTCTTAACCGCGGCCGGACTCTGTTTGACCATTGTGCCGTTTACTTTCATTGCAATGCAACGCACAAACAATGAACTGGAGCGACGGGCAAATGCGGCAACGAAAGGAGAGGAAGAGGACATCAAACTAGAGGCCAGAACAGGCACGGTCGAGAGTTATCAAACACATGATCTTCTCAATCGGTGGGCAACCCTCAATACGCTGTAAGTCATTCCTGGTCTTGAAAGATGCGTCACTGACACTCCAGTTAGGAGAGCCTCCCTCTATGTTGGGGTGCTTGGTTGTGGTATCGCGGCTTTGAGCCTGTAATGGTGATGGAAGTCAAGCTTCCTACTTGGATCGAGACGAAATGTGAAATCAAGAGGCTTTTATAGTTTCTTGTGAACTGAATCGCCTCTCATTTTTGTAAAATAACGAATGAGGCTTCTGGTCTCGAACAATATCCTACCTCTAGAACTTGACGCTCTATCCAAGCAAATCTGAGAGAGGTGGTAGGAAGTGACTTAGTGTGATCGTGGAGCCTTCTTTGACTCGCGAATTGCTTGTGTCAGACAGAATGAGGGTGTTATTAATTTTGGTCCTTAGGTAGCTGCTTGAGCCTCCCTGGGTATTTTGTCAGACAGGCCATTTTCCGTCTCGCTGCATTCTGCAAAAAGCCATGCCGCCAAGACTGGAACTCTTGGCAAGCTGCACACAAATTTGGCAGCCAGGATCCTCGACACTGCATTTTGAGGACGACCCTTTCAATCGACCACTTCCTCGCACGCCCCGTCACCTTTTCCTTTCAGCCACAGTCTTGATTGCAGAGACTACCGCGTCTCCATATTCGCAATCATGGGTGGTGTTACCGTTCGAGATGTTGATGTGAGTGCGACCGAAACCCACCGATGAAGAAGAGCCTGCGTCTAGGTGAAAGCAAAGAGAAGGACGCACGCTGAAGGGACTCTGGGAGTTTCGGACAAGCTCGAATTACTGAACGTCCGCTGATGTCAATTGTCTATAGGCGCAAAAGTTCATCAATGCGTACGCCGAATTCTTGAAGAAGCAGGGAAAGCTTGCGATTCCAGGTTAGACCACTTCCCGATCTCTGTCACCATCCCCGGCCCCATGAAAGCTTTTCTTGAGCGGCGCACTGCGCGCCCCTTACCAAGGCTGGAATTTTACACGCGAAGATGGGGAAAGACATAGAATGGAGGGCAGCAACACTGACACCACCAACTAGGTTGGGTCGATACCGTCAAGACCTCTCACTCCAACGAGCTCCCACCTCAATCCGCCGACTGGTTCTATGTCCGAGCTGCCGCTGTTGCCCGACACATCTACCTCCGAAAGTCCGTTGGTGTAGGCCGTCTGCGAAAAGTTCACGGTAGCACAAAGAACCGTGGCTCAAGGCCCTCCCACCATGTCCACGCGTCCGGCTCAGTTGACCGAAAGGTTGTGCAAGCCCTCGAGCTGCTGGGGATCGTGGAGAAGGTTGATGAGGATGAAGAGGCTGGGAGCGGAAAGGGTGGCCGAAGAATCACCCAGGCTGGAGCCCGAGATCTGGATCGAATTGCCCTGAACGCAGTGGAGGGTGAGGAAGATGACGAGTAGACTTGGAGCCAAGGTCCGGTGTTGAGGTCGACAATGAGAAAACCCCTTGGCCAATGATGTCCTCCCCAGAAGAGGGCTCTGTTTGCGACGAAGGAATTCGTCCTCGCAGCAATCGCGAGATGGACAGTCTTGTTCATCAAAATCAGCTGGCTGCATATGGTTCGGCACAGTAGATGGGAGTTCTATTGCATGGTTCAAGCAGACGAGCTCAATGAAATTATTCCAACGTTGACCTCCGTTTTTACGCGAAGCTCTCTCTCTCTCTCTCTCTCTCTCTCTCTCTCTCTCTATGCCCTCTTCGGTCGGCCCCGTATTGACTATTTCCCCTGCTCAGCCAAGGCAAATATCAATATTTCCATTACGTTCACCTATTCCAAGGCGACAACAATACTTGCTCGGAGAAGTCTCTTCATGCCCCAGGCTTTCCCCTCCAGGACCAGAGCCGGCAGGATTGATCTGTAACAGGGTATGTAGGTAGCTAGTGACGGAAAATAGTTTCTCCGTGTTAGCACCAAATCCGCCACGTTGCCTGTTTAGACTCAACGTCAACCTCACTGGTTCGCAAGTGCAAGTTACCGCCTCATTGGCTTCAGCCCTCACGTTCTTAGCTGCACCGTCTCTTCCCAGGGTGCACAGCTTCAAGATGGCTGCCGCGGTCATCTGCCCTCTTCCAGCCAACGGTGACGCTCGGTGTTATCACGACATGCAGACGTGCTTGGAAATTGAACAGCGCCAGGCGACCTTGCATAGCCTCACTAGGCGTCACAAACCAAAAGGTAAGGCATAAACGCGGCCAAGACGATTCTCTCAGGCGTACTCGTACCTAGGTACACTTGACACCCCAGTCGAAGGATCCTTCTTCAACGGCCCTCCCCTACTCTCCACATATGGTATCCCCAACCAGTGTGCTAACCACTCCGTCTTCCAAACGCCAATGCCGCCCGGCATGCTCACTGCCCTGCCACGAGACCGGTTTGCCTGAAAAATGGACACATACATCATTGGCCATGAAGTATTTGGTTTACGCTTCCCCATGTGCGTTGGCCCTAGAAACATTCTTTTCCCAACGGCCGAGCTTCACACAACCTCGCCGTCTAGTGTTTTAAATACCTTTGACACAGAGGGCACATTCTTTACCCATGTTGAAAGAGCTTCTCGCTCGTTTCTTTGCCTCCCTTTGGATCCGGTTGAGCAGCTTGTTGTCCTTATCAATGTCCGGCAGCTCACTTGATATTTCCAAAAACAGTCCTGCAGAGAGTCAAGGTTGGGAGGCTTTCAGAGCAAACGAGCCAAAGCTTAAAGAGCAACATGACTGGGTTCGGAGCCAGATACCTTCTGAGCTGCAGACAATCCACAACGAGTCCAATTTACCTGATAAGCTCAGGCGAATTCTCACTTGGTCCCTGGTCCTGAAATCTTCTCCTCGGAAGGAGCCCCAGGGTCGAGGAAGCAGCAACGATCTGGAAGAGGAATCCAGGCAATCTGAACAGGAACTACACAATGGAAACGAACCTCGGGTGCCGCCCCATATCGATCCAGTCCGACAATTTGTGCTTCCTCGGCGACTCAGGAAGGATGTAGCCTCTGAGCCTCGCGGGCTACATCCTGACAGCCACGCGCAGACTCCGACAACTTCTGCGAACCCCCCCAATGAATCACGCTTTATCAACCACAATGCTCCCGGAAGTTTCCTGGGTCTTATCACAACTCAGAAGACGAAAGCAGAGAAGGACCAATCCACTGCTTCCAACACTAAAAAAGCGCTTCCAAAGAAAGATTCTATGGTGGAATGCATTAGTTGCTTTGACGAGTTCCCAAAGACCCAGACGGCACAGCTAATCTGCACACACTCATACTGCAAAACGTGTCTGACGACTTTAGTCACCATTGCTCTCCAGAACGAGGCCAGCTATCCCCCAAAATGTTGCCTGACTGTTATCCCCTTACAGACAGCTCTTTTGTTGCTCAGCTCGAAACAGAGAGAAGTATACAGAGAAAAGGCAGCAGAATACGCAGTCCCACCTCAGGATCGGTGGTACTGTCCGAACCAAAAGTGCTTGAAATGGATCCATCCCTCGAAGATCCAAGGAAAGCGCAACCTCCATCAGAAATGTCCTCACTGTGCGACCAAGATCTGCGGTCTCTGCCGTGGCTCAGCACATGAACGATTTGGAGACTGCCCGCAGGATTTTGATCTCGAAGCAACGATTACTCTAGCCGAGCTGGAAGGCTGGCATCGTTGCTTCAAATGTCGGACGATGGTTGAAGTATGTGCCCTTCCCCAACCTTCCATCGAATCTCCATTAATCCACTCTACTCCAGCGCATTACAGGCTGCCGCCATATGACCTGCAAATGTGGTGCTCAATTCTGTTATGTCTGCGGTGCCCAGTGGCGGACATGTGGCTGCACGGAGGTAGACGAGGCCAACCGTCAAGCAGAATTGGGACGACGCCGGACGGAGAGGCAGACTGCGTTGAATGCTGAAGCTGCGGAGGTGGCCCGAGCTATTGCTGCAGTTGAAGAGTTTGAACGAAGGCAAGCCGAGCAGCGTCGACAGGAGGAGGAATCGCAACAAGCGGAGCTGGCCAGGTTGGAAGCCCAGCGCATACAAGAGGAGGCCGCTCGGAGATTGGAAGAAGAGCGGTTGGAACGTGAATTCCGGGAAATCCTGCGAACGTCGGTCGAAGAGTCTTGCCAGGAGCTGCAGACAGCGCTGGATGAGGTGATGCAAGTTCAGAGACAGACCCTCGATAGCCGACATGTCAGCGCTGAGCAGCAACACTCCCAAAGGTGTGCCGCAGAAATGACAAAGCAAACAACACAGAGCGAGGAGCTCTTGGCCACAATGGAAGCGAACATCAACAAGAGAACCAGGTCAATTGAGGATAAACAAAGAGCCGCTTTGGATGCTTTCAACGCGGAGCAAGAAGAACTCGAAGACGACTTGTTCCTAGAGATACAACTGCACCTTCGCGGCAAGGCTGATAAGGAAGCGAGAGAGCATCGGCTGCGAGAGAAATTCAAGAAACAGCAAGACGCACAACGGGAAGAAGTGCTCATCAGACACGGGTCCGAGCGTGACGCTCTCAAGTCCAACGCTACGATGGAGCTCGAGGGGGTGAAGCGAGCCTGCGACGAGCAGAGCGCAAGGCTTCAGACAGCTCACGAAAATGACCTGAGCAGCATGCGAGCCACGGTTGCGGCAGACCGAGCTTGGTTCAACTTTCTCGCCGAACGACGGCAGAACCTAGTGTCTGCAAACAACCGCCTGATGCTGGAAGCTCTGGAGGCGGGAGTAGACCCCGTCGGCCTGACCGAGGAAGATGCCATGACGATCGGGCCATTCCTGCCTACGGCCGGACATCCTGACTCCAATGCTACGGTTCCCAACCCTGCGGTCACGCATCACCCTGATGCCAGTGCTAGTGTGCCAACGCCAGCGGTCACGCATCCCACCGGCGAAACAAGACAAGAGCAGTCGCAGCAGAGGTTGCGCGTCCCATCTCGCGAATCAAGCCCATCCCCATCCAGATCTCTTGTCGAGCTTGCCACTACTTCGCAGGCTCTGTTGAACAGCCTGGAATCCGACTCGACAGTCGCAGAGTCGAGCACAAGAACAAGAACAGCAAACGCGGCGGCAGTCGTGCAGCCCGATCCGATCTCAGGAAGCAGCGTCCACACTTCGATGACAGGGTCGGTCAATGTCAACGCCAGAGTCAGCCGTCCTTTCCGCAGCAATAGAGTCGCAGAGACGGTGCCGGCCCCGCAGAAACCGCGCCAACTCGACACTCACACTTCTTTGCGAATGGCTAGATGGCGCCCTTGGCTCGGTGGTTCGAAGGCTTAGGCTTAACATGTCGTGGACAGCAACGACCTACTGCCCGTCCTGGAGATCTCGACTATCTACCTCCCACCACCCACCACCCACGCGAGGGGAGGTCGGCAACCTATATCAGATGGGAGAATCCAGAATGGAATACAGAATGGAAGATCCGAAATCTGACCAGGTCTGTAGGACGACTTCACGCTTCAGACTGCAGATTGTTTATAGTAGTTCAATTAGTGGTCTACTCCATACTCTCGTGGGTAATGACATTTATCTAACATACCCAATTGTCCCTTAGTCCATCCACGTCCCGGCGAACTAGATACAGGACCAGACAGTACTGTAGTCTGTACGTCAGTCACCCGCCCTCCCTCCCGTACGGCCTTCTCCGTTGCATCGTGCCCGTCCGTCGCGGGCAACCAATGATACGCGCAACTCAACTAGTGAGACGTGCTGATGGGCAGACCACGAGATAAGGAAAAGGAAGGGCGGGAAGGAAGACGCCGTGATAGATGGAATCAATCCCAGAAGGGTAGTCAATTGCAGTGGTGCTTGGGGTAGGCGAGGCGAGGCAGAAACAGGTGGACCTGGACCGAGAGAGAGCTCGCTCGACCTTGCTTGAAAGAGGGGGGCAATTCTGCTGTAGATATATATCTCCCTCCAACAGTATCTTCGTCTGCATCTGTCTGATCGACATTACACCTCACCGTTGCTTGCTACCGTCTGGATCTTGCAGCAACGAGTAACTGTCCATTCACTCTCTCCGCAACCAAATCGCTCTTCCTCGGTAATCTCGAAGACGCAACGATGACTTCAGTCGACAGCACCAATTTCCTCGCTAACGGCGGATACCTGCAAAAGGGCCGAGAAAGGAATGTCCGGCCAGCCGATATAGCTAGGAAGACGCATGATCTAGCGCCGTCGAGGTGAGTCGCCGGCAGCCGAAGCCCTTTGATGCAGTCGTGCCAGTCGACGGAATCTATGTCGGGCAAGGACTAGAATGATGGGACTGCGTGCTAAGCATCCATGATAACACCGCAGATGGTACCGCGATGAGAAGATCTTTCAACTTGAACGGAGGGCCCTGTTCTCTACGGTATGTTCCGCAACTTGTTCGGGGTCTGATTTGACAACGAGGCTGACACGCCTCCATTGTAGATGTGGCACGTGGCAAGCTTCAGTGCGCGGTTCCAAAAGCCTGGAGATTATCTGACTGCTGAGGTATGAGAATCGAAACCGAGGGTTGCGCGACTCTGACCACGTCCTCGACCAGATGTTCGGATGGAATTTCTTCCTCATCCGGGACAAAGAAGGGAACATCAATGCCTTTCACAACGTCTGTCGCCATCGAGGCCACCCGGTCATTCAAAAGGCGAGCGGGTCGAGCACTGTTTTGGCTTGCCGTTTTCATGGCTGGTGAGCATATCCCGTGCATGCTCAACTGACCGCATTCGACTCGTGTATCCTGCTGACTGAACAATTAATAGGTCATACTTGCCGACGGGAGAGTTGCACAAGGCAAGAGAATATTATGACCTCCCCGACTTTGACCCCAAGGCACACTCATTGTTCAAGATCCATACCCATGTGACTGCCCAGGGGTTTATATTCGTCAACTTTGATGCCCGAGAGACCCCGGCAGTGAGTTTCGAGGACCAATTTGGCGACGACTTCGACCCTCTGCCAAAGTCTCAAACAGGAAAACAGGTGGGCGACGAGTTTGCCTTGTTCTCTAGAGACGGTTGGGAGTACGACCACACCTGGAACAGCTCTGTAGCTGGGACAGAGTACAACTGGAAGACGTTTGTGGATGGCTTTCAGGTTTGTCCATCGCCCTGGTGTTTCCCTCAAGATGTCCGTTTTGGTAACCAGCAGGTGTTGTTTCAGGAATGCTATCACTGCCCAACTGGGCATCCGACCACACTGCCCAAGGACTTTGCGTTGGACCAGTACTACCTGCGTCAGGGGATTGGTGCATCTCGTCACTATCTCCCTCCCAAGAAAGAAGGATTGTCCGAGGCTTACATAACGTGGCTTTATCCGTTATCCGCAGTAACCTTCAGCGACAACCTTCTCTTCATCGTGCGATTCAATGCAACGGGGGCATTGGAGACATCGTACGATAGCGAGACTTACCGGAGAGCTAGCATGCAGAAGCCAAGTGCAGAGTACGACCGCTGGATGGCCCATGATATCGCATATTGGCGGTTAGTTGAGACTGAGGACGTGGAGCTGGCAATTAATGCACAGAAAGGGTTCAAAAATGGGGTTTTGGGAGTGGGAAAGTTGCACTCGATAGAAGGTATGACCCCGGAGCAGTCCACGTGTTTCCCTGCCGTCTCTTCTCGCTTTAGAGAGAAATCCCGGGCTGACTTGAAGTCCTGCAACAAGAGCACGCAGTCAAGTGGTATCTGGACAAGGTACGGCAGGTCCTGGTGCGACATGCGGAGCTGGAAAAGACCGAGAGTAAAAATATCGACTATGCAGTTCCCAAGGCGCAGAGTGATGCTGTGGAGGCCGATGCCCTGTGCAAGCTGGTTGGACCGGAGTATGAGTGGTGATGGTGTAGAGAGGTGCGTATTCCGTACTCTGTAGTCAAGGTTGGGAAAGGACAGTGCGTTGCTAGTGGCCGGGCTCCAGACAGGCAGGTGAGTGATAGGTGAGTTGACAGCTGACAGCTGCACCGATTGGTTTGCGGCGGGGGGTTTAGTATACTGAGTTTGACCCGTTGCAGAGAGAATGGCGGCTTGTTATATCACTTCTTTTGCATCGATGCCTCCCCATGAGCGCCGCGGAGGATTGGTCTGAGGAATCGACGACGCATGCCCGAAAAAAGGTACCTAATAGTTAGTCTTCATGCTTGGTCTTCAGGGGAAGTTCTGAAACGGCGAAGGCTGTGACAGCAGCCCACCGCAAACGCAGATCTGTCTCAGAGGCATATCTGTAATCATTTCCTGGTGGAGAAGAGGGCTGATAAGGAGACGTCATTCATTTTGGCTGGTCGCGAACTATGAAGTATCCATACTCTATACGGAGTACGGGATATTTTGGAGGAGATTCGAGATACCTTTACTGTGTCAAGTATGTCAGGTTAGCAGCCCTGTAGGGAGTAGGGAGTAGCCGGTATCGTGCACCGTGGTAACGATTGGTGCATGATTGGATCCTGGGATGCTGAAGCTGAAACTCACTCGGGGCAACTGCGCCGGGATTTGTGCGGTGGAGCAAAAGGCCGGGGTGACGTCAGCGTCCTCAACAAAATGGGGCCACAGACGCCACATGCTCATCCCACGCCTCCTAAGCCTTAGCCCACCGCAGGCTGCCAGTAGTAACTATAGTATCCGTACCTAAGGTAGGTAGGTACCTACCTAGGGTCCTAGGTACAGTACCTAAGGTACCTACCTCTGTATCCGTACTCCGTCTAATAGTAGTCAAACTACATTCACCATTTGCAGCTTAGGATATACTCTACATTGTACGGACACATCAAGAAAAAAAGCCACTCGATGGCGCCATCCAGCCCCGTGGCACTTCAGCTATCGCATCGGCACCCATCATGCACCCGTGCAGCCAGCCGACACTGTACCAAACCTACCAAGAGCTACCATGTACTATTGCCTCCGAGCCTAACCCTGGCCTGAAGCTACCGAACCTTGTTACCATGCGTCCTCGTCCTCGTCCTGCTTTGTCCGATACTCTGGGTTTGGGTCTGGGCGGAGTGGATGCAGCCTGTTCAGCAACTGCGTTACGCGTACTTTAGCACTCCTAGAGCGCCCAAGACATGACATGACATGAGTAAGAGTTTGACTGTAATACTAATAGAAAAAGAGGTGGCATATCTGTACTACGTACCACGATCTATGGGTAGCTGCATGGCTCTACGGAGTACCCTGGCCGCAGTCGTCCACCTGCATCAAAATCACCTCTCCCCCAATCCAGCTCCATCCATACCTCGCCTTTTCGGCCTTCCCCATTATTGATCATCAAGTCGAGCACCTTAACGTCGTAGCTGGAGATGCTCCGTTTGGAGCCATACTGGAGCCGTGGGGCCCATGCAAGCCTGTATCTGGCTGTGGTTTCGGCCTTTTCCACAGTAGAAATGTAGGCCGTCGGGATTGGATCATCGTGTCGCCTCTGATTTGTGTGTCTCGCTGATCTGTTGCCGCTGCCGGCCAATTGTGGACATGCCCGGGTTGCAAGTGTAAGAAAAACCCCCGGTCGTGTTCGCGCCACTCCCCGTAGGCTAGTTTCAATGCCGATGCTTGACTTAAACCACCCCCAGTGAATAGGCGTACTTACACCCTCCCTTTCTATCGTCTATCTGGCTTTGTCTTGTTATCTTCATCTTGTCTGCTCTCCTCTCTTCTCGTCCGAATTGTCTTCCGTCGCGCCTGCCTCGATTCATTCGCTTCGTCGAGTTGGTGGTGCCTGCGACGACCTATCTCGTCTGTCTGCCTCGATCCTCAAAGTACGCCGGTCGCTACTCCGTTTGTCTAACCTCGCAATCTGCATGACGCCGTCCAGTATTTGGGACGCTCCCACAACCCGTGAACGCTCGCCAGTCGTCTCCTGTTCATTTGCATCCTCGACAGCAAACACCGTCGCTGTACTCGATTCGCACTGCGTTCGCTAGCCTTCTCACCCTCAGTCGCTCGCTGAAGCATATCTCGATCAAGGAGTCAAGCCTCGAACCCAAGGGACAGCTATGACCCGCAGACTCACCATCAGCGGCAGCCGGTCGGAAATGGGCTTGCTTGAGGAGTCGGCTTCCGAACCAGCGACGCCTCCCCCAAGTTGGACTCCCGCCAAACAAGACTTTTGGAAAAAGCCTTCGAAATGGCAGATCTGCATGCCTCGTTTACGCCTGCTCGCCAAAGTGTTTGCCTCGTTCCTCTGTTTCGTCCTTCTCGTCAAGATCATGGCCCAGAAACCACCTCCTCCAGCCAAGACGCCTCCTCCTGCACGCCCGAAACCGCCATCCGAGGATGAGTTGATGGATAAGGCAAAGAAGGAAGATTGGATTTGGAAAGATTTCACAACGTAGGCACAAGAACCCCTGTCATTGTGGAACCCTCCTAGAATGTCAGACACTGATCGAGCATCACTCTCTTAAGGCACGATGGATTGACACGTGGGACGTCACATCTCCGGTCTTGCGCGACTGGCGAAATCGATTGCAAGAACAGCGCTCCCCACCTCACCCGGTACGATGGCTATCGTAGCCTGCAGGAACCTGCTGAGCAGATCGTCCCTTGCATTGGCCCACGAGGTCTGCCTTTGAACGAGAGCCAAGAGGATGCAATCTGGGCATACCCTGGCCTTGCAAACGGTAAGCTACACAAATAGCCCACGCATAGTGTCAGACAACTCACGTCTTCCAGGTGCTGTTGACCCTTTGCTAGGGTCCTACGAGGCGTCCGGCCTAGATGGCGATGTCTCGTTCGACCGTATTGGCCGCTTCCAGGCGTATGGATTAGATCAGTTTGATGCTGTCGACCTAGAAGACATGAAGAAGACAAGTGATGTCAACTGGGACACGGTCAACTGGGCTGAATTGCAGGAGGCCTGTGCCGCCGTTAACAAGCAGCGATTTAAACCAGTCAAGGAGCGCCCACAAAGCTCAATTCAATATTCCAACATCCGGCACAAGCACGACCAGCCGTCGCCAAAAGCCCTTTCAACGACCATGGAACCTGGGCTTGTCAATAAAGTAAAACGCACCGCGATCCTCATCCGCGTATGGACTGGTGCCAAATGGACCGCGGATGCTGTTATGAACATTCGTGCAATGGTCGCCGAGGCTTCTTTGGCCAGCGGAGGAAAGTACCAGGTGTTTCTGCTCCTGCATGTCAAAGATGAAAGTGTCCCCCTATTTGTCGGCGAGGATGAGCCGCAGGCCACTATTGGAAAGCATATCCCTCCCGAGTTCAGGTCGATGACAGAGGTTTGGAACCATGCTCAAATTCGTGGTCTGTACTCTAACCTAGCTGATCACGCGTTTGTTGGTCGATCCCCGTGGATGATCATCCAGTGGTTCGCACGCAACCATCCTGAATTCGACTTCTTCTATCAATGGGAATTCGACGTGCGCTACACCGGCCATTACTTGGATTTCTTTGAGGCCGTCTCCAACTTTGGTAGGAAACAACCACGAAAAGGAATCTGGGAGCGCGCAGGCAGAGTGTACCTACCTAGCGTTCATGGCGATTTCGATACCGACTTTCGAGATAGAACGCGGAACGAGGATCCTCACCATGTCTGGGGTCCAGTGTCTGTCGAGGGCGTAAAGCCTCGTGGACCGAAGCCCCCCGGAAAGGAATCCGAAGATAACTACGAATGGGGCGTTGGCGAAGATGCCGACTGGATCGGCTTCCTCCCAAGTTTCAACGTCACGGGGACAAACTGGTGGTTTCGAGACTATCTTTGGGGCTATGCTCAAGGCAAATCCACCCCCAGAAGAGCCACTCTCATCGCTCAAGGGAGGGTTAGTCGACGCGTCTTGGAAATCATGAACTACGAGAACGCCGAGAATGGGCATCACATCGATGCGGAGATGTTCCCTCAAACCATGTGCCTTCACCATGGTCTAAAATCCACGACATTTCCCCATCCTATATTTGCCGATCGCCATTGGCCCCCGGATGCTTTGCAGTCCACCTTCAATGGCGGACCTTTCGGACAGGCCGGTGGCTACTGGAACAGCACATTCAGCAAATGGAATGAGTATGCCTGGACAAACATGACATGGTATTACAGTTCAGCTCTGGCCATGCCGATCTACCAGCGGCTCCTAGGGGTCACTGCTCACGAGAGTGGTGGGCAGGAATGGGAAGATGCTTACGGAAGAACGGTTGTTCGCCCCATGCTACTCCATCCCGTCAAGGGCGGCAAGTCATGGCAGTGGACGGAAGATGGCTGGCTGCAGACCAAGGGTGGAAAGTAAGTCCCATCCGCCCAAGGCCAAGGCACTGACGTACTTCTACGACATTTCTCTGGATGGATTGGCATGAGCATAGGAGTCGGGAGTTTTTGGCTTATCCGTCGTCAGTCCGGCGCTGGGAAATCGACCTCTGTTGTTGATCTGTCTGACCCGCTACCGATGAGAGGACACCTGGAAACAAGCCGCATTGTACATCTTGCATGACTGTTTATTTGCATGACTGATTAGGGGCCTTACCCCCAAGGAGATGAGATTCTGAACATACACGAGCGAAGCATCAGGAACAGGAACAGAACAGCTGGATATGAGCTACAGGGCGATGCAGCGCACCAAATGAAGCTCGCAATTGAGCTTCACAGATAGACACACGACTGGTTAAATATACGACCGTCGATAATGATAATACATAACTGGCCGGCAACCGCACCTCGCAATATTGATTCTGCTCCAGGGTGATCATCAACATGTGAAGCGCCAGCAGCATGAGAGTACGATCGTCGATGCGCCTGTTCACGAAGATGGCACTGTCTGGTGGCGGGTACGTATGTGTGTATCTGTCTGTATACAGAACATGTGTAATTATGTTCTCCGTAAGTTGCAAGCTACTAAACTACCCAACGGCGCTGAATAGACCCGAGAGCCCGACACTGCAGATGGTTTCCGATAACATCTGCTTACCAAAAAACATATCCCAGTTCTTCACGCCTTCTACAGTGTTCCAGTAGCGAAGATCTCTTGACCGTTCTACAGCAGCGCGTATGCGGGTTACATGGCTTTTGGAATCTGATGTCCACAAACCCTTTCCGCCAGACTAACCGTAGTTCGTTGAAGGGCCCTGGCGGCAGCAACATCCCCCACGCTCCATCTCCGGACCCTCGCGGCACCAGCTCAACTCCTCTGACAGTCGATACCAGAGGTATGTGGTCGTTCTGCATCTCTGTTCTTCGTGTCCTGGCTGATGTCTAACAATCCATTTAGTCCCCAGTGTTTCCCAGAAACATGTGAATTTCGCATCTCCCCCGGCGATTCCCATATCGCCGGTCTCATATCCTCCATCTCCAGAATCTACACGGCAGGACTTCTCTTCTCCCTTCCCCAGTCCCGGGGCAAACATTCCTCCTGCGACAGACTATATCCAGGCTCTGAGAAAGGATCCCTTTGCCGAGGAAGCATCCGATCTCGAGGACGATGCACTGATCGGAGTCGCATTGGAGAATGCAAGAGCCAATACAGCCATCACAGATTCAGCCTCAGCCTCAATCTCATATACTTCGGACAATTCTAAACAGGATGCAGTAAGAGATACGCTGAGCCGGTTTGCTAGTACTCCTCGGAGGCTCCCTGGCAATCAAGCCTCCGCAGTGAAAGAACACAGTGGGAGGCCAACTATGGACGTGGATGCCTTCAAGAGATTGCTGCTTACAGGAGAACCAGGAGCTCCATCTTTCGTTGTGCGGGATACTGTGGTGCAGAGTATTCACACAGGCCCTGTCCAAACTGTAAGTGACAGTGGTTCCAGCGCCGACACGGCCTCAATTTCACAGCACTCGATCTTTGAGACAGTTGCGCCTCCGCCTAACGGGAGCCCTCGGACCTCGGATGATCTGGACGCACATGAAGCAGACGAGCAAAGGGCGAGCCTAGGAACAGCCTCAGAGGGTAGGAAGAAGCCTGCTCCGCCAAAGAGTCGACGGGGAAAGCCTCTACGAGATTCGTGGGGAGAACAAGCTCCGACAGCGACGTTTGACAGTTTCATCAATTCGCTTGCATTGCCCGATAGTCGAGATATCAGCGCAGAAATGTCCGGTCCAAAGTCCCCTCCCGCTGATGGGAGTCCTGCGAACGAGCGAGTTGCTAAGACTGGCGGAATTGAAGCACACAAGCGAGTACCACCGGCACCTCCGTTAGCTCGTCGGAAGAGCCAGCAAGCACCCCGCAAACCAAATCTGACCCGAAACAGCTCATCACGACACTCCGTACTCAGTGACATCGAGGTGCCCTCAAGTCCGGCGGATCTGACCTCTACACCTAGAATCCCTCCACCACCTCCTTTGCGGCGGTCAACCGGGACCGGCGAGCGGAGACCTTCCCTAGAAAATGACCCTCCTGCTCCTATTGCAGAAACCGCCGGCGCTATCCACGAACTGTATCATGGAGAGGTCGCCGCACCCGAATCGAGTTTCGGCCTGTCCAATACTACCCCAGTGGTTACTAAGCGAATGAGTCAAATGCATCCTCCCCCAGTGCCGCCACCTCGCCGGGGCCGAGGGTCTAGCAGAGGTAGTGCTGAAACGCAACGGCCATCAATGGCCGTATTGGGAATGACAGAACATGGACGCAGCGATTCTACCGCGAGAAGCTCAATGGAAACGAGGGACATCCTGGCGGATCTGGCTGCTCTTCAGAGAGAGGTCGACGCTGCTAGGGCAAGTGCACAAGGAGGATGACGACAAGCCATGGGGTTGTAACAAACGCATGATATTGATATGAAATGGTTCGCTTCGATGGATTATACACGCGGCTTCCTGAAGAAGTACATGAGATGGTCTGGCAGCACATGAAGTACGTAGCTTATACAGCAAGTTCTGGCATAGTATGACGTAGCCAGTTCCAAAGCGTATTGCTCCTGAATCACACTTCGCAAGTCTGTCTATTGGTGCTTGGTCCGGGGTACAATCTCACCCCGCGCACCAGAATCCGCAAGGCGCCCTTCTTCTATACTCCGTACTCGAGATTCAATTCAGCTGTCAGCTCAATTCTCCTTACCACCTGAAGCCGGTCGCCCATTCTTAGGTCCCATCTCTTAAACGCACCAGGACACCAAACTCTTGCACTTCGAGGCAGTTACTTCTCAGAAGGCCTCTGTTGCCCCTCCAAACCGGGCGCGCTTTTTGCGCGACACGTCCCATAACGGGCGCTTCCACCTTTATCCCTCCCATCCCTTTCCCATTGCCATTTGAACTCTCTTCATGAAACGCTGGCCTTAGATCAGTCAACTACATCTACACCGAGTGCACATATCCACCGTCGTCATCCTTCCACCTCACAACCATGCCTAATAGAGGTCCTACCTTGATCAACCGTACGTAGCAGACAGGCCATGACCGGAATGGGCGAAGGCTGACCTGGCTACTCACACAGTCCCTCCTCCTCCCGCAGATCCGACCACTCCTAGCGAGATGGGCCCCGGCACCCCTAATTCTACGACCACCTCGCTCTCGGCATTGTCGGTAGTCGCAATCAAGGATGGCGCAGTTGGTCACGGTGGAAGAGGTGCCGCGGCCTCCGCAAATACACTTGAGGCTGAACGTGCCGACCGTATATCGCGCCTCGCGGGCCTCGAGCGAGTGGCCACAACTCGGCCGACGCCTCTGGGGCACCTCGCGGCCGGATCCGGTGCGGCGTACGGTCCCGGTATTGACAATGTGCCCCAGTTCAGGGAGAGAAGCACTGTCGGCAGCGCAAGTGCAACAGGAAGTGTGGGCGGCAGAACAACATGGGCGAGTGGGAGCATCGACTACGACGTCGATAAGATGAGCGAAGATCAAGACGATGGAGTCTCCAGCGCAGGTGGCTTCAGTGATGAGGATAAAGCTAGCCTGGTTGGATTTGGTGAAGGAGCAGGTAGCACAGTCAGTGGTCCTGTGTCCACGCCTTACAATACCAGAGCTTCTGTCTCCCGACAAAGCACAAACGTCAATGCGCCTTTGACCCCACGAACAGGCATGATCCCGGGTTTAGCATCGGGTCAAAGCACACCTATGAGTGGAATCATACCCAGTGCCGGTGCTGGCAGCACAGATCCGAAGATGATGGACGGGATGAGTTACGACCAGAACTTCGTTGATACGACGATGCAGCCTGCTCCTTTGGTTGATCATCTTCCTCCGGGAAGCCGGCTCTCAGGCTTTGGTACTGAAATGGCAGAAGGAATCTTGCGCGATAGATTGAATGATGTCGGCCAGCCTCAACATCCAATAGGGACGGCCGAAGGCCAGACACTGGGCAAGTTTCCGTTTGAGAAGGAATAAAGAGCCGCATAGCACATCGGAGATGAAATGTTGACTGAAGTGGTTGGAATCAGTGCGGCCATGTCGCGAAGTGTACAAACCCTCGAGGGTAGGCAATGGGGGCTTGATACTGTACAATACCTGTTGATGGCTGGCCGTGTACGGGGTATGGGTCAGCCAGCGGTCTTTTCTGGCGCTGAGTTGAACTGATGGGACGGCTGCCAGAGCCTTATGGACTTGGTAGCTCGGTTTTGGGTTATTGGAGCATGATATCGCTTTAGGGACAATCATGGGTGATGGCAAGGCTGACCCTGGTTTGGGAAAGGCTGTAGTACGTCACGTTAGCGGCAAATCATGGAGCAATAGCGCCTGGTAACTGGGTGCAGCGGCTGTGGATTTCAGACTCTAGTGTCACTAATTATGTCGAGTTAGTCAACCCTAGCCGCTAACTGCGCCATGCCAAAACACCGCCAAACCTGACACTTTTTCGAACCAGGAACTGCGCTCGGGCTCCCTGCAGATTCATTCACTCGACTCTTCTCATCCCTACCCTCTGTCTCTCTTCCTCTCTGCTCTCGTTGTTCTCATCACCCTCTCGTCACCCAAGCAATTTGTCCGTCTACCGCAATAGCTGACATTGACTTGTCAAGTACGGAAAAGACTCGAATTGTGACAATTTTCCCAGGTGTCTTCGACCACACAACCAGTTGTTAGGCCCTCGAACCCATTCGACTCTACCTCTCTCCATCACTTGGGCTGTTTCGCGCCGGTTTTGATTCTATCTGTCTCTGAGGAACGAACTCGTCGACTTTCGACCGATATGGCTGTTACTACACAATTTTCTTGTATGTGTGCCCCCCAGTGATACCCAAACAACCATAAAGCTCTGACGCTGACTTCCAAATATAGTCCGGACTCTCAAAGGCATCGGCGTGGTTAATGGTGCACCTAACTACGAGCCACTCTCCGGTTTTCAGAGGTATGAGCGTCTTGCCTTACAACGCAATGGTTGGGTTGCTAATCCTCGTCCCGCACTTTCAGACCGGAAGGGAATCTCCGTTGCTGTGCCTACTCGCCGTGCGGCCGCTACTTTGCATGGGCCTCTCCTGAGAAGTATGTATTCATCAGACGACAGAGCCGAGGAAACATCACTAACTGAACCAAGCGTGAGCATCATAAACCCCGACACCGGAGCGATCATTTCCACTCTGCCAGCCGAGAACGTTTTCGAATTGGGGTTTTCACCACTAGGGACCTACGTCATCACCTGGCAACGATCCGTCAAGGACGAAAACGGTGACGCCGTCAAGAATCTCAAAGTGTGGCTGGTCATCGATGAGAAGGCGTTGGCAGAGGGCGTTGACAAAGAACCCATCGCGAGATTTGTCCAAAAGTCGCAGACCGGCTGGAACTTGCAGTATACATACGATGAAGCCTTCTGCGCGAGAGTGGTTACAAACGAGGTGCAAATTTACGAAAGTCATGACCTGACAAATGTCTGGAATAAGATCCGGGTGGAAGGTGTCGCAGACTTTGCGGTCTCGCCTGGAAAAGATCATGCATTTGCCTTGTTTGTGCCTGAGAGAAAGGTAAGTTTGGCTCTTGCCCTATACAAATGAAGGTCTAAACATTATTACAGGGTCAACCGGCTGCCGTCCGAGTATACGCCGTGCCGAATTTCACCACCCCAGTATCGCAAAAGAATTTCTTCAAGGGCGACAAAGTGCAGCTGAAGTGGAACGACGACGGTACTTCTTTGATTGTGCTGGCACAGACGGAAGTCGACAAGACCGGCAAGAGTTACTACGGCGAAACCACCCTGTATTTGCTCAGTGCCAATGGCGGGTTCGATTCGAGGATAGATCTGGGTGAGTCACCTTCAAGATCTGTTGATGGGTAAACAGCGGCTAACACTGTCCCAGACAAGGAAGGCCCTATTCACGATGTCTCCTGGTCTCCTCGGTCCAACAGCTTCGCTGTTGTCTACGGTTATATGCCAGCCAAGACCGTGATCTTCAACTCCAAAGCCCAGCCTGTTCACAGTTTCCCTCTGGCGCCACGAAACACCGTCTTGTTCTCGCCCCACGGGCGTTTCGTTCTTGTGGCCGGATTTGGTAATCTTGCTGGACAGATGGACATCTATGACCTAGAGAGGAACTTCGCAAAGATCTGTACGATCGAAGCGAGCAACGCAAGCGTTTGTGAATGGTCCCCTGATGGAGTGCATATCTTGACGGCAACGACATCTCCTCGCCTGAGAGTTGACAACGGTATTCGCATATGGCATGCCAGTGGCCCTTTGGTGTATAACCAAGATCTGAACGAGCTTTATCATGTCTGCTGGCGACCACAACCTGCATCCTCGCATCCTCTGACTGCGAACCCTCTCTCGCCTATACCGGTGCCACATTCCAGCGCTCTGGAGTACATGGCAGCGCGGAAGACACCCAGCAAGCCTGCTGGCGCTTACAGACCACCAGGGGCACGTGGTCAAGTTACTCCATTGGCCTTCAAGCGGGAAGACGAGGGCGGTGCGGCGTATGTCCGTGATGGTCTCTCCTCGTTCTCAAGCAACATCAATGGGTTCGGCAAAACTCGTCAGCGCGTTGTACCTGGTTCCGAGCCAGTTGAGGACAAAGCGCCGCTACCGCCTGGTGCGGCGCCTGGCGGTGGCGTGAGCTTGACTGGGACCGGAGAGGGAGCAGATGGAGAACCGCTGTCAAGGGCTGCCAAGAAGAACGCAAAAAAGCGAGAGGCCAAGAAGGCTGCTGCGGCCGCCGCAGCGGAACGTGAAAAAGGAGCAGGCACAAACCTTGCGCCGGAGCAGACTGCAGGGCCAGGACAGAGTCCAAGTCGAAGTCCGGATGGCCGGGGTCATCAACGTAGTCGGAGCAGAAACTATGTGCCTGCTCCAGGCCTCGAGCCACCAACCGGACCGAAGAAAGAACGCAGCCGAAGTAATAGCAGACGCCAACGGGGCGATACAAACAGCTCGACGCACAATCATGCCAATGGTACTGCCAAAGGGCCCAGTCATGCTCCGGGAACACCAAATCAGAAGCCTCGCACTGCGCCTACGAACATCAACACGACTACGCAAGCTCCCCTGCCTACCACAGTTCCACAAGCCCAGACCCCGCCTGAGCTAGAGGTCACCAGCCCCATAACTCCTGGTGGCAACCCTCAAGAAAAGAAAATCCGAGGCCTCCTTAAGAAGATTAGGGCGATTGAAGATCTCAAGATGCGGTTCGCAGGTGGTGAGAAATTGGAGGATACCCAGATGCGGAAGATTTCGACCGAGGATTCTGTGAGGAAGGAACTGGGAAGTCTGGGATATAATGGTTGATATGGCCATGTGTGAATGATCAATCACGGTGGCTGTCGGGCCTTTGAAGCATGGATTATTATGCCGTACAGCTACTGGGCCCGGCTTAAGCAGCGTGATTCGACAGCATTCCAGAATCTTACCGGGGACCGGGTGGGTCTGCTTTCACTTTGGCCTTGCGTTTGTGTGCCAGCAACTTCGTCTGTTGGCAAACAAGTCAGACCGAATACGGCAGTATCTCGAAGGGAAGGAATGACCTGTACAATGAAGTGGCATTCTCGTCGTCGTCGTCAACTCGACCGTGGCATTCAGGTCCAACGGGTCGCGGCGGGAAGTCAATGTTGGTACATTCCGGCCTCTGTGTAGGTGTCTATGGAGCTGGGTGAGCGGGCATGTCTGGAACCCTTTTTTGATCCAAAAAGGGTCTTTGCATAGCGCGGGGAACGCCGTCTTATTTGCTCTGAAAGTAGCGGATGGAACGAAATGGCATGGTGTGAGAAAAATCGAGCCTCAGAATTACTGTACGCCTAACAGAGCAGCTGCAGCGCAGCTGTCCGAGGGGAGAGATGGGGGAATGGGTTTGGGCCAAATAGTACACCGCATCGCGGAGGGCGACGCATACAAAGCAAAAGGGTAGAGCCGATTCAAATCCAAAGAAATATATAATTAGTACGGAGTAGAGTAAAGGACGCCTAGTACCACTTCCCACGACGAGATCAGACTTCCCAAACACATGATTTCAACAGCATATGAGAGTACACACATACATAGAAGGCTAAGATACGTGGCAACGTCGGACATGGACCGGTCAAAGTATCAGAAATGACTTCACAGCATAGCATGCTGCCGAAACAGAACCGAGCCTGGTACAGTATCCTGGAGTACTGCACATGTACGGAATATGGGGCGTGGAGAAAGGGATTCCAAGGCTCGCGAGGTTTGTCGATTGGAGAAAGAAAAGGATAGAATTGAACGAGGTGCTTTTGCTTAGTACATGAGCACGAGACAATTCGCAGCTCGGCGCAAGTGTGGCAGATTCATGAGCATGGCCGTATGTGAATGCCTAGAGACATGGGCATGGGTCGCCATGTAGACTGTGACACAGAATGTGCGAACACCCGCGATGCACACCACGTGTCTCCCTTCTCCCTTAGATCCGTGTTTCCATCGAATTCATGGTCCCAAAGGGAGAATTGATGGAGAGTGGAAGGAGGGATTGAGTGAAGAGTGGATGACCTTGTACAAAAGACAAGGTCGTGACGTGCAGGTGTCGCTCCCCAGAAACTGGGGATTGGTTCGATCTTTCGCGAAGAATACTGAGCTTGTTTGATGACCAAGGTATTGATCTCGCCTTGGGCTCCACCTTGCATCGCGATATGGGAGGGGAAGGGTAAGCACAAAGGCAGAAGGAGAGGATTGGGATGGATTTTGGGTGTACTTTTCCAGGAAACTCTGCTGTTTTGCAGAGCAGAATATGGAACAGGACATGCAGTAGGATGCATATAAACGAAAGCTGAGGCGAAAGAAGTTGGAAAAAGATCAAAGAAAAGGAGAAACGAGAACCCAAACAACGCCATACCCGTAGGAATAATATCATCAATTTAAATGACAAAGAAGCCAATGCCGCAAGTCCGGTGGGACATTGGGTATGTGGCAAGCGTTCACAGCATCATGGTATCGGGACAATGGGGGGCCGTCTTTGCCAGTAGAGGCACTTGGATTCTCTTGCTTCGTTCGAGCCCTCGAGCTAGGCATAAATCCGGCTCAGAGTACCGCGTTGCGAGTCGCAAAGTGTCATGAGTCACAGATGCTAACCATGATGTGGAGGAAAGGAGTTGCTGTACAAGATGGTGGCCGGGAGGGGCCCCTGTCCCACGCTCATGGACCCTAGGACAAATGTGTCGAGGCGAAAGAAAAGATTCTGTCCCCGGCCGCAATTGAACATCCATGCGGATTCAAGAGCATATCGACCAAGTTTGATTTGTGACAGACTCTACGTGAAGATACGTCTCTGCGACACCTGACTGTTGGGGGCACTTCCGAGCTTGGGCCGCGAGGATTTCGCAGGAGTGGGTGAGCCCATGTCCATGTCTTCATCGTCCATGTCTTCGTCAATGCGGAATCCCACGCTCTTCGTAAAGAGGTTCAGTGGCCTGGGTTTCGAGGCGCCCATGTCTTCGAGTATTCTATCCATTCCGTCGACGTCCAGGTCCCCAGCGGCGAGAAGGGCTTGATCTGAGGTCGGCGGAGCGATACGAACTTCTGTTTGCGTGGCTGCATCGGTTGTGGATACTGCTGGGAGTGGGCTCAATGAAAGAATGAGACGGTGATCGGTTTGAATGAGGAAGTTTGGGAAAGAGGAGGCAATGCCAAACAAGCCAGGTGAGTCACTATTGTCGTTATCTGGTTTCGGAAAGAGGCTGATACTGCGTTGTTGTTGTCCTCCGTATCTGATGGCCGGAAGTCGGGTCGGTTTACCCTCCGACTTCCAAAACGAGAGGATAGAAGGAATGTAGACATTTCCATCAGCGTAGCTTATGATGACAGACTCGTCGCGCCCTCTGTTCGACGACTTGTCCTCGATGTGGATGCTTCCTTGTTGGCTGTATGGTCTTGCTGTGGTGTCATCCCCTGTTTGACCATGAAACAGGTTCTCCGATCGCGTTCTCCGTGTTGATGGCGTCATGGGGACCAAGGAACCTGTTGTAGGTTGGTTTGAGGTGTTGGCTGGTTTTTGTTTCCTTTCTGCCGTGGAAAAGATATTCGATCGAACAGCAAACGCTGTCAGTGATCCACCATGGATGCCAGAGATATTTCCTTGTCCTCTGATCAGATTGCTCCCGGCGCTGTTGGACGTCGGGCCAACTGCCTCGAGATCCCAGATACCCCATTCCCCGTCCTCGAGTAATGCTATCACGGCCCGACCAGCAGTAATCCACTGAGCATCAAGGACTCGTTTCCGTCTCAGTGTGGCTGTGTCGTTAGCTTGGATCACTGAGGGGAGAAACGTGATGAGGAATCTCCCACGTCCGCCGGCACTAGTCCGTAATGAGCGGTTGCTTGATACAGTGTCAACTGTTGCGGTAGATCCTCTGCGTTCTCTTGTGTGAACTGGGAACACTTGGTAGAGCTTGACACACGAGGCAGCAGGGAGGACAATGAGTAGGGTAGAATGTCGTTCGGCGGGATATGGACAGGTATTGAAGACCAGTCTCGCACTCATGGAAGAGGAGCGTAGGTACTGTCTGCGGATTGGTGTCAAATGATCTGGATCTGTGGCTAGAGCATTGTTGCTCAACAATGGGACTTGATGTACCAATAGCAACCCTGAACCGCTACACGATATCGAGGCAACGAGCAGAGACCACTGCTGAGCATCCGACTCAGTAGACTTCTGCTTCGATTGTGACCCGGCCTCGATCCGTTCGTTATCTTCTAGATCGTTTGACACCACCTTAGTGTGCGTGATTGCGATGTCGGAGATGTACTCTGGATGAGAATTTGGACCGATGATCCTCACTATCTGGACGTCAAGTTTTGATACATCCTTCACTTCGGGTGCCGGGGGGTCGAGGGGGGCCGATATGATGCGGATAGTTGAATCCGCACAAGCAACCGCCACCACAATTCTCTTGAGATAGACTGAGGGCCACGATTCCGTGGGCGCTTGTATAAAGTCTTTTGGAATGTGAGGTGCTGCCACCTGCAAGGCTGCGGCGCCTAGTGGTATATCGACGTATCGAAGGACATCTCGAAAAGGAGCAGAAGGGTCGACCTCATCCTCGTAATCTTCAAAGTCTACAGTTGGATTGTGCTGCTGTCTTGCGGCCGGCTCTTCATCGTCGTCGTCATCGAGGTCAATGACCATGGCATCGCTTTTGGTAGTTCCATTTACTTTTGGATGCGGCACCTCTTGTTTTGGTGGCTTAAAAGACCTCCCTCCGTACCAGACAAGACGCAGGCCCTGTTCATGTCCATATATTATCACCGTCGAACCATTAGACGACTGGCGGGGATAGACGTGCGAGGTGTACGCTTCGTGCGGGAGTTCGTAGCTGGAATCGTCGGTCATCATAAAGGCAACACGACACGGGCAAGGATAGCTTACCTTAGCTGAAAGCGCTCGTTCTGCCGGAGCACTGATCGCTTCATACTGCTGGCTGCCCTTCTGTATACGACTGTCGAGTTGAGTACTTGATGGAGGAGATCGAAAGTGCCGTTAACGTTGTTGCGGAGATGCAAGATTCCCCAAACTTTTTCGAGCGCGTCGCGTGTCATTGACACAGCCGCCTACATAATTCCACTTCACTTACCACAACTTCTGCAGTTGACTGTCCACAGTCCATGGCATCTTTGGCACGCCCGAGATATGGCTGAAGAGCCTAGTCGGTCAAATTTATCCCTAATGTCCATTGATTTGCCGCCTCAGAGACGGAACCATGAGTTCAGTTCAGTCGCTCGGCCTCCATGAACCAAGCGGGCTGCACTACCTCGTCGCCGAATCGATTCTACCTCCCGATCCCTCACCTTCTCTCTACAAATGGACGGTGTCCCGAGTGCGAGATCCTCCCTCCGCGGGCTTCATAGAGGAGGAGATTCTCTATACGGAACATTGTGTGGTATGGTCTAGAAATGGAGCCATAAAACGGGCACTGAACCTGGGGGTTGAGGAGGAGCCCATTCTACACGCCTTTGTCACACAATTCGGTTCCGTTGAAGAGCATGAAAAAGCAACTGTACACTATCCAGCCCATGAAAGAGTTCCGAAGCTACTGGAACGTGGCCTTGTGGTGGTGCTCAAAACCCAGGCTCACATCTTTCTCCTCTCTGGTGATGGCTACGTCCTTCCTCTCTCTTTTGAGGTTGAATCGGCGTTTCCATTTCCATCTGGATTCATACTACAGCGAAAGCTGGGGGAAGATGAAGCTGGTGGTCGCCCTCTCCCGCTACACCATGATCTCAGCACTATCAATGAGACCTTGACTTCTATTGGAGGTAACAGTTCGAGACCATCACTTATCCTCCCAGAGAGGGATGAGCCGGCGCCGAAACTCCTCCCGGGCACCTCCAGCGGCATGCCGCGCACATTCTCTCTTACCCAACTAATGTCCGAGTTGGGTCTGGTGGTATGGAGTCCACATCGGAAGGGCGAGCCACTTGAGGAATGCAATGCACTGCCCCGGACAGAAAAAGTTATCTTCGTTTCGCAGTATGACGACCTGGAGTTGTTCCAATATCCAACCAGACCGGTGTGCGTGGCTTTGACTCTGAACGAGACCAACTCAACTTTCAGTATTTGGCATGTCAGTTCAGATACAGTGGCTGAGAGCGGCGGCAAGCCGGGCGAGAAGGCTGATCGTGTGCGGCCACGGGCTTCGTTGAGGAAAAGCTCAAATGTTTACCGACGAGAGCCTGGAGAAGCACCTAAGTCCGCACGGGGACCCAGTCGTCTCAGAGAGAGTCTTGGAGGATCAGGCCAACATTACCCCGAAGTGCCTCTATTTCCTTCTGCGGAAGAACAAAAATCGTTTCCTCCAGACGCAACAGATGATCTTGCTTCTCAACTCGGTCCTGAGTTTGGAGATGTAGGAGTGCAAACGCGTTCAGCTCGAAGAGTTAGCTCCATGTTGGCGCGAACCGATCTAGGTGCAGGAACAGACCGAAACATGTTCAATGATCTTGCAATGGGCCATGGAGGGCGCCAGAGTCTTCATCGAGCAAGTAGGCGAGGGGAGTCCATTGGGAGTTTCAATGACCGGCGAAGCTTTGGCTTTCGTCGACGAAGTTCCTTTCCCACAAATGCATCTATATTCAGTACAGGGACCTCGTACTTGGATGTGTCAGCTCAGGGGCTACTGGAAGACCTCGACACTTTTCGGCAATCAACGCGTTTAGAAGAGGATAATATCCATGTTTCGGAAAGCAACCTCCCTAGGGATATCGGATTCTTCAAGATCAAATCTTTCCCCAGATCCCATGGGTCAGAGGAAATCAACTCCAGCGTCGAGCGAATAAAAGTTCTGACTCTGACTCCTCAAGCCCAAGACCGAAACGTCTCGCGGACAAGAGACATATACCTATGTGTAATGGATAAGTCACACCAGGAGCTTACCTTAGTGAGAGTGCTGGTGAGGGTTGACACCCATCAAAATGAGAGGAGCCGCAGCGCTCCTCAAGCATCATTCGAACTCAAAGCTACGGAAACGCGCAGATTGTCTGGCATCAGAGATGTGTGTAAGGTCGTGGATGGCCACATTCAGCGACTTGTCGTCCTGACACAGTCTCGCTCAGAACTCATGTCTTTGCAGCTAGAAGCACCTTGGTCTCCGTCCTACCGAGTAGATTTTCCTGCACGGTACTCAATGTTCGACCCCTTCATGGGCCCACATCCCAACAGTCCGAGGAAGGACAAAGACACAGGAAGCAGGAGAATCATTCCTGGTGCTGAGGTACACATGCGAGGTCTCCTTGACTCTGGGTGTCAGGCCCAGATTTATGCCATTGATCAAGACCAGCGTCGACATTCCATCCAATTTCGACTCGCCCCGCGAGATGGTTTGGTGCTTGATATCCTCAAGATGTGTGACCTGATACTGGGAGTCACCCAGCGCGACACCCTGCTGGTCAGTTTTTGGGAAGTTTCGCGCTGGTTGAAAAGCAGAGATCCGCAAATCGAGTCAGAATGGGTTGCTCTTGTCGTTGTTCTATTCTCACTTGCTGTGCCCTTTATTGGCAACCCGTCGTCACAATCCACTCCGACTCATCGCCGGAAAAAGGGTGCTCTCCTTCGATCCAGCAGCGGAAGCTCCATTGACCTTACGAATTACGATGCTCTCCATGAAGGAGACCATGATATGAATTCAAACGCTGGTATGCACGGCCCAGCATGGAATTGGCTGTCGCAAAGACGGCCGATGACTTTGTCAACGACACCGAAGTCGAAGCACCAAGGGGTTGCAAGCACATCCATTGTCGGTGACAATGTTAACGAGAGAAAGAATTCGTTTATCATGAGATGCATTTCCCTTGCAAGGGAATACACACAATCACCTCTGGGCGAAAGCGCTCTGGGCCCCGAGGGCTATCTACCGACGTCAATCAATAGAGACCGAGATGACCGTTGCAATGCAATCCCAAAAATTCTCCTAGGCTTGCATCTCCTATACGAAGAAAGCAAACTTGACATTACAGCACCATTAAGAACGGCTCGATCACAATGCAATTTGGTGATGGTCATGTCACAACTTGGTCGCTGGCTTGGATGGAAAGACTGGTCCTCTGACACTAATACCTATTATGAATTTGAATCAACAGATGTCAACAACTGCATCTTCGACCCTTCAAATATCGACGGTCTTCGTATGCCAGCCCAGCCCTTCAGGCCTCCTTCAATCTACGAGTACCTTGAAAGTTGGATACAGGGTACTGCTTCCTCTCCATTCATAACGCTGGCCAGAATAGCCGGAGCTGGCGAGACGATGGAAAGCGACGATCCATTGTGGCAGCGGACAAAAGGATTGACACCTCGGACAATAGGACTTCTTTCGTTCATGCAGCACGCCAACCGCCATCTAGGAACTCAAAAGATGATCGAGACCATGTTGAGGGTCGGGCTTGACGAGCAGATTCTGCGCAGTCTACCTGGAGGTGTAGCTGCCGCTTTTCATCAAGCCATAGCTTCCAAGCGTAACAAGATTGATGAGAGAATCGGAACTGAATACGACAGTTCATCGGGGCAGGCCCATAGACAACCTGATCATTATCATGGGCAACATGCACACAAATCACAGTTTGCTCCTACTCATGAAGCAGTGAGAGACTACCACAGCATTTGCTCGTCTGCCCTAGAGGCCGAAGCGCTTCAACGTTGGGATGCATCTTCTGAAGCCGACCGAAATTCTATTACAAGATTGATCTTTAGAGAGGACCGTCGCTTCCCAGAAGCTTCCAAACTTGTGAACCAGACACGAGCGCCGTTAGTTGAATGTACCCCGGAACCGGAGTGGACAGAAGTCGATCTTCTGGAAGCACAAAAGGAATTGGCTCAGCATGTCACTCGACGGACATTGTCTGTAGCAGCAGGACGAGGCATGATGCATTTCAATGCTCGAGTGCCTCTTTTGACTGAGAGAGTGCCGATCCCAGCGTTCAGCTTGCAATGTATCATGAAGCCCCTAAAGAACAACGAAAGTACCCAACCTATGACCTTCAGCGCCGACAAAGCTTTATTCACCGAAGAGAAGGTATGTTGGGCGTTCTTCCACAACGGAGCGTCGATGGGTTTGATGATCTCAAACGACGCTCAGGGTATCGATACGTCTTGGATTCTCTACAACAAGCCACCGGAATTGACCAACCGACATGCCGGCTTTCTGCTTGCGTTAGGTCTCAATGGCCATCTGAGAACACTTGCAAAATGGGTGGCCTTCAAATACCTCACTCCTAAACATACAATGACGTCCGTCGGACTGCTCCTTGGCTTGTCTGCCTCTTTCCTGGGGACCATGGATACCTTGGTCACACGACTTCTTTCAGTCCACGTCACACGGCTCCTCCCTCCTGGTGCTGCTGAACTGAATCTCTCGCCGTTGACCCAAACCACCGGCATCATGGGCATTGGGCTTTTGTATCACAACTCTCAACACCGTCGCATGTCTGAAGTGATGCTCTCAGAAATCGAAAACAATGACCCTGAAGAAGGAGCTGCTTCCGATACCGTTCTCCGCGATGAAGGCTATCGCCTGGCTGCAGGATTTTCTTTGGGCCTCATCAACCTGGGACAAGGCAAACGTCTCCATGGTCTTCACGACATGGGCGTCGTCGAACGACTGCTGACTATCGCTGTAGGGACGAAGAACGTGAACATGGTTCACGTTCTGGACCGGGCTACGGCAGGAGCCGTCATGGCTCTGGCGTTCATCTTCCTCAAGACAAACGACGAGGCCACTGCTCGCAAGGTTGACATTCCAGACACTCTCCATCAGTTCGACTATGTGCGACCTGACATCTTTCTCCTGCGCACTCTAGCTCGACACTTGATTCTGTGGGATTCGATCAAACCCAAGAAGAGCTTCATTGAAGCTTCGTTACCCGATCCCTACAGGCGACGTACCGATCTCAAATCTACAAAAATGCTCAGCACAGAAGATCTACCTTTTTTCAACATCGTAACAGGAATCTGTTTCGCGTTGGGGTTGAGGTTCGCTGGCTCACAACGACACGACGTTCGCGATTTGCTGGTTTCCTATCTCGACCAGTTCCTCCGGCTAAGCCGATTGCCAGCTCACAACTACGATGCACGAGTGACATTAAATAGTGTCCGGAATTGCCTTGATTCACTCGCCTTGGCCACCGCTTCTGTAATGGCAGGGTCCGGGGACTTGGTGGTCATGCGCCGCTTGCGGGCTCTGCATGGGCGGACAGACAAGGACACACCATACGGAAGCCATCTCGCAGCTCACATGGCTTTAGGTACGTTATTCCTTGCGGGAGGAACGAGGACCTTCGGCACTTCCAATGTCGCCATAGCCAGTTTGTGCATAGCGTTCTACCCTGTCCTCCCCAACGACGTTCTCGACAACCGTGCTCATCTCCAAGCTTTGCGCCATCTGTGGGTCCTGGCTGTCGAAGGTCGGTGTCTTGTTGCTCGTGACGGCGACGCCGGAGGCTCTGTGATCGGCGGGGTTACCGGGATCATCCACCTCAAAGACGGAACTACACAGTTGATCCGCCTTCCTGGTCTCATACCCGAGTTTGACGCTATCCAATCTATAGAAGTCAAAGGCGAGGGCTTTTGGGATGGCTTTATCGACTTGAATCCTAAAGTGGAAGGGAGCAAGGCTCTCCGACAGAAATTCAAGGCCGAGAATGCCGTCAACATCATCCTGCGCCGGCGGGCTGCGTACGACAGGCCTTCTGAAGATCTTTTCACGGCAGAACTACAAGCTTTAAGCGAGGGAGAGGGTATTCCAAGCGTGGACCCGAATTCCGCCACGATGTATACCTACTCTCATGGAGGTGGAGGGGCGAGTGGAACCGGTCCAGGTACATCGAAATCGGGCAATCCGTTCGAATGGCTGTTTGAGCTTGGATCGTTAAGAGACTTCGATCACGCGGAGCGGGCACTCGTGGTGAATCCGACACCAATCGGGGAGTGGAATGCCAAAGAATTGTTAAAACCCACCGTCGTGGATCTCAGACTTGAGCTCGAGATGGGCATTCTTGCGCCGAATGTCGGGTTGATGAGATCCTTGCCGGCGCCAGGTCAGGGTCAGATGCGTAAGGACAAACTGTGGCAACTCCGCCTGTTGTTCGCGTGGCTTGATCGGTGGGAGAAAGACGATGAAGAGATCGAGCTGCAGCATGGCACCGGTTACGGCGATGATGATAAATGGTTCAACAAGTCCGGCGGAACGTGGTTGAGGAAGGAGGTCATTGAGCGGTTGAGATGGCGGGTGTGGAACATGACGACTGGGGGACAGAGTGGTGTCGGTTCTGGGATGCGCCATGACTCAGAAGGCGAATTGTGATGTACATGAAGGGGCATAAGGCCTCGCATTGAAGTAACCGGTGGCGGTCGACGGCCGGACGTCGAATTGGGGGATGGGCAACAGCGGGAGTGTCAGGGATGATGGAATGTTGATATTGTTCTACTGCACTATGAACGAAGGCGAGTCGGAATCATCAGGCTGTGACACAGTCTGGAAGCTCAAGGTAGGTTGAACTGTTCTCCGTAAACTCAGCAAAGGGGGTATAAATTCAATCACGTCAATGAAGGCACAAAAAAATCTCTCTGGTAAACTGTCATCCCGCTTCGCCTTCTCAGATGCCCTCCGCGTAAAAGAAAAAGGCGTGAGAGCAGCTCGTTTGGGATCCGTGCAAATTCTAGCACTGACCCCTCTGGTGGTCGCGCCTCAAGATATCCTCCAAGCGTCGCCGATTCCATCCAAAACCATCGAGCCGCCGCCGACTGCCCACCTAGTAAGGACTATTGACGATCTCGTTTCTCAGATGGCTCTGCCTACCGCTGCGTCTTGGCGTGGTCAACCCTCCACTGATCCTCGCCGGCGGCCCTGCAATGCTTTCTCGTGTTGGCTTCTTAAAGCTCCTCCGGCTGACCATGTCAACTTCGTTGGGCAGTGCCAGGATGACGTTCTTGTCTGAACCAAACTCGAAATTGTCTGCCATGACCTGTGCCACATAGCGCTTGATCTGGTACGGGTCCTTGTTGCCAGCAAGCACCTTCTTAAGGTTCCAGGTGACAAGGAAGGGCCCCGTCGAAGTAATAATGCTGGTTTCCGAGCTGTCTAGGCCAGTGTTGAATTTCGCAGGGGTGAATGACAAAGGAGCGCCAGTCTCGTGTTGGAACTGCGCCACGTGACTAGGGCTCAAACCGAGCCGGCGCGGCTGAGGCTTGCTATCTTTTGCAAAAGATTTCTCAAACCCAAGTTTACCTTCATTCTTGCCGTCCTTCTGAAGAGCATCGATGAGAAGTAGATATGTACGACAGGTTGCAAGGATCCATCGACCGTCAGCACTGACATCAAGACCGATGATAGATTCACCAAGAGCGGGAATATGAGTTTTGGCGTTGACTCCCAAACGGTCAAAGAGACGAACATCGCCCTTGTTCGATGCCACCGCGATGTGGCCTTTCTCATCCGTAGCCGCAGCAGAGAAGTCGTTCTTTGACATGTATTGCTTGAGTTGACTTTCCACAAGCTTGTTGCCAGCAACACGAGGGTCAATCCGGAAGACGGCGTTCTTGCTGTGGCCGATGAATGGCTGCGCAGATGTGCGTTGGGCAAACTTGGTTTCGGGAGCAAAATTTGCCACTGGAATATCATCATGAACCTTCCATTCGTCCACAACTTTACCGTATTCGAGATCCATGCGGTATAGGGAGTTAGGATTGCTGGCGTCTTGTAAAATCATGTTCTGGTCTTCTGAGTGCAGCATGACCTTGGCTGGTGAGAAAATTCGTCCCTTAGGAGTTTCGACTTTGGAGATATTGGTTGTGAATTCGAGATGTCGGTTTGGCAGATGCTTGAAAACGCCGATCTTGGAGCCTCGAATGACGAAGGATCGATCATGCTTCGTTCCCACGGCCAACTGCGAATTGACATTTCCATCCTTGTTGTCCAGCTCAACATCGTCTTCTGACTCGTCCGTGTCGTAGTGTTCACTTTGCCGTCCGCCATCAGTGTCTTCTTCATCTTCCTCTTCCTCCGCCTCGTCTTCCTCCCCGCCGCTGACATCATCCAATGTGATGTCGTTGAATGCCTCAAACACATATTCACGCTCAGTGTCCTGAACCTTGGACCATTTCGTCTCATTGAGTTGCTCCCATAGTGCTTGCATAATCCCTTCTTGGAAGCTCTCAAGGACCTGTTGGTTCGGAAATCGTAGAAGCCAGGAGTAAGCGGATCCATCATCGGTGTAGTGATTGAAGATTACCGACAGATATTCAAAGTTGAAGACAGGATTGATGTCGGCCACAACGTCTTGTCCAAGCCATTCCCTGCCATCAGAGCTAGTGATTTGCAGCCAATACCGCCACTTCCCCAGATCGGAAACAACGGCCACTACAGATGGGTCCTGTAGAATGAAAGTGGCGGAATTGAAGTCAAAGAGATGTAGCTCCCCCGTTTGCTTCGTGAGGACTTGTCCGGAGCTGGGGGCGGTCTTGGCAACCGGCGCCGCTGTTGAGGTTGCAGTTGGCTCTCTCACGTTGCCGGTATTGGCCTTCTTAGGAGTGCTGACGTCTTTGGCCATGCGCTCGGCTGATTCTTTCGAAGTAGGCATGTCGTCGACAGGACTGGAGACGGGGCTAGCGGCAGGAATTGCGGCGTCGGTCTCGAAATAAAACTCTTTCAATTCGGCTTCGGTGGCGTTCTGGGAGGATGTACGGTGCTTTCGTTCGTACTGGCAGTCAATGGCAGCTAGCAGAAATGTCTGTATCTTGTCTTCCTGAACCGAAGCGTCACACACGAATTCGTAGACGTCGCCCGGATCACCGCTCAAGTCGCGCCAAGCAAGAATAGAATCACCGCCAGCTCTCTTTTCGCATCTGAAATGCAGACTCTGGTCAAGAAGGAATGTTTTCTCGTCCTTGTCTAGGCTCTCGGCCGCTGCGTCCTCATCGTCTTCGGCAAGTTCTTCCTCTCCTTCTTCATATGCACGTTGTACGACGAGCTGGTATTGGAACTCCTGTCCTGTCCTTCTGATTGTCGCGACGGCGTCTTTGTAGATGAGTTCGGAATATCCCTTTGGCGATAGAGGACGAACGAGATAGAGCTGGCCTTGGGGAATCTCGGCAATGACTTCCTTGGACGCGTCTCCGAAGAGATATTTGCTGACTAGAAACGAGGTCAAAGAGTGTCCAGGGTGTGAACATTTGGTCGTGCAGGAAGGAGCGTACCGTTCTTGATCATAAACATGGTGGCGGGGCTCTGTGTTGGCCAGTCTGTTGTCGGCAAGGTTTAGACGCTCTACAAAGGGCGAGACCAGATATGATCCAGCAGGACACCGGACAGATGAGGGCTACCAAGCAGAAATAGTCATTTGCAAGAGATAAGTCCAGATGGCAAATATATTAAGGGCGCAACTCATTAATGTTGACAAGAAGATTCGTTCCCGATCCCAGATGGAGCCGCAGGCAGCCCCAAGCAAGAAAGGCCTGTTTGGGCTGTGACGCAACTGGAGCCTCCCACCACTAGCAGCAGCCTAGGCTCATTACAGTTAGAAGTGATTGCAGCATAGACTCAGAAGGAAGGGGTCAAAGTCCCGTGTTTTACTCCGTACTCCGTCCTCTGGACTCCGTAATTAGGGAAGGACCAGGCACCATCAGGTTGGTTGATCCCGAAAGCAGCCTGTTGAGTCCAGTCCCTCCGCCAGCCTCGACCACGCGCTAGTCAAAGCCCCAAGGCTGAAACATTCAAAACACCCGCCTGCTGTTCCGTCCCATCCCACCTGCGCACACCTTGAGAACACCACCATCCAGCCTGTTACTTTCTCGGAGCACGGTATTCTCTCCCCGCTCTCGATCTGCTCACCGTCATCCCTCCCTGATGCTCTTATGGCCTCAAAGGACGATTCAGGCACAGATCCCCTTCAGCCTAGACGCTCTCGATCAACACTCGCGGACAATCCTCACCACCCCAGTTCCGCCGCGTACCTGGCCTACCCTGTCAAACATGTCGTGTCGAGCCTCTATCGTCGTATGACCGAACCCCCGGAGTATCCCGTGGGCAAACTACTCGAAGCTCCCACCATTTCATCCGCGTCGCCTGGCGTTTATGCGCCTCCCAGAAGAACACATTCTCCTTTCCAGCCACCTCCACTGACACCTCTCGAACTCAGACATGCCTTGTCACTCAAGGCAGCGGAGTCGCTTCTATTGACACGGTCCTTGGCCGAGGAGATTAGATTACTACTACCCCCCAGGCTACAGCTGATCGATCACTGGAAATTGGCATACTCGTTGGAGGTGGATGGATCCTCCTTGGCAACATTATACGAAAACTGTGCAAGGGTCTCGACATACACGCAGCGCTCAGGTTATGTCTTAGTCGTGCGTGACGGCTCTGCAGCCTCAGCCAATGGCTCTGTCTTTGGGGCGTACCTTTCAGATGTACCCAAACCTTCCATGCACTACTTCGGAACCGGAGAGTGTTTCTTGTGGCGAGCCACCATTCTGCCCGCGTTGAGGGATTTGCCGGCGAACCTGGACAGCAATATACCCTCTCACTCAGAAGAAATTCTCGAGTTAGCAGGGCTACCTCCTCCTCCCAGCGCCGACACTACCAACCTTCAACGGGCAACAACAATCCGCGGCGAGCGCCGGACGTCTTCCGTATCCAAGCCCACTCCAAGCACGACTGTCACAGGGGAACAGCCAGATCGGTCAGGGTCCTCGACACCTGATCACATACGATTCAAGGCGTTTCCCTATAGCGGTGTCAATGACTTCTTGATCTACTGTGAAAGCAGTTATCTTTCCATCGGGGGCGGCGATGGTCACTACGGACTCTGGCTGGATGATCAGCTGAACAACGGCATTAGTGAGACCTGTCCGACATTTGGGAACGAGCCATTGAGCGACGAAGGCCGCAAATTCGAGGTTCTCGGCGTCGAGGTCTGGTATGTCGGTGCTTGACTGGCTCGGTTTTTTCACAGTACAACATACCTCACTTGAAGGCTATATTGTGACTGTGCATCATCTTGTCCGCAATGAAAGGCTGTCGAGAGGCAACCCATGACGGCCATCGAGTTTCAACAAGATTCTTGGAACATCAGAGAAGAGATCTAGCAGCCCAGGATGCAAGACAAAATGAAGGCGCTTGCTGTGCCTGAAAGGAGACCAGAAGCTCTACGAACGTTCACTCCGTCAGCTGACCCAGTCATCACGGTTTCCAAAAAAGGGGGGGTATGCACTCTCGGCTTGGCACAGAAAGACATGATAAGGAGGTCGGCGACCCTAAGATGAACAACTCGATGATCCTTACGAATTGGAAGTACCTGCTTATGACATACTTACCGAGGGATTTACTGTAAAACGACGGAATCTCTGCAGTGGACTCCGCGGAAACTCCGCGGTATGGTCGACTCCTGACACTGTCATTTCTGCAGTCAAATGTGGTGCATGGTAGACCGCTATGTAGCTATTGACCAACACAATACGTGGTGTCAGGAAAGGTCTTGCAGCCTGGCGACAATACTTGGGAAATACTTGGGCTGAGCTGGTGCGAAGAAGAGATACGTTCCTCTAGCAAGTACTTGTGTTTTGTCGCTTTGGGAAGACAGCGCACTGCAGGATGTTATGGAATGGCCCCTTACATGGCATATTACATGTCCACACTACCTAAGCGGAGTCTTGACAGCTCTTAGAACTGTGCGAAGGCTGGGTGGAATTTATATTCCTTGATCAAGTGCCATGGAACTACAATGTATCAAGATTGCACATGGAGAGCAATGATGTTAAACGAACTGGGGAGACAGTCACTGACCAAGCAAATGTGCGATCACAACTGCTGGATGCGGAAATTTGCCCCTGTCATAGTACTCGGTGCTGTGCAGTGTGCATCGTACATTGGTACAGTGGATTCCGGCCCAATCATAGAGTATAAATTATGCATCAAGCAGGCAATCTGCCCAGAATCCAGCAGGATTATGCACAAAGTTGGGTCCTAGAGGAAATCCCAGATCCAACTCATGTTTGAGGTAGTCAGTCCGGGACTCCAGCATGAGGAACTCGGGGTTACGGATACAGTTGACAGCCTCGATAGACGTGAAGAGCTGGGGAGAAGGATTCTTATCGAGTAGCGAAGGGTTAGTCATCATTCAGCACCAAGAGCGTAAACAGGCAAAAATGTACCGTCAGCAAGTCTCTGTACTCCATACTCGTCCGAACTCGTGCATACTCTGTGGTAGGATTTTCTCCGGTCCGAGAGAACGGAGTCGCTCCTATTCTTCTCGTGCACCAGTGTACAGGCCCGGAGCAAGGTGGGGGGGAAGTTACCGAGAAATGACAGGGACATAAAAAAGCGACAGCAGGAATTGATAATCCGCGACAGGCTGATGCACAACGCTTGCATAAGGCCTGACCACTGACCACGTGGGCCGCTGCCCGAAGACAGCCACCCGCCTGCCTGTCGCGACCCAGCCTCCAGATATTATTACATACCTAACATATTGGATTTGGCATCTATTAATACTTCCAGTCTATCGTCTGATAAATCAGTGACTGACAGAGCACAAACAGCGAGAGACTACCTAATGAGGGTGGTATTGTCTGTCAGCGCGTACTAGGCCGGTGCTTCTCTTGCTGAATACGCACCCCTCCGAGTCTCGCTCTCTCTCATCGGCCCTGTACGTGTAGTGCGTCTTTTTCTAGCCTAGCAGAAATCACGGCTGCGAAGTATACGGTCAAACCTGGTTGCTGTAAAATGAATGAGTGTCGGTGGGTGCTGTGTCTCCGCTTCAATTCGAACATAGCGCTGTCAAAACAGTTCTCATGACCGTCCGAGGCCCAGTCGATCGCAGATCGCAGCGATCCTGGGGGCGAGGCTCGCGCCTTCGCTCTTTGACTGCGGCTGTTAGGACCCGTAGTTGTTGCCGAGTCGCCGAGAAAGTTACTTGGAACGACTGACAGTGGGTTCGCCTCTCCCTTTTTTTCTCCCTCGAGGCATTTTCGCCCAGAGGGCGCTTTCCAGAATCGTCTCGTACCCGACGTACGAGACGGTGTATTGAATATTCAGACTTGCACGGCGGGCTGCTTACCTGACGTCTGGAGCCAGTTGTAGGTCCTAGGGAGCAAGTACGAGTACGGAGTAGACCCTGCTGATTCAACGTGGCCGTCGATTACTCACCCACGTACCTCGTATCGACTAACTAGCTGAGGTTGGACTAGTGGTACTAGTCGAACTGTCTGTGACGGTAATAATCCCTATTCGGCGCGTCAAGACGAGGCACTCGTCGCAAGTCAGGTACCTGGTACGGTATCCACATACCGTGCGCCGTGTCATTCTTGTCACTGCGCTGTTACAAGCTCAGAATCGTCATGTCGTCGTCACCGTGCTCCCTCCTCTTTGAGCGAGCCTCTATCCCACTCCCACCACCACCTCAGGACTAAGTTGCGCACCTTTTGGCCGGTCGCTCTTCCACAGGCTCGCTGCCGTTAGCTTCTAGCGTCCTCCATCGTTCCACCCTTCCCCCCTGTCCTGTCGGCCGCACCAGCATCCGTACATCCATCCCAGTCGTGCATCATCCTTTTGGGTTCGCTCCCCTGCTCCTCGAGTCTGGTCGCCGTGCATCAAACTTTTACCGCGACCGCGCGCTGAGGCCATTTGCTTTGTTACGCCATGCTCCACTTGTCACTTCTGTCTGCTATCTTACTAACCCCGTTGCTCTACTAACGATATATAGGCCTTTGCTGCCTCGTAGCCCTCCCCTCCCAGAAGTCCACATGTCCACCTCTTGCCTCGCCCCGTCCTTCACCGTCCAGAAACTGACGAACAGATTGACTCGACACTGGCCTTTCGTGGCCGAAAACAAACACTCGACTTATCTATATCACACAGCAGAAGCACGCCTGGCTAATCACCAGCCCAATTGTACGGTCATCGTTGATAAAACCCCCTGTCTGCCCCCTCTGGCTTCTCGATCAGAATGGGCGCTACAGTCATGACCCCTCCGTTGGAACCCTCGTCACCCTTGGACGGTGGAATCCGGAAAAGAGTGTGCAAGGCTTGTGACAGATGCCGTCTGAAGAAGTCCAAGGTTAGTTGGGCCGCTGCACACCCATTCTCTGTCAGGTCTGACAAGTCTGCAGTGTGACGGTGCCAGTCCCTGTAGTCGATGTAAAGCAGACAACGCCATCTGTGTTTTTGGAGAACGGAAAAAATCTCAGGACAAAGTCTATCCCAAAGGGTAAGTCCTCAACAGAGCTCGTGGTGGAGGGTTCGTGTCTGACGTGGCATAACTACAGTTACGTGGAGATGCTTGAGAGCCAACAAGCCCAGCTCGTCGCAGGTCTACAAGAATTGTACAAGCGCACCCAGAACGGCCAGGGATGGCCAGGCTCGGCCTTGAAAGAGACCAGCCACGGTATCCCCTTGACGCACGACATTTTGGAGAGACTAGGTGTGCTGAAGCAAGATGGCCACGCCACAGAGGGCGTCTTTGAGGAGGACCTCACCGCCTTGCAGCAAAGGCTGTTTGCAGACGGAGCCGGCGTCATGCAGCGGCAGCCTTCCCACGAGTCACATTCGGACAGCGCGCCCTCGCCAATCTACGAACCCATCGCTCAGAGACCTACCCTGACGAACCCGTTCAGTGTGAGCCGGTTCCCTCCCACGCCACCCAACCAGAGTCCCTTCCCACAGAACGCTCAGGTGGCGCCGCCGACGAAGTCGCATACCTATCCTCACGCAACCACCCACCAGTCGAATCTCAGCTGGAACACGCCGGCTGGCGACTTTGACGACGGAATGGATTTCATGAGCCAGTTCGAGTCGCCCATGGTGGATGCCCCGATTGACTTGAATTCCTTCTCCACACCCATGTTCCAAGAACCGATGGGGACGGCCGCGATCAATCCCTGCCTGACGATGAAAGACTGGGCCGGCCAGGAAGATCTTCAACGGTACTTCAACCCGGCCATGATTTGACTTGTGGATCAACGGCCATGAATTTTTGACGACCTGGTAAAGCATTGCATCGAAAAGCGGGGCGAACGGCGCTGGGATATACGAGGGAGGCTTTCCAGATCAACTACAGTCGTTTTACTGTTGTGAACTGTCTTACACGTCATCGGGTGTACAAGGTGTACGGGAAACGGGGAGGTTTTTCCAGTCTTGGGGCGGCGTTTTGGGCGGTACTTGAGGACGCGTGAGAAGAGGACGCGTGAGCTGGCATGCTCTACACACCCCTCGCCACGAAGTTTCCTCGTACCAGGCGGACGGGAGTCTCAGCTAAGGCACGGGAGAGGTTGGCATCCCACATTGGCATGGGACGAATCATCATGGATCAAGGCCATCGCCACCGAAAGGTGTGTGTCGCCGTCGCACTTTCACAGCATGACCCAAGCCTTCTGAGGCCATTGAAATTGGCAGGGGGCAGATGTACACTACAGCACGGATATGGAGTATTGCAACCAAGTTGACCTGTGCGGAAAGTCTTCCGTGCGGAAGGGATGCGGGACGTCGATTGACGTGCACGGGCGCGATATATTGAAATCGAGTCATTCTACCACGATAGTACTAAGTATTGACATCACAAAGCCTACTTTACCTAGTAAGGCGAGCTTGGACGGCCGAGCCCTGGGCGGCTGCTCTTAGGCGCTGTCGGCCCTGCAGCGACATACATACACCTTCGGGCCCGAACCCTCGAGGCACTCGGCGGCCTTATACAGTGGTATTAAGTTATGCCTGTTCCGTCCCTTGAAATCCGTCCATCCCTTCGTCCTCGCAGCCTGCGTTCTGTGCGCCAGAGGGCGAGATACGACGTTCTAGTAGAGAGCAAGGGAGGAGGGAGGGGGGAGAGACCCAGCCGATGCGGGAATAATACATACGGGCGTATGTAGGCTCATACATGAGTGGCTGGGGTGGTGTTTTTCGTTCGCTCGGGGGGCCTAAATACTCTGTTTAAGCATACTCGTAGGTCAGGTAAGGTTGGTTGTGGTGGCCGATCTCCGTCGTTTCTCCGAGGGTTAGTACGAGGTACGGAGTACGGATACTAGGTGGTAAGCACACTAAATAGGCACCCACCTAGTGGCACCTACGGGACCTTGGGTGCCTAGGGCCTAGGGTCCTTAGGTTTCGGCTGACAGAAGTCCAGGGCCGCTTAGTCAGGAAGCAAATATTCTGACATAACCACGCAGGGTGATGGCACGATGGCTGGTGATGGCACTGCACACTGGCACAAGTCCACTCTTGAGCAAGGATGGCCTCCCAGGAATATTGACTTGCTGCGTACTCCGTACTACGTGTAGACTGCATATAGGTACCTAGTATGGATCGGTAGATGATCCTTGTTATCAATGATCTGTGGTATCAATAGGTAGTGAGAATTCTGGTCTGTATGGGTTGCACGGGGGTTTGACCCTGACTTGAGCCAGCAACGTTGGGTACAGGAGTCTCTTTTTCTTTTTCTCTTGTGGGCCAGATACACCGCTGCACTGGCTGGCAAGGTCTGGGTAACGGGGTGTTGCTGCCCAACTCACACTTTTATATTGATAGGCGTGTCTGGTTGTATCCCGAGTCTGTACCCTGGCCAAAGACTCGAGGGCGCCTGGTTTCTGTTGTGCCCAACTTGAACTTGAGGCCGCAGTGTTGCCTACCCTACCTACAGTAAGCCCTCGGCGTGTCCCCGCCTGGAGGGCCTACCTAGTACCTATAGCCTGAGCCTCCTGGGTACCTGACTAGGTGCCTGAGGCCGCTTAGCCTTGTGGTCACCTTCCGTGCCGGACGTACCAACCGTAATCACCTACACCTGAACCCAACTTGGCTCTTCTGCAGCATTGGCCTGCAAGGTTCATGAGAATACTTTTCTTGCAATCATGCCTCGATGATATTTCATTGTCCTCAACATCTCCGCATCCCAACCATGTTGTGGCAGCGTGCTCGACCACCGCCTCCACGCCGGCAAAATCGAGGCCTTAGTAGCCTTAGCCATAGCCCGGATAAATGAAAAATGGCCACCGGACTTTTGCTGGCCAACCAACCACAACCACAATCAATAAGCCTGATGTCGAGTTTCTTTGACGACTTGAATGCCACAAACCCTTTTCGCAGAAGGACTTTGTAGGTTGACTTTGCTTCTCCTTGTCTGATCGTACCCGTCGACATCTTTGCATCCTAACTACAACGACAACGGTGACTGCGACTGCAACTGCAACTGATAACTGTAGCTCCGCATCATGGCGTCAGACTCGGGCTTCTCATTCCTGCCTCAAGGCGCCATCATCCAAGAATTCAAGGTCGCCGGCCACAACATCGTGCTCGGCTACGCCCAACCAGAGCCATACGCAACTTCGCCCTTCTTCGGAGAGACCATTGGCCGGGTTGCCAACCGGATCAAGAATGCCGAGTTCACCGCGAATCATGGCAAAATCTATAAGCTTGCGGCCAACGAGGGGCCGAACCACCTGCACGGCGGAACGTCAGGCTGGGGCAAGAAGACGTTTCACGGGCCCACCCCCGTCGATCGCAACGGCCACGAGGGCGTGCGGTTTACCTACCTTTCGCCCGACGGTGACGAGGGCTACCCGGGAACCGTCGAGCTCAGGGTATGGTACACTGCCTGGACGGAGGAGGAAGACGGCGTGTCCAAGACGATCCTAGAGACCGAGTATGAGGTTGAACTGGTGGGGTCTGAATGCGAGGAAACGGTCGTCAACATCACGAATCACGGGTAAGTTTCGAGTAGTTCGTTGGTGAGCCTCGTCTCAGGGACTGCCCCCAAGAGGTCACCACGACTACCAAGTCCAGCACCGTTGCAAGTATCACAAGGGCCAGCCAGTCTGACACTTCTGCCGTGTGCACAGCTACTTCAACATCACCGACGGTCCAACCATCGAAGGAACAGAAGTGACATTGCACACATCCAAGTATCTGCCGGTGGACGAGACCGACATCCCTCTAGGCACGGTCGAAGACTTCCCCGGCATCGAAGCCGGCAAACCGTTTGTGCTAGGCGCCACGGAGCCGGACATCGACCACTGTTTCATCGTGGACACGGATGCTGCCAACGTCCCTCTCGACACTCGACAGCGACCGCTCGCACTCCTGCTCAGCGCCGCGCACCCAGGGACAAAGTTGCATGTGGACGTGTTCAGCACGGAGCCATCCTTCCAATTCTACACCGGCAAGTATATCAACACCGCGGCGACAGCAGACAGCCCGGCACGAGGGCCACGTGCAGGGTTCTGTGTCGAGCCGGCCCGCTATATCAACGCCATCAATGTGCCGCAGTGGAGGGGTCAAGTGCTGTTGAAGCGTAATCAACTCTGGGGTGCTAGGACGGTCCACAAGGCTTGGAAGGCATAGGCATAGCACAGGTATACAAAGCTTGGAAGGCATAGGCATAGCACAGGTATACAAAGCTTGGAAGGCATAAGCATAGCACAGGTATTTACTAAAGACAATCCAGATGGTTCACACTTGACACTCATGGTCCAGGCAGACGACTCTGAGGAGGTAGCTTGACTGCATGTTTCACCGTTCGAAGAGCACCGGATCACATGGCCTTTGAAACACGCGGGTACCAGGGAAAGAATGAAGAGATACAAACAGTAATCATTATAAGCACGCCGCATGCTGCGGGTTCTTTCCAGAAGGCGAGTGACACATACCTGGTAATCATCATCACAACCACAACCACCCCCGTAATCATACCCGAGCCATAGGGAGTATCCGTAATCTGATTATATATATTGGGCTCTTCTTCTCCCCACCCGTGCCATCCTTTTTCTGGCCGGTTGGCCTTTCACGCGGTTGAACCCTCAGCAGTCTCGCAAGTACAAGTACGGCAACTAACTACTCAACTACTATCAACGAAACAGGCGTGTACGGATACGTAGTATGTTTTAGTCTTAGTCGACGCGACAGTGAGATCAATTGCCGAGGCTTGGGGGGGCTCGACAAAATGCAAATGCCAAAACCAAAATGCAAAATGCCTCATTCATGATTCCAGAACGTAACGGCGCCTGCGCGAGACGGGTCGGCGGGGGGCCTTTTCTTGGAATGAGAATCTACATGTACTAATTACAGTACATACTACATACTACTCCGGACAGATCATACTAATTACAGAGTACGAGTACGGAGTACATACTACATACTACAGAGTACAGGGCATACTACGTACCTTACTACAGAGTAGGTATTACTATTAGGTAGGGTTACCTATGCAGACCCAAACAACAGGAATTCCATCTGTCAGCTACCTAAGTGTTGAGTACTCCGTATTGCGGGTCGAGGACCCTCCTTGATCCTCCGGCTTGCCTGACATAATTCCCTCGCCAGCCCACACCAGCCCTGACTAATAAAAGTCAGGGAAGGACGGTATTGTACTCCTTAGTAGGTATACATACTACGATATAAACTCCGTACTACGATATAGACTAATAATTAGTAGGTAGGTAGGTAGGTAGTGGGTAGGTCTGCTAGGTAAGGTAGCCTTAGCACGGAGTACTCGTACGGAGTTAAGTTAGTCTGGAGTCTGGAGACTAGAACAGCGATTTTATGTCAAGTTAGACACTGGTCAGTGGTCAATGGTCAGTGGTCAGTGGTAGTCACACTGGCAGTGTCAGCGGAAATCTGGGCATCGGCTGTAAATAAAGGCCGAAACCGACTTGAACGAAAATCCACTTCATCTGACATCCAGGCTGGTCGGACCGGGGAAAGGACGACCCGACTTTTGGGTTGGGGGGTTGTCCTTGTCTTCAGTTGGCGGGTTTGTCCTTGTCTTGTGTTGGCTTGGGCCTAACATCGGCTTTTGGGGGGTGTCCTTGTCTTATGTTGGCTTGGGCCTAACATTTAGAGTGATAATTGGAACGGAGAGTGCGCATACGTAGGACTGCATGGAGGGGCTTGTTTTGTTCGAGAGTTCAGGCTGTGCAGTGCAGTGTGACGGCTGCTCGGCTCAGTCGAGTCAGCCGGTGCCGGTCGATCGAGAGATCGCCATGGCAGGCATGGTCCCAGGTCCAGCGCATTCGCATTTCGAATAAGGGTGACCGACTCGGCCGACTCGGTCCTTACAGTCATATTGTTGCCACGCGGCCCCACGGGACGAAAGCCCGACTGAGGGGTTTACGGAGTACGGCCTGAGAGTTAGACTGGAAGCGCTCAGACCGGCCCGGTCGCCTAGTCAAACCGGCCCTGAAGGCCTTTGATCGACGTGTACGAAAGAATTATTGCGGGCGCGAGTATGGCGCGATGACCGCGGTGATGCGTGCGACACGACACGATGTGGTTATCAATAATCCCGATACTCGTACGATAATGGCCGATACGCAGGAATGACGTGGCATTTGACAGGGTCGAGGAGGACAGGGATAAGGACGAGATAGGAGTCGAGAGAGGCTAAAGGATGGGTAGGGATAATAAAAGGCGCGATGCGATGAGATCAGATGTGCTTAGACCGTGGATACTCGCTTATATTTGACCGTTTGCTTTGGACAAATAGTGAGTGGTGCGGACTGTTCTAGATGTATGGATAGATGGTTAGGTCACAGACTGATACAAACGAAGGGAAGGCCGCGAAGGTGAGGTGGATTTGGAGAGGACAAGCCGTCGCCGTGTTTAGATGTTGATACTCTATACTTGACATCCTAGCCGGAATTAAGTCGTAAACTCCGTACTGTGGTAAGTGTAGCTGTGTGTTAGGTACCTGATCTAAAGTAAGAGCATTAGTATTCTGTCTGCTTCACTGTCCTGACCGATACTGGCTCGAGTCGAGGATACCAGGTAGGGTTATATCTAGCAAACACCACAGGACACTACTATTCAACTCGTATTACACTTGCACTTACTCCTTACAGTCAACAGCGATGCCCGAAAAAGGTGAGACCAGTCCAGCCCCGCCGACCTCTAGGCACCAACTTGAAGCATTCAGCCCTGCCGGCCATCGGCCGTATGGCTTACAGAGCACGGCTACTCTGCACTGCACTCTGCACTCTGGAGTCTGTACTACACGAGAGCGCAACACCCTTGATGACAGACTCCTCTCTCTCTCCACCTCGTATCCGTACAGTTGTGGTTGGCGCCGACCCCTCGTATTCGGGAAGCTACATCTGTCGTAGCTTTCTTTACCTGCCTAGGGCCTGCCCTACACTGGTCCCTACCTAGTAAACATAGCGTTATCAGGCAGTACGGAGCATTAGCAGTGTCCGTGTCCGTGTCCGTATCCGTATCTGCACGCCAGCCATCGAAGTAGGTATGCTCGATGCCCCCTGTTGTTCTGACCAGAACCAGGCCAAGTCAGACGTTCCAATAACAATCCCAAAGTGGACGTGGACGTTCGTCCAAGAAACCCCCAAGACACCCCAAGAAAGCCGACAGTGCAATTATTGGAACTAACTCCCTGGTAGGTGCCTGGCACGACATTGACATATAACGTTGGCAGTACGAGTGTCGCTGTTGCTGTTACAGTATGGTTTCAATTTGCCCAGGCGCCGCCGCCCAAGGTTACTCGAGCCGAGACAGGGCCAGACCTCTGCCACTCGTACTAGACAACAGTAATAATCGACCACCTTGTTCAAGTCGGGGTGCAGGTGGTGGGTGCGCTCCCAATATTCAATACTATTAATATTGGTGCCGATCATCCTCGGGAAGTCCACGGCGCACGGTCTGCAGAGAGAACATCTGCAGTCAAATACCAAGATCGAACATGAAGATTGGAGCCTCGACCTCGATTTGCAAATTGGGTCTCGTCCAACCCAATCGGCCATACATATCCGTACAGTAATAGTAGTAACGTAGTAACACAGAGCGATGCTGGTACCGGTGTGGACAATCATCATCATCCTCATCATCGTCATCATCATCATATCATCGCATATCATCGTCTCGTCATCCATGGCTCAGCTTGAATGAGTCAAACTTGAACGGCCTCCACCACTGGCAACCTGACATAACTCTCGGCAGCGGGCATAATTCGCTGCATAAGGTAACTTGGTCGGTTCAAATGACCGGTCACATCGGTATCGTACTACGCGATTACGTGTACGGCTGTTTTGTCCAGTCACGGCCATCTGGTATTGTCATTTCATCATCGCATGATGTGAGTTCCTGTCCAGCTTCAAAGTCGGGACTGGGACTGCATCCCTGTCGACACCGGGCAATCTCGTCCGAACCTTGATCCGTCACCGTCACCGTCACCGTCACCGTCACCGTCAGCTTCAGCTTCAGCTTCCTTTGTCCCTCCTAGGTGCCTCCCTCAGCTCACCCGATGACTGGTCGACTGGTCGACTGGTCTCTACCATTCACTGCCCGCACTTACACAGCCTGTCGCTGTCTTCCTCTGGCGCCCCCGCTGCAACCACTGCCCTGTCTTGCTATCTGTCATCTCGCTAATCAGAAGGTTTAGACCATGATCAACGACGGCATCTGCTGTAGACGAAAGTCAATCCATGGTTAATTCCAGGCCAGTCAGTGCAGTTTCGCACTTTACTGGTACGGATCTCCTCAAGAATGAATCTCGAGAGGTGGAGATATATTCTACCGACCCAAGTGACCTCAACGACTTTTTGATTCTGAATGATGACTCGACTGGGTTTGATTACTGGACTTGATTATGTACTGTCCAAAGCTGGTCCCCAGACCAACTACTAGGTAATGAGGGGTTGTCTGCCCTGAAATCCCACACACTTTTCTTTCCGTTTCGAGGGAATGACTAGTTCTCTGCAGCTGAGTCAGAATCCTCACCCCAGGCTGTCAATGGTCCCTTACCTACTGTGCCTCCGTACGGCTACGGCGTACAGTAGTCTCGCTGACGGCAGGCAGGATTTGTCAATCTCAATCGCCTCGCCTCTGACGCCTGAACGAGTTAGCAGTCTTTCTATCTCTGTCGGTGTGCATGCCCTTCAGATCACGACTGCAAAGTGATCTTGGGTTAGCTCCTCTCCAGGACACCCTGCGTGTCACTTTTTCCCTGACTAGGGTTCAACCTTTCTGGGCGCATTACCCAGACCACTTCATCTCTCAACCTTCTGGACGCATTACCTAGACGGCTTGAGGCTCTGACACGTCTTCTAAACCATGAGACTTGAAAGTTTTCGCCAAATCCTAATGCTAGTCCTAATCCAAATCCGAACAAAGAGTCCAGCATCAGCCATGGTCCCCAGATGCTGAGACAACAGACTCCTGCACGGCGTGCCTGAACCTTCGCAGGGAAGCCTGCCTAAGGTGGACCAATGCGGCCTGTCGGTCAATTAGACACTACGAGGCCTAGCTCGCCAGCGGCAGAAGTGACAGTGTCCGGGTTCTTTGTCTCCAGAGCCGCAAAGATTGATGTTGGATGCAACAACGCTGAGGTGCCGATGGGATGGAGGCATTGTCCACAGCTCAACTCGCCACTGATGATCTACAGAGCACAGCAATATCAAGAGCACAAGATCTCCCTTCCCTGGTTTGGTTGATGGGCCATGTAACTCGCAATCTTTGCTTCGATGGCCCATGCAACCCGCAACCCGCAAACCCCTCTGCCCTCTACCATTCCTCTACCATTTGGCATCCGACAAGATAGTGTGCTGGTCGTCCTTTTCATTTTGTTTATTTTGGCCAAAGAGTGCTCACAGAGTTCCTTGCTATCTAGAAAGATGGTATACCGTAGGTACTAGGTATAGGTACTAGGTATAGGTACTAGGTACACTCTTCCCTATAATGAAAGCTGCTCCGAGACGAGCCACCAATCTCAGATAGATATATTATTCCAAATCCTCCACCGGTCGTGTTCCCCACACCCACGCAGGCTCGTGACAGCCTCAGCCCTCGTTCAACCTTTCTACTTTCTAGGTCTTGCTTTCTTTCCTTGACGTGCGCCACCTTCTGTTCTCTTTCTTTCCTTGAAGTGCGCCACCTTCTATTCTCTTTCTTTCTTTGACGTGCGCCACCTTCTATTCTGCCAAAGAACAGGAGAAGGAGAAGGAAAATATCCCGCCCGCGGGACCGCCATGACATTTCAAATCCAGTTCAAATCTAGGTCAAATCTAGGTCTAGGTCTAGGTCTAGTCCTGGTTTCTGCAACGGCGACGGCGACGGCGACGGCAACGGCAACGGCAACGGCAACGGCAATAGCAACAGCAACAGCACCTCAGGAAAAGTCGAAGCAACGCAATGTGACGCAATATAACACTACCTGAGGAAAGTGGAAGCAACACAACACCACCCTAAATGACAGATTTGATTGACTCTCGGCCATGACCTCGGCCACCGCCACGGCCACGTTCGAGGACCGAGATATCGATCGCAGAAGGCGGGCCTAAGGCTTTGCAACGAGCACGAGCACGAGCAGGAGCGAGAGAATCAACTCAGCTACCTAGGTTAGCTAGGCGGTTGCTTGCTCATGCGTATTTATCCATCACTGAGAAAAACATGCATGCATGGTAGGGTAGGGGAGGGTAGGGTAGGGGAGTGGTTTTGCGGCTCTGGGGAACTCTTGCCTCTCAAGCTGAAGCATGTCTACATAGTACTTCTACTGGTACTTCTACTTCTACTTCTATTAGTACTTCTACTTCTACCTCCACTTCTACTTCTACCTCCACTTCTACTTCTACCTCCACTTCTACTTCTACCTCCACTTCTACTTCTACCTCTTCTACACACAATGGATCATGTATAGTACGTACATATCCACTAGAGCCTGCTCTCTAGCCTCTCTGCCCTGCTCTCTGGCCTCTCTGCCCTCTCTACCCTGGCTTGGACTCAAGCCGCCTCGAGGAGCGACTATGTGCAATGGAGGCCGTGGACGGAAAACCGGGTGCTCTGTTGATAACATACATACATATCGAGCCTGGGACAACATCATGTCGAAGATTTGCATACGGAGTACTGAGTACTGGCAGGACAGCAGGTAGGGCTCCTACAAGTATGGCATTGCATGCTTTTTGCGGGATATGCTCTTATCAACAATCAACAAGGCTGTACGGATATACAGGTAGTGTTATGGTACTCTACAGGGCTGTGACTGTCAAACTGAGGCCCATTCCCAGCCTTGTCCATTAACCAGAGAGGCTGGTTTAGGCTATCCTATAGTATATAGCATGTGCTCTCCCTGCCACCCGTTGATAGCGAACATGGAAGATTTCAACCTTCATTTGACAGTGACAGGGACGCGGCATGGAATGGATTCGGATTTGGGCCGTGGAGAAGTCTGCAAAGTATTCCCCTGCAACTATTATGTGTTATTCCCAGCAACTGTGTGATTCCCCTGCAACTATGTTATTCCCCTACAACTATGTGGTATCCTCCTGCAACTATGTGTGATCAAGCATGTTGGCTGGCCCAGGTGCGTTGGGTTTGGAGGGACTGAAATGGCCATGTGTTCGCTGTAGTCCATATAGGTAAACACGGGCGTGCTCAGTGTCCCTCGGGCCTACACGAAGTATGCTTTGTCAACTTCCATGTGCGCAAAGGTCCTCCGTGAATTATTTGTGCAAATAGATGGATTGACGGACGAATCAATCGCTGCCGTGGCTTAGGTGGCAGTACGAGGACACCTGAGTTGCAGGGTGACGGATCATGCTGAGAAAGACCTTCGTGCTAGATGAAGGACTGTTCCCTGGCCTCCAGCTGTTTCTCCCATCCTGCTCGCGTCAAGACACAGCCGATCTGATTCTTCTCGCCGGCTGGGGTCAAGTGCCGTGGAGTGATCGATGATGATGGCTTCCTTAATAGCCCGTGCCGGGGTTGGTGAGGCGATGGGGCCCGGAGGTGGTCGAGGTGGTCGAGCTGGTCTCCGAACTACGATCGGATTTATCTTGCCAGGCTGACGGTGAAGGTCAACTGGTAACCGTTGGATCTCGATATGTGATGGAGATCGGTTCAACGAACGCGGCGATGCTAAAACCCTCGCTCGACTATTCAGCTAGGGTCATCGACATCATCCCGCCGCGCCCGCTCTAGACCCGTTTCCGTTTGTACGGCGGCTGGTTCTATGACCTTGTCACACCTCGCTCTTAACTCATGCACTCCACCGACACCTTCCCACTGATCCAACAAACCCACGACGGATTTATACTCCTTGTGGGCCTGATCCTGGTGGCCGTGCTCAAGCATGGCCTGCAACCGTGACGGCGCGGCCAAAGCCCATTTGACCATCTCCTTCTGCCGTGTCTGCTTTCTCGCCTCGAGCAGCTGCCTCGACCGGTCTGGGTCGGTAGTCGTAGTAGGGGCCAAGTCTCTGACCAGATTGAGCAGACCATCTAATTTCTCTGCCAGCTTCTCCACGCCATCGAGCCCTGGGGTTTGTGTCTGTTCTTTCTGGACTTGGATCGTGATCCCGACCCCAGTTTCCAGTGTGCCAAATCTATCTTGCTCCCGCTTGTGCATGCCCTTCTGCATCTCAGCGATGGTGCCCACGGCCTTGATCAATTTGCTGTAGTTGTCGTAGACCAAGGCTTTCCGCTCGCCGTCGAGGTTCCGGATCTCGCTGACCAGCGTGCTTTCCGTTCTGAGGATGTCGCGCAACCCGGCCGTCTTGAGCAAGTCGGACACGTATGATTCGGCCTCGAAGTCCGGGTCGTCCAGACGCGCGGTCAATGACGACGGGGCTGATGACAGCAGCTCCGACGGTTCCGCCGAAGGCACGATCGAGGTGACGGTCGAGGCGGATGCGTTGGACGCCATGCTTGCCGTCCGGCTCAGGTTGTGGTCCTGCGCATGCGCAGCGCCCGCACCCGACGCACCCCGCCCTTTGAGGTTGTAGTAGTCGCGCAGGGCGGCGCGGTTGCGTCGATGGGACGTGGTAGATGTAGACGCAGACGCAAATGCATGCTGCTGAGGGGCTGGCGACGGAGTGTTGGTTCGCGGGATGTCCAATGACGGACGCACCGACGACGTCGGGGTCACGCTTGCACTGGCCATCGTGGGCGACGTGATTCGAGACAAACCGATCGCGGGCGATTCGCTGCGTGGTGATGTGATTGTGGCCATGTTCAAGTTTGTTTACGAGCAACGCAAGAGGAGGTGCGCCGTGGGGAGGACTACATCCACATTGTCGGAAGCTTGCAGAGCTTGTGTCGTCTCATGCTCGAATCCCTAGCGAGGTGAGTTGGCTGCGGCAGTCACACACATTGACAGACAGATTGAAACTGTGAGCAAGGCCAAGTATGCTATGCTGTGGTAGACTGCAGTGTATCGTACTCCGTAGTAGTACTATTATGGCCTAGGTGCTCCGGATTCTGGATGTTGGTCAAATGGCGGCCTAAACCTGCTCCGGCCAAGCCTCGCCTGATCGGGCATGGTCGATCCCTCGCCGCTTTTAACCTCTACATCCATGTGCGTTGTGTGTTGTGTGTATCTCATCCGCTCAGACGGTATATCCGTTTGGGAGGTACTGTATATATGCTCAGGAGAAGTTATCCGCCCGGGAGATATATCGGGTGGGTCTTTGTCGAAGCAGGGACAAAACTCCAGGCTTGCCAGTGGTCATACGAACTTGAGTAAATTGTTCAGCGTATGGCAGTGGTATCATGTGTGCTGTGCCGCCGATGGTGATAACCTTGTCAAAGAGCCATTCCTTCTCGACATACTCCGTATCCGGAGGAGGCAGTCATTGACGTGCTGAAGACTCAAGAGAAAGGAAGTCTGCTCTTACAGATGGAAGGCCGCGGGCCGAGTCAGGCCAAGCCAGAAATGCGTGAAAACTTGACGAGACCGGCTTCATCGTTGGCTATCTCTTCCAGAGTAGGTTTGTCTCTTGCCTCTTATCTCTTGTGCTCTGTATCCGTACTCTCCGGTAGATCGACAGGCATGTTCTGACTCTTGACAGGCACCTAACAGGTGCCAAGTGATATGGCGATGTGGAGTTCAAGTTTGGAGACAGCCGAAGCGCGGGGGTCACCGGCCGGGGAAGCCAGGGCGTAGGAGGCTTAGGCTTTGGCTTAGGCTCCCGTGCCGCATCGAGAGAGGTTTAAGCCTTAGGAGCCCTAAGCCCCTTAGCAAGACAAGGACTGATTGCCGCACGACATCCCAGTCATCCGTACTTTTTCCTCGAGACGAGGCCTGAGGCCCCTTAGCCTTAGGGTGAAGAATGCCTACATGTAGGTGCCAATGCAAAAGTCAGGGATTGCGCCGCAGCCATACAACTTGGGGTGCAAGGACTGCCTCCTCGACTAATACTGAGTTGCGCATGGAGACTCAGCAGGGATCGCTCAAGCAGCCCAGGCCGCAGTGAAAAGAAATGCGAGCTGAGAAGACTTCGAGGTTATAAAACCCCCTGGGTGCCCCCCATGGATGAGCCTTACGGTAAGTTCCTCTCGAAAGGCCCGTTCTCAGGAGATTTCACCTCTATCACATTCGGGTTCCGTCATATCCTCGTTCTTCGGACATTGTATAGCCTATCCTCCTGTGCACGCCATAATGTCCCAAGCCATGAATGAACTTTTCAATCGCTGGGGCCGGTCTTCGGCCATGTCTCCGCGAAACTTTCAGTATGCCTGTGCCGGCAGCGGAATCCTCTGCTCGATCTTCTTCCTTGTCAGCTTTGCAGCCTCAGGATTCCTCCCGCCAGTGAAGCCATACTGGGATGCTGAACGACTGGTCAAGCACTACCGCGATCATGAGCACGGCATACAAGCTGGTGCTGCTCTGCTAGTGCTCTCGGGCATGTTTTACCTTCCCTTGACGGCTGCCATCTCGGCTCAGATGCGACGCATTCCGAACCTCCACTACGTCGTGAGCGCCCTCCAGCTTGCCTCGGGCGCCGCAGGCATCTTCACCATAATATTGCCAGGCGTAATCCTAGCCGTCACAAACTACCGACTCGACCGACCTGTGGAGATCACGCAGGCTCTCAACGACCTCTTTTGGATCACAGCCTTCCTGCCCTGGCCGACCTTCATGATCCAGAACTTTGCCTTTGCGTACGCCATCATCATAGACTCTCGCCCGCGACCGCTGTTTCCGAAGTCAATCGCCATCCTCAACATTGTCGTCCCCATTCTCTACGTCCCCTCAATTGCCATGCATTGCGTCAAAACAGGACCCCTGGCTTGGAACGGCGGCACCACTTTCTGGATGGAGGGTGTCATCTTTTGTGGCCAGCTGATCATCGACTCTGTTTGTCTCATGCGGGCTGTGTATTCTGAGACCGAGATGGGAGAAAAGATCGTGGATATCTTTCCATCTTCACTAAAGGACAACGAACAAAACTTGGAATATGGTGGAGGGAGCGCCGCATAGCGGGAGCAGGTTGGGTCGCGTGCCTGGCATGCAGTCTGTTGAGATGTGTCAGCATTTGAGGCTTGTATGATCAGATGAGGCATTAGCGGGACAGGCGTGCGGGTGCAGAGGAGGCCGAAAGCGGCCCCCGCCATCGCTGTTGTCGGCGGCTAATTCATCCAGGTAGCTAGGAAGGTGTTTGTCGGGGTACTCTGTTTTGCGGTCCGCTAAGCATGCAGTGCAGACAGCCTTGTGCGGGCCTGTCGAGGCTGAGAGCTGTCGGCAGCCTTGAGCGGGCCGACGTTTTTCCGCCTTCCCGAATAATCCTGAACCACTCAGGCATCACGTGGTACTCTGTAAAAGGACTCCGTACTTGTCGTTGAATATCTTCTTGTGTCGTGATACAAGCATCCCTACCTAAGTAATGGCTGTATCGCCCCGACACGAATAATGAGAGAAGGTAGGGAGGGACGTACATCTCCCAGGTTATCCTAAGGAAAGCGTTCTTCTCAGCACCACAGGCTACATAAATTGTTGGTTGATGCGGACAAGTTGGCCCTGCTATACCTACCTAAGCCACGCCACGCTCTCTCATGACCACATAAGCAAGAGAGAGTACCATACGCCCTTCACATCCGGGGATTTACTAATCAACCATGCCGGCATTGCATCCTCTTCACACCCAACTGTCAACTGCGCTGCAAGCACGACACAATCTACCCGTCCACCCGCAATGGCTAAACGACTTCCTCTCATCGCGAGGGCCCAATCCCCCACCGGTGCCGGCGCTCGTGTCGACGGCCCATTTCCGCATTCTAGCCAGCGACATCACAACGTCTCTGCGACCTTCCAGCGCGGCTGAAGTGCTGCCGCCCGACGTGAGCGACGTGAATGTCAAGGAGCGCCGGCTCGCGGGCCCGGTCGTCGTTCAGGTGCTGGACGTCGTCGACGTCGGCAGCAGCAAGTGGGGCCAAGTCGAGGCGATCGAGCGCGTGGAGCACGGCGAGCAGATCCGTGGTCGAGAAGTCATTCGCACAGTCGACGCCATGGAGGAGGAGGACGAGGAGGATAGGTCGGACGCCGACCCAGCCGCGAGGTCGTCGGCTAGAACGAACGGAACCAGGAGCAGGAGCCGGGCAGCCGCCTCAGCGGAACAGTCTGCAAACAAGAAGCTGACCACAGGTCCCCATAAGCTCCTGTTGCAGGATTCAAAGGGCACAAAGGTCCTAGCCTTTGAGCTGGCCAGGATTCCAGGCATTGCGCTCTCTATCTCGGCGTCCGCGACGCTCTCGCTCCCCACTTCCAGTTCGAATCAGCACTCTGGGCCTAGGCCTAACACGATCCCCGTCGAAGACTTGGGCATGTTCATTGGATGCAAGATCCTCTTGAAGCCCGGGACCGTCGTGCGTAGGGGAATGGCTATGCTGACGCCGGATAGTTGCATGGTCCTGGGCGGAAAGGTGGAAGCGTGGGATAAGAAATGGAAGGAAGAACATAAGCAAAGACTGACGGGCTTGGTGGATGAAGAGAATGGCGCTGCACGATGAAACTTGAAAACAACGCAAGGCGGTGGCTGCTGCTACTGGTAGAGCAAGAAGCAACTCTACCAAACGTCTAGTACGGTGATGGTGACGGACACAGACAGCCATGCCATTCTATGAAAAGGGCCATGCAGTATGGCTTGACTAAATTGGCTATCCTGCCATGAGACTTGCCTTCAATCTGAGATCAGTCACCTCATCTTGATGACACCTATCCGGTTGGGTCCTTAGGCGGTGTCTGCAGCAATATCCAGCCGCCAGGGTGCGATAAACTTCGCCTTCAGAAGATCGCCGGCTTCCTCGTATGCTCTGGCCAGGTCAGTCGCCGACAGATTCCCACCCGGGGGAATCCGTCTTTCTGCGTTAAGGACAGCCATTTCCGCAACATAGCCGCCGCCGGCGCCGCCTCCTCCAGCAGCCTGTGCAAGTTCGAGCCAGCCTTGCGGTTGTCCCGGTGCGAGCATGATCCCATTAAGAGCATCTGCAATGACTTCGGGCTGGTCTACCTTTTGCTCACTTGCTTGTTGTCTTTGTTGTGGTTGTGCGCGATATCCGACGATGCCAGCCAGAATCTTGGTGACCCGAATCTTGTCCAGCACCCCGATTCCGTCGCCACGTCTCAGCGCCTTGAGGTCTTCTTCTACAGCTTCCAGAATATCCAGGTCGTCGTCTAGTAAGCCGGTGACGGCCAGGAGCGCCACGGCTTGGACATGCCCTGGGTGGATCTCGACAACGTCGAAGAGCTGTGATCTTGCCGCTTCTTTCTCTGCCGGTCCGCCTTTGGCCCACAACACCTGCGCAAGCATGCAGACAATATCTGGATCACCCTTGCACTCCTGGAGTGCCGCCTCAAACATCTTGATCGAGCTTTCGGTCTGCTGTAGACGGCTGTGGGCAAGACCTGCCGTGATCTGTGCAGAAAGCCTCCATTTCTGCCGGGTCTCAGCGTACATTGGACCAAGCTCGTCTGCATCACCTGACAAATCTAGAGCAGTCTCTGCATTGGACACGGCTTCGGAGTAGTCGCCACAGGCGAGCTGCGCACGAGCAAGATCTGCCTTTGCCTGGGCGAACCTGGCCAGGTATTCATTGGACTCGGAGGTCTCGTATTCTGCTTCGGCAGCGTTGCATACCTCTGCCAGGGAGGTTGCGCTGGTTGCATAATCACCGACGCGCTCCGCAAACAGTGCTAGCAGATGAGTCGCATTCATATCGGAGGGTTGCTGGGCGTGATATTGACGCATCGCAAACAGCGGTTGTAGAAGAGCGCTGACTTCTTCTGACCGGGCGGGATCTTTGAGCAGGTGGTCGAAAGCAGAGAGAGCGTAGTGACGTCTTGCCGGCAGCAGGGATGCATCTGCAATCTCAAAGGCGTGCATGCATAGTCCTCTTGCTTCTTGAAGGCTTCCAAACAACATCGCCAACAGTCCTTGTCCGATCCATGCGTCTGCATATTCTGGATCTTCAGATTGGGCTCGTGTGAATGCTTCATTGGCAAGTTGGGTGTCGTTGTTGATCAAGCAGAGCACTCCAAGATTCGTCCAAGTTCGGGCGCTGTGTTCGTTTAGATGCAGGCTTCGCACGAACGAGTGCTGCGAGACCTTGGGGCTGAGCGTCATGGTGACAACGCCGAGGGCGTTCCAAAATTCGGAATTGCCAGCCTCCAGTTCAATAGCTCTTTTGAAGCACTTGATTGCTGCTTTGAGGAATCGGGGAAGCTTCTTGCCCCGTGGTTTGATCGCCTCGCCACCCGAAACGTATGCATCATACTCTGCCCAACCGAGGTTGTACCACGCCACAGCCTGGGCATGTTGATCGGTCGAAGAAGCATGAATGGCTCGTTTGTGAGCAAGTATAGCAGCAAAAAGCCATTTATCAGCAACGTTGGAGGGATTGTCTCCTTCGTCAGCCTTTAATAGTTCAACCCCGACCTTGTCCACTTGTCTGAGAACACCCCATTCAGCATCAACTGATGTTTCGAGTAAGGTTATGATCACTTGAACATCTGCTGCAGTTGCATGAAGCTTGATGTGACCGAGGACGGAACAAGAGTCCCCGATGGCCTTCCACAGGTTGAAGAAGTCAGTGCTATCTTCGGCGATCTGGGCTGCGACTTCAAGCGCAGATTTTGCGAGCCTCACCGCCTCGCCGTACATTCCAAGACCAACTTTTGCCCATGCACTTTCGGAAATTGTCTGGAGCAATGAAAGAAGAACGCCGAACTCTCCCGGTTTGAGCGCGAGCACATCGTTATACGCCGCAACGGCTTCATCAAAGAGGCCCAGTTCGCGCTGGACATTGGCAAGCATGTACTTGGCAAACCAGGTCTCCTCAGGTGGCAGTTCGTGACCGATGCTCTCAGCTTTCGCGAATGCTTTGGTAGCAGCGATATGGCGGCCGGCATTATGATAACTTTCACCGAGGCCAACCCAAGAATAGTAGTCATCAGGAGTGATCCGGAGGGCAGCCTGGAATGAGACTATGCTTTGAGAATAGTGTTGTTTGTTCATCATCACCACGCCTAGTGCAGCGTACGGCCAGCTGTAGGCTTTTTTCTTGGATCCCGGGGCAGGCCTGGCTTTTCCTGAAGCAATCACACGCTGCGCGACGAGCTCGACGAGATCCCACTCCCCGCCGTCGGCGAACGCTTTTGCAAGTCTGTGTGCGGCTTCCAGTTCTGAGGCCGATAGTTCGAAGGCCTTTTGTAGCGCCACCCGAGCTCGCTGCTTGCTTCTGCCATATTCCTGGAAGTATATCCCTAGTAGGGTATATGCTGGAGCGTAGCTTGGGTTTGCTTTGACGGAAGCAATGAGGTATCGGTAAGGGCCGGACTTGTCTTTTCGTGCCAAAGCGGAAGTATTGATGTTCCACATACAGTAGGCGATCCGATAAAGTGCGACTGATTTCATGGGCATATCCTGATTCTTCTGCGACTCAATGGCTGACAGCACCTCTTGTAGATCACGAAGGCCATTTTCAAGTTCTCCATTTTGGGCGCGACACCAAGCAAGCTCGAGCTTGATCCTGGCATTATCGGGATCGCGGTCTGCAGCTTGTTGTAAGAACTTGACAGCTTCCGCATAGTCTTCGTCTTCTTCAAAGATCAAGCCCACGCCCAGTAAGGCTGCTGTAAGCTTAGGCTTTCGTTCGAGAATACCTTGAAACAAAGCCTTCGCTTCGGGATGATGGCGGGGAGATTGGAAAGGGATAAGGGCCCTGGCCAATATGAGATTCACGCCGTCGAGACTGTCCTGCAAGTTCAAAGCGAATTGCTGTTCCGCATTCTTGTGCAGCATCTGAGCCTTCCGTGCGGCGTCGACGGTGCTTTGCCAGTCCTCAAAATGCAAATACGTGTAAGCCATGATTCGATGGCCTACAAGAGATTCAGGACAATCCTCGAGACCTTCATTCATGAGAATGAGCTGATCAGCCTCACTCAGCTTCTGAGGTAGTTCATCACCTTCGCCTTCCTCGGTGGGTGGATGTGGGAATGGAGATACATTACTCTCAAGGAACCCACGCAGGACCCTACTCAAGCCTTCTTCGGGAAAATAGTCGATGTATTCGCGGAAGATGTTCACATCCCATTCCACCAAGTCCTCTGCATCGACCCATTCCAGGGCAATCTTCCAGGCCAGCAGACAGCGCAGTTTGATGATGACCATCCCGTTTGCCATGTTGAGGACCTTGTCGCGCTGGCTGGATTTGGCATCTTTTGGTAGAACGAGTAAGGTGTCATACATGCGTTGGAACAATTTTTGTTCCAAATCATGGCGCGCATCATCATCTCTTGTCCAGTCGATCAGCGCAGCATATTTATCTTCGATTTGGAACTTGCTGATAGCTTCTGCCTTGACCTGACGGGTGACCTGATCGATCTTCGCTCCTAGTCGTGTTCTTCTTTCACCAATCTGTGTATTGATCCATTCTTTCTCTTCCGCCAAGGCCGACTCGAGAATCCGTTGGTATGTAATACTTGGTTGCATGACACGGCCTTCGAGGGTCGGATAAAGCGGTGATGTGGGTAGAATTAATTCCAGTCCCCGCCGATACTGAGCTCGACTTCCGTGCTTCTTTGCGAATAGCTCATACTTGTCAATCACATTTTGGCATTGTGGTCTGTCTTCTTGCTGCACGTATATCTCCGCCAGCTTGAGTGCCACATCGTGATACTGGTCCACCTTCGCACTGCCTTGTTTCTCATACAGGGTGATCAGCCCCTTGTAGCCTTGCGCATCTTGGGGCTTGAGATCTGCAGCCTTGTGAATGGCCTTTTCTGCAGCCTCAAGGTCTCCAAGTTTCTCTCTTGCAAATCCAAGAAAAAGCAATGCTGTGTGGTTTTTGCCGTCCTGCTTCAGTAATTCCTCGGCTTGGTCGGCCGCTTTCGCGTACTGCCCAGCATCTAGAGAAGACTTGATGGCCTTCAGGACAGCCTTGGAGGCCATCGTCGAGAAAAGAGCTGATGAACCCCCCCCAAGAACTTGCTTGGCAATCCGAGGGGCAGAACAAATCTTAGTTGTTGAAAGTTGAACGGACGTCAACACAGTGACGATTGTGCGTAGCAGTGCAGTGGCATGGCTCTGGTATGAAATGCCTCACCTTTTGGGGCGCACCTCTCAAGCACCTCCTGCGTCCATCACTGCGCCTCCCTCAGTTGACCGCGGTAGCCTTCAAACCCAGCAAAGATTGTCAGGCTTGCCTACGACTGATTTCAAGGTGTAATTATGGATTACATCAAACCCAGATCTGGAAAATGCGGTCTTGACGGGGCGGAGCATCTGGCCGCGAGATGCATCATGTATCAACTAATAGAATCCTCCGTAGGCACCAGACACCTCCAGGTGCCCGCGTGCCCGACATCGTTCCACCGTCGTCATCAACTATTCCCCGCCACCACCGCCAGCGGCTGCCCCCTTCTATCTGGTCCTACCCGCAGATTCCGAGTTGTTCAAGGACCTCCCGTTGACACCTCAGTACTTCAGCTGAATTGCCTCCTGTTCTTCCTCCTCCTCCTCTTCCCCCGCCGCATGGTTCCTCAGACCAACTGACGTCCCCAAATCCGAATGGCGGCCCGTGGCCTTACAATCGATGGGACCAAGTTCCGGGACGCTGAGGGGCGAGAAGTGACATTTCGGGGTATCAATGTTGCGGGAGAATCCAAGTTTCCTCGCTATCCGGACCAACCTTCTCATCAACCTAATGGCTTCTTCGACACCGAGAACATCTCCTTTGTTGGACGGCCGTTCACCGAAGAAGAGGCCCATATCCATCTGGCCAGGTTAAAGAGATGGGGCTACAACGTTATTCGATATATTTTCACGTGGGAAGCCCTTGAACATGCTGGCCCCGGCCAGTATGATGAAGCCTACATTGATCATACCATCAAGATTCTGCGGATCGCGAAATCGTATGGATTCTACGTCTTCATGGATCCTCACCAGGATGTGTGGTCGAGATTTACTGGGGGCTCCGGCGCCCCTTTGTGGACTCTGTATGCGTGTGGCTTGGATCCTGAGACGTTCACGGCGAACCAAGCTGCATTTGTCCACAACACCTGGCCTGACCCGGCGGAATTTCCAAAGATGCTATGGCCAACAAATTACACTCGTTTGGCGGCTCAGGTCACTTTCACTCTATTCTATGCTGGGCGGGACTTCGCTCCAAATGCGATCATAGACGGAAAGAATATCCAGGACTATTTGACTGATCATTTCATAGCTGCTTGTGCACATCTCGCTCAGAGGATACATGAGGCTGGAGATTTGGAAGATGATTGCATAATCGGGTGGGAAACGCTGAACGAACCCTTTCGCGGCTTGATTGGCTGGGAAGACTTAGATGCCATACCAGACGCACTGAAAATGAGAAAGGGAACGTGTCCCACTCCTTGGCAGGCGATTCTCACAGGCGCTGGACGTGCTGTCGAGATAGACACATACGCCTTTGGCACATTTGGCGCATACAAAAGTGGACGAGAATTCGTGGACCCTGGAGGTGTGTCGGCCTGGCTCCCCTCAAACTTCGATGATTCCAAGTTTGGCTGGAAGCGAGATCCTGGTTGGAAGCTGGGTGAATGTCTGTGGGCTCAGAATGGTGTCTGGGACCCGAGCGAGGATCTCCTTCTGAAGAAAGACTACTTTGCGTCGGTTCCGAAATCGGGCACCAAATTGGACTATGAAAAATTCACCAACACATATTACATGGATCACTTCCGAAGGTATAGAGATTCTATACGTGCTATCCATAAAGACTGCATGATCTTGATGCAGTCGGCTGTTCTCGAGGTCCCCCCTAGCATCAGAGGCACTCCAGATGACGAGAAACGACTGGTCTTCGCCACACATTATTATGACGGACTCACTCTTATTCAGAAACACTGGAACAAGTTCTACAACGTAGACGTCTTTGGTATTTTGCGTCACCGGTACTCAAGTCCCGTGTTTGCCGTCAAAGTTGGCTCAACCGCGATCAGAAACTGCTTACGCGACCAACTCAAAGCTATACGAGACGAGGGCCTTGAACAATTGGGTGAACATCCTACAGTCTTCACTGAAATTGGAATACCATTTGACATGGACGACAAGTATGCATATAAGTCTGGCGACTATTCAAGCCAAACAGCAGCTCTGGATGCCAATCATTTTGCTCTGGAGGGATCTGGTGCCCAAGGCTACACTCTGTGGACATACGCCTCTCAGGTAAGGACCGTTCAAACAAGGACTGGAGCAAGATGCTGACATCTCCAGAATAACCACCAATGGGGTGACCTATGGAACGGTGAAGATCTGTCCATAGTGTCTGTGGACGATCCCCTTCTCCCAAACAGCTCCTCTTTGACGACATCCTCAGGGCACGGGTATGGCTCTTATTCTGGTACAAGTTTATCTGATTCCACGACCATCAACCCTTCAAATCTCAAAGGTGCATTGAGAAGTCCAGAAATCCGGCAAAAGCCATCCTCAGCCCAGCCAGAGGTGGCTTCCAATCAAGGACTCCGCGCTGCGGAGGCTTTTGTCCGACCATCCCCAATTGCCACCGTTGGCGACGTCGTCTCATTCGGATTTGACTTGGCTCGTGTGACCTTCACATTTAGTCTTGTATCCGAAAGCGCTACCAAAGAGGAGGTTCCCACCGAGATCTTCTTACCTGAGTTTCACTTCCCCCCCGGCAAGACCCAGGTCGAAGTTAGTGGTGGCAGATGGAGGATTGATGTCGTAGACATAGATGGTGAACCTATGCAACTCATGAAATGGTGGCATGGTGCTGGAGAGCAAAATATGACCATCAAAGGGGTCAAGAGGAAACCAGGAGCATTGGATGAAGAAGAGGACGCCGACACTGGTTATCTAGAGTCGGTCAGGTCTACAGTGCAAGATTGTTCCGTCATGTGACGGGATTGAGCGACCATTTTTACTGTATACATTGGGCACATTGAGAGCCAGCGTCAGAGGGTTTGCAAGCAATCTAGGTACGATAGGGGCGCAGCGGTCAATGCTACCACTGGCATCAACTCGTATTTCTTTTGTATTTGGCTTGCCTCACTACGAAGCATATCTCGACCTGTGACGGCGCCTTAGGGGAAGAGTTCTCCGCATCATGAGCCCGTTTAAGACACGCTCTGACCCTGCTCATTCGCCTGCCCATTGCGCTCGTTGTCGAGCTCATCAGCCTCTCCGTCTTCGCCGTCCTCGTCGCCAGCGGCGCTGCCGCCGTTCAGCTCGTGGTCCCTCAACTTCCCACCCTTCCTCTTGGGAATCACTTTCATGAAGGCTTCCCCCCAGTCACCACATTCTAACCATCGAATCATGATCTCTACTACATGATTCGTGGCCAGGACTTTCCGCGACTGCATATCCATGTACTCGCCGATTGGAAGTTTTGCGGTCTTAATGCCCCTCTCGCATGCGATTTTGTAGCAGATGCCCTTGTGGCGGTTTTTGTCCACAAGCCCCCCGACTATATAGGTCGAATAAGGATGCAGCTCGGTCAGTGTGTCGGGAGAGTCGGAGGTCAGATAGACTACTTCGCCCGAGGCCGGTGGTGCAGGAGCGGAGTCCGAAACAGTCTGGTCTCTTTGAGCCGATTCGGGTTTTGGCGACGGTGGAACGTCTTTCGAGGTTGATACCTCTTGGTCATTATTCTGGGATGTTTTAGGTTCTGATGGTGCCGCAGAATTGGCATTCTCTGGAGCTTGCTTCGCATCGTTCAAAGCCCTGGTCGATGTAGCCTCGATGTTGACTTGCGCATCCCGGCCATCAGCAAACTTCTCGAAAAATCCCGCCAACTTGCCGCCTTTGGGACCTTTCATGACCTCCTCAGCCCGCCGGGCCGCGTCGACAAAATCAGTTTCGAACAACGTCACGCCCTTCCAGTTCAAATAGTGTTTGTGCAGCACCGTGTCGAATCGTTCCTTCAACAAGCCACCCCACGAGCTGATCACCAAGTGTGCCTGGTACGGTGCACGAGAGTTGTCCGAATAGGAGCGCGTGATCTGCGATCCAAGAGATATACGTTCCTTCTCCAACATGAGGTCGTCGAACCCACAGTCTATGAGGATCGTCACTGGTAATTGAACGGGCCGTCGGGGCTTGGGCTTCGAAAGAGAAGTCTGGCTCTGATCCTGATTCTGCTGCGCTGCAGTTGGGGCCGCAGACGGTACCGGTGTCCCGCCATTGTGTTCTTGATGGTGATGTTCGCCAGAAGCGTTCTGTTGCTGTGCTTCCCCTTCCTCCCTAGCTGCTCGCTTCCTCGCTCGTTTCTCTTGCAACTTCTGCTTTCGCTTCGCTTTGCGATATTGGCGGCCTGCTTCCCACTCTTCCTGTTTCCGTATTTTTTTCAGCTGATTCTTGGACATGGGCTTCGTGGACTGCGGCTCTGTCTCTGGATCCCCGTTCCGTTGTGTCGGCTCGGGCCCAACACTTCCGTCGGACCCGTCTGCGTCGTCATCTTCCTTTGAAGGATCTGCGACATTAGCAGCAGCGTGCTCGGCTGGCTTACTGTGGTTTGCACTGTCAGTGTCTGGGACAATGGCACCATTCACTTCCACGGCCGGTAGCAAGGGCTTGTCTGATGCAGTTTTTGAGTTTGGTTCATCGCGCGAGTCTAGCTTTCGCAGCTTGCTCGGCCGCTCGTCTGCCTCCATTGTTGAATTCGTTGGCCGTACCAGGAACGTCTACAGATCAGAAATGTGTAATTACTGAGAAAAGTCGACCCACGTCACGTATTGCATCTCATGCTGCTTTAAGATAGAAACAGAAGAGCGCGCTGGGATACAACCTAAGTCCTGCCAGGTGGATTTTTCTTGACAAGATGTTCAACCGCAGACGTAAAATGAGGTCTGACCTATATGGTTAACTCTGTAATCAGCAATGTCTTGTAAGAAATTTAAGGTATTGTGGCTTGAGAGCAAAAGCCTTTAAAGCAGCTCTCAGATGGACCCAATAGAGCAAGTATTACCTAAGCGGGCTGCCGTCCAATCGACTTCATCTCAATTCGAGGAGCTACCACCGTCACCCACGTAAAGTTGCGTCGAATTGATTGATCTATGTAGGCCAAACCTCCACGACCACAGCTCGACAGAATGCCTCAGGACCTCCCGCCCGCTGGCGGGTATGAACCCGTTCAATACAGAGTACGTCCCACAATGCCCTCTCGATCCTGTCAATCCTATCGATCCTGGACCTCGCCCTCGCCCTCGCCCTGGTCCTAGTGATCCGACGCCGACCTTGATTGTCGCAGCATTCTTCCCCAGACACATACCACATACTCACCGACCAAGCAAGCTGACTCTTCTCTTCTCTGCACAGCGTAACATCCCGACCCGCGGCCTCCGACCCGTCTACTATCTTCTTGCCTGCGGCGCCGTGGTGGCCTACGGTTGGCGCCAGGTCTTCATCGGCCAACGCGAGAAGCACGAGATGGCCCGCGAGAAGATGTGGGCGCGCATCCACCTGATTCCGTTACTGCAAGCCGAAGAAGACCGCGACCAGGTCCGACGCTACTATGCCGATTTGGCACGAGAGAAGGAACTGCTGGGCAGTCAGAGCGGCGCGTACAATAGTAACAGGTATGTTTTTCGCTATTTCACCATCATCCGAGCTGTGCTGTGCAGGATTGGGCGAAACTGCGGCCTTTGTTGCATTGAAGAGACGGATTGCGTGCGCGCCTGCCTGCACCTTTGTACATTTCCGAGTCCTGCAGGGGCCTGGCGGGTGAAAGAAATACAATGGCAGAATGCTAACCGTTGGATCTTGCCACAGATTCGTACGACCGACGTTCGCAGCGACGCCGAGCAGAACAACAGAATAAACAAGCGGTGTATGGGACAACGGAATACTATATATTTGTTCATCAACCGATTCCAGGACTTCTGCCCCTGTCAGGGTCACCCTCCGACACCCGTTGCCAACCCGAAAAGAAAGAGCGCATCCTCCCCATCGAAACTAGATATCCACAACGAAATGAGGTTTTACCACCCACTATGATCATCAAGGAAAGGGAGGCGGGAAAACTGTACATATCCACCAATTGAAGCAGGATGGATTAATTCCTAGACTTGGGAAAATGAGGATGGAAAGTGGCTTTGAGATGAAGGCTGAATCATTCAATCGCGATCCAACTCTATGCACGAGTCTACACCAAGGAATCAAAGGCAGGGTATCCACCGACATTTGCTTCGCATGGCCGTCACTCCAGCCTCGCAGGATTTGATGTCCTCGTTCTTCTTTCCCTTCTGCCATGCTCGTAGGATTTCGCCTCCGCTTCTCGTCCTGGTTCTAGTGCTCAATAATTTCACAAAAGTATTCTAACACATAGCAATGTGGAAACCGTGCTGAGCAACAAGGGGTGAGCAACTCAACACTGTGATCTGCGCTCCTTGCTTTGTTCGAACCCAGTGAGGTTCTTTTTCAGGTGTTGCACAAGGCCTCCATTCCTGGCCATTCGAGGACGGAAAGAAAGCTCGTTCCTAGCTCGCAAACATGTCCGCTACGCCACTGAAGTCGACGCCGTCGTCGGGCCCACCGGGTCCAGCACCGCCTTGAAGAAGGCCGTCCTCCACGCCCTGCATCCCCAGCAGCTCGCGCTGCTTATACTTCTCCAGGATCTTCGACTGCTGCTGACGCATGTCGATCTTGCCGAGCTCGCTGACTCTCACGCCGCGGACGCCCTCGAGCAGCGCCAGGATGATTGCTCGAAGCTTCTTGGACCGGGCACCTAGTCCCTCCTGTACAAGCTGGGCGGCAGTCTTGTCGACCTTGTCGTCGGACATGCCGGGCAAGCTGAGAATGACGTCGCGCGGCGTCGAGGTAAGCGGCGGCCGTTCGTGCGCCGGCACCGTCTCGGTGGCCGAGACGTGGACCGGCAGGCCATACGACAACCAGATGGTCGCGATCAGCTGCGCGTAGTATTGCTGCTGATCGGCGAAGTAGCCGTCGTTCAGGCATGTGATAGCCGTCTTAAGCATGTCGGTCGAGATGAACTCACGCACCGCCGTGGCTTCCTGGCCCGAGATGTATTGGTCGAACGCAAAGTCCGGCACCATGCGCTGCACGGCCCCGAGCATCGTGTAGCATGACCTGGTGTCCTTGTAGGCCAGTGCGTGTGTGACGAACAGGAGCAACCGGTCAAGGATGCGGACATTGGAAAGCAAGAACTCGCGCATCGTCCGCTGGTGCTCTTGCGTCAAGTAGTTGCCATTAACAATCGACTTTTTCGTGATGAGCTGCTGTTCGCGCTTTGGGTTCAACCAGTGCGCAACAAGGTTGACCGCCTTATACGTCGTCTGTCTCAGTACCGAGTCATCTCTCATCTCCTCGCTCAGATTCTCCCCCTCCTGCTTGGTCTGTTTCCTCTCGTCCATCTTCACCCATTCGTTCGACAGCTTGGTGTCCATCTGCTCTAACAGTGCAGACAAGATGGGTGTCAGGAAGTGTTGCCGAGTCTCGGGCGGGCACTCATCGATCAATTTCGGCAGCATCTGGATCATAACCGTAAAGTGATGAGGGCTTAGCGGCGCCGTGGTTTTGATGGCGGCTTCGGCAATCATTTCGGGAAGCTGCTGCAAGCTGTAAAAAGTCGGCCCCAGTCTTCCTAATGTATGCAGAATGCTGTAGCATTGTTCGAGATTATTGCGTATCCTTCCTCGCACCGACGAGGCAAACCCTTCAAGCGTCGACTTGGTAGATTTGACCTTGCTGTGGAAATCATTCATCGAACCGGTAGATATGCCGGACTGCCAGTACCGATCCCGTAGAACTCGTCGGATCACCCCTTGCAGTTCTGGTGGCACATTGGGCCATGAAGCAGGGTCATGCAACTGGTGGTTGTAGCTGGTGAGTCGGAGGACGTGGCTCAGCATGTTTGGAATGATGGGTGACCACAAGTCACAAATCATTTTGTGTAGGGCCGAGCCTTGCTCGAGTCTGTCAGTGGATATACTGAGCAGCACTCTGGTTTCTCTGAGTGGCAGCTTTGAGAAGGCTGTCAGCATCTCTTGCTGGATCTGTACCGCACGATCATCATACGAGGTTTGAGACCAATCCTCGATATTTGCGGCCTGTATCGACGCCAGGTACGGTCCAACCCGATCGAAAGCCTGGGAGTGAGCAAAGCTCTCCACACTCTGAAGGGTGGCTTGCAAGCTATCATCCGCCCAAGCGGCAGCGATCGGTTGAAGAAACCCTTCCAGTTTGGCTTGACGTTGTGCGTAGTCCACAGCCCCAGCACGCTGAATGACAGAGAAAAGAGTCGACTTAAGGTCGATTTGTAGTCGCTCATCCGCACCGAGCTGGTTGATGAGGTCTGTAAACCTACTTTCGAGCTGGTCGTAGAAAGTCACAAAATAGTCCGCATGTTGAACCGCCAATCTTCTCAACTCGCCTGTGGCATAGCTGTGAAGCTCACTGACGGCCTCAGCATAAATAGAGTGCTGTTGTTGAGTGATTATGAATGATGACAGGATGTGTTCGAGTACACTGAAGGCAAACCCGGTGTCCTTCTGTAGGGCCCGGTTGGAGACCTCAACTGCCGTCTTGATCTGTCGCTGTCTGATCTGCGGGTCTTTGAAATCTCTCCTCTTCAGCATATCGAGCATCCAAGCCTTAGAAGCTTCCCTCACTTTGAGCACAAGTTGCTCTTGTTCCGGGGTCCGCCCCTCTCGATGCCGCGTTTGCCAGCGATCAAGTCCTTTGAAAGCTGCATCAACCATGGCAAAGTACGCATCAGCCCGCAGAACGTTCATGGATACCCTTTCATATCTCGCAAGATCGAGTTGCTGCTCTGAGGCTTGGACTTCATCCAAAAGCTCATCGACTCTAGTCATGACTGCTTGCATAGCCTCCTCTAATTGAGCGTAGCAAATCCATTCGATGACTGCCGAACAAAGTCTGCGGTAATTGAGGTAGAATCCCTGCCGTTCGGGGAACAGTTCAATCTCGTCGTTGACGAAGGCCACGACAGTGTCCTCTGCGCCTTCAGGAAGCTGATCATATTGAATGAGGCGCTGAGATGCAAGTTGCAAAAGTGGACCAATGCACTGAGAAACCACGCCAGCTTTTCTCCACGCTTGTACCTCCAACAACTTTACCCAAGAATGGATTACCGGAATAGAAACAATGAGGCTTTCATGTTCAGCAATAGCAATTAAGAAGTGCAGGAATGGTGAGAGGTCGAATGTGCTGGCGTCCGGAGGTGCGTACTGACACGTATGATCAGTAAGGAAGGACATTAACTCTGATAGCTTTTTCGAGATGACATATTTGCTGCTGTCAATGTCATCGAAGGAGACAATCGACCACGTATAAAGCTGCCGTAGTGTGGCGATACTGTCCGGCTGAATGAGGGGGTAGACAAGAGCCTGGACCTCTACCTGTTCCAGGCGGGTCCTCCCATATAAAGAGAGGAGAGCGTCGACAGCGGCCATGACAAGGTCTGGGTCTGCCTTGGTCAGGAAGTTGCAGGTCACCGCCAACGACATCGAATTCACAATGGATGGCGTCATGACCCAGATGAAGACAGTTCGGAAAGTTGCCAGGCCTTTAAGAGCTGTATCTTTGAGAGCGCCATCCAGACTTGGGGTTTTCGCACACTCATCCAGAAACTGTCTGATTCTTGTAAGCCATCCTTCATCTCCACAGCGCACTTGATGTACGGTGTCGCCGATTTTGATGCCTCCAGCATAGTTAGACTTTGAGGTGAAGATTTCGACCAGTGCCGAGTTCAGATCCCTCCCACGTAAAATAGCAATGTTGTCATCGCGGACAAAAATGTCTTCAGAAAGGTTTTCCAACACAGTCAGGACAAAGTCCTTATGAACAAGTTCTTGCGACCACAACTGGACCAGCCGCCCATCCAGGTCAAACCAGTCCAAAGCCCAACTTCGTTTGGCCAACTCTATCCACAGCTCTGCAATCTTGTTGCGAATGAAGGGGAGGTCTGACGGCAAGATTGATCGGCCTATGTCAAGAATGCAATCCCGGAGCTGGTCGTTCTGCTGTTCGGTGAGGTTATGACCCTCGTGGCGGATGATGTGGCTGAGCAGAGAAAGACCAAAGTGCCGAACCATCGGCGGATGAGATAGATCCGTGGACAGAGAAAAGCCATATTGAGGCGCCTCGGGGCTTGTTTTCAGATTTTCTAAATAGTCGGAGGCTTCTCGCCGGACATCGTTCTTTGTGGTGGGATTGTGAATGACTTGCAAGGCTTCCAGGATATTGGACGTGTCGTACGAGAGCGGATGAGCTCCATTCGTGACGCCGTTCACATTGGCGGCGTCTGTCATTTCCGAAACCAATTTGAACAGTCTGAGACGAGACGGCACTACTACTCATATAGCGGAAGCATGTCGCTTTGAGGGTATCAATCTCAGACGCAAGTGGCGACTTCCGGCAGCTTAAGTAGTCCAACGTGAGTCGTCACTCCGGCCGTTGGCAGGCTTCCACCGGGTTGGGAACCAAACAGTGGCACCAGTGACAGGGTTGGTGGTTTTTGATACAGAGGATTTGTAACACTCGAAAGCCCCTTGAGCGGTTGTAACAAACCACGGCTGTTGCCCAGTCGAACGTACCCAGTGGAGGATGATCGAAGCAGTAGAGAAGAGCGACCTTATTGCCAGTACACAGGGGATACGAGTTTGTTTGCGTGAAATACAGACACAACGGCCATTACAGAATTACATGTTCTGGCACAGTTAGCACGCGGCGGCAGAAATGAGATGGAGGATTCGCTGCCGCTGCCGTTTACAAGACAACAAACACAGCAAACAAAATGCCAAGCCATGCTATTGCACTGCACGGCATCCAAGAGGCAACTTTGCCGGGGATGACTAGTGGACTATAACCTCTATACTTACCTAATACTTAGATAAGGTAATATGTCTGTGTCGTACAAACCTGCCCCTGCCCCTGCCCCTTTTGTACTTTTCGTACGCCCGGCAACCCTGTACCGAGTCCAGAGTTCTCCGTACCGTCCATCTTGACATCATGAAAGTATGTGTATGCCTATGGACCAACACGCATACCCTCACCCTCACCCTGCCATGCCTCTGCCCATTTTGCGGGCTCGGCCTTCACGCCGGCCATGGTTTGTTCCGCCTCGTCCTCTGCCTTGCTCCTTTCGCCTTCTTGCAGCCTGAGTTGCCGCATCACCACTAGGGCCGGCAGTACTACCTCCTCGACCACGGGCAGATAAGCGGCCTCCCCGTCTGGGTCCTGATCCAGTACGACTTGCAGCGCTGCTTTCGCCCTCCTCACTCTCTTCGGGAGTGCCCCCTTGCCATCTTGTAGCACCCAGCGCAGCCTGGTTCCCTCTAAATGCTTGCGGTGCCGAGTACTTCCTGTGCAGCTGGTCTTGCCGTTTCGGGTCCTTCTTCAACATGATCGCCCATCCCTCAATCTGCTCGTCGCTCATGCCCGTTTCGCGTTTGAGGTCTTGCCGCACCTTATTGATACGGGTCTTGCTATCTCGCCCAAACAGCTCCTCATTGTCCTTCCACGCTCGATAGAGTAGTTCTTCGTGCGGATTTTGCAACGGACTGCTTTCTGGCCGGGGTCGGCTGTCGGTGTCGATGGTGGAATCTACAGTGCCGCCGACATCTGCCACATCGTAGGTGTCATCTCTCTCGTCATCGTCAGAGTCGAATGCGGCTAAAGCGGCTATAATTGCTGCTTTTCGTCGAGCATGCTCGTCGCTTGTCGTCTCTTGATCTATTTTGATGTCTTTGCGGCCTTTGTGCAACCGATCCGATGATATCCTCAAGTTGTCAAAGTCATCACCGTCATATACGGTCTTCCTTTGAGGAAGTAATGGAGGTGTAGGATGCGGTGCGAGATCGTGGTGAGGCCCACCAAAGTCCTGCATAGGCGTGTCTGATGAGTCTGGTTCGTGGAGATTGGGTGGCAGTGATTCAGGCTCAAGTAAAGCCGCAATCACAGCTTCGGTGTCGTCGTCAAAATGATCGAGTAGTCTGTGAACGTAATGGCTAGACAGGTCTGGGAAAAGATCGTGTACTTGTGATATCTGAGAAGCTCTGTGCACATGTATCTCGTCATGCACGTCAGCCTTTCCCTTACCCTTCACGACTTTCCGTTTCGACGGACCGACGAGTGGGTGTAAATGTGCTGTGTTCTGGCGATAGGTTGTAAGTGAATCGATCAAGGCTTGACCTCGTTTTCCAGTGTTTATCGAGTCGTCGGCGGCAAGGTGCCTCAAGAAAGACGTCGTGCAGACCAAGCTTGAGCACAACGTTGGCTGGCCGGGCTTCGACTTGGCTGTTCTGTCGGCTTCGGATTTCATGTAGTAGAGATGATCCAGGAGGAGGGAGCCACGCGGCAAGTTGTCAGACATGAGACTCCGTAAGCAGTAAAATATGTGTTCCGTTAGTGCCCTTTGAGCGCCCGCGCTGTTGGGATTCGACTGCAAATTACTGTATGCTTCCATAAGTGATTCGAGGTAATCCGAGCCTGTCATAAGAATGAGCCCCGAATCAGGCGAAATCTTCAGCAAAGCATTGAACCGGCGGCATGGCTCCAAGAACCATTCAGCATCTGGCTGTGAGGACAGTCGTCCCAAGGAAGTTTTCTTCCAACCTTCTACCGCGTTGGCCACCTGGGTCGTATTCCTCTTCCAGAGTGTCCTGGCTGTGGTCCTCCAATCTCCGACCGAAGCATACCGAAGGCTCGCCAGGCACAAGAGATCAAGTAACTCTGCGTCACCGTAGTCGAACGGCACTTTCGTCACGAGCAACAGCCTTCTCAAGAGCATGTAGGCCCGCTTCAACAGCAAGCGTTCCTTCTGAGGCATCGACGAAGCTGGACCTCCGTCCCGGCTAGCGCTGAGCAGCGATTTCAGGAAAGCCGTTCCGCTCGCATGCTGCGAGAGTTTGAATTCCGAAAAGTGCCTCTCTTGCAGACGGAGGCGTACTTCGATACTGACGAGCCACGAGTCGAGACAGGCGTCCCATTCAGCGGGCGGAACACTGGCCCTGACATTAGGGTCTGGATATGCTGCCAACGGTGGAAGTTGAGCGGGGACTCCTGGGACTGCCTCCATGATCACAGCATGCGAGCTTTGCCACTTGCGCATGCGCCTTCTCAAGCCCCAGACCGAGAGACTTCTGAATATCGTCAAATGTAGTCATCGACTCATAATTGTTCAGGCGGAACGACTAAGGCGATCACCAATATCCCGACACGGTTAGCCCCGCCACCACGTGATGCTGGTCCACGCCAAGATTTCCGCCCACAGTCGCCCGATCCGAAAAATGTACTTCGCGGCCTGCGATTCTCGATCGAGACTCTCTTTTCTTCCCCTCCTCCAGCCTTTCATCACATTACCGAACCAAACCGTTCAGGTCTTGATTGGCGCCGACGCTGTCTCTTGCTACACCACAAAGAACAACCACACAAAACCCCAGCAACCATGTCTTACCAAAAGCCCGAGAAGGATTTCGGCGAAGGCCCAGTATGTTTTTCCACGACGCTGCGGCGTCCCCATCGCTGCTTGATTTTCTCCCAGGTTCAGATCCAGGAGTGCTCCAATCTAGAAAATTCCGAGGCGAGGCAGAACTAACAAAGCTGGCTTTAGAAAATCCACAAGATCCGCATCACCCTGACCTCGCGCAAAGTGCAGGCCCTCGAGAAGGTGTGCTCGGAGCTCCTTGAGCGCGCCAAATCCAAGAACCTCCGCGTCAAGGGCCCAGTGCGCCTGCCAACCAAGACCCTCAAGGTCACTACCCGCAAGACCCCTAACGGTGAGGGTAGCAAGACGTGGGACATGTTCGAGATGAGAATCCACAAGCGTTTGATCGATCTCAATGCCCCGACCGAGGTGGTCAAGCAGATCATCATCAACATCGAGGCCGGTGTTGAGGTCGAGGTCACGATTGCGGCTTAAATGGGTTGATGTGAGCGGCGGTTGCGAGACCATGGAGATGGTGTCGTGGAACCAAAGGGGGTGTCCTGGCATGGACGCTAGTCGTCCCGGTCTCGGGTGGCCTACCTGAGTGTGGCCGCGTGCATTGGCAGAAAGGAGGACTGCATTACCACGAAGGCACCCCAGAAAGGTCGAGTTGACATATAAATTCAATGGAAGCTTCGTCCCTTTCGAGCGGAATGCGTCGTTCACTCAGTCGTCTGTAGAACGCTGCAATTTATCCGTTTGGCTGCCCTGGTGTCTTTACAATGTCTCGTCAAGCCTGGCCTTAAGCGAAAATTCAATCCTCCCGCTCTACTATGAAGGCTGCCTGGTTCAATCACCTCTATACTGTCTTCCTCAGAAATCATACACACTCCAGTCCCTCAACGGCGGCACCAATGGTAACTTGCCGTCTTGAAACCGTCCCTCCTCGAATAAGTACTTAAACTTATTCACGATTTCGTCTGTATATTGCTCCGCTGATCCCTGAGTATCGTGTATCTTGTCCTCCCTGTTCAGCGCGACAACTTCAGGAGTTGCTCCTGCATCTGGGAACCAGATCTTTTCGAAGCCTTTACCGTCAGGCCTTCGGTAGCATAGGATGCCGTCAATGTACTCCACTCTTTGGCCACGGTAGGCAGTCACTTGGCCGGAAGTGCTCTTCTGCGTGGGCTGTAGTGGAAGGGTTTGCGTATAGTGCGTCGCATGCGGCGGTCGTCCAGTAAGCGGATGGGGTGTTGTGGAGGTGTTCACAATTGGCTTCGTAACGGCAGGCTGTGTGGATGCTGGAGTTGGCTGTGCTGGCTGGGTTTGAACCGTCGGAGTGGAGGACGCTCCAAATGGATTTGCCCGCGAAGCTGGTCGGGATGCGGCCGGTGTTGCTGTTTCCATTGCCTGGTCATTGGGCTGCTGTTCTGCCGGACTGGCCCCGAACGGGTTGGTCGGAGCACTTGTTTGACCGAAGGCTGGGGTAGTGCTGCTGCCGAATGAAGGTTGCCCAAACGGAGACGAGGCAGTTGCGGCTTGGCCGAAAGGTGAGGTGGTCGGCTGGGAAGGCTGGCCAAAGGTGGATGTAGGCTGGGTCGGTTGGCCGACCGCGGGGGATGGTGACTGGCCGAACGCAGTCTGTGCGGATGTCGATGACTGACCGAATGTAGAACTTGGCTGAGATGGTTGACCAAAGGTCGCTGAAGGCTGGCTTGGTTGCCCAAAAGTCGAGGTAGGCTGGGATGGCTGACCGAACGTCGAACCAGCCTGGCCAAAGCCAGATGCTGCCGAAGCCGGTGCGAATGGATTATACGACGCATTTGCCCCAAGGCCAGTCGACTCAAAGGCCGGTTGACCAAAGGAGGATGTCGGTTGCGAAGGCTGTCCGAATGTGGACGTCGGTTGTGAAGGCTGGCCAAATGTTGACGTTGGCTGAGAAGGTTGACCGAATGTTGATGTTGGCTGAGAAGGTTGACCGAAGGTTGATGTCGGCTGAGAAGGTTGCCCAAATGTGGATGTCGGTTGTGAAGGTTGTCCGAATGTTGATGTCGGCTGGGAAGGTTGCCCAAATGTAGATGTCGGCTGGGAAGGTTGCCCAAAGCTCGACTGACCGAATCCAGAGCTTCCGAATGCCGGCTTTCCAAACGACCTGGTGGACGATGCTTGTCCGAACGGACTTGTAGCATTTTGTCCCCCACCACTCCCAAACCCATTCTGGCCAAAAGCTGGTTTGGAGGCCGCACCACCACCAAATAAGGACGGCTGAGATGGTTGACCAAAGGTCGACGCCGCAGGCTTCGCAAAAGCGTTTGGCGTAGACGATCCCCCAAAGCCTGTACTTGAGGTGGTTCCTGAGGCTGTACTGGGGAATTCCTGAACAAACTGATCGCGAGATTTTGTCCCGTCCATGTTCACAAAGTCATTCCTATTAGGGTGCTTTTTGTCCGCCTCCTCCATAAATCGGCTGACATTCTCGACGTTGCTGAGGATCTGGCCCATGTCTTGGGCAGCCTTGTTCCACAACGCCCCTGCTTCTTGATCCGCAACGGCTTCTTTGCCCTGGCTAGCCAGTTCATAGAAGCGCACGCGGACTTCCTCGGGACTCAGCTCGTTGGAATCGAGAAGCGAAGCCGGTGGTGATCTTCCCGGACCATATGCAGTAAGGATCCATTTCGGCCGACCTTTTCCGTCCGTCAAGTCACTCCTCACATCTTCAAGGCTGATACGCCAGCTGTCTTGGCGAGCTAGGGTTAGACTGCGTCAGCAATGTAGGATGAGAAATCGACAGGCAACCGGGGAAGACTGGAGAGACCCTCGAAGGTCGAATGCTGGCTTGGGAAGCCCTGCAAAATCTCTTGATCGACGCTGACTCACCTCCGCTGCTCCCACCTCCTCCGAAGCGAGAGGGGCCACTACCGCCTAACGCACCATATCTGTTTTGACCTGCAAATCCCGCACCGGGATGCTCATTTCTACAATTACCTATAGCATGGACATCAGTCAGGTGACATAAAGGAGGAGCTCACACGTTTGGTGCTTAGAAGGAGGCTCAATCAAACGTACTGCCAAATTTGCAATTTCCATTCAGGAAGTATTTGCAGACAACCATGGTGGGGAAGAAAGAGAGTCAGTGCTCTGCGCAAAAGCTCGCGCAGACAAGGAACCACGGTGCAAGATGTAGAAATCGGGATCTATTTGCCACGGTTCATGCTTGTGTGGAGTTGTTGCGCTGAGTTTTGATGGTTTCGCTGAGACCAGTGAATTCAATGTCGTTGCAGCTGTGGACCTTGATGGAATTCAAGAATGTTTTTGGCCGTCCCCTTCCTGGATTGAGGGCTGTTCTCATCTGGCTTCTATCTGAAACAAAGCGAAAGTGAATGGCTGATGCAGGAAGCTCAGCCACAGCAGTGGACGACAAGTGTGTGTCGGCAGGATGTAGATAATGCCGCGAACCATGGCACGTCGAGGAGCGTCGTTCAGCCCCGAGGATCGTGTCGCTTCAAGTTGATTAGATACAATTTGCGCGAGCGCGCAAGTGAGTCCAAAGAGGACTAGCTCCTAATCATTAAACTACTTCTGCGCTTCGGGTCACACTACCTCATCTGGCAATGCAAATATTGCAATGTTACGAGAATCATTTGTTATCTTTCTTCTTCTTTTGTGGCCCGTACTGATTACCGATACTATCTCAACTCGGCGAATTCAATTTCGAGGCAGGGCAAATCAATGATTATGGACTTCGTATCAACGTGTCGGGATCTTTCTCCGGTGAGAAGTCAAGCATTGAGCGGAGCTAATCCTATATAGGACTAAGATCTGTTGCTGTAGGACTTAGCGTCCAGTTTATCTAACAACAAATGGAGTTTTCCCAAGCCCAGCAAAACTCGGGTGAGATTCACATGCCATTAAGGTCTAACACGACGATATCTGCGCCAGCCTGGGCCGGCAATTGTCATGCGATATGTCCCAACGGAAATGGCGGAAGTCCCACTCCTTTGGCATGTGAAATAACATGCCGATATGGTAGGTATACGTAAGGTGCTACGGGCCATCTGCCTACCTAGGTAGGCTTGTTGGACATCCTCTGGCTTCGCCGCAGGAGACACCTCCAGACCACTTCCACCACTTCATTGTCTCGTCGATTAACCACAGGAACGGCCCTCAGACAGTCTTGAACCGCATCTACGATGATCGGAACTTCACCGCTTGAGTATGCCTGGGTGGTGACTTGGGTTGTGATCTTACACTCGATTGGGCCGCTTTGCGTCGGATACTCTATCATAGCCAGATTCTTACCAGGCTATCTACGAGTCTGGAAGTACCTCGAATACTGGGCCGCCATAGAGACGGTGTTCTACGTTCTAACGTATGCCTACCGGAAATACTACCTCGAATCTCCAGCGGTACACCCCCCTCCTCTTGTGCAGGAGGAAAGAAGTCAACTGTTTCGCCGTTGTTTTGAAACCGCTCAAGACCTCACTGCGTTCTTCTCGGTATGGTTCTTAGGGGCGCCCATCACTGCGATCAAAAGAGAGAACATCAAAGAGTGGCTCCGATGGGCTTTCTTCAACACGGCCACGGCGGACCCAGCCTATGATGACGAACTGGAAACATATGTAAAGCAGCTCGAAACAAAACTTGGGACGCGCTTCGAACCCGGCAGAGCCGATGTGAGGAGCATACGCTTGACGCTGGACAAGGTCGACGCGCTCCATCGGAGTCTGACCTGGTATTTGGTAAGAAAGCATTCTATGGATGGTGCTGAAGAAAGAGATACTAATCCGACTTATATCACGCAGTGCATCCTTGTAGTTGATATCCTCACGCATACTTTTATGTACGTGAATGGCTTCGACTTCTACCGTGGCTCGATTGCGGTATCTATGGGCACTATCCCTCCGCGACCACAAGCACTTATTGCCACCAGTCGTTCGCCAAGTCACGATATGAGTTACTGGTATCGCCCTCAGACCTCACAGAAAGAATTACCAGTGGTGTTCCTCCACGGCATCGGGGTCGGCCTGTATCCATACATGCAGCTTCTAAAGGAGGTGAACATGGGCCGCCGGGATGAGGACGGGAACATCGGGATCCTTGCGGTCGAGATCTTATCTATATCTTCGCGAATCACGACCCCGGTCCCCCGGAGGGAAGAACTATGTCACCGGCTTCGATCTATTCTGCATCATCACGGGATCGACAGATTTGTCCTAGTATCGCATTCGTCAGTAAGCCATTGAAGCTGAGGAGGGTGACTGCTAATACTCATAGATATGGCTCGGTCATCACCACGCACCTTCTCAAGACCCCTGATCTGGCCTGTCGAATATCGTCAGTCATCCTTGTGGATCCTGTTTCCATATTATTGCATCAACCAGATGTGGTGTACAATTTTGTAATAGTCTCACTCTCGATATTATTGACTACAGACACTGACGCAAGCCAGACAATTCGGGCCCCAAAATTTGCCAATGAATGGTTGCTGTGGTATTTCGGCTCCAAGGACATGGGCGTGGCTCACACCCTCTCGCGCACGTTCTTCTGGTCACAGAACATACTGTGGAAGGAGGACCTCTTCGCACATCGTGCAACAGTGTTCCTCTCCGAGAAAGATTCGATCGTGAACGCCCGACAAGTACGCAGGTACTTGGAAGATATAGAAGAGCACGATACTGGCCAGGATGCGGCAAAAGTACCCCAGGAAAGCTTGTCGGTTCCCTTTGAGCAGGGCAGCTTGGAAGTGGTGTGGTGCCCTGGTCTTGATCATGGACAGGTCTTTGACCTCGCTGCCTGGAGAGAGCGATTGAAGCTTGAAATCCTCAGGAAGGCACGGTATGCAACATAACTCGCCTCTTGCGCCCCGACGCGCACGAGAAGGGGCGTTTATCGGGATGGATGTACAGTCTGACCTGGGCCTCCGTGTGCCTTGACTGTTCACAGGCTGCGACCGGCGGATCAGCAGTTATCCATACACATAGGTAATAATATCATGTTTGATACGTGGAGCGGCATTGTCGTCCAAGCTCCCTCGACCCATTCACCACCACAATCTTCACATTCTCGAAGAGCTCGGAAGTCAGGTCGGCCAATTCAGAAGCATCTCACAGTGACAACATCCATGGTTGAACAGATCAGAATTCGTACCATGGGAATCTGTTGCACTTTCAACCGCAAGCCCCACCGTTTTTCACTTTTCTACCCTTGACCTTGGGAGGTCTAGAGACTTCGATCGACTACTCGTCGCCCCGACCCTTTCTCCGCTCTTTTCGGGTCAGCTCGACCTCCAGGACTGTCTTCTTGGTGACCTTGCCCTTCAAGCCGTCGTCGTCGCGGTCGAAGTAGAGGGACCACTCTCCTGGGCCCTCGTGGACAGCCACGAACCCCTCCCAACCCTCGAGAGTGAGTCTTTTGTCGACCACGGTGCAATCCCAGGGCCCAACAAGGTGAGGCTCAGCCTGAATTCGATTGCCATACTTGATCTCATACGTGTCTTGGTCGACATATATCCAGTTCAACTGTGGGGGGTCATCACTGATTGTAGAGACGAGTCCTTCACCTTGGCGGCCCCAGTTCTGCTCGGGAAAAGGGAGAAAATAGCCGGCGAATAGATGGGAGGTTAGGTGTTCGGCCGCAGGTGTCGCGATAAACAGCTGTGTCAGTTACATGGTGTCCTTCGGAGGAATTCGGCGGGGAGAGGCACGTTCTCCGTACCTTGTTGTCGCGCAGGACTACCCTTCCTCCATTGACCTCCTGGCTACTGGCCGATGGGCTGTTGCAGGAAACAATAAGATTGGATTTCACACCTCGATGCCGTTCTTTGGCCGATTTCCTTTGACCCTGACGGACTGCTTCGGCGGTGCCGACAATGGCAGGGCAAGCCGCTATCGAGGTAAGTATGCCCAGGACCATGGCTGGACAGAGATGGATTATCCTTATCCAACTCGAAGGCCACGCGAGGTCGAGTACTAGTGGACGTGGGCGGGAAAATCAGACAGGAAAATCTTCTAAGCGTTGCTAGCTGGAAACATTACAGGTCTAAGGTGACAGATATCGCGGGGCGTGATCTGGAGTGTGAAGACCGACGAGGCAGGAAATCAAGTTTCCCAGATTGGAAAGGCCGACGTCATGGATTTTGCCTGAGGGCGCAGTCCAGGCGCAGTTGATATGCGGGTTGTCAGCTGGAGGGATTTGCAGGGGTCTGCAACCTGAAGCGCATAAAGCATCCGGGTGAGTGGGATTGGATTGTTCCATCGATTGAACCACCCTTGGACATGTCCTCCTCGAGACAGGTCACCAGCAGTATAGTTGCGGCCAAGGAGGCTCCAATGATGCCCTGCAGTGTCCACTTCTCCCACATATCCGGCCGGTCGACCCCTGACCCCGGTTATCGAGGGGCTCCTTAGGCCCCTGTTTTGCGGCGGGAGGCCACTGGAATGCTGGTACTACCTACTACCTCATTCACACTCGAGACATCCCTGGTACGGAGTACATATGCAGCGGAGGTCTTTTGGACTACTACGGAGTACGGAGGACGGAGTACATCTTGAGAAACCTTGCATTGTCACAACTGTTAGCGCTCCATGATGGCTCTGGTGACGACGCAGACAGGGGTTGAACAAGTTGGACGAAGGCAGTCGTCATTGTGAGTACTCCGTAGCGAGTTCCAGCAATGTGCTTAAGGGCGCCTGCCCTGCCTTATTTCGAAGGACATGGTCTGGTACTGGAAAGCTTTCCAATCTGTCCAGCAGCCTCAGTCTCGACCTGCCTCTCAGTCTCCGACTCGGTCTCTCGGTGTTCATTACTGCAATAGCAACACCCATTACCGCCAGTATATCAGACACCAAACTCCAACCTCCCCGACAATGTCAAACACGCAACAGTAAGCCCCCTCATCCCCCTCTTGATTATTAAGCAGCGCTGTCCTCCCTTCCCTGGACCCGGGCTAACGTGCTTACCACCGTATCAGAATGGAAGCGGAAAACGCCAACGCCTGGGACACCAAAGACGGCGGGTCCAGCGCGACTGAATCAATCCCGAGCCCGCGAGCAAACCGCAAGCCACCCAAGCTGTCGAATGCGATGCAAAAGGCGGCGCCACCGCGGACGCAGATGCAGCAGCCTCCTGCCCAAGAGCAAGAGCAAGAGCAAGAAATGATGGCCCCTCCTCAAGCGCGCGGGCGACGGATAGTGCCGGTGCACCAGTCTCGCATCCAGGACCGGCCGGCCAAAGTAGGCGAGAAGGACAGCAGTCTGAAGATCAAGATCGAGCTGGATCTGGAAGTCGAGGTAGAAATCTACGCCCGAGTCAAAGGAGACGTGACGATTGGGTTGATGTAACCATTTTTGTCGTAGGTTGAGATCTACGCAAGAGTCAAAGGAGACGTTACTATCGGATTATTGTGAGGCGTGAGTCAGATTCCCATGTTCTCAACCTCTTTAATTAACTTTGTCCAGCACCGCCGAGGCGTAGCACCCGCGCTCTCTTGCACCAGGCAGAGATGGGTGGCTGAGAGGGTCGGTGGTTGTTGTGGCTGTTATGGCTGACCCGGCTGGCTTCGAGTCCAGATGGTAATGGTACATATTGTACGGAATATTGTACCATGCTCTTAATGTTGGGCTGCCACAGTTGGCTTGCCACAGTACGGAGTATCAACTCGAAAGGCATTGATTGCAATGGTTTCTGCGAGCGACCATTTCTTTGTCCTGTTTTCTAGGGTTCTTACGATAGAAAACGATGAGGGATAAAAGTGTAAACCGTACCTTGCGTTGTCTCTCTTTCTTCCCTGGTGCTGGACCACTTCTAAATGGGACATACGGAGTACTGTTGTAGATGGTGGCAGTCTACGCAGTACTTCGTATCCCTCCAAAAGAGATGAATTCAAGCCTAAGGGTCCTACCTCTCGAGAGTCGAGACTACATTCGGACCCCAGTCTCCTAGTCTCCAGTGACCCCGGCTTAGGCCTAAACCCCTAAACCCTTACAGGCGAGGGGTGATCAGCGCTGTCGGACCCGAGGCTTAGGGCTTACCTATGGACCATACCGAACTTGGTACGGACACTCACTTTGTACGTACCTATGTACGTATGTACTCCGTACGTATGTACCCAAACCTCAAGTGCCTGGCGATGGGGATGGTGATCGCTCAAAAACCAGGAATAAAACAAGGACAGGCGCACCCCCCTTGACCAGCGAGACCAATCAACGCAGCCACCCGCGAACCCTACCACCACTACCCAGGCATGATGGTGTAAGAGAGTAAATCCGTCGTCGACATCATCGTCATCGACATCGAAACCCTCAGATCAAGCTTGGGTGTTGCGAGATCAGTTGCAGTTCCAGTTCCAGTTTCAGTCACAGTCCCCGGTTCCCAGTCCCAATCCCAGTTCCAGTGCCAGGTCCCAGTTCTAGTTCAGTCCCTGTCCATGTTCCCATGGCCATGGCCCATGGCCTGTTGGGCAAGAGGGGAACATCCCGCCACACGCTCCCCTGCATTACAAAAAGCAGACGGGACCCCTGAGATTGGATTGCCGTTACTATTACCCTTATGTACCTAGGTCTGTCTGTCTTGTCGAAGGTCGGATCATTTAAAGTTCGAGTTCCCAGTTCCCAATACTCCATACACACTGTGTATACCTATCTAGTCTGACTCAATCTTGGAACCCCGGTCCACCATTAGTACTGGCTCTCCCTGGATTTATATCCATATCCGACTCTGATTGTTCCAACACTACTATAAAACGGCAAAGCGGTCTTTGTTTGCATTTACTACGACTCTACACTACACTGCCGTACCTCTCCTACTAATAAACACACATAACTATCTATGGCTGGACTTCTCGGAGGCGGAGGAGGTGGGAACGGAGGCGGGAAGAAAGGAGGCCTTTTGTCAGGGTACTGTGACCATGTTCCTTGCCCTTTCCCTTTCCCTTTCACTATTCTCTTTCTCTTTCCCCGCGGTTCAGATTCAATTCTCAGAATTCAATTCTCTCTCAACCCTGACCCTGACCCTGACCCTGACCTTGTCGACTTCGAAGCTGACATTGTTCTATCCTATCATACAGTCTCACCAACACCGTGAACGACGTGACGAAAGGTGTCCCAATTGTAGGTTTTTGTCTAGACGGAGCAATCCATTGCAATTGCCCTTGCTCTTGCTCTAGTTTTTCTGGATGAGCTTCCATCGATCTAATCTAACCTGCCCTCCTGTATCTAGGTCGGCGAAATCACCGATCCCCTCTTGACTACCGTGGGCGAGACGGCGGACGGGTTACCCATCGTAAGTGGTGCCTTACTTCTAGAAACAGGAAACACCACAAGATGAATTGGGGTGGTTGTGATGTTGATGGTGATGGTGATTCCACAACACTGAAACTAATGAAGTCCAATTCCACAACACTGAAAACTGACGAATCCATCTGATTAGGTCGGCAACCCCGGCGGAGGACAGAAGCAGCAGGCTCAATCCCAGGCCCAGGCCCAGGCTGTTGACCCGCAAGTCGCAGCGGCGCTCAAGAAGAAGAAACAGTTGGCGTTGAAGAAACGGGCTCTGGCGCTCGAGGCGGAAGAATTGGAGATGGATGACTAGGATTTCGATCGAAGAAGAGGGGGTTTCGTCAGGCTAGTCTGCCGGAATGTACTGTTCTAATAGATTATACAGTACAATGAGGTCGAGTCGGTCCGTCTGGAGACCAGTCACCGTCAGGCTATTCTGATGCCATTGCCTGTAAAGAGTAAGACAATGAGAAAGAGAAATTGAATAAGTACTCCGTACATGACAGAATTCCGCCAACCCAACGGTGTGTATGTAAGTATGTGTCGTATTTTGTATGCATGTATAGGTAGCACCTACTAGGGGGTAGATGCATGTATTTCTGTAACCCAACTGCGTGTATGTATGTGTCGCACTTTGTATATATGTAAAACCAACCTAGCTGTATGTATATATGTATGTGTCGCACTTGATATGTATGTATAGGTACCTACCTAGGTGGTAGATCCATGTAGATATATGTCTGTATGCTTTGTGTATCTCTCTACAGGCCTCAGTAAGTGCCCGGCCATCCAAGACTCAGGACTCAGGACTCAGGCCGTAGTACTGTTTTTAAACACATAACCCTCAAACACAGCGGCGACCTTCTGACCGTCGTAGAAGCCAATGACCTCGACGATCTTTCTTTCGAGATCAGCATCATCCTCAGCCCCAGTTCCAGTGTCGGTATCAGTACCATTGTCAGTATTGACAGTCTCAACCAGTTCCGTCCTCATCAACCACGCATACTGCATATCGTAATTCGCGCCGTTCTTGCCACGCACCCCCTCGCTTCGCCAATTGACTACGGCCCAGTCGCCATCGACGATGATATGCTCGACGATCGGCACGGGCATGGCGACCAGCACGTCGCGCAGCGGCGTGAGCACTCGGTCCACGTAGACCTGCTTGCCCTCGTAGCGGCCGGCGATCGGACTGCTGCCCGTGACGGTCCAGACCAGGTCGTCGGCCAGCGCCACGGCGAACGAGGCGCCGAAGTTGTCCAGCGCCACGGCCGTGAAGAGAGATTCGACGAATGCTCGTGTCTGGTCTGTTGTGGTGTTGGTGGTGTTGCAGTCGTGTGGGTGTGGCCAACTAGGAGGATGATGAGCGCCCCCTACCCCTGGAGGGCTAGGACCCCAGGGATGTGCCTCGGCCATGGGAAGAAATCCCAATGAGACGCGACTGGACTTTCCAAGCACCGCTGACTGTTGGCCGCTGTGGTGGTTGTGGTGGTGGTCGTAGCCGTGGTGGTCGTGGTGGTCGTGGTGGTGGTCGTGGTGGTTTTGGTTGTGGTTGTTATCTGCCATCCACAGCCCAAGCACGATAAGAAACCACAAGAAGAACAATTGCCTCCGGGTCAACCTTCCACTTCCACTTCCACTCGGACAAACCGTTGCACTCGTAGTTGTAGAAGACATCATTTCAATTGCCGTCACCATCACCTTCACCGTCAATTCTGTCTGTCTCTGTCTCTGTCTTCTGCCGTCGCTCACCTAACCCTAACCCTAACCCTAACCCTAATCTTGCATATGACAAGGCACCAGAAGCCTTACTAATTGGCCTTCCAATGACACGAGCTGCTTCAAGTCAGGTACAGGGCCAGATCCAAGTCCAGATCCAGTACCACTCAGGAATCCGGATCCCTACATGTAGCTACGTAGTACTAAGTATATATATATATATACACATCAGTACCCTCGCCGCCGCTCTCACCGTCAGATGATGTCCAATACGCCATTGTGGGTTTCATGACATCGGCCACGTCGGTGTACAGCGAAGCAGCCCGTTTAGCGCTTGCCAATACCCTCCGGTCGGTGGGGATGCTGATGGTGAGTGTCTTGACAGCAGCACTACTGCAAAACGATACCATACTAAGAGCAGCACGGATGGAAAAAAAAGGAAGAAAAATTCATACTCTAGAACCTGTCTGGTCTGTACAATCAGTCGGTGAGAGCAAAGCCCACTTCGCAAGTCATGCTCAGCAATACAAGCACAAGTTGGTGCAAGCCAGTCGTTGATGACATGACGCCTGAGGAACCGGTCGAACTTTCGATCGAATCTCCTGCATCCTTTGCATGGACTTGGTCAACTTGCCTTCCCCTCCCTAGCTCAAGCAAGTGATCGAGAATCCCCATTCCCATCTTACAGCCCTTCAGTCCTCCCCCTCGACTTCACAATCCGAACTGCTGTCGTCCAGCTTCTCCATGTCAGCCAGGATCCCTTCAACACTCTGATGCTCGAACGAGACCTCGGCCGTTCCAGTAGGTTGGTCATTCTACCACCACCGCTCCCACGGGTTGTGACGTCTTAGGTTCTCGTCAAAAGTCACCCGTCGGCCGGTGGGTTGCTCCCGGTCCTCCACTTCGGTGGTAGTGGAAGGAGAAGCGCTCGCGTCCTGAATGCCTGCTTCTTCCACCCAGACGTCACCGAATTCTTCGCAGCGAGCATCAGCCTCGTCAACAGTGCGATAAGCCGGGTGGAGAGGCCCTCTCTTGATTTGACCCTTGTCCAACAGCTCCTTTCGAGTGGTTCTGAACACCGACTTGAACGAGGGAGATCGACCAATCCAATCTTCCAACCACTTGTGTTTCGGTAAGAGCTGGTCTGCCTTCTTGAAGATCTCGACCATGACCGCTTCCCTCAACCGATTCAGTGAGCTGGTCTTGCTTTCCTGTTCGAAAAGCATTTCCAGGCAGTAATCCACACTCTTGCGGGCCTGGTCGGCACTCTCGATAGCGTCCTCATCTGACAGCATCCAGAGCTTGGTGGAGAAGAGTTGTTCTACTTCCTTGTGGGCCTGTTGCAACAGCGGCTGCTCGCCGGGGATGTTGGCTGCCAACACCAGTATCTCGAGAAAGCCTTCCATGTCTTCGCCTGGCCAAAGCTTGTCGATCCAGCGTGACAAGACCGTGATTCGTCCAGTGTAGAGCCACAAGAGGTAAAAATCCATGCGATTGGGGGTGAAAGTGATGTCGTTAATCTTGAGGGTGAGAGGTGATCGGGGATCGTTGACGTTGAACTTCTATACCAACATTACCTGTCAGCAGACAAGCTCGCCCCCCTGGTCATACAGCCACCCAACTCACCGTGCGAAAATAGGCCGATCTCGACACAAAGCGACGATGAGCCTTCCATACTCGGCCACAGCATTCGATGGTCACATTGAAACCCTGGTGGTTCTGGTTAAGGAGCCTAATTCAAGTCAGCCAGCTCAGTCAAGCACAGTGGCAATGGCAAGCCTGCTTACAGCAAATTTTTGATGACTGGGGCATTTTCGTCGATGGAAAACTGAAAGAGGCGCTCAGACTGGCGGCTGAGATCGGTTTGAAGCGCATTGTTGGGTTCTTCTTCTTCTTGTCCTTCTGGGACCTCGGCTTGATCGTTAGGCAATGGCATCCTGCTTGCTGCGGCGCTCTCAGCCTTAGGGATGGAGCCAAGGGCCCCAGTCCTCGAGTGACGGCTCGTTCTCTTTGAGTGGCGGAGCATCGAGTCTTGCACTCGGGAAGGTTCAGGGTCTGCTGGGTCTTTTTCAAACATGTTCCTGGATGGTTCAGGATCTGCTGGCTCTTTTTCAAACATGATCTTGGGTTGTGGTGGATTGGATGGTGGATGCATCGTGCAGACACGCTGGATGAGAGAGATGAGAGAGATAAATTTGCCGTCGGTTGACCGCGCCCGCGCCCGCGAATGAACAGTTGAACAAAGAGGGGAAAAGCGCGAGAGCAAACGCAAGCCAAAACGTAAACAAAGCTGAGAATATATGTGAACAGATATCCAGCGCCGTAATCACATGTCGGCGCAATGTCGTCGTCGCGAAGGGTCATCCATGTAGGACTTAGCACGCCGGGGAGCCTCGTGATATCTACCAAAGAAACTGCACAAGGAAGGTCCAAACAACATGACAAGCTCGCTGACCATGTGGAAGGGGAAGGGAAAGAGCGGCAGACTTCTATTTGGGCTATCTTCTCGACCCTGCCCCTTTGTTGGTGATGCCAACTATTGGTTAGAGGATGAACATGTTTTGATAGGTCTTTGCCCAGGGAGAGGGAACAGGATTCAGCAGAGTGCTGCTCTGATCTGATAGCACTTAGGAGCGAGGCTGGGTGAGCATGGGGGACAAGATCTGGAGAGAGTCTGGCGAGCGTGGTGGCTTTTGGTGGCCAGTCTGCACCTGAACAACTCCCGGTCCGAGTGCACCACACACATGACGCTCTTGTTCCTTGTGGCACAATGACACAAATCGATCTTCAAGTATTAGAATGCAGCGAGGACAGCGATTGTTTGAGGATATGCTGAGGAGTAGTACAAGATGACATCTTCGTTGGTAATTCATTACAGGGATATCCCAGCTGCCTAGACATCGCAGACCTTCTCTAGCGGTTACTCATCTCTAGAACAGAGACAGTAGATCCTCGTTTGTCTTCTTGCCGCTGGCATTGTCCAATTGCTGTTGTGGTGGGGGCGGCTGAGACGAGGACAGATCCATCGACGCAAAGCCATTCATGATATCGCTGTCCGACATACCTCCGAATCCTGGAGCTCCAGGAGCTGTTGTGGACGAACTCCCATTACCGAAGACACCAAGCAGATCATCCATGTTATTCGCAGCAGTAGGCTGGCCAACCGAAGGAGATTCTACCCTTTGAGGCGTCCCAGCAAGTCCCTCCAGGCCCGAGAGCCCATTTGAAGGTTTCTCTGATGCCGAGGCTGGGGCAGCCCCGTCAAAATCGATATCCAGCAAGTTTTCCATGTTGCTCTGCCCTTCCGGCGCTTTGCCCTGCACAGCAGCAGCCGCGGCTGCTGCTGCGAGGGGATTCTCCTTCGCATGTTGCATTTGCTCCTCAATCGCTGCCCGCTGGACGGCGTCGGCACCAAAGCGACCTTGGCCAACAAACTGCTCCGGAGGTTTGTGGTATACTGATGCCAGTGTTGAGAGCTCCCCAAGTAATCGGTCCAGTAGTGCAGGCGGCAAAGATTGGATTGTGGTTGTGATTGGCGGCTTCTCGGAGAGGACAATATTTTTAGGGGCGTTGGCGTCGCTTGTGTTGGAGAGAAGTCGCCAGTAGATGTAGGCTCGATCACGAATGTCTGGGTTGTCGGATTCAGCGGTGGCGGCGTTGAGAACCTTCTGAACAAGCCCTTGAGCGGCCTGTGGCCGCTTCAAGAATAGTTTGACCACCGCTGTGAGGATCTGAAGTTGGGTCTAGCTATTGTCAGTAAAGCTTCAAGAAACATTTCATTGGGGAAATCACCTGTGTAAATTCTTCGGCAAAGCCATCGACAAACCCACCAAGAATGTCGCCGGCGTTGCTGATTTTTTCAGCGTACTCGCCCACAATCCAGATAAGCGATCCTCTCGCATTGGGCTCATCCAGCTCATCTATGCATTTGCACAGTGTGGGAATGATACCTTCATAGCCAGGGTATTTGCGGAAGATATCTTTGATCACCACAATGACTTCCTGTACAACATAGTTCACTTTCGTGTTGATGAGGTCTAAAAGCGCATTGACACATCTTTCACTAGCACTCTCGAGCTTGACGGCGACTTGCCCGATCGCTTTGACCGCGCGTCGAACAAAGTCCATGTCCACTTCCAGGGCGTATTCCTTGAGTTCGGCAAGGAGTTGATCGAGATTGGTGTCGTTGGCAATTCGGACCATGATTTCAAGCTTTTGGAATTTAACATATGGAGGGTCGTTGTACTTGCAGAAGAAGACTCGGATTTCTTTGCTCAGGATGTCGGGTTGTTTTTGTAAGAGGAGGTCGATATTTCGCAGAGCCACGTACTGCACTTCAGGTGCCGAGGAAACGAGAGTGACCAGAGGAGGTGCCATTTTCTTCAAATATGACTGTTGGGTCTCCAGAGGGAGATATCTCATGTGCAGGAAAACAGCCTTGACCGCAGCGATCACGACGCTCGAGTTGACATGTTGAAATTGAGGGGCGACTCTTTCACAGACGTGTTCGGCTTCTTTGACATCTTGTGCCTTGTACTCGGCAAGAGTGCTGAGAATGGTTACACGGCCCCATTCCGTGCACTCATTGAGCGCCATGAGCAGCTTCTTCAAAGTGTTTGGATTGATCTGCAAAGCGTTGGTCTCAGGGGCGGATTCTTTGATCTCGGCCAAGGCCTGGACTGAGTTGGCCACCACCATGGGGTTGGGATCACCAATCATCTCTTGCAGTGTCTCCAGAAAGCCGTTCTCGAGACACAAGGCCGGATTGAGGTCGAAGAGTTTCGCGACGCAGATTGCGGCAGTCTTCCGAACGTAGGGCGATTCGTCCCGTAGCGTCTTTCGCAGTGGTTCCTCCATGTAGTCGATCATCTTGTCAACTCTTATACACCCCATTGTTCGGATCGCCAGTGCTCTGATTAAGGGGTTCGGGTCTTCAGCGTCCTGGACAAAGGTATTGACGGCAAGGATGCAGAGGTCGGGGTGCGACTTTGCATAGTTCCTGAGGATGGGTTCAGCATGTTACAATTCCGCATTGTCGGTGTGCAGCACTAACATCAGGTATAGATACACCAACTTCTTCTGATCAAGATCTGCCGTCGCGATATTCTTGAGCACGTCCGGGAACAACGCAGAGACATCTTTCCCCAACGTCATCGCCATGATCGTTTTCTGAATGGCTTCCTTCCTAGAATGGGTGTCAATGGGATGTGCAGAGCATCTCGTTCGCCTCTGCTTACCGCTCGTAGGCATACTGAGATCTGGCAATGTCTGGTCAGCATCCGATTCCTGTAGGGGGCTAGGGACAACATACACAAGCCCGGCCCGCAGTTCGAACGTTTCGCCCTTTCTCGGAGGCGCAAACGCACTCCTCATCCTGTTCATGGCCATGATGTCGGAATTGGCGAAGCGGTCGTCGTGAAGGTCGCCAGATTCTCGTCACGGACTACGGATTGGTGGCGGGGCTATCGTGCCATGTCCAAGGCTGCAGGATCTCCTGTCGACTGACAACAGCAGTGGATTGATTGATCGAGTTGCAGACTAGGACAGGCACCAACTCAACATATGTACATGCAAACGTGGCTAAGGAAAGGGGACAATTGTCACTCCCCATGTCTAACTGCGGTCCTCTAGTACCACGACTTCCAAGCACCACCGCACGGGAGCGCGGGCGAGCAGCGCCAAGATTACTAGACTGTTTACAGGTACCACCAATGCCGCTTTACTCAAGTCCATTAGATTGTCAACTCCGGAGTATAAAAGCATCAACTTGAATGGTACATGTTATACTGACTCGGCGCTCTAATCAGACGAGTTGAGAATACTTTTCGTACAGATCCGGATACCATCTTTGCCCAACGTCTGGATGGCTGATGATACGATTCCTCAGGTGCGCCTCGCCAAACTGTCAACAGTAAGCATGGTGACGGGGAAACGTGGACAGGGTGTGACGAACACAAGAGTAGAGCGGAGAGAGGAATTCGCTGGCGACCTCGGCGGAAGGGACTTTCCTCTCCGCCGTCCCAGGTATCTGACGCACAATGTCCGCCGCAGATTCTTTCAACTGGTCCAGGGTGAGATCCAGTCTGACTCCGAGGAAGAATGGTACACTGTAACGGGTGGTCCTCGTGGGTGACTTTGAGGGTTAGTGGTCGATGACAGGCAACGTCGGGGTTCAAACATCACTCACAATGACTCGATGGCTCGTTGCGGGACATCGTCCACCCGTTATCGCTTCTAGGCCCTGTGCAATGTTGACAACGAGTGTGCCTTCAATGTACGGCGCGTCGATCCACTCCCCCGATCTATTCAATACCTGTAGGCCACCCACCGAATCTTGCGAAAGGAACGTAAAGAGACCTGACGAGTCCTTATGTGGGCCGACGCCTTGTGATCCTGGTTCCGCCGGGGGGTATTTGACGAACTTCAAGCGGTCCATGGCGCCCAAAAAAGGCTCCAAGGTGTCTTGAGGTAATGAAAGACATTCGGAAACAGATTGCAAGAAGGCCTTTGAGAGCACAGAGAGCTCATGAATGTAGCGGTTGACCAGGCGCGCCACCTCGTCGCTCGGAAACTACTGTATGTTAGTCCGCATTCCCCCTTCCCAGTAGGATTCAAAGCATGCCTGGCTGGGTCCTTGCAATCTCTTCCACATCGGATCACCTGGCTTCCAAATCGCGTCTACCGGACTACCAAAGTCGAATTGCTGATTGTGTCAGTGCTGGGCTCGAAGGCTGTCATGTCAGATGGTAGGGAGCCAGGGTCTTCGTACTTCCCGCAAGTCCGTCCGTTTGGCCGTTGTCTCGGCGCCTAGTGCTGTATAGCCCAGGAACGAGGGAGAGTTGATCATGTTGATTTTTTCCTTGACTTGATCGGGCAGTTCGAAGATGGCCGGCAGCGCATCGTGCGTTTCTTTAATCAAATCCTGTCAAATTGTTGGTGGACTATACATCTGCTTCAAATCGTCCAGACCCACCTCCAGCCCTGTGTTGGCGAGGTACAGAAATCCGACACTGAAAAGGGCATGCTTCAACTCTTGAAGAGCTTCGGATTTCGTCTGCTCGTCCTGGAGAGCCTTGAAATCGATGATAGGCAGAGAGCGGAAGGAGGTCGTCATTGTTGCGTCTATGTCTATACTTGGAGCAAGAACAAGTGTCCAAGAGGCTTCGAAGGGGCCTTAATAAGCCTGATTTATGTGTACGTGGGTTCGCGGAGTGGCTGTGAGAAGGGCTGGAAGACGTGATCGCAAGGCTATCACGAGACTGCGACGGGTATCTGTATCCGTGCTCTGTATCCGTACGGTGTACATGGGCTGAGAGGGAGGGAGAGTGGCCCTCTGGGAGTTTGTTGGAATCTGCTGGAGTCTGTAGGAGTCTGTAGTCCCCGACCGGCGACCGCTCCACCCCGAAACGAGAAACGGGCTACAGAGTGAGTGGTACTAAGTAATACCTCTGGCAGGCGGCAGAAAGGCGGCAATTGAACCGCGGGGCCAAAGGGCTTAGGGGCTGCTGAGGCTGGTGTTCTGACCAATCACAAGCCGAAGCCGGGCAGATTTAATTCAAACATCAGGTCACGACTTTGCCTGCGCTGACCACCTGCGCACACACAGCACTTCTCTTACACTGACTCAACATTCGGCGAGACAGCATTCCACCAAAGGATCTCTCCATTATTGCCACCAAATATGGCGCCATTTGCCATTCACCATTCACACAATACATGCAGAGCATGGCAAAACCTTCTAGCCCACGACTAGAAGCCGTCTCCAACACACGAAGCCTGCCCATGATGCCATCGGACGCGAAATGGCGTGCTCGGACTAGGAATATGGTCATGTGATCAAGACAACATAGTGCTCCCATCTGAAGCTTTCTGCTGTCCTTGCTTGCATTTAGCTGGCCAATGTTGCCTTGCGCTCGGCTGGATAACTACAATTATGTGGGCTACAACGGTAGGGTAAGCTGACCAGGCCAGGCCACAGACAGTTACAGATGGAGCCAGAACGTCATGAAGGACCCGTCACCCATGGCTATTTGCATATTCTACAATTCAAAAGTGGTCCCTTGACCATGGGCTTGGTCCGCTTTCAAAGAGAGAGAGAGAGAGTTCAAAACGGTGCAAACTTCTCACGTCCGTCCCATAGACTGACAAGGAGCGACCTCTTCCCCACCCATGGCGAACGTGCGTGCTGTGAGCCGGTCAATAGGGGACATGCTATGATTGTGTAGGGGGACTCACCTGCACAGTATAGTTGTCGATGAGCGCGACATCCCCGGCCTCCCAGGGAACCAAAAAGCCAATTTCATCGGACAGATCAAGCAAACGGTCCAGGTAGGCTGTCGGGATCGGAGAGCCGTCTCCGTAGGTCGTGGGAAGATGGTACTTGCCATCCAGCCCACGATATGGCGACTTGAGAGCATCGTTGTCCCGTGCTCGACCATAGACTCCAGCGAACCCGTTGAAAAAGGTGGCCTTGCCGGTTGACTGGATACGTCGAATCGCAGGAAGTTTTTGCAGGACATGTAACGCTCCGTTGGGCTGCCATTCTGCCTCGGCCTGAAGATCCTGCTTGAGAACAGCTTCCACTTTGGATCTTTGTACATCTAAGGAATCTCCAGCTTGGATGTCAAAGCCATACGAGTCCTGACGAGAGTTGTTCAGTTCGATCTTTCCCGAGGCCGCGAAGAGGGAGGAAGGACTTACTTTCCAGTTCCAGCCAATGTGTTCTGCTTCGGGGTCTTCCTTTGCAGGAAAGTATTGTCGTCCGATGATGCCTGCTCACAGCATTAGCATCAGATGACAAACACGGACTGGGGATCCCTGCTCCCACCCTTTGTTTCAAGGTCATGTGCAAATTCCGGCATCTCTGCCCTCAGCCGATCATACAGCTCCAATGAAGACAACAGCGGAGTTTGCCCGCCTGTTCACTATCAGTCTCGCCCCCTTCCCGCTCCCTCCCGTGGCTTGGGGGAAATCGTACCTTGCTCAGGCACAATCTCAGAGAAGAAGAACAGCACTCCTGGGAAATGAGCACTCCTGCCGTACTCGGAGTGGTAGTAGAATTTGACATCGGGCGGTTCTTCGTTCGCTGTCTTCACCGCGTCGTTGATGGTGGTTCTCTTGCCAGACAGACCAATTTCTCGGTGAGGCTGCGGCAGCCTGAATGCCTTGACAAATTTCGAAAAGTCCGAGGCTGTTTTGACCGGAAACCCTCGAAATAAGATGGTACCATCTGGGGTTGGGCCCAGTCAGTGGTACATCCGGATGGTCTTAAACCCCGTACTTACGGCTTTGTAGCAGTCCGTCAAAAAGCCCTGTCTGGGCCAACTCCTCGATGCGGCGGACAGCGGCGTCAATGTCTTGAAATTGATGGCCTTCCTTTACTCGGATCCCCAGAGGGAATGCATTGCCATGAACAGAGCGACTCTGAGGCACTGGAAAGATTTCGATGGGCACCTCTGCCTCCAACGTTGGATTGCTAAGTGTTGAGGCGGTCGGAGCAACAATTGACTTCAGAGCGGCCGCCATGTCTGCGCAAGTCCTGGAACGAGTTGGCTGTAACAAGATGCCTTTGGTGAGTGGCAGTCTCAAGCCTTGCCTGTAGACGGTTTATGAATCCATCATAATGGACGGATCTGGTAGGCTCATGTCACAACGCTGGAAGTGCGTCAAAGGCCGAATCTGACTCGTCGAAAATGATGCATTATCCCAACAGAATGGTGTCATCCTCGGGGACCGTTACCAGTTCCATCGACACAATATGCTGTCGCGTCGCATGGGTCTTACCAGTGGGAACTCTGCCGTCCCCGAGTGGCACAAATGGAGCCCCTGAGCCCCGAGATCTTGTTCTTGGACGATTTCGGGCTCCACCTCGGGGTCTACGCTGTAGCCCGTTCAGTGCCTGGCACGCGACCCATACAATGTCGATCATATCATGGCTCCACGCGGGTTGCCGACACGCATCACCGTAATAGAAACGCTGAGTTTTCATGATCGGGAACCACTCTGAAATGCATTTGGCGTAGGATCAGTTGCCCAGGCATGCCCAGACATACCCTGCTAGAAAGAAGTCTATTTCTGGCCAGAGCAAGTCGCCATAGACGCCAAAATGGCGAGTGACGATCATCCCGCATTGGTGCGAGGCGACAATATATCAAGTCCAACCATGTATAAATCCCATGGCAGAGGTACCCTTGATATTGGTCTCGAGCTTTGTGCGAACCCAGCCACGTGGCAACAACCATGTCCCTCCAGCCGCTGGACGAGAATGTCAAGCGTCAGGACATTGAGCATGTGACTCCCGCCGCTGAGAATCTCACATGGAGATACTATTTTTGGGATGCCTGGGACAAGTCACCAGAGGCAAGAATGGACTTTTTGAACCCGCAGGTGATCTATGCTGACGTTTACATCGCAGGAGAGGAGGCTGATCTTCAAAGTATGACGGCCTGGTCGATGTGTTACCGGCGCAGATGCTTACTCGAGTAGCTCGACCTGACCTTGATGACCTTTGGCTGCCTGGGGACGTTTATCAAATACATTGATCGGTGAGCTGGAAGCCCGTCTACTCTCACAAGTTACGGCACGGCTGACAGGAGGAAAGGTCCAACTTGAACTCCGCATTCGTTTCTGGAATGAAAGAAGACCTCTCACTATATGGCAACGTAAGTGGGATACAATATCGTGTCTGGAGAAGATCATACTGACCATTCTCAGCAACTGAACTACGCAAACACGGCTTATGCCGTCGCCAATGTGAGAAAATATCCAAGAACAACTCCATGGGCAATGAGAATAAGAGGCTGACTGCCCGCGACAGATTATAGGACTATGGCCGTGCAATCTTCTCCTGACGCGTTCGAATCCCAAATGGTTCATCCCAGCCCTCGAGGCTGCGTGGACCTTGTGCACCTTTTGCCAAGCAGCAATGAAGACTCCCACCCATATGTACGTGTTGCGGGCGTTACTGGGCATCTTCGAAACAGGTCATTACTCGGCAATGGTCTATCTGTGCGGCGCATGGTACCAGAAACGGGAACTCGCCCGGAGGCTAGCTATCATAAACTGCGCAACGGCGATAGGTCCAATGTTCTCGTCCTATTTACAAGCAGCCGCCTACACCGGCCTGAATGGAGTTCATGGCATGGCTGGGTAAGTGGCCCATATCCTGGCAAGCCTTCCGTTGAGCAAACAGCCGCTTACACCTTGTGCTACAGGTGGCAATGGCTGTTTATCATTGACGGAGTCATCTCAGTCGGGGTCATCATTCCCCAGGCTATATTCTTTCCCGACGTGCCTGCACGCCAAAAGCCCGATCTCGTCTTTACAGAAAAGGTCAGTCAAGCAGCCCCGTCTTCCCAGCCTGCAGCATATCTAACCTGATTTTCAGGAAATTGAACTCGCTCGCGACCGCAATCCGAAAGAGGGCAGAGTGAAGCAGGGTAAATTTACTATGAAACAAGTCAAGCGCTGGCTCCTGACCCCCGACATTTGGTTACTCTGGTGGATATCAGTGTATGTACTTTCCCTTTCTCTCGCTCTGCTGATTCCACGAGACTGACAAGAATGTTCACAAACAGTTGCAATTCGGTCGGCCAGCAAGTTTCAACTTCCATGTCCTTCTGGCTCAAAGCCTGGAACACCATCAAACCTGGCTCATACACTGTTGCTCAAATCAGTAAGCTTTCTATCTAATTACCATGCTGAGAGTCCGTCGAAGCTGGTTGCGCTGACACATCCTCGCCTGCAGATAACTACACCACACCCATCCAAGCTGTTACCGTGGTGGCCACGCTATTCATGGCCTGGGGAAGCGACACCTGGCTCAATGGTCGAAGGTGGCCCATGCTAGTGCTTGGAGGTGTGGTCAATGCAATTGTTTGCATCCTCCTGGCCGCCACACCTGTATTCCCGCACAATCGAGCATTCCGATGGTTTCTGTACTACAACTCTGGATGGGCACAGGCCAGCAACAGCATGTTCTGGGCGTGGACGCAAGACACTTTGGCTGGCGACCCTGCCACTCGAGCCTGGGCTTCGGCCGGCCTGAACGTGTGGGCCTGGACGGCCATTGCCACGGTCCCCTTGGGGCTCTTCAAGACTACGGATCAACCTGCCGTGGTTGCCGGTAATTGGACCGCGGCCGGGTTCTTGTTCCTTCTTGCCGGTACAGCGGTAGCCCTGGCCTACCTACAGCATGTCCGGTCTCTACGCCAGGGCGACGATGGCGATGAGAGTTCGACGGAGAGGATCTCCAGTTCCGTCGAGGAGGAATTGCCGAAAAATCCTAGAGTGTCGGTCGACCGGGCGTAAAAGGCCGCCGGGGGGCTCTCTCGTCACTACTACAGTGAGTGGTACTGGTGGACAGCGGGCACCAGGGCTTATCCTGTCGCTTTCGAGAAGGAAGTGAGTCGGAGAAGTAGAGCTATGACTAGTAGAAGAGAAGCCATACAGTGTGTTCGGTAATATACAAGCCGCACAGTATTCAGTAGCTGCAGACCCAGAGCCTCCAGGTCACTATACAGTATGTGGAGCGCTGTGCGTATGGTATGTACATTGTACAGTAGACTAGCTTTCGTGGCCATCTTATATATGGGTCAAGTTTGATCGTCTCTTCTTATGGCGTGATCAGTGGGTGGAGGCCACGCCCAGCAACTATATCATTCTAGATTCTGCCATATGTCTATATAAAGCCTTAGCCACGGCCCCTAACCACGGCTCAGACTCAGTCAGTTTCCCTCCACTTTCATTTCAATCTCGACCTTGCCATCCATCCCACTAGCATCACACCATGGAGTACCGATACCTGGGAAGAAGCGGGCTGAAAATCTCGGCGCTGTCGCTGGGCGGTTGGATCACATACGGTGGCCACGTCGACGAAGGTACGGCCATACCTCATCATCCTTTTCGAGACCGGTCCAGGTTCCACTGGAGGTTTTCACAAGAACCTGTCCGTTGACTTGGGCGCACGAAACGCATAGATGAGGCCTTTTCCTGTTTCAAGGCCGCCTACGACACGGGCATCAACTTTTTCGATACGGCGGAGAATTATTCGGCCGGAAAGGCAGAGGTCATCCTAGGCAAGGCGATCAAGAAGTTCGGTTGGAAGCAGAACGACCTGGTGATTTCGACAAAGGTAATGAAAATGTTATAAGAGAATGTTTCCCCCCTGCCCTACCCATTCAATACCAATACCACCTGTACCCCCAGGGGACATATCTCTTTCTGTTTTGTTCCCTTCCTCCCTTCTGCCTGCCCCTCCAATTCTAAAGGGGGTCGAGTCAACTCCAACATTGGAATATCTCTCCTTGCATTCCGTCTCCTCCTCCTCCTCCTCCTCCTCCTTAAGGGTGTTGTGGCGTGGCAGGTCAAACACGGCTTCCTTCCACACCACTTCCTTTCCCTTCACCCTCCATGCAAGTAAATGCAAATGCAACAACCAGCTAACACATGACCCCTTGTTCGATGGTCACAGGTCTACTTCGGACTCAACAACTCAGCACACCCGGAACGGCCACTGAACAACAACGGGCTGTCGCGCAAGCATGTGATTGAAGGAGTCAACCAGTCGCTTGCACGACTAGACCTGCCGTACGTGGACATCGTGTTCGCGCACCGACCGGACCGCGACACGCCGATGGAGGAGATCGTGCGGGCGTTCAACTACCTGATCGACAGCGGCAAGACCTTCTACTGGGGCACGTCCGAGTGGTCGGCGGTCGAGATCGCCGACGCGTGGCGGGTGGCGGACCGGCTGGGCCTGGTGGGCCCGCTGGCCGAACAGCCGCAGTACAACCTGCTGGTGCGCGGCAAGGTCGAGGACGAGTTCCGCTGGCTGTACGAGAAGTACGGCACCGGCCTGACCGTCTTTTCGCCGCTCAAGCAGGGCATCCTGACCGGCAAGTATAACGGCCAGGACGCCCCGCCGCCGGGCAGTCGCCTGGCCGAGGCCAAGGACAAGTTCACCGTCGCGTACAGCAAGACCTTCGGGAACGACGTCTGGCGCCGCGAGCTGGATCAGGTCGCCAAGCTCAAGCCGCTGGCCGACAAGCTCGGCGTCACCCTGGCCCAGCTCGCCCTCGCCTGGGTCCTGAAGAACCCGAACGTTTCGTCCGTCATCACCGGCGCCTCGCGACCCGCCCAGCTCCAGGAGAATCTGCGCGCTCTGGAAGTCGCCGAGAAGTTGACCCCGGATGTCTTGAAGGAGATTGACGACGCTTTGGGGAATGCCTTTGTCAACCCTCCACGAAGGCTGGGTTAGGTCACACAGTGACTATCGTACAAAGGCTGGGTTAGGTTGAATTCAGTGACTATCGCACGAAGGCTGGGTTAGGTTGAAAACTGTGACTATCGCACGAAAGCTGGGTTAGGTCACAATGGGAGACTATCCGGACGAGGTATACGGAGTACTCACTCGGCATCACTCTGTCAATTACTCTCAAGTCGGTACCAAGCAAGTGTCGAATCCCCACCCCCTGGGCCGAGTGTCGCGGACAAATATACCCCAGATATTTCCAACAGGTCTGATAAAACCAAAAGAGTAGAGGAGGAAAGGTGCATGTATGCATATGTAGATAGATACTATACTCCGTAGACAGAAATAGATACTTAGACAAGCCCATCCCGTACACATGATAGGTATGTATGTGCAAGATCGGCCGGGATGCCCGTTTGAAGTATTGATATTAATTCTCTAATCTCCAATAGTGATAGTGCAGCTAATACTACTACTACGTTATTCTGAGGACCCGGCCACTCTTACAAAGATGAGCGACACTCCAACCATCCCGCCTTCAGCAGCTCGCCAGCAGCCAGCAAGAGCTGCCAGAGCCAACTAAAATAGAGATTAGTAGCAGAGTACCGGAGCTGCCAGAGCCAACTAAAATAGAGATTAGTAGTAGAGTACCGGAGCTGCCAGAGCCAACTAAAATGGAGATTAGTAGTAGAGTACCGGAACTGCTCTCCTACTGAAGGCGCCTCAGTTTTGTACTTACTAGGACGAGTGATGGAAAGAAAAGAAAGAAGAAGGAAGAGAAAGATCGGAGAGGAGAAGATACTTATACTGTACCCTTCAAATTGAGGACGCCAAGTCTAGAACATTATACCCTTTAAATTGAGGACGCCAAGTCTAGAACATTATACCCTTTCAATTGAGGACGCCAAGTCTAGAACATAGGTGGCGGCAGTAATAAGGTGTGGCAGTAATAAGGTGCGGCAGAAAGAGAATGGCAGTTGAATTCCAAGTCTATAACACAGTGCATTGTAATGACCGCATTGAGATGAAATCATGCATGGCAAAGCGCTGGGAGTAGAGTACTTCATCTGATTTGGGTTGGTTGAGGGCGGAAAAGGGGCACCGCAGCCTTATCGTTATGAGTGGTGTTACGTTACAGTACTTAGGGTTAGGGTTAGGGTTAGGACGGGACCCTCCTTTTCCGTCGACTAACTAACTGCTCGAAGACAGTCAGTCAGTCGTGTCAGAGGGGCTGAAGTTTAAGCATGGTAATAGGTAGTAAGTCGAGATACATATTTTAGACATTGCACGCAGCCGGGCTTCAGTCGGGCTGGTCAACAACAACCCGCCATGTATTTTGACACCCACCCATAGCCTACAAAAGTCGGGCTGGTCAACAACAATATCACATGGCTTACGACTGGTATGGACCTACTATGCTTGGAGACCGGTCTTGAAGCAGGACTTCAAAGCGCTCTCTAGAAAAGGCGAGCTCGCTTGATTCTGTAGAGTCAGTCTAGATGGAGCTTTCTTGATCCCTCCCGTCTTGACTAGTCTATCCTCTCATTTCTACCAAGACTAAGATGAACACCTCGGAATTCGTATTCAAATTCGTTCCTCGACCTCCTCGCATAAAGCCTAAAGCCCGACCTCTCTATACATGGTTAGAGCCTCGCCTCTCTAGGTTCACTCTCCAGGTCCCGGAACCGTTGGAACCAAGCGATCGTGTCCGGATTCTGCACCGTGGCGCTCGGGGCCACGTCTTTCCCACTAATGGCATGCTTGACAGCGATCTCGACCTTCTTGCCATTGATGGTCACGGGAATATCGGGAACGGCCAGCACAAACTTGGGTACGTGGCGAGGTGAGAGCCCGTCTCGGATGGCTGATTTGATTCGCGTCCGGAGCTCTTCGGTCAGGGTGTGACCAGGCTTCATGACTAGGAAGAGAAACACCTGCTCATCTGCGTCCCGTGGCCTGCGACGGCCGACACAGAGGCTGTTGCTGATGGACTCGGTGAATGGCTGCGCCTCGACAATCGCATAGATCTCGCCGCTGCCAAAGCGAATGCCTGAGGGATCTGTTATCTCGTCAGTAAATATCAGGTCCGGTAGGCTTGGCTCAGGACTGACTTAGGACGCCGTCGCTTCTCCCATGCATGGTATATCCTCCCGTCTTTGGGTTCCAACTCAGCCAGTCATGTTGTGCCCAGACATCGAGATGGTCAAAGCGCTCGAAGTACGCGGCTTGGTAAAGTTTGCCATCTCTGTCGCCCCAGAAGAAGCACGGCATGCTGGGGAACGGCTTACAAACGACCATCTCGCCCGCCCGCCCTGTGTGTGCGATTGACTCTCCAGTGACAGGATCGAGAATGTCGATGTCCATACCGAGACCTGGGACCTGCATCTCGCCTGCATAGACTGGCGCACAAGGATCTAGGGCGAGGAGCGATGTCGCCGTGTCTGTGCCCCCTGCTGTGTTGCAGATGTGCACCGTAGATGGGAATGTTCGATAGAACCATCTATACTGCTCGACTGATAAGGGTGCACCTGTGGTGTAGACCAGCCTCAACGCCGAAAGGTCGAATTCTTCCTTGGCTATTGTTTTGGACATCTCAATCTCCAGAAGCAGTCGGGGAGATGCGCCCAGAAACGCTACCTTGTATCTCTCACAGATCCGGAGCAGCTGCTTTGCATCGGGAAACAAGGGACTGCCATTGTATACCACGAGGGTGGCACCCGCTGTCAAATGGCCGCACATGACATAAAACACAACCCAGGAAGTACTGGAGTATTGCATGATCACATCACCTTGACCTAAAGAATTGTGGATGGCTGATATTTTCTTGACTTGGATGATCAGGCCATGTTGATGGACAATGCATTTCGGCGCTCCTGTCGTTCCAGACGAATAACAGATCATCAGAGGGGAGTTGAAAGGTACACGGGTAAACGTGAGCTCATCGGACTGGCTCGACCTCTGCAGAAAGTCGTATATGGTCGGAATCTTGGATCGCGTTGGCGTGACAGGCACGACGAAGACCTCGGGTCGAACGCTCAGCCTCAGAACGATACCCTCGAGCTTTTTCGCTGTGGAAACCGTCTTGCCTTTGTATAAGACGTCACTGTCAATGAAAAGTATACTCGGGGTCACCTGTTGTAGTCTCGAGACGCATCCCTCCACCCCAAGTTCGGGGCTAATGGAGGTGAAGATTGCTCCGATGGAGGCCGCTGCGTGGAAGAGAATGATAGCCCAGTTGGACGTCGCAACCAAAGCGCCTACTCGATCGCCCGGCTTGATCCCACTGCGCCTGAGAGCACTGGCTGTCTGTCGGACCCTGTCTCGAAACTCCCGCCAGGTGACGACCTCAGGCTTGTCCTTGTAAATGTCCTGACTTTCCCTTATTCCGATCAACGCAACCGCCTCGAGGTTGTCGTTCGCAAAGAGGACATTCTCAGCGTAGTTGATCACATGCCCGGGAAAGAATGGTGGGATACTGCTCATCGGGACACTCTCATCATACGCTTTCTTCAAGGTTCTCGACAAGGCAGGGACGAGCCCAAGATATCCGTACAGATCGATCCAGAAGTCATGTGGTCGAGTGACAGACCATCTGTGAAGGTCTTTCGTGTCTTTCAAGTTTTGGGTATACTTTTCATTGACGTGCAGCCTGTACTTATCCATGGGCGTCGTCCTGCCTTGTGGAGGCCGCCAGAGCACTTCCGGTTCGCCATTCTCGCCTGCCATAGCATTGGTTCTTGATCCTCAGACTTGGCGTCGATACATCCAACACGGAGGAAAGACGACTGTATGGAAAGGATATAAAGGTTACGCGGAGCCAGATGCGCATTGTGATCTCGTTCAGCTAACCCGAGGTGAGTCTGGGACGAGGACGGCCACTGGCCGAGGCACCCCGCGTTGAACATGAGGAGATCGAGTTCGTCGGGCTCCAGACCAGAATTGAGGTTCAACCGTTGAAGAAATCGTCCAAGAGGAGACGCCTTCGCTTGGAGAGGGGCCGTCTCTGCTCGCCATATCGATGTCAGGTATCTCAGCGCCTGAAATAAACGAATACAGCAGCGAAGGCTCGTCAGTGGGAGGTCCATGACTGCGGTTCAATCACGGCTAAGCTGCCATTTGGGGACAACCGACTAAGTTATTAGTGCTAGCCACTAGTTTACTTCTGCTTAAATTTAGTTGATGCAAGGCTAAAGCGGCCACATATTGGATTCCCGTAATGGTACCTACCTACCTTACCTAGATAGATAGATATACACGTACCTTGACCACACAGGACCCTTCCTGCTATACTTACGCCTTGGATCAGGTTTTCACCATAGGTTTCAGGTCACTCTTGAGGTCCGGCAGGTTTTGATCAGACTTGGATAACAAGCAGTCTGTTCCGTCGCTTCCGACATCTTAATGTGCCGAACACAGACATTGATGACGCTCAAGCACACTGAGTATCGCCAGGTGTCGATAGACATCGTCTCATGATCTACATCTTCTCCTCGTTCAGAGAGGTGCCGTTTCATTGAGAGTTTGCGTGCCTTTTCAGTGGGTAACGTGGTCCAGGACCTCCCACGCCTTGTCCACAGACAAACGAGAAAGCGAAGACTATAGCTTACCTCCCATAGTATTGCCCCCAAAATAGAGTCACCCTAGCGGAAGGCGAAACAGGGATGGTGTACATATCGAGTGATGGCCAAAGGAGACCTTCACTGAGCAAGCATGGAGCCGCTGTTTCCCAGTTGTCGGAGCAGATCGCCGACTTCCACAAACAAAGAATCCCATTCCGCATATACCACGGCAACACCAACTCCACACGGCCCAGTGTCCGCACGCGCTCTGCGACCGTCGACACCTCATCACTTAACAACATTATCTCCTTGTCTGTGTCAAAACAGATATGTCTCGTTGAGCCGAACGTACCGATGGACGCTCTCGTCGCGGCAACATTGCCTCATGGCCTCCTACCGCCCGTGGTGCCTGAGTTCCCAGGTATAACTGTTGGTGGCGGGTATGCCGGGACGGCAGGAGAGAGTAGCAGTTTCAAGCACGGCTTCTTCGACCGGGCGGTCGAGTGGATCGAAGTGATTCTGGCGGATGGAGAGGTGGTTACCGCTTCCAGCTCTGAAAGACAGGACCTATTTTACGGGATGCCGGGGACGTTTGGCACGTTGGGTGTCACGACCTTGTTCGAGATCCGGCTGATACCAGCCAAGCAGTTTGTTGAGCTGTCGTACCTTCCGGTCGACTGCATCCAACAAGCGCAACAAGTGCTGAAGCAGGTCATAGATGAAAATAAAGCCGATTTTCTTGACGGAATCATGTTCACTCCCCAGGTAGGCGTTGTCATGGTCGGCCGGTTCGCGGAGCGGGTTGAACAGAACAAGAGTCTCCCTATCGTGACATTCACCAAGCCGTGGGACCAGTGGTTTTATCTACATGCGGAGGAGATGACGAAGGACCACCACCACCACCACCACCACCAGCAGATCACGGGGACGGAACTCAGGCTCAACGCAGCGAGCAAAACTGGCAACTCCCCCGTCTCGCGAGACTTGATTCCTACCACAGACTACCTCTTCCGGTATGACCGTGGTGCGTTCTGGACAGGGCGGTATGCTTTCACTTACTTCCTGACTCCATTCACCCGCTTCATGCGCTGGCTGGGTGACACGTACATGCACACGCGCGTCATGTATCACGCCTTGCACCGGTCGGGGTTGATGCAGAGATTTATCATTCAGGACATGGCCCTGCCGAATGGCAACGTCCCAAAATTTTCCGCCTGGCTAGACGGAGAGCTGCCTCACATCTACCCCCGCTGGCTCTGTCCACTCAAAATGGAAGCAGATATCCCGAACATGCACCCGCACATCCCAAGATCGTCAGAGGGGACCCGAAGCGACGACTCTGTTCTGAATATTGGCGTGTGGGGCCCCACGCCGCGATACATGCACCAGGTCACCGTCAACAGACGCATCGAGGCCCAGCTGAGGTCGCTACAGGGAATGAAATGGCTGTATGCACAGACCTTTTACACCGAGGACGAGTTTTGGGAGATTTATGACAGGAAGTGGTACGAAACAATGCGGGAAAGGTACAACGCCCAAGGGCTGCCGAGCGTGTATGAGAAAGTCCGGACCAGATTCGACGTCGATGCCAATGGCACCGTGGTCGGCGATGTGAGGCTCGGTATCGAAAAAGGGTTCTGGAGCGTCTGGCCCTTTGCGGGCATTTATGGTGTCTTGAGTACGTTCAAAGGCGGTGATTATCTGAGGAAACGGTGATAAATGGGGTTGGCATATCCAAAGTTTGTATACAGCCTGGACAACAAAATTTGATAGTAGTTGTACTACTACTGAGACAAGATGAGGCTGGATTTCGGAGTGAACATGACGTAGTGGCTGTAAGAGGATTCGCGCCTACAGCGGATCATACACGCTGTCTCGCCCCCCGCAGCGGTGCGGTTACAGGCGGGGCGGCTGCCGCAAATATTCGATACGTAAATCTAGACCCATCCAGCTGCGACTGTTCACGCCATTACTGTCGAAATGTTCTCACGACAACTTAGTATTTGACTGTACTCCGTCTCCCATTTCCCGTTGAACATTTAAGCACTCAGAACCATAGTTCATCTTATTCGGCAACCTCTATTATCAAACTCGTCAAGATGGCCTCTGTCAACGGCCGTCTCCTTGCCCCCGGTACCCACGACTCGGTATTAGAACTCATCGGCCAGACACCCCTGGTCCGCCTGCAAAAAATCCCTCAATCACTAGGGATAGAAGCAACAGTATATGCAAAATGCGAGTTCTTCAACGCCGGCGGAAGCGTCAAGGATAGAATCGCCCTCCGAATGATCGAAGAAGCAGAGAAGTCCGGTCGCATAAAACCCGGCGATACATTGATCGAGCCTACGAGCGGGAATACGTAAGTCGATCTAGGCACCATGCGAACAAAAACTGAGATCTAACGCATAAATAAGTGGCATAGGCTTGGCTCTGGTCGCCGCTGTGAAAGGCTACAAAACCATCATCACTTTGCCCGAGAAGATGTCAGCGGAGAAAGTGGCAGTCCTGAAAGCCTTGAACGCTACCATCATCCGCACGCCAACTCAAGCCGCATACGATAGCCCTGAATCGCATATTGGTGTTGCAAGGAGGTTAGAAAAGGAACTTCCAAACGCTCACATCCTTGACCAGTATGGGAACCCGGACAATCCGCTGGCCCATGAACTGGGAACGGCGGAAGAGATCTGGGAGCAAACCAGCGGAAGTATCACGGCGATCGTTGCAGGAGCCGGGACGGGAGGAACAATTACCGGGCTTGCGAGAGGTTTACACAAGCACAAGAAGGACGTCAAGGTCATTGCAGCCGATCCTCAAGGCTCGATTCTCGCCTTGCCTTCCCAGCTGAACGAGGAACACGCCAACGAGCCGTACAAAGTCGAAGGGATTGGGTACGACTTCATCCCTGACGTATTGGACCAGAAAGCCGTGGACAAGTGGTACAAGACGGACGATAGAGAGTCCTTCCACTATGCCCGCCGCCTCATCGCGGAGGAAGGGCTTTTGGTCGGAGGAAGCAGTGGTTCCGCAATAGCTGCCGCGGTCAAAGCAGCACGAGACTTAAAACTGGGCAAAGACGACGTTATCGTGGTTATACTTCCGGATAGTATCCGCTCCTATCTGTCCAAATTCGTCGACGACGACTGGCTTGCAGCCAACAACCTCCTCCCGCCCACACCACCTCCTGAACCAGCCTCTCCGCAGCAAGAAAGTATTAAGCACAACGACCCCTTCGGCGGCGCGACAGTGCATTCGTTACGTCTCAAGCCTGTGCAGACTGTCACCGCCGACTCTCCCTGCTCAGCCGCCATCGAAGTGATGCGCGAGAAGGGCTTCGATCAACTGCCCGTTCTGGCACCTACGGGTCGTCGTCTCGTCGGTCTGGTCACGCTAGGCAACCTTCTATCACGGATCAGTCATGGACGGGCAAGCCCAAAGTCCCCGGTGTCGGATGTCATGTTCGATTTCAGCAAGATCCCTGAAGTGACTGTCGACCCTCGTGATATCAGCGACATTGTAGCCCAGTCCGAATCCCTCTTCTCCAGCGAATTGACGGAGAAAGAGAACAGCGACGAGGCCAAATCTCGCCCCCAACGCCGTCCCAAGAGGAGGGAATTTGTCGAGATCACGGTGGACACACCTTTGAGCGCATTGAACAAGTTCCTCCAATGGCAAAGTGCAGCTATTGTCACGGAACGGGATTCCAGTGATAGTCCAGGCAATGCCAAAGGGCCAGCATTGAAACCACTCGCCGTTGTTACAAAGGTCGACCTGCTAACATGGATGTTGAGTCAACAAAAGGTGCAATGATGTGTCAGGAGTCGGTGACCGCTCTTCAGCCATGATTAAACCCGGACCGTGGAGCGTTTTTAGAGGCTTGTGTCATCAGATTTAGAAACCAAGCATGCATTGCAGAGAAATGCGCGAATACCAGGGTGGGATAACGTTTCAACACAGCCGTGGGAGGTTCATCGTTGTCAAGTAGTTTAGTTTTGACCGGAGTAGCATTAAATGCACTGATTTACAAGAAGCGAGCAAATAAAACTTGGGACAGAGTGGTGATTCATATTATTCGACGTTGAACACGAGTTTACAACGCCGGCATCGACATGCGAGACTGGTGAGCCTACCTGAGTGCTGCGGGACTTTCACAGTTGCGGTGCCGCTCAACCATCCTGAGGGCTTGCAGCTGCGGGACGGTCGCAACTAGAGAATGTAGCAACAAGGTGAGGGGTTGAATATAGGAGTGGGCGGGAAGAAAAAGAACCCTAGTCAGAGAGATAGTAAAAGCGTGGACGAAGGGACGGAAGGACGAAGGCGGTAGAACCGTGACGCTAGAGGCCGGATAACGACGGGGGCGCAAGGGCGGATCGAATGTATGTGGTAAATGAACCGGATGTGGACGTTTCGATATCGGTATGCGAGAAGGGCAACAAATGGACGAGGAGAAACGATGTCTGAGGGTCAAGGCGTATCGATGGGAACGGAAGCAGTGAGGGTCGGCGGCACAGGTTGTTCAGATATCGTCCGATCGTTCGCATCGAGGTTTCGATCGATTACGCTATCGAAGTAATGGTTGATCTGGAAAACCGCTTGCTCTACAGGATCGTTCCTGTACCGAGAGCTCGAGATCGGTCTAACCTCATGTCAAGTTAACTTAACCACCGGCATCTGCTTCCTGAAACACTTCAGGTCATGCTTTGCTGTCAAACCGCCATAGCAACACTGTCGACAGTGAAAATAAAGGAAAACCTATTACTTCTTCTCCCTTGAAAGATTTTCACTTTTCGTTTTTGTGCGCTTGCAGGGACTCCCCTGACGCGCAAATTGCAGTTTCTGCACTCAAATCCGGTCTGCGTCTACTCGGCAGTATCGAGTTCATCATGGGCCGGGGGTGGTGAATCCGGCGCTGATTCGGGTGTCAGCGTCATTTCCAGGAAGCATCGGTGTCGACGTCCATCGTACCTTTTCGGTCGTCTCCATTGGCGCCTGTGTCGCGGTCATCGTCGCGGCGATCTCGGTCATCCTTGATATCGCGGTCACGATCTCGGTCGGCGGGACTACGAGATCGGCGGCGGTCATCGTAATCTCGGTCGCGGTCACGTTCTCGATCTCGGTCGCGGTCACGGCGATCATCCTTGCGGGGAGAAAAGTCGCGGCGTCGAGGGGACGGGGAACGGTAACTTCGTCGAGGAGGAGTGCGGTCACGACGTTCACGGCCGCCGCGACCTGCTTCGTAGCGCCACGTAGCAGATGGAGGAGTTCGAGCCCACTATAGGTGCTTGTAAGCAACAAACCAAAATTTGTACGTGGGGATGGTTTATACCTCGATTTTCAAGACGTCGTCCCTACCGATACGCTTGTTATGCATCTCGTGGTAGGCGTCGTCAGCATCTCGGCGGCTTTCGTACTCGACAAAGGCAAAGCTGTAGCAAGCTGTCAGCTCAATAGGCAACGAGGCAGGAGATGCGGGTAACTCACAGTCGGCTAGAGGCGGTTCTGGGAGCTGGAATGTCGCATCTTACCAGCCGCCCGTAGTGCTCAAACTCATAGGCAAGGTCACGAGCGCGAGTACCGTGACCGAACCCAGTGACATAGAGTGTGGTACCAGAGCGGGACGACATGGTCGTTAAGGGGCCAGGTGGCAATGAGCAGGGTGAATTGGAAAATGTGGCGAAGACTCAGTCGTGCAAGCAGGCGGTGTAGACAGGATGTACGCCTAGCGAGGCCACAAATGAGGATGAATCCGCGGGCTGGGGGATTGGAAGCTGATGGATGATAAGAAAGGCGGCAAGTAACAGTAGTAGAGGGAAAAAGAGAAGGCGTTCTTGGTTGTCGTAACTGCGCCTTGGAGCTGAGGAACGAGGCTAGGCTAAGAATGGCTGGAGGCTTGGCAGGTTCTTGGTTCAGATAACCAGTCGTTGCTCGTGTGATAGGTGTCAGTGAAGCGCAAGTCTCAGATGAACGGATCGGGTGCAACAGGGAACCTCTCACACCTAAAACTCACTATATCACTTGCCCTCCCTTGCGCCTTGTCTTGGGATTGATGACAAAATCTCCCACCGCGGTTTTACCGTCCCAACTCGCCTTCACATCCCCTGTTTTTACCCTGTGCTGCGCCATCCTCTCCTCCAGTTCGGCCATCGCGACGTTTCAACCTTCCGTGGAATCTACTCGGTAGCTGGAAGATATAGAAACTTCGTTTCATTTGGGCCATATCACCACCCACGAGAATCTTGCATCGTGGACGGCTGCACCAGATATCCTTTCAATAAACTATGTTCTCCTGCAAACGCCCTTCCTGAAAATTTCCATGGACACCACAGCCGCTCTGACCATTCAGAAAACTATTGTTGCGACGCCTTCACACTCACTACTCACCCCCGGCATATTGTTACAACCCCCTTCGTGCCTTGGTTTCCGGGGATCGGCGCAAAGGGCGCGTCAGAGTCATGGGTCTTGGAGAAAAGGACCCTGCGACTGTCAACGGTAACATTGGCCAAACTTCATCGTCACTCGGGAATTTGACAAATTTACCAGAGGTGAGTGTGCCTGGAGAGATATATATGACCAGATCCTGACCAGTGTAGAACCCAGCAGCCATGGCCACCAATGATTTCATTTCCCGGGTGCAAGACTTTGTTTCCACGCCTTTCACAGCCGCATTCATAGCCGGAGGCATCGCAGGCGCTGTATCCCGGACCGTTGTATCACCATTAGAAAGATTAAAGATTCTCTATCAAGTGCAAGACGCAGGCCGCAATGAATACAAGATGTCTATCGCAAAGGCTCTCAGGAAGATGTACAGAGATGAAGGCTGGAGAGGATTCATGAGGGGGAATGGCACGAACTGCGTACGCATTGTCCCATACTCCGCCGTCCAGTTTGGCAGCTACAGCATCTACAAACGTTTCGCGGAAACTTCCTCTGGGGTTGATCTCGACCCCATAGGTCGGCTGGTGTGCGGTGGATTGGCCGGAATCACCTCTGTCACCTTTACATATCCCCTCGACATCGTACGCACGCGACTATCAATCCAGTCAGCTTCATTTGCTGCGCTCGGGAAGCATGATGGTCAGTTACCGGGCATGTGGCAGACCATGGTCTCAATGTACAAGAACGAAGGAGGCGTTTCTGGTCTTTATCGAGGGATCATTCCGACGGTAGCTGGTGTTGCACCATATGTTGGACTTAATTTCATGGTCTACGAATCGATCAGGACCTACTTCACCGAGCCGGGAGAGAAGAATCCTGCTTGGTACCGCAAACTCGCCGCCGGAGCCATATCTGGGGCCGTGGCCCAGACCATCACATATCCGTTCGACGTACTTCGTCGACGTTTCCAGATCAACTCGATGTCTGGTATGGGTTACCAGTACAAATCACTATGGGATGCAATAAGGACCATCATCGCGCAAGAGGGCGTCGCAGGTCTCTACAAAGGAATCATGCCTAACCTGCTCAAAGTGGCTCCCAGCATGGCAAGCAGTTGGTTGAGCTTTGAGATTGCTAGAGACCTTTTGGTTGGGCTTGCTCCAGAAAAGGTAGAGACCATCTGAACACGAACAAACCCCGACAAAACCCTGGCGCCCCTGAGTGAATCGCACTCTTTTCTCTTGCATTCGTCCCGGATATACTCCGGGATCGAGTGGCCGGAGTGGATGTTGACGACGAGACTGCGGTGCTGGACGTTGACGATGAGACTGCGGTGCAGAGAGAGAACATTGGACAGGCATTTCCAAAAGATCTGCACTGACACAGCGAGTGGGGCTGCTGTAAAACTCCCTCATACACAGGGTATGCCGGCATTACGGAGTCGGTGGTCACCGGGGCAAGGTTAGATGGACGCATGGAGGCATTCTGAGGAGTAGTAAGACTGGCATCAGCCATTTGAGCATTTTCCAATGAGACCATTTTTGAGAAATGTATTATTGATCCCCGGGATTGACTATTTCTGTTCAGTTACACTAAGGCATTAAGGGCGCGTGGATCTTTCAACCTGCACGAGCCTGATGAGGGTATGCAGAATGAGATAGGAGGTGTATCCGTACAAAGTACGCACATATGCTACGGATGAAGTACGGATACTCCGTACATTATGGTAATTAGGTGGGTACTACTACTGGGGCTGGCTGTAACAGGCTTTCTTGATCACGTGCTAGTGCCAAGGATTCCGTCAAAAGAGGTTTGGTGTGTAACAAATCTTGGCAAGCGCACGACTTCGTGGCTTTTCCTCTCCAAATTTCAAGAGCGCAGTGCCGTTGACGACGTTCAGACAACTTCCATCAGCCAGCACCAGCGTCAACAGCGATCATGGGTATGGAAGCCTGTTGTCCAGTGAAACATATTGCAAGTCAACTGACTCTTACCGTCTAGGTATTGACCTCGATCGCCATCACGTCAAGGGTAGCCACCGCAAGGCGCCCAAGAGCGACAATGTCTATCTCAAGCTGTTGGTGAAGCTGTACCGCTTCCTTGCCCGTACGTTGACAACCCCCAATCTTGCGAAGAACCGATGCGGTCTGGCATGATGAGAAACTCAGAGAGAGGGAAAGCGATAAAGACGAGATGACTGACTATCGAATGTGTGGAACAGGCCGAACCGACTCCAACTTCAACAAGGTGGTGCTCAAGCGCCTGTTTATGTCCCGCATCAACCGTCCTCCCATGTCAATCTCGCGCATTGCCAGCAAAGTGTCGACCGAGTCAGCACAAAAGGCTTACAAGGACAAGACCATTGCCATCGTCGGCACCGTGACTGACGACAACCGTCTGTTGACCGTCCCGGAGCTCCACATTGCTGCCCTGCGATTCACCGCGACTGCCCGCGCCCGCATTGAGAAGGCCGGAGGCGAGTGCTTGACTTTCGACCAACTGGCCCTGAGACACCCCACTGGCAGCAACGTCTTGCTGCTGCGAGGACCCAAGAACGCCCGCGAGGCCGTCAAACACTTCGGTTTCGGACCCCACAGCCACAAGAAGCCCAAGGTCGAGAGCAAGGGTCGCAAGTTTGAGCGCGCCAGAGGCCGAAGACGGTCCAAGGGTTTCAAGGTGTAAAGTGATGGTGGTAGTGGTACGGGCGATGTTCTTGCCCTTTGCCTCTAGGCACAGTGAAGAGCAACGGCTTGCGAAGAAGATGGCGTGCTTCCACTGGCTTGTCTAGCCTAGCACAAGCTTTGTTGAGCGGAAGAAGGCACGGCTAGTCACGGGCAGTTTTTTCTCTACAAGATGCAAGGACGGAAAAGAAATGGGCTCGTGTGTGACAGGGATCTCCTCGAATGGACCATATCGTGCGAGGTGACCCTGGTCTGTCTTCGTGGCCCGCATGGTTACGATCAATCAAGTGTTTTGAGGCGAAAGCCAAAAAATATTTTCAATGCTGATTCAAAACGAACAAATCCTGCTAAAAGCCGCATTCGTGTTTGGGCCACTGATGCCGTCAACTTATAATGGATTCGGGAATTCATCAGAGTCGTCTCTCTGTTGTCTATCTGATCTCCGGTTTTGATATATACAGCGTAGCCATGATTCCTAACACCGTGCACCGCCCACTTGGAAAAGACAATCCGCTGCACCACGGACTAGGGAGCCAGCTTTTCATGCTTATACCTCTTTTTCCCATCGCCGTACTCTGCGGCCGCCTGCCCATGCCCTCGGAGCTTGTACTTGTAGATAGTAAGACCTTCGAGGCCGACGGGGCCCCTGGAGTGGATTTTGTTGGTGCTGATGCCGACTTCGGTGCCAAACCCGTAGCGCATGCCGTCGGCGAAGCGGGTGGAGGCGTTCCAATACACGCCCGCCGCGTCCACGGCGGACATGAACTTCTCGGCGGCCACGGACGAGGCGGTGACGATGCAGTCGGTGTGTTTGGACCCGTGGGTGTTGATGTGTGCGATGGCCAGGTCCAGGGACGTGTCGTCTTCGCCGGATTCGGCATCACGCAGTCCATTCGTCAAGCCTTCACCTTTGCTGGTGGACGCCGGCACGGTCTTGACGGCCAGAGTGAGGTCGAGGAATTCCGTGTTGTAGTCTTCCTCCGTGGCGTCTTGCACGAGGGCGGCAGACGATGGAGCCAGAGACTCCTGAAGAGCGGCTTTGCTTTTTGCGTCACACCGTAATGATACCCCTTTCGCCAACAAGACTTCCGCTACAGCCGGCAACACTGTAGTCAAGATGGCTTCATGCACAAGCAAGGTCTCGGCGGCATTGCACGCTGCAGGATAATCGCATTTGGCATCGACCACCACCTTGACGGCGACATCTTTGTCTGCATCGCGATGCAGATATATACTGCACAACCCATCCGCGTGGCCCAGGACGGGGATCTTGGTGTGATCCTTGACGTACCTGACCAGCTCGTTGCCGCCGCGGGGTATGACGAGGTCGATATAGCGATCCAGGTCGAGCAGCTGGTCAATGACGTCTCTGGTCTTGACCAGCTGGACGGCGGCGTTGGGGACCTGGGTGGCCTCGAGCGCGGCGCCGATGACCTTTGCGATGGTCTCGAACGAATGCGAGCTTTCTTTCCCGCCTTTCAGGATCGCCGCGTTGCCGGACTTGATGGCCAGCGCGGCAATGTTGGCAATCACCTCCGGCCGCGCCTCGAAAATGATCAAGAGCACGCCGATCGGGCAGGACACCCGCTCCAACTCCAGCCCGTCGTCCAGCCTTGTGCGCAAGTCCACTTGGCCGATAGGGTCGTCGAGCCGTCGCACGTCCAGAATCCCGGAGAGCATGTCGTCGTATTTGCCTGGCCGCGACAGGTCCAGCCGCTTCAGCACGCTCTGGCTCAGTTGTCCGGATTTGGAAGCCTGCGTAGCCTGCGCCATGTCTTGCGCATTGGCCGCGAGGATGGCTCCTTTGTTCGCCAGCAGGGCGTCGTGCATGGTCGTGAGCGCGTCATTGCGAGCCGACACTGGAAGGACGGCGAGGGTTCTGGCGGCGATGGAAGCCGCTCGAGCAGCGGACTCGGGTGTCGATTCGGTTAGAGACATCTTTTGTATTCGGACGCCGTGTCTGGGCAACAGATGTGAAGATTATCACTCGAGTGGACTCTCTCGTGTCAGCGAGGTCGAATTGCTGTTAAATGACTCAAAACCAGTGACTGATGGAAGAATTTTTATCCTTGTGAATTACAGCGTTGGTCATGCGCCCTTCCTGGGTAGCCCTTTTGTCTTTCGTCTGGTGCTCGATAACGACAGTCACAGAATGTCGGTTTCTGGTCTGGCGACAATCTGCACTTTCAGATGGGTAGTAATGGTTGCGCGCATCAACCTCGGTGGCCTTGGACATCGAAAGTCAGGTGTATGTATTATGTAATCCGCTGTCCTCGTGCGGTGGTGCCATGCCTGTACTGTGTATTGTTTCTTCACCTTTGTCCAGAGTTATAGGATATCAGAACGCAAGTGTAGCCCCATACTCATTATTCCCGTGTCCCTTATTAATATATAATGGGCCTCGGGAAAGCAAATAGTACATGGCTGCCCATGGGCCAGAGAATTTCACTTGAAGAGTACGTCCCCCTACTCCTCGACGTGTATTGTTTTGTGCTCCACCACTTATCTCCTTGCTATGGTCTATCATCTTGCTGATGCATGTGCGTCTCCAAACGATCAATAACAAGCGCTGTGTTTAGCGATGTGAAGAATCTAGGGCATATTGCAGGAGGTGCTGCAGGATGCCATCGTTCTATTCCTCCGCCTCTGGGTTCAACGTGCTTGCCTTTCGTCTATTCTCATGTCTCATCAGCTCATGTCTCTAGGACTATAACGATTGCAATCTTTGTACAGCCGGGCCTTGCCTCGCTAGAGATATTGCTAACAATACCTCGCCTCGACAGGTCCACTTACTTCTTGATCAACAAACTTGTCCCGGTCATCTCTTCAGGTTGCTCTAACCCCATGGCCGCAAGCACAGTTGGCGCCACGTCTCCGATGACGCCGTCTTGCTTCTTCAAGCTCCATCCCTCAGGCGCATTGGCCATGACAAATGGGACCTTGTTGGTGGTATGAGACGTCTTGGGAGTGCCTTCTTCGGTCAGCATCTCCTCGGCATTGCCATGATCGGCGGTCACAAAGAGAATATAGCCTTCTTTCTTGCAGGTCTCGTAGACGGTGCCGATGGCAGCGTCAGTGGCGGCGACACCTTTGATGGCGGCTTCATAGACTCCCGTGTGGCCCACCATGTCGGGAGGTGCAAAGTTGTTCATCAGGAACTCGAATTTCTTGTCGGATATCCTTTCACTGAGCTTGTCCGCCACCTTTTGGGCACTCATGGGGGGTTCCAAGTCGTAGGTCGCCACTCTGGGACTGGGAATCATCTCCCGTTCCTCTCCTTCAAATTGCTTCTCGACTCCACCATTGAAGAAGAAGGTCACGTGCGCATATTTCTCAGTCTCAGCAACGTGACACTGCTTGACGCCTTTCTTGCCGAGCCATTCCGCAAGGACATTACCCATGTGCTGAGGCGGAAAGGCGACGGGGAAGGTATAGTCGGTCTTATATTGGGTCATGGTGGTGATCTGGATGTCCTTTGGGTAGGGAAAGTCTGGCTTGGGCGATCGATCGTAACCCCCTAGAAGTTGGGTGACTTCTCTGACACGGTCAGAGCGGTAGTTGAAGAAGAATAAGGTGTCGCCGTCTTTGACCCTCCTCTCGTCCCCTCCAACAATGATGGGCTTGAGAAACTCGTCATTTTCGCCCTTCTCGTAACGGGCCTTGATCGTGGAGACCGGGTCGGACGATTCCTCTCCTTCCCCAACGACAACGCCCTTCAAGCCGACTTCCACACGATCCCAACGCTTATCCCGATCCATGATGTAGTACCGGCCTACAACCGTTGCCAATTCACCTACTCCTAGCTCTTGCAACTTATCCAGCAGTTGTTGCAAGTAGCCAGCAGCACTCTTGGGATCGGTGTCTCTGCCGTCGCCGAAGAAGTGGATAAACACCTTGGGGACCTTCAATTCTTTGGCAACCTGAAGGAGGGCAAAGAGATGGTTGATGTGGCTATGAACGCCTCCGTCGCTGACAAGACCAAGAAGATGGAGCCTTCCATTGCCGTCTACGGCTCTCTGGAAGGACTTGACGATGTTTTGAACCTTGTTCATCTCCCCCTTCTTGATAGTCTGATCGATTCGTACCACATCTTGCCAGACCACTCTGCCTGCGCCAATGTTGAGATGCCCGACCTCAGAATTACCCATGAGCCCTTCAGGCAAACCCACAGCAAGCCCGGAGGCTTCCAGTTCGGTGTAACCTTGCGCGGTCTGAGAGCCCTCTTTCGCAAATCCGTCCATGAAGGGAGTCTCGGCTGCAGCAATGGCATCGCCTTCCGGGGGGGAGGTCTCAGAAGGAATGCCCCATCCGTCAATGACGACTGGAATCTCGTGTCAGTCCGATTTGAATCAGGAGTAGTAATTAAGGACGGGTATCTTACTGAGGACAGCCTTGTGCTCGACTTTGGCCATGTCGAACCCGGAGCTTTTGTGGGACTTGGGCAAAAGGTGGCGAGAATCGAGAATCGAGCGAGCGGTAATCGTAGGATAAGCCAAATGTACTTTCTATGCTGTAGCAGGGTCCTCTATCCTCTGACCGGCACTTGGAGCAAAAGTGGAATAGGATATAGGGTGGGAGATAAATTCTGTTGACCGGAGCACAGCTGTTGGCGGGGTCGGATTGGGCTGCGGTGCATGTTTTCTTTTCGGGAACTCCCATCGCTGTTGGCGGGACGGGAGCCCGAGGACAGTCAGGGCCAGCAATGCCACACGCCGCCTACGATATCATCAATCATGCCACGGCTTTTGCCTGCGCTCCTCGGTGTTCTCTGTCCGATTGTCTCCTATTTAATGTCTCCCTCCTTGCGTTGCCCTTCACTATCTTGATATTACAACTTTCTTCTATTCCTATGCAGTGCAGCTTCAGATGCCAGCACGTCTGACGGCCTGGGCTGACGTGTGCTTGAACGACTAGACAACTATCGACGAGCTCACGAAGTAGATCGCGGTACAGTTGTACCTGGAAGCCGACCAGCAGAGCACTCCAGAGTACCTCGCGGGAGACCAACATTGTACAGATCTCGTATCATTCAAGCCCGTGGTGGTATCCGGCATTGATTGTTGGCTTGGGTTGAGGCTTTAACAGACAAAATGTAGCAAACGTTACCAAATCTTCACCGGCCTGTCTTTGGAAAAGCAACAATGCTGGTGGTGCTGGTCTGCGACTGGACTGCGTCATCCTCAGCCATTGACTATCAGATCTTGCTATACAGAGTAAGGGGGCACTGCAACTTGCCCACTAAGAGCACCTGGCACCTGGCCCTTGCACCTGGCACCTGGCACCTGGCTCCTAGGCGTTGACCATTGACGGATATGGCCAGTCCAAATCATCTCCAGGGTCAGGCTAAGGACTGCTACTAGGCTATCGCCTAGGCCTAAGGGCTTAGGAGGCCTTTGGGTGTGTCCGTAAGCCCGGCGTTCAAGGTTTGCTGGCCCCGCATCGGTGCAGATGGATTGCACCGGGCGGAAATACAGAAAGTCTGGTCTTGGCCCTAGCGGCCCTGCTATCAGGGAGAGAAGCTTACGGAGTATATGTCCTGTCGCGCAAGCCATAAATAACCAACCCTACTGTGTCTCGAATCAACCGGGCGTTGTAGCCATGGAGGGGAGATGCGGCAGACACCTGTGGCGCAGGCACAGACAGTAGCAACCGAAGATTCGATGAAGACGACGTCTCCCGGCCTCCGCGGCCTTTTCTGCACCGCCGCATATGGCCTGACTTGGCCCGGAAATAGATCCCGGCCAGCGACCGTTTGCTGTCGAAATGCTGGCCACTGCACAGCTCTCCACGATCGAGTCCGCCCACCTGTGATCTTTGGTGTTTGCTTGGTCTCTTGTGGTCTGGATGCCTCGCTCATGTTACGATAATCCTTACATCAATAAAAGCACGTCCTCGGTACCATCGCTCACCCTCTCCGTCCTCACACGTCCCTAAACTTATACGATATTATTCACGGGTCGTCGCTGTCTTTGCACATGTAGAGGCAGATTACTAAGCCCAGTCGGAACTTGGCAATGTCATCATCCACTTTGTCTAAACTGATCTCCCGGGGCAGCCCCAGCCATGGCCGCCATCGTTCAGACCGAAGTTCGCCAACAGAATCGCCACAGAATAGCGCTGGTCTTGCGAAAGTCCGCACCTCGCACGCCTGTGATCGGTGTAGGCTGATGAGGACAAAATGTTCAGGGGGGGACCGATGCTCGAAATGTATCAAGGACAATGCAGCCTGCCTGTATGGAGACCGCAAGCGAGAGCGTAACAGAAAGTATGACCCCTTGATGTGAGTCCTCGTGAATGGCCTTTTATTGATGGATAACCACGCAGGGATCTTGCGGAAAGCGTGGATCGCATCCATGCGCTAGAGGGAGAAAAAAAGCAACTGCTCGCGGCACTTCGTTCAGTGGCCGACAGGGCTGACTTCCGCCCTGAGAATCATGTCGAGGTTCTGGATATTTTATCTAAGGTGACTATAGTACGCTTATCCCTGAAGCCAGCAAATACTGAATCTTTACCTAGTATACTCTGGGGGACCAGTCTGAAAGCGGCCAGGCATTAAGCACCAGATCGCGAACCATGACTAGCCCATCCAGAGGAAGACATTCCGGACTAGACTCTGGGGTACAAAGCTGGGACGGAGGCATCAGAGCACTCGGTGAAATGACGGCTGCACGCAGCGTAGGATCTCCTAGCCGTCAAGGCGAATTGATCGAGGTCGTTGACCTGGATCATGGCTCAGGGGCGTCAGGTTTCGTGGGCAAAATGTCCGAAATGTCATGGATCCGGCGGGGGTTTGAGTGCGTCCGCGCTGAAGAAGGTCACATCCGTCCGGATGTTGGCTTTTCAGAAATCATTCACCACCTAACCACAGCGCCAGACTACAGTTATTTCATGGACAATACGGATGTGCTGGCTGTGGACGAAGACCACGTGGAGCAGTACGAATGGCCCCCTGGCGACTCAGCCTTGATCCTGGCCGAGGCATACTTTCACGCATTACAAGGTGCCTTCCAATTCATTCTCCGCGATCAATTTCTCGCGACACTGGTCAGCTTCCCTCGTCAAACGATGCCCTCGTGGGGTCAACGGCGTTGGTTGGCAATGGCGAATCTGGTGTGGGCTGTCGGGTCTCTATGGCTACAGATGACAAGACTGGACAACTCAGAGAAGATCGACACCCATCTGCTGTACTATGCTCGGGCCCGCGCCCTCGGCATCGACCATAGGATCTTGTTTGATCATCCGGACATTGAACGGGTACAGGCAATCGGTCTACTTGCCTTCTATCTCCTGGTCAACGGATCGGTGACAAGGTGTGTTTGTTGACAGCATTGACCATTGAATTGCTCTCTTAACTGTGAGTCTAGGGCTTGGAATACTTTGGGCCCCGCTATCCGTCATGCGACAGCACTCGGCCTGCATTTGAAAGTTTCAGATCCCAGTCTCGCCGAGTGGGATCGAGAACGCCGAGGCCGAACTTGGCATTCCTTGTACAGCTTGGAGATCCTGCTATGCGAGATCCTTGGACGTCCAAAGGCCATTTCTTTGGGTGACGTGACCATCCCGGTCACGCTGTCCGATTCATCACATGCAGGAGAACAGCCCAAATCTCCACATGCCCGCGAGTTCAATCTTTCCGAGAAATCGAGGATGCTCTGGCTCGACTTTTTAAGGGCCGGCCGGAACATTCCACAGGGTATGGGGGGCGGAGCGCTACCATGGAAGAGTCTTGCATCTGTGGGACATGATATCTTACCTGCATATCTTCCTCAGCGACTACGACTCTGTCGGCTCAGTGACAAAATCGCAGCTCAACTGTACAGTGGGACATCGGAGGATTCGTGGTCTGAAACACAACGAAAGATTGGCCAGTTACAGACAGATTTGAGCAGGTGGGCTGACAAACTCCCCGACGAGCTGGCCATGCAGAGCTCGGTATCTCTGGACACAGATCCGCGGGTCAAGATCGAATTGGCCTTGTATTATCACAGCCTACAGATGATTTTGTATCGGCCGTGTCTGTGTGAGGTAATGATTGAAAACGAATCTGTCCGATCGCAAGAGTTCAACCGAAGTGCTGCGAGAGCGTGTGTGCACGCAGCTATGTCGATGTTGTCCATGATCCCCGACAATCCTAGCGCTCATGAAGCATACCAGCTTCTCCCGTGGTGGGCCCTACTTCATTACGTGGCGCAGGCGACGGCGGTGTTGTTGTTGGAAATGTCGGTTAATGCACCACACTTCAGCAACGAGGTCGAGGAGTTGACCACCCACTTGCGTAAAGCGATGGCATACTTGTGGTGCATGACTGAAGGCTCCCTTTCGGCCTACCGGGCTTGGAGGATCTTCCGGCAATTGCTGTCAGAAGTGACCAACAAGTATAGTGGTCTGGGCCTGGAGGATATACCGGAACACGCACCACAACCCCACGGCTGGCGCGAAGAGCATGAGATGGACATTAGGAGGGCTTTCGGTTGACCAGGGAGTGGTCTCGAATGATAATATCCGCCATCCATCCACCTTGGCAATAGGTGGATGTTGATGGTGGCTACTCCGTACGGTAGTAGAAAATATAGCGAAGCCTGCGCCGAACTGTAACATATTCAGCCCTAGAATACGGAGTATATACCGAAATACAGCATCATGCGGGTGGTTGCCTATAAATATCGCATCGTAGGATATAGGTAGGGCAAGGCTGAGCCGGCCTCGGGTGGATCATGCGGTGCGCAGGCATTTTGCCCTACTGCCTACGTGCCCAGAAGAATTAATTGACGTTGACGTGAGATCGATGAATGTGTCTCCCTTCAACTTCAACTCTTCTACGTGCCTTCTCGTCGCTGCCACGTTTCGCTTTTCAAGGCAGGCTCTGAATGCCTTGACTTGAAGTCGCAAATACCTGGTGAAGAGTCCACCCACCCATGCGCCTGCCTCCGTTACACTTCTCCATTTCCCTGAGTCTCAACCCTCGCGGCAAATGACAACCACTGTCGCCCTTCCGACTGCCTTCATTCCTTCTCCTTCACTTTAGGCTCCTCGATATACCATCGGTCACCATGAAATTCTCCTACTCTATCACCAGCCTCAAGCGCTGGTCATGCAAGAGCAAGGATATCCCTAGCGTCGCTACCATCAAAGCCATCCACGTGTATGATTTCGACAACACCCTTTTCAGCAGTCCCCTCCCAAATCCTCAGATATGGAGTCCGCCTGCGGTCGGAATGCTCCAGGCTTATGACACACTTGCATATGGAGGATGGTGGCATGACTCCAGTATACTGGCCGCAACCGGGGAGGGGATCGAAAAGGAAGAGCCTCGTGCCTGGGAGGGTTGGTGGAACGAGACCATCGTTCAACTCGTCGAGATGAGCACGCAGTCGAAAGGAGTTCTTACTGTCTTGCTGACGGGACGAAGCGAGACCGATTTCGCCAATCTTGTCAACCGGATAGTCACTGCAAAAGGCCTTGATTTCGACCTGGTTGTCCTGAAGCCCGAAGCAGGACCCTCTGGACAGCGCTTTGAGTCCACCATGGGGTTCAAACAGGAATTTCTCAAAGAGTTGGTCTTTACATACAAGAACGCCGAGGAGCTCCGGATCTACGAAGACCGGCCGAAACACGTCAAGGGCTTTCGTGACTACTTTGAGCGCCTGAACAAGTCGTTGCTGTCCCATCCCGCCGACCAACCACCGCCTCCACGAAAACCGATCAACGCCGAAGTCGTGCACGTATGTGAATTGAAATCGGCCCTCCATGCCGAAACCGAAGTGGAGGTCGTGCAACGAGCCATCAGCCGTCATAATCATGCCGTCGCCACCGGCGGTCCCAACCCAACGAGAAGTGTCCGGAAGCAGTTGAAGATTGTCGAGCAGTTTTCCTACTTTGGATACCTGATCAGTCAGACTGACTCGGCCCGTCTCATTACGCTTTGCAATGCAGCACCGCACCTGATCGATTCTGGCGAAGTTCGCTTGCTTGCTTCCAGCATCCTCATTACTCCGTATTACCCACACAGAGACATCCTTAAGAAGGTTGGTGGCCGCGGGAAGAAGGTGACATGGCAAGTGACTGGCATCGCCAAATTCGAAGACCGTATTTGGGCAGCTCGAGTGGCTCCCGTGTCGGAAACACAAATTTACACTCAAGATCCCACGCCTCTCGTAGTCCTCGCCATTCGAAAAGGTTCCAGGCAGGTCGACGCGGCTAGGATACAGAATTGGCAACCGGTCGCGCCAGAGAAGGCGTTCATGTTAGAAACCACCGTGGGTGACAAGGTCATGTTGAAAATTGAAGAGGTTGATTCCCCCGTCCACAATGTGTCTGGTGGGGCGCGAAAGAACCAGAATGCCCTTGAGGTTGATGGAGGCAACAAGCGCAAATACATGCATGAGGAGTCGGACTACAGAAGTAAAGAAAACTATCCTCGTGCTGCTGGCGGAGATCGGGGTGACGGAGCTCCTTGGCCTGCCAAACACGGGTCTAATTCGGGAGGCGGGAGGTTTTCACAACGAAACTACATGAGTAAGAGTCAGTTCAACAATCGGGCCAATTCCAACATGGCCGGCGGCAGAAACAACAACAACGCGAACACCAACCCCAACAACAACCATCAGGGTCAAAATACCAATACCCGACAGCGTGGCTCCGGCACAGGTACGGGGTCAGCCGGTCGAGGAAAGACTGGCGGCGCCGGCGGAAGCGGAGGAAGCGGGAATCGAGGACCAGCAGGGTACAAGAGTCTGGATGACTATGGACCCGGGAACTATGACGGGGCCACTGATTTGAAGACTGGATCCGGAGAGATGGTGATGAATTATTGAGCATGGAACAGATGCTGTTGAGAAACACATGCAATTGTGTCGCATGTGACATAGTTAGGATAAATCAGGGGGTTTTGCTACCGGGACGGCATGGGGATGATTCGGAATGGGAATTGTGACCTCGGCGAGACTTGGAGTAAGCAAGGTGGGCGTTGGTTTGTCATATTCAAGCCGCCGATACGATGTCAGAGTCAGGGAGGGACGCTGAACGATGGGGCCTTTATCTGGCTTAGAAGGGATTGAAACCGGTCGAGACAACTGCTGTCGAAGACGGACTGCTGATGAGTTTTGCGGAGAAAGGAAAGCAGAATCTGTGACGACTCTTGATGGGTTTGTGGGATGAAATGAATACCTTGAGTTCCCTGCTTTATAGCTTTTTTCGAGTAGGAGTGATATCTTTCCACGGTCAGGACTGGTGCTTTGCTCGTACTCGTCTGCACAAATGTTTCTATTCAAGGTATTGAATAGGGCGAATTTCATGGTCAACGAAGGGAGAGATGCTGCCATATCGAATACGATATACATATGAATATATGTGGAAGACATCATGGATATACTTTTAGGTTATACCTCAATTACATACACACACACAAACTCTCTCTCTCTCTCTCTCTCTCTCTCTCTCTCTCTCTCTCTGTGTGTGTGTGTGTGTGTGTGTGTGTGTGTGTGTGTGTGTGTGTGTGTGTGTGTGTGTGTGTGTGTGTGTGTGTGTGTGTGTACAAATATATCTGTGGAGGAATGTTAGTCACCGTATGGTTTTTTAGAATAGATAAAACGACCATGTATATAAATTCTTGGTTTCGTTTCACCTTCACCTTCACCACTATAATGCCTGATTTTATGTATATTTCATATATCTATATCTATCTGTCTATATCTATTCCTGTTTTTCATCACGTCGCGTTGGTTTTTCTCATTTGGCTCGTTTTGACCTGTTGTCTGTTGTCTCCGCCGGGGTTTTTGGGTCTTCGGGTCTTTGGGTGGATGGATGGATGGATGGTTGGATCGTTAGTCGGTCGGTCGGTCGGTGACTTGTTGGTCGGTTGGTTGGTCGGTTAGTTGTGGTATGGACAGTCCAAGCCGCGTCGTTCTTCCAGCAGACCCGCTCGCCGGGGCAGGCATCTCCTTTGTGGATTAGGCCGAGTGCCGTTCTCATGGTAGACCGGACCTGGTTTATCTGGAATCCTGGGCCCTGGGTGGTGTAATAGATATAATAGATAATCGGCGTAGAGCTTGTTATCTGTCGTGGAGCTTGTTGTCTGTCGTGGAGCTTGTTGTCTGTCGTGGAGCTTGTTGTCTGTCGTGGAGCTTGTT